CGCTTAATGCGGGAGCTAATATATTCTATTAGGTGTCCGGATTAGACACCCTACGGACCCCCTACGGGGGGCCGGAATATATTACGTAACCTAGGTTAACTATAGACAGCCTACGGTCCCCCTACGGTTACGTATAGGATACTATAGATATAGTACGATACCTTATAGTTTCCTATATAGGTAGTTTGTATTTAACCTAAGTTACTAACCTACCAAAAGGTTAAACCCTAGAGTAGTTACTTACCTAACCTATCGCTTAGAACTTACTCGTCTAACGAGCTCTAACCCCCTTATACCGTAGGTATATAATATCTAACTAATTAAAGGAGTATTAGTTATATTAGTTATAGAAGCGGAAGCTTCCGCTCCTATCTCCCTATCTACTCGCTTACCCTACTAATTACTATAATAGTATCCGTAATACTACTAGAGTAGTACTTTACTTTAGATACTCTATAAATATATATTAGCTTTTAAGAACGCTAATATAGAAGCTACTTTTATCTATATTCTATATATTAGCTAGTCTAATATCTTTTTCTTTAATAATAAGCTTTATAATATAGTAGTATCTAAAAGAAGATATCTTATAGCGTATAGGACGTAACTTAACTAATACTAGTTAAGGCTAGTACTTTATCGACTAGTATACTCTAAGCTCGGTTAAAGCTATTAGCTTTACGATTAGTCCGGTTATAAACTACCCCGTAGATCGGCCTAGGTCGCTATTGCACGCGTAGAGCTAAACATAAAGATACTACGGACTTCGCGGGATAGCGAGCGTAGTATTCATAGCCTCGGTATCATGATGATCAGTAGATCCGATACTGCCAGCGATTCGAATTACCTCGTCTTGACCTCGAGCCCGGTAGATGGGAATTTAGGAGCTTGAAACGCAAAGGCATTCCGCCTCCGCTACGACGCCAAGCCAGGCAATACAACTATAAAGCTTGCAGACCAGCACAATTCCAAAGCGAGTCGGAGCTCAAGGAGACGCCTATCATGTCTAGAAGCGAAGCCAGTGGACCAGATGGCCAGTGATTTAGTTCTGGTTGCTAAAGTGCAGAAATGCATGCGTTCCGGCTTGCTCCCAAGATCTCGCCGATCAAGTCGTCTAGTCCAGTATGTCAGCATGCTCCGCGAACGTATGCAACAACATCAGCTAAGTGCGGATCTGGTGGAATCAGGTTTATGAGCAACGTCGGATTCGAAGACCAGGACGGGACACATCTGCATCATCACTCCCCACATTATACTTTCGTAACCACCTTAACAACAACACCCAACTGACGCGTCGGAATTTATTATTCTACGAACAGAGGACGTCGTTTATACACTTTTATCGCGTGTCGCGAGGTGCAATATAAGTTTTGATAGACAGACGCCGCTTCCATGGCGAGCAACGTTCGCTGAACTCTGCTTCTATTCTGGAAAATACGTCAATGCGGATATTGGTCGCTGAAATTAGCGACTCTTCCTTGTGTGTTGTCATTGTTGTGTGTATGCGACAGACGCGGTCTCTGATGTTGTCCAGAGAATTATCTTCGTGCCGTTGGTAAGAGCAGTTCAATGCATGCTACCGTGAACTTCCGCATGTACAGCGCAGGGGCGCCTACTGCTGCAGCTCGTATATCCAACTGACCGGCCAGTGCCTGCAGAAGTGCGTGATTCTAGTGGGGATAGTCATGCAAACGGTGCAGAAGTGGCGATTTGTGCTTCTTTTGTGTAATTCGAATATGCTTCGTTGGGCATGATTGCCACCCGTGAGTCCATCGTTCCTTCGTCAAACTCCACAAAACCCAGGAAGTTGCAGGAACACCCGAAGCCACGCACCGGGCCATACTATAGCCACTCGCTAGATCCAACGGCCCTGGCATCGTGCGAATGAGACAAGGCGCTTAGACGTGGGTTTCGGTCCAAGCTATGCCAGGTTGCTGGGTCAAGGTCGGTGACTTGCGCACGTCCACACCGTAGCGCGCTTCGTCCAAAACACTACTGCATGCAGGTCTGAGGTCTCTGGAAGACGTAAGCATCGAGCCATTGATGGAAACAGGAGAAGGTCGCGGGGTCGTGACCTTTTCATGTACCAACAACTGCCCATCTGTGCCCTTGTAAGGCGACTTGTACCAGCGAGATCGTCGAAGGGAAGTCGCGATTCACTACTATACTGCCAAGCCTGTCACTTTCAACAAACACGCGCCTGTGCGCCGTCACACAAACATCACGCCGCCCAGGCCAATTACGCGGTCGAGCCACTGGCTTGGGAGCTTCACCAACACTTTCCCGCTCAGACGATCGCACGTGTTACACGGCCTACTAAGGAACAAACGAACATCATGAGCATATAGGCGCGGGCCAGGTATTCACTGCACTGAGCGGTGAAGACATACATTGATAACGCTTCTCAACCACTATGGATCCTCAATCGTACCCCAATAGCGACCACGCGACACTCTCGGCGTCACAGTATCTTCAGGACCGACTACATGACCGCCGAGCACGAAACATGCGGCCGAAACGCGCGCGCCAGACTGACTTCGGACCACGACGCGGACTGGACGACGACATCTTCGTCCATGAAGCCGAGGAGAGTCAGTGTGCTGGTGCACGCCGGTACGACAGCTCGCCGATGACAGGCGTGGCGCGACAAATGTCTGCAGCTGCGACCAGAGGTAACAGCGGCAGAGCTTCACTGAGTGTGAGGGATGTGGATGAGCAGATGGACAGGTTGAGTAAGCAGAACTTTGCACTGAAGCTGGAGCTGGACCACCGGAGAGACTTGACTGCAAAGCTTCAGTCGCAGATAGAGGCTATGCAGGCGAGGATCGAGCGGGTAGAAGTCTTGGAGGAGGAGCACACAGAACTCCTACGCATCAACACACAGTTAGTGGAGGAGCTGGAGAGGAGGGACAAGGCTGTCGAAGAGGCGGTGGATACTATCTGCGACTTGGAGGAGAAGGTGGCCGATATGGAGGAGCGCCACAGCCACACCACTAGGCCATCGACTGCTAAAACCGATTCCGGCTATGCTGGAACCGAGACGCATGAGCAAGCGCCACCATCCTCACCACCAGAGATCAAGCTGGCCAAGCCACCTACAGTAGCAGTCCATGCCCCATCGCCAGCAACAGCGGCAGCATCGCAGAAGCTTCAGAGTATGATCCAAGCGACGCCAGCCAAAGCACGACGCGAACCGTCATTCATGAGTCTGAAGAAGCCGAGTACCCATGCACTTAGAAGTGTGTACATGGAGACATCGCACAATCTACTCCCAGTCAAGAGCTTCAACTCACTGCTCTCTAGGCGGGACGGTAGAACTGAAGACGGGAATCTGGATGACATTTTGAATTCGCCGCGGCTTAGCGTTTTGAGTGAAAGCAGCTTCCCGTCTCTTTACAGTCCGAAGAAGCAGATTAGTCCGGAGAAATATGCTTGGGAGGCTGTCGAGGATGAGTCGCTGGAGGATAACTTTAGCTATCCAAGGCAAGACAGCATTAAGCGTGTAAGCCAGTGGATGGAGGAGCATGATGTGTTGGAGGACACGCCTTCGAAGTCGAATCGCATCTCTTCGCCAATGTCAGCTCATACAGATCGTACTGCTACGCCCTCGGCTGGACAGCCGATTGTGGCCAACGAGCCATCCTATCAGTCACTCACAGACGTGCTCAGTCCAACTTCGACGGCACAACGTATACCTAACGAGCACTTCCAATCTGCCTCGAGACTACAGTCACGCCAGCTGCATCGTACGAAGCGGCAAGCAAATGGCACCATCTACAGCGATCCACTTTTACCACCAACACCAGATAGTGTCAGTACGCACATGCTTCGCGCATCCCGCTCAAGTATAACCGGTGATCAAAGTCTACTGGACACCACCCCCGGCGCGGTCAAAGGCTTCGCCCCTCTCGAGCCAGGTGTGAGGACAGCTCCGAAGCAGTTCCGTTCTTCGATCGAGCTAAACGGTGCATATCTGGACTATCAACAATATCGCAAGGGAAGGCACTTACACCAAGCGAGTCCCTCGAGCTCGGATGATGAAGAAGATGGCGTAGATGCTCGTTCGCAGACCGTCAAAGATCTGAGTCTGGACTATGATGCCTTCCCTGACGGCAACTCGATCATCATGGGTACACCTAGTAGGTTCCTCAAACATGGACGACCAGCCGAAGCGCCAACACTCTTCGATCCAAACACCGTCTCACCTACCCAAGAAAGGAAACCATCAGCGCCAAAACGCCGCCAATCAAGCACAGAGACTGGTTTGAATCCACCCAAACCAAGTATGACCCGTGCAGAAACCAGCCCAACATTCCTCGGCACCTTGGGAAGAATCATGACAAACACTTCCCGCTCCACCATCGACTCCGTCACCTCCCCGCGCTCCCTGACGTCCGGCTCCGGCTCCTCAGGAAACCGCACCATCGTCCAAAACGACCGCGACACCACCTTCCGCCCCGAATCCTGCAGCACCTCCCGAACTTCCTCCTCTCCAGCCCGCCGTCTAAGTCAAAGAACACAGAAACTCTTCCGTCGCATGTCTAATAGCCATGCCCCCGAGATCAGCAATAGACCCGAGCCGCAATCGCCCACGGAGAAATCACCGTTACCTACATTGACGTCAACGCCTAGTTCGGCATATGTTAATACCGGACCGAGGAGGCCTATTACGAGTGAGATGAGGGCGGGGAGTAGTACTAGTGCTGTGTATCGAGCTTGCGCTCCTGGTGGTGGTGCTGGTGGGGAGGGGAAGAGGAGACCGTCATTGCAGGCGAGGACGTGGACGGAACCTGCTACTAGTAGTGCGGGCCGCCCGGGCTCTGCTGCTGCTGCATCGGGCAGTGGTGGTGGTGGGAGTGGTTTTGCGGAGCAGGGGATTCGGAGTCCTTTTAGACGGACGAATAGTGTGCAGAAAGGTGGTGAGTCTCGTTCCATAGTCAACGCGAGTGGGGTTCAGAATGTGGAGGTACAGGACGTGCGTGCTGGGAAAGGAGGACTGAGCAGGCGTCGAGGCAGTATCAGGGAGGCAGTTGCTGGTGAGCGGAGACCTTGGCGGTGAGAGCGACACATCCTTCGCCAGAAGATTATTGATGCTGGCCAGGCGCAAAGACGAGTACGTCTAAAAGCTGGAAGGGAACGAAGATTCTTGTTTAGCGAAGGCGTTGTACTGCGCAATGCATGCCGCGGCCGATCGGCGCATTTTGATGACCAGGACATTTGTAGAAGTAGATTATATGGCTTGTACCAATAGAAGATCGTCATTATCGAGACCATACCTTGTCCGTCCAGTAAAAGCGCCCGGTGGATAATAGTTCTCTGAGCGCTGTGGTCTGTGCACTGAACCACTATATCGTGCGTTCCTTCCCCACACATCACACCACTGAGCGGACGATCCTTGCAACAGTCCGCATAAATGACTGCGAAGGAGGAGTAGTAGTACTCACATAGAGATGCTTGAACATCGCATGCGAGAGAAGTATTCTTTCTTCGTTTGATCCGTCTCTTCCTCCCGTCCAGTACGTCTTATCGAGAACATAGCTCGTGTCTTGCAGCGGAAACATCAAAATGGAGCAAGATACCTTTACCGTCCTCGTCACGGGAGCTAATAGGTATGCTAGCGAGCGCTTGATACCAACATCAAACTTACAGTCAGCTGACACCATCTACTAATTCACACAGCGGTCTGGGTTATGCCATCTGCTGCCGCCTCATAGACGAGTTCCTCCATACACGCCCTCAGTCTCAGAACCTCCACATCCTCTTCTCCACCCGCGATCAACGGAAAAGCGAGGCTACGAGGAAGCGATTGCATGGCCACCTACAAAAGACATTACGCAACATCAATGACTCAACTCATGGGAAGATCAGTCTACTGCTGGAAAGCCGAGTGAAGATCGAAGGCGTCCTGGTCGACCTGACGAAATTGATTACCGTAAAAGCACTTGCGCAGAGCTTGGTGAGGAGAGGGCAAAGACTAGATGCCGCGATATGCAATGCAGGTGTAGCAGGCTGGCTAGGTACAAATTGGGTCAAGGCCATACCGGAAGTCATAACAGGTTTGATCGAGGCAACGACTGCACCGGAATTCATGATATGCGATGTTGGACTCTTGGCCAAACCGCAAGGGACGCTATCAGGCAAGAGAGACGGAAAGGGAGGGGAAGAGGAGCCGACGCTGGGGCAGGTGTTTCTGAGTAACGTGTTTGGCCATTATATGCTCGTGCATTGGCTCTCGCCTGTCCTAGATGGGAATTCGAGAGTGATCTGGATCTCATCCGTCTCAGCTCTAGAGAATCTATTCTCACGGCAAGACCTGCAAGGCCTGCGATCGGATAGAGCGTACGAGAGCTCGAAACGACTTACTGATCTTCTGGTCTTGACCTCCGATCTACCTTCCACGACACCTTTTACTAGCACATTCTGGGCACAAGACTCGTCCCAAGCATCGACGACAAAGACGAAAGCAGAAGCGAGACCGAAGATGTACCTCACCCACCCCGGTGTGATCCAGACCTCTATCGCCGACTTAAATCCCATCATGTCCTTCTTCATGCTCCTATCCCTCTACTACGCCCGTCTGCTCGGCTCGCCTTGGCATCCCATCTCACCCTACAAAGGCGCCATCAGCGCCGTCTACGCCGCTCTATCCCCAACCTCACAGCTTCCCGGGCAAGAAGAAATGGACGGAAAGGGTAAGTGGGGCAGTTCGACAGACGTCTTTGGCGGTGAAAGGGTGGCGAGGACGGAAGTCGATGGGTGGGGTTTCGCTGGCGTGGTGGGGAGGATTCCGACGGGTAGTGTGGCGGGGAAGATGGGGAGGCGGAAGGGGTGGAGGGAGATGACGGGGGAGAGGAGGGAGGAGTTTGAGGTCGAGGGGAGGGAGGTTTGGAGAGATATGGAGAGGTTGAGGGTGGAGTGGGAAGGGAGGTTGGGGGAGGTGGAGGTGGGGAAGGGTGAAGATGTTTGAAGCTGTTGTTTGGCTGAGCTATGTCAATTCAACTCGTGCGCGGTCATGACTGGGATGCATCCGCGACAATGCAGCGCACGGATTGCCGCCTTTACGATCTCCGTCGTCACTCTATCCTTGAAGTACTTCCAATCATCAACTTCCGGTACTGAGTTGGGATGCACGTGGATCCGGAGGTCGGACGCGAAACTGACCGGGTTGAGGTAACGCGGGAAACCTGCTTCGATGCCCTGATAGTAAGAGTGTTGCGAATTCAGCAGTCCTTGGATGGAATCATGGCATGTAACAAGGGTATCGAAAAAGGTAATCCATGGTATCGGAAGCGACCTCGCGAAGTTGTGAGCCAGACGTGGGGCAGAGGAAGCGGCGTGCTAGCACGTCGCCGGGCACGGTCCACCTGGTTACAGCCTGCCTGAGATGGTGACGGTGCCCTCTGAGTTGGGATATCAAATTCGTAGATGGCGTAGCTTGGAACAATAGTTGCTTGTGCATCATCAGAGGAATTTTCAGTCAGGGATGCTCTCCCCTGCTACCTCACTCAACGAGTCCCTCCTACCAAACCTCCCTCCTGCACCAGGTGATCGCGCACCGGAGCGAGCAGGGGCCCCACTGCCTAGCAAACCTACCTCAATCGTCAATCACAATCACCTCACCCTTCGCAAAGCCGACCGCCTTCTTCTTCGCCACAGCTGGAGCAGCATCCACAGTCCGTGCCTTCTCCTCCACCATAACTGCCACCTTCACTTTCCACTTTGCAACATAGCTATCCACTTGTTCTTGTACCTCGCAAGGAGCTGGAAAGTAAACCAATTTCTCTGCGCCTTGTATTGCATGCACATGAAATCCGGCAGGGCACCCAGATCTTCGAAGTCGTGAATGGAAGTGCTGCTCTCTTTGGCTTCGAGCTGTGCGACGAGTGTGAGGACGAGTAGATTCTTGAGATGTTCGAGACTGGTAGTCGAGTAGCGGCTCCAGACGTACTCGATGTCTTCTTTCGAGAGGCACGAGGGCGTGCCGAAGACCGTGTTGGACATGAGCTGCCGCATGACCTGGTTCTGCAGAGCCGAGACACTGTAGTGGTTTTCGAACAGCCACAGATCGATCACCAGCTCCTTGAACTGCGTCCGAGCCTCCCAGCTCGGCTTGTCAAGCGGTGGGATGCGATCCTGCATATGATTAGCGCACTTCGTAGCGGACACGAACCACAATTTCCCACCTGGTAGCACCAGCATATGAAGATCTTGGTGACAGCCACGCCAATACCTGGCAAGACAAGCTCCGTGAGATCTGGTTTGCTTAAGAACGGCGCAAAGTTCTCGGATTTGCTGGCTAGTAGGGCTTTTGCGATGATGAGAGCTTCGCCGTGTGGACCGACTCGCAACGTCACTGCTACGGACTGAATAGCTTGGACGAAGGCCTCGCCAGCCATGTCACCCATGGCTTTCGCGAAAGTGCGGTGGTTAGATACTCATCTAGTATGTGAGTCGTGTTGTGGAGCGATAGTGATATTGAAATAGTTCTTGGATGTGAAGATTAAGCTGTTGAGGTATTGTCTAGGTCGCATGCAATGCAACGGGAGTGGCACCAGCACACCGCTGTAGACCGCATGAGTTCATGACATCATCTTCTAGCAGATTGCGCCACGAGTGAAGTGAAGTGTACATCGCCAGCGCAACACAGCCGAGAAGGCAGTCAGGGAGGGAAGTCGTGGTGGTATCGGGACCTGGCCAACCCCTTTCTACCTACGAAGCACCACGGAACTGATCCAGCAGCCCGCCCACAAGCCCTCTGCGCCTCACATGCTCCCGGCCAACGTCCACACCGGTGGCTCTACCGGCTTCACCTTCCATCCTTCGCCTCAGTGAATCATATCGCTCTTTTTGTGCTGCTGCACCAATTACCCATCCTGGTACTCGCCATCTTGCCGCACCAGGCAGTATTTCGCGTCGGTAGGCGAAGCCGACTAGCCATCCTATCGCTGCCACAAGAGCAGAACCTGGAAGTTGACTAAGAGCCAGTTGAAGTGGTAGCAGGTATGATGTTGACTTTGATGTAAGATTCATTCCATACTCGCGGCCAGCTTGTGGAGAGCCTGGTGCGGGTAAGGTGCCGGACAGTCGGTACTTATAGATGTAGGGTATGGCTGCATGATATTGAGCTAGAAGGGCGAAGACTATGGCTGTTGGTCCTGCTGGCAAGTAGTTGATCCTGCCGAAGCTAAGAGGACGGATGATCAAGGTGAGTAGTATCGGCGGAAGAAGTGTAGTGTATGGTAGAGTGGACAAGATGAAAGACTACCCACCCGTCAGCCTACCTTCTTCCCGCTACTCTCATATGTCGAGGTGGTTCCAGCCTACGGCAAATTTCCTGCTACCCCAAAGCCTCTCAATCACTCTGAGCTGGTAGAAGGTCATCGCAGCGAACAACACTTCGGTGCTGTTGGTGTAGCATAGTGGCCACGTGAACAATCTCCAGAACTGGTGGTAGTCGAGCAGATGTGGTCGGACTTCTAGCCAGAGGTAGTATTTGGCGTCGGCGAGAGTAGCGAGGAATGGTAGGAGCACGACGGCCGCCACGAGAGCTTGTGATATAGGAGCGTTGGTGAATCCTGACGCCCACATGTCTGTGGTATTTCCTCGTACGTCGTACAGTCAAGTCACTTTCTTGTGGTGAATGGTGAATGGAGGACAGATGTCGTTGGCAAGCGAGCCGTTCGCTTCCGTATCATTGGTGGATATTGATTCATCCACGTGTTGCTGCCTTTGCCTTGGCATCAGTAGCGCGTGTGAACTTCTGCACAGCTCTGTTCTGCACCTTACCTACACCTACTCTCTACATAAGATCAGATAACGAGCACATGGGCCATCGGAGATAATAGTCTGGGTTTCATCGCGAACGGTACAGTCCCAGGACAACCGACGGATAACGACGACAAGTGTGAATCACTGTATCCAGACATAGGTGCCTTCCTTCTTGAGTCGTGGCCAGATTCAAAGACTGCCACGGGTAGTCGCATGCGTGCGTCGATTGGTGCCCAACAGCAAGCATATCGATGACCTTCGCACGATCACAACAGCACAGTTACCTGATGTGTGGCCAGCAACAGACGGGGTGGTCTCCAAGCAGGTCCAGCGATTATGGTTTTAGGGCAGACTCAAGGCACCAGCGCGCGTTTTCCCACGCATCGCCATTCCAAACCGACACACTAATATAGCATTCGGTACCTTTTCCACCACCACGATCACAACGATAATCATCGCGCAGCACTCATCTCTGCCAAGACTTCGAGCTCGCATTCGTGCTTACTATGCCCTTTGTCACGAAGCCCCGCTTTTCGTGCATATAGCATGCAGGTCCTGGCCCGGAAAGGTCGGAGGCCTCGCAGCTCCATGTCAGCATCATGCAGTGTCGCGCGAGCAGCTGAGGTACTTGATAAGAAGCTGTGCGGATCCAACAATAATCGCATCTTCTTTCGCGCTTCTACAATGCGGAGCTCATGAGCTTCGTCCTTGGCCAACAGCTTCACCAGCTGAGTCTAGCAGCGACCATACCGAGTTGCATCATTCGACTACAGACCATGGCTTCCTCCACCAAAACATTCGACTGCATCGTGATCGGCTCAGGACAGAGCGGCACGCCTCTTGCCACATCCCTGGCGCAGAGTGGTCGCAAAACAGCTCTCATCGAGCGCTCGCATATCGGTGGGTGCTGCGTAAACGAGGGATGCACGCCTACGAAAACAATGATCGCAAGTGGTCGAGTCGCGTACTTGGCCTCTCGTGCAGCGGACTATGGAGTCTACCAAAAGACACAGACGCCCGCCTATGCTGTTCTTCGAGGACCCAAGGACGGCGAACATGCTCCCATCCCTGGTGCGGTAAAGAAGATGCCGATTATTGACATGGTCAAGGTGAGGCAGAGGAAGAGAGATATTGTGCAGACCTTCAGAGGTGGAAGCGAAGCACGGTTGAAAAACGTCAAGAATTTGGAGATTGTAATTGGCGAAGCGAGCTTCACTTCTGCGCATGGTCTTTCTGTGAAGGCTGCTGATGGTACAACGACTGACTACGAAGCTGAGACGTTCTTTATCAATGTTGGTGAGCGCCCACGAAAGCCATGGCTACAAGGCTTACCTGAAGTCGAGGCTAGTGAGCTCAAGGATCGCATACTCGACTCGACTAGCATACAGGAGCTTGACCATGTCCCGGAGAAGCTGATTGTGCTCGGTGGCAGTTACATCGGTATGGAGTTTGGGCAGCTTTTTCGGCGACTCGGTAGTAAAGTCACAGTCGTGCAGCGCGGCAAACAATTGGTGCCTCGAGAAGACAAGGAGTTTGGCCAAGCAATGCTTGATATTTGCAAGGATGATGGTATCGAGGTCATCTTCAACGCTTCAGATGCTCCCGAGGATACCATCGCTGTCTCAAGAGACAAGAGGTCGATCGTACTTACCTGCAACATCGATGGTACAGCGACAAAAGTGGAGGGCTCCCATATCTTATTCGCCGCTGGCAGGACTCCCAATACTGACGCACTTAATCTGGACAAGGCAGGAATAGAAGTGGACAAGAGATTCCATATCAAAGTCAGTCCGACACTGCAGACATCGATCCCACACATCTATGCACTGGGCGACTGCCATGGTGGCCCAGCTTTCACGCACATATCCTACGACGACTTCCGCATCATCAAAGCCAACTTCATAGATCAGACGGCGAAGCAGCTGAGCACAGCAGACCGTAGAATACCATACGTAATGTACACCGACCCTCAACTGGCCCACGTCGGCCTCCACGAGCACGAAGCTCGTAGAGAGCACGGTGGGGACAAGGTCAAAACCGCAAGTATGCCGATGTCGTACGTTGCTCGTGCGCTGGAGACGGATGAGACGAGAGGCTTGATGAAAGCTGTTGTGCATGCTGAGACGGAACAGATACTGGGTTTTACTTGTCTCGGGTTGGAGGGAGGAGAGATCATGAGTATTGTGCAGGTTGCCATGATGGGTGGGTTAAAGTATACTGCGTTGCAGCAGGCGGTGTTCGCTCATCCGACTTTGGCGGAGAGTTTGAATAATCTGTGGGGGTTCTTGAAGTAGGATCTGCTTGAGTTGGATGTGGGGAGGTGTCCATATCGTCATGTCTAGCTTCTCTACTGTGCTTGAAGTGAATGCTCAGGACTCAATCAATATTTGATGACATCTTGAACTAGATTTGAGCAAGATTCCACGTCACCCTTGGGCTGCAGCGGGGCAATAGATGATGCCTCACATGTGAACGACCACAGGCAACGACATTTACTGTATCAATACCAATTTTACATATACGTGACCGTCCAAACGAACAACAAAATCCGTTCGAGACAACAGTGCACTCCACCATTTGCGAAGCTCCGCACGACCGCATCAACTCACTGTCCAAGATGAATCGACTATTCGGCGCAAAGAACAACACACCTAAGCCGACCCTAAACAGTGCTATTGCCAATGTACGTAGATCGCCTTACGATGCTGGTAGATGTGTTATACTGACTCTTCCCCAGGTGGACACACGGATAGAATCAATCGACGTCAAACTCGCCAAACTCACGTCAGAACTCACAACATACCAACAACGCCTATCACGAATGCGAGATGGACCCGGCAAGAATGCAATCAAGCAGAAAGCAATTAAGATCCTGCAACAACGGAAGATGTACGAATCACAGAAGGACCAGCTGCAGCAGCAGAGCTGGAACATGGAGCAGGCAGGCATGATGCAGGATAACCTGAAGAACACAATGGCTACGGTCGATGCGATGAAGACGACGCAAAAGGAACTGAAGAAACAGTATGGGAAGGTGGATATAGACAAGATTGATCGGCTGCAGGACGAAATGGCCGAGTTGATGGAAGTGGGGAATGATATTCAGGAGAGCATATCGAGGAGCTATGATGTACCGGAGGATGTTGATGAGGCGGAATTGGACGCTGAGCTGGAGGCACTAGGTGATGAGGTGGATCTGGGAGCAGAGGGTATTGGAGAGGGAGAGATGCCGAGTTATCTTTCTGAGAGTGCGCCGCCTACTTTTATCGACGAGGCCCCAGTGCCCAAAGAGCAGCAGGCTGCTACGTAAAGCGTGCAGATTTACGAATGCACGTGAATGAGCCACAGTAGCACGGTCGTTTCTGAGGATCGCAAATCTCAACGCGAGTATCTAGACCGTGAGCTCCTCTACCAATTACTCTTGCACTCCTACTGCGTAGCGCGAGAATGCACTGCTTAGAAGACGATCGTTAGCGACAGAGAAATTGCTATGCACGACACTGGAGGCGAATGGCGCGCAGGAGGTAGTGAAGGAAATCGATGCCTTAGCTGACGCTTTGAGGCCTGTTCTAGAGGCATTGGTCAGCGAGATATGCCGGGAGCTATGCATTCCGGTACGACATTATCTGCTATGTCAGCTACCAGCTAGCCACTAAGCATTCATACATCGTACATTGATGAGTCAGAATGGTGAACGTTTGGCTGAGCAACGCACAGTCTCAGATGTCATCCACCTATTCTGCTTGCAATTGTCTCCTACTATACCCCATCAGACAAAGGTGGATCTTCAACATGACCATTAGCGCGACATGAGTGGCAGCAAATACATGTCCTCCTGCAACACAAGCTAGATGACTACACACGTGCTATCTCGCACCACCAGCATCGGCATAAATACAAGTCTGAACCATCGTTGACCGAATCCTTGGACATTCGTAAACGCGGCACTGGTGCTCTATCATTGAGATCGCCTGCAGTCACTTGCAACCCTCATCACAATCCTAGCCTTCGCCTCCTATTGGCTCTGGTCCGCTCATGGCCAACCGACCATAATGAGACGGGCTGTGTGGTGCAACATCCTGGACACACTGCCACGCTCCACCCTGTGCCACGCACTCTGGTTTGGTGTATAAGCCAACCGGTGAAGCAAAGCAGTGCGGTGAGCGGCGGTGTAGTGTAGCCGGATGTGTGCATGATGCTGTGGTGGCAATTCGGTGTGGGACGGAATCAAAAGAAAAGCAACCCCACGTCAACACAACGTGTTGGTATAAGGGGGGACATCACACCTAGGACATGGAGTTCCTGGTTTGTATCATCGTCGGCCGAAGCCTCAGATAGTCGTAACGCAGCTGTGCTGCTCCATCATCGGGGTTACTTGCCTTTGCTCGCGGGGAGCCATTGGAGAAGTTTGCAGCAGATGGGAAGCACTTCATGACCAGTGATGACAGACGAGCCTTGTAGCAAGGCGGCGATCTGGGTGACCGATCGTCGCTGAAAGCAGGTACTGATGTTCTGAGGTCCAACAAGATGTTGTGGCCCCTGAGTGTAGAGCTGCACGGGATGCGTTGATGGGTTGTGGAGGCGTCCATGATTCGCGGACGGGATGAGAGACAGGTGGATCTTTGTTTGGTGAGATATGTGGGATGGAAGACAGATAGAGAAGGAAGCAAAGGTGAGTAGGAGCATGCAAGATGAAGACACTGACAAGTAAACAGTGTGTCGGACGGCAGGACGTTTTGGCTAGCAAGAGCATGCGACAGCATGACAAGTACGCTGCGACCATCTCGTAGCAGCTGCATCAGAAAGCTACATGACGAGCTCTCAAGCAGGTCCCAGGGGTTGCACAAGTGTGATGATGTCTGCTCCTGCCGCTCAGAGCAACGTGTGAGAACGGCGGAAAGAAATGATCCAGATGTTGAAAAGATTACGGTCATGAACTTACCGGAAGGTGCCAACTACACAGTGCGTAAATCTACGCAACAGAAGTTATCGAAACGATCTATGTATGGGGCTCTGACAAAAGCTACTCGAATAACAAAGTGCATGGCATGACGACGAAGACCTGAATGGCTACACAGGACTAGTCGGCCGGACCACATCCATCGCTGAAGAATTTTGGACCGCGCACAGCTCAACTCATGTTACCGTCCCTGCGAGTTTGCAGAATTGCGCTGGTGCTCGATTTTCAAGTCTCATATCGGGCTTGACGGCGAGTGCGCTGATGCAAGGCGCTAAGCCCATTGCACTTTGCAATCATACCCGCAACTGTTTCCGCCATCTCTGTCCGTCACCGAAACGTCCTGCTGAGACGACCGATCTGATTCCGCATCACTAAGGCGATGCCTCTTCAGCTCGCGGACGTCAAGGTATGACTTCTTCAGGCTGAACCGAAAGTCTGTGGTCGCTGAAAGTCTGCTCGCAAGAATCACACGGGTCATTCTAGCGATCAGGTTGTAGCTCAAGAAGCCTCTTGGCTTTCTTGCTCGTCCAGCTCTCTCATTGTATCATACAGATCATTCCATGCCTGCTTAGCATCCCAGCCAGGATCTTGTATGACGATGGACTTTGTAGTCTCCCGGCGCCAGGATTTGGATTGCTTCATTATATGTAAGTCGTCACTGCCGCCGTCGAAGCTCCATTCGCCTTGATGAGTGCACATCCTTGCTTGCTCTACTGCTAGATCGAGCCAACGCTGCCAGACGGCGTTGTCAGGCATTACCTTGATTGTCCGAACCCAACTTCCGCGCTTGGTGAGTAGTATAGCCTTCCAAAGAGCCTCCGTGTAATTGCGACCTTGGTTGCCGGAAGATACACGTTCTTCTTGCAAAAGTGCAGTAGTGTCCCAATTGAAGCGTCGCGGCATCGCTGCCGCAAGCCAATGTCCGGTATTGAGAAGCAGACACGCCGCAGCCCACGCTAGCTGAAGTTGAATGGTAGAGTTTGGGAGGAGGATCACGCTGACCATGAGAACGAATGTACCTATCAGTGATAATGGCATGAACTGACTCTTGATCGTGTAGTCGATGATGTCCGGTACGAGCAGTAATGCACGACCAGTCAAATTGCTACACTTGATTATGAGGAAACTGCTGTTTGGCCAAGCGATGACAAATGCTGCAGGCGTAGGTCTGAGTCGGCCATATACGGGCCCTGAGAACTTCAGTGTCCAATAGTTTGTGAGTCCAACCAATGAAGATAGCATGGAGAGTAAAACGGCCGCAAGGAGAGACATGCCGTCACCATAGACAACCGAGAGTACAACGAGCGATATGGAGAGGACACAGCCGAATAAGTTGAGGAGGATTACGGGTCCGTACCAGAGAGCACGCATGTCGCCGCCAACGCCTTTCCCTTGTCCAGCGTCTGACATACCGATTCGAAGACATCCCACCTCGAATGACCGCAATTGCGTATCCCTGTCATCCAGTCAATTGCTAGCACTGGCGACCGTAGATGTGCATACTTGCAAGAATGCCGCTGCCACATGGGTAATATACTCACGCTGTGAGCCCGGATGCGTACCGATCACCAAAGCTCGGATACTCTCCTGACGCTCCGGTCTTTCGGCATACAAAAGCGAGTGAGGTGCTGGCATAAGGCGTGGTAAACAGAACAGCCACGACAGCGAAGCTAATCGTGAAGTTTTTTGACAGCCTCTTCGCCCAGTACGGCCAGGAATCCCACGATGTCAAGCTGGAGATCTGCTAGTTGATTGACCGATCGCAACTGCCAATGAGCGCCAGGGAAGGAGATCCCTATGCTCGAATGATTGCTCATGTTCATCTCGATCGGGGAAGCAGTGACAAGTGTAGCCTTAACAATATGGGTAATGTGTACAGGTAGATTCGAGATCGATGTGCAAAATCGCTAGTGTAGGTTCTCACCATCCTGCTTGTAAAAATGTTCATACTGGTCGTACCGCTGGATAGTGTACCATGAGAGGTAACATATGATTGACTACACCGTATTGCAGTCTTGCAGGAGAAGATGAGGTGGAAATCGGTGTACTTCTGCCAAGAAGTGGCCCATGCACAGCTGCTGCTTATGAAATCTTGCATATTCCAGAGAGTTCTTCGATATAACAGTCGTGCATCCTCCCACGTCAGCTCCTCGGACGAATGGTCAATTTGGTTCTATACTGACCTTGATTGTGGTCGAGACGACATTCTCAAGGTATGTACGGACGCCTGCCATCCTTCCCTCCTTGTTATGATGATATACACAGCTGGCACCAGTCTGAGAAGATTTGTACTCTTCTACTGCTGAATAGCTCGAGATGTTCTAATAACTCTCCTCCCTGATTACACAACGAATCTTTCAATCTTCTCCGTGCCACAATACCGGTAGAGTGTCGGCTGACAAGATTGTTACAGTCTCTCGACCTTCTGCCTTTCCAAAGTGGACTGCCCTCTCGCAACCATCCAACATGGCGCTTCACAACCCGAACAACTGGCACTGGGTGAACAAGGACGTCCGACCATGGACTCAAGACTACCTAAACAAGGAGCTCGTCGGCTTAAAAGCTAGCAAAGACGATGGTACAAGCGCCGAGATCAGCAAAGTCATGAGCATGGACGGCGATGTGGATGTCTCGCAGCGGAAAGGCAAGGTCATCACCATCTTCGATGTGAAGCTGCAGCTTGAGTACATTGGCAAGGTGCCACTTAAGGGCGAGGAGAAGACTGAGGGCCGGGAAGACGACACAAAGGATGTGAGCGGCACAATCACAATCCCTGAAGTGGCACACGATACGGAGGAAGATGAGTATGTTGTATGTCTCCTAGTGCCCAGCACTTGTCTCTTACAATCGTCCGCTGACCACCTTATTCGCTGCAGTTCGAGATAGATGTCTACAGCTCCGACTCCAGCAAAGAGCCTGTGAAGGACCTCGTGCGCAGAGAGATCACACCACAGCTACGAAAACATCTGGCCAAGCTCGCTCCTACTTTGATCAAGGAGCATGGTAAAGATATTCAACACGCACCTGGCAGCAACCCATCATCTGGCTTCAGCACACCAAAGGTGGCGCAGAGCTCGTCTGTCGGCAAACAGGCTGAGAACTCGAAGCCGAGCAGTGCCTCTACGACTGGAGGGTCGAAGGTAAACGTTACATCTCTCTCCGACCAGCAGGAGTTCCGCACAACCGCCGAGCAGCTCTTCGAAACTTTCACCGACCCACAGCGCATCGCCGCCTTCACGCGAGCGCCACCGAAGGTTTTCGAGGGTGCAAAGGAAGGAGGCAAATTCGAGATCTTCGGCGGCAACGTGTCTGGCTCATTTGAGAAGCTGGAGAAGCCGACGTACATTGAGCAGAAGTGGCGGTTAGCACAGTGGCCGCAGGGACACTACAGCACGCTGAAGATCAAGTTCGAGCAGAATAACACTGATGCCGTGACGATCATGAGGGTGGACTGGGTTGGTGTGCCTATCGGGCAGGAGGAGCCAACGCAGAGGAATTGGTCTGAGTACTATGTACGCTCGATCAAACAGACCTTTGGGTTTGGCACGATCTTATGATCTTGACAAGCAATGCTGCTATACTGTAAGCCATAGCATGGACCACCAAATCTTTTCCCAGGCACTTGGCTGCGACATCGAGTTACAATGACAAGCTTGTGTAGCAATACCGTGAATCGTCGCTTCCGTGCGTGTGACTTTCGCGAGTCGCTCCTTCCCCTGACACGTGAATGCTGAGATTAGCGCGGTTTCTGCCGCCTGACGCGACTCCGTCCATATAAGTTGAACTTAAACACATCCTGGAACATCCATCTGACATTCCACTCAATTTATCCGTTGTCACACTTCCTCTCGACACCAGGTGATTGGTATAATCTCCCGGACGCCTAGCATGAGAGGTGGCTAACCAGCATCACAGCATCATGATCTCGACAGAGCTCCGCTTGACGTGGGTGCAAAGCGTTCGACCAGATCTGCTAGGCTCGCATCTTGAGGCCTACATCAAGCTTATTCCAACCTTCAACATGCTCAGGCTTTGTGCCCGCCACGGAAAGGGCAAAGCAGTCACTGTCAATCGCCTTCCCACCGAACTTGTCAGCCAGATCGAGGCCGAGCTTCTTGCGCAAGAACACTACGGAAACGACATCCCTGTATGGGGAAAATCTGCCTTCTGCTTCCGTGGCTTCTGCGACCCTATCGACCATTTGTACTCGGAGCAGGATCTCGTCCGCCTCTATGGTCACTACTTCTACGACGCAACGATCGACGAGACTCAAGCCTCCTCCGCAAAGCTGAACGAAGACAAGCGTGCGGACCTCAACCAAGTTACGATGGAGGATGACGGCCTTGACGACGAAATTCTGCCCGGCATCCAGTCATGGCGCGCTATCCACGAGGAGAGCAGATCACTCTGGCTGTCTCTGACTGGCGGGATCAGTGACTCAGACTCTGGATATCTCCAATCGTTGAATAAGATGTTCCGTCAGCTGTTCGGTCTCGATCTTTCGGTCTCGCATCAAACGTTCAAGGCCAAATGGCTTCACGAGGACTTCAAATCCGGTACTCAGGCATTCATCATGCTGCCAACAAGCGCCCAAACGTCGCAGTGCCTCCCGGAACGCCTGGCTGGAGAACAGATCACGGTGAAGCTTCCCACCGAGCACACGACCAGCTTCTGTGTCGCACCACCGCCGCAGTCGACCAAAAAGTCTATGGCTCGCTTCACGCGCTGTTTGAAGATTCTTCAACTCGAGCCGTTGCCGCTTTTGATGCGCCAGGATCTTGTCCACGGTCGCAAAATGAGAGATCAGAATCATGGCGCGGAAGATGACGATCAGTCAAGCGATGCTTCCAAGTCTCCATCGTCAAGTAAAGACCAGGAGGAGGATGAGGAGCTCGGTCCGGCCCTGAGGTTGATTATGGTGACCAGAGACGACTCACAGTATTGTTCAGAAGACTAAGGTTGAGGAAGGGCTTGAAACAATGGCCGTTGTTACTACAGTGGCTGTGTACGAGTAGCATCAATCGTAGCAGGCCACTTGCTCCTGAACAAGCTGCTGATGGCGTCCGCGTGCGTATCATAATCATGGTGCGAGAGAAGCAAATCCCATACCCAAATTTAATGTCGCAATCTGTGATTGCGCCTTCATGTTACACTTCTATCAAAGTACAAAGACCTCTCGATTGCCACGCTAAGTATTCCTCACTGCGATATCATAACAATATTCTGCATCACTGACACACCCTTCAAACCTTCCACCGCTGTCCGTCTCCCCACCAGCATGAAATCCGCAGTCAAAGGGTCGTTTTCTCTTCAGCCTCGACCAGCTTTGCAAGTGGCTCCACCACAATCCTATATAGCGTGCCAGTGCTGAGTCCACGAACCGAATTATGCTTGCTAATTCTGTGAAAGCGACCGCTGGCTCTTGCCATCAAGTTGCTGATATCGATGAGGTGGTCGGAGCAGCGGCCACTTCTCAGTCGATGACCGGTCCTCATATTCACTTTTCCTCGACGACAACCTGGACTTGAGCTTCCGCAAATATCTTAACGGCGGTGTCGTGAGCTCAAGGGGTGACTCCTCAGTAGATAGAACGGCCACAGCTTGGTCAGCTCCGAGCACAACATATGTCGTTTTGCGGCCAGTCGAGGAAGCACTTTCCTTTTCGAGGCTGGCGGCGACATCCTCCATGCTGGATCCTGGCTTCGCTGTGATGCTGCGAAGATACCTTAGGGGTGGAGGGAGGACGAGTGGTATGTCGCTGCTTGGACCTGTGGCCAGGGGGCGGTCCTGGCCGAGGACAATATAGGTCGTCATATTGGAGAGGGAGTTGATGTGGGAGCGGGATTAGTGACTGGGAAGTATTTTGATGCAGAGGAGAGGATTGCTTCCAAGTATGACTGCTTGTTCTTTGGCAATCATATCCTAGGGATCATACGTACGATATATGTACCATTGCAGACAGCGACTTGGGCAGGGCAATGCGGAGTCGCATTTCAAAGCAAGTGTTCCTTTGTCAGTAGACGCGAGCCATCGCCAAGATCTCCAGCGTATGAGGTGCTTGCACGAGAAGCCACCCAGGCCATCACTCTGCTATCTGGCAGGTACATCGATTCATATATTCAGCCACCCAGGCCATCACTTCACCAATCAGGCTTGTGCTAGTCTGAAAACGGACCAACGCTTACCTGAGCACTGCAGGCCTGATGCCGACTTCGGAGGCTGGGTCTAAGGCGAGGAAAGGAGACGTTCATCCACGACACGCCCGAAACTAACAGGCTTTGCTTACTACTGTAGAGACAAGGCAAAGCATCGACTGACTTCCTATTTCGATTGATTCTCTTAGCATCGGGTACAGCCGCTGGCTCTCAAGGCCGTGAGCCAATGAACGCTGGACATCCTGTATGATTCAAAGTGCGCAGTCAAATGTGCTCGCAACACTCCGTTCGTTCCCTCGCCATCTACATATCTTCTTACTTACATGCCAAGCCCAGGTCCATAAGGCTACGCACACTGTACGGTGATGCTCGGGTGGTGCCTTTCGCTGCCCGAACGGCGCGAACGGTCTCCTGCTCAAGCTGGAAATAAGCTCGAGGACCTGCTGCGGAGAATCCACAATCTGGACCAAGGGAAGTGCTTGACGTAGTGTGTAGCTCTCCTTATAATAGGAGCCAAAGGTAGAGATCGGTATGACGGCAACCAACACTTGATACAAAGTACGAAATGGATCGTTTTGAGCACAAGAGCATCAGTACTAAGCCGTACGACCTGACATATAGCTACTACTTATCGCCAGACTTCCACAAGCGAACATCAGTGCCGACTCTAGTGTTTTGCCATGGCTACCCTGACGATGCATACATGTGGGCTGGAGCGGTGAAACATCTGGTTGACCTACCATATCGAATCGTCCTAGTCGACATTCTTGGCTTCGGAGGCTCATCAAAACCCAAGGAAGCTTCAAAGTACCGCTACAAGCAACAAGCCGACTCTATTGCTCAGATCCTCGATAACGAAGGTGTGAAGGAGGGTGTCATCCCAATTGGTCACGACTGGGGCTCTGCGACTGTCCAGCGCCTCTACTTGTACCACCGTGATCGCTGCATAGGTCTTGGACTGATCTCACTTGCCTACCAAATACCGTCTGACCAGCCATTCGATCTTGTTACGGCCAACAAGGAGACTGCTAAACGTTTCGGCTACCCACAATGGGAGTACTGGAATTTCTTCAATGCGAAAGACGCAACCGATCTCATGGACAAGCACATTCAGCGATTCCTCGAAGTCAACAATGGCAACTTTCCTTCGCCTAAACCTGAGGAAAACGGTCGAGATATCTGGATGCGAGAGATGTTCTGCGTGCCCAATGCTATGAGGGAGTATGTCACCGGAACGGGAAAGTACGAAGGATTCACAGTCGACCTAAAACCATATGCTAAGACGCCAGAGTTCCAAAAGTCGTTCAAAGACCGACTGAGTCGAGACGGCTTCGAGGGCCCGGTCAACTACTATCACTCGCTGACAGATAACCACAATCTGGAGGATGAGAAACAGCATCTTTCTACCAGGGAGGCGAAGACGATTAGCGTGCCGGTGTTGTATATTGGTCAAACTGGCGACTGGGTGTGCCGAACCGATTTGATGGGCGACGCGAAAGAAGCTGGACTTGTGTCGGATGTGGAGGAGAAGGTCATCCAAGCTGGTCACTGGTGTCTTTACGAGAAGCCGGAGGAGATCGCGGGCCTAATCAAGGACTGGCTGCAACGCCGCTTTCCTGTCAAGTCATGAGCTATATAGATCAGGCATGTGAACTCTTGATCATGTCAAAGTCCGTTCTTTGACCCGAACGTTGACATTTCGCTGATGCTGAAACCACCCGTGCCATACATTCCACTCCGTCTCCGGCGTCTTAAACTCGAAATGATACTCCCGCAGTAATGTAGGAAGAAGCTTATACATCTCCACCATCGTGATGTGTCTGCCAACACAGATCCGCGGGCCATAGCCGAAGGAAATGACATGGCGCGCCATAACAGCTGCACGCTTTCCATCCAGCCATCTGTCCGGATTGAAGACATCGGCGTCCTCTCCGAATATCGTCTTGTCCATATGGATGGCATTGGCGTTGACAATGACGGTTGTACCTCCTGGGATCCAGCGGCCTGGAATTGAGGCGCCGCCTTTTGCTACCAGTCGTGGAAGTCCCGTACCTAGTGAATGGTGTATACGAAGGCCTTCTTTGACGACAGCATTGAGGTAGGGCAGCTTGATCGCCACGTTGTACTGTACGGGTACCGAAAGTGTAGCATTTTCGCAAGCGGCATCGATCTCTGTTCGGAGTCTTGCAAGCACGGCAGGGTTCTTGTGAACGTGGTAGAAGATCGACGTCAAGGCTATAGCAGTAGTATCTGCCCATGGGTATTAGAGTTTATAAGTCAATAGTGCATCACTGACACTCACCTGCACCCGCCCAGATAACAGCATAGACCTCAGTCGTGACATCATGAACACTCCAGCCCAGCTCCATCCCACGCTTCTCAGCGACATCTATGAGCTTGTTGAGCATATCTGGCTGCTCAGCTACAGCTGGATCACGGTTTCTCTGATCGAGACGTTTTTGAGCGACAGCCTTTGAATCAGCCACAAGCTTGCTAGTACCACTGACCCCTTCACGAGCTGATTTGCCACCAAATATAATCTCGCCCAGCATCCAAACTGTCCGTAGACCGTAAGGAAGGTACGTGTTCGATGCTCCGATGTTGGGTATCGTGGTCAGCGTGTTACACCATCCATTGCAGTCAACGCCCTTCTCTACCATGCCAAACCCGCCTTCTTGACCAAAGAATATCTCACCAAGAACGTCAAAGGCGTAGCGCCGAAGCTAAATACTCATATCAAACACTTCTCCCGCTTCGGCAAACATGCTCATACGATTCTTGAACAGCTGTACGATTCGATCGACACAGGGCTCGTAGCTCAGGACAGCTGCCTGGGTGTACGACGGTGCCTGGATCTTACGTCTCTCCGCATGCTTCGTTTCCACGCGCTTGGGGAAGGAGTCGTTGCGAGCACCAGGGATGTTGGCTCGAAAGCCTTCATAGAACGGTGCCTTGACGAACACCTGCGCGCTCTTACGCTTTGGGCCGTATATGGTCTCGATAGCCGAAGGTTCACGGATCGCTAGTGTGTCGGGAGCTATGCGGACGATGGGACCATACTTTTTGTGGAGTGGCGCCTGACAGTTCTCTGCGATGCCATATCGTACCGTGCGGAAGTACCAGAGTGTCGTGATGCGATGGACGCCCAGAAGGGTCCCGGATACTTTCTCAGTGGGTGGAACCGAGAGTTGTATGCTGCCAAGCACACCACATAGACGATCCAGGCGGTTATGAGGGAAATAAGGCCAATAGTGGCCTGGTCACGAGATGGTATGAGCATGCCTTCCCAGCAGTGTGGGTGGGATCGTGGGTAGTGGTTGTGCTAGAACTCGAGAGAGTCGAGAGATATGCTTAAGACCTTGACAGTCATGGGCTGTGGTTATCGTGTCATTGAGGTACTTGCAGCAGCTATGCTTACTCTCAATAGGCGAAGCGGCGCTATCCAGTGATCTGCCTTGGCATAGGCCTCGACCCGATCTCGTCGCTGTCGACATCGTCCGAACCATCTCGTATGCAGCCTGACGTGCAGTAGCGGACTGTGATCACACCTATCGTGTTGTGGTGCAATGTGATCTTTCGAAAGAGAACGATCGTGCACGAGAGAAGTCCAACCGCATCTGTGGTGTGAGACGATCCTGACAAAAGTCGTGGGCGCGATCGCCACTAGGGTTAGGGTTTGGGTAAGAGAAGTGAATGGCCATAGCGACGACATCACCGCCCTCGAGAACTTGATATGGCACCAGCTCGACGGTTATATCTCATGGCCTCTTTTGAAAATCGATATAAGAGATCTTTTGCCATGGACCTCGTCGCTGTTACCAGTGCAAAGCAGACGACAAGCATTAGTAGAAAGCCTAAAAGTGGACTTAAGGAGTAGACGACAGCCATCACTTCGTGACAAGGGATGTGAGAGGATCTCCAACACACAAAGTGATCTATACTACGTGAGCTGATTATGCATCACTGCGTCCGCGCCCACCCAGATACGCAGACGAGGACACCCAAGCAACACGGTCAATGGCTCCCGGCCGTTCCCTGCACCAGAAACTTTTACCAGCGAAGGTTTGAGCGCAGTGCGGCTTTGTGGAAATACGAATGAGACGTGGAAGAACAGTAGAGACGAGACAAGGCCAGCCAAATAGCATGGTAAGAAGCCGTAGGGCTTGGATAAGTGCCTCCATGACCCCAGTAAACGGCCGAAGGCGTGACATGCTGCCATGCCTTGAATACTGTCCCTCGTATCCCACCAGGACCAGCTTCGTACCAGCCAGACAATATGTACATCCAGCCATCCGAACCATTTATCGTACCATGCCCCCTTCAATGTACCGAGCACGACTTGCCTTCTCTCTCTTCGCAATCTCTCTGGCGTAATCTTCCGTGCCAGTAGTCTCATGGAATTGCCTTGAAGCATGACGTTCCTACAGACCCAAGCAAGTCTCGTCAGTATCGTCCATCCAGTCACATTTCCAAGGTTCGTGATCAAGCCACCGCAAGCGAAGCTTCATTAGCAATTAATTGTCTCCGCGCATAGGCAAGCTGTGTGCAAAGGCGAAATGTAAGCAAACGCGCCAAAGATCATGGCTGACAGATAAATGAAGGAACATGAGTAAGCAAGCAAGCCGAGCCGAGCAAGACATGCTTTGTAGCAACAGGCATGTTGAAAGCCTGCTAAACTGGCGAGCGCACGCGGCTGAAGAGCTACTCAGCAGCCGAGCAGGTCACGCACACTGTGGCCGGCAGCTCCCACGTTCAAAGTGTGGGAAGCAAAACATACCTCATCCAACGTCCTCGCCAAATTCGCATTCCTCGCCACAACCGCCTCAATCTCCCTCCCTACATTACCCTTCAACCTGACCTCACACGGCCGTGGCAACCACCGCAGGATGTCAAAGCCATTGGCGTAGACCGCAGTATTGCCAGTCGTTCCACTGCCGTCCGCTCCAGGCAAGGTGAAAGGCATATGGATGGTCAGACATTTCAGCCCCCAACAATACCTCAGACTTAGCCGAACCGTTTCCTGGAACCGTTCGAGGATCTCATTATAGCAGGGTATTTCGAGGGAGATACGTTTGATCTGCCGACGAGAGCGCTGATGTAGGTGCGAGAGGGAGGCAACGGAGGTGCTGAGGTCGAGCGTGAAGTGATTCTCGCTGTACAGGATACTGCGGGCTTCCTGGTAGATCTGTTTGTTCGTGCGTAGGAGGGCTACGATAAGAGGATCGGAGTCCTGAGGTCTTGGGATCCTAGGGATGTCAGTCTTGGGAGGTTCCGGATGCGCGGACGAACGCGACGACCGTAGCGAGCCGAAGGTGGGCCCAAAGACCACGCTGTTTTGGCTTGTTGTGGAGGAGGAAGAACCAGAGGTGCGTGTGCTCAGGCGAGCAGAGCGGGAGCGACGGTTTGCCCAGTTGCGAGGCGCATCGGCGGCATTGACTCTTTGCACATGGCATTGGACATGATCATCACGCTCATCCTGCGCGAAGCTATGCCACGGACGTGGTTGTGGCCCAGATGGAACCTCACTGACGTCCACTTCAGCATCATTCAGGCCCAGCAGGCTCCCATCCTCCTTGGCCTCGGGCTCCATCTCCGGTGGTTCCTTCTTCGAAAGCAGGATATTGAACGGACGCGTCAGACACGCGCGATAGATCTCGTTCCGGATCTCAGGCGGCATATTGAAGAGTGGAAAGACCTGATCTTTCTTGACTTCGGCCGTCTTGCTGTCCTCCTCTTCATCCACAACTTCGCGCCTAGTAGACACAAACACCCAGCCTTCTGTTTCCGTCCCCTGACCTACGCAATCCTCTTTTGTCCCCTTCAGCGGTGGCGACACCTGATCTACCATATCCTGCAAAGTCGTTCCCTCCCTACTACTGCTCATCTCCGCCAGCCTACTCTGCTGCCTCGTGCTCATCCTCCGGCCATTTGCACTTCCATTGCCAGAATTGCCACGCTTCGCGACCCGCCCGACAACAGGGCTCTTAGCCATGTCGCCGTCAGATTCGTAAGCGAAGTGGTATATCTATTTCCGTCCCAAAGTTGATATGTTGCCTATGTCTCCACGTTGTTTGGTCAAGGTATGCGGGGTTCTAGGTTTCGTTTGTTCCAAGGTGACGTGCGAAAAGTGAGCAGGTGTGATAAGGGAAGGAGTGATCGATCAAGAGTCCAGGCCTTACATATAACCAACGTATTCGGTGCTGTGACCTTTCAATTAAATTAGCGCAGCAAAGTCTTTGAAGCTGAGTTTGGTGGTACAAGTGATAGGTCGATGGGTGTGGCGCTCTTGCCTCGCGCTAGTGATGTGGCGTTAGTCGTGTATCTGCGGTGAACCACAGGCAACAAGCACGAAGAAACAGGAGGTAAGCAGCGATGACACGTTGATGAGAACACCTGCACATGAACGATGGCTGGTATGATATGGCCAGTTGGCATTCGATGCAGTACATATTAAGCTTTCTTATTCGCACAATCTCGCCCATGCTACTACTCTCACAAGCACGGTCAGGCAGCCATGCTTGGGAAGACACCATATGCGCCATAGCAAGCAAAACACTGCTGCTGTCCACAAGCATGTGCGCCCTTTCCCACCTCCTTGCGGCCCAATTACAATCTACGCGCAATGCGTGGGCATTTCACGCGGTAGCCGACCCCGGGGCCAGTTATGGTACATCCATTGTTCGTAGTCGTCATGAAATCAAGAACAGTCCCTGCCATTCTTTCCGATCCGTCTCCTCCGCCGTCGGACCCAACCTCATGCGTGAGAATTCCGATGATGTTATTGAGTCGCCGGTAATTTTGAGTAGGAATGCCGATGCGAAAAACATATGAAACGTGATTAGGGTGTCGTTGTAAAGACTGTTGTAAGCAAGCCCGAACGAAGCGCAGAGGATAACGCCGATGGGACGCCGCTACCGACATCGCCATGCCGGTCGTAAGGAAACTGGGGTATCTTAAGTCATGCAAGCCAAGAGGACTCCAGCAGATTATCAAGGAAAAGGCTACGATGCACTTTCGTCTGCAGCATCGCCCGTCGATCCAGCTTCAGCGTCTTCGAACTCGCGCTCGTTTACAGCTGGTTGATCGTTCGAGCCGAGAGTGTGGGTCGTGTCGCCAGCACCGCCATTCTACTGCTGATGCTGCGCCCACATCTCTGGTGCTCGCATTTGCTGGTAGTCCATTGGGCCAGTGCTGTGCGGCCTTTGCACAGGCTGCTGGTAATACATGGCAGCGTTGGCTTGGCCATACTGGCTATTCGGATCCGGGTAGGAATAGTCGTTATGTTGGTTGCTGGTCATGCCGTTGTGAGGAGATTGCCAACCCATATTATGGCCCATGTGCGGGCTGTTGTTGTCAGAGCCATTCTGGTGACCATTCGTCGTGGGTGGCTCAAGGATTTGTGGTGGATTGTAGCCAGATGATGGAATCGAGGTCAAGGATGGTCGCGAAGCCCCAGTATTGGGAGGCATTGGGTATTGAGCTGGCGATTGAGGGCGAGGAGAGCCTTGCATCTCGTTGCGTAGATGCTGCTGGAACTGAGCAGCCACGGGGATGCCAGTAGCCAGACCTTGCCCATTCATCGCCTGGAGATAGAGGTCCGACGACTGCCTGGACATAGGCGGGATGCCACCCATGTTGACGGAAGGTGCAACGGATGAAGGTCGATCTGGATGCTGAGGCAGAGGAGATTTGCCGTCGGAATAGTCGCCTTCTTCGTCCGAGCCTCGCGAGCGTCCAGAAGCCATGGATACTCGGGAGGCCAGTGCTGCAGCAGTCGCGGCTTCTGATTCTTCAATCGTTCCAGTGTGGTGATTCTGATGGCGTGTGAGTGTTGTTCGTCGGGTGAAGGTCTTCTGGCAATCTGCATATGGGCACTTGTAGGGGCGCTTGCCAGAGTGGATTCGTCGATGGCGAGCTAGGGAGCTAGAGTCGCTGAATGGCTAGGAGAATTGTCAGTGGTCACAGTGTGGGCAACGCCGAGTTTCAAAGCCTACCTTGCCACATCGCTCGCACATGTGAGGCTTCTCGCCAGTGTGCACACGCGTGTGCACGGTCAAAGCAGAACGTTGGATGAACTGCTTGCCGCAGCCCGGGTGTTCACAAACGTGAGGTCGCACTCCACTGTGGATACGTTCTGCAATTCAGTCAGCCCCATGCTTGACAACAAGCTAGAGTTTCGTTCTTACCATGACGTGCCAAATCACTCCGCCTCGCAAAGCCTTTCGCGCATGTCGAGCATGCAAAAGCCTTCGGCAGACCACTGCCACTAGGTCTGCTGCCGTCTCCGTTTGACTGATCCTGCTGAGTAGGTGTCTGAACTGCTCCCATCTGTGCTTGCTGTTGATATGACTGGTCTACGCCTGCATTTGGGTGATATGAGTGCTGGATCATTGGCATGTTGTTCTGCTGTTGCATAGAAGGCGACGGATATCGCGGGATGCCAGTCAATTGATTCGCCAGATACGACATGTTGTTCTGCTGAGGGGTTTGTGATGAATATCTCGAGGACTGCTCGGAATTGTGTGGAGAGATGGCGCGCTCGGATCCGTTCTCCGACTTTATCCTACTATTGCCGTTCGGGACGTAGAGATTTTGCGAACCGTAATGTCCTGTCGGCATATCGTGGTGCATATTCATCGGTATTGACGCTTCGTATTGCATGTTGCGATGGCCTAAGGCTGAAGCTGACCTGTTAGTATTGAGTAAATTTGTGAGATCCATTTCGTCAACGAAGCTATCTCTTCTCTTGCGCTGCGATGCGAATAGCAAGTTGCCGAAGGACGGTAGAGCCATACAATGCACCGATATCAAGTGGTTCTACACGCGACGCTCGAAGTTGATGCCGAGCGAGGAAGTGACGGTGACTCGACGCGATCACGCCACGTGACTCGCAGCGGCAACGGTATGTGAATGGGTGAAGTCTCTTACCACACGTCGCTTGGCCAGCAATGGGCGATATGTGTTTTGATGGAGGTGGTGGGGCCCGGTCGCGGGTGGTGGTCTGTTCGGAGGCGATTGCGCGGGAGAACGTGCGTCTTGATGGAGGTCACAGCTCCAAATGCTGTAGAGACAAGCTCTGTACACACGCAACACGTCAGTATGGATGGTTCGGAATGAGTGGTATGAGCGTTGGGGTCCGTGAGCGGATGGAAGAGATGGTGCTGCGAGTGCCCGCTGATGGCTGTGCGCGTCTTCGGGTGGTGAAAAGGAGGTGAGATGGCTTTGAGGGAGGGTTTTGCGCGCGACGTGACGGCCGCGCGGAGGGTAAGCAGACGTACCTTGGTCGTGTTCGCACCTTCGAAGAGCTTCCCCGCGTGAGAAACGACAATAACAACAGGCGCGGCTTGGAAGGACAAAAAGATGTTTTCTCAAGTCTGATGTGAATGCGCGTTGCAGAGATCGCACGGACGCTGGACGCCAGGGGAGAAGCGTCTCAAGTTCGAAGGTGCTTCTGATCGTCGGCCTTGGCTTCGCCGACCCGGGCGTTAGCGGCTGCCTAAAATATCACAGCGGACCTCCTGATTTGACCGCCCTTCAACGCTCTGTTTCTTCAGCTGACGAAACGCGTGTAGTAAGCTGTATTCACTTGCACCACGTTCGATGAATGTTTCTGGCCCACTATCTCAAGTGCACGCCAAACAATGAAGCGACTACTACAATGTTCTGTTCCGCCGTATCGAGGCGAGTATTGGACGAGATCGAGCAGGGGAAGTCTGGGTCGATGGCGTGACCAGAATTCCGTCTCGAATTGATCTGGTGATTCTCCGACTGACGGTAACTTCGTGGGCTGTACCAGTGGAACAGAGGAGGGCGCTCGATGTCGAAGCAGTTTATCAGATGAGACGGTCGAGTCGATTGCAAAGTGACGGTGCTGGTCGGATAATTGATGTCGTGGTTGATCCGATGGATATGCTGCCTAGGGTATGGTGATGCGTGGTCGTGATATCGTGCATGTAGCTTTGACAATGCTGATGTCGCTGCTGATACTGATGCTCGTTTGCCTTCGTCGTGTCTTGTAAGGAGCGTGCTCTGTATTACGTCTATACAGTAGATCCAACAACAATAGTATGGAAGGGAATACAAGATCAATGCGAAGATCCAAACCATAAAGCACAGTTCGACGATCTGCCTATAGTATATAACGCCTGCACCGCCCATAACGTCAGGTCCAAACTCGGCGCAAGCCTCGAGATTACCTCCGTCTCGCAACACCTCCAGCAAGGCCGCACAAGCCCTGCCGATGGGATACGGTGGTGGGATCACCCTGGCTAACGTGGGAGATGTCGCACGCGCCATTACCCAGTGCCGGATCTGCTACTCGTCCACGCCCCGTGGCGGTGATGGTGCATGTCAGACAGTGCTGGGGGACGTCATGCTGTCCGTTGGGCTGAACCGGGCAAGAGTGAAAGATGGAAGACGCACGGGTTGATTGGTGCCAGCGCTACTGTCAGGACCAACGCCTGTTATTGTCCCCTGCATATCTTATTCTCCGTAGCGCTGTTAAGTAAGATATCCCTGCCTCATATGCGGTCTGCGTACGCGCTGCCAAAATTACGATACGTAGCTGGCCGGTATAGTAGCAGTCTTCGCAGAGGAGCATTTCACATTCAACAGAGCAAGGGAGTTCGTCGCCAAGTGGCCTGCTGTGTGTAGTATTGGTCAGATCCGAGGCCATGGCACAGTTCTACTTCTACAGCAGAATCGGCTACAAGAACGCCCGTCGTCAATTGTCAAGCACATGTGAAGTCGACACGAAATCGCATGCACTGCCTCACGCAACGATCGCTTAGAGACTCTGATACCATGCATCCGCCAACGCTGTGCCATAGAAGAGCGGGAGAAGGCTCATTTCGTTCCAAAGCGCACGGTGGTGAAGCACAGACACAAGCAATATCCCTGCATTTCTCCAAGCGCACTTCAGGTCTCACCCTCTCGTCACTCTTTTTGATAGCCTCATGATGCCACTCCAGGCACGATGTGGGCTGCGGGTGGCAGATACGAAACCGTGGGTAATATGAGATACGTATCAAGGATTCTCGCCACTTTGCGATTACTCGAGATGGATGCTGGCGCGATTGAGACATGACTTGGTATACGACAAGGTAGATAGGTGATTGATCATGGCTGCGCTATTGCCAAGGATAACGCGCCATCACGGGACATGCCACCGGCATCTCGCTGCCTGCCGCTCCTTCTGGCAGTTCTATATTGCTCGCTTCCTGAGTTGGATCCTATAGCTCGAGCACAGGAGAAATGGTTGGCTCCTTTCGCACTCGCCCGACAGATTGTCAATTCGCATTGGCTTCAAATACAATCTAGATATTAGCAGACTTCCTACCCAGCTCTCGCACATCGCTCCGATGTGCATCTCTTACATACGAAACTTTAATGGCTGATCCAAGCTTCGTATGTCGCTACGCCGTCAGATCGGAGGCAACAGCCTTCCAACGTGAGCTACCCTTCATCTCGGGGTCTCGTGAAGAGTGCTCGAGCTGGTAGCACGAGCTGCGACCGTCATCGCGCTATGAGCAAGTCGCACAGATGCCTCTCTCGTAGGGCTACCGCACAGACGACACTTTGCTACAAAGCGTCGATGTAAACCATAACATGAACAGACAACTTCCGTTTGGCCGCATGATATGACGACCGGACTGGATAAGCCTGGCATAGGCAGATTCACTCGATGTCCAGATGCAGGTGAAGGTGAGAAGCAATCTCAATTGAGTATGAGTCAAAGCTATGAAAAGAACAGCATGGTTCCCATACAAGCATAATGCTACCACTCGAGTCAGTGGGCTCTCGATGATTCTATGAACCTTCTACGTTGCTTCTACGTTGCGAGCTTATCACACCTACCGCCACATCCGGACCCGGCTACTGGGCAGGAAGAGTCATATAGCCATGCTTCGTCCGTGCCGTACGTGATGAGCGTTTTTGCACAAAAGCTATTTCCATTATCGCAGGTACGCTTTGTCGAGACATCGACGGAGAGGAAGACCGGGTGAGCTGCAAGCAGGCCTATTTCCTTGGTTGCGTGACGACCCTTCCGTGCCGGCTGAAGCAAGATATGCGTAGATGCGAGTTCGAGTCCCTGGAACTGTTCACGACGAACGAGCAGTGGTAGAGCAGGTGTCGTTGCTGCTGTTCACACGCTTCGGCCACCTGCTCGATTCTTGATGCTCATACAACAAGGGGCCATGACCCATGCGTCCGAGGGCTTCTTTTGCTGATCCGAGATTGCATGGCGCCATGGAATACCCAGCTGAAGCATCGGAGTCACTTTTGCATCTCGTGCCGTGATCGTGATACTGCAATTTCGGTAGTCGGTCGTGTTGTTGGTGCTCCGTGCATTATAGTACTTCTTCGCGTCTTCTAGCGCAGCCATGTCGAAACACGCTTAGTACGCCACAAGTCACGCGTATGATGCCGTCCATGCTGATGTCAGGCTTGCAACGCATCATCGCTGGCATGAGTGTGTCTGTGTCGACCTGTTCTACTCACGTATGAACAGCAGAAGCAGACGCGGCGATGCCGAGAGCGCTACGCCGGTGAACGGCACCTGCGTTACTCCTCACAGCGCCCACCACGAAGCTCGATGGCTTAGGGCGGTCATGACCGCTCGGTCGAGAAAGCACCTCAGTCCGGCATGTCATGAACGCTTCCGCCGCCAATACGAAGCACATTCGAGCCTCCAATGTATTGCTGTGCAGCTTTTATCTGCTGCGCATAGGTGGCCATGGTTCTGGCGCGGGTCTGGAAGCTCTCGTTCTCAAAGTCAATCAGCTGCTTCTTACGCTCGTACTGTCGATTGGACGTTTGCTCTCCATCGTACTCGATCTGCCTGTCAAGCCCCGCGCTGTGCTCTTTCTCAGCTCGTCTAATCTGAACCAGACTCGTTGCGTGCGCCAACCCTGCTCTGTTCTGATTGTCGAGCCCGGCTTGTGAGACCTTGACCATACTTTTCGCGTGCTCGAGTGTCTTTTGGCGGGACGAATCTTCAATTGACTGTTGCTGAGCTGAGCGCTCATGGTCCTGATTGCTAATCAGTCTGTGTCGATCCTGCAGCCCCCTGAGATCGGAATTGCGAGCTTCTTCCTCAATGATCCGGCGCAATGTGCTCTCACGTCTCAGGGACGCGAATCGCTCGGTCTCCATATCCTTCTGACGTCGTCTGTCTTCATCCTCGATGGTCCTGCGGAAGCGTAGCTTCTTTACGTATAGAAGCATGACGTTGGGTCTCGACTTGCTGCTCCCGTTACATCTCCTCGATATGGTCGGGCATTCCTATAGCGTATTGTGGCTGCTCACCGCTGACCCGGTAGTAGACATTGTGACTGTCTTTATTCTTGAGAAGTGTTGTCAAACGATCGCGATATTGGTTGCCACGTAGAGGCCCGTATCTAAGATACATGGTGGGCGAGAAGCACAGTCCATCATCGCTCGTGTAGATGTTGTGCTTGAAATTTAGTTGAGTGGCGATGGTCGTGGGACACGATGCTGTTTGAGAGGCGAAGTATAAATAACGCCGTAGAAGGCGTAGATTGCATGCCCGACTGAGGTCCCCTCGGTCTTGGCTGCATGTTCAGGGTCCGAAGCTTGCTCGAGATCAACACATCAGGTTGTCCGATCTCTCGGTCTACCAGTCATCAGCAGTGATCTGTATCCTATCGTTGCAGCACGGAATGCGGATGAGGTAGAAGGCAGCGGAGCTTGCCAGGGGATAGCAGCCGGGTACGCAAACCGCTGTCTACTTAGAGGTGGGAGATACTGTCGTCAATAATGCACAAATACAAATAGGCGCTGAGACCGTCGTGACCATCTTCAGTGATAGCCAATCCGCGATCCAGACGATCGCAGAACCGCAGCCAAATCCAGAGCGGCACATGCCCCTTTCGAGGTCGACCAGGACGTGCATCATCGTTTCTGTGGGTATGAACGTGTTGGTGGTCAGTGCGTGGAGGAAAGAGTAGCATATCAGCACATCTTGGACCTGATCAAATGGCGGTTTGAAGAATCCAGCGTGGCACTTGGTTTCACATTATGTTGGATCCTAACGGTGTCCTCCGACGAGCTGCTTGTGCTGCTTAAGACTACCGCCCACACTTGACCGCGACTGCAAGTAGGCGATGCTATATCAGCTAGATCGACTTGCCAGCCTAGTGTCCACTGCCGAAGGGCGACCCGGAATCATCGCCCTGAATCAAGTCGCCGACGTCCATCTTCAATGTATAATCATCGGCTGTGTCTACGAAGTGATCAGGAGAGGTACGAAAAGTAACGGTAGGGCTGGAGTCTTCCATCCTACGCTCCCCTGGATTCTATACTCCCTACTGCTTATTCTCCCGATGCTATTTGAGTGCTGCATGTCCACTGCACCCTTTGTAAGGGATATAAAATCCACTGGTCAACGCCGTAGCCACCACAGACCCCTCAAAGAGTCGCCTTCGGTTGCGGTTTAGTGGAAAGGTTTGCCATCTTTGCAGCGCCCATATGTTCTTTCCACTATCCCCTTACTCGACACTAATCTGAGTATAAGATATCATAATCTCAAAAAGGCAGGCCTGACTGAGCTACGAAGAAAGGCAGATGTCCGAAAGTTTCTAGCGGAGCTGCTAAGCCAGTTTACTGGGCGATGTCAGCGGCGCTGCTTACCATCGAGAGAATCAGGACTGGTGAAGCACCAACGTCTGAGCTGCTAGCAGTGCGGAGAACTCCAAATTCGTTGTTGATGGAGTGCAGGTCGAAGTAAAATGACGACGAGAGATGTTGCAATGTTTGAAAGTGACCACACCAAACGACGCAAGGTCGAAAGGGCAGGATCCGCCATCACAAGAACCATAGCCTCTTGCTCGCAGAAAATGGTGCGCACTTTCCAGCCAAGCCAAGCTGCTGTAAACTACAGCCCACGAGATTGGTAACTTAAAGCTGGTCAGCATCGAAGATAATCTGATCATGCGGAGCGCACAAAACAACAAAGTCATTCTTCGCACAGCAAAATAAGTCGTCCCAACGAGCCACATTTTCGCCTTCTTGCATTCTAGCACTTTCGCCAAATATCCTCGAGCAGATATCAACAGAAGTCTTCCTCGAGTCATAACACACATTCGCATTCGCGAAGGACACACAACGATGTCTTCGACCAATGGCGACAACAGTCCCTTGACCGACCGCTCCAAGCACTATTCTGAGGATTTATCCCGCCACGGCCCAGTGGAGCGTCTTCCGAGCGAGCCTCGACACCCGCATCCAGAACTTCGCAACCAGCAGACCCAGCTCTCCGAGAAAGACGATAACAACGTTGCCGTCCGCCGCATCATCTCCAAGGAGATTGAAGTCGAGAAACTCGAGCTCGTATCTGACGGGAGCGGACGCCGCATCTTGACCCAAGAGGGCGCCTATGGCCACCTCGCTTTCGCTTTCCCAGAGTGGAGGAAATGGCTCATCCTGACCAGCATCTTCATCGTCCAGATCAGCATGAACTTCAACGCCGCCATCTATGCCAACTCCATCCCCGGTATGCAAAAGACTTTTGGTATCAAAGCTTCTACAGCTCGTCTCGGCCAATTCATCTTTCTAGTCGCTTATGCCTTTGGCTGTGAGCTGTGGGCTCCCTGGTCTGAAGAGCTGGGGCGCAAGTGGGTTCTGCAGGGCTCGTTGTTCTTGGTCAATATCTGGCAGATTCCTTGCGCGCTGGCTTCGAGCTTCTGGATGGTCTTTGGGTTCCGGTTCCTTGGTGGCTTGTCTAGTGCGGGTGGCAGTGTTACTCTCGGTATGGTTGCCGACATGTGGGAGCCTGCTGATCAACAATACGCCGTCGCTTTCGTCGTTTTCTCCTCTGTCGCTGGTAGTGTTGTCGCTCCTATCGTTGGTGGCTTCATTACACAGTATCTTGCTTGGCAGTGGGTCTTCTGGATCAGTCTGATCTTCGGCGCTTTCGCTCAGGCCATCCACTTCTTCACTCCCGAGACTCGTTCTTCGATTTTGTTGCGCAAGCAAGCCAAGCGGATGCGCAAGGAAGGCCACGATATCGTTACTGATGAGGAGCTTGAAGGCACGTTCTTCCAGCGCCTCGACTTCAAGGAATGCTTCGTGCTCATGTGGCGACCATACAAGTTCCTCCTCACCGAACCCATCGTCGGCTTCCTCTCGCTTCTCTCCGGCTTCAGTGATGCGCTCATCTTCACTGGCCTCGACAGCTTCGCCCTGGTTCTCAAGAAGTGGAATTTCAATCATGTCACCACTGGCTTAGCCTTCATCCCTCTCATGATCGGATATGTCATCGCTTACGCTCTGTATATGTGGGAGTACAAGAAGCAACGCACAGCTATGACGATGGAGAATGGCATTCGCACCACCGCTCTTATGGCACCAGAGCGTCGTCTCAAGCTCCTGCTATGGCTTGTTATGCTCGAGCCCTTGGGTCTTCTCGGCTTCGCTGCTACCTCGCTCGGTCCACCAGCCGTCCACTGGATCGCACCTCTGATCTTCACCGCTCTGATCGGCATCGCCAACTTCGCCATCTACATGGCGACGATCGACTACATGGTCGCAGCGTACGGACCATTCTCCGCCTCAGCTACAGGTGGTAATGGTTTCTGTCGTGACTTCCTGGCTGGCATCGCCGCTCTGTACGCCACTCCCTTCTACAACAACATCATGACCGGCACGAAATGGCAGCTTCCAGTTCCGTCATTCATCCTCGCTGGTATCGCACTCATTGGCACCATTCCAGTGTATGTCTTCTACATATATGGCAAGCCGATCCGTGAGAAGTCCGAGTATGCTAGTGAGCTTGCGAATGAGCGTGCGGCTACTCAGCCGGCTCGAGAAGAGGCTCAATCGCGTAAACACTCTCCTTCCAATTCACCAGTCCAGAGTAGGCGGCGGTCACCTACACAGTCTAGGGCCGGATCGCCGATAAGACGGGCCTGGAAGAAGTAAGATGGTGGTCCAGGATGAGAAGTAATTGATATTAATGATGTCGTAAGTACAAGCCTGCAGCACGCATTGCTGGCTAGACTGACATAACAGCAGATGACGATCACCGAGAACGCAGGAATGAGTTGATTGATGATATCGTCACCCCCAAGCGCCAAGCGTAACACGAGCTGGATGTTGATATTGGCAACAGACGGGTCGGTGCTGCTGGAAGGTGGATGGTAGAGAGAGAAGCAGCTGGAGATCGAGCCGCAATTGGAATCCAATCGTGCATTGGTGTATCGCACTAGCCGTGATCGTGCAAAGCACACCAAGAAGATAGCTTTGGATATTGTCGTAATTGTCACCGGTCGTGCGAAGTCTTATTGTGGACATGTCAGAATTCCTCATCAATTCAGTAGACCCTCTTCATGTCGGGAACGGCATTGCAGCAGCGTTGTTCACACCTCCCCCTCTCATCCCAATCACAAAGTAACATAACCACGCCCCTTCGACCTTCCTCCACCTCAGCTCATTCATAGCCATGAGCTTCCCCTCTGTGATCCCCGAGACTTGCATCTCCAAGAACACCCTCGCTCGCTCCTTCTTCTCTTCCACTTTACTCATCACTTCGACGACCTGGAAATGCACGCCGGTGTGATCTTGAGCTCGGAGCTTCCACCTCCTTACCTGCTCGTCAAACTTGACCGGCGAAGGGTCCGCAGCATATGTGTCCATCTGTGCTTTCCAGTCGGCTGTCATGCGAGTCCGGAGCTCCTTAGCCTTATCACTGGTGAAGTCGAAGTCCCGGGCATTGAGCACATCGACGAAATTGACTGCCAGCCGCTCAAGGTCTTTGGCTACATCAATCTCAGCTTCGGCTGACTCCGTCGAGGCCGGCGAAGGTAGGTATATATTGTCCGACATCGGAAGATCAACATCTTATGCCATAGCGTAGGAAAGCGAACGAGGTTTTCGAAGATGGGCTGGCGCCATCGTGCATTGACCACTGCGTGCCTTCACGACTTGCGTACGAGGTCGTAGACTTCACCTTGTGACTCGCGCATCGATAGAAGTATGCAAGACCAAGACTAAGCGAAAGGTCGCAATCATCTGGTAGTATGAACGGCAACACGATGCACAATGACTTCACATGCACCGACCCGGGTTGCAGGCTATGTAGACGCAAGTACCCCGGGTAAGGCTGGCGCGACGCGCCTTGGAGGGCGGCCTCATGCATCTGGTCGAGTCGAGGCGGAGCATGAGTGCTATCGGCGCACTGCCTTGAGGAGCTGTGCATTTTATCCTACACCTTCTACTTCTCGTCCTACTTCTGCTGCTATTGTACATAAGCTATGATCTTACGGTAGCCCCATGGCTGATGCCCACTCCGGCGACAATAATGTCGGCTACTGCTCCGATACCCCTGGTGCCCTTGATGCCTGGCGCGACACAAACATCAGGCACAGGTGCGGCGGCAATTTCACCGCCTGCTCTTCCGACTAGCCGTGGGCTGTCTCCTCCCGCCCAGATGCAGACACAACAGGTATCGACCTCAACATCTGGACAAATTGCCACAGGACCAACATCGTCGACAACCACACCAGTCATACAGAATGCCAACTCTGGACAAAATAGCGGAGCAAGGCATCATTGGAGCAGCCTTGCCCATGTCAATGTCTCTGTCGCAACTTGGCTGGGCGTGGGACTAGCCACTGCTGCACTACTCGTTGCTATCTCCTATGGCGGCCCAATGTATCGTCTAGCCATATGGACGGCCAGAAAGGACTTCCGAGAAGCATGTGTCAACGATCGAAGTATTGGCCTGACCTCTGCGGCTTGTAATATCACATTACTTGATCCGCTGCGCCCTCCGCCGATCAGCAAGAGGTCTTTCGCGCCATCTACGCTGTCTCCTGGCACCACTGGACCTATCGTAGTCACCAGCACGATTGTAGCTGGAGCTGTGATGCTCGTTTCGGTCTTCACGATCTTCCGCAAATACCTTGAAGATCGGCCCATCCCAGTTGTGTCATATGTCCGCGCGAATCTTGCTTGTATGGTGGCATTGCCGGGTCCTTCGGTTGGCAGCGTGCTTGCGAGCGGCTGCACGCTTGTCTATATCCCGCTGCGGCATGGACGAGGAATCGTACTTAAGAAGGAAAGCATACTGGCCGATGGCAATGACAGACTTTGCATCTTCTGCTCTGACGGCTCCACGGACCTTGATGATGCGCATGTTGAGCCACAGACAATGACAATATGCGGACACCGCGTACACGATCAGTGTGTAGCAATCTATATCCGATCAAAGGGCATAGTGTGCCCATCGTGCGGTGAACCAATCGGCATTGTATGTGAGTTCCGTCAACCGAGCCGCAAATACAGTAACAGCAATGCGAGCCGAGTATCTTTGGAATGGAATCGAGATAATAGGAACCCATCGAGCGTTTCTACAGATCGGAGCTCTCAACAGCTGGCTTTTCATGCAGAAGACGACTTCCCTCCAGTAGGCCAATATGTCCGGCCATTGACTCGTAGGCGAGACCAGGACTTGCGGTTCATGCTTCGAACGGCGCACCATGCTGTGTCTCTGGAGAGCAGCCATCAGTATGAGGCCGCGATCGAAGCCTACAACACTACGTGCCAGCTGCTCGACACCATAGCTTTTAAACGCGATCCATCGGACGAGGCTGATATTCTAAGGCTGACAGATGTTCGGAGCGTCTACCACAATCGAGCTGAAAAGTTACGGCATTGGCTCGAGTCGCCGTCCAGACGCCTGACCACAGCCAGTACAGAGATAGAAGGTCCTGGGGCAGGCGTCCGACAAGATACGCGCCTTTCTGACATGGCCTGAGACCAAGCTAGCATCATGTAAGAGATTGATGCTTTAGCAGACGTAATAAGCAGGAGATCAGTCCGCGACGTGGTTTCCAAGCCTCCTGCCCATGGCTCTGACCATGTGCTCGAACCACCAGACTATACTCAAGCTGCTACTGTAACGAGGAAAAGGAAGCTGTCCAACAGCGTAGACATGTCCGTGCAATCGATGGCGCCCTCCGAGGGAATTGAAGACTTCGACGAAGCAGCGACTCACATGGAGCGTGTCAGCGCGGTGACTAAGTGGCTGGAGGGTGTGCAACACACCGCACCCACGACCCGGGAACTGCCAGACGGCGCACTGGTGAAAGCGGAGAGGCCGAAGCGTAAGGCTTTGTCGACAAACTCCGATCCAGGGTTGGCTGCCTGGAATATCGTGTCCAGTGTGGAAGTTGATGACCAAGACCGTGTCTCAGACTCAAGGTCTGTGTTCAAACTATGGCCAATGCAGCCTAGCAGCCCAAGTCTGCTTCCTGCGTCGACCATACTACAGGACAACCTTCAGCAGCAAATCAAGACGCACAAAGACACTGGATCGTACTGTCCACCTCGTGTAACTGGTCTGCCGCTATCCGCCTCGCCTGCAGTAACTTTGGGGATGGGTCCGTCTGTCCAAGACATGGAAGAAGGGCGGGCGGACCTTCTGAGCAAACGCTGGAACCTGCCCATGGATTACACAGATGAGCCTCTTCGAAAAATGGATTTTGATGCCTTTGATATCAACAAAGGACTGGTGGGTGCTACTGCACGTGAACGCCCTGGTGCGCGACCGGCCTTGCTCAAGCCACGCCGAAGCAAGGAACAAGATCCAAGCGAGAACAGTCCTCCAGTCAAGGGCTGGCGTGCTCGTCTGCCACGTCTATTCAATATCAAAGGCCCTCGAATAGGGTGATTATGAAGGCGTGTCCTTGCCTGTCGCTTTCAGATTCGACGACCGCGCCCCTTCCGACCTAGCTCTCCGTCTGGATACGAAGATTTCAGCTGCTATCCCGGCTGGACAGTCATCGCCCATTAATACCGGGCTGACGATGCTTACGAGTTATCCTTGGAAACCGTAAGAATCTAGACCACGAATGTACCACCTCGGCATCGGGTTTGATCATGCACCGTGACCGGCAGTGCGGAACACTGCCGGCTGAGCATGAAAGTTTGAATATATACCCCACCACTGCATATGGCTGCGAGATCTCGGCAACGATGGCGTATTTACAACTCTTTGTCAGCTTAAAATCCGGCGCGCATATTGTTGACAGGACTGTACATATTGTCGCATTTTGTAGAAAGCACTCATAACACCACACCCTACAGAATCCTCCGAGAACCTCCTCACATTCGAGACACGAGAGCATAGAAGCCCACTGTTGAACAACGGCATATATTACAGACCTGCGAGAACTCCAATCACACTGCCATTGGGATGGCACAAACAAACGGCGAGCTGTCTTTCGACAGCATACCAGACGCCATAGAAGCCTTCGGTACACATCACTCTTTGATTTCAACCATTATTAGACTAACGCCCTTCCCTCCCAGCCAACGGCGAATTCCTAGTAGTCCTAGACAGCCCGCACCGCGAGAATGAAGGCGACCTCATAATAGCCGCATCAGCCTTCACACCTTCCAAAGCCGCCTTCCTCATCCGTCATACCTCGGGCTATATCTGCGCGCCTATAATACCCTCCCTCGCCGCGAAACTCGAACTACCACAAATGGTATCGAACAATACCGACCCAAACCGGACGGCCTACACGATCACGATCGATGCGGCCGAGGGCGTGACGACAGGAATCAGTGCACAGGATCGGAGTCATACCTGCCAGCTCCTTGCGGATGCGAAGGTGGAGAAAAGTGCATTTCGAAGACCAGGGCACGTGGTACCGTTACAGGCACGGGAAGGTGGAGTAAGAGCTAGGGCAGGACATACAGAGGCGGCGATAGATTTCTGTAAACTTGCTGGGACGGAACCCGTGGCTGTGATAGCGGAGATTGTGGAGGACGGAGAGGAGGTTGAAGGGAAGGCGGAGATGTCTACAGGGTTCGGGATGATGAGGCGGGATGGGTGTTTGGCTTTTGCGAAGAAGTACGGACTTAAGGCCGTCACGATCGAGGACCTCATAAGATATCTTGAGGATGGTGGTGGGAAGGTGAAGAGCTAGAAGATGCCGGGCGTGTGACTTCGAGAAGGTTGATGCTGCTAGCCTCTTGAGCGTCCATAGACGAGGGGAGACATAACTAGAGCAATCTGCACATACATCTACACTCCACTAGAACCCAGTCACCCACCCAACGCTGTCTCCGGCCGAATATTCTCCCGCTCCTCTTCAGTCAAGTCCACGCCCAGAACCTCTTGCAGTGCTTCAATGCGTTCTTGCTCCGTCTTACACGTCCTCAGCACCTCCTTCCTGCCTCCTAATAATGGCCCATGCGTTCGTCTGACACTATCTTTCAGCAGACTCACATCCCCGATAATCTTCTCCCCAGCCTCATCCATTTCCATCTTCATGCATAGCACCAGATACGTGAAGAAGGAGCGCGGATTAGTAGAGGTATACCAACTCATCATCTCGTAATCCTGTGGCAGAAATTCCAAGGTAGTGAAACAATACGTCGGTACCCAGACTTGAGGTGAGGCTGAGGGATCGAAGCAGGAGTCGTAACACCACATTTTCTCCGCCTCTCCCAGATCCCCATCCGCAGCCGCATGTTCAGGGATCACACGTCGCTGCAACCGCACTCGTCTTGGAGCGATAGACTCACACTCATACCCATCCTCAAGCGGCACCACGATATTTAGGCCGAAAACACCCATACCTACATCCACCACGAACCACTTTTTGTCGAGGCGGACGAGATTAAGCATATGATTCCACCCATCATACGTCTCACCCTGCTTCTCTCGTACTTCAGGATCAGAGGACATCATCCTACTGACCCGCCCGCCACAGTTCCTTACGTCGTAACCTAGAGAGCGCAGGACCGTGCCGAAGAAACCATTATTCTCCATACATCTACCGCCTCTCCCATGCTTCAAGCCCTGTTCGACGAACTTGTGGTACAGATCGTGCATGTCGAGGGAGATGGTCCGGTGTTTGGAGTAGTGGATTTCCAGATTCTCGAAGGGAATATTGCAGACGTGGTAGCGGACCAGACCTTGCAGTAATGGGAGGCCATGTTCTTTCGTGCGGGCTAGTTTTGGGTCGTTGAGCACTGCAAAGTCGCGGAACTTTTTGGGAAGGCTGATCCGGTCGAGATATTTCTGTATCTGGTCCGAGGTGTATCGTGGGCGGTCCTTGGGATGGATTTGCATCTGTGTCTGCAAAGCTTTGGGAGTTGCGTGAGCCATGATGCCGAACTCTTGTTGAGGCGTGGTGGGACGTGCTGGCGAGACGTGATGCTCTTGTGGAGAGGATACCTTAGGTTCAAGTGATAGATAGCTGGTATATGATTGAGCTTGGACCCTGCATATGCTTCGGCAGTTCCTGCAGCACCTCCTGCTTTTAGCCCAGCTGAAGGAGCACTGTCGGTATGCCCATATGTTTATGGTAATCGACTGAAGCTTACTCGAGACACGGTGTACTACTGCCTTTCAAGGCGGAGTAAGGTCCATGAGGTTTGCGAAGCTCAGCAACCCCGTGACTGGGTACTTGAGCTGGTCCTGGTGCTACGACTTCGAGAAACATCCCGGTTCTACCGCTACAGCATCGTGACCGTATATCGAGTTGTCGCCTTGCCTTCCATAGCTAGATCCATCCCGTCGACTCTCACCTCTGCCCTTCGACGAAATAGCTGACCTTACTGACACCCTTCTGCCTCTTGATGCCCTTCACAGTAATCTGTCCCACAAGACTCGAATCCTGCGTATGCGTCCCACCACAGGGATACGCTCCCGCGCCCACGATATCCACTATCCTGACCATGCCATCCAGACCTGACAAGATAGGCATACCCTCCGCTAAAATCACATCACTACCTTTCAGCTCTTCGGGCTTCAGCCAGTACAACTTCACAGGCAGAGCTTGCCGCACAAATTCATTGGCCTGATCTTGTATTGCGTCCTTGAATTTGCTGTCTATGACGCCCTTGAACTCGACGAATGAGGTTTCGGGGTAGTGTTGAGCTTTATCGTCCACTACCTTCAACTCTGCCGTGGTCTCAGATAGTCGTAGGACGGCGAGGGCAACGAGGTGGCCGGCTGTGTGTATGCGACTATGGAGATCTCGTCTTGCGCCATCTAGAGTCTGTTCGACCATAGCACCAACTGCAAAGCCCTTGGAAATTGTGCTGTTATCTGAGCTATTGGTGAAGTGACCAAAATGCAAGGTCCTGCCATTGGCACCTGACCTCACAAGCTGTACTTCGAATCTTACTCCTTCTTGGCCTAGAGCTGAAATGTGGCCAATATCACAGGGCTGCCCGCCTCCTTGTGCGTAGAAGATAGTTTCGTGGGTCTCGAGGACTTGTGTATCGTTCGTGCCGGCCTTGAATAACAACTTCTCCGTCTCTTCCAGTTCCGAGTAAGGTCTCACACAAGTAATTTGTGCTACGTTTTTTCGCAGAGACTCCTCATATTGATACAGTGGCTTCGACGGAGGTACAGACGCTGTTGTTGACGCCATAAATGAAGGTTGGCGATGGGAGAAACGACGAGAAGAAGAGATGATGAAAGGAACAAGAACTTGCCGTTTGACATGCGAGAAGGGAAGCGCTACTGCTGGTCTTGTAGCATTTCTACAGTTGAGGTATTAACTCACTGGCGACAGGGCGCAGAATACAAGTCGCATTGGTGGAAGTTCACAGAAGATGTGAGTTGATGGTCTCGGAAGATGTACTTCAGCAAGCGGGACTAGGCGAAGGGAAGTGGCTTTGGCTTCGTGGGGAGATCTGGCGACGACTAGAGTACTGTTCAAAGTACATGCAGAAGCTGTCTACACAACCACACATCGGATGCCAAAGTTCGACTCCGAAACGAAACCATGCCCGTCAATCTCCACCCTCCACCTTCCACCTCACCACTCATATCGTCGTTCGTCCCAGCATGTCAGCATCATCCTTCTACATCGTTGCAACCAACATCCATTAGTCATCGAATTTATTACAGTCGCACGAGAGCCATCTCGTCCGCCAAATGGCCACTGTAAACCGCAAGTGTAACGTAGGCCTCCGATCTCCAAGCCCCGACGAGCTAATGGCAGGGAGTTCTCGGCAGGGCTGTGCATTCGGTGTCAAGCTCGCTGGGGTGAGAGGTCGCCTCTTCTGATCAGAGTCAACTTCTGGTCCGCTTGTCACGGGCTTCAAGGTCGTTGGCTTGATGTTGGCTGGTGCAGTGCACTCGTCCGTAAAGGGCTTCCCACTTTTCGGGCCCGTTGTAGGGATGCACCCATGAAGTATGCTGGGCCAGAACACGTAAGCAGTGGTAGCAGCGATGCAAGCACCTACGAAGATGGACGGGCCACTTACTGCAAATGGTCCTGCGGTCTGTCGATCAGCAGAACTGACTCTGTGCTTGCAAAAAGCCTTCACATTCTCCAGGAAGTCTTTAGAAGTCAGTGCCGTTGGTGCTGCACTTTCGCTTCTAAGCGTGTGGAGTAGCATTTGCTCGAGTTTGTCATGACTGCCGCTGGGTGATAATTTGGACACCTTGTCGCTCTTCTGGTGCAGATTGACGGACAAAGAAAACGCTCGAAAGTAGGGATACATCGTTATGATCCTTAAAAGTCTCCTGTGCTTCGCAGGTTGTTCGATTGCGCTGATAAGTTGTCCGGCGAGATCCAGAGGTTTCAGCAGTGAGCCGATCAGTCTTTACACCAGCTCAGGAGGTCCTGCTTTGGACGCTGTCGCTCGGACGCGCTGGGAACGTGAGATGCAGTCCAGCTGCACCCATCGCTTCGGCGGTGAGGTTTAGCGACGGTCGAGATGTCTCAGAAATTGGAGTCAAGTTAGACAAGGTCTGAGAAGCTACGATAAGCTTGTTGAGGGCCTGCGAAGAGTTTAGGAGTCACCAGGACCGGCACAAGAAAATAAAGGTGTGTAGAGTAGAGTAAGAATCTTGCCCAGGCTAGCAACGTGCATATATACCCTCAGTCCGTTGGAGGATCTGCTGGAGACTGAAAATCGCATTGTTCAGAGCGTCACAAGGAGGGTAGATGAGTAGGAACAATGTAGTGAGGGATATTTCGTTAGGCGGGAACAGTTGTGCCATTGTGGGCAACGCCGAAGTGATCCTTCAACCTACCGTCTACCTCCGGTAAGACCAAATCGTGGCCCTTTAGACCACGTGAATTCCCGCAAATGTGTTTCCTCCGGCTCCTGTTCTTTTGAGGCGCCATAATCTGGGAGCGCTCCATACTGTGACATTTAAAATCCGCTAGATGACGGCCTATGCCTCGTTGCTGGTGAACAGTGACCAGCTACGGTAGTGGGATGTTTTGGATCCAGACATAATGTCTTAGCTAAGGCGGTGGACTTGGATCTCCTACGCTCCAGAAAACATCATGAGTCGAGCGTATATCTAATGTTCCGAGTCTCAAGTAGCCTGTATGGCCGTCCCAAAACGAAGCACCTGCATTCCCGACCGAAGTACTGTTGGAGATGTCGTTCATGGAACGTGAAGCATGCTGTGCCGTAAGCTCCTGTTGCTCTGGTACTCGGATAACAGCATTCACCCGAGAAGGCATGAGCTCGCCGGACCTAACGGACGTACGCCGTAAGTCACATCGCTTCCACAATGGCTCCAGTGATGGGACATGAAGGTATTGGTGTTGACGATATGCACTGAAGTCCAAAGACATCCCCAGATCGCAGGCAACCAATCACAGCCAAGCAAAGCTCAATTGCCTCACTCGATCCGCTGGCTGCAGCAAGAAACATGGCTCCTACAAAAGCGCTGGTCGCATACAAGAAGAGGGATGGCAGCCTCACAGTATCAGAAGACAAGAAATATCTCTTCTGGACGCCCTCCACACCATCAGGCGCCTCGCCCACCGTGACCGTACCTATAGCAGACATCACCAATCTTCAACAAACACCCGCGACCAACCCCAAAGTAGCGCTGAAAGTGCTTATAAAAGGGGACAGCTATGTCTTCAGCTTCACCAGCAAGGATGCAGCCAGGAAGGAGCAGGAGGTCATGACAGATACGCTGAGAAATGTCATTGCGACGAACAAATCAAGCGCGGCCGCACAACTGGTGCCTACGGCCGGCACGCCACAAGCATCGCACAACGGTGCTGGCGATCCTGGACAGAGCTCCTCGATGGCAATAGCGAAGGCCATATCCGCCAAGCCACAGGACGAGAGCTGGTACGACGACAGCAAACTCCGCTCCGACTTTCAACTCCAGCGCTCCCTCCTCGAGTCCAACAAAGCCCTAAACGACCGCTTCAACCAGGCCCTCCGAGACAAGCCCGAGTCCGTCACAGCACCACAGTTCACGACACAATTCTGGTCAACACGGCTACACCTTCTCCGAGCCCATGCCATCGAAAAGGCGCAGAAGGAAGGCGAGTACAATGTCCTACCAGAGATCAAGTACAACACTGTCATTAGTCCTGACGGTGAGCCGATCAAGACGCTCAATATGACCAAGGAGCAGGTCCAGCTTATTTTCAAGCAATATCCTGTTGTACGGCAGGCATACAATGAGACAATACCAAAGCCTTTTGCTCAGCCTCAAATATTCTGGTCACGCTTCTTTGCTAGTCGGCTATTGAAGAAGCTGAAAGGTTTACGGATCGAAAAGCAAGATCCTACAGATCCTATACTGGACTGGTATCTGGAACATCAGGAGCCAGCTGGACCGGCTTCAACAGCTAATATACCTCACATCATCGATCTGGAAGGCAACGAGCAAAATACCAAGTTCCGACTTGAAGGCGATTACGAAATGCGGGCTGCAAAACACGATCGACCAATTCTACATCTACTGAATCAAATGAGTGAGAAGCTGCTAAGCCGCGTAGCACCCGAAGACGGCGAAGCACACGCACCCATCGGTATGGACGAGGCCACCTTCGAGCAGCTTCAACTCCGTGACCTGGCGCGTGAAGATACAGACAACAGAGTTGTCCTCAACGTCCGAGATCAGCACAGCTATCTAGCCGCACCCGGCGAAGAGGACCTCTCAGCCGACGCCCGACTCTACGCAAAGCAGGATCCAACAGAAGTCATCTCCGCCCTGCAATCCGCCCTGCAACCCCAAAGTATCGGCAGCGATGCTCACGGCCGTCTACAACTGGAAATCGCACTCGGCTACGAATCAGACGACGATGATGACGACGACGAAATGGACGATGAAACCCAGCCTACCAGCACGACCAAACGAAACCCACGCATCGGCTCCCACAAAGCCCTAAACGCCACAACCACCAACCTCCTGACCTCCATCTCAACCCGCCGCCACCTAGCCCAAACAGACCAACACTCGCTCCTCGGCCTCTCCCAACCAACCTTCGACTCCCTAACCCAAACCCACAACACGACGATAGAATTCCTGCACTACTTCTGGACCCTCTTCCTCTCCGGCGACAGCACGCGCACTACCGAGCTCTCCCAACTGGTCTCCACTCTCGATAAGTCTTTGGACAGGATTGAAGCTGTGGCTGCTCAGGCGGAGAAGGAGAGAGAAGGTTTGATTGAGAAGGGGAGGAAGCAGATGCAGGATTATTTCAAGCGGACGGGGAAGAAGAGGAGGGTGGATGAGAGTGGTTTTGGTGGAGGTAGAGGGGTGGTGGAGGGGATGGTGGGCCCGACTAAGGAGGCTATTCGGGTGGCGGGGGAGGTGTATCGGAGGGCGTTAGAGGAGCAGATGAGGGAGGGCGGTGGATGAGGTGCCCGCATAAGACTCCGCCGGAAGATTGGACTTTTCACACAGCTTGGTAGATTGGTATGTCAATTCATGCTCGCTTTTCGAACCCCACCTGGGATTCTCCATAGCTCTTTGCGGAAGTGGCAGCGGCCCTGCCGTCCACTCTCGGCATATACGTGTCCTGCACACCCTCAAATGTACAAGTACACTCCTTACTCACACTCTAGTCATGGTCGTTTCGGGATCACCACTGCTTTTCATGCGTGACTGGTAGCTGCATTAGGCCACCAGCCCATTTTTCGGGCCCGAAATTCCACCAGCAACCTCAGCTCAGGTACGGCTGAACGGCATCCCCAATCCCTCACAGTACCATGTGCTGATCTGCACTCCTTCAGCTATGATAGCCATGAGCAATTTTGTAGGAGGAGAGGATATAAGCATGCCGTCCTCCACCGCCAACATGTCTCGCACACAAGGAGCTATCACTACATCTAGGTATCTTCGCCACCTCGCATCCTCTCACAACAGCTAGTCCACTGAATTGACAGAGACAGGATGAACAGACATACCTCAGACTTCAAAGTCCTGATCGTAGGCGCTGGAATAGCCGGCCTAGCCCTCGCCCAGATCCTCAGGAATCACGAAATAGCCTTCGAGATCTTCGAGCGAGACGATGGAAGTAGAGTCGGTGGATGGTCCGTGGGCCTGGACGAGTGCGTCCACTCCCCCATGGCCAACACCCCAAGATCCCATACCCGTTCTAACCCACTCCTATAGCTGTCTCGCAGACCTCCAAGCCCTGCTCCCCACGGACCTCACCCCCATAAAACAAACCAGTCCCAACTATCCTCAGGGAAAGAAAGACAGCTATGCTTTCCTCAACGGCCTCACTGGCGACGTCCTCGGCCATGTCACAGCTGGTGATGGCGGCAGGGACTTCATAAGCTGTGACAGAGATCTTCTTCGCAAGATTCTCTCTAAAAACCTCTCGGTGCAGTATCGTAAACGTCTCCATCACTTCGAACAGACTCCCTCGGGCGTAGAGCTGCACTTCACAGATAACAGCACAGCGACCGGCAGTCTCCTCGTAGGAGCAGATGGCGCCCGCTCCGCCGTTCGCGCGCAGCTATTACCCGATGTCCAAGCTGTACCGAGTAGATGTATAATGCTCTACGGCTCCGTCCAGCTCTCGGCGCGCGACTCAGAGCCCATGCTTTCCAAAGCAAACACAGCAACACTCCTAGGCTCACCCCGCATGAAATCCTTCCTCATGCTCGACCAGCATAATTCCGATGGAACTGCTATGTGGAACTGGGGGATTGCACGACTCTGCTCCGTTGAGGAGGCGGGGAGTAAGCATGCTTGGGTACAGGGCGCTAGTGCTGAGGAACTACACGCTCAGGCTATGAAGTGGTGTAGTGACTCGCCAGAGTGGTTCCGGCATGCTATCGAATTGTCCGGGCCGAAGGGCGTGCATACACCCCCTATCACGCTGAGGGAGACGGTGATACCCGTCGACAAATTGCCGGAGGGTCTAGTGACTCTGATGGGTGATGCGGCACACTCGATGGTGAGTCAGTACCCACTCCACTCCACTCCACACCACATCAACCAAGCAACCATCCAACCATCCACTTTTGACAAACCATGCTGACCAGACCATGTGCAAGGTCCCCTTCCGCGGCATGGGCGCCAACACCGCCATGCGCGATGCCTGCGATCTCGGCATGGCACTCTCCCAACAAGCGGCCAAAAACGATGCCGAGGAGCACCAGCAGATCCTCCGCCAATACGAGCTGAAAATGCTACCCCGTGGCCGGGAGCACGTCCTACTATCCCGTGCCGACGCCGAAGCGGACGACCATATAGATTTATCCGGGGGTCGGCTGGAGAAGAAGCAGGAGGAGGCTGAGGGGAAGAAGAAGGGGGGTGAGGAGGTCCGGGTATAGCATTTACTCGTTCGCAGTTTGGAGCTACGCTCATCGAGGGCGGGCGTCCGGCAAGGCCAAAGAAGGGTAATGTGCGATGTATGTAGCCTTTGTCGACGCCTGGAAAGATTGGAGACCAGTAAGCTGCTATTCTCCCCATGCAGGTTTCTGTTGAAAGGGGCGGGAATGGTTTATTCCTTCATTCATTCATTCTTACATCGGGTATATTGGTTTTCTTCTAATCCATGACAACGCCGTCTCAGCCGTCCCACGAGCAATCATGGTATACATCCATCTGGCGGCTCAGACACCCTTTCCAGATCGCCTGGGCTCACATATATGACTTCCCCCCTCACGCACTAAACACCCTAACATTCAAATCCACACTCCCACAAGCAACGGCACATCGGATCTGCTCCTGCTTCGCCCCGTCCTCCTTTACTCCGTTCGCACCACCACCCGCACTCCCATTCACCCTTCCATTTGCCTCCCCATTCACGCCCACCTCCCTAAAAACCCCAGGCGCCCACCTCAAACAACTAACAAAATGATCCCCGGCCTCCACAACCCTGACACATTTCCCCTCCTGCGCTAGATCCCAGCACCGGATCGTCTTATCATCCGAACAACTCAATAAATACTTCCCACCCGGATGAAACACCAACGCCCGGATCCAGTTATCGTGGCCGGAGAGGGTTTTGATACAGATGCCGTTTGTGGAGAACAGTTTAATCAACTTATCTCTACCTCCCGTCGCAAGATACTCAGCTGAACTAGAAGCTGGAGGAGGTTTCTTCAGTCCAGCGAGGGATGCGAGATGCGGGTACGATGCCGGTGGGGCGAAGGCACAACATTCCACCACATGCTCATGCGCCATAAACGTCTGCTTATGCGCGTTCGTGTCCGGTTGACTCAGGTCCCACAGCCGTGTGCTCTGGTCCGAGGAAGTGGAGATCAACCATCTTCCGTCGAAGGAAGGGGAAATTGACCTCACCCAATCCCCATGGCCGCGAAGAGTGCGGAGACAGTAGCCGGTCGTGACGTCCCAGATCCTTATCGTCTTATCCCTGCTCGCTGAAGCTAGGAGATTTCCCGATAATGGTGCACCCGCGGCTCCGGAGGGGATGAAGCGGATACTACTCACACTATGATCGTGCCCCGGCAGAGTGCGGATATTCTTGTATTCGTCCGCCGGATCCCAGAGTTTGATCGTGAGGTCCGAACTGCATGATGCGAGGAGGGTGTTACCCCTGGGCCCACCGAAATCCACGTCGAGGACGGCTTTGGTGTGGGATTTGAGCGTGCGCTCCAGTTCTCCCAACTCGTGGTCCCAGATTTTGATGGTGCAGTCTTCGCTTCCGGAGGCGAGGGTGGAGAAGATGGTGTGGAAGGCGATGCAGGTGATGGGGTTTTTGTGGCTTTGGAGGGTATGTCGTGCGGGTGCTCGTGGTAGCCAAGTGGTGGGGTCATGGTTCTTCCTCGCCGCTAGGGAGGAAGGGGTCGCGTTGTCGAGTTCATGCTGTAATTGCTGTGTTTTGGTCTCCAGATCCATGATCTTTTTTTGTAATCGCACGACCGACGTCCATTTCTTCTCTAGGAGACCTTCGTACTTTTTGCTGGTTGGAGCATCGAAGGTGGTTTCGGGGAGATGCAATTCGTCGCGGATGGCTTGGGCGCTTTTGGTGTAGCCGCAGGAGGAGAGGTAGGCGATTAGGGACTTGTGGCTGTTAGCACGCTTTCAATCAGCGTGGGGGTTCTTGGTTGGTGGGGAAGGTCGAGGTGACGGCGTACAGTTCTTCCGCTTGGCGGGAGGTGAGGAGGTTGCTCATGATGATGGCTGGCGGTTGACTGATGTCGTCGTCGTGCACATGCAGGAGATGCTCACATCTGCCAGTTGCGTCGCAATGGTTGGCGGTCGAGACAGAAGTGTCGTTCCAGTGCCGCGACTTCCCGTCTAGTGGAAGCTCAGTGGCGTGCCTTCCTATTTGGTGATCAATTCCACTGCTGATGCCTTAGATGAGTCTGAGTCAATCTAACTCGTGACACTGTATACTTTGATATTAACGCAAGCATAACGTTTAAATTGACTTCATTCTGTAGAAAGCACGCTCGAAGCTCAGGGTTCAAGGTTTTAAGCTTTCGGCAGCCATCCCGCACTTGCGTCCGCGGTTGTCATGCGAGCCGGGGGGTTGTTGACGCCGCACCTTCAATTGCGCCAACGCGACGATATTCATCACGCCTACTACGCGATAAGTCGACATCGCTCTGGACACAAGGATCGACTGAATTACGACGTCTGTAATAGCACTGGCATCACGTGTCGTGTCGCGCGACGACGAAGACAACCTTCAAAGCTTAAAGATCGTTTGAGGGAGGAGGAACGTTACATCACATCACATCACATCACTCAACCTACAGGAAGATAGAACACGTGAGTATCGACCATGTCAGAAGACCCAGAGGAATGGGCCCGCCTCTCCCTCCCGGACCAATTCCAGCACAAAAACTGGAAGGCACGAAAAGCCGGCTACGAGACAGCCACAAAGGAATTCAAGACCGCACAACCCAGCGACCCCGTCGTCCGCGAATTCATCCTCGAAAGCAGTCTATGGAAGGGCGCAGTAGCAGACAGCAATGTGGCAGCACAGCAAGAGGCGTTGAACGCATATAATGCCTTTCTCGACGCGGCAGCAGCGGAGGGGGCGAGGAAGACGCGGAGTGTGACGATACAGGGGGTGGTGGAGAAGGGCTTGATGGGTCGACCGGCGGCCAAGGCTAGTGCGTTGGAGACGTTATTGTTGTTGGTCGAGCTGGATAAGGCGGATCCGGTGATTGAAGAGCTATTACCATTCTTGTCGCATAAACAGCCGAAGATTATTGCGGCGACGTTGTCGGCTGTGACGAGTGTTTATCATGCCTATGGATGCAAGATAGTCGAGCCGAAGCCGGTGATTAAGCTTCTGCCGAAGGTGTTTGGGCATGCGGATAAGAATGTGAGGGCGGAGGCACAGAACTTGACCGTCGAGTTCTATCGATGGCTGAGGGAGGCGATGAAGCCGCTGTTCTGGGGCGAGTTGAAGGATGTGCAGCAAAAGGATTTGGAGAAGTTGTTTGAGCCTGTCAAGGCGGAACCACAGCCTAAGCAGGAGCGGTTGCTGCGTAGTCAGCAGGCGGCGAAGGAACAGGCTGAGGCAGCAGATGATCCTGATGAGGGTGACGTGGGTGGCGAGGGTGATGAGGAAGCCGGCGAGATCGATCTGGAGCCAGAGTTTGAGGCGGTGGACGTCTTTGCGAAAGTGCCCAAGGATCTTAACGAGCGACTGGCGAGCACGAAATGGAAAGATCGAAAGGACGTGCTGGACGAAGTGTTTACAGCTGTCAATGTACCCGCCATGCAAGACGGACATTTCGACGACATCATCCGAGGCTGTGCGAAGAGCATGAAGGATGCGAATATTGCGGTCGTCGCGGTGGCGGCGAACTGTGTGGAGTGCATAGCGAAAGGCTTGAGGAAGTCGTTCACAAAGTACCGCGGCACGATACTGGGACCTATGCTGGAGCGTTTCAAGGAGAAGAAGGCGACTGTCACGGATGCGATAGGTGCGGCGTGTGATGCTGTCTTTGCAGCTACTGGGTTCGCGGAAGTGAGTGCAGATGTACTAGAGCAGCTGAAGAGCAAGAATCCGCAAGTCAAGGAACACACAGCCAAGTTTCTCATCAGAAGTCTGAAGAGCACACGAGAAGCACCGACTCTCGAGCAAACGAAGGAGTTTGCAGAAGGTGGCAAGAAGCTCATCACAGAGTCCGTGGCGACACTACGAGACGCGGGAGCAGAAATTCTGGGGGTGTTGTGGAAGATCATGGGCGACAGGAATATGCTCAATCATCTCGAAGGACTGGATGAGATCCGCAAAACAAAGATCAAGGAGTTCAGCGATGCGGCGGAAGTGAGAGCGAAGTGGAAACCCAAGGCCGCCGCGCCACCACCCAAAGCAGCCGCACCTGCCGCCGCTGGCCGGAAACCTGCACCCGGTACCAAGAAGCCCGCTGCGAAAAAGGCTCCAACGCCGAGATCATCTACACCACCTGCAGCCGCCGAGGATGCACCATTACAACCACGACCGACAAGCCGTCCAGGCGTGAAAGCACCAGCCGGGCTCCGACCACCCGGTGGTCTCAAAGCCCCCGGATCCGGACTCCAACGACCTGGTACCGGCCTCAAACCACCCACCGGCACATCCTCGCCAAAACGCCAACTAGCACCCCTCGAAGACATCTCCGCCGCCACCAAACCCCTAGGAGCCGGGGGCCGCGGTCTCGCCGGCCGCCCCCTAGCCAAACCCTCGACAGCTCCCTCCTCCCCACCCCGCCACGAACCCCCCACCACCTCCTCCTCCGCCCTAACCACCCTAGAACGCCAAGAACTCACAACCCTGCACACGGAACTTGACCTCCTGCGCTCCCAAACCTCCGACCTCCGCCAAGATAAACTCCGTCTCACGTCCCAAATCGCGGAATTACAAAATCAAAACGCGCAGTTGATTGAGGATCACACGCGGGATGTGTTGCAGATTAAAGCCAAAGAGACGCAACTTGTGCGGGCCAGGAGTGATGCGGAGAATAGTGAGGAGAGGGGGAATTCGTTGGGCAGGGAGGTGGAGAGGTTGAAGAGGGAGATGGGGCGGTTGGGAAGGGTGCATCTGCAGCAGGGTTCTGTGGGGGGTGGGATTGATATTAATGGGAATGGGTTTGGGGAGGGAAATGGTGGGATGCCGCCGCGGCCGGGGTTCGGGGGCGTGAGTAGGTCTTATGCTGCGCCGAGTCCGCGGGGGTATGATATGAGTGGGTTCAACGGTCATGGCCACGGCCACGGCCACGGTCACGGCCACGGACTTGGTGCTGGTGCTGCTTCGGCTGAGGGAGAGGAGGGGAAGGAGAATATTCCCGAGTCTCCTGGTGCTGCTGCTGCTGCTGGGTTCGGTGGGTATGGGAGTCCCGAGAGGAATGGGGATGCGGACGCTATGCCTCCGCCTCGCACCAAGCCTTCACAGCAGCAGACGCAGTCGCAGTCGCACTTCGCGTTGAATCATAACCGCCCGATGTCGAATGGGAGTTCGGGGCGCGCTGGGACACCGCTTTCGCTTTCTCATGATGATGGTGGTGAGGGCGGTGGCGGGGATGCTGCAACCAGGTCGACCAGCGGAGGGAGTGGGAGTGCGAAGCCCGCGAGTGTGGATCGCAGTCAGAGTCAGAGTCAGAGTGAAGGGGTGGAGAGTTGGAGGCGGGCGGCGGAGGTGACGCAGAATCTGAAGGCGCGGATTGAGATGATGAAGGTATGTTTTCCTGACATCTGTGTGGATGGAGGGCTTTTTTTTTGGTGCGTGGTTTGCTAACGTGGGGGAATGTGCAGGCGAGACAGAATATTGGGCGGGGACAATGATTTCGTATGAATTGTCACGGTTGATGCGGAATGCTGTATGCTGCCTACGGTGAGATTGGCGACCCTTGCATCCTGGTTGTCATATGATTGCATTATTGGCGTGGCGGGAAGAGAGCTTGGCGTCTGGATCTGGGAGGCTCCCTCTTGCGAACTTGTTGTTTTGTTTGTCCGGTCGTCGATATCCCCGTCTTCATCTCGTATTTCCTCGAACGTCATTTTTCTCGCATTCAGGCTAGATATGATAGCGCGCGGTACCATTATATATTTATCTCCTCAGGTCGCTGACCAATCAGGCTTCAAAGCTCCACACAACTCGTTTGATGTGTCTATCAACTTGGTGCTCATGAATACTGGGTCTCGTGGGGAGATAGACGATTACTGGCTACCATGACCAGAGGCCACTACGGAGGCGCCACCGCTGACCAGGAGTACAATACATACCATCCCGACCCCAGCTTCAAATTCGACTGCACGAGATGCAATGGTGTCGGCGTGCACAATCCCAGGCTTTGCGAGGACTGCCAGGACTGGAATGACGTCTGGCATATGTTCACCTGCACACGACACGATGCCATCTATGACCCTTTCCCTTCCGCCAAGCTATCAGTGCTGAAGAACGATCGCAAGGAGTGCCTGATTTGTCTTACTCTGGTCGCAGCGGTGGAGGAGAAGCTTCGCATTCGTGCGTCAGGGTCGAGGCTCGAGGAGACCGTTAAGGAGGATCCTGTAGTGACGAATTGTGGTCCCTGGTGGTTGCCACCGCAAAGATACGTGAAGTCTCCGCGGCCACCGAGTGGTGGTGTGCGACTGGTACATGTCATGAAGCAGTACCGAGACCAGCGTGACCGGGACGAAGACACCTGGCGCATCGAGTGTCTGCTATGTTTTTCTCTCGTCGGCTGGGAGGAAGTCAAGCTCACTGCCTTCGGCCACAGAGACGTTGACTGGCCAGATGGAGCTCTGGTGTGTAGAGTAGAGCTGCTGTACAACTCTGCCGGCAACCAGCTGGAAGAGGTCCGGTGTCTTGAATCACCACCGATCAATCTGGAGCTCGTCGCCCATGGCCTGAACGAGTGCAAAAGCAGTCACCTGAAATGTGAGGTTCATGAATATGACCTCCCGGCCGACTTCCTCGTCATTGATTGCGAGACCATGTGCATTTGTGACTTGCCGGCAGGTGAAGTCTTTGTCGCACTGAGCTATACGTGGCGCAGTCCATCTTCCGATCGCGAGGCGCAGCTGACTTGCGCGAATGAGGCAGCTCTTCGTCGGCATAGGGGGCTGAACTCACGTCAGCTCCCGCCAGTGATTGCAGATACGATCAAGCTATGTGTCAGCTTGGGCAGGCGGCATCTATGGATCGACAGACTATGCATCGTGTAAGACGATGCAAGACGTAAAGCGGTGCAGATCCTAGCAATGGACAAGGTGTATGGGGCTGCTGAAATGACCATCGTGGCTTGCGCGGACGGAGTGGGCCTTCCAGGTGTTGGTGGTACGCTGCGACGAAGCTCCGTGGTCTCGCTGCCACGATTCGCCCATGTAACCCGCATCATCATGTAGGGCTTTGACCAGGCTGTTGCACATTCAACGTGGAACAGTCGAGGGTGGACGTAAGCATTTCCGCGTAGAGCTTTAATCTGCTAGTGTACTAATGGATGATGATGACGATGTAGTTTCCAGGAACGGCTACTGTCCAAGCGGCTCTTGTTCATAATGGATGATGCTTTCTACTTTACGTGCCAACAGGCTAGGTTTCATGAGCTCTCGGGACCTTTCAAAGCGTACGATGGCAGTACAGCCAACCATGGACCGAATTCTGTCTCGGCAGTCGACAATGTGAGAGCGTACCTTCAGAGCTGTGAAGTCTATGCCGCCCGCGACCTGAAGTACGATGGCGATATCCTCGCTGCTTTTCGAGGTGTAAGTAACGTCGTTGGAAAGCAGGTACAGTCTCGAATGCTATATGGTGTCCCGGAGAAATATCTCGTGGCGACCTGGCTGTGGACAGCCGAAGGCAAGCATCAGAGACGTCTGGAATGCCCGGATATTCCGACATGGTCGTGGGCAGCTTGGAAAGGATCATTATCGTACGGCACTACCAGTACAAAAGGCAGTCATGGCGACCGCGCTGCTATGCTGGGCACTCTCGTCTGCTTTTATGTCCAAGATAAGGCCGGGAAGCTTTCGCTTTTGAATGTCGAGGAGTGCTGGTTCTATCAGCCCCTACTGATCGAGCCACCAAGTAGCATCAGTCTTGCCATGCCGAGTAAACCAATCAAGCCGAACTACTCAGCTGGGGTCGACAGATATCAGGATTGGCCGACAACAACCGAGACGGAGGCACTATGGTCGCAATGTCCACAAAGTCCATGGACAATCATGCAACAAGATCTTCTGTTACACGGCGGTCATCATATGACGAGTCTCCCCAGCCATGCAATCATGTTCCGCACCACCATCGCCATGCTCCAGGTCGGTCCAGGAACTACCGACAAGAACGTCTCTTCTTTCATAGCAATGCCTATACTGTACAACGCCAGTGGGGAGGCTGTAGGAGACCTGATAGAAGGAGACTCGGCACCTAGATCTGTGACGCTGGGCAAGCACGAGTTTATAGTCTTGTGCGCCGGTACAGATCCTGCTGACACTGTACTTCGTCGAAAGAGCGAAAATGAGCGGGCTCGAACCTATGAGCTTCGGGTGATGCAGATAGAGCGTGACGTGGCAGATCCTCGTCTGTGCCGTAGAGTAGATATAGGTTGTGTCGTGGCGGAAAAGTGGGAGGGTTGCTTACCAGAATGGAAGAATATAGTTCTCATATGAACCACTGTTGCTTCCGGCACCGTATAAAGCTCCTCATAGATGCTAGGAGGCGCTCAATGAGTCGGTTTATCAGAGATAAGGAGAATATGCCTACGGCAATCAAGCCACCCCTCTTAACCTGTGGGCCCATCCGTCTTCGCCACTCGCACCCGCATGCCCGCTAGTCTTGCTTCATCGGTACCATAGACCATACACACGCTCACCAGATCCTCCGTTAACCCTTCAAAGTCACTCGCCTTGTTTACAACGTCGCCCACTCGCTGAAAGCCAAGACGAGCATACAAGTCTGCTCCCGCTGGACTAGCCGTGATGTACCCAGGTAGAGCAGCCTCGTCGCAGATCTTGAGGCCCCATTGAACGAGTTTGGTGCCCAGACCGCGGCGTTGGTGGGTCGGGTGTACGGCTAGGACGCCGAAAGCTATGCGATGAATCAGACACGTGTAGATGCGCGCAGGCTTCTTCGGACTTTGTGCTCGACACAAGGAGGAGGGAAGTGCAGGCTGGGAGACAAGGGCAGAGACGACGTACAGATATATGATTCCCCATCTACCCAAATCCGTGCCTTAATATCAGTGAACGGAACAGCAAGTTTCTGATTCTTCAGGTTCCCCTTCACGGCGCCCTTCTCGTCATTCCCCTCATCCTTTGCCGGGGCTTGAGTGGCCATGTCTGGGTCTTTCACGATCCTCACGCTCGCAAATCCCACGATCTGGCTAGTAGAGGTATCGACGCATTTCACGGCACGCAGAGTCAGATCCTCGCGCCATTGAGATCGCGTCTGCTCGATCACGGCTTGACGGACCTCCGGGCCATTCGGACGGCCGTGGTAGAGGAGAATGTAGAATGGGTCGTCCGCGAAAGCCGCGAGTTGAATGTTGATGAGCTCCGGGAGATCGTCCTCGTTTGCTGGCTGGAGTATGAAGGACATTTCGGCTACAATGTTAGATTGCTGCGTAATTAAGACGGGATGTTCTGACTACTTGTCATCGTAGATCTATCAGCATCCATGCGCTTCTTTCAAATGACTCACAGGCGTACAATGATCTCGCTACCGCCATCATGGCTATATCTGCTCACTATCCCGAGCGCAGCGAGGCGGTTTGTTATGCCAAAGGCCGCCAAGGTAGCTACAATTAAATACATAATGGTTGTCGCATGCCGAGACGTAGAGAACATATGTAAATAGTATCTCGACGAGCGCCTACTATTATAATATCCGCTTATCGCCTTAATAATACCTTAGATTAGGGAAGGACTATAGTAATACTTAAAAGAAAGGTATTACTACGTTCTATATACGTTATAGCGCTATATATAAGCTATTTTCGAAAGGGTTCTTTTAGTATCGCTTGTCTAGATATTATTTATATATGTTCCCTACGTCTCGGCATACGACAACTATTATGTGTTTAATTGTATTAGCGCTTGTTAGATGTCGGAATACCAGTAACGGAGCATTCACTTGGGCAAAGCACGCTCCACGTGCACGTGACATCTCAAATATGCCAAGGGGTGATATAGTGGCATAACAGTTCACTGCTTGACGAGGATACCATTCCATCAGCAGAAATTGGAGAAGATGAGACGAATACAACTCTCAAAGCAATTTCTGTGAGCTTATCTGCAAGCTACTACTACAAGACCGTCCTTCCGTCTCGTTTCTCCAAGCATTGTTGTTCAGCAACGACGACAAGATCACCTCACTTTGCTACCTCCTGGCCTTCCTAATTCGCCAGCCCATCGAACAGACGAACCCCACCAGTCTTGCCCTCGAAGGGGTCGGTGACCTCGGACTCAGCCGTCTCCTCTCCACTACCAGCAGAGGTGGAGTCGACAGGCGAGGTCGAACGCTTGCTAGTTGGTGGACTAGCGATGATCTCGTTGAGCTGCTTAATGATGCGGGCACCAATCGAGCCAGCGTGTCTGTGGCGAACATGGCCGTAGACGGTCCCATCAGCCTCTACACCCTCCTCACCACCGTTGCATTTGCTGCATCCGTTGCACTTGTTGCGACTGGCCGAGGTGAAGCCATCGTGAAGCATGTCGCTGCCGATACGAGATGCTGGAGCAGAGCGTGGTGTCTCAGGAGCAGGTGGCGGCTGGAGTGCACCGAGATCGACCCCAAGCTCGCGAATCTGCAACAGGATGAAAGTGTACTGAGACTCCAGCTCGTAGAGTTCCGGGCCGCCACGGCCGTTGAGTGACTCGAGCTTCTTACCGACGACGTTCTTGCGGCTAATCCAGCCCCAGAAGAGCGTACGCTTGGCCAGATCAAGACCGTTAGCGACAGCTTTAAGGCGATCGTCGGCATCAGTCGGGTCGAAAGTGACGGCGTGCGTAGGAGTCTTCTGAACCCAGTTGGCTGTTGTGTTCGGCAGCTTCTCGATGCTACCGACGGCTGCGTGCGTGGGACTACTCCCGTCGGTGCTACGGATGCGAGCAGGCGCAGGCTCGAGCTGAGGGACTTGCTGTTTGTAGTCGACAGGGACGGTGACTTGCTGAGGTGGCCCTGGACGTGGGTCGTAGCCTGCCATAGAGTCTGCGCCACGCATGTAGCTTGGATACGAATCAGTGCTCTGCATGTCGTCCTGGTCATTGCCCGTGTTCGTAGCGGCATTGTTGAGCGTCCCAGTGATGGAAGGAGCCGTGACTGGACCACGAGGATCGGCTTGGGTGACGAAGCTTCCACTTGACTTTGACTCCGTCATGGTAGCGCTTGAGGCGGCGTGCCTGACGGCGGCACTCTTAAGGGTGCTTTGGAGCAGCGAGCGGTTGGCTAGAGACCGAGGGACGAACTCGGCAACGGAGATAGCATGCTGCAAGCTGGAGCTGCGAGCACTGGATAGACCATTCGCTAGGTAAGACGTCATGCTGGCGCTCGAGGCAGCGTTCTGGAGAGGGCGAGGATTGCCAGCAGACTCACTATTATCTGGGCTGACGTTGATATACTTGTAGTTGTGAACGTGCGTAACGTTGCCTTTGCCGCCACGATGACCTCCACGAGGACCGCCGCGATAACCGCCGCGCTGCATGAGAGAGCCATCGAAGCTGTCGATGCTACGGCTGTTCTGCTGGAAGCGCTGATTGCCGTTCCAGTCACCCGTGCCCATGATTGGCTGTGCAGCGTACGAGTTAGAAGTCGGGGGATTGACTGGAATGTAGTTGCCGTGACCATCCACGATGCACGTGAACAATCCGCCTGAGGTCGACGTGTTTGCGACATCGCCGGCGCCGTCGAAAGCTGGAGGGCCGTTGCGGGAGGGAGTGGAAGGCTGCATAGGCATGGCAATGCCAGCACCATAACCAGTGGCTTGTCGGAAAGCGTTCTCCTGAGCGCGCCAGTTGTTGGAGGCGAGCACATTGCGCTGCGGGGCTGTGATGTTGCGAAAGTTGCGGACGTCAGAGGGTCCAGGGCCGATGAAGTCGTTCGATGAATTGTAGAAGGCCGCCTGAGCTTGCTTCTGGAGGTTCCTCTGAGCGTACTTAGCAGCCTCCTCCTGAGCCTGCGCTGGCGTGAAGGCGAGAATGTTGCTAATGTGTGGCGACTCTGCGTAAATCTGGATGGTTTGGCGACCAACAGCAGACTCGAGATGCATGCCATTCCACGTGTTGCTGACAGCCAAGTCTTTCTTGCCTGTGCGAAGATGGTTGAACTTGCCGAAAGTGACGTTCTTGACGTAAATCCAGGTGACCGGGATAGAGCTTGTAACTATCAGTGACGTTGCGCTTATTTCAGTGAGACAAAATGAACTCACCCGACACTTTCATGAGTATCATCATTCCACCCCTCAATAGAGTGATTCTTGTCCCACGGGCCGCTCATCTCTGCAACACCGCAGAATTGGCCGGAGCTAGTAACGGCGAAGAGGAGCAAAACCTTCTCCTGCTTGTCCTTGCGAGCGTCCCAGATCTTCATGATGCGCTCTGATACCTTGTCGAGAGTCGACCAGACCTTGTTGCGCACCGAAAAGCGGACATTCTCCTCGGAGTTTGTCTTGATGGTGATGATGCGAGTCTACCAGCGATCAGTATAGCTCGATAGAGGATGTGAATACTAGGAACACTTACTCCGAATGGCACTGCGTAGAGGTCTGGGTTCAGGCCCTTGAGATCGGCAAGCGCGCCTGGATACGATTGAATGATCGTAGCTCTGATATCAGTAAGGATGCGCTTGAAGCCCCACGAAGAGGACTTCTGGGTCATGACTGGCGTCTCTGCATTGGCGAGCTCGGGGTGAACCATCAGGTAGTGGTCGCTGAGTTCGCTCATGGTCGACTCCGTGTCGTAGTCCTCCATGATGCGTATCGATGGTTATCAAAACGCTTCCTGTGAGCTCTGTGAAATGTCAGCCTACAAGTCCGGCTGAGACGCGAATCATGCGATGTGTGAGTGTGGCAGAATCCAGTCAGCAGCGGTCGAGTAGGGGGAGAGTGAAAGTGTGCGACAAAGCGCGTGAATTGATGTTGTTTTGCTCGCGCGGAGGGGAGCTCCCGGCGGCATAACACCGGGGTCCAGAGCTCGTTGGCCAGAAAGCTGGCATTGCAGGAGCTATGACATCCTCTTTGAAGAACACGCCTAGCTGCTGGTTCTATCTCGTGGCGCATATTCAGCAACGGCTAGCCATCACTGCCCCAGACAAAGATAAACGGGTGAATGAAGCCCCTGTCTCGTCGGTGCAGATTGCGGTGATTCAAAATTCGCGAGGACCTACCAGCTTCTGCGGCACCGCATCTTTGTCTGGAATGACAAAGTGGCCTCAATGAAAGCCGACCGTCAGCTTGCAGAATGACAGGTGGGGAGGTAGTATCTCCAACGCCCGGACGAAGGCATAAGCCTCTGGAGCGTACTCCTGATTAATCGATGACAAGCCTTGAAGGAGTATGAAGCTGCGGCATCCGAACGTCTGCACCAGCCACTTGTTCGAGCACTATCAGTCACAACCAGGCCAGGAAGCTCGAACAAGATTTAAGCCATTCAGATCGGTGATTGCACACAATCCTGCACTGCCGTCATGCAATTCAGGAAAACAATGTACCTCAGCTGCGGCTTAGCGGGATCGAGCAGTTCGATACTGGCACCATGGTGCTGGTCACAAGATCTATTCATCGTTTACAACTCGACTCCCCGCAGATCCGTTGGTATAGCCTCTCGTAGTGTTCTGGAGATTTGCTGCAGGTGCTGCACAGACAAGCACTGGACCATGTTGAAGATCAATGTCTCAGCCTTGGCTCCAGGCAGCTGCCCATCACTGCTTGCGATGTTGCAGAAGCTCACGCCAGGACTTGATGCTTGAAATGTTTAGACTATCGGGACCGCCTGATGGAGCCATCAGCGATATCCTGTCGAAGGAGGTGCACTTCTTCCCGCCAAGCTCGCTCAGATCGCTGCTAATCGCGTGCATGACCATTGTGCTGATTTTCACTCGAAGATGTTGTCCTCGTAACATCATTGTCTGAGGCCATGGACAAAACCAGCCCCAAGCTGTTGTGCATCCTCCTGTGTTGTAGGGTTTGGCCGTCAAAGCGAATCTGTCCTCCGAGAGCCTATATCGCCGCCTACCCTGCCGGGACACATTCTCGAGCTACACAGGAGTGTTCTGAGAAGCGCGTTGACGTGATTGCTGTTGATTCATGCGCACAAGATCTGCTTAAAGCGTAAAAGGTCAGTATCGTGGTCGAGGTGAAGTTCGCTCGCCATGCGGAGATCGCCGTTCCAGTCTGGTCCAGACGGAAGAATGCTCAGCCGCAGTTCCTCACCTGAACTTCACCATCACCACAATCGGCGCAAGCACTGTGGCGTGCTTTTTACTCCAGGCAGTGAATGGAGTATCTTTTCTCTGTGATGCGCACTGGTAGTAGGTGTGAAGGAAAGAACGAAATGACGATAGCGACAGCCCTTCCCTTAGACTGCTGAAACATGCCTGAACATCTCCCAGCTAGGAGCCGAGCGTCTCTGACCGCCCCAGGCTGCACCGAGAGCGACATCCTGAGCCTTGGTCATTGTCGTAGCTCAGTGTCGATAGCTGGAGCAGAGGGAGCTTTGTCGTGAGGTGGAAAGGCCGTGAGCCCTGGAGGCCCGTTGGCATATCTAAAAGCTTTGAGACGGATCTTGCAGCCACAATACCCCGGATACCACAGGCATCGTAGGTAGCACGATGTGTGGTACATCTGTTCACGCTTCTGTTGATTGAGCCGTGGCCGTGTTCTCGTCAGGCCTCACCTTGGCCCTCGGACCACGCTGTACGGTCGACGAGCATCGTCTGCCACGGGACAGGGAAGCGCAATTAGAACCATTTGGCCACGGACAGACTCCATCGCCGTTGGCTGTGTATACTACTCAAGTCAAGACAAGGTGAGAAGTTGCGTTGGAGAGTCATGATCGGACCAAGACGCAGTAAGTGAATGTACAGTTTGAAATTTCGATCACTGCTATCTGCTTTCATATCTTATGCATATAACGCTCGAAGTATGTTCCAGTCCTTCATCAGATGTCGCGACTGCCTCTTTCATCAGACACCACATTCGCGCGTTGGCCAACCTCACTTGTCTGGACGTCAGCTCATCACACCTCACTTTCCACACTTCAACTCACTTCTTCCACAACATTCTCCAAGTTGTTCGCACTACGACTCAGGGCTACGGAGAACACACGACATCGCATCAAAAGCAGCAGTGGCTGCGCGTGGCCACACCATGGCAACCATACAGATTCAGAGAACGCGAAATGCACCGACCATCACCAAGACAGCCATTACTCAGAAGCAGAGCCTCGAGATCGTGCAGACCATGCTGCATGGCTCGGTATGTTTGAAAACTTTGAGATCAGGGCATTTTAGCTGACTTGTGGCATAGCTCAGCACACTAGCATATCTTCGGTGATTCCATACTACGACATGCTGCAAGCCCGGCATACGAGCTGACCAGTCTAGTGCTCTGTTCGCCGAGAATACATTCGACACACAAGTCTACGACATGGGGCAAGACGTATACTCTTACAAGGATTACGCTGCGGGCAAACTTACCAGGAAAGCGAGCCAGGCGAATCCTCCGCATACAGTCATGCGCATCCTTCGCCGCGGTCGTAGTAGACGCGCTGACAAGTTTCTGGACTGGTTGGCAAGTATTCCCGTAAGCACCAGGTTTCTAAAGCTGACAGTGAACAGGAAAGGGGTGCATTTGTCGCGATCAAGGCTGGCCATTTGCATGCTCTGCAAGTCTATGTCCACGGCGACCCTGACGACCGCTCCAAAGTCCTCGAGACGTACACCTTCACATTCAAGTACAGTGTCACAGACGCTGATCATGTCGATGTAACGGGCGTCGAGCTGGACACACCTGGTAGTCTTATCAGCCTTCAAGCGACTAACACTGCGTTTCAGTCTATGGTGCGGCGACTGATGACGATGTGTCCAACGCTGCCAGAGCTGCCTGGTCTGTCTTGCTATTCCTTTGCATATGACCACGACTGATAATGTCTGCAGCCCAAAGATATGTGTCGATGGAGCTCTTCTACGCCCCCGGTGTCTCGCAGTACAAGCCAAGAGATTTTGTGCCCAGTACGATCGACACACTTGCACTTCCCGTAGCGGATGGCTGGGACAGGGAGACGATGGCGCTTGCTCCGCTTGATGCTCGATTCCATGGGTGAGACTGATGGCCTTCCCTGTTGCGCTCTTACCATGCACTGACATCCTTTAGCTCAACTATGCAGATCATGACGCTGGTTGACCCAGCTGCCAAGAAATACACTGAGCCTCCAGTCACGTACTACCCAGCGATCGTCCAGTATACTTCCAGGGTCTCCAAAGCAGCAATCCTGGGCTTGACCGCTGCTTCGGGATGCACCGACGAAGTCCAGAAAACGGTCTGCCGCTCCGATTCGGACACCGTCACTCCTTCAACGATCGTGACCGAGCTCAATAAGCAGAGACAGAATGTGGACGGGGACGTACCGATCACTCACAAGCTTGTGCAGGCCGCATCAGAGGATGCCTTCCCGAAGCCTGTGATGCCGGAGACCGAGCCTCAAGAGACGCCAGGTCCGATCTTCTTAGCCTCTGATTCGAACACGGCCGCAAGGATGAGGCCGTATAGACCTTCTATACCTGCTGCGGTGAGGACCCACAATGCTGAGAACGTCGAGTCACAATCGAGCAACATTGCTGGAATGCAGCATGCATTCTGTAACATGATGCATCCGGAACATATCAGCCAAGGCGAAACACAGACACTCAGTCAGATGACACAACCACTCGTTCAGAAAGGCCGGAACACAAGCCTCGGTCACTCAGCTAGCTCACCACCCCAGGTAGCCTTGCCAAGCACAGCGAAGCGCGATGCACTCATGTTGTCGCCCTCCAAAGCCAGCAATCTCAAGCAAGAGCAACGGCAACTGAAGAACACTGCCATTGAGATAATCAAGCACAGCGGAAGACGCGACCTAAAAGGTGATCTCGTGCTCTGCCAGTGCGACCATCACAAGGAAGAAGATGGCATGGTGCAGTGCACATACTGCAAGACTTGGCAGCATCTGCCATGCTACGGGTATACAGGAGTCGACGATCCACGCCTACCAGACGAGCACACGTGCTACCAGTGTTTACTTGACAAGGACGAGCACGCCACCCTAGTTCGACTACAAGACCTAGCACTGAAGAGACGGGTGATGGATTACGCCATCCAGCACGGCTTCAGGTCGCAGAAGCAACTCGTTGATGATCTCGGTAAGGTGCATCTAACTCCGCTCTGTCATGAGACCTCACTGACTTTCATCCACAGAGCTGCAGCCACGTCAAGCCCCCACCGTCATGGCCTTCTTGAAGACAGCCGGCTATCTCGTGGATGCCTCTGGTGCCCACAAGCCAGGTTATGCTGCGTCCCGCAAGCCGAGCCTCGTGGCGGTCATCAGCGGCCCAAACCATCAAGATATGCTTCAGACTCTTTTCGATCCCCTCGCACTAATTGCACATCATGTAAGACATAATCCTATTGTTGGCTCCAACGAAAGGCACTGACAAGCCACAGTACAAGCTGCCAGCCAGGCCAATGACCCAACTCAACCTGACGCAACATCTTCTGGCGTCCCAAGCACCCGACATGCCACCGCCTGCCACACCTACGGTCCGCCATCACAAGGGCGTATCTGCCACACCAGGTTCTGGTCTCGACATTCGTGCTTCGATGGCACCTTACGAGACACCAAGTCGTCCTCGCGGCCAAGCTCTCGCTCCTCGGAAGCGTCCTGCGGAAGAATCGGTTGATTCCAACTTCTTCAAGCGCTTCAAGAGCATGCAGACGAAGTGCGTCCTGGATGCGAATGGCATGACCTCGAGTCCAGCGTTCTACACTTCCGATCTGTAGATGGCTGACCACGATCCAAAAAGTCCTGCCGAAGGAGTGGGGCCATCGTAGTACCGCGATAGTGCTGCGCATTGATATCGTGATATGTTGGAGGAGAGTTTCTGTGGTATATAACGAAAGATCTGTATGGGCCAACAGATGCACGGAGATCTACAACTTGTAGATGTCTAGTGAATGCAACGGCTGTATTACATCTGTGGCATGGTCAGAGATATCACTTTTCTGGCAGCAATTACGATATGTAGACACGAACTGTGACTGCTTATTGATGCACAGTCTTGAGCTTGAAACAACGTCTGCCCTCCCCATCGAAGCGAATCAGGCCTTGACCACCACCCACTCTCTGATAGCCGGCTCCCCATCCTCTTCCTCCTCCTCCTCCTCCTCCTCCTCCGTTCGCTCGAGCCACTGCTCCATCACATCCCCATCACAAATCCATTCCTGCTCAAATCTGGAAGTCACACCACCATCCCCAAATCTATGTGCCTGCCGCATCACTACTCGGCGCCTCGCCCGCCTGTAGTCTAGCGTGCCCCAGAAGGTCTTGAGAGGATGCGTTGTCAGGATCGTAAGCTCGACAGAGAGGCTAGAATGAGCGAGAGTGGCATCAAGACGCTGTAGTTGCGCCACCATGGACGGGAGAGGAAGCGCCCGAAGAAGGCTAAGAGGTTCACGTAGCTCATCCGGGCACGTTGTGTCGTATACAACGCTGTCGTGCAGCTTGACATGCCTGACCCGATTGGCGACACCGAAACGAGTCTCGATGGTCTGTAGGCAATCGCGAAGGCGCAGCCAGACTGCTTCGGCGATGCGGGAAACACTCAGAAGTTGTTTGCCAGTTCGTCGCCCTTGATTGGGTGGAGCTAGGTCTCGTGGTTCGGCTCTCCGGACATGAGACCAGAAGTTCAGGTTGATTTTGGCATTATGGACGTGCCTTTCAGCCCAGACTTTGAGGTACTCGTCTCGAAATTGATGATCGACGAGTTGTAGCCTCGAAGCGTACTTTACTCTGCCACACTTCCACTCTTTGAGGTTCCTCGCTGTGTTATTGTATATCTCAGGGAGTTGTACATCAGAGCCAGGTAGGATGTTGTAGCCTTGGTATAAGTTCTCGTAGACCTGTATGCGCAGTTCACGTGGGAGGTCGAAGAAGCGGAATGCTTTTGGGTTGGTCGCCCGTGGCGGTGTAGCATCTGTAGACTTCGTCTCCGGAGGTAGTAGATCTGTCTGTACGCCATGTAGAGCCAGACTGTCATACTTAAGGCCGAGTGAGATGTCAGTACTGGAAGTCATCATGTCGTTATAAAACAGCGGTCTGGCCACTGAGGACGGAATCTGGCGAGGCTGTAGATGCAGTGCTTGCCAGGGCTTCGGGATAACAATGAGTCGGCGAGTGACTCGCAACGAGATCAAGACTATCGTGCACTCCGATCCATCCATGTATTACTTACCGACTGCCTCGTCTAATCCATCAATGTAGAATTGTGCGGTGTTCATTGCACGAGAGGAGAAGTGGCTACCAGTCGCCTCGTCAAAAGATAATTTCGGACAGCCTCACATTTTCGAGACAGGTTACCAGACTCATTTCCAACGCTGCTATACTCGTGGGAAAGCCTATCTTGTCATCGTCCGCTACAACTGAGCCTGATCATGAGCCGTCGTTCTGCTGTCTCTGTTTATTGTTGTTTCATTGTGATCGTGCATGTTTGTTTGCAACATACTCTCGCACAGTGAAGGTAGGCGGGCACTTCTTGTTGGTGGCGGCGCTTGGCTTCGGAACCGGGACTTGACTTCTCCACATTCGCTCCTCCTCCACCCACGGAACCACAGCTACTCTCACACCCGACTCTCCTCCTCCTTGCCTTGCATGAGAGTCTGACGGTGCCGGCCACATCTCACTTCCCCACTATGGCCTCACCCAGACGTGTTGGGCTCGGACTGAGCACAAACCAGGCCTACGTCCCCGAACACGCCCTGTCCACAGCACCGGCATCACCTGTCGACGACCAGGCTGGTGACGTCGTGCTGCCCATGAAGGAGAACGTGACCACAGCTGAGATGCTACCACCGCCATTGAACAGTACCGTCAGCTCGCTACAATACGAAGACGCCATCCAGGAGACCATCGTCACCACTATCACCCGTACACGCACTTTACTACCACCGATACTCACGCGTCCACCCGTCGATCTTGCCGACCGTGACGCGAGACAATATGTCCTTGCTCATGCACCCACGCCAGCACATCTCAGAAGCGTCAAGATTGAGCAGGATGGACGAGTGGTCACGCTCGAGGAGGCAGCGGACCCCGCGGCTAAGGTGCGGGCGTACCAGGAGAAGCAGAGGAGGATAAGAGAGCATGGTGGCACTATACGTGAAGCAGCAAGACGGGATCGAGACTTTGACACTCCACTACGGCCAGCGCAGGCACAGAATCGGCGAGTGCAGAGCGTGAGGGAAGGCAACGGCTTGAAGCGAAGTGCTACTCCCGTGACCGTTCAAGATACTGCGGAACTCGGCAGTTACGAGCGGAAGATCAAGAAGCCACGCTCCTCGCTGCAGAGAACGCAGTCATCTATGGGCGAGCACCAGTATCTCAATCAGCGAACCTCTGCGGGAACATTTCAGCTGCCGACCAACTTCTTTTCGGCTTCACATGGCGAGAGCTCTTCAACAGCACCTGCCACCAGGGATGAAGACTCAAGAAGTCGACTGCGGAGGTCAGCCATGTCGCGTGAGGACATAGACGAAGGCGAAGAAGACGTACAAATGGCGGACGAGGATGCCGAAGATGCCGAAGACGATTCCCAGCTTGGCCCACCTATGTACGGCATGCATAAGAAGAAACAGAAGCAACGTGAATTCGATGCCGTTTCGGGTGCTAGCAGGCTATCCGGTACTTCGACACCTCCCACCGCAGAAGACGACGAGGTGGAAACAGGTCCACAACCTCACCATCCTGAACGTCAACGTCCTCAACTACAAAATATCTTGACTAGCTCGCAGCAAGACGCCAGCCTGCCTAGTCCAAGCTTGTCGCCGATAACAGCGGCGGCCAATGCTGCTCGTGCACGTAACCAGTTCGAGGAGTCCTTTGCTAGCCACAATGATCTGGAAAATGTCAGTGTCGTGTCGAATCTGGACCTGGATGATGAGCGAAGGGCGGCTTTCACGGCTAACAGCCACATGTCTGCACCCAACGGTATGCAGCCACCACACGCTGCAGCTTCAGCACAGAGTCTGTCGGTCCGCGATATACCCAAAGTGGTCGAGTTCTTCGACAGTATGCCCGACCAGCTGAAGACTTATATGATGTACCAACTGCTTCGTCGTTGCGCGAAGCCTACTTTGCAGATGGTCGCTGGTGTTGTCAACCCTGCGCTGAAGAGTGACCCATTCTCTGTGCTGCCAAAGGAGCTGGTTCTCAACATCACCCGCTTGCTCGATGCGCAAAGCATGTGCAGCGCAGCTCAAGTCTCACGAAAGTGGCGTAAGACGGTCAACGAAGATGAGACAGCCTGGAAAGATCTCCTCGACCGTGACGGATACGTGCTGCCAAAAGACGAGCTCCGGAGAGCTGTAGAACAAGGCTGGGGCTGGCAGCAGCCTGGCGAGTTTGGTGCCGAAGAAGATATTCGCGAATCGTCACGAACACAGACCCTCAGCGACGATGAAGAGACTGCCTCTTCTAGCCGCTCCAAGAGAAAGCTGTCCGTGAAGAAATCCAGATCCCACCGCTCCAAGCCTCAGGCCGTCGAGCTATGGCGTAGGAAGTTCAGAAATGCTCAAGGTCCCGAAGGCTACGCGAACGCCGCCATCGAAGCTCTACCACACCCCAGCGCAGGCCTCCCTTCGCTTCAAACCATGCATCTTTTCAAATCACTATATCAACGTCATTATCTCATTCGCAAAGCATGGATGATGGAAGAATCCCAGCCCCAGCACTTGGCCTTCAGAGCGCATCATCGTCATGTGGTTACGTGCCTCTTGTTCGACAGTGACAAGATCTTGACTGGGAGCGACGATACGAAGATATGTGTCTACGATACGAAGACCGGTGCGCTCCGAAGCAGGCTCGAAGGCCATGAAGGTGGTGTCTGGGCACTACAGTATGTTGGTGATACGCTTGTCTCTGGCTCGACCGATCGCAGTGTCAGAGTCTGGGATATCAAAAGCGGGAAGTGTTCGCATGTCTTTCAGGGTCATACGTCTACTGTGAGGTGTTTGGTCATCTTGCAGCCTACGCAGGTTGATACGGATGCTGATGGGAGGCCGATTATGATGCCTACTGAGCCTCTTATCATCACTGGCTCTCGCGACTCGACACTTCGCGTGTGGAAGCTGCCCAAGCCAGGCGATCCAAAAGTCACCCATCACGCACCTCCCACCAACGATCGAGACAACCCCTACTTCCTGCGCTGCCTCTCAGGCCACCATAACTCGGTGCGTGCGATAGCGGCCCACGGCGACCGTCTCGTCTCCGGATCCTACGACTGCACGGTTCGGGTCTGGAAAATCTCCAACGGCGACCTAATCCACCGCCTCCAAGGCCACACCCAAAAAGTCTACTCCGTCGTCCTCGACCACGCCCGCGACCGCTGCATCTCCGGCTCCATGGACAACCTGGTCAAAGTCTGGGACCTGCAGACCGGCACCTGCCTCTTCAACCTCGAAGGCCATACCTCTCTCGTCGGCCTCCTAGACCTCAGCCACGACCGCCTCGTAAGCGCAGCCGCAGACAGCACGCTCCGGATCTGGGATCCCGAGACGGGCGCCTGCAAAGCCACACTCTCGGCCCACACAGGCGCCATCACCTGTTTCCAGCACGACGGCCAAAAAGTCATTTCCGGCAGCGATAGGACGCTTAAGATGTGGAATGCTCGGTCGGGCGACTGCGTGCGCGACCTCCTGACGGAACTTAGTGGGGTCTGGCAGGTGCGGTTCGATGAGCGCCGGTGTGTGGCGGCGGTGCAGAGGAACAATTATACTTATATTGAGGTTTTGGACTTTGGGGCTTCGCGGGATGGCGTGCCGAGGGAGGCGTTGGGGCGGAGGGTCTTTGTCGATTCCAGGGGACGGGAGACGGTGGAGATTGATGCTGCGGCTGCGGTTGCTGCAGCTCAGGCGGATGGGGTTGGTGATGCTGCCGCCGCTTAGGTGGATGGCGGCTCTGGCGTGCAAGGGGTGCAGGTTCCGCCATCTGGCAATGTGGCGCCATTCGGTATACCTTCCGCCTCTGCATGTGCACCCTTCAGTTTTCGAAACCGCTGCATACTATCATGAATTGGCCTCACCGATATTCTACACGACGAATCTACTACCAAGCACCCCACTCACCATTATGCCTATCGACCACAAGGAACGAAAAGCAATCAACGGAAACGAAAGACGAGCCCCACCAACAAACCATAGGAATCCCCACGACCGATCAAACATCCTTACACTGCACGCAACTCAACGAAGAAAACGCGCGTTCCTCGGACTTCCAAGGGGCAATCGGAATCATGCTTTAGGCAGACAGGCGTGGTAGGGCATACATGTTCAAATATGCAATTCAGGGGAGGGACGAACAGGTGTTTAGGGCGTTCATGATTATATTGACAATGATTTGGGCGCCGCTCGTGATGACAAGACAAGCATGATGATGGGAGTTTAGTCGATATCCATTGGTCTTGTTGCGTGTTTTCCTTGCTACTCTCTGCATACAGCTAGCTCTCTCTCTCTATACGTGTACGACGGCCAGAAAGGCATGAATGGAAAAGGGAATATTTTATGGAATTTAGATTCTCTGTTCGGGTCCCAGGCGTGCTATCTGATGGAATATGGGGTCCACTGCTTTTGTTGTACACGATCCAGGACCTGTGAAAGGCGTGAGAGGGCAGTAAGGAAATCCATTTTGCTCCGAAAGAACTCACGCCGCCCTGGGTACTTTGGGTATCGTCCAGAACCTACATATCACATGCTACATCGTGACATTCATGTCTTATCACCCCGCAAGTGCCAACATCGCTGCAGTCTTCAAATCCACAAGAAGCCCACCATGCTCGCTCACCAATCCGGGCTCACCGCCCACCACTCGCCCGCCGTTCAATCTCCTCCTGCACCCCAGCCATCTGCGCTTCTTCGTAGCCCGGCGGAGGCTCATCCGGAGGCGGAAATGCCTGATCTGTAGGCTTGGGTACTGGCCTATCGTCTTCGACTGCTATGCCGCTATCTCTTTGCACATGACTCTGCCTCTGCCTTGGTCCCGCTGAGGTCGTCGCCGCAGCAGCAGCAGAAGAAGAAGAAGAAGGAGGAGGAGGCACCATGACGGGACTTAATAACGGTCCTGAGCTCTCCTCTTGATACGCGGGGAGCTCATCCAAATCCACATCCGGCATCCCGTTCGCAGTACTTCGTCCCGCAGCATCTGATCCCGACGCATCGCCCATCCGACCAACCTCCATTGCCTGCCCCAACCGCTCCTTCACCCTCTCGAACCCGGTATGGAAATCGAATGCCCCGCCTTCTTTGAACGTGAGCTTGATCTCCACTACCCCACTCCCAGGCACGGGAATGCCTCCACCGGACGTAGGCTGCAACAACGCCATCCAGACATTCGGCCCAAAGAACGGAGCCGTGACGTGCGAATCGTGAAGATTCAGAATCGGCGCGGCGAAGGACTGGAATGTCGTCGTTGGTTTGTCCGGGAGGTAGATGATGCGGCGGTTGGTGAGGTAGAGGATTCCGGAGGCGTGGGCAAGACTGTAGGGTTTCTGTTGTTTGGCGGGATAGTGGCCTGGGGTGGTGATGTTGAGGCCGGTTCGGGGCGGGGAGGTGAAGAGGATGGTTTCGTTTGGTAAGGGGGTGAAGGGTGGGGTGGTGGTGGTGGTGGTGGAGGGCGAGAGCATTACCCAGCTGCTGAGATGTGAGCGGAGGCGTTGGGAGGTGGAGTGGGAGCGGGTGTGGGAGTGATTGGAGGGTGGGGTGGTCATGGTTAGGGTGCAGGTGGGTGACATAGTAGGCAGGCGAGTGGTATTTGTCGTCGATGAGGTAATGAGGTGGTAGAGACGGGTGGGTGTGGGCAAGACTTACTTGATGGACATGGTGTACTATATAACCAGCCCGCCGAGCGAGGCAGATGCAGGTGCGGACTCGATGTACAGCACAGTACTCCTCTTCCTGTATGTCCCGGGACACAAACGTCTGTGCAGGCTGGCAGCCTCACATGCAAGTGCTGAAGCTTCCCGAAAGGCACTTCAGTCCTTCACGTGGGTGACGTGGATGGTCTGGACGGGTGGCGCTTTCGGTCGCTGCTTCCCCGTTGCATGAACCAGTGCAAGGTACCGCTGTTGGACGAATGAAATGGCGTGATACAGTACTATCGAAGGCGTAAGTGTCATCTGAATCATGTCAATATTTGGGGCCCGCTCACCGTGATCGAAGGGTCCGAAGGTTTGCGGGTTGTGGTTGGAAAGAGACGTGGGGGAGGGCGCGTTTGCCGCGTGAGATTCGCTTCGCTTCCACTTCCAGGCGCGCGTGACGCGGGGCGCAAAATGCGGAGATCGCCACCGTTGCAGTACTGTATGCCGACAGTCCTATCATGATACTAAAATGCTATGGCTAGGGCTAGGCTGTAATACTAAGCGAGTGGTGGTCCTCGGCGAAGTGGCTACAGTGTACATCATCGCAGTCATCGTTCCTTCAGTACATAATGCTACAGTAGATTTCAGATCATACTCCACCTCAAACCCCTCTCAACCCCTACCGCCTCCCTCTCCCCATCAAATTACTCCTCGCCGTCGTCCCCAACCGATGCACCGCCGCCCTCTTCTCCCAAACCCCACTCTTCCCCTCCACCACACTGATAATCTCCTCCGCGACCCTCGTCGCAAAACCATCCCTTCCACTTCCCCTACTCTTCCTCTTCGACGCCGCGTCCAAGATCCATGTAAAAGCCGTTCGACGCCTCTGTCTCAGACCGAGAGGGACGGGGATTTGGAGTGCGACGCCACCGCCTGCTGCACCGCGCTGGCTGCGGATTCGTAATAGAGGGGCGACGGAGTCGAGGGCGAGGGTTAGGTAGAGGACGGGGTGTAGAGGGAGGTGGGAGGCTGGTGGTGCGCCGGGGAGGAGGGGTCGAGATGGGTTGTAGGTTGGTGCTGGGGCCGTGCGGAGCGTGGTGAGGATATGTGCCATGTTCCTCTCGGCCACGGATTTCTTGCCGTCGATCATCATGAGGTTCGTCACCTGGAGTACTACCGGGTCGTGGCGGTGCTTCAGATGCGCATTCGATGGGAGTGGTAGAGTGGGAAGTGGGAACTTGTGGCCCTTCTTCTCCTCCTGCACGATTTGAGGGGCGGTGGATTGCTGCTCTTGGAGTTGTGCGTAGCTTGCGCGCTGGGAAGCACTTGGAAGCATGGAAGGGTCCAGATCTGCTGCACCGCTCTCTGTGAAAGCTTCTACTCGTCGTCTGGCAAATGTAGAGAATGAGCGGCTGCTTCCTGGAGTGTTCGGGTTGAGAGACGGTTTGGCATTTTGTGCTCCTTCGCCTGATTTGATCGAGTCTTTGATGACTTGAGGTGCGGTCTTTCTAATGTCCTTCTCATCTGCTAGGATCTTTGCACGATAGTCAGTATATCGTACGATGTCTCTCATAGTATCACCACTTCCTTACCTCCTGCACAGGCGTCCCAACATCCATATCCGGTCCCTCCTTGCCCATGATTTTGTCCATCTTCGCCTGCTCCTCGCTCACATGCTCCTGCTGTTGCATATTGGGTCCCACTTCCCCTTGAGCATCCCCCGCACTTTGCGATGCTTGAGGCAGGGCATTGTGCTTGGGATTGGTGGCATACGCTCGGTATGAAGAAGTGGTCGTGGCGGGTCGCTTGACACCAATGATTGAGGCCGTCGCTCTGACATGAGGGCGGAAAGCTAAGGCCCTGGCGGCGGATATGGGGTTGAGAGGCGGCATTGCTGTGTATATGACGAATCGTACTATTATTGCTTGTGTGTGGTGCGTGCAACATCATGACTGCTCCAATGCTCAATTTGCGGAGTTCGGATGAACTTCGGCAATGTCGAACAACTCCACGACCACTTTCACATGCAAGCCAATACAATACATCCACACATCCCATGGACTTCCTCCGCCTCCCCCCCAGTCTCCGACACTCCCTGCTCCACCAGCCACTCCTCCGCCGCTACCTCTCAACAACATCAACATACCAACCCTTCAACGACCCGACCCCCTTCATCCCCACCACCCCGTCCCTCCTAACCCTCTCAACCACAAACCTAAACACCTACCAGATCGCCCTACCACCCACCCCAACCCAATTACGATACGCCCATACCTTCTTCGTCTCAGCCCCACCGACCTACCTCTTCACCTCCCCCTTCTTTCGCTCCTTCCCGCCGTCTCAACACCCCGAAGTCGCATTCCTCGGCCGCTCGAATGCGGGAAAGTCCTCCCTCCTCAACGCCTTGTTCGGACGAACTAATGTCCGCGATGCGCATGTTTCGAAACGACCAGGACGAACGAAGACGATGAATGGATTTGGTGTTTCTGGTGGCTTGGTCATGGGTAGAGCTCCACTGGAAGGGCAGAGAGAGGTAGCCTGGAAACGTTTCCCGCGGGGTGGAGTGGTAGTGGTAGATATGCCCGGCTACGGCGGTGGGAGCAGAGAGGAATGGGGCAAGGAGGTGATGAAGTATCTGGAGAACCGGAAGCAGTTGCGGCGGACGTTCGTGCTGGTGGATGCCGAGCATGGGCTCAAAGGGACGGATATCCAGTTACTGACGCATTTGAGGCGGCGAGGGGTTGCTCATCAGATTGTTTTGAGCAAAGTCGATAAACTTCTGTTCCCTAATGCGAAGCCGCCGGGTGCAGAGAAATTGAGTAATGGGCTTCTGAAGCTCAAGGAACTTTGTGCGGATGTTAAGAGTACGCTGAATCGGGAGGCGGGCGATGGGAGGGAGCGGTTGATGGACGTGCTTTGTTGTAGTTCGGAGAAGAGTTTGGAGGTGGGGAGTCAGGGGCAAAGGGAAAAGAAGGTGGGGGTTGATGAGGTGAGGTGGGCGGTATTGAGTGCTTGTGGGTTGGAGTGCGATGAGAAGGGTGGGAGGAGGAAGATGGGGGGGATGGATATTAAGATCCAGGATGAGGGGTGAGCGGATGTGGTTGCCATTGGAACTCATATATTGATGAGACAGGTGTGATATTGGCGATGACGCCTACAACATAGTTGTCGCGACAGCTCAGGAATGGTACGCTCGGTGAGCTGACGAGGAGTATACCAGGGCGAGGAATAACCACGCAAATGTCGAGCCGTGCAAAGCATCTGCCCGTACACCCAGGAAGCGGTTCATTCACGTAAAGGAGATCAAGGGGCGGCGCGCAAACAGACTGGTTGTGTCCGAGCTCGAGCAGAGGATTTGCTGCCCGTACACCGGACCTCCCTTCCCTTTCAGCTCATACACAGCGCGTGGTCGACAAGCAATAAGGGCAGACGCGCAAGGCAACAGGAGGAAGTAGATCAGCATAATATGGCCCTTTGCCGCAATACAGGCCACGAGATCTGGCTTATTGTCATCATGTAGGTCGTCACAGAGTACTCTCCTTCTCCTCCTTTGAGTCCGCTCGTAGGGACTTGTTTGCTGCACTTCACATATAATAACTCCACCGAGCTGCAACGTACCGTCCTTACATTGCATTCACTTCACGCGATCACATGCATACCAGAGTCTCTCCTTTCCGTTCCGTCCCCTTTTTCTCTGCTCTTCAGGCAACCACGACCCGAGCGTGGTAACCGAATTCGTTCCTTCCTCGTTCGTACGCTGCTACCCGCTGCAGATCCCACCTTCCTCAAACACTGACAACGTGGTCCCCAACACAAACAAAGCACAGCTCACATACACATTCTTTCCTCCCTTTTCCACGATGAAAAAATCATCGCACCTCTTCAGAAACCTCAAGCGTTACTTCCGAGGTAGTGCACAAGGTCTCTCGCATTACCCGACCAAAGTCGCCTCAAGCCGCGCACCCTCCATCACTGGTGGCGACACGAACAGCGGAAGCGAGCTCGACCTTGAGTACGTACCAGCCTCGATCGACGAGGATATATACGGAGACGAGGCCGCAAATATGCCCAAGTCTAACAAATTCGATTATTCGAAGAAGAAGAACACAGGGGTAAGTCTCGGTCAATTCATCGCGAAGCAATTGGACGGCGAGGCAGATGCGGTGAAGCGGGCGGCAGAGAGAGCAGCAAGGAAGAGCATCAGCAGCGTAGACGGCCCTGATTCTGACACATCGGTAACGCACCACATCGACTTGAAGGTGCCTGGCAAGGAGCTCGGAGACAATGGGTTGAGTGTGCTGTGTGACGGGCTTGAAGCGGCACTCGGCAAAGGCACTGCAGACGCTTCTCTGGCTCTGGAAGATGTTGACCTTACTGCCAACGATCTGACCACGACGGGCCTCGCTCGCTTCGCCCCTGTCATACGCAACGCGAAATTTGACATCAAGAGTATCGTACTTGCGCATAATGCAATCACTGTTGAGAGTGATCAGCAAGCTGGCGAATGGGAGACGTTCTTGCGCTCTTTCGCGGACTGCCAGAAGCTAAGAAGACTTGACCTAAGCGGCAATCCTGGCCTAGGTCGTCGGGCTATGGAAGTCCTTGCAATGGTCCATGTTCGCGAGCCACAAGTTGATCCTATTCGTGCCATTGGTGAGAGCGACGTGCAGTCACTGCACTCCACCACTGGTGACGACAGCCGCACACGGTCCGGCAGCCTCTCACTCGAAGTCAATGGCGACACTGGACGACTACGGCACACGATCTCAGATGGGCGCACACTGACAAGACGCCGTGGACTGAGATCGATCCCGTTCATCTCTCTGAAGGCATGTAGCCTTAGCGATGCAGGCGCACTGTGGCTCTCCTATGTCATCGAGGATCACTATTACCCTGTCCAGCTGGTCAGTGAGCTTAATGCCGCCATGGCCGATTGTAGCATTGAGGCTTACCGGCAGGATAGCAAGGCTCATGGTATTGACTGGTTAGGTAATGACGCCACCCTCACCAAGGATGGTCTTTCACTCCTCATCAAGACAGAGTCGGTACGGAAGCAGACGGTCTTAGACGATCGTAGCACGCTCCCTGGGTCTATCCCAGTCGAGACTTCTCCAGTGTCGGTCAGTCAAGGCAACGGCGTTCCCGCAGAGCGGAGGCTACCTCGTGCAGCACCAGGCAGCCGACGCGTCAGCCTAAAGTCGACGGTTTCTGCTGGAGATGATGAGCAAGGTCTCACTGAGCTCGACAGCTGGCGCAAGCGCATCCAGCGCCAGATGATCGCGCACGACGAGGCAAAGAGCGCTGATCTATGGCATGCGGCTCTGCGACTACTCCGTGTTTCCCGCTGTCTACGCATGGCAGCTCCTACCACTTGCGTGATCTACACCGGACCGAAGTTGTTCATCTGCTCAACAGACAAGGTCAAGCCACTTACGATCCGCATCCTGAGCCCTGTGGCCCCGATCAAAACAAGTATGGGTGGACAAGCAGTCCAGCTGTCTATCGATCCTGCGAAAGCTCAAAGGAACTCTTATGCTGGGACACTTGGCAGTCCGGAGGTTGCGCTTACTGATGTTACCAATACGCCCACCACGCCAAAGCGGGTATTCAAAGCCCATCGCAAGGACGCCTTCAGCCACGGCGCTGACTCTGACACTGTGACGGAGAAACTCTCTGGCCTGGCCATACGGATCGCCTCCGGTGCAGAGTACTTGCATTACCAGGAGGACCGTATGAATAAACAAGGCGGGACTGCTTTCCGTGACATGAGCAGTGTGTGCCACTTGCCGCAAGAGCTTCTGGGTCGCATACTCGGTCTGGCTGTGGGAGAGAGAGAGATGGCGCTGTTTTCGGAGTTGCAGATGAAGGCAGTGGTGGGCTGGGGCATGAGGAGGGAGACGTTGACCACAGGTTTGCAGGGCAAAGATCTAAGTTTCAGAGCGTGGATGTTGCTCGACAAGATCAAGTGCATCGAATATGCTGCGGAGTGAATGGATGCGCGGTTCACTGGCTGGTAGTGGGAAGGGGCGTAGTATAGTCGTGGCCAAATTGGCTGTGATGGCTGATAAAGGCGGTAGTAGTTTAGCACAGACCCGCAGTGTCCTTCTCAATGGAAACCGATCGTGACGCTGCATCTAAATGTCAAAGGCTGCCATCTTGCTCTGCAACATGCAAGCATACAAGCTCCAAAAGCGACATTACTTTACCCTCAGAGGTGACGTGCTAGTAGCTTGTCTTTTGGTCTGCAAAGCCTTAGGATTGATTTGTAGAAGTCGAAACTCTCTCAGTAGGTCACCATGAAGCTGACCTTTATCCATTCACTCACTTGCGGTTGCCCATGAATCATGGCTTGCACCTTCTCCATCTCGGTAAACGTGATTGGCTTGTCGGCCCCGCTTGCCAGCTTGCCGCTGCTCACAGAATGAGTCAGGGCAACCACGACGACTCATGAAAACTTAGTCGACTCCCCCTCACGAGTATTCTGCCCTCATCCGTCGCCTCGCTCTCTCACGCTCCAGCAAGCCCGCCGCCGCCATGGCTACGTCTCATCCCAGCGTCTATCCCTCGCATGGCTCTGCCTATCCAACACACTCTCCTCAAGCCACAGCCGCTGCTGCTTTGTCGGAGCAGCTCCCATCCTTACAGCAACAGCAGGAAGCGACATCTAACAAGAAGCGAAAGACGAGTGGTGCGCCTGGCAGCAGGGGAGTCGCTAATCTTACGCCTGAACAGCTGTCGAAGAAGCGCGCGAACGACCGCGAAGCACAACGCGCGATAAGAGAACGAACACGCAACACCATCCAGAATCTCGAACAGCGCATTCGCGAACTAGAATCGCAGCAACCTTTCCAAGAACTACAACGCGCACTTTCAGAACGAGATAACGCGCTGCGAGAGTGCGAAGACTTGCGACGAAGATTAGCCGGTGTCGCACAACTAGCAGGCACATCTGCCGCAGCAGCCGCCTTACAACAACAGCATGGCGGACAAGCAGGTCCGATTGCAAGCTTGAATGGTACGTTCACGATCGATGATCTTATCGATCCGGTTTGGCTAAATCCAGACGGAGCAGAGTTGGCCGCTGTCACAGCACAGCAAGCTCCGCTCCCTCCACACCCGGCATCGGCAGCCGCTGCCCATCAGCAACAAGGACAGTATCCTGGATATGCAGACCATGTTCATCCGGCGTTGCGATCACCAAGTTATGCTACGACGCACGGTAGTCCCGTCAGTCAGGCATCGCGGCCGGACTCTTCGGCGAGACATGGGCAGTGGAGTCCTAGTGTGAGTGCAGTGAATAGCCAGCAAGGTTCCCAGTATCCCTCGCATGGCAATGGCGCGCATTACGATAACCAACTTCCTTCTCCAACAGCGCTACTGCAGCAGTCCGGCAATGGCGAGCGATTGGGTCTCAACTATATCATGGACAGCAAGGCCTCTCCGCAGAATTCGCCACCGCTCTACGCCAGGCTTCCGGCCAACATGCCTCCGGCATCACCTCTGGACTCGCTACTAAGTGACTTCATTGCGACCCGGCGACAACTCCTGCAAAGCGGCAAGACAAAACTAGAAGCACTTGGTCCAGAGTATCCCTCCTTCGCCGCTCTCCACGACCCAAGCAAGAAAAGCAGCTCCCACCCTGTCTCAAATCTGCTAATCGACATTCTTTCGAAGTTCCCGGACATCTCCGCGCTACCTGAGAAAGTTGCCGTCCTATACATCATGTTCCTGGTCCTCCGCTGGTTCATCTGCCCTTGCTCGGATTGCTACGAACGGATGCCGGAATGGTGTCGACCCGTTGTGGAGCAACTTGAGCGCCAGCATCCACATTGGGTCGACCATCTGCCTTGGTTAGTAGAATCGTCGTCCTCGTCGTCTTCGTCGCATGCAATTACGGAAACAGCAGCAGCAGCCACGACACCAGAAGAGGAGGAAGAGATTGATTTCGCGGAATTGTTCGGTGATGATGTGTCGCCACTAGCTCTTTCGCCAATCACCACTACTGCTACTGCTGTCGTGGACGAGACGAATGAGGTCGAAAATAACGGCGTAGTTGAATATCTCACTGACACTTTCTTTAGGCCGTACATGCGCAAGCAACTTTCCGGCCCGGCGCAGAAGAAATTTGACGATTTCTTCGTGCCGTTCACGACGACATTGAGTCTGAACTGGTCGGCGTCGTCGGAGTCGAAGACGGTGCTTGTGCAGTTGGGAAGTGAGCAAGGGCAGCTGACGAGTGAGTTTGAGCAGCATTTGAGGAATTTGAGGAATTGGTCGCTGGGCACTAGTTTTCAGACGACTTTTCCGGATTTGGTTAATGAGGAGGTGAGGATTTCGGGGCCGGCGGTGTAGAGGGTGTTGGACTCTCGCTGCCGCTCGTGGGAAGATGAGCAACCCAAGCACGGGTGAGCTGGTGGCGGGCACCGGGCAAGGAGTGTCATGCTGACCTTTGTATTGTCGGGTGACACCTCGGTGAAGCAGTGGTATGCCTTGACATGCTGAGTGAAAGGCTGACAGGCGCGAGCACGAATTCTGGTTGGGACGATTGTTGACAGCGTGGCGCTGGTGGCGTACCCTTGGCTTTATACTATCAATCTAGCGTATTGACGTACAGATACCTTTGGCAGTGCTCACCATTCCTCCGAGTCTCCGTCCAGAGCTGCCATGGTCATGTGCGACACGTGATGTCGTGTACTAGCGCGTCAAGAACCCCACTTTTCAATGGTCGGCTTCCTTACCAACCATCCCTCTACCCATTCCAATGCGCTCTTTATAATGCCACCATGACTACTCCAGCTCCCACAGCGCCCAAGCGGACCAAGTCGGAACTCCTACCCGCCGCAAAGCCTCCTTGCAAGATTTATTCGACAGCCATTATATCAGAAAAAGCGCAGGTTACCGGTACATATCCTGTCACGATTGGCGAGAACGTGGTACTGCATCCTTATGCCAGGATCAGAGCTGAAGGCGGTAGTGTTAGTATTGGAAAGGGCAGCATTGTTTATGAGAATGCTGTAGTCGGCACAAGTAAAAGTGACGGTGACGGTGGTGGGGATGTTGAGGTGGGGGAGTTTGTCACTATCGAGACCGGTGCGGTGGTCGAGGCGAAGAGTGTGGGTATGGGGACGGAAGTGGGAGTTAAAGTGTTGATCGGGAGGGGTGTGGTGGTGGGGGAGTGGTGTAAACTCACTGCGCTCGAGAAAGTGGAAGCGGGAAAGGTGTTGGAGGATTACACGGTCGTGTTTGGAGATGGGAGGGAGAGGATTGATACGACGATCAAGGAGCATGGGGCTGTGAGACAGGCGAGGATCGAGGGGATGGAGAAGGCGGTGGGGGTGTTTGGGAAGCTGATACCTAATGGGGCTGCTAAGTGGGCTGCGTGAGTTCTATGGATATGATCGGGATAGCAACGCCGATGGCTTCGAAGGCCTGGATGGCGACAAATGGAGACACACCGGCTCCAGCAGGATTTCGTGCTTGATGCACGGAAGCATGATCATGATGATATGGCTGCGGATAACATACAGTGTCATCGCCTTGTCGCTCCGAATCCACGACTCGCCACGACACCTTACAGCGGCTCCTACCACACACGCCAACGCGCTAGATTGGACATTTTTCTGGCTTTTTCCACCAGAATCCAGCATGCTCCCAATAGTCAGGGATACAGTACCCCTCAGTCACTGACGGAACGACAATAACCTCCTCGTCAAAGAATTTGTTGCACACGACGACCCTCTCCAGATATCCCGAGAGCACGCCGGTGTTTACCAGCGACTTTGCAAAGCTTATCACCTCATAATAACCTCCGATATGTCCATCCCCCAGGAACACCTGTCTGGGCTTGGCACTTTCGCGATGAGCTCTGACTTTGTCCTAGTCAGCCTGCATTAGCTTGTTGCCGAGGTCATATACCACAATCAAATCGCGAACGGGCATGCGCATCGCCAAAGGCCGATTGTCGTTGAGCAGCGGCCCGTCCTGCAGGAGTCTGCGCAGGGTGTGGAGCATCTGGTTCACGACCGGGCAGAAATCTCCATCGCCTAGCGTGCTGATCCCTCTAATCCCTCGAGCATTCATATGCACCCGGACCTCTCGAATCTGTGATGGCGGACACGGAAGACGGCGAAGAATCACGCGATGAAGGCGCCTGGTTCCGCTGACCAGTTCCAGCTCGGCCGTGTGGTGGCCAGATTGCAAGTTGGTGGACTCGGTAGTGACGTGATTAATTACCTTGGCGTGAAGCATTCGACAGGTGCGTAGGAGGCTGTTCCAGGATATAGACAAGTTGGTTGGGGGTTGAGCCTTTCCGTTGTCTTCTGACCACGATTGCTGACTGAAATTCACGAGCGTGTGATTATGATCTTGAAGTCGCAGGTGGTCAAAGATCTCGAGTCGCAGCTCGCGTGGAATGCCTAGCAAGGTGGGCGAAGCCCTCCCCAGGTATTCTTCTCCTGATGCGGCCGTCATGTTCGGATGTTCTCTGACCATGGTCCTTGAATCTGTGGTCTGAGTGTGAAGATGTCAATAACATGCAGTGTGCCAAAGTGGGCAGGATTGGTGGAAGGCAGTAAATGCAAATGTTGTTGCCTGAATTAATATCTACTGCCTGAACACCACATGTTTTATGTGCTGCCTGATGATACACTCATCGAAAGGCTGTTACGCTTCGATCTGAGATGCAAAATATGCACAACCAAGGACGAAAATGAGCATTGTACCAGAAGAATTGTGGTGGGCAACCTGTTCAAGATATGTGCTGATAGCCGACTGCTCCTCTCAGCTTCCACAGCTGAAATAAAGAGCCATTGCGTTATACGACTCCTTCCCGCTCGGCACCAGAGACCTCCCACTCCCAGGTGCCCGCTGGATTAACACCACCAGTACCCGGCGCAGCACGAAAGGTCTTCTGCTCCACAACGTCCAATACAAGCACCCAGTCCTGCTCAGCACGCAACCTAGCTCCATCCACGCCTAAGCCATGAGCTTGGCGGAAGACTGCTCTACGCCTTGCAGGCCACCATATAAACGGTCCAGTGGGACGCTGACGATAGTTCGTCGCCAGCACCACGAGCTCCACGACCAAATTCCCATGGGCGAGCGAATGGTCCAGACGCTGCATATGCCGCAAAGCTTTCTGGATCGCTAGCTGGCCGACCATGTGATGGGGTTGTTGTGCATCGGCCAGGTGTTCCCAGTTCTGGGCGCTGTTGGCATGGACTACGACGTGACGGATTCGTCGAGCTACGCCATACCTCAACTCAATTTTCTGCAGATGCGCACTAAGTTGAGTCCAGAGAGCTTCAGCGAGTGTTTTCGCGCCAACGAGTTGGTGGCCTTTCCATGGTGTGGCCATGGAGAAATCGGCCGGCGCTTTATCCTTGTTCCTGATTCGGCGCCAGAAGTCGAGGTCCAGTTTCATGTCGTGCGTATGCTGCTCGGCCCACACGCATAGGTACTCGTGCCGGAAACGACAAGTGACAGAATAGAGGATGATCGCGTAGACCGCCCTCTTGTGCTTTACCTTCATGTGCTCCATTGATGATTTCCACGTCTGTCCCAATAGTGGCTCGTTGAAACCGAATATCTGGGAGTCGTGATAGATATACTCGTATATCTGTACGCGCAGCTCACGGGGTAGGTCGAAAAATCTGAACGGCTTCTGCTTTGTGCGATGCGAAAGGATGTCCAGAGTCGCGGCAACGTGGTCAGGATCTGTATAACTGCTAAACACAGGAGTGGGTGGTGATGTCGGAATCTGGCTCTTAGTGAGTGGAGTCGTGGGCATCTGTGATGGCAGAGGCAAAGTCTTCTCGTCAGTGTCTGCGCAGCTGTCGTTGACTCGTAGCCCGAGCACAGCGGCGATGCTTGGGAAACACATCTTCGATCGCAACGTTGGTTTTGATGGACATTGGGCGCGATGCTCCGACGGGCGACTATGTACTTAGCACTCAAGGGGTTGGGCATGAGTCTTAACATGACACATTCACAGTAATCCTTCGCAAGTGATAGCCGACGTCCTACTTTTCGCTTATAGTATGGAAGCCGCTTGAAGCTCACGGCGAATGAGACCACCTGGGCTTGCAACCAGAACTCAACTCCATATCACAGCAATATCACTGCCGCCGCCACCAGACTACTCGAAGGCAGTTTGACACGAATGCCTTGTGCGGAGCCACGGTGGGGTACGAACAACAGCTTTCGTTCAGCTGCAGACCAGCTGGGTAGATAGGTCGAAAGACGTTCTGCGCCATTTCGGCCCGAGGATAAGAGTGTAACATGTATACGGTTGGTGAAGAGAAGAAAGAAGGCCTATGTGATGTGGCGTCACAAATTGACAAAGTGACCTTCCCCAGAACCCCACCTTTGTCGCCAGCTCGTGCATGACCAAGAAACATATTTATTGTTGTTGAACTCACAAGCTTTCATACGACTCAGCAGACTGAGATGGACTAACCACAGCATTCACTTCCCACATGTATCACTTCCGTAATCAGAAAGTGGAAGGCACTGTACTCCTCTTCACCACAACACAGCATCAATGAACCCCACCACCACCGCAACATAATCCCGAGTCGATCTCGCTGCTTCGCACCCACCATGGCAGACACCACCAACCACTCCACCGACGATGGCAGGAAGAGGACACGAACAAAACGAGCTGGAAAGCGTGCCGGCAACGCCGTCGTCTACGATGTCTTCCTCTGGGTCTTCAACATAGTCGTCGACCTCTTCTTCCGCGAGATCCACCCGCGAAGCACATGGCGCATACCCAAGACGGGGCCTATTATCTTCGTCGCCGCGCCTCATGCCAACCAATTCATCGATCCACTGATCCTGATGCGAACAGTGAGGCAGGATGCCAAGCGTCGGATATCAATCTTGACAGCGGAGAAGAGTATGAGGAGGGCTTTCATTGGGCGTGCAGCTAGCCTGGTGGGAGCTGTACCCGTGGGTAGGGCGCTGGATAGCAAGAAGCCTGCTCCCGGGAAGATATATCTGGCTGATGCGGACAACGATCCGACCTTGATCAGAGGCGGTGGGGTAGACTTTACGGATAGCAAGATCTTTGAGAAGGGCGGGACGTTGGTCTTGCCGAGCGTGAACAACGCCGCTGCCAGTGCTGAGATACAGGAGATTCTGGGACCAACCGAGCTGCGAGTAAAGAAGCCGTTCAAGGGCGATGTGGCTACGAAGCAGCTTACTGGTCAAGATATTGGGGAAGGCAATGGACACTTGCCCAAAGGCAGCGAGTCGGAGAAGTCTGGCGAGGAGTTCGAGGGCACGAGCTACGAGGTTGCACCACATATCGACCAGGGCAAAGTCTACGAAGCAGTCTTCACAGCTATTCACAATGGCGACTGTATCGGTATCTTTCCAGAAGGCGGAAGCCACGACCGAACCGAGCTCTTGCCCTTGAAAGCTGGTCTGGCAATCATGGCCCTCGGTGCCCTAGCCAAAGAACCAGACTGCGGTGTCACGATAGTACCAGTAGGAATGAATTACTTCCACGCCCACAAGTTCCGCTCGCGCGCTGTGGTCGAATTCGGCTCGCCAATAACCATCAATCCCGAACTAGTCGAGCAGTACTCATCTGGTGATCGAAGAGGCGCCACTAGTAAGGTTCTAGAGATGGTCTATGATAGACTCACGGCCGTCACAACTCTGGCACCCGACTACGATACTCTGATGATGATTCAAGCGGTACGACGTCTCTACAATCCCAAAGGCAAACGCCTTCCTCTCCCATCTGTGGTCGAGCTGAATCGTCGACTCATAAAAGGATATACGACGTACAAAGACGACCCTCGGATCGTGAGCTTACGCAAACAGGTTCTGGATTACAATAGGACTCTTTTCCGGATTGGCGTGAGAGACCATCAACTCTCTTACGCCAAACTCTCATGGTGGAAAGTCATTGGGACACTGATCTACCGCGTTAGCAAACTCGTGGTGCTGAGCGTAGTCGTCCTACCAGGAACCATCCTCTTCGCTCCTGTCTTCATCGCGGGCAAGACCATCTCAACCATCAAAGCCAAAGAAGCCCTAGCCGCCTCTACCGTCAAAGTCCGCGCACGAGATGTGATGGCTACCTGGAAAATCCTCGTCTCCCTCGCCTTGGCACCAACACTAGACATCTTCTATGCCATTGTCGCCACAATCTGGACCCATACCAACCGCATCGGCGGCCGAAGTCCAGACTGGGTACCCCTCTGGCTCATGTTCACCACAGTCACCATCTCCTTCCCCTTCATCTGCTTCGGCGCCCTCCGCTTCGGAGAAATAGGCATGGATATTTTCAAGTCGCTCCGTCCCTTGATGTTGTCTATTAGTCCTACGTCAAAGAATACTCTTGTCAAGCTCCGCGAGAGGAGGGAGAGTCTGCAGAACCAGATCAATGACATTATCAATGAGCTTGGTCCTGAGTTGTTTCCGGATTTCGACAAACGACGGATCATTTCTGAGGACGAGGCGGAGCCTGTGGAGAGGCCGAGGACGCCTACAGAGGGAAGGCATAGGAGTGAGAGTGGAGCGGAGGAGATGGATGTTGCGCACCTTACTGCTTCACCTCCGGCGTCGTCGTCGGTGCGGAGAATTAGGACTGATCTGCCGCATAACGACTCTTTCCACAATCTCAACTCCATTGGGATTTTTGCCTCACGGCCGGGATCACCTAACCATACCCGCTCGCGCACCAACAGCTCAGATGCCATACAATTTGGGAAGAAAGGTTTCGGGTTCAGCCCTATCGACAGTAGCAAGAAGTCTGGTGGTGTTGCTGGTCGCACGGCCGCTGAGCAGGATGTGGGGAAGGCGGATATGGATAGTGTGAGTCGGACGTTGCATCAGCAGATGAGGGAGAGGGGACGGAGGAGGACGGGAACGGGGAGTGGCAGCAGTGAGTGGGAGGTTCAGGACGCGGAGACTCCGGGGGAGAGTGAGGGTGGGACGGAGATTCTGACGCCGGGGAGTGAGACGTCGGGGGAGATTTGGAAGAAGGACATTTGATACGTGGCTGCTCAGGATGGTGGTGTGGGGGCTGTATGATGGAATGTGTGATGAGGTTCTCGTAACGGCCGCTTGTGTTGGTGTTCTGCTGTTTGTGGCATTGTGATTGATACCCCTCCGTTTAGTGATCGAAAGTACAGATGATTATGATATGCTCTCAGCAAGTTATGCCATTCGGACAGGTTGTACGGTACATCGATGCCCTCGTCTGCAGATAGGGGGACATGTTGCTCGGCACGCCTCTGCCGCACCTCCACGAACCCATCTCTGACCCCGCATGCGGAAGGAAGTATTGAATATGCAAGGGGATGTCGATCTTCTTACCATCTTGGCTTTGGTCTGATAATAACCTCGACGAAGCTTTGAAGATTGTCCACTCAGGTGTGGAGGGTACCTGACTAGTGAGATTGTGCCTTGATGAGTGTGAGGGGGAGCTGCAGCACAACGTCAACATAAGGTCGATTGTTTGCTTAATAGTCATTCGACCTGCGGAGACTGTGGAGCATGGGATGCACTATGCTGCCAGGTTGCGATTGTAACGTTGATGATCTGTAGAATGGTGGTATCGGCTCCACGTCTGCGTTGTGAAGGTAAGGATTGATCAGGTCAAATAAGATCACGTAGGTCCCATCTTCCTCTAGGTAGCCTCAATTGTTTCACACCTCCCCAGTCTCGCTCTATTTTGTTGAGATGATCATGGCACGAACATTGGCAACAGCCACGCTGCTGACTGTACTGGCAAATGCGACCAGCGAGCACGAAGGACCAACCAAGACGTATCCTCCTCAATCATGGTCATCCGTGACATGGTGGCCTAATCCACCTTTTGTGACGGAGAGCTATGGACCAATCTCACCGCACTACTACACACCACCAGTCACTACATCGCTGTCGAGCGTACCGGCATACACATACACTTCACCACCAGGCTACTCGTCCGTGAGCATTCCGACATCCTATCCCAACTCCACCAAGCCTTCTGGGCCTGGCTCAACAGGCAACGCTACCCTACCAGCTTGCAAGAAGATCCAATACGACTTCCCGTCTGGCCAAGGTGGGAACGCCGATCGTGCGAATGCGATCAAGGATGCTTATCTCGATGGCTGGAATGCCTATGTGAAGTACGCCTTCGGCAAAGATGAGCTGCAGCCTCTCAATGCTTCTGGTGTGGACAACTGGTTCGGATGGGGAGTTACGATCGTGGACGCAATTGATACAGCTATCATCATGAATTTGACCGACGTCGTGGCGCAGCAGCTCGCTTTCATCCAGACCATTGACTTTACCACCACAACCTATGGGCCTGTGGAGATCTTCGATGTTAACATTCGGTATTTGGGCGGTCTGGTCTCGGCATACGATCTGCTGAAGAGTGGACAATTCTACAATGATTACCCAGCTGATCAGATCGAGGCGCTGCTCACCCAGGCACAGTCGCTGGGAAACAAGATTGCTTATGGCTTCGATACGCCTACTGGATTGGCTTCGAGCAATGTCAACTTCACGTCCAACGAGCCGGTTTTTGGTACCTACACTGTGGCAGCCACGAACGTGACTTACAACTCGACCAATACCGCGTCGACGGGGACTTTCATTCTCGACTGGTTTCGTCTCTCTGATATCAGTGGCAACCAAAGCTATCGCCAACTCAGCGAGAGAGCAGAAAGCTACCTCGTCAACCCCTCCCCAGCACCAAGTTTCCCAGGCTTGATCGGGACTCAATTCGACATCGACACCGGCAACATGCTGACATTTGATGGTGGCTGGGAAGCGGGTGTGGACAGTATGCTCGAGTACCTGATCAAGACATATCAGTACCAGCAAACACCCACCACAACCCAATACAAGGATTTCTGGCTGCAGGCCGTCGACTCGACAATCAAATATATCGCCCTCCACCCGTACGGCTTCGATGACTTGACCTTCCTGTCCGAGCTAGACGTCAATGGCACGATCGCATACACTCAGGACGACTTCTCTTGCTTCGCCGGCGGCAACTTCCTCCTCGGCGCCAAGTTACTCGACATGCCCGAACTCCTCGATCTCGGCATAGCAGTCACAGACGGCTGCCACCAAACCTACAACACCACGTTGACCGGCCTAGGCCCAATCGAATGGCAATGGTACAATTCCTCGAACCTCGCTTACGACCCTCTCCGTGACAACGATTCACCTGCTCGCAAATGGGCGGCTAAGTACGGCTACTTCATCCCCGAGGGTGATGAGAACTGGTCTTCGCGCCCTGAGCCGACGGAGAGTTTGTTCTATGCTCATCGTATCACGGGCGATGCTAGGTGGGCGGAGTACGGATGGCAGGTTTTCCAGGCGATCAATGAGACGGCAAGGAATCCGATTGCGTTTGCTACAGTGAACAATGTTAACATGCCCTTTGGGGGGAGTATGAGCAATAATCTTGATTCGTAAGTTTAGACTCAGAAAGACTCTTCTGTTGAAACGAGGAGCTAACGGTCTTGGATAGGTTCTTCTTTGCTGAGGTGCTGAAGTATCTCTATCTACTGTTCAGCGATCCGAGTGTTATTGATCTGTCAGAGTGGGTTATTAATACAGAGGCTCATCCATTCCTAGTCCAGTGCGGCAATGGTGCCGTAGATAATTACTGAGAGGGCTTGGTTGGCGGGTACATCAGGCAAGCTTGAACACGGTACATCCAAATCTTGAAGGGTTCTGTCATCGTCTGCCACTCTCATAAACTCTTGCCCGCTCGACGATCTTTGAGTGCCATTGCTATCTCTTTTGGTGACCACAGAGCTCTTGCTGCACCAGTCAAATGCAGGTCGTGTCTGACTCAGCGACAGAAATACGTACCCGAGGTTAAGACCAGATGGTCACGTGAGCGGGGTAGACATGCAGCTCAAACTCTCCAATGCTCGAACTTGTGCTTCGACACCATGCTTGTCTCTCAGGTCTTTCCTGGCGTCAATGTATGCCATGCGTCGGAAGGACTGCTGGGGGAGATCACAACTTGAAAGTCAACCGACCACGACTGGACCACTTGAAGCATGGGGCCCTTCTCCATCAAAAGCGGACGCTACCGACTCAAGTGGAGCCAAGTGCCTCATGATCCATACCATCATGTTGATTAATGGGCATTGCGAAGCGACTGACCACTGTCACGATTGAGCAGCCATGCTTGCGGTGCAGACGAATATCGTCGTAGACGCTGGAGAGAGCTGAGAATAATGCCAATCCTCCCGGCGATTTTCTTGGACCGAGAGCAAGGGGCCGCAAGCTGAAAAGCACGCAAACACACGGTCACTGTCTAGCACGAGGCAGGAGAAAGTCCACCACCTCACCACGATCCACGGCAAAGGAGTTGGCTCTCACCAGACAGCGCACCGTTCACGCCGGATGAATTGCGGATAACGGATACTGCCGCTTGTCGGGACGAAGCCGCGCCAGACGAAAATTCGGCAGCGGACGTCACAGACTAACAAATTTCGGACTGAGCGAGCCAACGCGGAAGAGATCCACTTCACTCATCCCACGTCGACTCCCGATCGCATGGATCGTGGCGCTTTCGCGTTTCGCGTGTCTTTCTCGAATACCCAAGAACTAGTGATGTCTCGCAGGCGATCATGAATAGGCCGGTCGCGAGTGTAGAAACACGTACGACGCGAAAGCGAAGTCAGCAGCTCTATGGAGGTGCTTTAAGTCGAATGAGCACCCTTTATCGGGTGACCTCGGATCGGAACAGCACAGGCCTGGTGGTCCTTTGCCTGACACACTGCCAATCCCAACGACGTCCAAGCACATGGCAAAGTCGAGGACTGCGAAGAAATGACTGTTCTGCGGTGCGTGGATTGGTCGAATGCATGTACTTGCGATCGGAGGAGCTCGTCGGCGAACACTCATCTCGCCAGCACAGCGGATACTCCTTGTGTTATATATCCGCACCTTCGCCTCAAACCGGAGTGGGTCCGGCATCGCACCGTCTTTGCATCGTTATCTCACCACAAGTCATGGTTTGTATACAGGGGTCCGGGTAAGTACCTTTGTACCAATCACCTGCAGCCTCCTTCCCAGGTGGTCATGCGCGGACCACTTCTTCAGCAATCCGAGATTTAAGCGTCTCTCAAGAAAGATTTTGCTCTGCCCTCGCTCTTGTCCCACACTCCTTCCCGTGACAGGTCGAAGCTCTTCTATCACAGCTATACACAGTTCCATCAAACTCCGCTCATCAGCTTCTCCATCACAGTACCATTTTCTTCATCACTAGAAGCATCACCTCCCTGGAAATGGCATCCTCCCTCCGCATGGCTGCGCCAAAGATGGCCACGATGGCCACTCAGAGCTCGGTCAAGGTCGCTCGCTCGCCGATGATGAAGTCGCAGCAGCTCCAGAAGTTCGCCCGCTCCTACTCTGGTAAGCTCAAGCTCCTGGCTGCGAGCTATTGATGATGAGAAAGGAAGAGATGTTGATGAATGTGGTACAGCGGCCACCCGCCAGACGAGCGCCTTCAACACCATGAAGCGCACCTCCAACCTGCTCCAAAAGACCTCGCCCATTGCTGCACACGCCAAGCGTGCCTACTCCTCTGAGATGGCCAATGCCCTTGTCCAGGTCTCCCAGAACATGGGTATGGGCTCCGCTGCTATTGGTCTCGGTGGTGTAAGTTCCCAAAAAGCTCGAATATGCATGGCTTTGTTCTGACACTACCCAGGCTGGTATTGGTATCGGTCTCGTCTTCGCTGCCCTCCTCACCGCTGTCGCCCGCAACCCATCTCTCCGTGGCCAGCTCTTCTCCTACGCCATTCTTGGCTTTGCCTTCGTGGAGGCCATCGGTCTTGTAAGTTCACCATCAACTACCACGACCCTTCTACTCCCAAACAGCTACTAACAATCGTTCAGTTCGACCTCATGGTTGCCATGATGTGCAAGTACGTGTAAACGATCTCCGAACCCATCTCAGCATCGGCACATCAGCATCAAGCGAGCGTTCATCAATCACGGCGGTTACGGGTGTAGCACTATTGTAACAGTAGATTGCGATAGAGGAATAGAAAGAGCATAGATGGGACCTACCCCAACATACAGATAGATTAGACAGTCATAGAGGCTGACTAGATTGCGTGCTCTTTTCCTCTCTTAGCATTACTGTAAATATCCGGAAGCATTTCTTCGATCAAAGAGAGAGTTTTCTTTAGTGTTTGCTATATTATGCTCCTCGAGGCTCCGACAAGATCGGTCATCATAAGGACACGGCTTCAATAAGCCTCGATGGCTGCACTTGTGGCGGTCTCGTAACTGACAGTGTCCTCCGGCATGTCTTGGTACTCTACCCAGATCCCCATCTTCTTCCTGGGAGACGCGTTAGCAATGGCGGTAGAATGAAGCTCAACCAAGCCGACACAGAATTGAAAGACATACCTCACGTACTCGCCATATATAACGCTCTGTCCGCCGTCAACACCACGAACGACACAGTTCTCTCCTGGCTCGAAGAAGAACGGCACGCTCAGGCGACCTATCCCACCACCACTACCACCGCCTGCAGAAGCGGTAGATCGGACACGATGCATGGTAGCAACGAACCTACTACCACTAACCTTCGCCATTAGATCGCCAATGTTGACGACCAAGGAGCCTGGGACGTATGGCGCCGGGATCCATTCACCATCGGCGTTCTGGACCTCCAAACCGCCTGTAGGGTCCTGGTGTAGCAGAGTCAACAGGCCAGAGTCGGTGTGGGGCGTACAGCACAACCCGGTGCTACTCTGCTGCGGTGGATAGTGGAGAAGTCGTAGGGTTGACAGCGAGTCGACCAGATATGAGGCGAAGTGGTCTGGTGGCTTGCCGAGCGCGACCGCGAGCAAGGATAGTAGAGTGGCTGACAATGTCTGCAGTTCCGTATGGAACTTTTCGAGCTTCTGCCTTCTCTCAGCGAAGGAACTGCTTGGAGGCCATACATTAGCCTCGGTTAGGTTGAACTTTTTGTGTCGACTGGGATGATCATCACGGGTGGTTGTGCTCGGGCCAATCTCGAAACCCTCCTTGAGGTTATCTAGATGTCCTGGTTGGATGGGAAAGTAGCCACGGTAGGTATTGCTGTTCTGGCTGACGAAGGTCTTCTTAGCTAAACGCAGCTTCTCTGCTTCCGCCAGCTTGAAGAAGTCCTCTGCAAGGCCGAAGACATCCTCGTGGGTGGAGGACAAGGGAGTCCCGACCAGATAGGCGAAGCCTGTAGTTGCGAAAACATCGTACAGTCTCTGACTGAGAAGCTCTAAGGAGCTCGAGGAAGGATGTGCTTCGGACAAGACCGACAAATCGACTATCGGCAAAGAGGAGAATGCGGTCGTCATGATGGGAACGATAAGAGAGGATAGCAGAGCACCAAGGCATAACGTAGCAGCGCTTCAGCGTCCTTTATATGCCAGACTCATCCACTCTTCCACACCGCATAACCAGCCAAGAATCTTCCTCGAGCACATCATCGTGAAGGATGCGGACACGACGGAAGTTCATGGATGTCGTCTGACACCATGGCTTCAAGACGGCGTCGAGGCCAATGAGATGGAAAACGTGAGGTAAGAAGTGGAGGATGGTGATGCAGGAAAATGTCTTGATTTTGAGCGTGAAGCGTCGTCGCGAAAGGAAACCCTACTGGGTAGGAGGTCGCGTGCTCACTTACTTGAAGAAGATGGGGAGGTCGGGACATAGGTTCTAAGTGCCGAAGAGCCGTTCTATTACGGGACGAGGTCCTGTCGGGACACGGAACGCCACTCTTCGGAATGCGACTGCCACTGGCCAAGCGACAAGACGAATGTCACGAGTCCCAGTACGAGCTGTCGACAGCATGAATTCATAGCAGGCTACAGCACACCGTATGTCGCTTCTTCGTCCAACGAGGGAAGAACATGGCAAAGGTAGTCAAGGCGCGTGAAACGAACGAGAAGACGGAGCAACAATTTCACGAGGTTTCAATACACCAGTTATGTCGCTAATCATCTAACCCAAATGCCAGCCTCTATATGCATATCTACATCATCCATCATGTCAAAAGCTCTCCCGTTCATGATACATACCCATCGTCTACCAAGTACCACTGTCCTGCTCAGACAAGGAGAAAGCCCACGACTGAGCGACACCAAGGAAGTTGTTGCCAGACCAGCCGCCACGGAAACCAGTCTTGCCGTATGCTGGCGAGAGGACGGTATCGAAGATGGTGCAGTATGTCCCCTGAGCAACGCCGTTCTTGTGGATGGTGTAGGCGTTGAACATGTTGACGGGAGTGTAGCTCTTAGCACCCTTAGCCTTGGCGCTCTGCTTGTTCAAGTCACCCTGGGCTTTGGCGTAGATGCCACAGGCAGAAGGGTTGAAGGGACCGGGGAAGAAGTTGCTGCCGAGCCAGTACGAGCCACCAGAGTTGATGGCGCCACCTGTGCAGTTGCTGGGGGCGTCGTAGCCTGGGGGAGCGGCTGGGGTGGTGTTGTTTGTTTTGTCGTCTGATTGATGTCAGTTTTCATCCATCTCATATCTAACATCTCAGTTCATATCGTTGCACTTACAGCCGTTGCTTCCAACGATGACGACCTGAAAGTCTTCACGGTAGTCACCAGCGTTGGTGGCGGACGAGGCATCAATCGACGATCCCCAGATGGAGCACTTGTAGTTTGTGATTGAGGATGGGTTGGGGCAGTACTCGCCAGTGGAGTTGGAAGAATCTCCGTTCTTGGTTGGGTTGAGGCTGGGGTCACGCTCAATGTAGATGTTGAAGGCCGTGCAGAGGTCGGTGGTGTCGCAGTAGTTGGCGCAACCAGCAACGTCATAGCTCTGCAGAGTCTTGAAGGCGAGGTAGCTGTTGGCGCTGGTCGATGCATTGAGGTCGACGAAGACACGCTCGTAAGTCGATGGGGTGACGGCGTTCAGGGCCATCTTGTGGAGCTCAGAGTCGGCTTGGAAAGCAGCAACGGTGTCAGGAGACGCCTTTGGGCCATAGCCGTCGGGCTGAGGAGCGCAAGGGTCCTCTGGGTTGATGAAACCGCAGTATGTGCCTATACACCATTAGCTTGATGTCATTTAGGGCCGAGACTTTTGCAGAGCCTACATACCAGCCTCTGGGGTGGTAGGGCAAGCAGTGCTCGACGAAGAGGTCAAGGTGCTGCTCTGCTGCTGAGTGGTGGAGGTGGAAGAGGTCGTTGGGATTGCAGAAGAAACGGTAGACGAGCTGGACGACTTAACACTGCTCGTGCTGCTGCTAGACTTGACGCTGCTGGTGCTGGTCTTCTGCACGGAGGACGTGGTAGTGGTGGCGGTACCCCAGCTCCAGCCTCGCTTCTCGACGGCGGAGACAGACTCCTGGGTTGAGGCAGCGCTGGCGGACTCGCCGGTAATGCTGGCCGTGGCGGCACTCGTTACATCGGAGGAGATGGAGGCGGCAAGAGATGCTGTGTCCACACTGAAGACAGCGGTAGCGTTGGCGATGACGGTGAGAGGAGGACCAGTGGCTGATGGGGAGGGCGCCTCAAGGACAGCAGCGAAATCGAACTGCTGGGGTGCTGGTGCCGCAGCAGCCATGCGAGCAATGGCCGCAGCCACGATCATGTTGGAACGCATGTTCAAACGAGTGTGTCGAGCGAATGTATAAGCGAGGGACGTCCAATTTAGGACTGATTGGTCGCGAAGATGAGTGGATGGGAGGGGAAGAGAATTGAGGGAAATCAGATGGTTACACTTATACCTCCACGGTCTGTACACTCTCGCGGCTTGGGCGATTGCCGTCGCCGTGTACAGCACGGTGAACTCTTCGCGCCGCGGATGCTATAGCTGCCCAAGTCTCCGTGCACTCGTACTGGCTCCACGAGAACGCAGCTTGAAGCAATAGTCGAACTTTTGCCTTCACGCGGCTGTATAGAAGATGGAAGCTTTGACTGCCGCCAGGTACCCGGCTGTGGTTTTCACTAGTGGCGTGCGGGATGGTGCCAGGGCCATGCTTGTCTGCGTGGCGGACGTCCGGTGACTGCTCTCTTGGTGTGCTCGCAGTCCGCTATCAACGACTTCAGTGGGCTGGGGCGTGCTCCGCTCAAACAACATCCTCGTGTGGCCAGTATGTGCTTCTCTGTTTGCTGTGAGCAGGACATAAGATTGTCTGCAAATGTCCGAGTAGCATCAAGACACTTCTCGTGCGTAGCAACTCGAAACCATAATTGGCTGTAGTGTGTGCGCAGAATCGGTGCTGGACTCTAGAGTGACTCTGCATGTGGATCTCCCGGAACTGACGCAAGAAACGTGTAGCAGAAGCGGATGCAATCTGTGGGGGCCTACTCGAAGTAGAAACACTCAACCTAAACAGGCATGATGAAGCTGGGAAAAGTCGAAGTTGCAAAAAGTCGGTCAGTTGGTCCGTGTGTCCTACAGCTGGTTCTCGTTGAGCCATTCCATCCAGACTTCAAACGTATGACAATTCATGACCTCTTCCCTGCCCTGATGTATGCAACGATGGCACATACCGTGAGACAGTCGCCGCGATCACGGAACGCTACGTTGTCGAGCTGGGACAGCTAAGTGGCTCAAATACAGTAGTGCAACCAGCAGAGCCCACCCATGCCACGCGCCCAAGTGGAGAACGACGACCCACTTACGGCACAATTGCTATTTGCATATTCCGAAGGTGAATTATACTAGGCCGCCAAGCATAAGACTCGCCGTTATACCGATGGCCTGCTTTGCAACCAGAAATCAAGTTCTCAGTATAATACCACGACCTCGGCCCAAAGTCCTGGCAGGGGAGACATGGCCGCCGCCATGCAATGTTCCGAGGCTGAATAGTACACAGCGACTCTCCCAGGTTCGATATGAGAGTAATCGTGGTCTGGTTTTGCAATTCAAGCGCATCTTGGCTACAACAGAAATGCCTCGAAATCAGTGATAATATCTAATAGAGATCCCTCTGCAGAGCTCCCATCCCTTCTGTAGAGCTTGGACGACTTCGTCAGGCAGCGGACCCTTCTCAAGATCCACCATGTTCTCCTCCATATGTGAGACCGTACTGGCACCAATTATGATCGCATCGCCGTTCTCTCTCTTCAGCATACTGTGGTGTGTCATCCACCTCAATGCACACTCCGCTTCCGTGAGACCGTGGTGCTTAGCGACTGGACGAAGGATGTCAAGAGCATCGAAGTAGTTTGTGTTCCAGTAGCGTCCACGGTACATTTTTCCTTGCCACTTATTGGGATCGAATCGTGATCCGCTTTCGATGTCGTTGTCTTTGTCTTCGCGGTGATAGCGGGACGTGAGATACCCACCAGCTAATGGATTGTAGTTGTAGAACGCCATACCATAGTGCCGCAGACATGGGAAGAGCTCGGGTTCGACTGATCGATGGAGAGCGTTGTAGACGCCTTGGTAGACATCGGGCAACTTCCAGCCATTGGCCTTGCACATCTCGCAGATCTGAGCCACTTCCCAGGCTTGATAGTTCGAGATACCCAATCTCTTGAAGTGACCTTCTTTGTACAAGTCATTGACTGCCTTCATAGTCACATCATACGGTGTCGTCCTGTCGGGGCCATGAAGGTACCACATATCGACCTTGTCCGTCTTCAGAGCCTTCAAGCTCTTCATCAGGTTCTCTCGAAGACCTTCCGGCGTGTGACGTAGCGCTTGGTCCCAAGACGCCGGGCTCGATTTCCCTGCCGTAGGATAATACTTGGTATCCATAACAATGCCACGTCCCTGCCAGTCAAGGTCGCCAAGCATCTCCTCGGACGATCCTTCACCATATGCCCGCGCAGTATCAATTTCGCTGTGCCCGTGCTTCTGGAAAGCATCAAGGATACCTTTCGCTATGTCCAGGTCGTGGACTCTCGATTGTTCGACTCCTAGACGTACCGTTAGTCTCCAGGCTGTGGTGAAGTTGGGACTCGATTCTGTGCGCACCTGGCTTGCCGAAAGTCATCGCCCCGAACACGACATTGACGGTGGTTTTCTGTGCTGAAGTCATCTTCGCAAATAAGAATTCGTGACTTGATGGGGTGGCAAGGACGGGCGCTGGGAGTAAGAGATTGTATCGTTTACTTATCCTTTCGCTCAAATGCATTTGGTGGGTTTTATGTCCTCTTATTGCCGCTGCATCCGAAATCCGGTCCTGTCGTCACCTGAAGACCATTGTCTTGCGTGCCCTTAGATTACAGCGTTGATTGTTAACGCCGTCGAACTGTGCTGTGGTGCTTACGGTAAACGGCCATCGACCGGAGAGTTGCTGTCCTAGCCCTAAGAATTGACGCTGTACGCTCCTTGGTCCGAGCGTTGCACAGATTTGGTGGACTTCACAGCTACTTCATAGCACCGCAACAAGTCCATCATAAAGATGGTGTGTGAAGCATGTCTGTGAAGACCCTATACAAATTTTGAAAGGATGACGCTCACATCTCGTCACACATTCCTGCGGACGTGTACTTCGGCTGCCTACCTGCATCTCGCCAATCTCTGAGGACGTGCCGCTTGCGTGAGCAGAACGAGCTCTTGAGATGGCTTGCAGTTGGACTACCAGCAACATCTCTCCACGGCCGCAGCACACCGGGAACCAATATGCGGTGCAATGCCAGCCGTGCTACCGCATCTGCATCCATGTCAACCTCCGAATCATGCATCTACCCCGCAAGCCTCCCCTCGATCTTGGCCACATCTTGTAGCAGGGCTTGTTCCACCCGCAAAGCTTCCTCAAGCGCCAGGCCGTCTGGACTTGTGTCCTTTCGCCATATCACGCCTTAAAGCGATGGACGAACTGGGACTCTTGGTGGATATGATGGTCTACTCAATTGTCGCCCGCCCTCCTATGTCAATCGCTTGCAATCGAGCAGTACAGCTATAGTTGAAAGCAGACACGGTAGTCATGATACACCGAGAGTCTTACCGTCGAAGTCGATCTCTACTTCAGCCTCCGCACAACCCTCTAACGGCCGCGGGATTGGTGCCACTCACATCACATGTAATCTGTTTACGAGACGTCGTGGCGCGTTGGCCAGCATCCTCCGCACTCATCTCCGTCACACGACAGTGTTTTAGATATGGCAGACCATGTGGGATCTCTACATCGTGACTAAACCCGACCGTCCTCGATGCTACTTCCATGCAAGTGTTCCCGCTGCGCTCTCGACCTTTAAGAGCTGTGGTTTACGCTGCAATAGCTGAGGACTTGGTTCAAGTACACTCTTCTCACTTGGTAGACGCAACAGTACGGCGACGATGAAGAGTCGTTACTTTGGCTTTCGAGGAGGATGGCTGACCTTCTGGGTAATCCTCAAGAGCAGACTTGCAGTCGTAGCTGCCGGGCGTGACTGACTGGGTGCTCACAGGTCACCGTCGCCTGTGCGACCGACATGACTCTATTCGGTTATGGTAGGCTCGCCAACCCTGGACGCCGCTGAGTACGATGGAGTGATGACTGACGATCGAGATAGATCAAGGAGTGTTCGGAGGCGTCATTGTAACAGATGACTTCCTCCAAACGCTTAACATTGTCGGCAACACGAGCCTGCAGGGCACTATCACAGCGATCTATGTAGGTTCAGTTCGGGGCCTCCTGGCCCACAAGCGACATAAGCTGATTGCAGTCGACAGGATATCGGATGCTTCTTCGGTGCGATTGCAGCCTTCATCATCGGCGATTGGTTCGTCAACCATAAGCATAAGACCTCCTTCGACTGCCAACTGATGATTTTCAGGCTCGGGCGAAAGAAGACAATTTTAATCGGGACCACGATCATGTCTATTGGAGCCATCCTGCAAATCACATCCTACTCTGTTGCCCAGATGATCGTTGGACGTATCATCGCGGGCATTGGTAACGGAATCAATACGGCGACTGCACCAGCATGGCAAGCCGAGACATCCAAAGCGGCGTGGCGTGGCAAGCTTATCGTCGTCGAACTCATTCTGAACATTGCCGGTTTTAGTCTGAGTAACTGGGTACGAAGATAGCTAGATGCGCGCACACCTTTGCTGTGAGCTGACGAGAGGCGCTTTACAGGTCACCTTTGGCTTCAGTTACGTCCCCAGTCCGGTGTCCTGGCGAATTCCTCTGGCGTTCCAGTTCATCTTTATTGTCATTCTATATGCCACAGTACCTTGGCTTCCTGAATCTCCTCGATGGCTTGTCTCGTAAGCTCACCCCTTTCCTTTTCTTCACACCACTAGCCAGATCGACTGACGACTCTCACTACACTTGCAGGAGGGATCGACATGAAGAAGCAGAACTGATCCTCGCCGATATCGAAGGCACCGAGGTCGAAGATCCATATGTACAGACCGAATTCCAGGAGATCAAATGGGCTGCCGACTATGAGAAGACCCACCAAGTCCGAATTCGCGACCTAATTCGCGGCAAGCAAGGCAGCGAAGGTGGTAACTGCTCCTTGCGGCGCATCCTTCTTGGTATGGGATCACAAGCGATGCAACAACTAAGTGGAATAAACGTCACTTCATACTACTTGCCGACAGTTCTGATCGAGTCCGTCCATCTCAGCAACAAGACGGCTCGCCTGTTGGCGGCCTGCAACAGCGTCAGCTACCTGCTCTTCTCCCTTATCGGGATTCCTAACGTGGAGCGCTGGGGTCGCCGAAAGATGCTCATGTACGCTGCCGCTGGCCAGGGATTCTGCTATCTTATCATCACCATCTTAATTCGATACTCGGAATTGTATGGGCCAACCACGGAGAAAGGAACCAAAATCGCCTCTGCAAGTGTGGCGTTCTTCTTCTTGTATTACGTCTTCTTCGGCATCGGCTTCCAAGGTGTACCATGGTTATATGTAAGCATCCTCTGTCTTAAAGTTGCAGCGCTGAACTGTGACTGATGAAAACTATAGCCTGCGGAGATCAACAGTCTTGCAATGAGACAGAAGGGCACGGCGTTAGGTACAGCAACCAAGTGGATCTTCAACTTGCAAGTCTACATCCCCTTTGAGTGCGTCCTCGAGTCACAGGCTAACTCCGTGGTGCAGTATGGTTGTCGAGATCACTCAGATTGGTATCCAGAACTTGCAGTGGAAGTTCTACGTAAGCTCCATTACTAGAGCATGACTTTTATGCTGGCGAACTAACGTGCTTTCCTACAGATCATTTGGACGATCCTGAATCTTTCTTTCGTTCCCATTGTTTTTTTTCTGTACGTCGAAACGGCTGGTCGCACACTAGAAGACATCGACACCTACTTCCGCGAGCACCATAACGTTATAGTCTTCCGTGACGAGGTACGTGACCTTAATTCGCTCGTACTTCTGTGGGATGCATATGTATTGACCTTATTATCAGCTCGCCACCTCGTCCAAACGACCAGAGGAGTACATCCGCAAAGAAGAGCAAGAGATCCGCCGCAAGAGTTCCGTCAACCCTCGCGCCATGAGTCTCGCCACAGGCCACCGGCGGTATAGTCTCATGAGTGCCGAGCAAGACCTCGGGACGACGGGCATACAACAGTACGAGAAGGACGGAGAGTCGTGGCAGAGGAAGGAGGAGCTGTGAAAGCATCTCGATATTGCTGGTCCAAAGAATAAGACTGACTACTCTTCCCACATCATGACCTAGTATCTTGATCTATAGTACAACGAATCATGTTCATGGCTTAATCCATGATACACCCCACCCAGCCTAAACGCCCTCGCTAAAAAGCGCCAGCACAGCAGACTAATCCAAATGAGGTGTGTACACTTCTTCTCTAAGAACGTAGAGATCCTCTCAGATCCAACCACCTTGGACCACTTCGCGTCCTACCAGTTCCAACTTTCCCATCTCACTGGTCCTCCGTCTCTCGAGGACCCACCTTGGTTGTCCGTTGCCTGCGGGGTCTGGCTCACGAACGTATGTCACAGAATCGCTTCCCTTTCTCCCATGACCCTTCGACAGCGCTGCGCCAGACACCTTTCTCACGGTCGTCGGCGTCAGGGGCTCGGGCGTCAGTTTTGTTTGCGTTGTCGACTTTCGCGGCGTAACATCGTCATCGCCTACACCATGTCCGAAAGCCGGATGCAGACTTGAGGTTGCATTGGCAGACATCGGACTATCCTGGAATCCATAAGCTTGCGAGCTTCCCCATCCACCATTATTGGCAGCATGCGCATTGGCGTTGGCCGCAAGGACACCAGGGTGCGCACTGCTCGGGCCACTCGAGCTGCCGTTACTATCGGTACTCCACCCAAAGCTCATCGGTGTTCCACCCATACCACTGAAATATCCCTGTCCTTGGCCTGCAGCAGCCGTAGGGGACCTGGCACTGACGACCGGGCTCTGAGCGGCATGGTTCCAACCACCGATAGCAGAAAGAGGTGGCAGTCCAGGTTTTCCAGCAGCTCCAATAGGTCCGAGATCGTTCCTCAGACTCCCATTGCTCCCACCAAAGGCGTTGCCCTTCAATTTGCGCAGCTGCTCAAAGTCGGTGACCTCTCCCTCCGCAAGCGGGAGGACAGGAAATCGTCCCATCAAAGCTGGACTGGCCAAACCAGCACTTGAAGGTCCGAACATGCCACCTTGACCAAGATGGATGAACGAATTTCTCGCACTCATCTCTGTTCGCTCTGTTATAGGCGTCAGATTTGGCTCCTGCAGACTCTTGTTCCTCGCCAGGCCATCGTCACCATCGGTCCCGAAGAATCCTCCATTCAAGGCCTCGCGGAAGGGTCCATTGCCATTGTTTGGATTGGCCTTGGCATAGAAGCCGAACTCTTGGCCATAGAATCCTTCTGTGTCCGAGGCGAGCGCTTCAGCGTTTGCAGCTGCAATTATGTCGTCGTCGGCAGAACCGAAAGAGTCGTCAAGGTTGTTATCGTCGAGACTGTCGTCCAGCTTATTGTCATTCGTGAGATGTTCGCCGAAACCGAAGTCAAAGGAGAGTTTGGGCGGCGAGTAAGTCGTACTCTGACCCATCTTTGAGCCGGTCGTGACTTGCGAAGTCGTCCTACTGACCACCTCACCAGCACCAGGAACGCCAAGACCTTCACTGCCCGCACCTTGCTCATCTCGAGAGTAATGACTTCGTTCATCAAGGCTCTTCTGGTCGTCTCCTAGGCCACGATCACCTCCAACAGCAAGACTATGCGCAGTACTAACACTAGCTTGCCTGTAGAACCTCCCTTCCTCAGCGGCTTTGTTCGCCGCCTCGGCAAGACTGGCATGATATGTCTGGAGTTTGTCCTGCATCCTCATCAGTGCTTCCTTGGACCCTGGCTGCGCTGGGAGAGGTGGCACACGACTGCTCAAGCCGAGTCTCTTCGCATCCTCCGACGGATTGCGTTGGGGAATGAGCTTCGGATCCACAGGGTTCACAAGGGCTAGATCTTCGAGCAACATCATGCTCTCTCTGGCCAAAGCTTTATTCGCATTGCCGCCTTTGGCGAAAGACGGATATGGCCCATCCCCAGCTGTCGAAGCTGGCGCAAAGGGCACTCCACTCATTGGTCGCTGTCGCTGATTCTGCGGCATTTGCGTACCGAGGCGTCCGTACCCGTCCAGATATCCATCGTCGTCGAATTGGTTCTCATCAATTTTAGCACTACCAGGTCGACGGGCACCACTGCCCTGCAGAGTCTTGATGTCCTGCTCAAAGCCGCCATCGTCGAAGTACATGTCATCTTCGGCCTGCCCATCGTCTTCGTCTGAATCAGACTGCGCGTACTGCAAATTTTGATTGCTCATCGCATTCTTCTGGCGGATGTTCTGTCCTATTGCTCCTCTGTAAGGTGCGGCCGTTGAGCTCCTCGCATTACTCTCGGGACTCGAGAGGTACGCACCGGAGCTGTTTCGATCGTGAGACGGCGTGAAGCGGTTCTGGAGGTCCGCCCAGCCTGCATTAGCAGGCATGGTCTCGCTATCCTTAGTCCGGCGATTTGCTGCCGCCGTCATCATAGTACTTTGAGGCCTGTTGTCGTCTGCTGTTCCGAGAGATGTGGGTCGAGTATCGCCAAGACTAACATCAGGGCCTTCACTGAAGTTGAAGTCACTCAGCATGCTTAAGCCCAGACCTGAGGAGTTTGACCTGGCTCCTGACGACCTGCCTCCGAGTGTCGAAGCACTGGTGATGCGCGCCTGCTTGTCTTCCGTGATCTGACGGGGACTACCAGCGGTGGGTCCACCAAAGCTCATGCCGCTTGCGACCCGATTCCTTTCGCTGTTACCACTCTGCCTGTGCGGGAGCACTGGCCGGCCCTCCTGCTGCCTCTGTTCTTGCGGACTCGTAGCGGCACTGGTACTAGGCGAGTATCCTGCAGCAGCAGGCTGCATATAGAACCCGCTCCTCGGCCTCGCACCAGCCACTCCACCGGGAACACTATTGCGATCCGAGAAGGAGTCTTGTACAAATTCACCGTTAGCATTACTGTTGAGGTTCGGCGTGAGTGCCGATGTATCGATAGTAAGAGCGGAGCCACCACTAGCCAGGCGCTTATGAACCTTTTCCGGTGCATGAGGGGATTGGGCAAGCTGTTGTTGCAGTCTCAGTAATGCCATTCCTTCGTCCGTAGCGAGCGACTCATCATGGGAGTGCATGCTAAGAGCAGAGTAACCGCGCATAGCAGGGTGCTCGGCCCAGGTCAAGTGCCTCAACTTGCGTTCGTCGACGATCTCATTCTCTTCTTCCTCGTACATCGACTCCTCATCAGAGTCTGGCGTTTGCAATTGCTGTCGCGTATGCTTGACCTGCGCCAGTGAAGCGTGCGGCGGCTCTGGGGATCTCACTGGCTGTGCGGTCGCTTGCTCATGAGAACGATCCTCCTCAAGCTCGTCAACTTCATCTCCCTCCTCGCCAAGCCCTTGCTCCATCTCCAGCTCATCCATGTCATCGATAGCGTCCTCATCAAAGTCATCCTCCTCTTCATCTTCATTCACATATCTTTGACCACTCGCCCGACTAGCTCTGCCCACTAACCTCCCTTTTTCCTCTAGAGCCTGCTCCTCACCAGCACTCTCGCCAAACTGGAAAGAGAACCGTGAAGCGTTAGAGACTCGATGCTTTGGCCCACCCGTTGAGTTCCTCTTTGAAGAGTGTCCCACAGCAGATGCACGCTTCTCCACGACCTTCGCGCTCGAAGCATTACTCCTGGTGGCGGTAAGCTGTGAAGCAGCAACAGGCGCGAACGAGATAGAGTTCGCCGTGCCAATCTCAGGTGTCATTTCAGGAGTGGTCATGTCCGATGTCCTGCCCGGAAGCGGGATAGGTATGCTCAGTGTGTCTCTTCGTCCCGGAGAAGAAGGGCTGACCCACTCCGGTGCTTCAGCCGAATTACGGTACGGACTTCTTTCCCTCTCGGTCTTTGCAGCTGCACTCTCCTTCTCGTCGCCAGTCGCGGGACCAGGGAGTGGCGTAGATAGTGGTCGAGCAGTGGCTTCGCTGACTGTCCTTCCTCTGGACTCAGGAGACACAGGCATATGAGGCCCAATGCCCTCGAAGCCGGAAAGCGGTCTGAACTTGTTATCGGTGGAGAAAGCTGGCGAGACTGGGCTCAGACTGTATGATGGACTATCGCGTGTATAAACGACTTGTTGTACGGTACTACTTCTCTGTGTCACCGGAGAGACTTGGCTGATGGTGCTGAGATTCGAGTCTCGTTCTCCAGCTCCTCTGCCACTTCCACTTCCACTTGAAGGATCGCTCGAGCGTTTTGAATCGTCGTCTTGGACCAGGTTACCTTGCATCTGATCCAGTACCTGGCTTCTTCGCGCGAAAGGCGGGAGGACAGCACTTTCAACGGAGTAAGCACTGTTAGATGAATGATGTGACACCCGCTGCAGAAAGTCCTTGTTCTCCAGCCTCTCAGCGTTAAGTGAACTATTACGTTGACTAACATACGTATCGTCGTCGAGATGTTCTCGAAAAACAGGAGAGTGCGTGCTCCGTCTTACGTTAGCGCCATCACTGATATGGTGATTATGCCGCATCATCGAATCGTTGTCCTGCACCGGCTCATAAAGAAATTGTGGCACCGGCGTTGCGTGGCTGCCCATCCGTGGCTGGTCGTCCGAATCCAGGTAGGCATCACCGTGAGAGAAGTTTCGTCGAGGTGGTTTGGGAGCACTAAAGTCGTGGACTCTGTTGCTCTTTATCCGCGGGTCGAAGTCGGCGGGCATCTTGTTCACGCCGACGGCTGCCACGCTTCGCTGTCTAGCATACGCTTGTACAGCGTTAGCCCGATCAACAACGATCTCTTCGGGTGTTTGGCTGCTCTTTCGTCTTGAGAGGAGAGTCATAGGATTCAGTAGTCGTGTCTTGCGCTTGTCCGACTTGCTTGCTGCTCGGTCGGTGTTTGGCGGCTTCGTGGACGACGTGTGATAGGTGGGCACGTCTACGCCTTTCAGCTTGGCCGTGGCGCCAGCGGTCTTCGGTCTTGTCGCCACATACTGCGGCAGTGGATTCAAAGGCGAATTCTCCTGGTATGGCGTCCCGATCGTGCCCGCGCTTAGAGGCGAAGGCGAAGACATCGAAGGAGATATCGCCGGCCGTGTGACAGAGGAGTGTAGACTGGGCGTTGGCCGCGCAGCAGTCGACTCGCTGTAATTAGTCGTAGTTCGTGATATTGCTGTTCCGCTGGTTGACGTCCTCTGTAGGGTGTTGAGATTCTCCATTGAACTATTTGGACTGAGTCGTGCGCCACTGATCTTGGGCGCTCGTAATGAATTGCCTCCTGGCGAGTTCGGCATTTGTGGCGAAGGTAGACTTTGTGTATAGAAGCCTCCGAAGCTCTGCGGCGTCTGTAGGGTCGAGATTGGTGGTGGTGCCTGTCGCTGGGACGAGAAAGAGGCGAGGTTATTTGTCAAAAGGGGCATACTATTGCTACTTGGCATTTGTCCAGGTCGAGGCAAAGGAGGCTGTTGTATTAGCTGAGGCGGCGCTGTCGACAATGTAGAAGGTGGCCGATGATTGTACGGTTTGTCTCGACTGTCGATGAACTCCCGCGACATCACAGGTCCGCTAGTGACTTGGGCCTGTACAGGCGACTGGAGTTTCGCGGTGTCAGTCCTCGCTGGGAAGATCGAGGCCTGCATCAGAGATGGAACACTACCCGAATTCGGTTCTGCCACATCACTCAACTTCCTCCCCTCATTCGTCCTCCCGCTCAGTAGACCAGATGTGGGCATGAGATTGACGGGATGCTCCATATTCCGGAGTGAAGGAAGCTGTATGCCACTCTTTCTGCTGCTCGAGCTAAGTGTACTCACGTTGTCACTCTGGTCCCTCGCCCGCTGTCTCATGCCCTCAGAACTCGATGAAGTCGACTTGAAATCCTGAGAGACCGCACTTCTCAAGCTGAGGTCTCTGCTCGCGACTCTTGGTATAGGAGGTAGTGATGGCGGCAGCAGACCAATACTACTCTTTCCTGTACTTGACGCTCCCATCCCATCACTTGTCCGTGGTCGCGCGATGCTATCCTCACTCGGACGAAACGAATCGGCTATAGATCCTCCTGGTGGCTCCAACTCGAAGTCGAAAGTCATCTGCAACGGACTGACCAGAGGCGCTGGTATAGCCGGACTGACCTGTATATTCGCTGGTCGAGGAGCGGGGGCAGCAGGTCCAGCAACAGCAACGGCATTCCCAGACGAGCCGCTGCGCTCATGGCGATTGCGTTTCGAGAACATGATTCCCAGCTATTCACTTCCAGACCGGCGACCTCTCGCCAAATCCGCCTCCTGCGATGATTCCGTCCGCCGCCAGCGTGCACGCAAACCCGCTTCAGCGTAACACAGTCAACAGCCAAATCCACCTCGCATGCAGCACCCACAACCCCGTCCGCAGTGTCGGTATTGCTGGGATGACCGCTTGTGATCTGTCGTCTACAACTCGGCGAAGCGCGCCGTGGATTGAAATAGCCACGACGGCATGTGCGACTCGACAACCTGCTCCCAGCTATCTCCTACTTCCCAAGCCGTCAGTCCGTGTAACAATCAACGGTTCTCCACCGTCCCCAAAAGCCCCGTCGTACGCGATAGTCTACCTCTCCCCTCACAATTGTCGTGTAAGGCGGCCGCTATTCTGTCGACGCTCCAATCACAAGCTTCCGTCTCGTCTTGACCCTGACGCGAAAGTCTAACACGATTATTGTTTCGATCACGTCAACATGAACGGACTCTCACAGAGCTGACACACGAGGGAACTGGGACGAAGACCGATCGACACTATCTACACTCCAATCTGATCCATGCTTCCCTCTAGCGTTGACCCTGAAGCCGACAGATCTGTATATCGTATACAGCACTGTAGGCGAACCCGTCTCCAATTTAGAAGCGGCCGGATCAATATTCATTTATGGTTGGCCCAAAAGGGATTGGAATCACTCGATTGGCGCCAGTCTTTCGGTTGATCCGCGCTCTCGTGGCTCGAGCTTGACACGTGAAACGGATGTGCGGGGTGGTGAGCTTTGGTTTCGTCTGATCTTTTGTGCGTGAGGGTCAGAGTGGGATGACATTAATGATAAAGTTTCGAGAGCTGTTGTTACTGCTTGCTTAGACGGCCATAGGACAACTGCTCTGCTATCTGTCGTAACAAATGCACCACGCAACATTGGTCTGTGAGGAGATACCACCATAATTGAATAGTGTTGGCAAAGCAAGGCACCCTTTGTCATCTCTCCGAAGCAATAGCATGCTACTCAAGCCTGTAGCAAAGTCAAAATGGCACCATCGATAGTACACCTTCCGAACGGGCAGACCTTGACAGTCACACCAGTATTCGGCGGCATACAATTCAAAGCCAACGAGCTGAATACACACCACAATGCTTTCCCAGCAGGCTGGACGATAGTGATCCATAGCGAGGACTTTGAGGAAGATCACGTTCTGCCACCCAACCATGCCTCGACCATTAGTAGTCCCATCGCAGATAATGCCGAGCCACGAAGAGAGAAGAAGCACCATGTCCACCGCTTCCGTAAACCCACGCTACGGAACGACCATATGTTCTTCTCGTCCATATCGAATCCCTCCTCGAACGACTTCCGGCCTGCAACCAGTCCCACCAGACAGATCGCTATGATGTTGTGGGCAACGCTCTGGTGGTACTACCACCAACCTCGACCTGCTCCACAGCTCACCACAGCTGCAAGTGAGAAGACAGCGGAGGACGGAAAGCCCAAGGGCGAATGGATCGTGAACATAAACAGAGAAGGGATATTCAAGGGCAAGCACTTACTACCCAAGCTAGAAAGGATGGGTTTGCTCGCCTCAGAGGACTCGACAGTGGGCGTTGATCCTGCAGATGGTGTGACGAATGCAGGAGAGGGCTGGAGCCACATGTTCGTTTCACAACGGAGCTTCTGGCAGCTGGATCCGAGGATATACCTCTTCACTCTTACACCCACACAAGCGAACTCACCATATCCCTCTGTCAGTCCGGCCGTGAGCAGACCCGCAAGTCCAAACCGCAATAGCTCCAATCTATCGACCAACGAAGGACTTTCCTCCCTTTCAGCAGCACAGCATCTCAATCGCACCAGCACTCCCCCCGGGCCCTTCTCATCGGGCTCGCATCTTCCCACGTTCTACCCTCCGGCCCCAGCACAATACACCTTCACGAATGGAATAAAGCATCCTGTACGACCGAAGCCGCCACGGCAAGGAGAAACTTTCTACACGCGCTGGGTACCAAGTCTTGGCCAATATCTAAGTTTCCGGGTAGCTTCGCTGAGCAAGAACCCTTGTGTCTACCGCGGTCCGACATCGACTTCAAATGCAGACTCCATGTTCCCACCTCAGACACGAGAAAGTCTTCGTTCAGGTACACCATCAGCGTCGGAGGCGACAATAAACACTTTAGGCAACAACGCTACTTCGGCATTAAACCTCGACGATACCCCCACGACCTCCATGACTGATCCGGAACTACTACACAAATGGATGAACAATCCCCGCGTCTCCTACAGCTGGGGCGAAAACGGTCCAACATCCCACCAAGAAGCCTTCCTAACCACGAACCTCAAATCCATGAATTCTTTTCCAGTAATAGGCTGCTTCGATGGTAAACCCTTTGGGTACTTTGAGATCTACTGGGTCAAGGAGGATCGACTCGCGGCCCATCTTGGAGGCGAATGTGGAGACTGGGACAGAGGTCTACATGTCCTGGTGGGCGAAGATGAGTTCAGAGGAAGTCATAGAGTGAAGGTTTGGCTGAGTGCGCTGATACATTGGTGCTGGTTGGCGGATCTCAGGACAAGTATTGTCTTCATGGAGCCGAGGGTGGATAATGAGAAGTATGACATCCTGTCGTCACGAACTGGAGAGGACTCAAGTACATGATTGTGAATCGCGCTGACACTACTTGCAGATTACGACGCTATTGCGAAGAAGCTGGATTCTACAAGGAGCGCGAGGTCACTTTCCCGCATAAACAGAGCAATCTGATGAAGATCAGGCGAGAGGCATGGACTGCGCCTGCATTATGAGCATATTTAGAACTCGCTACTTTCCACGGCTACTACGACCACGACCACGGAAACGAGATACTATATATCTCACTTCAACTACCACGACATCCACTCACAAACAACCAGCAACCACTTTCTTCAGCTCTTCGCGACTCAAACCGTTGATCCCAAGCAACCCATTGTCATTTTCTTCATCCCAGCAACTTCCGTAGCCCTGATTCATTATACTAATGATGATGAATCCGACCATCGCCTTCCCGATATTTGGCCCGCCCTCCTTGAGATTGGCATAAGAGTCCGTAAGCAGATCCTCCGTACTGACTTCCTCCCTCGCCCAGTCGCGCTCAGGCTTGAGTTCCTTGGCGATGGCGAGGAGTTCATTCTGGGATGTGGTTGTGCTCTGGACATAGACGGCGCGATTCTTGCACTGCTCGGGACGGCGTAGGACACCTATCACAGCGGTACAAATATCGGCATACGTGGTGAAAGATCTCTTTCCATCCCCGCCGTCGTAGACTTTTGACACCTCGCCGAGACCAGTCTTAGGATTGATGAGGAGACCGTGCTCGATACAAAACTCCAGGAACGCCCCCGTGATGACAGCGGTCCAGGTTATCTTGTCCTGGACTTTGTCCAAGTACTCTTCCGTCTTCTTCTTGCCTGCGAAGACTGGTAGCGCGGCGCAATTGGCGTTCCCGATGACATTCGAGCCGAATTCAGAGGGGATGAAGTGTTTGACTCCTGCGGCTACGGCAGCGTCGATGAGGATTGGTTGGTCGCCGTGGTTCGGGATGCACGATACGAAGGCGTCGATGCCCTGGAGAGCGGAGGAAAGGGAGGAAAGGGAAGTGAAGTCTACCGTGGCAACTTTGACTCCAGAGGGAAGGTTCGAGGGGGTAGAGCGGGAGAGGACTGTGACGTTGTACTTTGCTTCGACCAGGGCTTTTAGAAGAGGCTGGCCGAGGTTGCCTGTGGCGCCGGCTAATGCTATATTCATGTATGGTTGGCTCGACATATTCGGTCTTTTGTCTTGAGGTACTGTCAAATCAGACGAAGCACTGCAGTCAAGGGCTTGCTGTAGCTGAAGGGAGGAAGTTGCTGGATGTGATGAAAATCTATTGCTCCCTCTCGAGGGACAGGCGAACGCCAATATATACTTCTTCTCAGCCTGCTTAAATGAAGCCTCCTTGGCCACCCTACCTCGTCCTCATCATGGCCAAGCCCCAGAGCCCGGATATACCTGAAAAAGTACGTGTACATGCTCCAAGCGTACCCACTGGCTTACCAACATCATCCAGCAGCATAGTTCTCACGAGCATGAATCAATGCCCTAGATGTAGAGTGAAGCCAGTGCCCAAGCCATATTGCCGAGCAGCAATGGCAAAAACACACGAACATTCCTCCGCTTGCCGCTGCTCTGCACCCGAAAAGCCGAGCGGTGGACCTGTCAAATCTGGACCTACGGATTATCAATACCGACTCTGGTGCAGAGATACACAACATATCCAAGGCGTCGTGCAAGCCGCCGGACGAGACGTCTCATATCCTTCGACATATCCGGTCGATGTAGTTGTCAGGTGGTGTTGGAGTGGAAGGGCGTTAGTCAGGAGTGCGGAAATGATTCCGCGTACGCATAAGCAGATAGGACGAAAAAAGATATGTACAAGAGTTATGCACAAGCATGGGCAGGAGTCTGAAGAGCAGACTTCTCAGCCTCGAACCCTCTCCTCTCTCGGAAGGAAATTTTCGACAAGCACACCCAAGTCCTCCAACACCTGTGAAACAAAATGTCGGGCTGAAACAAGGGTATCCACGACCATACGCCGAAAGCAGTCATTCTGTTCGTTCTTTGCCATCCTAGCAAGCCTCTGCTCTACACACATCACGTCGCATCCACCCAACGCTATCATCGCCATTCCCATCACTCCCCTCCATTCACCCAAGCACCCCGTAAGGCCCTCACAAATCAATCAAACTCACCCCCTGCCCTCCCTGCTGCCCCTGCCCCTGCTGCTGCGGCCTCCCCCCAAAAGGATTATTCTGCCCCCCAAACCCCGTCGCAGGCCCCGTCTGGGCCGGGTACTGAAACTGCGCCGCACTCTGCTGCTGGTTATAGAAGGGGTTGTTACCCGTCTTCGCCGCCTCCAGCCTACCCATACTACCACCACCAGCTGAATTGACGAAAGTGCCTGGTGCCGTATGTTGAGCTGGTAGGCGGAGATCGCCGACGTTGCCGAAGGTATCTTGGCCTTCGCCTGAGGCGAGGAGAGCGTTGAGGCGGGCTTGGTAGGGATCTTGGGGTGGTTGTTGTTTTTGTGCGGTTGGTTGGGGTTGTTGTACTGGTGCAGAGAAGTTCTGGATCGGGTTCGGTCGAGGTGCGAAGTTCGTGGCTGTCTGCTGTTCTTGGAGCGTGGAGAGAGTTGGTTTGTTCGAGGCGAATGGTGATTGCGTCTGCTGTGGTCGTTGAGCAGCGAAAGGATTGTTTGAGCCTGTGGCTTGAACGCCAATGGGTGAGGCCATGGCGTTGTTGTGTGTTCCCCAGGGGTTGTTTGAGCCGGCTGGTGTGGCCGTGACTTGTTCTTGAATCAATTGCTGGGTCTGCTGTGGTTGCATTTGCTGCGCCCAGGGATTGTAGGTGTTTTGCGGTTCGAGGAACTGCTGTTGCGGCTGTTGCATCTGCTCGTAGCCAGTCTGCTGTGGTTGCTGGTAGCCAAATCCATTGCCATAGCCACCGTTTTGAATTCCCGTGGGCTGGCTGTAGGCGTTGTTCAGATAACCGGTCTGTTGAGGTTGCTGCTGCTGCTGCTGCTGCTCTACGGGGTTGCCGTACCAGTCGACGGCTGCTTGCTGCTGATAGCCCTGATTAAACCCTGTCGGCTGTGCAGCTTGGGCAGAAGTATCGTCGAAGAGCAGATTCGAGTTCTGCTGATCCTCGAGTTCTCGCTTCCGCAGCTCCTCCTCCTCTTTGCTGAGCTTGATCGCTTTCTCGAGGTCATCATCGTCCACTTCAGGCTGAGCACCCTTTCTGCGAGCAGCATCCACTTCTGCCTCATTCTTTGATGCTTCCAGAGCCAGCTTGTACTCGAGATCGTCGTCGTCGCCATTGCCGCGATTCGTTTTCCGCCTCTCACGTCGCCGTGGAGTGCTTTCTTCACCCTCAAAACCAGACATACCACCGGGTACTTCGTCCAGGCCAGTGACTCGAGATTTCCATGATCCTCGGTTGGTCCTCTCGGCGCGTAGTCGTTCTTCGTCCAAGATGAGGGATGTCAGCTCCTTTGCCGAATGTCGGACTGGGTATGTTAGCTCTGATCTACCACCTTCAATCGTGATTTGCACTCACTGCTTGCGCCCACATCTCTGCCGTCCTCATCAACATGAATGAACTCTCGCAAAGTCTTGATGATGTATATGTTCTTCCTCGCCCACGTCACCACCAGCTCTGAACCCTCGTGCAAGCAATAGTCTAGCACCTTCAGACTCTTCAGCACATGCCGCCAGTTCTTGCCTTTGTCGTTGAGTCGCTTATCGAGCATGTCCATGACCTCGTAAAAGTCGGTGGAGCTGTTGTAGGTGATGCGCGCGATGTCGGCCATGTCGGTGCCTGTAGGACCCCATGGGTCGTTGCTGGTGGCTGGACACTCCTATTAGCTGCCCAGCTGCTTCATGCATAGAGGTGTGCCTATTCGTACCATTGCGCACTTTCACCTGGACCGAGGAGTAGCCTTTGGTGACATTTTTTACGCTGCGGATCACGGAAGACATCTTGGCGGGTTTGCCAGGCCAGCGTGTAGCTCAGAATTCGTGACTATGTATCGCAGCTCGGGAGACGTAGTGGTGCTCGCTCACGCTATTGCTGGCGCGCAACGTCAAGGCCAGGCGCAAGTGAGTAGCTAGCCGTCGAATACAATGGCCGGAAGCTTGGGGACCGATTGAGATGATTCTTGCTAGGCCGAGCTGTGAGTCCTGTCTCGAAAGTACACTCGTTATATGGACACGTGAGGCGAAAGAGACGGTAGTGTAGTATTGGATTGGAGCAGCAGAGTAGTCGTGTTCAAGCAAGTCGCAGCAGCAAAGTGTAGGTCATCCATCGGAGAGACCGGCTTCGTCATCGCTCCGGCGGAGCTTCCCGCGGTCCGCTGCAAATGCAGATGCTTGCTCGTTCACACTTTTCCATGCACTCGAGAATATACATGATCGGTGTGCCGCATCTGTGGACGTCATGCCTACAAATGGCGTAGTGGCAGAGCTGCTGGAGTGGGACAGGCAGTATGGCGCTTATCTGCATCCATCCATCGAGATAGCTCGTAACGATGAAGCTGGCTACCACGTGCGTCGACAACACCGCATACAGAAGCGAACACGCGCGTGGCGACTGACAGCATCTAGTGGCGAGCGACTGAACATATCCCGGCTGACACGACCATCTCTGTCGCGCCACACTCACTAACCCTCTCCTACCTCAATGCCCTGGTCGACGACAAATTCACCGTCTTCAAAGCCCAACGCCACCATTTCAAGATCGAGAGCATAGGTTTCTTCTACCTAATGGTCCAGTATGTAAACCGCTCGACGTCCTTCTGGAAGCCTTACCTAGACGCTCTACCATCCCCTGACTCCGAGTTCTCCACACCGCTATGGTTCGACGATGCCGATGATCTAGCTTGGATCGAAGGTACAGATGTCCTACATACCATGCTTGGCCGTAGAGAAATATACGAGGAATACTATACCTCTGGCATACGCGTCTTAAGCTCCTCAGGCATAGACACGGCGCCGTATACATGGTACGTTATACCATATCAAGCAGGTAAGTACGTCTCATTCATTCTATTCTTCTTTCCAGGGACCTCTTCCGTTGGGCAATCACAATGTTCACCTCTCGCACATTCTCTTCTCGTGCTATTGCGCCGCAGGACTCAAAGTATTGGACCACGTACAAGACGAATGCGCAGGGACAGCGGCAGACTGTGCTGCTAGATATGTCTCGAACACCAGCCGAGGATCTGGATTTCTCTATCCTGTTTCCTGTGCAGGATTTTGGCAATCACAGCAACAATGCTAGGGTGGACTGGGCATTTGATCCCGGTCGGTTCAGTATCAAAGTCAACGACCCTGTAGAGGCTGAGCAGGAGGTGTTCAACAACTATGGACCAAAACCCAACGATGAGCTTCTCATGGGCTACGGCTTCTGCATACCCGACAACCCGTTTGATGGTGTACTCCTCACACTGAAGCCTCCGCCACTCGACTTGCAGGGAGAACTTCATCCAATACATCCAGGCTACTTCAGCAGTACCGGAGAATGGAGCAGCGAACGCACGACTGTCCGGCTTCGACACCCCAGAATGTTCACCCCAGAGACAGCCTCACCATCAGCACCGGCCTCCATCTTCCACATCCTACCAGAGCCACTTCTAGAACTCCTACTCTACATCCTTCGCCACGAACGCGGAATCCCCTTCGACTGGATTCCGTTCCCCATGATGCACCTCCTGAACGATGACGGCGCAAGACGATACCTCCCGCACATCGCCCGGATGATCGTCCAGTCACTCATGCCAAAATTACAGAAACTTCAGAACGCCGATCTAGGAGAGCCGAAGAACCAGAAGCAGCAACAAGCTGCTATCTATCGCTCTGGCCAGGTGACAGCGATCGAAGCTAATATCGCCGCCTTACGCACGTTCACGAGATCCTTGCTCGTAGGTCCGGAGCAGCAGGGTCCGCGATTCGTGACGCTGGAAGGGCTTTTGCAGACGTGGCATTTGCACTCGAACCAGACTGATCCTGGATCTGCGAATGTTTTCATCAGCGGTATCGAAGCTGTGGTCGGTTCGCGAGAGGTGTCGCAATGGAGACAAGCAGGCTGGGAAGACGACATCCTCGTCCTCGCCCTCAGCGCCATCTACCTCGACGGTGTGGCGCAGCGGCAAGGCTGGACGCCTGAGTACCTTTTGGATCCTACACCCTGGGGCTTGAAAGCTGCAGAGCTGGACATGGAGCCGGAGGTTGTAGCGCGAGCGGAGGGGTTGATGGAGATGATAAGGTCTTGTGCTCAAGCTGGTGTTGGTGGGGAGGGGAGTTTGTGGAGGGATGGGAGGTGGCGTGCTGAGGTTATTGCTAAGGTTGGGGGGAGGTGGGTTGAGTTTGATGGGTTGATGATGATGGTTCCGGGTAGTGATGGGGAGGGAGAAGAGGCTAGACTGGTCGTATACCTACATGGGACGTAGACTTAGGCTACGCAATCAACGAGGCACTATACCTCTCTCATTGCGACTGTGAGTATACGCTATCGGTTGGTTATACATCCATGCAACGCAGGGAATGAAGGAGAAGCAGCGCTCTGTTGCTTACAAGCCATGTCGTCTCGGCACACCTGGGTACAGCTGCGTGCTTCCGGACTTCTATAACTTCCTCATGCAGCTTTATACACCCCATGGTCATTTAGACAGTACCCATTTCGTGTGCCTTTCGCGCGTTTGAACCTAACAGCGGCCCGTGCCTCCTCGCGTGCACATCATCAAGACGCCACATTTTCCTTGTCCAGGATATCGATGCGAATGTAAATAATATTTTAGACATAACAAGTAGGCTGGACTCCTGGATGTGACGCCCGGCAGGAGAGAGCACAGCAAACCACACGATGTCTCCACCAAATGATGATCCAGTGGCCAACTCATCCCACGAACAAGAAGAACCTCTGCTCCGAACACCGACAAGGCACTATGAGTCCTTCCTCGCCAATCCTCACGGCGTCAAGAAGTCTCGGAATCGCAACAACAACAACGTTGCCTCGAGATCCTGGTCAGAGTACCTCAATACGAAAATCACAACGCGCTATACCGACCTCGTCCTCATCTTCTGCTTCGGCGTGAGTGGGATGATAGATAGTGGCGCTTATAATGCATATACTTGTTTCATGAGTATGCAGGTAAATCTACACTACTTCTACAGATTGAGTTCACGAGATGGACAGATAGCTCATGCATACTCCAGACAGGAAACACCATCTTCGCCGCCCTAGGCGTCTCGAATCTGCCAGCCCAACAGCCAAAATACGCCTGGGCAAAGTCCTTGACTTCCATCCTCGCCTACCTCCTCGGCGCTCTCGTCTTCTCCAACTTCCACCGCTTCGTCGGCGAAAGGAAACGCTGGGCCTTCGCCTTCTCGTTCCTTGTCCAAGCAGCCGTAACTTTGATCGCAGCCATCCTGGTAGGCAACCGCAGCGTCTCCGGCTCACCCGTCAGTCTGTCATTCTCAACCTCGACAATACCCGAAGATCCTGGCTTTCCGTGGACAGATCTCATACCTATATCTCTCCTTGCCTTCCAGGCTTCTGGCAAAGTAGCGGCCAGTAGGATCTTGGGCTGGAATGGCCTGCCTACTGTGGTACTCACATCATTGTATAGTGACTTCATGGGCGATCCGGGGTTATTGGCGGGTCCGTTCGCAAATGCCACAAGGAACCGCCGACTTGCAGCAATCATATTCTATCTCGGAGGCGCAGTGGCTGCTGGTCCGCTTGTGAAAAGCGGACCAGGCTTCTCGGGTCTGCTGTACGTGGCTGTAGGGATGAAGTTTGGGGTCGTGCTTTCATGGATCCTGTGGCCCGAGGAGAAGGAGGAGCAGGGTGATGAGGAAGGTAATTAGAGGATCGTAAATAGACTGTATATCATGTTCAATACCGGGACACCTCGCTATCGACCCATAACAGTCTAATTTCACTCCGGCCTCGTAGGCTCCTCCTCACAAACCTTTACAACAACCTTCCCTTTCGTCCTCCCACTCTTCAGATGCGCGAAAGCCTTATCTGCATCTTCAAGCTCAAACTCCTTCTCTATCACAGCCTTCACTTTGCCCTCTTCCATCCACTTCGCGATCTCGGCATAGTGTGTCGGGTTGGTATTTGCGGTCACAAACGTGAATGTCCTTTGCCCACCGCCTAGAACAGAGGGCCAGACCAAGACTTTGAGGAAGTCTATGATGAATGAGATTGAGGGTGTACCGGCGATGGTGACGAAGCGGCCGGTTGTCGGCTTGAGGTACTTGTGGGCATTCCAATAGAGGGCCGGTGTGGCGAACACAGTGTCGACTATCAGGTCATAGTTGTGTCCAGAAGAAGTGAGTTTCTTGAGGATGTCGGTGGTTTTGTAGTCGACCACTTCATCCGCCCCAAGAGATTTGCACAATTCAACGTTCGGGCCCGAACATGTGGTCGTGACGTGGCAGCCTACAGCTTTGGCGATCTGGATCATGAAAGTGCCTGTTCCGCCGCTGCCACCATTAATGAAGACCTTGTCTCCTTTCTTGGCGTAGGGGACGATGCATTGGTAGGCTGTCAAGCCGACAACACCCACACAAGCTGCATCCTTGAGTGACACGTCGTTGGGCACGGGAACACAACCCTCTTTGCCAACGACGATATACTCGCCCAACGCGCCGCAAGAAGGAGGTTCAGTCTTGCCAAACACCAGTTCGCCAGTCTTGAGATGGCCGAGCTTGCTCTCCACCACGATGCCAGAGTAGTCCAGACATGGCGTGGCGGGTTTGCTGAATATGAAGGGAACATTGTCGGCCAGTTTGTAGTCGATCGGGTTCGGACATGCGTAGGCGACCTTCACCAGTGTCTGTCCGGCTCGCAAGGACTTGGCATTCTTGGGTAGTGAGGCCTTGGGGTTGAGCTTGAGGTTTTTGTCGATGCCGCCGTGACTGTAGGTCCACTGGCTGGCGCGCATGTGGTCGGGGACGGCGACTGACATTTTGTTAATCGTATAGTTCAGAGTGCTGATGTGTGGTATGGCGTAAGGTGGTGTTAACATCCATATGTATGCTGCAGCCACAACACAAGGCACGACTTACGTAGATTGTGGAAGCTGTGCTCGTTCAGTGACGCCATGATGAACTCTATTGTGTTGCTGGCCAAGTCCTTGCATGTGAGAGGGATCTAACTTTGAAGCTGTCTCATGAAGTGTGAAGTTTATACAGCCCGTGTGGCGTCAAGTGTGGCGTAAGGATCTGTTTGTTAACACCATATACCCAACGGCTGAACATAGAACACTCGTAGATCAATCAATGTGATGTACTCACGACGGTAGAGTAAGGATCTAGGTAGCGCTGATACTCGTTGACTTGGATTCGCTGCACGAAACAGGAAATCGATATTGTACAGCCATAGGTCACATTGAGAAGTTGGATATCTAGGAACACCACAACACCACGCTTTGCAGACAACAAGATCACCGCCGTGCCACTGCTTCGAAAGAACTACTCGTCCGAGATCACTACAGTACTCGCAATGAATTACCCGCCTTACTCTCTTCTGCTGCCTCTCTCCTTTGCCTCCACTGCCATTCCAGTAGAGTAGGCAAGAACTGATAGAGGTCGAATTCTGGCCACAAGCAGTCGAGGAACTTGATCTCGGTCTCTTCATGGCATTGCCAGAGCATGAAATCTGACAACCTAGACACACCAGACGTGCGTACTAAAAGGTCCAATGGAGGTGCTGGAAATGTGTATGTGTTCTTGTCCAGATGATCTTCTGTCAAGGTCTCTGGGTCTGGATAATGTTGTCGATTCCGCTCTGAGCTCGAGTTGTCACCGGCTAGTGGCTTTAGTGTAGGTGAAGGTGAATGCGAGGTTTGTGAGCTTTCCACTTGGAGCGTCGACGAAGCGTCCAGATCTTGATCAGACATCTCCGAACTATCCACTTCCTGTCCATGATCTAGCAGATCCAACATCCTCTCTTTGTCAGGTTTGTCTTCTTCCGCCACGCTGCTCAATTGTCTCCTTCTTAGATTCCGCAGAACATGAGTCTCACTAAAGCCTCGTTGGCCCCTGGGTCTCTGCGTGGCCGTACTGAACTCTGCCACCGTTTCTCGGATACTCCTGGTAATCTCCTCCCGACTGGTGTATGGGAAACAGACGTTCAACACAGCCTGGTCGTTATGCCTTGTCATTTCCACCGCTCGATCCACTTGCTCCAGCACATCCTCCCGCACGAGACTCTTGTCTCCAAGTATCCGCACAGAAGCTCCATACCGATCAAATAGCTCTCCATGCTGTGACATCTGCACAAGCTTCGTCTTGGCCATATCCATAAGCCCGTCAACCTCGTACTTGCTTCGCTTAAAATTCTCAATGCTGAATGCGTAAATTGTCACGACTTTCACTCCTGACTTGTAGCAGACCTCCAGTATGCGAGCGAGGGCTTCGAAACCTAGGTGGTGGCCTTCCACTGTTTCGAGCTTATGCGTACGAGCGTAACGACGATTGCCGTCCATTACGAAGGCTATATGTTGAGGTATTGGACCGCATTTTAGAGTATTGATCAGAAGTTCGCGGAGCTGATGAAGGGCCCAGTCGACAGGTGGTAGGTTCATGATCCAGCGACGCAGGGAAGCGCCTCGCGTGATTGCCATTGTGTTTCTTTATGTTGATCGTGAACGTGGGTTGGAATCGTGATAATAATGAAGGGTCAGATGACTGTATTTCACGTGGAAGCAGTGAGTGAGCTAGGGATCACTTGTATGGTAGAAGCAGCTGCCTAGCTAGTGGCAAGGCGAATAACATGGTCCGAATCCTTCTTCCAGTCTTCGATGTGTCCTGCCACAGCTGCAACGCAAGCGTTTCTTGACCTCGAAAAACTGAGCCAATGACGACGCTCCGGGCGGCCGCGGCTCGGAGCAAACACGGACCGATGCACCTCAACCACAGCCCTGGTAAGTCCTCAGGAGCATCTGCTCTATCACAGATTTTGTGACACTCTGCATCCCAGACTTGACGACATGCACTTCTATCCAGATTCAGTAAGCTGCGTCAAAGACGGAGCGGTGGGGAAGCTGAAGTGTACGACAGCTGTCCGCATGGTAATAGATGCTTGACCTCCTGACACTTCGTCTAATCGTCTAATACTGTTCTTTCGTGCATCCAATCCTTATTTACACTGCCAAACACCGAGCAGCACCATGAAAGTACGACCTGATCCCAAGTGGGATTCAGTGAGTCCGCCAGAGCACATCCAGAGGATGATGGAGGACATGCCTGTAGATTCCGCAGCCAACATCGACTACAATGATCCCGAGAGCATGTTTCCTGCAATGGATACGGTTACGCGTCCCGGTGGGCCGCCGATGCTTACTATGGGTACTGCGAACGAGGTCGGACGTCAAGCACTCAGACACACAGACGACATCTTCGAGGACTGGGCTACCCTGAACGGCGCTGTACGGCGACATGAGATGACCATTCGGAAGCGCTGAGTTGAGGAAACGAAAGCCTAACGGCTGAAGCTGCTTCCCGCTGCCTGGTCGAACACAATGGCTCCACGCATCGCACAGTCTACGTCGGGTTTCGAAAGGAGACCAAGATGCAGCGACAAGCTGACACTCGACATCGAGATGACTTTTAGTGACCTTACATCAATCAGGAGGACCTTTCGACGTGGAGAACACTGACACCCTTTTTGAACGCACGAGGATTCAACATGCCTAACACGGTTGCCGTTGCAGGCCGCTCACCTGGCATTTGTCTCTACCGCTGTCTTCCCGCCATTCTTGAATGTATACACAATGTACTTCTCAGGAAGAACGAGTACGCAGCACTGTGGCGGGCTGGTCTCTTGGGACGACAACGATCAGGTAATTTAAGACTTTATTAGCCACAAGGCCTCGCAGCCGGGCAATGGTTTGATCTTGCCAGAGTTTAAGGAGAGAATCCTGTCCACATTCAAACTCGACGCTCGCGCCCTGAAAGTCTTCCGTACACTCTTCTACACCCCATATATCTCCGCCACACCCGGTGAAGTACCGCTGACCGACTCTCTGCATGCTATGAGTGCGGTCAGGCTTCCTGGTCGAGAAGCTCTATGGTAGTGAGTGGCAACTTCAGCCGATAAGGTTGGATGCGGCGAGGGGTATACAGGTTCGTGAGCCGCATCGTAATGGGAAGTTGGCTTATAGGACTGCTAGACGGTTTGGTAGGAGGTTGGAGAGGGCTTATGGATGGGGTGGTGGGGGTCTGGTGCGAGGTGATCGCTTACTTGCGTTGATATGATAGATCTAGGATGGGCCAGAGAAGATATATTCAATAGCACACTTTCACTCGCTGGCTAGATTCAATGTATCCGTAGTAGCCTTGGAAGGCAACGTGAGCCGCTGGGATCTTGCCAGATTGACGGAAGTGTAGTCGTTGGCCTTAAGCATAGCATCAATTATATCTAGCTACTCGCAGAATGGTGCTTCCTATTCATCCTCCGGCATCAACACCTTGACCCTTTGGCCACGCTCGTCCACGATGTGCCGCATGACCACGAAGGCGCTCGTATCCCCGGAGCAAAGACTAAGCAGCTACCAGAGAATTGTCACTGTATGGCGTCTGCTATACATCTCTAGAGCAGAACAAGATGGTCTAGATGACGAAGTGTGAAGCATGGTCCGTTGTCATCCGCTCCATCGACCAGCCGAGCCCCAGTGTTCACCGTATAGATTCTAAGATCACGATCGCGGAAAAGCATTCACTTCAGCATGCATGAAGGAGAATCAGGTGAAGCGAGGCGGAAACCAGAGAGAAGGAAGGCACGAAAGATGAGTGCGGAATGAAGCCGTGAACCGCAAAACGCGTCTCACAGCAAGACACGCGCCTCGCCTTCATGTAGTATAGCACAGATACAACAACCATTGCGCCTTGACTCGACTCCACTCATATCGCGCGACGTCTACGACTACAACATCTCGGAGAACACAGCTGCCTGGGACACTGGAGGTGAACATTACCCAAGCGCTCAAGTGTCATCCGCGACTCGAGACAAGGACAGACCACAATGGCAGCATCAACAAGCCACCAACCTTTCGCCCCCTCCAGACCCTACACCTCGGGCCTAGGTCGCACCCCCGGCGCCAACACGTTCGGCACAACACCCTACGGCGGGGGACAAACACCCTTCGGCGCACCGCAACCACAGCAACAGCAACACAACCCGGCCGGAGGACTAGGAGGAGGCACAAGCACAGCAGCAGCCGCGACGCAACAACAACGTGAAGCGCAGCGCCTGGAACGAGAACGACAAGAACGAGCGGAGCGTGAACGACGAGAGGCGGAAGAGAGAGGAATAGTAGAGCAGCTGAGTGAAGAGCAAAGGGAGGAAGTCAACGAAGCTGTGCGTAATCCCATCGGAGCGACCCAGACGACAGGTCTGACTCGGTGAGAGACATTGGCTAATCTGATATCATCCAGTTCTCCCTCTTCGACCTCGACAAAGACGCCCACATAGATTACCACGAACTCAAAGTCGCCCTTAAAGCCCTGGGCTTCGACCTCCCCAAATCCGAAATCCTCACCCTCCTCCAAATCCACGGCGTCCCGGCCTCAATCCTCACCCAACAAAACCCTTCCTCTTCCCATCGCAACCACCCGACCGACCGCGACCGCCCCTCGTTCACAGGTCCCAGCCGCTTACTCCTCGGCCACGCCGCCTTCCAACACATCGCGGCCTCGAAAATCCTCGCGCGGAAACCGGAGGAGGAGATCCTGCGAGCGTTCGAGCTCTTTGATGCGGAGGGGAAGGGGAGGATAGACGTGGAGGATTTGAGGCGGGTGGCGAGGGAACTTGGGGAGGGGTTACAGGAGGAGGAGTTGCAAGCCATGATTGATGAGTTTGATGTGAGAGGGGAGGGCGGGATAGATCGCGAGGGGTTTTTGAGTATTTGCTTGGGATGAGTTCTTGACAGTGCTGGGTGAGGATGAATTGCGGGATTTGGAACAGGGGCGTTTGGATGTGGGATCTCGCGGCTCCAATGGCGTGCGGCGACTATACTTGATGCAGCGTTGGTGTTTCGGCGCTTCGAATTGCTAGGGAATTGTGCTGGCTAGTTTTAGAATGCTAACTTGAACTGATGACTTTGTTCTATCTTGAATACATATTTGTGACTAGCTTGTGTGCGGGAGGCATCTTGTCAGCCGACCGATAAGTGCAAGTTCGCAATGATAGGTAAGGTCGAGTCATGCCAGACGTGCAGGTGATCTGAAACTGCTTGTCAGCAACAGCACTACAACGTGCGCGATGAAATTCGAGTGCAGCGATGTGGTAGGAAGGTATCAGTTTCAAAAGGCCTTGTCAAAGGCCATCTCATCAATGCGAACTTGTCGCTATGTCGACCGTCGTGAGATAATGAAAAATATCATCATTGTGCTTGGATGGGGGAGGAGGAAGGGCCAGTGAATACCTTTCCCAAGCACACCATGATTGTGGAGAAGGAATGCCGTCTTCATGATATGTCGCCCTGAAGAAATCCAACAATAGTGTCTGACAGCGCGTTTAGGCACCTACGGGATGTCAGCACTGTGGTTTGACGCCTTGCATTTTCATAGGAGGATGAGCGCGAGATAGAGGATCAGACTTGGTTAGTCAAATTCGTCTTCGCCACTTGTCACGGCAGCTTGGACATATGCTTGTCATTGAGTTGTGTATCATCTTTGCAGCACGGAAGGTGGGAGGAACACGATACTTACGTCGAATAAAATCGTCGCCCGGCAGAATTGATGGTTTTGGTACACTCAGCTAGTCCTGATATATCTGCAAGACTGGCCCTAATCATGGTCAGCGCATGACCAAGAACGAAGTAGCAAGGTGGAGAAATGATAGTTGTGAATGCTGAAATCAGTTTGGCATGAATGGTTAAATAAAAGATGGTGTCTGCATTGGCCAGGCCAGATCAGACTCGTCATCAAGACCTCATCAGAGCAAGGTGCGGAAGAAGGTTAGGAAAATGTAGACCACGCTTACCGTAATGGCCAGGCAAAGAAGTGTGTCCTGATGGCATGTTGGTCTGGGAACTATTCGAGGTCAGTTCCTGACAATGTGGACTAGATGGAGGAGTAGTGCGAAGAAGAAAGTGAGGATCAGTGGACGAGGTTTTCTAGGCCTGTCACAGAATGGCAAATCGGCTCATGTGGTAATCGGAGCCCAGTGCCGTGTCATCATGTAATGGAGTAGTCGGGTTTATGGGCAGAAGTGATGGCTTACCATAGACCCCAGATGTCTTGATCGAATGAGATCAGCGGCTTCCTACAACATGGAGGTATACCAACCGCGACCGAGTCTCGGAGTAGATGAACTCTGCATGGCTCGAGCCCGTTGGCTAAGCCAGACGAGCGTTGCCTACGATGGGCTCGAGGATGTCCCGTCGTGCTGGAGATGGTACAGACGCTCTTTAAACTGCACACACTCAAGTCAGCCATTGTTTCGGAAATAATCTGAAGACGAATGTTGAGCATAGGAGGATAGATCAGAAATAGCCGTAAGTTGTCACCAGTGACCCGAAGGCCTCAGTCGGTAATTCCATTTTGCGTATAAAAATAATAAATCATCATAACATGTAGCAAAGAGGAAGAGATGCCGAGAACGTACCAAGAGGTCTGGGGGTGGCTTGAGCACCTCTGTGCGGGTCATACATCGTTGCAGCCAATTTGCCAATGGAATGATGGTGGTACCATCTTCACGAGGGAGTGCCGAGCATGCAGCTCTTGAATCTGGAAGTGCTATCAGCGAGCTGTTCTCGGTTTTCACTGTCCGAGGTAGAACTGTTCCAAAGTCAACGTGATCAGACTGACGTAGCAAATGGTATCAATCCTCTTTAGAGAGGTCAAAAACTCTAGTTTGATTGCGGTATTGCTTATATCATCAGGGTAACGGAAGCTCGGGGAGGGTGAGAGCTTTTTTAGGTGAGTGTGACATACCATCTCGTGGAATCGAGGCAAGGCGCGGAAGCCAAGAAGCGGACTCGCAAGCTCAGTCCTGCGCAAGTCGAGTCTCGGGTATGCTTTCCGCGAAATGCGAGGTCGGGCTCCAGTCGAGCAACAAGTGCTGGGTGCTTGTGCTTATGATGTCAAGGTGCTGGAGACACCACAGTCCGAGGGGCGTATTGGACCACATCTCGTCATCCTGGCATCTTTGGGGTCTCCACTGATACCATCATCAGCATGTCGTCGAGGTGCTGTCGGAAAATGCTTTCGTGATCGTGTGTGTACAGAAACGATGTTGGACAGCAGATAGTGGAGTGCACGAAAATAATCTGTTGGAGTACGGAGGACGGGATTAGCCGGCCGCCTAGCTCTATAATGCCAAGCCTTCCGTTGCGGCCAACCCTCCAATAATTACCTTCACGCTCTCGGCACCCGCAAGCAAGACACGAGAGTGCTTGACGACGATATCGTCAGACTCAATTACTTCATCTCGACAGCGATGACCCCAATCGACTCCTGGCCAACCTGATCTGCTGACACATCAGGAAACCGTTCTGCTGGAGACTCATACAGCTCGATGCGCGCATTGCATGCCTACTGGATTTGACATAACACTTCGGGGCAGTCATCATCCATCTGTCTTTACGTTGATTCTGCCTTCACTGGACAGGGTTTACTAAGTATCAGAAAGTCTGTTCGCTCCCACAATTAGATCCGCTGGACCGTCGTCGGTATCCTTCGTCAACTCTACCATTTCTCAGCCTGTACAGCTGTCGATCCTTATGTCAGGCTCGAAGTGTCTGTCAGGAACACTCGCCTGGTACCTCCGACCTGGTATCCAGCTTGAGATTATGTCGATCACGGGCGTCTATCGAGATCAGTCCGCTACCCATGAGCGGCCTGGAGATCAAAAACATTTCGAGTCTAGCTGTCGACTGCACGAGGCAATGCGAATATCCCGCTACATGCATCTCAAGATCGTGTTAATTGTACCTGGTCTGGCTAGTGACTTGCTCTAGAGTGCTCTTACCACCCACCTCTCTGAATGTTAAGCCGTGGAATCCTCCATGACAAGGTCAAGATGACACTGTATGACTCTGCTTGAACTGTATGAGGCAACGTGCTGTCAGTGAGTTACCCTCGTCTGAGCTACTCTGCATGGCCTGCAGTGAATGCCGTTTGAAATACCTCCGTTCCGATTCAACAAGACCCTAATCTCGATACGTTTGTGCTTGATGTCCAGTACAGAGCCAGTAGCTTGTGATGTCCTGATATACAAAAGGTTCATGAGTACATGCGCTTGTGGTCGTCTGCTTGCTTTCCAGATTGGGAGCCAGGATGCAAGAGCTCCCTTCCTTTCCATTTGTTGGTCACGCGATGAACGTTCGAACATCGGTTTAACGATCTATCTTGTTCTAGCATGAAAAAGCTTCTCGCACGCCATCGACGCCATACCAACGGTCAAGAGCTGTCATATCGACTCCACCTGGCAGGTCAGATGGTTGTGAGAACGATATGCCGTAGCTGTCGAAGAGCATAAAGTGCGAGGCAAGCCAGACGATATCACCCCTGATCTGATAGCCTGTCACAAAACATCCCAGTCCAATGGTTTCACGGCTCCACTTCCGGAGCACTCAAAAGCGTCCATGCGGCCTGTCTGGCACATCCAACACAAAACGTTCCCAACACTGATAAGGCCGACGACCACAGACGTTGGAGGGATACACAACATCTCCCTCGCTTACTCGCAGTAGCCCGAACTATTGATTTCCTACCAGTGAGGCTGACTGCTATCGTTCGTGTTGGTAGTAGAGTGAGCGCAGTAAGATTGACATTCCACAACCATCATCATACGGAAGATAGCGGAGCAGCTTCTGTGCTCCGAGGGAAGTGTAGTAACAAGGATTGGCCCGTTCAGCGCGGTACAGAAGCCGTTACACTTTCTGTTGGAGATAGTCGTTGATAGTAGAGTGGAGTCGCGACTGGAATGTTTGGGCATTTGCAGCCGATGTTTTGTCTCGTGTGACGCTCTAATAATCATATGTCTTGTTTGACACTGTTTTGTTCACGAGCGAGCGATGTGTTTTGTACTGTGAATTATTCTGTACATAGTCTGATTGTTGACGAGAAATGGTACTGCTAGTCCGCTATTGGCCGAATCGCTAGTGGCCACCCGAACAGCCCGTCTGGTTGGCTTTCGGCGATCATGGTCACGCTCACATCAGTCCAGCCCTTGAGGCATTCCAGTTCCTCGTTCTCTTCGGAACATCGGCCTTCGGTGGGCTTGCAGAGGACGTATTCTCGCAATATTCAGAATCTGGAGCAGGTGGCGGAGGATCTGAGCCAAGGAGGTAGTGATATTGGGGAAGAAATAAGGAGGATGAACGAGGAGCAGAAGGAGAGGAGTCGGAGGAGTTCGTTGCAGAGTAGTCATCAGGGTGATGTTGCTGTTACTGGGACTGGAGGGTTTGTTGGTGGAAGTGAATTGGAGAGGATGAGGAGTCGGACGAACAGTAATGGTGTTGGAGGGAGCGGAATCGTGGATGTCAACGGAGCAGCGAGATGGGGTGGCTACAGTCCTAACGGCTTCGTCGGATCACCTGCAGGCTCGCAAACATCTGCGAGTGGAAGGTCACATGCTTCGGCGCCACGAAAAGCTTCTGTCGCGAGTTCATCGAGACTTGCTCAGATGGTTGAACCTGTTCAGGAAGGGCGACCACTCGACTCACCATTAGCACCGACTATGTCCGTTCACAGCGCCTCGACTACCGGCAACGAACACTCGCGGGAACCATCTGGAAATTCCTTTGATAGGCAGTACGATCAAATCGCCAGTCAGATCGAGCAACAGCTGGATTACGTGCCGCCCTCTCCTACCAAGCTTGACGACGAAGATGATGAGGTTCCAGACATGCTACTTCGCAAGCCAAGATCACAAGATACATTCGTCGAAGCACAGCTAGCGTTCAAGGACTTCGATGGCGTACACTTCTCCCCCGAAACCGATGAATTTATCGAGCTGGACGAAGACGGCAACGAGATCAGAAGGGTCTCAGCCCGCACTTCTTCTGGTGGAATGTCTATCGCGGCAGCCTCTATGCTTCGCACACCACGAGCACGCCCAATCTCTTACACCCAACCACCACCAGGAGACGGTATGGTATACTACCCTGCTCCTGTCCCGCGAATGCTCAATTTGCCCAAGAGGCTGTCACAACTACCATCTGCAAGCGTCCAAGCGCAAAGGAGATCGCAGGTACTCGGACAAATAGCACCGGCTGCAAGAGCCTCAGCACCATGGATCCCAGCCTTGGACTTCGCAAACGATCCATCCAGAAGCGGAACTCACAGGAGTGACGAATCGACTCACCAGCGCCAGACCTCCGATCCCGTAGCAAGACCAGACTCCGGTCCCCGTAGCCAAGGCTCAGCAACCTTTATCCAGCCAGTGAGCCCGCATGGCGTCCACCCACGCAGCGCTCTCAACCAACGTATGAGCATGCAGAATCTCCAGAACCTACCTCCACAACTCCGCGCCAGCATATTCTTTGATCACCAATCTCAACCTCAAGACGTTCAGGTCAAGAATGAATCCGCTGTAGCCACTCTGGACAGCATATTGGCTGCTTCCGCTACAGCGCCCGTCAGTGCATTCACGGATCATCCATTTGCTGGCGATGTGAGGAAGAGCACGTATGCGCCTGAATTCCAGCAGAAGGTCAGGAAGCGACAGAGCACAGCTACGCTTGGCTCTGTCATGACGACTGCGGCGGAGGTGGAGGCAGACAAGAAAGCTACGAAGGCGAGACGGCGAAGTAGTTTTGGGAATTTGTTGAGGAGAAACAGCAGTGCGATGGAGCTCGATGATCTGGCTGAGAGGAGGAATAGCAGGACGAGTAGCATCTTGCTTGGCGACTATAATGAGGGAGGTAACAGACTGAAGAAGAGGAGGAGCCAGATGAGTCTTGGAGATGAGATGGACAGACATACTGAAGCTGTGAGAACGCCTGGGAACGAGATATCAGAGCCTGATTTTTCGTCTGGACTTATCTCTCGTGCCCACAATGCGAGGGCGGAGGAGGGGGAGGAGCATACAGACGCGTATATGGACAACGCCACGACATCTCGTCCGCCTACGTCGCATAGCCGACGCGTGTTGAGCGACGGCAGGCAGATCGATGAGGACTTCAAGGATGAAGAAACTACAGACGAGGTGCCAGAAGAGGGAGGCGAGGCGACGTACGTCCAACCTTCGACCCTCCTAGCTGAGCTGCAGGTCCGGAAAGCGCAGCAGAAATCGAGGAACAGGACGGCTGCTACACACTATCCGAACGGTATGCATAGCACTCTCCTACAGCTTGATGCTGTAGAAGAGATCACCCGCAACAAACGCAAGAAGACTCGTGTGCCGTTAGCATGGGAAGGCACGGCACAGACGAATGTCGAGGAAGAAGCAAATGACGAGGACGTTCCGCTAGGTATGCTGTTCCAGGGTAAAGATGGCCTGATGAACGGGAAGCGGCAGATGGGAGATGGAAAAGACTGGGATCGGCCACTCGGCCTTATGGAAAAGAGGCAGATGGAGGATTCGGAGCCGCTTTCTTCGAGACGAAACAGAATGCTAGGGCTTCCACCATCATTTGGCAGAGCGGAGCGCGCGCTACAGAAGGCTGGAGCCGCGGGAATGATGGGAGGTAGTCAATTACATCTTGCTGGTCAGCCTGACGAGCCTGCCGAAAAAGACGATGGCGAGGAAGCAGGCGAGACTTTAGCGGACCGCATCAGGAAGCTGAGGACAAAAGATGCTTTGGAGACGGCAATCTCAGACACTGTGCCTAAGACTGGAGAAAGACCACTCAGCACATTCACAGACGACGTCCTCAGTCAATTCGGCCCTCTTGATGGTGCTGCAGGTGCAGGCAGTAAACCCGGAAGCAAGCCAGGCAGTAGAGGTAAAGATATTGCGACCACTGCGGCAGCTGTTGAGGAGCAAGCTGTAGCCGGTGCCGAGCCAGAGCAGGAAGCAGAGGCAGAAGAAGAGACACTTGGTCAACGTCGTGCCCGCCTCCAACGCGCAAAGGATGTCGAAGCCCGATCAGGCTTGAACAAACTCCTGGCTTCCAACCCTGTAGGCACACGAGCAGCGGCTAAGATGCACGTCCCAGTCGAGGGAACACTTCTCCACTCCTCCGCTGTCGCGCAAGCCAAGCAAAGGAATGATATCCTCCGAACCAACGTCCGGAGCTCGAGCTACTATGGTCTTGAGAGACCTTTGGTCGAGACAGGACGGCCTGGTATTGGTGTGCTCGGAGGTGCGGATAGGGTGGGAAGCCACGCTGGTCTCCTAGGCATGCAAGGGAGTAGCGGCGCGCGAGCTCCTAGTGGTGGCTTCGCAAATGGGGTGTACAACAATGGCCTCGGCGGCGTCTATAGCCCATCAACTATGCAGACGAGCTATTCTACACCTGGTTTTGGCATGCCCATGGGTCAGCAGGGAGGATATTTCGCTTCGCCTACGGCTGGAATGGTGGGGTATGGGATGCCGCAGTATCAGCAACAGGGGGTGATGAACCCCATGGCCGCTTATCAGCAGCCTATGGGAGGCTATGGGGCTGGCGTGCCTGCTATGACTGCTTATGGATATGGCATGCCTGGGCAGTATGGCGTGCCGGGCGGTATGATGGATGAGGGGCTAGACAAGCAGAAGAGGGAAGGGATTGATGCTTGGAGGATGAGCGTTATGCATTGAGTAGGTAGTCATGTCTGGATGTATACCGATGCATTGGATGGAGTTGGTTGTTGATGTCGCGAAAGGCAAAGTGGCATAATTGCATGGCGAGGGCGTTCTCGCTGGGCGTACAGATGATCATGTATAGAACCCGGAGAGTGCTGTAGGATAAGGCGAGGAGTGCATATGTATGACTCGGACTTCGTCTTACCTCTTCTTACATGATCGTGGCCCTGACTACGTCACGGTGCGGCGCTTTGGACGCCCGGTAATGCGCTTCGCTTCGCTTCACTCCAGGAAATGCTCCTTTCTACTGCTGGCCATTCAAAGATACCCTGTGACTGCAGTGGGCATGCCGGCTGGGTGGGGGTTTGTGCAATTACTGGTGGACCATACACGATGATCGACTTTCCTCCCTAAATCGTAGGCTAGCGTACTAAATCTAAGCTCCATTCATACGGTATGCAAGGACCCGGCATAGGATGAACCAACGCAAAGTGCTTCGTGGACCGCTACAGCGACGCCACCGGCCCGGCCACAGCTATGTAGCATCCGAGACTGCTTGCAGCGACAACGAAGGCAAAACAATCGCACGATGCCCCTGGCCATGCTCACATCACGAACATACTTTTGCAGGTGCAAGCAGGATTTTCGTCGACGAAGTCGTCGCTGCCAGTGCAGGCGGCTGCAAATGTTGTGCTCTTCTACTACAATTGCTTACTTCGGTCTGCTACTGCAAGCTTCAAGACGGATCTCAGATGCAGTCGAGTGATGGCGGAGACCATGCTTGGTACGGCGCCACGGTGTTCAGCTCAAACGATCGGACGGATCGTCACTCCTCGTGGGCTTGCGCAGAGGGCACCCTAGAAGAAGTCCAGTTCCGCGTCAAGCCTGGCGTGGAGATAGCGTCCTACGATATAGCAGATTGGCTAGGTGTCTTGCAATCGTTCCCACTCGATCAGGACTTGGGCGAGCACAGCACCACGTTGACACTAGATGTAGCTGCAAGATACCGGTCATGGCTTGTGGACTGCGAGTCGCAGCACGCACTCTGCAATGCACCGGCAAACGGAGTCCGACCAGCTCGTCTCCTCGAAGTGACGGGGACGTCCGACGAGCACATTCAACTCGTGCCCGGTCACTTGGTGGACGAAGGCTACGTCGCTCTTTCTTACTGCTGGGGCAAGGCTGAGATCCCGATCCTTACGAAGGCAAGATTACAGGACTCAAAGCTGTTGCCTCGCATCAAGGATTTGCCGCTTTTGTATCGGGGTGTCATGCGGCTTCTAAGCGTGATGCAGATACGCCATCTCTGGATCGACTCTTTATGTATTGTTCAAGACGACGACGAACATCGTGATCGCGAGATACGTGGGATGGGATCCATCTACGGCAATGCGCGTTTCGTCATCGTGGCCGCCATGGGTCACAGCCCATACGAGGGCCTATTCGAGCCTCGCTCATCTCGCGGCTTGGGTCACATGTGGTACGATTGCCTCATTAGCGACGCAGAGGAGCCGTTTGTCCAGATCCGGAGGACGCCTCTACATGGGCTCGGACGCTCCTCCGACTTCAGATCGCCGCCTCTCGCCGAGCCAGTGTCGCAGCGCTCGTGGACCTTCCAGGAACGACTCATGGCGCGCCGGTGCCTCACTTTCACCTCTCACGAGACCGTATGGCAGTGTCGGCAAGGAGTGCGCTGTGATGCACCACGCCGGCCCATAGACAAGCAGAAGATATCTCTATCTACAACACACGAGGCTACCGGACGGGGATTTCTTTACAGCCTATCGTCCTCGACGGCAGTCCGATTCAACAATGGTTCGAAAGTCCGGAGGTGGCCGAGCTATTCTGGTGGCGTGCTGTGAAGGAATACGCCGGCAGGTCAATAAGTAAGCCTGCAGACTATCTCCCTGCGATATCAACACTTGCGGCTGTTGTGTGCCAAGCGACACAGCGTCCATATCTGGCCGGCCATCTGGATACCGACCGACTTATCGAGCAGTTATGTTGGGAGATTGACACACGGACCAAGCTCTACTGGCCAACAGAACACGGCTATGTAGCACCGTCCTGGAGCTGGGCTTCTAGCAATGCAAGCATAATCCACACCGGCGTTTACGAGCTACGGGGTCCAGGCGACACACCATCCGCTCAAGTCACATCCGCAGAATGCGTAGCCGGAACCACGAATTCGTTTGGTGCTGTGAAAAGTGGTCACATCGTCCTAAGAGCCCGAGTCTGTGCTGTCATGCTTCACGTTCAAGGAGAGCGGCATCAGACGATGTTGACACAAGCCGACCCTATATTGCAGGACGGTGGCAGGAACCACATGACAGCAGTTGGTCCGACCCTCACCACCCTGGAAGTCATGGGTCAGAGTGGTCGTCTGGTTCTCGATGGCTCTGTTGCTGAAGTCACGTCAGCTGGCTCTCCTGTCGCAACGCTGCAGATTCGCATCCCCGCTTCCGATGTCGTAGACGAAGAGGCCATATCGACATCGCGATGCGGCGAAGTGTTTCTGCTCGAGGTGTTCCGTAGAAAGAAATTCCTTGTGGTAGCGAGGTCTGTTTGCAATCCGGATGCCTTTGTGCGACTAGGTATGCTTCATTATGGCGAGAAAAACGACCGCTACGAGGCTAGCCGATGGGTAGACGCTACGGACAAAGCATGTGAGTGGCAGGAGATGAAGCTTGTGTAGAGCGCCGAAGCAAGGAATAACAGCTGTACCCATGCTTGTACTTCACCGCCGGTATGATGCTTTGTCGGCCGCAATAGGCAAAATGTAGGCGCTCGAGCTCGCCGTATCCAGATGACCTCCGATCATGCTACAGACCATTGCGCGAGCATATACGGAGACCTTTGGCGGGGGATAGTGTTCGTTCATCGTGGAGACTTGTACGAGCAGTTTATATCACGGGACAACCGTGGTTACAGCCTTCACCTGATGCGAAGCTGTCGTCGGCAGGGCCAGCAGAAACACCGAAGCATGAAAGGACGTGAGACATATTTATGAGGTCGGTGTCAGCCGCCGCGTGCAGGCAAGGTGGCGGTAGCGTGACACGCACAGCTCGAAGCCATTGGCGCTGAGTCAACTCGTGATGTCTCTGGCGGTTGCACGTGTTGGTCGTGCACGCTCTCGGCGCCTGAGCATTGGATGTGCTTGAAAGTGGGAAATAATGGATAGGTTGATGCTGCTCTGTACAGCCGGCTACTACTGTCGGTGCTACCCTACTTCCAAATGGGTCAGAGCTATTCAATTATTATGGAGCACTGTCGATGATCGTCGAAGAGGCATGTATGGCGTGCATTGTTGTCATGCATGTCAAGATCCAACCAGTTCCGCCGAAGAAGATCTCTTGCGTCTTGCACTCTCACCGCCCGCTGTGTCGCGAGTCGAGCCGCACGCCAAATGGCGTGGTCGAAAAGTCGCCCCACTTCTCACTCGGAAACAGGGTCTCGTGGTGTGCAGGTGGGAGGCACGAAGAGTGGTACATCCCATTCGTTCAGCGAGGGTTGATACACGATCGCGCACGTTTGTTGACACTGGCTATGCTGGCTGACAGGCATAACATTGTATATAGTGCAAATTCGCACTGATACCGACTCTTGAAGCCTTCATGTTGCGGTCGCACTACGCTGCATGATAAGCGCTAAGACTAGTTTTCGCCGGCCCGCAGTCTTCACCGCTCTCTCCTCTGCCCCACTTCACACACACACATCTCCCACAGCCCGACCTGGGCAGGATGTGGGCTTCGTCTTTCCTTGATGCTCTCACCACCCTACTCACCGACCTCATCACCTCCTGTGCGGTGAAGGCGCTGCGCCATCCCCACCGCGACCTAATTCTCGCTATCGAAACCACCCTGCACTTCCCTTTAGCCTTTGCGAAGAGACGAAGATCGCAGTCAGCAGCATACCGTATTTGATTACTGTATCGCCTATGCACCGCAGCCATGGACCAGATTCCCTACGACGACCAGCTGCTCAGCTTCGAGACGGGAGATTACCAGCAGCCTCAGCAGCGCACCGCATCCTACCCGATCTCCTACCTGGACCAGCCTATTCACCACGCCTCGAGTAATCACCACCAACATCACCACAACCCTCACCCGCACCACCATCAGCAACACCAGGCTACCTGGCCGCCGATGACCCTCGAGGACATGTCCCAACCGCACCACAATAACATGTATATGCCTCCTACTCAGAATCAACAGCATGTACAGCAGCCTCATCAGCATGTTTCGAGGCCAGCAAGTAGCCAGACCCAGCAGCCTATGACCATGCAAATGGGTGATTTGGATCCGACATACTTTGGTCTTCTGCCAAGTGACTGGCAAATGCAACTACAGCAGGTAGCACAAGCACAACAGGCGCAACAGCAGCAACATCAGCAGCAATACACTGCCCAGGCTAGCACCCCGCTGAACCTGAACACCTATGCACAGACATCGTTCGGCGCTCAACTCCAGGCATCGCCAGTTGACTTCATGCCTATTACATCGGCAGGCAACTATGCTGTCACTGCTGGTATGGATCCGTCCAACTTCATCGCCATGGCTGGACCTATGGAGTCAATGAATACACTCGTGTACCCACTTAATGACTATCAGAACGACAATGCCTTCGCCATGACACTGAATCAAGCAGCACTAAACCAACACGCGGCTGAGTCCGTGCACTCGAGCATACCTGGCAGCTCACCGACCGGCACTATTCTCGAGATTCAGTCCGTGTCAGATAACGAATGGTCAATGGTCAACTTCAACCCGAACAGACAATCCATCGACTCCTTCGCCGGTACCGTCTCAAATCCTAGCCAGAGTCTACACATCAGGACCAGCTCTGACTCATCGTCATCAGATGATCCGGGCTCAGCTGAGTTGTCAGGCAGTTATGAGGAGATACCGCCTTGGCCACTCCACTCACCGCATGACTTCCACGGCACAGAATGGCTCGACGCGCAATATGTACAACATGCTCATGGCCTTCCCGTACCTGCTCAACAACAGTACACCTCGCCCACTTCATCGCACCCTGTCAGCCCGATTACCGCCATGGCATCAGGATACCGCTCTTCTGGCTCAACGTCAACTTCGCCTACGTCATCTGGTCCTCTCTCACCGCCACTTCGACGACGCAAGTCACCCGTCGACAATAATGGCAAGACTACCAAAGCTGTCATCAAGAAGGTAGCGCACAGCACACGCAAGGATGCTACCACTGAGAAAAAGGTCGGCCGAAGACGTGGTCCTCTCCGACCAGAGCAGCGCCAGCAAGCCCACGAGATCCGCAAACTTCGTGCTTGCCTAAGATGCAAGTTCTTGAAGAAAACTTGCGACAAGGGTGAACCGTGTGGTGGCTGCCGACCAAGCCATGCCAGGTTATGGCAAGTGCCTTGTACACGCATGGACATCAAGGACATTGGCTACTTCATGAAGGACTGGAAGGCGGATTACGAACGCCATGTCAGCCTCGGCTTTTCCGTTGGCAACATCAAAGGCTTCAGTAGCAGTGAGCGTACACTGTACATCACTCACGGCTATGGCCATTACCTTCCCATCAACGCACGCGAGGTCTTCGTTCGCGATGACAAGTGCTTCGGTGTCGACTGGATCGAGGCCGCTCCTGGCACACCAAAGTCTTTCGAGCTCAACACCGCCAAATTGTCCGCTGGTATGGAAGGTGTCAGCACCAGTCTCCTATCCGAGTACCTTGACCGTCATCTTGATAATGGCTTCGAGTCCTTCGTTGACGAGTACTTTGAGGGAACAAAATTCATCACCGAGATCCTAAAGACAGCCTACCGCTACAACCTCAAGGCCAACACGCCATCTGTGCGCAAGGCACTCAAGCTTGTACTTGCTTACAACCTTACACTCCACGTGACTATGGTTGAAGGTCTGTCAGAAGAGGAGCAGCTACCCGGCAAGGTTGAGGACTCTGAGTCCAGGTTCGCCGGCAAGACTGTCGCGCCCGTCATGATCAACTTCCAGGTCAAGTGCGCGCTAGCTGACATGTGGCGAGAGCTGCAGAAGGACATCCTTGAGGAACTGTCATCACTATACAGCTCCGTGTACTCTGGTGACAAGCTCAAGAACTGGCCAACCATCTTCATGCTGGCTGCCATCCTACTTGCGATCTGGGAGGAGATGCAATTCGATTGCCACTACCGCGTACCGGACGAGAAGGCTGTCAACAAATTCTGTGAAGATATGGAGACCACACCTGTGGGTGTCATTGTCGGTCTGTTCCAGGCTATCTCCACCAAGCTGCCTGGTCTTCAGGAGTGGGATACTAGGAAGCATCATCACCTTCTCAATTCGGATGTGGCGGTTTGCGAGGCGCTGACTGAAGTCAAGGGGCATATTAACAAGCACGGTGAGTCGATCTGTTACTTGATCTGCCTCAGTAATGAATGTATACTGATTACTTCCACAGAGAAATACCTAAGGGAGCGCTCGACGGCCAAATTCGACCGCGATGACTTCGACTCCTTGAGCAACAAGTTCCTGAGCAAGCTCGTCATCCGTGCGAACTAGGGGTCCGCTATCAGGTATGAAGTGCTTGACGACAGTAACACGAATGAGAGATGCGAAGGCACTTGTGCCGAGCACACCGATAATCATGATCACGATCAACATAACCCGACACATGAGTACAAGAACGAAGACGAAGTATCAGAACACGAAGACGAGGAAGACGACGATGCGAAGCTGCCACCGCTATCCGATGCGCATATTGCTGCCGCATGGCTGAAGGCATGAGTCTACACGATCTACCAGAGATATACACGAAGTACGAAAGCGCGAAGACGCAATGACGAAGAAGACCAGAACAGCAACCATTTCCTTTTGTAATCACACTACACTCTACATCGCTCACATGAACGAGCGACACACAATATCGAAACACAACGCAGCTACTTTCCGAGACCCAGAGTCACGGCTGCCACGACAAAACGATACACGTACTTCACGAACGACGATCGCGCAAATCACGGCCTTGGTCTTGACCTTATGCTTTTCACGATACCATTACTGCGTGGCGTGTGGCGCAAGAATGATGATTTACAGCAACGATGTTTCAGACCGATGGGTGGCGATTTGCTTTTTGGAGATTTGAATGCGGGTTTGCGAAGCACTTTTTATGATGATGTATGGTGTTATATGTTTTGACAGATGGCATGGAAAGAATGCATGGATGGACGAATGATGGTGTACATGTTGAGGATTTTTGTTGATATTTGAGCTTGCTGGCCAGAATGATGACGGTGGGTAGGGAGATATGCTCGGCGCTGTTATGCGTTCGTTGTTCGTGGCTATGAGGATGAGGCGATGTGTGTGGATGAGGTACATGTAGCTATCACGTCTTCGAATTGATCATCCCATCTTGTGCCATACCCGTGACGCCTCTTTGAGAGCGTCTTGAGCGTCACTAAGAATTGTCCGAATCTGTCACACCACCAATGTCCCTGTGATGCGGCGGAGAACCCTTGTGGTGTACTCCGCCTGCTACACCCTACGTGAAATACGATAATCTCTACACCGCCTTCTACACCGGCTCTGATACCATGGTCTTCTGCTGGGCTACACTGGAGTCGAGAATTTCGTCGAGAAGCAGGAGTTCGATACTGCCATCTGCTCTGATAGTCACCTTCCTACAGGATGTGACAGGGCTGGAGGAAGGCGAGCCCATCTTCTCCTGGCTGCGGATGGTATGGAGAGCCCACAACTCACCATCAGCCATGGCAGCGAGCACGGCGGCGGAGTGCTTGGTCATCGTGCTTTCGGAATTGGCTTGGAGTGTGAGTGCATGTGTCGAGGGATTGGTTCGGACGGCTGGAAATGTGGGAAAGTCTGAAGATATGGAGATATTGATGTAGAAATTGTGGATGATGGGCGATAGGGCATTATCTAGGCTGCTATGGCGGGATAATACCCCTTACGACTGATGCACGTGCTACAGCAGTTGCAATTTGGAGACAGGGATAGGTCTTAGGTCTGTTGACCCTATGATGTTGAAGTATGGGATCCGGCCAGCAGTGTTTCTTTGTCTCATCTCGTGGTGCAGTGTAACTCATCTACCAGAGTGATCAACGCTTGTCAGGCGATGAGAAGAATCGAAAGAGGCAGTTCGCAACACGCCTTGAGCCTGCTCAAAGCTCTCGGAAGCAAGTATGGCAAGATCATGGTTCTTCCTCCTCCACTGGATCTAAAGATGCCGTCCAGCGCAAGCTAGAGGGATGTAACAGGGCCCGAGCTAAGCCTTTGAATGTGGCGTCTGTAGTTGCGGCGACATTTGGTAGTCGGAAGACTTTGCGGCATTGAAGATGGTCCAGTACTGGCACTGGTTATTGCCTGGAATCGAGGTCACTCGTTGTCAGTCTCGTTCTGTTCGAGTCTGCTTAATGGATCATGGTATGCGCAACCGTACACGGTGCTTGCTACCATTGAGTGATCGCATAGGTGTCTAGGGTATCTGTGCCTTGACCGCGAGAAAGGTGGGTCGGCTTACCATATTTTCGTGATCCGGTACCTAAAGGATCCGAAGACTGAGCGCAGATCTCGTACTACATGCCGACGATCACAGTCAGCCCGCTCTGCTCCTGATGATCGCTTGTCCTTCCTTCGGTCATACAAGCAGAGGCAAGACTTACGAATTGTGAGAAACAATACTCTTGTGGAACCCACTGCGGCCTAGTAAAGTTGGTCAGATTGATGCATCTCATGCACACACATCCAGACTTCACTTACTGCCGCACTTACGGATTACAGTTACCGAGAATCTTTATCCATGTTATACCCGTGGGTCCCTGATGGCCCTGGCCTGCCCAGTCGCTTGGAACCACGCCGTCGGTCTTTTGACAGAATCTGAATAGCGAATAGGCAAATCAGTAGATGAACCTGGTTCGTAAGCACCATCTCTAGCAACGTACTGGCCAATGGCATTGATGACAGCTGGAGCCTTGTTTGCACATGCGTCGAAGTTTGATGGTCCGTAGCTTGCTGTTGCAGGAGTAGTCGAGGCTAGAATAAGCCCGAGAATAGTGCTAATGTACCGCATCGTGGCGAGGGCGTGCAGTTACGTCTGTATTGTACCACTTGACAATCCCTCGCTTGACGAGTAGGAGTTTTGACTACTATGTTGGTGATAGAATTGGGTACGACGATCGGAGCAGGTTTCTTTATTTGGTATTGACGTAAATCTCTTTGTTCTGGTGTCTGGGACAGTCGACTGCTTGCGCAAGAGACCAGACTGTCTGGCCGAGACAAAGAGAATCTAGGTGAACGCCATGCACGTAAGCAAGTGCTGTATGCAAGTATGCCATACCTTACCAAGACCGTCTTGTTCTCCCGGGCGTTGATGCATCCTGGCGTCGGAAAGACCGGACTTCTGGCAGTCTTTCATGAGTCTCCTCAGCCATGCGTGGTGCGGTCTGGCTACAAAATCAAGGCCCATACCATAGTGGTCGTTCAGCAGTGAGGAATCTGTGCTGCTGATCATTCCCATTGCGCACCAGTGATTCGTTACAGTACTTTACACATATATCTTGCGAAGCCCAGTATACATTCTGGATCATAGACCGGAAAAGACCACTTTCCTTGTTTCCATTCCATGCGAAGTTGCAGACTATCTATCTCACATACCCGGTGGCTCCGGGCCAGTAAAGAGATTATCGATCGTCCATGTCTGACATCCACCAGTCCCTAAAGAAGAAGCGTTCTGTCAGTCCTCGATCCGTGCATGATCTTATCAGTCGAGCCACGACAAATTATTGGATGGTGTGCTCTTTTCGGAATGTGCGACGAGCAGCAATCACCCTTTGAAAAATAGTGGAAGGCATGACTCACCGTAACGATTCCAGCCAGCACCTTTGGGGTTAGGCGCAAAGGCACAAATATCGTACTACTAGCACAGTCAGCCTCTCGTTCACGACTACAGGCTCTGAACACCTGCAATGACAATTGCGAGAAGACTTACGAACTGCGAGAAGCAGTATTCCTGCGGCACCCATTGCTGAGATCTACAGTCAGTCTCCGTCCACTTCCCACGTTATAGTCCCTGCCACGCGCTTGACTTACAGGTGGATCGCACGTCCCTGTGATCTTGATATGCGTACTAGGATAGAGGCCGTCATGCCCGCCGCCAGCATAATCGCTGGGTACGACTATGTCCTGCTTCTGACAAAACCTGAAAGTGAGAGAAGGAGATGTCAGTCTCTGTGGTTGGAGACAGATAAGCTGATGACGAGGACCACGTACTGGCCGATCGCGTTCATTATGCTCGCGGAGCGCTTGCCACATTGGTTGCTGGTCGATTCGCATGCTGTGAGCCCGAAGAAGATCGGGACAACGGCGGGGGTGTACCTCATCGTAACGGCTCGATGCGTTGCAAGTCAGGTCTACGGTGAAGTGTGAGCGTCAAGGGAAGGGTCTCCGGTTGTCGACTGGGTATTCGATGTATTGCGACGGCACATGGCTGGATGCTGGGCTGATTGTCCTCTCTTCGCGCCTCAGGTACAATTCTTTGTTGTGCAGTGGATGCTGACCACGACTGGCGCTGCCGGATGCGACCTCTTTTGGACAAAGGAATTGTGTGGACACCGCCAGAGCGGAAGTCGTCAATTTGCATTCCAGCTTCGCATGGCACGCTTCGCAGCGATCGCTTTGGGCTGGTATGTTGTTGTCATATGTATGAGGTCATCTGACAGCTCAAAAGGACGTGTGAAATCGCATTAGCATCTCCAAGAGCTTCAGCTTATGTCGTCTCACTCCGGTGCACGTTACCATGTAGCGTTGCCCCCAGCCTGCCCCGTCCCACACCCAACGACATCGCAAAGGGGACAGCCACCCAAGCAACCACAGCCTGGAAGATGAGACCTCGGATCAGACTCTCTTGTGGCTGGCCACTCCATCCACCCTTCAAAGCGTCCATGATAATGATGAACACCGCTCCCAACAGCTGTCCACCCGTCCAACAAATTGTACTCGTAATCTCCGGGCTCACAGGATGCGTGACAATAACCAGATACTCCAGCGCACAAGGTAGTAGAGAAAATGACGTAGCGCCTAATATTGAGCAAACGATGTATGGCCCTACTACGTTTCGTGTTCCAGGCATGAAGATCAGGACTAAGTAGCCAGCCGCGATGAGTGGCACGATACTCTTTATCGTGGCGAGGTAGGCTTTCGTGCGGTCTACTATCGGACTCACAACAGCGGAGGCTATCAGACCGACTACTATGAGCAAGCCGCCTGCTATTCCTGCTTCAGTCTCCGAAAAGCCGTAGGGCTCGAAAGTCTGGTTAATAAGGCTGGAGAAGGCGTTGAAGAAGCCGACGTAGATACTGAAAGCCACAAATAGCAGCCAGAATGACACATTCTTGGGCAGGACTCGAAGCGCTTCGCGAAGATCCAGCTTCTCCTCGGCGGCGAAAGCGGAGGGCGGACTGGGCGGTCCAGCCGGGATGAACGGAGCCGGTAAGCAAGCAATAGTCGATAGAATAGAAGTATACAGCACCATGTTCGGAATTCCAGCACCCACTTTCGAAGGGTCAACCCAAAGCGGTCCAATAAGCTGCCCCAATGCCGCCCCAAAGGGATTCGCCAGTGACGCAATAGCCGTAGCAGTCACACGCCCAGTATCAGAGAACCAAAGATTACTATATCTTGTCGGTGCCGCCAGGACAAAAGGCTGCGCAAATCCTATCAAGATCTGGCCGAACATCACGACTCCGAATCGTCCATGTCCGTGTCTGAGGTCTCGAGTCCCAGCATACCGGATCCAATTCCCAAGGAGGACGAGGGTGGAGGCGACTAGAATACTGCGTCTGGGCCCGCCGGTGTGGAGGGTGTAGATTACAAGCGGGGAGACGACGATGAAGGCGAAGAGGAAGCCGGTGGAGAGCCAATTTATGGAGGTTTCTGGGACGCCGAAGTAGGTGGCGCTGGTTGAGGAGACGGCGGCGAAGGTCAGCCAGTCCCAGCTTACTACTATGTTCAGGAGGACGAGTTGGGCTAGACCGACGAAGCGGCGACGGTAGGTGCGGTACTGGATTTGTGGTGTGGTCTCGTGGTCGTTGGGTAATGGTGAGGTCTCATTATCGCGATTCGGGATTAGACCGTCAAGACTGTCGTGGTTTGTCGGTATAGTGGTTACATTAGTGGCTTGTGGCGACACGTTGCTCATGCCAAAACTGTCGTTCGTTCGTGTTCGCTCCATCCTGTTTGGCCGGCTCTGATCCTCACCGTCTTCTCCGTCGGCTTGAGGGAGACGGTCGTATTTCATACGCATGCTTAGATTGGTATCACGAAACGAAGTGCATGGTTACGCGAGAGGGGTACAGGTCGTTGCTCGCATAGACAGGCACAACAGGTACAGTGGCGGCAGAACCGGCGGTTGTTTGCGACGACGACTTCCGTCTTGGCGGGTCGCTGCCGACCGCATGGGGGCCACAATGTGCTTCGTAAAATACGCGTCTATGGTCACATTCTCGATGATAAAGTAGATCACCGAAAGGTCTCCATATGGCAGACGAAGGAGATGGCGCCATTAGTCGAACGGAAGGAATCTCTTCTGGATGGTGTCTACGATGAGAAGGATTGATATGTGGTGCTTCGGCTTCGGCGTAGGGGTGCGATTGGTGGGTGACATGAACGACTGTGTCTATGGATTGGGCATGCTGAGCTCGAGACTTCCGATCACATTTGTGAATGGCACTCGACCAAGTCTAACAGGAATCATTCGACTAGAAATGATCAGTCCATCATTCGCATTGCCATGTCTGCCTTCGGGTAATGTGTTAATCCGCTCCGAAAGTCAAGATGTCGCTTAGTTAATAATAATCGATGCGTTCACATGCAAGCAACTATCTCGAAGGCTCCATCTTGCGCCACACCACCTTGGCTTACCTGCCTCTTTACCTTCATCAAAGTGCTCGAGTAGCTACTGTAGATGTCTCACGACCCCCTAGTATGCCCGTAGTCTCTCTTAACCATGTATCAAACCTTCTCCGGCCAGTCTCGCCGCCCACGCCAAGTCAACCTCTCAGGCAGGCAAATCACGAATCCCTTTGCCTCCTCAGCAGCAGGCGGGCCACAGAGTGCTATAGCCTCCGCACAGAAGGATAGACTGCATCGTCAACAACAACGAGAACGATTGCAGGCTTCACATCGTATACAGAAGACATGGCGAGGTCATAGTTCACGGCGGCGGACATTCAGGGCTTGGAGACAGGTATGGGATGATTTGGAGGGCAGGCATGCACCCGGCAATGGGGCCTATCAGAGTGAGGAGGATAGTTTGAGGCAGTTGAGACGGTTGATGTTGTTCTTTCAGCCGAGGGAGGATGCGGAGAGGTTGACCGAGTATGGGTTGAGGCAGGTCGCAACGGCGTCGCAAGCGTCGACGCCTTGTGTGGATGGAGCGTGGCCGAAGTCATACCTGCGGCTAACGAAGGCTTGTGTGGCTGCACTACGGACACGAAATCGAAACGATGAGAGGCAGGACTGGGCCCTGCTGAATACATTGAGCTTCTCAGTCCGCAAGACCGGAGGCGTGTTGAGTGCAGACGATGCGGTGCGGTACTATGAAGTCCTGACGAGGCTGAAGGATGTGCCGGTCGAGCCACTGCAAGCTGCATTATTGGCTCCTTTGCAGTATTCAGAAGCATACACCGGCCTAGCTGTGCTGCTCGCGAGCCCTTTGGATCCTGCTATGCTGAGCCTGCTCCGGTCATCCATCGACCCGAGCACATTGTGCGATGCACTGGCGTCAAGATCAGACATCAAGACAACACGGTCACGATTGTGGCTCCTTGGTAACCTCATCTATTTGGCTGGTGTAGCGAGAAGTGGCTCGACGACATACATCACAGCTGTCGCACATCTACTTGGCTCTCTAGCGGATGACGTCGAGTTTGATTCGCCACCAGTTGATCTTGACAACATCGCATTCGATCGTGAGGTGCTAGCAAAGGTCGGCTCGGGATTACCACTCAACAGCTTCCTTCATGGGCAGATAAGCGGGTTGATCAATCAAGAGTCGATCAGGAACCTACTCTCGCGGGATGCGACGTCTGGGGCAAATGCACAAGTCCTGGCTGGCTATGCATTAACCTTACTGCGATGCTTTCCACGACGAGCAGACGACATCCGGATGTGGCTCTATCTCGGCCCTACGCGTACCACGACCGACGTTGGCGCAACACAATACTTCTGGAACGCTTCTCGGTCGACTTCAGTGTTCTCGACTGTACGGCAGAACTCAAGACATGTGGTCAGCTTACTACAAACATCCACGAAATCAGCCACACACCAAACGGACGATTGGACGGTCATACTGGTGTTTCTGGAGCTGTACACATTCTTGCTGAAGATCATGGACGATGAAGAGTTCATGGGGCAGTCAGGCAGTCGCAGCAGTGCCATCTCACTTCAAAATGTTGGTGAGCTGGTCACATTTCTGAAGAATCTTGGCTTCACGCTATACTTCAACGCCTCAGACCTCAGTGGTACTGGTCCCGCGACAGCGAGAGATACTGGATCGCTGTCACTGGGAAGACACTTTGGGCATGGCACAAGTCAGAAGCCTGACATCGACCTCAGTGAAGCGAAGCCTTTGACCTTGGCTGGCCTACCTGGTCTGACGATTGACTATCTGAAGGGTCTAACGACCGGTCTATTGCGAGCCATCTACGAACGAGACTCGAGACGACACTTCTTACCTAAAGACCACTGGCTGATGACCGATCGCTTTGACATGACTGCTTTCATTCCCGGCGTGGTCGCAGAAGAAGAAAGTAGACATCTCATCCAGGACCCCGACGACGACTTGGATGGCGAGGACCCATACGACGAACTCGACTTCTCCGACGACGACCGCACTTCTCCAGCCTTCACCGCCCGACGTATGCACGCCCTGCGCTCCCAAGCCCAACGCGAACGACAACTCCGCCAAGCGTCTCGAAGACGTTACATGGAATCCGTAGCTCCACGCCTTGAGATTCTGCAGAATATGCCCTTCTTTATCCCCTTCACCACCCGCGTCGAGATCTTCCGACAATTTGTACATCTCGATCAAGAGAAACGACGGAATGGCTATGTGGATCCGGACTTGTGGCGACAAAGCATGATGTTTCAACCTCCCTCGGCTAATGGTATGCCGCCAAGAGATATGCTGAGTAGACATCATGCCAAGATAAGACGGAAGAACGAGTTCAGCGATGCCTTCGAGCAGTTCTACGAACTGGGTGCCGATCTGAAGGAACCGATACAGATTACTTTCGTGGACGAATTCGATATCCCAGAAGCTGGAATTGATGGAGGAGGCGTGACGAAGGAATTTCTGACTAGTGTAATCACTCAGGCATTCGATACTAGTCAGTCCTCCTGGTTTGCCGAGACCGAGGGACACTTTCTGCAGCCAAGCGCGACTACGGTTGAGGATATGAAAATTGCGTTACGGGCGGCAGGGGTGAAGGACGGGCAGGTTGGGATGAGGGCGCATGTCAAGGAGCTACTGCAGCAGTACGAGTTCCTGGGACGTATTATTGGGAAGTGTCTGTATGAGGGTATCTTGGTCGACGTTCTGTTTGCCGGGTACTTTCTCAAGAAGTGGGCTTTGACTGGAGGGCCCAACAATGCGCCCATGGAGTCTGGGTACAGAGCCAATATCAACGACCTCAAGGAACTGGACCCCGTGCTCTACCGCGGCCTCCTGGCTCTGAAGAACGCCCCCGCCGAACAAGTCGAGGACTTTGCTCTGACTTTCACCGTCGACGACCTCGTGGGCCCGGAGAACGCTACAGAGGTCTTGACTCGCGACCTCATTCCCAACGGCGCCAACACACCCGTCACGGCCGAGAACCGTCTGATCTATATCAACCGTATCTCCTACTGGCGACTCCAGGGTCAAAGCGCGCAGCAGACGAATGCCTTCCTCCGCGGTCTGGCCAGTATTGTTCAGCCTTCGTGGCTGAACATGTTCAACCAGTCTGAGCTCCAAACACTCATAGGTGGCAGCACGACCCAAATCGACGTCGCAGACTTACGACGGAACACCCTCTACGGCGGCGTCTACAGCATCGGCGACGATGGCCTGGAACACCCGAGTATCCAGCTCTTCTGGTCTGTCATGGCTGCTCTTCCGGACGAGGAAAGACGAAATGTCTTGAAGTTTGTTACTTCGACACCTCGTGGTCCGCTCCTGGGATTCGGGCATCTGAACCCGAGGTTTTCGATCAGGGATTCCGGTCAGGATGAGGGGAGGTTCCCGACGACGAGTACTTGTGTGAATTTGTTGAAGTTGCCGATGTATTCTTCTGAGAGGAGGCTGAGAGAGAAGCTGTTGGCGGCGGTTAATTCAGGGGCCGGGTTTGATTTATCTTAGATCTATCAAAGATTGAGGAGGACGGTTGGTGGCTGAGTGGTGTGGTGTGGTGTGGTGGGCAGTAGGCATAGATAGTGGAGGTGGTGTCCCCTCTGTGTGTTGTAGGGTTTCGCATCAAGCGTTCGAGCGCCGATCATTTCAGCGTCAGGTAATGAAGAGGATCATGGGTATATAGTCTAGCTGTACACTATATATCGTCTAAGCAAAGACCGGCCAAGCCACCCATCCCTCCCCTCTCAAGCCTTTCCATAAACTCACAGGCACAGTCCAGTAATGCCACCAATCCAACTGCCTACCCATCTCACCTATCAGCCCGAGCGTGAGAGTGAACCACGATATTGTCCAGATCGCGTTGATCAACTTTCGTATCCTCAGTCCATTTCCTGAACGCCAACGCTCCAAGCCACCGCCATATTTCGCCATGAGGCTGGCGAAGAGGGTTTCGAGAAGCACGGCTATAGGTTGTACGGCGAAGAAAGCGAAGACGTAGAACCGTAGTTCATGCGGCGAGACGATGGCGTTCAGTGGTTCCGGTGGTACGAGACCGGTATGCACCAGTCCACTCAACGCGAAGGCTGTAAATGTGATGACGGCATATCTTATCGTGCCTCCTGCTTTGAAGCCCAGAAGATCGGCCAATTCATATCCCGGAGCAGAAACAGTAAACCGCATAGTCTGATGCCAGTACGATCCCCAGAAACCCCGGACACCGTGTTTCAGGATTGTGCTAGAGGGACCGAAGTATGGAGGCCAATTGTGCGGGGACCATTCGTCTCCTATCCAGCCCATGTAGTGGATGGTCAGAGGGAGGAGACACGGGAGATAGAACATCTGGCCTATCAGAGCCCAGGCTTGGGCGCCTATTGTCATTGTCCTAACCAATCTTAGTGGCAGGAGCTGGAGGGCTGAGGGTAAGGTCGATGGTAGTGATAATGGGGAGGCCAACGGCATGTTGGGGTTTTGGAAGTAAGGGTCCCAGGCTATGTAAACGCTCGTGAGGTCTAGGACTACGTAGCCTAGTGCGAAGCTGGAAAGGGCTTGTAGGGCGAAGGCTCCATGGGTGGGAAAGGCTGGTGCGGGTGGTTGAGTCTTATCGTGGGATGGTGAGTTGATCCTCCAGTTGTTGAGGCGGATGGAGATTAGGAGGGTGTAGACCCAAGGGATGCGGGCTAGTAAGGCGGAAGGGTAAGGTTGTTTCGTCTCCCCTTCATAAAAGTCGTTATTGTTGTGGTCGATAGTGGTTGGCAGCGAAGTCTGGAGAGTGGTGGCAGTCTGTTCCTTGACGCTCCCATTGCCAGTGACAGATGGCAGACCAGTCCCGACTTCCGTCTTCCCAGAATCCTTCGCAACGACCCTCCTTTCTAACATTTCGCGACCCCTCACGTACCTAAAGTCACCCCACGGGTCCTTCAACACCAGCAAGAATAGCGCCCACAACAACCCATTAACACTCAAAACATCCACGCCACCCATTTCCCACCACGCCTTCAGCGTCACAGCCGCAATAACAGGCATGAACACCGCAGCATTCTGCCATCTAGAGAGAATCGTCCGGGGTATCATAAGTGCTGTCGGGAGAACAATGGTCGGGATGATGTGGTACCATATCGGTGGTTCGGGGTAGAGATGCGGTCCTAGGATCTGATAGTCGTTCGATTTTAACCAGGCCAGTAGTGAGACCATGGCTACCCTGGCGTCTTTAGTGCGACTTGCTGCGATGGTAAGGGTCGGGTTTCTGGAGACCCCGGCAGCGTAGTGGTAACATGGGCATGCGATGTGGGCAACAAAATATATGTATCGTTTGATAGATGTGTTGACGTCATTGACGACGGCCCACTCACCCTCCAGATTAAATGCGGACGTGTGTAGGGTTGGGTTGAATCGTGCTCGATCTGATGGAAGATATGTCATGTGTATGGGTAGTACGTAAGTAATCGTTCTCCGCGTCGGCGATCCTGGCGCGGAGACTTCTGCATCAGGCAGGCACGAGAGCTAGTAAGCTTTACGCATGAGGATGCACACACACATTTGTTGTGGCCTTGATGCTTGGGTGATGGGAAATGCAAGCTTCAACGGCAAAAAGTTCTTACGTGCTACCTTCTCGTAGCTGTCAGTCTGTAAGCGTGTTTGCAACTGAGTAGGGGCTTCTGACGGCCAGTAGTGCTTCTTGATAGTGTCTAACCAATCGCTACCGCTTCATTACCGTGTGCTCCCACCCTCAGCGAATCTACAAACTCATAAACAAGCACTCCCACAGCCCTCGGCGCCTCAACGGGAAGAAGATGTCCCACACGCTCAAGGACGTGAAAATCGACTTTCGCGCCCACAGCCGTCAGCACATTTACCGTCCGCTCGCTCACACCCTCGATCGTCTCGACCCGATCTTCCCTCCCCACAATAACCAACACGTGGAGCCCATCATGCTCGCGTACGTACTCCACCACAGCATCGCAAATAACGCGCTCATAGTCCTCAGCCATTCCATACGAGGGCCATGCGGCCTTGGCCTCAGCGGAGGCATGGACGATATCGTCGACTAGGCTTTCCTTCTGTTCCTGAGTGATGGTACGATTGACATGAGCATCGGAGCCTAGGAGTACATTTTCCACCACGTACCGAGCTGTTGTAGGATCCTGGAAAGCTTGAACCTGCTGGCGTTTCATCTCAGGTGGTAAGGTGAACGGCTGTGCTGGAGCTGGAGCTAGAAGGATGAGTGCTTTGACTAGAGAAGCGACATGGCTTTGTGTGAGGAGGTACTGGGCCAATTTCCCACCCATGGAGTGGCCGACTAGCACGAGGCCGTGTTCGAGGAGTGATGGCTCGGATCGCGCGAGCTTGTCGAGTAGGGTTACGACGTCTGAGGCGTAATTTGTGAGATGGTAGGCTTCTGGGTTAGCAGGTCGACTGGAGCGGCCGTAGCCTCGGAGAGAGGGGACGATGACGGTGTGTTTGGTTGACAAGTGTTTGGCTAGTGGCAGGAATGTGGTGTTGGAGCCGCCGCAGAAGTGGAGGAGCAGTAGGGTAGGGGCTTGGGGTGGTGTTTGGGGTTGGAAGAGTAGAGTGTGGAGGTCAATTTCTTCTGCGACGGGGAAGAGAGATTCGGTATACGACATAGTATGGGGTGGTGTGATATGATGTTGTGATTGGGTGTGGTATCAGTATGGTTGCTGGGAATGTTCGCCTACACGAACGGCATGGTGAGGGAGATGTATGAGCAATACTTATGCTGTGATTCCTGCCATGGCGAAGGACTTGATGTTGAAGATACTTGCGGACGGATGCGGTGGATGATTACATTTCTGGTATGGTCATCTTCCTGTTGTGGAAAGAGAGTGCTTTGGGAGGTCAAGGACGGCGTACTATGCGGGAGCATTCCGTTGTGTAACGGCCGGAAGCGGTAGTTCTAGTGGACGAGGAAAGTCGTCACATGTTTGCTTGGCCTTCTCTGCTCAAGGCTCAAGTGTAGATGATCAAACAGACGTCCATCGTCCAACCATTCTACTGCTGTCGGAGGTTGAGATGCTGCCTCATGTCAAATCCGAGTCGAATACGACTTAGACGACGAAGCTCGGCCGTTAGCAGGAGCCCACAGCCATAGCAATCACTTCTTGAAGACGCTTCACCCCAGACAGCAGGCGTGTACACTAGCATAACGAAGAGCAGTCGCCATGGCTTCGCAGGACGTTGTAACGCTGGCAGAGCAGGTAGCGACTGGCTTCGAGGCGCTGCAAGACGAGTACAAGAAGCTGTTTGGACAGCACCAGAGTGTTGAGAGAAAGCTTGCGACAGCCAGAGAGCAGGTACGTCCGGTCTCTTACACACGCGCCTTCCTTCCGGTCCACCCCCACTTCACATGATGTTACAAAACATTAGCTCTAGACCTGCAGCTGCTCTTGCCGCCTTGACAGATATATATGTACTTTCTGATCTGCCCACCTTCCTCACAACAAGCTTCGTAACGCAAGTGGGGGGAACAACCGGCTGATGAGATTGACTACAGTACAACGAACTCGCCAAGCTCTGTGGCTCGGGTGCTATCACCACCCCACCTCTCAGCCTTGCCTCCTCACCCGCCACGAATAAAGCACAACCTGCGTTACCCGATGTTGCCACCATCATCGACCGGAGGCAAGAGGAGACTGACTCGGGCGCGGCGGAGAAGGTGCGATTGGCAGCCACAGCGGTCCAGTCACTACGCCGACGATCGTTAAGACAAACTTCGAACTTCGACGGCGTAAAGATATGGTCCGGGCCCGCCGCCGACCGACCAGAGCTTGCATGCTCGACTATGCCAAGTATCTCCGAATCGCCACTCGAGCAAGACTTCACTATCGAAGGCAAGCCGAGCAAGCTGGGCTGTCCCTTCGCAAGCATGGCTGGGAAGAAGCTCTCCTCTCACGCTGCGAGCGTCCTGAGCAGATACAATACTCGGGAAAGCATCGGAGCCGTGCCCAGCACACCACTCAGCTCAGTCAGCAGAGTAGATGGTCGAGAAAGCATATCGCGACGGGGCAGTCGACGAGCCAGCTTCCTTGACCCCATCAAAGCCGAAATCTGCGGCATCTCAGATCACAACGATCCCGTAGAAGTGGAGCACGCAGCACAGAGCCATGAACTAGAAGAACAACCCCACGTCGTACCCGTCGAGAACGCGGAAGCAGGCGTCTGCCCTATCCGCTTCCTCGACCAACATTCACCAGAAGAAGTAGCAACCTATTTCGAGAAACACAAGCACCAACTCCCGCGCTCGCATGAGGTTTGTGTGAGACGATATCAAAGCAATGAAGAGCAGATCCGACAGCTGGATGCCAAATACGGGAATCTCGTTTCTATGATACAGGGTCTGGGCGCGAAGCATAAGGAGTTATTACCTGATGAGCCGGCCGAGGAAGAGGAGGAAGAGGTGGTGGAATTCGACAAGAAGAGTGAGGAGAAAGTGCGGAAATGGGCTAGTTCTGTTTCTGTTTTGGCAGTAGACGGGCAGGACGCAGGGCGAGGACTAGACGAGGTGAGAGATGTGAACGTGGACGTGGATGCGGATGCGGATGTGGAAGCCCGGCGTCCGCACTTCGAGCGTCCGCTCCGCGAAATCCGAGTCGGAGAGAGTCCTTCTCGACCTTGGGGCATTCCGGTCCCGGCAAGGTATGTGGAGAAGAGTGGAAGTGAGACGAGTACGCAGCCCGTGCAGATTTCCTCTTCGCCTGCTCCGCCGAGTAGTCCCGGTTTGCCACGTGATGGAGAGGCTGAGGCTGAGCATGAGGATGAGGTGGAGGGAGAGCGAAAGGCTGTGCTGAAGGCGAGGGGTGGGGGTGGAGGGAAGTGTCCCCTTGGCTTCGATCGGGCGGGTGATGCTGCTGCTGCTGCGCCGGACACCGTTCGAGCGGCACCAGCTTCGACGATGAAGGAGGAGAAGGTGGAGGTGCAGCATTCTCCTTCCCCAGCGATCAAGGCGGCGCAGAGGATGCCTAATTTTCTCGCGCCACCGCATATCCAACAACAGCAGCAGCAGCAGCAGCAGCAACGGAAACAGGCTCCCGCTGATGAGACTGGCGAGGTGTCACGGATGGTTTTCACAGGACCGGTGTTTATTGGGTATAGTGCGGAGGACGCTGCGAAGATTCTGAGGGGAGCTGGACTTGGTGGTCCGGCGTAGGCACGGCATGGCATGGCATCAGGATGCATGAGGGTAGGAAGGTTTGTGGCTTGTTGTTTTGTGATAGCGTTTCGAGCGGGCCATGTTTCGAAATTCAGCGATATGGCCGAGGACGGTATGGTACATTTGTATTATGTAGTGAGACAGGGGCAGCAGCTATACAGGGCTGATTCCTGAACGACCGTCTGTCACGCGCCGCTGTCTGCGGAGTGAGTTTGAGACAGTCTTGCTTCAGGTTGCTACTTTGTCTTGCCAGTTGGTTCTGTCTTACCAATCGGTTTTGCAAATGGTCTTGCCAATAGTCTTGCCAATGATCTCGCCAGATCTCTTGCCTTGCCTTCCATTTACCTGGCCTGGCCAGGCCGGAGTGATAATAATTGATGAGGGTACAGACATTTGTTGTTCAGACCTGGAGTCAGGAATGGTTCCCACGTGCAAGAGGCTAACGAGGAGTTGATAGTGTCCTTGCTAGAACAATAGGCTATGTGTTCGACCGCCATTCCTCGCCTACCCAAAGTCCGTCCTGGTCTCCATCTCGAACTGATGCTCTCGGCCGGCTTTGCACGACTCGGGTAGGCTATCAAATGATTGAGTTTATTATATTATCGGAATAATATTGACGGCGTGGCTGGTTTTATCAATGACCTTGTCGACGATCAGACTGGTGCTTGCCAGGGTCACAAGGTGCATGGGTATCAATCTATTCTTTTAGCCTTCGAGGCGAGCGTGTCTATCTGTGTCTATGTCTATGTCTATGTCTATCTATCTTTGTATAGTATATCCTCGGGGGGTGGGGAATGTATCATCTATATTCCAGCCGTTCGTCATTCTCAACAGATCTACGCCTCTACTGTCGCATGTGTACAAGGCCAAGCCATCGCTTGCTCCTCTCCGAAACGCGCTCTTATCGTGCCTGCTCCACTCACTACATACCCATCATGATCCTGCCAAGGTGTGGTACGGTGACAGAAGGCACCCGCTAATGCCCACCCTGCAACATATCCGCCGCCCCAGAATATCCAGCTTGTAACACCCCGGCCGCTACAGCACCAGCCGCAGCAGCGGCGCCGACGGCTATGTGCCCTGGTGGGGAGAGCGCTTGTCCCTGTCCGAGTGCTTTATGCATATGCTTCGGGTGTCCACTCGACTCCGTCGTCGAAGCAGAAGCAGAAACAGGCACGATCTCCGTCGTCGGCACCACAGTCGGATGTCCAGAAATCGCGGTCGGGACCTTCGTCGTCACGGTCGTGCACGAAGGTAAAGGCTCCGGACCGCCATCGACTCCTTTGCCGCAGAGGGAGGAGTTCTGGAGTAAATGCGAGGGGTAAAGGATCTTGGGTGTCCCCGCGAACATCTCGACGTTCAAAAAGCTTGTGTCATTGACTGTCATGGTGGCGCAGGTCAAGATTTCGGTGAGTTGGGTGCCGGGTGGGAAGTCGTGGCCCCCGATTGGGAGGGAGAAGTAGGCGGATGTTATGCCGTTGTTGTTTAGGACTGTGATTACCTGGTCTCCGGAGGGGCCTTTGCGCATGGCTAGGGAGTGGAGGTCTTGGTAGATTACTTCGTTTAGGGAGGTCGTGTAGTTTGGGCTTGTGCCGATGACGTGTTGTCGGAATTGGTTCAGGGTGGCGATGTGTTGGTATAAGGTAAAAGTGGTGTTGTAGCCTGCTTCCCAGAGTGGTGCTCTATTCATGTAGGGACTGATATCGCCATTCATGTGTTGTTCTTGGCCTTGGTAGATGACTGGGATACCATCTGTTAGGATCGTGTAAGTGATCATGTTCTTGGCTCGAGCCATGTCTGAGGTGTAGTTCCGGAATCTGGGCACGTCGTGGTTCTCGGAGAAAGAGACCATGGCAGTCGGATCGTGGCAATTGTTCTTAACGCTGTTGATCGTTTCGACAAGGTCGTTGATACTGCCTTCGCAGGACTGGAAGGCTCGCGTGAGTGTGTAGTAGATTGGATAGTTCAGGATACTGCCGATTGAGCGACTCCAGCGGCAGGCCAGAGAGTCGTCGCCCATCATTACTTCGCCTGTTCCGAACACGCCAGCCCGCTGCATGAAGCCGGGGAAGAAGTCGGCTTCGACATTGATCGATGTGTCAATACGTAAGCCATCTATGCTGTAGTTCGAAACCATCTGTTCGATCCAGTCACCGTACATCTGCCTGACCTCGGGGTCGTCTGTTTTCAAGTCGGCCAGAGAGACAGTTGGGCTGCCTAGCCAGCCTACCTCGACCTCCGTCTGATTCTTGGGATCCTGTATCGGCGTAAATTGATGGAAATACTTTGCGTCGTTGAAAGGGTTGAAGATGGAGTAATCCACATCGGCCCAGCCGATGCCTGCATACCCCATATGATTGACGACAATGTCCAGCATCAGCAGCATGCCTCTAGCATGCACCTCACCTATAAGGTCCTTAAGATCCTGCTCGGTGCCAAATTTTGGATTGAGAGCGTACAAGTCCTGCTGCCAGTAGGCAGTATACGCCTCCCCGTCACCCGTCATCTGCGGCAGTTGTGCCACAACAGGAGATATCCAGATGGCATCGAATTTCATGCCTTGGATATAATCCAGCTTAGACTGAATACCCTTCCACGTCCCGCCGCAGTAGAGTCCATTAGCCACCTCGCACACAGGTGGTGGCCCACGCCCGCTCCCATCACCATACACGAAGCGGTCCGTCAACACCTGGTAGATGGACCTTGAGCGCCACTCGGCAAGCGAAGCACCGTCAACAGTGCCAAGAAGAGAAGAAAACAATATAACAAAAACAAATACGCTGGGAGTGAGCAGCCGTGCAGTCGTGAGAGGGATCATTTCCGGCGATGCGCAGTGGGAAGGTGCATGACGGTCCTGTAGTGCAACGAACACAGCGTTCGATCGAAATCTTCAGGTGAAGGCAAGAATGGCATTCTGAGATGGGGGAATGTGCGCAGTCGGTTTGTAACAGAGGTTTCAGCTATTACGCCAACTTACCTATTGCGAGTCTGTTGAGCCACAGAAAATGCGTTTGGGGATGCTTGACGCGCGTGTGAGAGGATGCGCACAAGGAGATGTCCGGCTGTTCCCAGAAGCCTGTGCTCAAGGGCCGATTGGGAGTGATGCCTTGTTGAATCGCCATCTCGGTGTGACGGTGGTTGCTGACAAGTGTTTGCGGCACTTTGGTCGTCATGGCGCAGATGGTGACACCGGACCATATCTTCTTGGGACGTCGGTTTCGACCGTTGTGGTTTCAAAGACGTTCCTCGGGCGTGGCGTGGGATGGTAAGCCACAACCGTCGACATATACCGGCTGCAGATCTCTCCCTTAACGCTTGTCTAGAGGCCTGTTGAGTCGCGGGACGATATCCATCATGACAAGCCCACGGCACAAGACCCGCCGTACATCCTCTCTGGGCCCATACAGCGTCACAGGACGCCACAAGAGTGATTTGGAAACGTGGAAAAAGGCCACTGAAACAGATGTTCTAGGCAAGAGCCGCGTTTGCATGATGCGGTACCGGGAAGGCGGCTGTCAGGTACCCGACCGCCGCACTCAACCGTTGACGAGAAATCTTTCTGTTCCTGCAGGAAGTCGAATTTGCCGCGGCGATCAGCGGCTGTCGTCGCAAGTGTGCCTGGACAAGCTTCCGGCATTGGCCGCCATACGGGATGTCATTTTCACACAACCTGATTATCATCGCTAGAGATGTGCTACTTTGGCTGAATAACGCTGGTCTGAATCAAAAGGTATCGAACTCGCGCAACATAATGATTACCTCGCAATGAACATTGATGGCCTTGGAACTTGGCAACAGTGCGCCAGACTGATGACTCTTGCCACCGTCGAGATTCGTGACACGCTAGTCTTTCCACGCAAACGCGTCCGGGGCCGACATTAGTGGACCTATTCAGGAGACCCTCATTTCATCAACACGATGGAGAATTCTCACCCTACGATCATGTCCTGGCTATAGGCGACCTGTCGTTATCAGCCATCGCCTATGGACCTGTCAACTTGCTACGCCGCACACGGTTGGCTTATTGCCACATCGTATCCGTGATGCAGCGGCGAGCAGATACGAGCACGGCAGAAATAAACTCTGAGAATCCCGAAATGGCTATCTTCGACCTCCTCTACCCCTGCTCACTACACGGCGAAGGCCCGGCTTCTCTACTACGGCGTATGAGTGCACGACCCTCCTCTCATATCTCTAGCACGAACAAGCTCCCGTCCGGGCCTAAATGACCACGCTGTTCGTAACTGTGCGCTACCCAAGCCCAACGTCGATCAGGCTTTTCTTAGCCACACTGCCATCGCTGCTCTGCCACTCCACTATCCTGTCATTCTATCCAGTCTCTCCTTCACCTCCTCGCATATTGTACCCGCGCCGACCCAGTACCCTGTCACACTTCGTATCCTCCGCTTTTGTGTAACTCATTTCGTCGAGGCAACGGCCTGTCCCACTCGCTTTTTGGCCTACGGCTCGCCCGGCATCGCAACTGTATCTTCTTTGACAGACGATACTCCTCCTCGACCGATCCTTCAAGCAATCGCTTGTCTTTCCATTGCATCAATTTACGGATCCACCTTTGGCTGCAACACCAGGCGTGTTTTCTTTCTGTTTGTGGACATTGGGTATATACGCTCGGGGCGTAAGAGAAGCACAAATACTCGGCATACATCAGCATAAAGGTGTCTCATATGGTTGCATAGAGGGTCACAACCAGCCAGAAAAGGCGCTCTGCGCTCAACACGATCCTCCAACATGTTCCTACCATGGCTCTTACCATTTGCAACCCTTTCGACTTTAGTATCAGCCTCCTGGTACGACGAAGCCGAGGTTGACTGGAACCTGAATGCCAACAAAAATGCACAGAACCCTCTTGAGTACTCGATACCAGACTGGCCAACAGGTTTCACATATACTCCAAGTCCTAAGAACTGGCGAGTTCCGTTCTACAGCTTTTTCGTCGACAGATTTGTCAATGGCGATCCGACTAACGATAATGCTAATGGCACGTCTTGGGAGCATGATATATACGGTACACAGCTCCGGCACGGTGGAGATATCAAGGGCTTGGAAGCATCACTAGACTATCTCCATGGCATGGGCATTCGAGGGCTGTACCTCGCAGGGAGTGCTCTGCTCAACGATCCATGGGCGGCAGACCAATACAGTCCCTACGACCACACGATCTTGGACCATCACGTTGGTACCATTCAGCAATATAGAGAAGCGATAGCAGCGATACACGCCCGCGGCATGTATGTCATCTTCGACAACACCATGGCGACGATGGCCGACCTTTTCGCTTTCAAGGGCTATGCGAATACCAGTGCTCCCTGGTCGTTCACCGAGCATGTCATGGAGTATAAGACGGAGACAAGATACCGTGACTATTTGCACTCGAACACATTCTACAAGGACTGTCCATTCGATTACCCACGCTTTTACGATCAAGGAGGAAACTTGATCAACGACGTCAATACTACGAAAATGAGAGGATGCATGGCTGATAGTGAGTTTGACCAGTTTGGTGATGTTGGAGCGTTCGGCGTGTATCCCGAATGGCAAAAGCAGTTGTCGAAGTTCAACGGTGTACAAGATCGATTGAGCGAATGGAAGCCGGAGGTTTTGGACAAAATCAATCATTTCTCCTGTATGTTGATTCAAGGCCTGGATATCGATGGCTTTCGTATGGACAAGGCGATGCAGATCACCATCGATCCGCTCGGCAACTTCTCGAATTACCAGCGATCTTGCGCAGCACAGGTTGGAAAGAACAATTTCTTCGTCGTTGGTGAGATTGTCAACGGCAACACCGATGGCTCAGTCTACCTCGGAAGAGGCAAGACTCCGGACATGACGGTAGTCAATCTGACGAAGGCGGTCACATCCAATGATACGGGATACATTCGTGAACCTGGCTATCAGGCTCTGGACGCTGGCGCATTCCACTACTCCACCTACCGAGCTCTCATGCGTTTCCTGGGTCTGGATGGTGACTTGTTGGCAGCTCATGATGCGCCTGTAGATTTTGCAGACCAATGGACGGTCTTCATGATGTCGAACGATCTAGCCAATGCCAACACTGGTGAATTTGATCCTCGACACATGTATGGCGCTTCGAATCAGGATGTTCTCCGCTGGCCGGGCCTGACCAACGGTACCGAGAGGCAGCTCCTAGCAGATTTCGTGATCACTCTTTTGATGCCTGGAATCCCGTTGGTCAGCTGGGGCGAAGAGCAGGCATTCTACACATTGGACAGCACAGCCAGGAATTATGTCTATGGTCGTCAGTCGATGTCTTCTGCTCAAGCCTGGCAGATGCATGGGTGTCACGTGGTGCCGGACGACAATTTGAACAACGCGCCGTTCAACAGCTCCCACACCGCTTGCCAAGATGACGGCGTTAGTCTCGATCACCGCGACCCTTCGCATCCGGTTTATGGTGTGCTCAAGGAGATGTTCGAGATGCGCCAGCGCTACCCTGTGCTCAATGATGGTTGGCGATTGACGGAGATTTCCAAGCAAGCCTGGAATTACACACTTCCTGGCTCTTTTGGCGTACCCACCGAGACTGGACTGTACAGTGTACTACGTGGGCGCTTAGAGCATGTTCAGGACCTCAGCTCTGAAGGGGTTTACGGAAACCAGCCGGTGTGGTTGGTATACTCCAACTACAACGACTCCAAGACCTACGAATCAGACTGCACAGCGGACGACGCTATTATTGCGCCGTTCGACGCCAACACCACTGTGAAGAACCTGTTCTACCCTTTCGACGAGTATTTCTTGGAGTTTTCGGGCATACAGCTTGGTATCGAGGGTTCAATTAACTCGAACGGTTGTCTCCAATCTCTCAACATGCCAAAATACGGTTGGAAAGCATTCGTACCTAAGAAAGCTTGGATGGCACCCTCTCCCGTCATCACAAAGATGCTGCCAGGGCATGATGCTCGCATCATTTCGAACACGACCGCCGATCAGTCCAGCTCCGTCGATATCGAGATTCGGTTTTCTGGTGAAATGGACTGCGATAGTTTCCGGAACGCCTTCACTGTGAACTCTACTACGGAGAGTGGGCAGCAGGCAAACTACGATTCTAGCCAGGTTGGTTGTCTAACCATTGACCCACAGAATGAGGCTTATTATTATGGGCCATCTCCATCCATCTGGCGTGCTCAGATCACGTTGACCAATGTCTTCGATGGCGTACACATGATCAATATCAACAACGTCAGCAGTTCCGACAAAAACTCATCCACAAATTCTATCGACCACTTCATGTTTCGTGTTGGCCAAGTGGAGAACCCGATCGTGTTTCCTTTCCTGGCCAACTACAGCAGCTCTCTGCTTTTCAAGGGCGCTACCAGCAAGCGCGACGACACCACTTTGGACTTTTCCGGACTCTACGTCAACCACAAGGCTGCAGGAGCAGATATGTGGCGTTACACTCTGACCTTCGGCGCTAGCTGGTCGAACTGGATGACTTACACTCCTGGCAATGCAACTCTGGACAAGCAATCCTGGGAGGGCAGTCGTAGAAAGTCTTGGGAGGGTGACCATGTGCAGGTGCAGTACTGGTCCTCTTTGGCGGGTAGCAGTGATCATCTTGTCGAAGGTGATCTGGCTGATAGCAAGGGACCGGAACGTCGCTTCCCGCATTTATTCATGCATGGGCCATTCAACCAATATGGCTTCGACTCTGGTATCAAGAACGAGATGCATCAGCTTGAGAACGGCTCGTGGGCATTCGACTTTATGGACGAGTGGCCTTCGCAGTTCCAGGTCAATGTCTGGGGCATGACTGAGGACGGGCAGCCTGATATAAGCTACGCTTACGGCGATGTCGACAACGACACAGTGCTCGATCGCATTTCGCCAACCTCTCTTCAACAGCTGGTAACAAACATTACCAATCTGGGCCCACAATCGCCTTACCTCTCGTGGCGCATCCAGTTCAACGATGCTGATCTTCGCTACTACCTGATCCCGATCGGTAACAGATATATTCAGCTTATTTTGTGGTTACTTTTCATCATAGTACCAGTCTGCTCTGCTGCTCTGGGTATTATGCTCTACATGCAAGCCTTCTACGGAGTCAAGTTTAACCAGATCGGTCTGCCTGCGGAGAAGAAAGGCATTCTGCCTGTGGCAATGCGAAAAGCTTTTCATTTGAGTGAGAAGGACGACGAAGCAGAAGTTCCCCGAGCTCTGAGTCCAATGATCGGTGATCGCAGCAGCAATGGGAGTGGCAGCATAATTCGCGATGATTTCACTGCTGGTGCTATCGTAGATGGGAAGAGACGCACGGTGCTGATCGGCACTATGGAGTACGATATCGAAGACTGGAAGATCAAGGTTAAGATCGGTGGTCTTGGTGTGATGGCACAATTGATGGGCAAGAATTTGCAGCATCAAGATCTCGTCTGGGTCGTACCATGCGCCGGCGGCATCGATTACCCGGTCGATACTCCTGGCCTGCCCATCGATGTGACTATTCTTGGTCGCACTTATGAGGTACAAGTCCAATACCACAAGTTGAACAACATTACTTACATGCTCCTCGACGCTCCTGTCTTCCGTCGACAGACACAGAAAGAGCCATACCCGGCACGTATGGACGACTTGGACAGCGCCATCTACTACTCGGCCTGGAACCAGTGCATTGGCGAGGCTATGCGTCGCTTCCCAATCGACATTTACCACATCAACGATTATCACGGGACCGTGGCGCCGTTGTACCTGCTTCCAGACACGATTCCTTGCTGCTTATCGCTCCACAACGCAGAATTTCAAGGTCTGTGGCCGATGAGGAATCCTAGGGAAGTGGAAGAGATTTGCTCAGTGTTCAATCTTCCCGAAACCGTAGTCCAGCGCTACGTCCAATTTGGTGAAGTTTTCAACCTGCTGCACGCTGGTGCCAGTATCCTCAGGATTCACCAAAAGGGCTTCGGCGCCGTCGGTGTGAGCAAGAAGTACGGCAAGCGTTCCTGGGCTCGTTATCCCATTTTCTGGGGTCTGAAGAGAATTGGCGCTTTGCCCAACCCTGATCCATCTGATGTGGCGGAGTGGGACAAGAAGGTCGCGGACCCGAACAGTATCGAGATCGACCAAGTCTTCGAAAGCGGTCGCGCTGGACTGAAGCGACAAGCACAAGAGTGGGCGGGTCTTGAACAGCGGGCAGATGCTGATCTGTTCGTCTTCGTCGGGCGTTGGTCCATGCAGAAGGGTATCGATCTCATTGCAGATGTCTTCCCTGCTGTTCTGGAACAGTATCCTCACACTCAACTGATCTGTATTGGACCTTGCATCGACTTGTACGGCAAGTTCGCTGCCCTCAAGCTCGACAAGATGATGCAAAAGTACCCTGGTCGTGTGTACTCGAAGCCCGAGTTCACTGCACTTCCTCCTTTCATCTTCAGCGGTGCCGAGTTCGCTCTCATCCCTAGTCGTGATGAGCCTTTCGGGTTGGTTGCTGTCGAGTTCGGACGTAAGGGTGCACTTGGTGTTGGTTCTCGCGTTGGTGGTCTTGGTCAGATGCCTGGTTGGTGGTACACCATCGAATCCACAACCACAAAGCATCAGATGCACCAGTTCAAGATGGCTATCAGTGGTGCATTGAAGTCCAGCTACGAGACTCGCGCATTGATGAGAGCTCGTTCGGCCAAGCAGCGTTTCCCTGTCGCCCAGTGGAAGGAGGATTTGGAGATCTTGCAAGGCACGTCTATCAAGATTCACAAGAAGCGTATGGAGCACATTTCCATGAGACGCATGGGCCTTGATACTGGCAGCGCTGCCTCTAGCGGCTGGAACACACCCAATTTGCCTGGTTGGATGACACCTCGCAGTGGCTGGGCCACACCGACCGGTGCTCTCACACCTCGAGGAGCCAGCACACCCGTGCACAGCCGACCAGGCACAAGGAGCAGCTCACCTGTACCAAGTGGTGCGACGACACCAACCAACGGTGCTCTCACCCTTGGTATGCGAGTCGGACCTGGTCACTCGCCACCAAACTCAAGAAGCAAACTCCCTACTCAAGGTCCCAGCTCGCAAGCCACATCTCGACGTAACTCCTACGAGGAGGAAGAGCGTGCACGGCGACCAATGGGTCGGGATGAGGTCGAATATATCACCCAAGAGCATGCTGAAGAAGCCAAGAGACAATCACGCATTGGTGGTATCACAGGCCTCAACTTCGACTTGCGTGATGGCACGAAAGCGCACCAGCCAGCTGCGCCTGCAAAGGCTGCGGGTCTTAGCCCATACTCTCAGGCGGGTCCTCAGAACACCTCCAGACCGACACAGAACTTCTCGTTCTTGACCCATCCACACTCACCGATTCCGGAGGAGCCTATGACGCCAAGCGGCTACAGTACACCTACCGCAAGTGGCTATCAAACGCCCCTCTCGACCGAGCAGGTTATGGACGAAAAGGGAGACGACCAGCAGGATCTCATGCCGTTCTTCACCGATCCTACAGGCCTATACTTCAAGACATTCGAGAAGAAGTTAGACGATCTCAGCGGCAAGACCTCTGAAAGTCAACTCTGTATTGAGACGTATCTGGAGAAGTCCGAGAAGCAATGGTTCAACCGTCTCCACGTCGCCAAGATGAGCCGTGCCAATACACCTGGTGGTGGCGCATCTGCCGTTGCCACGCCCGCAGGCTCGATCTACGAGGGTGTAGAGACCGACGAACCGATGTCGCAATTTCTGCTGCCTGACAACTACAAAGCGCCCACTGGACTCAAGCGCACGATGCAGTACAAGGTTGGCGATTGGCCACTGTACTCCTTTCTCCTGGCACTCGGACAGATCCTGGCTGCCAATTCATACCAGATCACCTTGCTCTCGGGCCAGATCGGTGAGACCGCAACTCAGCTTTACGTCATTGCCTCGATATACCTCGCGACAACGCTGATCTGGTGGTACATGTTCCGACGACTGGCTGCGAAGTGGTGCTTGAGCTTACCGTTCATGTTCTACGGCTTGGCTTTCTTCCTCCTTGCTTGGGCACCTTTCGCGAGTGGCACGACGAGAGGCTGGGTACAAAATGTTGCGACGGCTATGTACGCTGTAGCATCCTCGTCTGGCTCTCTGTTCTTCGCTCAGAACTTCGGGTCGACTGGTTCCGCGCCAGTCAAGGACTGGGCTTTCCGCGCTTGTGCTATTCAGGGCACGCAGCAACTCTATGTCGTTGCTCTTTGGGCCTGGGGTGACAAGCTCACTCGTACTGCCGCAGCGGGTGGTACTCAAGATCTCGGCTACGCCCTCACTGGCCTAGGTCTGCCGATTGCTATCTTCCTCTGGGTCGTCGGCTGGATCCTGCTTCAAGGACTTCCTCAGTTCTACAACCAGAAGCCAGGTGCCGTACCCGACTTCTACACTGCCATTCTGCGGAGGAAGATTGTGCTCTGGTTCTGGGTTGCGGTCTTCATCCAGAATATATTCCTGTCTGCACCATACGGCAGGAACTGGGCCTATCTATTCTCCAGCAAACACGTCCCTGGCTGGGGTATCTTCTTGCTCGTGCTACTCTTCTTCGTCGTCATCTGGGCGGTCGTGCTCTGGTACTTTTCGAAGCTATCCACGACCCACTCTTGGTTCTTGCCATTATTTGCTGTCGGACTCTTGGCGCCTAGATGGGCTCAGATATGGTGGAGTTGCTCGACTCTGGGCGCTTACTTGCCCTGGGCTGGTGGCCCTGTGGGATCTGCTATCCTTAGCAGAATGCTCTGGTTGTGGCTTGGTCTGCTTGATAATTTGCAAGGTGTTGGTATTGGTATGCTGCTTTTGCAGACAATGGGTATGTTTAAACCTCATCACCAACCATGAACCGAACTTCGCTGACTCGTTCTTAGTCCGTGGCCACGTTTCCTGGGCTCTCATGGCCGCGCAAGTCATTGGCTCTGTCGCGACTATCATCGCAAGAGCAGACGGCCTCAACTCGGTCGGACCTGGCCCTACAGTAAGTTTTCCTACCCTCACCGCAGACTGATGCTCTATCAGCTAACACCGTCTCCAGTTCCCAGACATCACCTCCAACCTCAGCGGCCTCGCCAATGCCTGGTTCTGGATCTGCCTCATACTCCAACTCACCATTCCCGTCGGCTACTACACTTTCTTCCGCAAAGAACAACTTGCGAAACCCTGATCTCACCCCACCAACAACAACCCACACTCTGGGACTCCTGTAACGCGATATCCCTTCAAAGACAGCATCACGAGCCCATCGACTCACGCAGTAATGCGGACACCAATTCTCCTGTATACTTTAGCAAGCGCAGCACTTATTTGATTTTGGGACGGCCTCATGACACTATTTGCATACATCTGCGATTGGATACCCGTTATACATATACATACATTGGAGGCTTTGTTATCTGCGAGTAGACATAATAGCTATAGCTAGAGATAGAGAGTCTCAAGTGCTGAGAACTCTCTCCTGAGAATGCTTATTGTACGATTTGCACATTAGTCCAAGATTGAACAAATTTTCTGCTGTTGGTTGTGATGGATTCGTATACAGCAGCTCTCCAATAGCTAGCTAGGTGGTGACTGGTCGTTCGTCCCCCACGCCATACAAACATCTAGAATAGTGCCAAAGCATTAGGCGGGCTACCAATGCCACCTGGGACATTCAATGGCACGCTCGTTAACAAGAAGCTATATCGTTCCAACTTCGCACAAGTCTCGGACAACGCCTTGAGATCCCACAGCTCTCCGATCGGCATACCAAACAGAGCGAGGAAGTACTGATGCAGCACAAGTCCAGCAACACCATCCTCCTTGCCAGTCTCAGGGTTGATAGGAGGGATATGCTCAAAAGCAATCATATCGCCCGCCACAGCAGCAAAATGCTGATTCCAGAACCACTTCGCCGCTTCGATGGTTCCAGTGACACCGCAGGTTTGGTGGGTCCCCATCAGTTTATTCTGTTCGTCTCCGGACTTGCCTGTCAGGCCTTCGGTGAAGCCTGAGCGGATGATGATGACGTCGCCGGGTTTGAAGGAAACGCCTTGTTTCTTTGCCACTTCCTCGATCTCGGACACGGGGATCTTGTGGGCACTGAAGGGATCGTAGGATTTGTTGTTCTCGTCGGCCCATTTCTTGTGGTCGATGAAGACGGCGCGGGCGACGAGGCCGCCGCGTTTGTGCCAGTGATTAAGGGTTGGGATCTTCATGTCGTGGTCTTCCTCGCCGTAATTTTGAGTAAGGTCTTTGACGTTGGTTTGGATGCCGTTGTAGCCTTTTGCTGAGGCTTGGTGGTGGAAGTGGCAAAGAGAGTCCCATTGGGAGGAGCTGGGAACGGTCAATATTCGATTGAGTCTCTAGCGGTAGCGATTTTCGGCCACTCACCATTGCGTATTGAATTCAACCTCGTCGTCGTAGCCATGGGCTGCCAAGGGTGAGTCCACGAACGACACCACCTTGTGGACAAGACCCTTTCGACCGAAGCCAGGAGTCTTGATCGCGCCGATGGGCCAGTTGAGACTGACGGATACACCGTCCTTGAGCTCCGAGTAGGCACTCTTTACAACCTCGGGAGTAATGTTGTTCAGAGTTCCGTAGACGTCCTTCTTCCCGTCTTTATCGAAGACGCCCCAAGCACAGCCTAGGATGCAGTCAGAAGAGCTGTCATGACAGTAAGCCGGTTTGACACAGACCTTGCGGCATGCCCTCGACCTTTGGCAAGTCATCGAAGTCCGGGATCTTTGACATTATGGTAAAGAGGAACGATTACGAATTCTGTGATTTTGGGTTATGTCGGGAATGCGATGTGGATATGGAAAACGTGATCGAGTAACGTCTCGAGGTGATGTCAAATCTGTGGGCAAATGGCAGTGTTGTTCAATATACCGGATAGTTGCAATTGCAAAGAGCACAAGATGTACCCACCTCTCTAACCTGTGGCAATATCCGGTCCATGGGCGGGGTAATGAGGGAGGAACGAAGGGGCGCTCTGCTGACGTTTGACCTCGGGATGCAGCTGGACCTCGAGGGCTGAAGGCAAAACGTATCAAGCTCCTCGTCACGAATCCACTTTGAACTGTCCATAATATCAATGAGTCCCCTAGCTGGCCGCAAGTCTTGTTCCTGCTCATTTGAAGGCCACGGCATCCGTCAGTGGCGCGGCTGGTGTTTGAAGTGGATTACGTGTCTTGACACGACCAGGACGTGGTAAAGAACTATTGCGGTACAATTGCGTTGTAGCCTCACTGGTATAGGATCCTGCTTTGGAGCTGTAGTCATCCTCAATAATGCCGATGGCCGTGGATAGGATGCACAACGTCAGCGACTAGCGGCCTGCTGCTGCGGTGTGGTACAAGCAAGGATTCTCTTGGTCTCGAAACGTTGGAAGGCCAAGGAGCGACAACCATGATACAGGTTGGATCTTGGCGAAGATTGACTGGGGCCCAGAGGATCCTTTGTGTATACGCGACGGCGATGAGCGGTGGTATGTGGGAAGAGTGAAGACCAGAATAAGCATGCCGTGCTTGCTTTGCCTATCTTACGCCTGTGCGACCGGACGCAATCCATATCTCGCCACCGAGTCACGCCACCCTGAAGCATGAGACACCAGTCGAGTCATTGTATTAGGAAAGAGAAAGGAATCGTTTTCAACTTAGATTTCTGTATACATGGGTCCAATCCACTTAGTGTACAGCGTCACTGCTTACACACAGCAACCGCTTGGTCAGGCACCGCAAGTGAAACACCCCTCCGCTCTCTCTACTCGTGCTGCACGAGCATACTCACATAGTCTCCATCTGCAAAATTCTTAGCCTACTCCTCATCGTCGCCGCCCTCTTCCTCCTCTTCCTCCTCCTCCTCTTCACTCCCCAAAAACTTTCTCCTCGCCTCCTCCTCCTCCTCCATATACTCACCCTGACTCGCCCGAATCGACCGGATACGGTCCACTGGGCTGGGGAGCTTGTCAATTTTACCCGCAATCTGTCCACGTCCGATCAAAGAGGCCAAGATGGAGCCTCCGACGATGAACGTGAGTACGAAGCGGTAAACGCCGTACCATCTTGGTGCCCAGCCGCGGCGAGAGGCGCGGGAATCGGTGTAGTAGAGGAAGTTGAAGATGAGGAATTGAGAGATCAGTGCGTACTCGACGGGGAGCAGGAGGGTGGGCCAGGCGAGTCCGGTGCTTATTATACCGATGCTGTAGCGGGGATAGCCATGGATGCCACCGAAGGCAGCCCATTCGAGACCCCAGTGAATGGCACCGAGGAAGGAGATGATCTGGAGCGACGGTTAAGCAGGATACAATAGCGTAGATGGATTTTGCGAACATACCACGGCGCCGTAGCCGACCTGAAGAGGCTCAATCGCGTGCAGGGCAAGCTCGGCGGTGTTTGCATCTAGAAGCCAACCGGTGCCGTGTTCAGCAGCGCGGTTGATCTCGGACGCGCAGAAGACAGTGCTGAGTGAGGTGGCCAAGTAGGGAACAACACCTGCCATACCGACAACATAGGCTTGGTGTGGAACGTCCTTCATGCTGAAGGTCTCGGCAATCGTTCTCTGCACAAAACAATGCTTATCAGTACCCTGCTTTTACAGTATATCATTCGTGTTGTTCAAGCTTACCAGATCGCCCTTAACACCACCCAACATCTCCGTCTCGTCATCATCCCACTTACCTCTCTGCGCCGCTTCCTTGCCAGACCTCTCGCCGACCTCGTTGTTGTAGATCCGCTGCGTGCTATGGGTACTAACCAGCTCAGGCGTCGCGCGGATCCGCTTTGCATGCGCTGCCTCCTCAGCCTTGACATCGATCTGATCTACATTCGGTCGATCGGTCGAGGCCCAGCGCGTAAGAGCGAGCGTTCGGGGGACCTTGTTCAAGGCTTGCGTGCGTGTGAATGTGCACAGTTGAGGATGTTTCAGCGCGGCGGAGCGTGTTACAGATGGGTTGAAGCTGACGGTGCGGAGGCTCCGGGTAGCGGCGGAGCGGAGGAAGGCCATTTTGTTCGCACCCCGGGTCGTGGGCAGAGTGTGAGGACTCGATTGTGGTGAGCAAAAGTCCCAATGGCAAGCTCCTGAGCTTTCGGCTGGGCTGGGAGGGCAAGCAGAGCAGAGCTTTGGCTCCAAGCGGCTTTACCCGAACAATTGATTGATCGATCAACCAACTTTACTTGCTAACACCAAGCATTACCCTACCACTACTATCGCATTCTCTTTGGCCTCTCTTCGTGAGCACGGCATAGAATAAGCGCATGCTACGTTCATTAGTGAGTCTATAGCTATCTTAGCTTGTTCCACTGATATCATCTCGGTCAATCTTGTCATTGTGGCCACAGCCTGTATGCAATGTGACGTCGATCCAACCTCGAATTGACCCCACCGAAGAGCCGCGTAGAAGCACATTTGGTACGCGCACAAACACTTCTCCATTACTGTCTCTTCCCACCAAACACTATAGAACGTGCCTTCCATATCGGGAAGTGGCTGAAGCGGGATCAGATCGTCAACATATTGTGAATCGACACGGAAGCACCGTCGACCCTTCCTCTCACATCTTCACCTTGGTGGCAGCTGCCTGGAAGTGGCACCCAGACCTCGAAGCTGTTGTCGCAAGATTGGAAGATTACAACATGAGTCGAGTGTTTCCACGATAGCGTCCTACCTACATCTCCTCGCCGACTAAACGAACCTCACATCTGGAAACCCGTCCACGTGACGGTCCAACACCGCCACCATGTTGGAATCCCTCGTCGCCAACCTGCTTAACCGCTTCCTGGGCATGTATGTGCGGAACTTTGACCCAAAGCAGTTACAAGTCGGTCTTTTCTCTGGCGACGTCACACTACGCAACCTCGAGTTACGGAAAGAAGCTCTGGACCAGTTCCACCTACCAATCAATGTGATCGAGGGCCACATATCAAGTCTCGTACTCAAGATCCCACTGAGCAACCTCCGAGGGCAGCCTGTCCGCATCAACATTGAGGATGTGTTCCTGCTGGCGGCGCCCAAGGAAGATGAGGCGTATAATGCGGAGGAAGAGGAGAAGAGAGCACATGCCGTCAAGATGGAGAAGTTGGACTCGGCCGAGCTGCTGAAGGAGCGCAATACTGAGGGTATGTCGCAGGAGGAGCAGAAGAAGCAGCAGTCTTTTACCGCTGCTCTCACAACGACCATCATCGACAACGTACAGATACAGGTCAAGAATGTGCACATTCGATATGAGGACGCTGTATCAGACCCTGGCCACCCGTTTGCGGCTGGTCTGACATTACAGGAGCTGAGTGCTGTCTCCACGGATGAGAACTGGCGACCAACATGGATTCAGAGCACATCTGCTACTACACACAAGCTGGCCACTCTTGGCTCATTAGCCATATACTGGGATACTAATGCTGAGCTCATTGGTCAAGGTACTGGTGCGAAGGATGCCAAAGAGCAAGGCATTAGCCATGATCAAATACTCGACAAGTTCCGGGAGCTCATCGTCAAGGGGGACAGTCCGACAGTCAAGGAGCACCAATACATCCTCAAACCAGTGTCTGGTCGGGCTGGTCTGGAGATGGACAAGACTGGCAAGCATGATCGTCCGAACATGAAGGCTCGTCTACTGTTCAACGAGCTCGGCTTTGTGCTGGACGATGAGCAGTACCGTGATGCTCTCATGTTGGTAGACCTTTTTCACTACTTCATTCGGCACCAGGAGTACCGGAAGTTACAGCCCACGAAGCCCGTCAAGGAGGACCCGAAGGCCTGGCTCCTTTTCGCCGGCAAAGCCGTACTCGACCGCATACATGATCGCAACAAGCAGTGGAGCTGGGCGCACATTGCTGAACGCCGAGATGATCGCAAGAAGTATATCACGCTGTTCAAGAAAAAGAAGAAGGAAGAGAAGCTCACGCCGGATGAGACGAAGGAGCTAGACGCCTTAGAGCGGAAGTTGACATACGAAGATCTTCGATTCTGGAGATCCTTGGCACGAAATCAGCTTCGGAAGGAAAATGTTGGCGTCAAGAAGGAAGCTCCGAAATCGACTTGGTCTTCGTATATCTGGGGCGGTGCTAAGAAGCAGGAAGAGACTCATGATGACTCGCAGATGTCTGAAAAGGAGCGCGATGAGCTGTATAAAGCTATCGACTTTGATGAGAAGAAGTCTCTGACTGAGGCGGTGGATGCACCAAAGGAGGCTATTAAGTTACAGGTCGATATGAGTCTGAAGACTGGCAGTTTCACTTTGCGGAGAGATCCACATAAGAAGAACACTGATATCTTGCATCTCTCTTTCGACGACTTCTCGACTGAGTTCGTACAACGGACCGACTCGACGCTCGTGGACTTGAGTCTAGGTGGCATGCGCTTGTTCGATGGCTCGACAGAAGGGAATCTTTTCGAGCAGATGCTGAAGGTCAAAGACGCTGCGCCTCTTCCAGCGTCGAAACGAGTGCAGGAGCTTGGTGATGATGAAGGAGATGAGAAGTTTGAGGATGCTCCTGAAAAAGAGGCAGAGGAGGATGATGAGCAGGAACCGTTCTTCAATATGTCTCTCGAACAGAATCCGATTGATGGTCATGCCGATACCGCCGTGAACCTCAAGCTCAAAGCGATGGAAATTATCTACAATCCAAACTTCGTGGTGCAAGTCACCAAGTTCTTCAAGCCTCCAGAGCAGCACATGGAATCCATCGGTGCCCTTATGGAGACGGCAGGCTCGACGGTGGAAGGTCTACGGCAGCAGACACGAGCCGGACTCGAATTTGCGCTGCAAGAGCATAAGACTATCGATCTGCAGCTGGATCTGCAAGCACCTCTTATCATCGTGCCGGACAGTGTGACCAAGAAGAGCGATATCTGCCTGATCCTGGACGCCGGTCATGCGAGCGTGCGCAGCAACCTCATCGACAAGGCCACCCTGTCCGATATACAGAACAAGCAGCAGAAGCAATACACCGAGAAAGACTTCAAGAATCTTGAAAATCTCATGTACGACAGATTCATGCTCAAGCTTGAGTCGACACAACTCCTCATGGGTACTACTGTGGAGGATACCAAAAAGCAGCTTGACGAGGACGCCGAAGTACGCAATTTCCATCTGGTCGACCGACTCAACATGGACTTCAGCATCGAGAGTTGCATCATACCTAAGACGACGGAGCTGACCAAGTTTCGCATCAATGGCCATCTGCCGCTGCTGCATGCTATGTTCAGCGACGCCAAGTACAAAGCACTGATGAAGCTGCTGGACTTTGCCATACCCAAGTTTGATGAAGACAAGAAGGACGTCGCACCAGCGAAGACTCTCGAAGCTAGCAAGGCTGAGAAAGCAAACCGTAGGAAGAGCACTTTAGCAGCAAACGATGCTGGCAGACCGAGAGGCAAGTCCTTCCAGACCTCGCGTGGGGAGCTTGTGGTGGATGAAGAGGCTGGCGAGGCGCAAGCAAAGCGCGACCATGATGCCAAGACTGGGCCACCAGCGAGCACAGGCAAGAAGGCCCCTGAGATTAACCCTGAGCAACGGACTTTCGAATTCAAGTTTACGGTCGATAAGCTGCAAGGCTCACTGTACAAGGCTGACCCAGATGGGAAGAATGGGGATCGATTGCTCGTTGACCTGATTGCTGAGACTTTCTACCTCGAGTTCTACCAGCGCGCATTCGATATGGTCGCTGATGTCAGGCTTCGTGCTTTGACAGTGGAAGATCATGTCGAGGACTCACCAGCACCTGAATTCAAGGATCTGATCTCGAGCGAGGACATCTACGCGAAGAAGAAGGAGGATCTGCTTACGATCCACTTCTTTATGGTCAAGCCTGAGCATCCGGAGTTTCAGGAGAAGTTCGAGGGGATCAAGACGAATTTGGATGTTGCTGTGAGCACGATCAACCTTATGGTCACGAGAAGGACATTATTGACGTTGCTGGATTTCGTGCTTGATACTTTTACTTCGAATGAGAAGCCGCATGTTGCTGAGGAGTCGGATGACGATGAGCCAGAGGAGCAAGCACCTGCACCACAGCAGCAGGATAAGATCCGGATCAAGGCTGAGCTGAGGAGAGTAGCAGTCATACTGAACAATGATGGCATTCGACTCGCGACGCTGAGCTTGACGTCCGCAAGCGTGAACGTGTTCCTCGCTGGCAAGACGATGCAAGTCGGTGCTCGACTCGACAATCTTGGCTTGGTGGACGATATCAACCAGGGTGTTTCGGAAGAGTCGGCACTCAGACAGATGATCAGTATCCAAGGTAACGAGCTGGCTGATTTCAAGTACGAGACGCATGATCCGGCTTCGGAGGACTATCCTGGCCATGACACCACGATCTTCTTGCGCTCGGGTTCGCTGAAGATCAATTTTGTGACCGAGCCTTTCCGCAAAATCATGGAGTTCGGGGTCAAATTTGGCAAGATGCAGGCTATCTTCAATGCCGCTCGCCAGGCTGCGCAAGTACAAGCCAATAAGGTGCAGCAGAGTGCAAGCAGAATGCACTTCGATATTCTGATCAAGACACCCATTGTCGCCTTTCCACGCATGATCATTACAGAGAACCCCGCTAGGGACACCTTGACCGCTTACCTTGGCGAGATCTACGCGAATAACAAGTTCGTTCCGCTCGAAGAAGGCAAGAGTGAAGGTCAGACAGCGAATAAGCTCAGTGCTGGTATTCGAAACGTGCGACTCGTGTCCACCTTCAACTACGAAGGTGATAAGCATGAGGAATTGGAGATGCTTGATAAGGTTGGGCTTGACTTCAACATCACGCAGATCGAGCATCAAGCTGGACAGGAGCGACCGGATATGGAGATTGAGGGATCGATGAGCAATATCAATCTCCGCATCACGGAGCAGCAGATGAAGTTTGCCATGGAGCTGGCGAGGAATATTCCGCAGGCTTTTGCTCTGGAGAGCGAGGAAGATGTTGCGGGAGAGGTGGAGGAGGAGTTGGGTGAGGAGGTTGTGGAGCCTGCCAGACAGATACAGCCGGCCGGTGATAAGAAGAAAGATGAGAGTGCTGTGGCGAAAGCTAGTCACCAGGGCCCTGAGCTGGGTAAGGAGGAAGGTAGCTGGACTAAGATGGATCTGGTTTTCAAGGTCGGTGCTATCGGGCTCGAACTCGTGTCTGGGCCGCTCGAGGCACCGATTGGAGATATTGAGGCTGCCAGCTTGTCCAAGTTCTCGCTCAATGAGACGAGCATCAAGCTCAAGATGCTGAGTGATGGTGGCTTGGAGAGTGAGCTACTGATTCAGTCTTTCACGATTACGGATACGAGGACGAAGGAGAGGAATAAGTTCCGCAAGATCATGAGTCTTATCAATACGGAGGTTAAGCAGCAGTTTATGGCTTCGGTCAGCATTTCTGGTGGCGAGGAGAAGAATCTTATTGCGCTCTTGACGGTGGACAGCCCGAGAGTGATCGTCGCACTGGACTATCTTTTCGCTGTGTTGGCTTTCGTAAATAAGGGCCTGAAGACTGAAGAGGCGCTCGTAATTGAAGAAGAGAGCGAAGCTGAGACGGTAGCCGAGGAGGATAGGGAAAGTGTGGACACTGATGAGCTGGTCCAGCGCAAGAACAAAGAAGCGGCTGATGCAGAAGATGCGGAGCAGAAGCCGGGTATGAGTATCTCGTACCGTGTCGAGGTCATCGATGCACAGGTTGTCTTGCTCGCGAATCCATCGATCAGCAACTCCGAAGCAATCGTGCTCGGTACGAAGCAAGTCCTTGTTTCGCAGCAGCATGCCATGACTCTGCAGGTCGAGAAAGTCGGGATGTTCCTGTGCCGCATGGATCAGTTCGAGACCTCGCAACTCCGTATCTTGGACGACTTCAGCATTCAGACATCCCTGGACATGCGCTCGCAAGCGAAGGATTCTTCTATGACAAGTATCCACGTCGATATCGAGCCACTCGTGCTGCGACTGAGTCTGAGAGATATCCTGCTCGCTATGCAGATTTTCCAGCGCGCGAGCAGTATGCAAGGTGATCAGGACAAGAAGCTGCAGGATGAGGGTCCAAAGAAGATAGCCCAGATCAAGGGTGACCAACCCGCGAAACCTGCCAAGACCAAGTCTACGAAGAAGACGATTGGCTCAACTACGGCGAACAAGGTCCAGGCGAAGAGCATTAGTACCAAGAAGTCGACTGTTGGTCAGAAGCCGCAAGATGATGATCAAGCTCTGGGCTCGGCGGTTCTGAAGCGCGAGGAGATGAAGATCCAGATGGACGGCATTCGTGTCGTGCTCATTGGCGATCTTCACGAGCTGCCGATTCTGGATTGGAGTGTTAAGAAGTTTGACGTCGATGTGAGAGACTGGACTGGCAACATGACTGCCGATACAAGCATCGACACATACTTTAACGTCTACAACTTCTCGAAGTCTGCTTGGGAGCCTTTGATCGAGCCGTGGACACTAGGCTTTCATCTGGCCAAGGAAAATGACAAGATGGCTGCTGAGCTGTTCTCGAGGAAGATGCTTGAGTTGACGATCACATCTGCCACCATTGCTTTGGCATCGAAGTCGGCAGACTTTTTGTCCTCGGAAGAGGATGTGCTGTCGAAGCCTAGAGGCAGTGACGCGCCGTACAAGATTTGCAACTACACCGGCTTCGAGGTAGATGTGTGGTCTAGCGGCGAAGCGAACAACGACGATGAAGGTCAAGCGGCGAAATTGCAAGATGGCGAGGAGAAGCCTTGGCGATTCGAGGATCCTACCACGACTCGTGAGACGTTGTCACCTGAAGGTCAATCCGGGGTGATTGGTGTCCGGTTGCAGGGCAGTGGATTTGATAGCATCGACCGGATCCAGGTCAGCCGCGAGGGTGAAGATCTATACAATCTGAAGCCGAGAAAGGACAAGGTGCAGCACCGCATGCTTGTCGAGATCAAGCTAGGCATGGACAATGTCAAGTACATCACTCTACGATCGCCTCTCTTGGTGGAGAACAACACACAGTTGCCCATTGAGCTGGGCGTGTACAGCCCTGAGGAGGGCCATCTGCTGAAGATCGAGAAGATCCCACCTGGAGAAGCACGACCAGCACCTGTTGGTGCAGCATTCATGCACTCGCTTGTTGTAAGACCTGATCAAGGCTTCGGCTATACCTGGTCGAACGAGCGCTTGTTCTGGAAGGATCTTCTCAAGCGACCTATGAAGACGATCAGCTGTGCCGGAGAATCTGATCAGAATTCACCGCCTTTCCACTTTCAGATGCAGGCTGTTTATGACAAGAACAACCCACTCACGGCGGTATACCCATACATGAGAATCAAGTTGTCGGCACCAGTGGAAGTGCAGAATCTGCTGCCATACGACTTCAAGTATCGCATTTACGACAAGAACACTAAGAAAGACTGGACAAACTTCTTGCGCAAGGGTGGCGTGAGCCCCGTGCATGTGGTCGAGCTGTCCCACCTGTTGCTCATGAGTGTGGACATGCAAGATACACCTTTCAAGGCTAGTGAGTTTGCGATCATCAACTCTGGCAACAACGAGAATGACTTTCGACGGGAGAAGACCTTGTCGGTCAAGGATAATGGCGGTCTGGAGTTGAGGCTCAAGATCCACTACTTCAATGTTCCGGACAGTGGTGGCGCGTTCAAAATCACGGTCTATGCTCCGTACGTGATCCTCAATCGCACAGGTATCGAGCTAGATTTGAGGAGCAAAGCATTCTTCGGGGCCAGCAAGAGCGCTGCAGGAAACCAGGCTTTTGTCGACCGTGCCGAGGGCGAGGACGGGAGAACAGCAAAGCCTTTCATGTTCTCCTTCCCGACTGACGACCGACGGAACCGTGGTCTACTCAAGCTTGGCGAATCTGCGTGGAGTCAACCTGTCAGTTTCGATGCCATTGGAGCCAACCAGGACGTGAAGTTGCCTGCTGCTTCCGGTAGGTCCGAGATGCATGCTGGTCTGCACGTTATGGAAGGCGAGGGCAAGTACAAGCTTACCAAGGTCATTACGGTCACGCCAAGGTTTGTGGTGAAGAATCGCTTGACAGAGGACATTCAGATCCGAGAGCCAGGATCTACTGAAACCACGACCTTGAAGTCAGCTGAACTGCACCCATTGAGGTTCCTACAACAGAGCGCTGGACAACAGCTTTGCCTGTGCTTCCCCGGTGTGAGCAACAAGTGGTCATCGCCTTTCGACATCGCCAATGTTGGCAGTGTACACATCAAGCTGGCGAAGTCTGGTGAGCGACAGAAGCTTATTCGGGTTGAGATCCTCATGGAGGGAGCCACAATATTCTTGCATCTGAGCTTGGAGACGAAGCATTGGCCTTTCTCTATGCGCAATGAGAGCGACCAGGAGTTCTTATTCTGGCAGGCGAACCCAAATGTGGACGAGGACGAGGAGGATAGGACCTCCGGCTGGAAGCCAATCAAGTACCGATTACCACCACGCTCTATCATGCCATACGCTTGGAACTATCCTTCAACCAAGAACAAGAATCTTGTGCTCGGTGCCAACAAGAAGGAAAGACATGTCAAGCTCGCAGAGATCGGAAATCTGATTCCGATGCGCATAGCAGCTGCACCAGGCCAACAGAGACAGAAAGTCATCGATCTCAATGTCGTTGCTGAAGGACCAACTCAGACACTCGTGTTGTCGAACTACAAGCCTTCTAAGAGCTTGTACAAGCAGAAGTCGGCTAGTGCAACATCATCGACAGCTGCCGGTTTCGAGGTGAAGGATCAAGATATCCACGAGACAATCAGCGCAGCTGTTCGCTTCGAAGCTGGCATCGGCATCTCCCTTGTCAATGCACAGCTTCGTGAACTCATCTATGTGACATGGCGCGATATCAAACTGGAATACAAAGAGTCGCCGCTCTTCCAAACTGTCACACTCACTGTTCGCTGGATCCAGATCGACAATCAGCTCTACGGTGGCATCTTCCCTCTCATCTTCTACCCATCTGTCGTGCCCAAGACCGGCAAGGAGATGAATGCGCATCCGATCTTCCGCAGTACGGTGACAAGAGTCAAGGACGATTCTTATGGTGTCATGTACATCAAGTACTTCACATTCTTGCTGCAGCAAATGACCATTGAGATTGACGAGGACTTCATCTTTGCTTTGTTAGACTTCACGAAGATTCCTGGTGCTTCATGGACGGAGGAGAAAGAAGGTAGACTGGCACCCGACAGTCTGGACATCCCAGAGCCTCAGCAGGAGCAATCTGGCCAGGACATCTACTTCGAGCTGTTGCAGCTTCAGCCGATGCAATTCGATTTGTCCTTCGTGAGGACTGAACGTATCAATGCAGAGGACACAGGAAGCTCATCGAGCAATCCATTCATGTTCGCTGTCAATGTGCTCACGATGTCGATTGGCAACGTCAACGATGCTCCGATCAGATATAATGCGCTCATGCTGGAGAACGCACGTTTGTCTGTTGGCGCGCTGATCAACAACATTCAGAGTCATTACGTGCAGGAGTCGTTGCGACAAGTCCACGTCGTCATTGGCTCAGCCGACTTCCTCGGTAATCCAGTCGGCCTCTTCAACAACATCAGTTCCGGTGTTGCAGACATCTTTTACGAGCCATACCAGGGTCTCGTCACCGATCGTCCACAAGATCTCGGCATTGGTATTGCAAAAGGAGCTAGCAGCTTCGTTAAGAAGAGTGTCTTTGGTCTGTCAGACAGTGTCTCCAAGTTCACTGGCAGTATTAGCAAGGGTCTTGCTGCTGCTAGTATGGACAAGGAGTTTCAGGATCAGCGCCGTATGTCGAGGTCGCGCAACAGGCCAAAGCATGCACTTTATGGTATCACATCTGGCGGTAATGCTTTCGCAAGCAGTCTAGCCAGTGGTATTGGTGGTCTTGCTAGGCAACCAATGCAGGGTGCCGAGAAGGAGGGTGCCGCCGGATTTGTGAAGGGTGTTGGCAAAGGTCTCCTCGGCCTTGCTACCAAGCCAGCGATCGGTGCTTTCGATCTCGCCTCCAATATGGCCGAAGGCGTGAAGAACACAACTACTGTCTTCGACCAAGATGGCCTAGATCGTGTGCGCTACGCCCGCTTCATCGGCCTTGATGGTGTAGTCCGACCGTACAGTCAACGTGAATCGGTGGGACAATTCTGGCTCAAGACAACAGATAACGGCAAGTACTTCAACGAAAGCTACATCGCTCATCTTGAGCTCGACAGCTCATCCCAGGGCGATCGGGGTGGGAACGGTAATGGCTCCTCCACTCCAACCACGCCAACCACACCAGGAGGCAAGAACGGCGGCGGTAAGAGAGGTCAGCAGACGGAAGCGTCCATGCTTATCATCATCACCTATAACCTGATCATGCAAGTTCGTGCCAGGAACTTGACGACGATCTGGGATGTGCCGCTCAAGGATGTGCAGACTATCAGTAAGGAGAGGACAGGCATGAGTATTGTGCTGAAGGGTGGCACGAATGGGCCTTTCATTCCGATCGCGGATGAGATGTCAAGGAATTGGTTGTATCGGCAGGTGGCCGTCGCGGTGAATGCTTATAATGACAAGTGGAATGCTAAAGGTTAGGTGGAAGCAGGTTGGGGGCGAGTGTGTGCAGAAGACGAGCGATTCACTTCTACATTTCTGATTAGATTGCACAAGATACCATGGCATCTTCGGCGCTTATGGGAAGCATGAAGCGAAACACCGTATAATGATAATGACTTTTGCATTTCTTACGCCACGCAAATTTTCCAACAAGCACACGTGTTACTATTTGTACCTGGCTGGAAGTCTACTTGGCCCGCTCACCAATTCATCTTGGTATGACTCCTAGGCTGAATTTGATTTGGTTCGCACACGACGTAGCTCAAGTTCCCTCACCCTAACATGGCCCAGGTCCGCTGTCGCGATGGCTGTAAAGCCACTACACTGTTGTACCGTACTGCGACCGACACCGGCAGATTCAATTCGACGTTATCTCGATGTCATCCTCGTCAGCCTGAGTCATTGCAGTCTCCACCACTGTTGCCTAACCGCTCTTGAGATGTGCAATCTCAGCTTCCAGCTGCAAGATCTTAGCCTGTGCTGCGCCATCTTCGGCGGTGAGAAGTTGAATCTGCGTGTGGGCTCGCACAAGTTGGTGCTCAAGTTGAGTCGCATAACTGCCGCTATCAATGCCCGTATCACCATCGTCAGCATCGCGAGCTACGATCTGTTGACTCGATTGCTGCGTAGGGCTGTCCGTGGCGGCCACCTGATCCATGAAGCTTTGTGGCTGGTGTGCGTGCTTACGGCGTCCGTGGCTAGTACTTGGAGGTGTAGCAGTTGTGATCGCCTCAACAGAGCCCGCTCTCGGTACTGTATCATCGTCTTCTCCATCGTCTTCAATGAAGAATCCTGCGGCGGAGACACTGTCGCGTGTAGCGGTCGGTTGTTCGACTTCTTCGAGAAATAGGCTCTCCTCCACCTCATCATCTTTCTCCACCCTCTTCAGTCCTGCCCCCACGTCACCAACCCAATCCCCAAGTCCGCTTCCCCCCATCGAACGCACTCCAGAATCGACCCTAGAGGCACCCACGTCCGCACCTTTCAAGCTCATAGCCATAGCCGCCCTAGCCTGTTCCCCAATATTACCATAAAGCTTACTCCGATCCTTAGCAAAATCAGGACTCGGATCACGGCGCAGAAACGTATTGATCCTTGGAAGATAGCGGGCACGGCCTGCATCCTTCGAGGGCGCACCACCGTGCTTGACCATGAGTTCTTTAGGCGTGTACTGATTGTTGTGCTTTCGCTTGATAGTGCTGGTGGATGATGTAGCAGTGGCGGGAGACGAAGCTTTGCGCTTCTTGCTTGCTTGCTCCGGAGCAGGGCTAGCCTCTGATATTGGCTTGGCAGAGCGGTAATTGATGGGTCTATAGTCCTTCGCGCCCCGGAAAGGATACGGCTCGCGATCCTTCGAACCCAGTTCACCAGCATAGTATCGTTCATCCCCCTCAGCAGACGCATTCGCCACAGCAGCACGGCCACGATGAGCCCTCTTGCCACGGATCTTACCATTCGGGACGAAGTCGATAGGCCAGAACTTCACCATTCTGGCCTTTGGGATTTCGGAGCTCATGACTTCGTAAGCTGCTTTGTCATCCAGCAGCACGAACCTGGGCGGCATGTTTGTGGCGCTGACACGCTCGGTGCCTGTCGACGATTGATAGAAGCGCCAGCGTTTCTCAAAAGCTGGTTTGCGGTCGTGGCCATCGGCGGTCTCTTTGCCATCGGGATCGCCCGGGCGCCAGACCTCCCGCCTCAGAGCTGTGTGGGGGTCTTCGGCGTGTTGGCGAGCTGAGTTGGCTGGATCGAGGACGATAGCGTTTTCTGAGATGATCTCGGGCAGTCCGGCCTCAATGGTGCTTACAACATCCCCGCTGCTAGCCAAAATAGGTGTGGCAGGCTTGAGGCTAGATTCCGGAGTTTTCTGTTGTGGACTGTCCGCACGATGCGTAAGATCCACGGTGGACTGCACGGTCAGGCTCGGAGATCTCACGTGCGGAGCTTCATCGTCAATGGGGTCGAAGTATGGAGTACGACTGCCTTCTCTGGTCGCGCTTGCCTGTTTGGCGCCATCGTATGCTAAGTCGTTGTCCACGCCCTGCTTCGATGCCGGAGAGCGCTGAGAAGCTTCCTCGCCTGTGCTTGCTATACCTGTTGACTCAACTGTTCGTGTTGAAGGCGATTTCGAGGGAACTACTGCAGATTTCTTCTTTTTCTGCTTACGCCTGGACGAAATCTTGCTCCCCATTACCCCTCCACTTGCCACCGTGACCATGACATTGGGGATGACCATCTTGACGGACTTACATGTAATTGTGTCTGTGCGCTGATGGTGGAGTCTGATCTCCCAGGCGGAGGTGACTGAGAGATCTTGGTATCTCAAGCTGTGTTGTCGCTTGTCAGGTGTTGTGTGGCGGAGATCATTGCCAGAAGGTGGTGGCCGCGTCGATTATGGTCTGCCTAACGTGAGGCGAAGAAGATCCGTTCGTGGCGCGCGCTTCAAAGCTATGACGGCGAAGTCTCGCGTGCTAGGTTGCCTGGTCCGAAGAGGGAAGGAGCAATCAGATGGTCTTCCCAGTCAGTACAAAAGATGTATTCATGCGAGGGACTCTCTCAGTCGAATCAAATGTCACGAGTTGGATATCTCGGTTACTTAGTATGCGTGGGAAAGGGATTGCGCTTCAAAAATATGTTTCGGCAGGGCTCGGCTCTAGACGAATCCTGGTTGTAGGGTAGCACGTGAACACCTGCAATGAATGGACATTGAGCATGTGACTGGAGGCAAGCGGGAACGTTGGATCATGAAAAGAACAGGAACATGGCCTCGGTTGACCCAATAACCAAGTACACCATACCATAATACGATGCCTGTGCCATGATGACAATCACTAGAGTACTGCCAGGATATGCCGTCCAGTTACCAGGTATAGTAGAGTCAATGCCGAGCAACAGCAGCGAAGTCTGATGGCGGAGAGGTGCAGGCTGAGGTGTGTAGAAGATAGCAGGGAAACGGCAATAATGATCGGACGTGCAGGAAGCTTGAGATCTGGACAGTCCGGCAGCTCCCGCGCTCGGACAGATCTCAGCCGATCCAATCAAATATCAGACGATTAGCGTTTCAACTCCATCATCGACCTCATAGATTCTAGACACAACCTCACCCACGCCACACCTTTCCCCTCTACCATCAGACACTTTCTTGGTATACAGGCGACGAAGCCGCACTACCCCGACCACTTTGCTATTAGCAACTGCACTTACAATGCTGTCCGCGCCAGTAGCAGCACGCGCCCTGCGCACCAGCGGCACCAATGCCGCCCTCAAGAATGGCGCCCGCACAATGGCCACAGTCCAAGACGCCCCACCCGTCCACCGCCAACGAGGCCTTCAAGACCAAGACCGCATCTTTCAAAATCTCTACGGCAAACACGGCGCCGACCTCAAATCCGCCAAGAAATATGGCGACTGGTACAAGACCAAGGAGATCCTCGACAAAGGCCACGACTGGCTGATCTCGGAGATCAAAGCCTCTGGTCTACGAGGAAGAGGCGGTGCGGGCTTCCCGTCGGGCATGAAGTGGAGTTTCATGAACTTCAAGGACTGGGATAAGGATACGAAGCCGAGGTATTTGGTCGTGAATGCGGACGAGGGTGAGCCCGGCACGTGTAAGGATCGGGAGATTATGAGGAAGGATCCGCATAAATTGATTGAAGGATGTTTGGTGGCTGGTAGGGCCATGAATGTGAGTCAAAGTGGGCACGAAGAAGATGAGAAGGATGTCATACTGACGAGATATATTAGTGCACTGCCGCCTACATCTACATCCGCGGCGAATTCTACCACGAAGGCACTGTCCTGCAACGCGCCATCCAGGAAGCCTACAAAGACGGTCTCATCGGTAAGAACGCCTGCGGCTCCGGCTACGACTTCGACGTCTTCATCCACCGCGGCATGGGCGCCTACGTCTGCGGTGAGGAGACTTCTCTCATCGAGTCACTAGAGGGCAAGCCAGGCAAGCCTCGCCTGAAGCCACCATTCCCTGCCGCAGTCGGTCTCTTCGGATGCCCAAGCACAGTGGCGAACGTCGAGACCATCGCCGTAGCACCAACGATCATCCGACGAGGAGCAAACTGGTTCTCGCAATTCGGCCGCGAGCGCAATGCCGGCACGAAACTCTTCTGTATCTCAGGCCACGTCAACAACCCCTGCACAGTCGAAGAAGAAATGTCCATCCCCCTCAAAGAACTCATCGACAAGCACGCCGGCGGTGTGATCGGCGGCTGGGACAACCTGAAGGCCGTCATCCCCGGTGGCTCCTCCACACCCATCCTGACGAAGAAAATTTGCGACGATCAACTCATGGACTTCGACGCCCTAAAGGACTCCCAATCCGGTCTCGGTACCGCCGCCGTCATCGTAATGGACCAGAGCACAGACGTCGTCCGCGCCATCGCCCGCCTATCCAAATTCTACCACCACGAATCCTGTGGCCAATGCACACCCTGCCGCGAGGGTTCCAAATGGACCGAGCAAATCATGTCCCGTTTCGAGCGCGGCGAGGCGAGAGCACGAGAAATTGATATGATGCAGGAGTTGACCAAGCAAGTCGAGGGCCATACCATTTGCGCGCTTGGAGAGGCTTTTGCGTGGCCGGTGCAGGGTTTGATTAGGCATTTCAGGCCCGAGTTGGAGGCGAGGATTAAGGATCATGCGCAGAAGGCTGGTGGGGAGACGTTGGCGGGCGGGTGGCAGCATGATGCGGGGAAGCATGGCATGCTTATCTCGCCTGGTCAGTAGAGGTTGAATAAGGACGAGGATTTTAGGTGGTTCGAGGCAGGGTCTTCATGTGTTTCAGCGTGCATAACGTTGTTTTACTCGTGTACATATGTTTTTTACTTTGCATTTACCGCAATACCTGTTCTTCGAAGGCGGAAAGAATGATCAGTCACTCATCAGCCGTCCCCGTTTCCGGCTGCGTTTCGCAAGTTAGGCAGTAGCCTTTCGTCCTTGCACGGCCAGCCTGCAATAACGAAATGATCGGTCTTGTGGGGTTTCCCAGAGGACGCTGTTGTCACACAGTTTTCTATCGTCCGCTATGGCTTGGAAGAAGCACTTACCCGCCCCAGAGACAAGTGTAGGTTTATGATCAATACGAGAGGGTTACGAGGCGCAGACAGTGGTCATGTCGTAGCACTTTGCGAGTGTAGAGGGACTCACTAAAACAGCCCTTTCCAACGCTTGTTGATGACCTCTGATGCAGGATAGCATTCACGAGCATGTAATAAGAACTCAGCCTTCGACCGAGCACGATATTGTAGCCCCTTCACGTACTTGTACTGGTCAGATCCGTGTGGCACCAACCGCTCTAGCACTTCACGGCTGAGCCCGCCAAATCGCTCACGTTCGAATGTAAGCTCGCAGCCACGGCACCAGATCCCCTCCTCAACATCCTGCCCAACGAAAGAAGGGTATGGAATCGCACCCATGCCACAAGAGTCATCGTTCTTGCCATCATTGCTGGTGCTCAACGGGTCGTTCAAGAGGGGTTGTAGAGGTGCACGACGATACCACTCTGCTTTGGGAACGGCCGAAGTCTTTGAAGCTGTCTGAAGGCTGCTTCATCTTGTCTGAGATCGTTTTCGGGGCCATAGATCTGAATCGCCAGCTCCTTCACAGCGCGCACACTGACCAGCCGAAGCGGTCGCTTACGTGAGATGGTGTGTCGAGTCGCATAGGAGCCTGGCACACTCCTGATCGTAGGAAGGGTCTTCACCTGGTGTTGAGTAAGATTGAAGAACTCCTTAGCCTGTGCCAAGGGCAGGACCCAAAGGGATTGATTGTATGTCAGGCATGCGAAGCAACACCGTGAAGCCGACAGGAGGTCCAGAAACGCGCCATAGTGTCCACATGAGACACATCTATCCGTGCATAGAGTGCGGTGTAAGGTCGTGATTGAGTGAAGGCGAAGTATCGTCGTCTGCTTGAAGATCGGTAACAAATGTCCAGCAGTAGCCGTAAAGTCTCGATATGCAGGCAGTGATTCCACTACCTCCTTCCCTCGCGTAGATACCCGTATAATCCGTGATAATGTTTGCAGATCCAGGTGGTCAAGTACGAGATGTAGTATCTCGAGTGGGAGAGCATCCAGGGCACCGAGTGGCAATGTTTGGTCCCGTGCGATGCTGCAGCTGCACGGTATTGAGGCTTCTTTGATCGAAATGACGCCACTCAGGATGTAGCGTGGTCGATGAGCAAGATGTGTGAGCGCATCTTCGCCCGAGAATACATGGTTTGCCATTCTTGCGTGCCACGCGACCAACGTTGTTCACAAGACGCGCTGTGGACAAATCAGCTTATGAGTATGAGCATGGGTGGTCAGTGCGTCCCGAGTTGCACATCGCCGATTCGTGCTTCCAACACCCAAGTCTCGCGCGATAGAATGCACCTTCACATGTGCATATACTCGCGTGGCAGGGCTGTGATCAATAAAAGCATGGTCACAGAGTGTTGTGCTGACGGAACACTACATTTGGTCGTACACACAATACCGAGCACGCCCCACTTCGCTGTGCTATGCGATCCCTCTGTCTGCTTCATCTCCAGCTGCGTCTTCTAGAAATGCAGTGTACTGCCCGGCTGGCTCAGCCTGCACTTCCGGGTAATATAGATATGGCTCCATCGAGGGATGCAACGCCGCGTTGACACTCTTCTCGAGCGTCTCCAGCCGTGTGTTGAAGTTCGCCAGCGCTGCCCGACAGTCGTCTCTACGAAACTGTTCCGTCGGCCAGCCACGCTCCCGGTATATCCGCCGTCGTGCGTGGAAGACGTTGAGTAGAGTCTGCTGTCGATAAAATGGCTGAGTAGCGGCACCTCGTGACCCAGATGGCATAGCTTCTATGCCAGCTAGCGCTAGGATAGGACCCTGGTCTGCTGAACGGTCTGGTATCCATGTGAGATTCCGCAACTGATTGGCCCAGCCGTCCAGGACCTGCTGGGCTGGTTCCCATACGATTGGGACTGTGCTAAGCTGCCCAGTGCCTGAATCACTTGCCTGTGACCACATTCCGATCGAATCTGGAGGTGATGCGCCCGGTAGAATTACGAGCTGGTCAGATGTCAAATTTAAGGAGTCGATGATAGGCAAAAGTCTCAGCACATCGATTACTTCCTGGCTTAGTCCGTGGTTCAGCCAGTCTCTTGCGATTAATCGTGAGGTCTGGGGTGGCCAAGCTGCCTCGTCTTGGTGAAGATAGCCCATCGAGACTAGAGTCGTATACAGGTTGTACATGCCCATGATCAAGGCCAGATGAGGTTGGTCCTGAGATTGCCCTGCTGAATTTGCGTCTGCCGAAAGCCCCATTTGGTCGGCGTCTTGTTTTTGAGTGTAGGCCATGCTGACCTCGAGAAGCGGTCGAGGTAGCATCTCCGCGGTTGAGGTGTGGTTCCAGGGCTCACAGCCGCAGTAGTGTCAATTGCTTTACCCCTTGCACACACGCATGGATGTGCAGCCTCTCAGCGCCAGTGTCCAGGATATGCTGGATAGAAGTTCAGCTTCTAATCTATTTGACTACAATCTCGTATCCGGACAGTTCGAAGGTCGTGGACGACTCGACTACCATCTTGGAATTGGTTTACAAGCATCCAGACAATGCCAGGCGTACATTACGCAGTGAGCGAGGGACTCCGTCTGGACGCTCATCGTCATGGTTTCAATGCGCAGCTCTATTCAATACTGATTGTGCAAGGCCTTTAGAGTGAGGTACTCAGTCCTCCCAAAGACGAGCGAAACTCTGTTGCCCGATGCGGAAGTCCCGGCACGACGACTCAGGACAACAACATAAGTCGTACATAACACATGTAAATATCCGCATAACCCGAAGCTGTGCGCAGTCCCAGAGTAATAATACAGACCATCGGTATGCCATTGTAACCATCCAGTTCTCTATCATCTCTGCCTGCACTAATGGACTACACCGGCCGTCATGGGACAGCGAGCAATGCGCCGTATAATCTCATAAGCCATGAACAACATAGAGCATTACTCAATCCACCCCAACCCATCATCCTCATCCCCAGCATCTCTCCCCTTGACCTCGTCCCTCACTCCAAACCCCAAACTCAAATCCAACTTCGGCAGCGCTTCGACCTTCACCTCATCCAACCTGGGCGCCTGCTCCTTCTTCGGACTTTTCCTAGGACTGACACTCCTTGCCCTCTCGTGCCTCTCCTCGTCACTCGGTCCCTCCCTCACGAATCTCGTCTCCCACTCATCTTCCGCACTCGCTGCGACCCATGCGCGAAGAGCGTTGTGGACGCTGGAATAAAACTTCTCCTTGCAGGTTCGGAGGGTGAGGCCCATTACTTTCTCGAATCCGGAGGCCTTGAGTTCGGAGCGGAGAGAGTTACGTAAGTTACGAGTGGGCAAGGATGCGAGGAGGCCGTTGAGGAGGTCCAGGTAGGAGGTTAGATAGGTCGTGGCATCCCACTCTACGCCACCTATGTATGGTGCTGCTGGAACGGGAGGGCGAGAGCCTGGAAAGTGGCGGGTTGTGTAAGTTGCCTCCAACACCTTCGCACGATCTCCATCGACTGTGTCACTCATCGCTGACTCTGTAGAAGAAGAGCTACCTGGTTTTGGCAGAGGAATGACGTTGAGCTGGTGCAGAAAGATCCAGAAGACCTCCTTAGTCACGTTCGAGAGCTCCTTGCTCCAGAGCCGATAAGGGCGTGGTCTGTGCATATCGAGGACGAAGTCAACGGGTCTTTCCTCCTCCATCTTCTTTGGCTCGGATAGGTACGTCAGGACGCGTTGCGCACGCTGCTCAAGTGCTGCTGGGGAGGTATTTGTCGCGGAAGCGAGAAAGTTGACTAAAATGCATCGTTAGCCTTGAACCATCATGCTGGTAGAGGAAGAACAAGACTTACATAACACGCCCACGATCACCGTCCGAGTAGCATACTCCGCCGGACCCTTCTTCTCCTCATCAAACAGCATACCCAACAGCGCCGGAAACAGCTCATCCGCCACTTTCTCCAACTCTGCCATCGCTTTCTCAGTCGTACACAGACCCTTTAGGCAAAGCAACGTCTCATGTAATAGCTGATCTTCATGCTCCTCCCGCCACTCAATAGCCATGATGCGCTCTAGGAGACCCACGATCTCGGTCATACCACCAAGGGCAAGGAAAGCGTCGACCCATGCTACGGTCTCGTTTCGTAGCAAGATTCTCAGCTTGTGGAGGCGGCCAACCTCGGTTTTGATTGGGTCAGAGTGGGTTTGGAGGTACTTTATGTAGTCACCTGGTATCGCTTGAACAGCTGCTCTGCGACCTAGGGAGCCAAAGGGTGAAGTAGGTGTGGTTGATGTATTGACCAGACCGTCCTTGGGAACATGGATGGACGTCGGTCTGCTTTTGGTTCCGCCCTTGTCTTTGGTAGATGATGCATCGCCTCGCTTGTCACCTTTTGAGAACGTGAAGGTCCGGCTGCGTGGACGTGAGCGCGAGCGCTTGGTGTCTTTCGTTGTCGCTGGTTCTTGTGCATCACCTGCCCTCTTCGCCGAGGTGAGCGCAGCTAATGCGTCACTGTTCGAGGCCGGAACTGTTTCTCCTGGACTGCTGGTCAAGGTGGTCGAGCCTTGATTTTGCTTAATGAAGTCGGCCTTAACCCTCATGGTCAACGAGCGCATCTTCTGACGCATAGGCTCAGGAATCTGCCTCGAGTCCAACACTGCCTCAAACGCCTCATCAACTGACTTCTCATCTAGCACTTCCTGCTTAACAGGCACCTCACTTCTTCCACGACTCTGGAAAGCTGCCACAGCCGCCATGACTCTGTTGCCTCTCTTCGCCACATTCAGCTTGTCCTTGGTAGCCGCCTGCTCCGTGCTACTTCCACTAACCTTATGGTCGGTAGTAGCACGTCTGGCCATAGGAGGTCTCTCACCAGATACACGTCGACCAGAGTCCCTACTAAGTCTTCTGCCCGTGTCCTCCGAATTCCTGCCTTCGATGCTAGCTCGTTGTCCACTGACTCGGCGACCAATTGCGGCCAGTCCTTCCGAGGCCGCGAAATATGCACTTTGTGGTCGCGGTCTACTGTTGAGTGTGGGTCGCATGCTCGACTGATCGAGTGTGCCGTTGAAATTCCGTTGTTTGGAGGGCGAGTAGTTCTGTGGCGTGTATTTGGCGATCTCATCTATGAAGTTGTCCGAAGATTTGCTGTCTCTGGTGCTCGGTCGTGATGCTGGCTTGGCACTCGATGCAGAAGCAAATTGTGCCCATATTGGTGTGTGCGCCACTCCACCTGACGTTGAAGGCGGTGTAGTGTTCTCTTTATCTTTCTGTACAGTAGCTGACAGATCCTTGCTCGAGCGATTCATCCTGGCAAACATGCCGGAAAGATTGGTCGAGGACTTCGACTTCTTCGCCACAGACACTGCATCCTGTGACTTGATAGGCACCTTGGTGGTGGCATCTTTGTTGCTCTTCGCTGCAGGTGCTCTTCTAGATTTCGACGGTGATGTAGGCGGTGACTGAACATTTCCTTGCCTTTCGCCGAGGACGCGCGATGACTTCGCGACGTGTGGGTGATCTGGTGGTAAAAGAGGCACCGACTTCGTCCTCGAGACTGGATCAATATGCACCTCATCGGGAGTGACGACTGGGCGTGTCTTAGATGAGACAAGCGATCTCAGCAAGTTGGACTTGGAAGAAGCATTGCGTTTGTGGCCTGGCCGCTGTGCTGAGGGTGATTTAATTGCTTCCATGATTGCTGGACTGGTTTCCAAATCGATACTGTAAGAAGAAGAAGTAACTACACTATGCTAGTAGATGAATCTCATCCACTTCTCCAACTTGACCGTTGAAGCCAGCATCGCCAGTAGATTTAAGATTGTTTGGCTCGCGTGTCTCCATAGCAACGGCTTCACATCACCAACGCGCCTTCCCTCGTCATCTCCGCACAATTCGTTCTCCACTCGTCAACTTGGTTCAGGACAGCATCGGATCGTTTGTTAGATGAGATGTATGATTGATCGAAGGTCAGAACATATCCAAGTTAGATTATGAGTATCAATAATGCTACAGCTTGGCGGAAATAGGACGTAACGGCTTCTACCCCATTGACCGACGTCATCATCAACAGTGAGTTTGGCCAGAGATCTGAACGAAGACCTCGCAAGTAGCACAACCCTCTCCTCAAATTCGGTCCCTCTTCATTAAAGCAGAGAATCACTTCACGATGCCATCTCCAACAGCAGCCTTCCGCAAAGGCGCCAATGCCCTTATCACAGGCGGCGCAGGTGGTGTCGGCCTTGCCACAGCCAAGCTCTGCGCATCCCATTCCATGAATCTAATCTTAGTCGACAACAACTCCTCCAAACTCGACGAAGCCAAGTCCGCCGTTTCTTCCGCCGGAGCTGGCCACGTGGAAACCCACAACCTCGATGTCAGCTCGATCCAAGACTGGCAAAAGCTCAAATCCCACGTCGAGGAGGGTGGCAAGAAGCTCGATTTCCTCCACCTCAATGCCGGTATTGGCCTCAATGGCGACTGGACCGATACAGGCTACTTCCACAAAATCTTTGAAGTGAACTTCTTCGGCGCCATAAATGGAATCAACACCTTCTTCCCACATTTCCAGGACAACGAATCCGAGCAAAAAGCCATCGTCATCACGGGGAGTAAACAAGGCATCACGAACCCACCCGGAAACCCCGCTTACAACGCGTCGAAGAGCGCTGTCAAGACGATTGCGGAGCACCTCTCCTTCGACCTCGCAAAGTCATCTCCCAGTACCAGCGTGCATCTGCTCGTACCAGGCTGGACTTTCACCGGTCTTACAGCCGCTCGCGGCGTGACGGAGAAACCTGCTGGTGCGTGGGCGCCAGAACAGGTAGCTGATTATCTCTATCAGAAGATGGGGGAAGGGAAGTTCTATGCGATTTGTCCTGATAATGATGTTGATTGGGAGACTGATCGAAAGCGTATGACGTGGACGATGGGCGATGTTGTATATGAGAGGATGCCGCAGAGTCGGTGGAGAGACGAGTATAAGGAGGAGGCGAACAAAACTATGGAGGGCATGAAGTTGGGTGCTAAGCAGGCAGATTGAGAATGTTTCGGCTGTGTATGTAAAGTTACACTTCAGCGTTTTGGCCCATGACCCAGCTGCACCCTCCAGTCAAAAGTAGTAGAAGCGCTGAACGAAGAAGTGGCATATGCTCGCTTACAAGATTCCATGCACACTCACTCTCCTTCATGAGTGATCATCCTTCATCTGGGTAGCAGCATACCACAATAGCCCTAGCGTACCTCCGGCCATGATAGACACAGCTGGCGGTAAGCGAAACCAACAGCTACCAGAATAGGCTACGGTAGCCACTACGACCCACCAGGGCTCCATTGCCAGACTCTGCCCGTTGCTACGTTGTGGCATGAGATAGCCTTGCTCCCATAGTCGGTACACCGCAGTGAATATCAAGCCCACGGCCGTGGCGTTGACCCCACGTAAAGTGGCAGCAACGACCGGTTTCGTCCTCAGTAGGCGCCATAGACCTTGTACGCAGTATGCTATGAAAATTCCTGGCGAGAATATGCCCACAAGGCCCAGTACAGCGCCAAGGACGGGAGGGTAGTTCTGGGCGGCACTACTCCGCATCGCTAAGGTGGACAGATAAACAGCAAAGTTGAAGTTTGGGCCCGGAAAGGCTTGAATGATTGCCAGACCCAGCAGGAAGTCGCGAGGAGATACCCAGCCCGGCTGCACCACGTATTCACGCAGAAGAGGAATGACGACTGGACCACCCCCGAAGATGATAGTGCCTGCTAGGTACATGTTGGCGAAGAGATCAAGCGGCCGCGGCGGATTCTTCAGCACGCTACGGAGGACAAGGATGGCGATGAAGGACGCTACAGAGTTCATGTCAGCTTGTAATCCAGTGGTTGCAAGGGTAAATAAGGGTACCGAAGAATGTAGTAATGACGGCCAAGCCTCGCCAGGCTGAGACTCCGTGGTATCCTGTTGTAGTAGGGCTGCCCGCCGGGGTTGTGTCATCATATTCAACAGTCAAAGCTGCCTCCGCTGTTAGGCTGACTGACGCCGGAAGATCTTGTCCTTGGCCACGGTACCCGAGTTGTGACCCGGCGGCCGCCGTTGGTGGTAGAGTTTCAAGTCTTACAACGTCTACGGCAGCATGACCGTGATCTGTCTCGTCCATTCCATTGGCTGCCGCTCGAATCCTTCGTCGTTGGAGCCGTGCCCTGAACTTGCCTATCGCTCTGCTTAGCCATACATCCCACACCGCCGTCACAGCACCCCCTGTTGACACGACTACCGGAAAATACCACAAGGCAGAGTAGCACAGCCCAGCGCATGCTCCAAGGATGACCAAGATACGAGTAAGGGGGTCTTTAATAGCCTTACTAGCAAGCTGGACAGCAGCGAGCGCGATAATGCCAACTGTAGCTGCGTTCAGACCCGACAAGAGGGCGTAGACCGGACCAGGAAGGATTGAGTTGATTCGTGCCACCCCGAGAGCCAAAGCAAACATGCCAATGGCGCCAGGCAAGCTGGAAGTTGGATATCGTCAGCCCTGCAGCGTACGCATATGGAGGATAAGGCTTACCACCACAAGAAGAACACAGAGACAGCAGGGATCAAACCTGCATGAAGTAGCGCAAGGCTGAACACCATCTTCGTACTTGCAGGTCCTGGGAGAGCTTGACAGACGGCGAACAGCTCCTGATACTATAGCAGTAATCATATTGGTAAGTCATGCTGAGTGGACTGCTTCGAATACCGGCGTATCAGGTATCAGGTCTTGCTGCGAAGCACTTACGGTCTGCTCGTCAATCCATGCTACTCTACCATCACGCGGCTCCACGAACCGACTATACAAGATCTGAAAGTGCACTGGTGGACCACCAAAAGCCGTGAAACCCAAGTCCCATGTCCGCGAAAGGCTGTCAGCGATGCGGAAGATGAGGCTATTGGTATTCGGCTGGCACGAATTGGATTCGTCGCGTTGATAAGTACTTATGGGATTGTCCTGAAGTAGCGATTTCACATCTGACTGTATGCGGCGTATGCTGCTCAAAACTGGGGTAGACATTGGTGCTACTTGCTTCCTCAAATTGATTATGGAGAATATATCATGTGGCATATGGAGGATAGAGCACGATGCGACATTCTGATGGCGTGATTGCCAAGGCCGAGCGGCGACCCTCTCGCTTCTAGAACTCCATGAAGATGTACTTCTTGTGATGGTTGAACGGGCAATGCGTGGCGCACCAGTCTATCTAATGTACAACAAGTTTCACTATCGTACCGCTTAAAGATGCAATCGTGTTCATACAACTTTGCCCACTTCACCCCGATATTTCTCCAACAACCCCATGCCCAGACCAAGGTCACCTTTCCCACCCTTACTCCCCGGTCTCTGACTCTTGCTCCTCCCACCCCCACTCTCCTCAGCTAGCTCCATCTCTACCTTCTCTACCACCCTACCCATCTCCACAGCAGCCACTCTCTCCTCGAGCCCCCTTGCTCTGCCCTCAGACTCCTCCTCGGCACGTCTGAGACCACGCTTCACATTCCGAATCAACTCATTCTTCGATTTACGGCTGCTACGGTGTCCGGGACTCGAGTGGACGAGTTCAAGGAAAGCTTTGTAGACTGCACCGCCTTTCTCCCACCCAGGGGGGTTGTGGCCATCTTGAAAGCGATGAAGTAGCTCTGCGAGACTTTCGTAATCTTCCTCGATGATGGCTTGTGGTCCAACAGCCTCAATCAGAATGTCGTGGGCTTGGCTCACTTCTTTGGCGTTGAGAAGGTGAGCAGTCTGGGTGAACATATCGCCATTCGCTTTGGCGAGAAGTGCCAGGGCGGCAGATATGCTGGCTTCTGGGATATGAAGTTTGTTCACAAGAGCGTCCGCAACGATCTGTAAAAGCAAGAGTCAGCCAACGGATTCAACGTTCACATGAAACAGAGTGGAGGACGTACTTCAAGCTTAGCCGCCTTCCTCTGCAGCAACATGGTGACAGCACGTCCACGCTCAGCCCTGTCTTTCAAGTACAGCAACACCCACACAGCCTCCACGACGTGATCTGCAGCTTCGAGTTGAGAGCCAAACTCGAGGGTCAACTGGGCTATCTTCTCTTGCGGCAAGCGGGCAATGCTCTTGCAACTGAGCATAATAGCAAGCTGCCATGCCACCCTCGAGTTCATCGCAGACCCAGATATAGTACTGGGCTCGCAGAGCGCAGCCATCTGAACCTCGGTATGCTCCCTCGGAGCCGCGTAAAGCCGCAGGAGAGCCATGAGAACATCGACGTCACCTCCGTCAAAAGTGGAAGTGGGTTGTGCGGTCTCCTGCCCAGCCTTAATATCCTTGTCGAAAGCCTTGATAGCTTCATGTAGCGTAGCATGTCCGCCACAGAGGACACGAAGAGCAAGACTCTGCTTCCAATCTAGGTCAAAGCGCTCACAAAGCACGAACGACTCGATCCTATCTTCCGACGCACCAGTAGCACCAGCAACGTTGCAGACATCTCCTGCCAGGATGGAGTAGAGTGCACGAATGGAGTCACTCATCTCACTCCAGTCTTTTCGTTTCCGCCATGCCTGGATCTGATTCTTCATGACCTGACGTGTCGTGGCCGAACCAGGAAGTTGCGCCACAAGAGTAGCGAGCCGGAAGTTCTTCGCCGTGACGAGGACCTCACAAGCACCCACAACGTCGTTCTTGGTCAACAACAAGAGAGCTTTCTCCTCAGCGCTCTTCGCACGCTGCACAGCGGCATCGACATCTGCAGTGATCTGCTTAGACCACAGCGACACAAAAGCGTCGCGTCTCATTTGTGCCCCAAAAGCCTTCCACTCCTCTTGCGGAACCTCATCCTTGATCCCAGCGCAACCAATTTCCAGATGGTCGAAAAGAACTGAGCAGAGTCGCCAAATGGCAGATTCATGCTTAGCACTCTTATCACTGCCAACCTGCTGAGCAAGATCTTGGAAGGTGACCTCAGTCGCGAGATTTGCAGAAGGCATGCCAGGGCCGGTAGCCTCCTTGAAGTCGGACTTCGCTTGCATGGCACCCAGAGTGGCGTTGATCAGTCCAACAGGTGGCACAAAGGCCGCAAACCTGACATCTTTGTGCTCACCCACCACAGGCAACTTGTTCTCCACAAGCTCTGGCGCAGCAGCACCGACACCGGCGAACACCATCGTTCCATCGGCGGAGAAAGAAGGCTTAAGGGCATTGTGGAAAGCGGCGTCATTACTGTCGAGACCATCGGAAGTGGAAAGGCGGGCTTTCTTCGAGTAAGGATACTATCACTATTGCTCAGCTATGTACCCTACATATGTTTTGCGGTGATGCGTAAGAGCAACAAATGTGCTATGCAAGTCTGACAAGGATTTGACGCGGCGGTGAAGGAAACGCACGGAGGTCCCCTGGCATTGATGTGAGGGTGGAAAAGGGGTGCATCATACCTCGAACCCCTTCGCCCCACTTCCCGTCTTCCTCCCCTTCCCATCATCCTGCCATAGACTCTTCATAATATCCATACTCGTCCTGAACGCCGCGCTCTCCCCACCCATTGTATCCGCCATCGAGACCTTGCCCTTCTTCGCACTCTTTTGCGCCAGATAACTCTGATTGAGCGCGCTCTGGCCCAAAGTGCTCTGGCCCATAGTACTTCGACCCACGATAGACTGCTTGAAAGGACTCTCAACAACATTATCCTGCTCCCTAGCCTTCATGAAACTCTGCTGCATCTCTCTTAGCGCCCCACGATCCCTCTTCTTCGGACTCATAGTACGCTGGAGCTGATCCTCCCAGCTCTCGGTAGCAAGCTTCTCTGGGCTTGCAAAGTCGTCGAGTCCTCTACTAGGCTTCAGAATAGAGCGTAGCATTTTCGCCTCCTGTGGTGCGAAAGACCCAGGCATGATTTCTGGCTCGTCTTCCTCGTCACCAGCAGCATCCATATCCATGTCCATCTCACCAGTCTGCTCGTCCTCCATAAGACTAGAATGATACCTATCCATAGCACCTGGAGAGGGAGCCTGCACAGCACCACCAGACGACCGAAACTGCTCATCCTCATCGACATGCTGGGATTGTTCAGCCATCTCTTCGTCGGCACTCGGGTCATCATAGTCGTTAGACACACCTTGGTCCTCAAAGCCGCCGGGCACCTTGTTCTCAGACCGCCTAGTAAGCTGGAACTGGAAAGTATCATCCATCTCACCCGTTGGGGTCTCCACGCTCTGCATAGTCTCGTCGCGTTGATCGTTGGGCGTAGCAGGTGCATCGCTGAGGCCACTCGTCTCCGCCACTTCGGTCTCGGTGAAGTCCTCATCGTCATCGTCCAAGCCATAAGTCGTGAAGTGGTCGACAGAGAATGTCCAGACGCCGGTGTCAGCATCATAATTGACAAATTTCGTGCCACCTACACGCTTGAGACGGGCAATGTGCTTGTCGTACTCACGGCCCTCTTTGGCACTGACGGCCTTGCGCCCGCCCTGTGATCGTGGCCACGAGTTGTGGAGGTGGATGATGGATGGCACGTTAAGTGCCTTACCCATGGCAGGCTTGTCTGAATCATCCTGGTAGACCGTGGCGGAGCGTGGGATGAGTCGAACGATACCGCCGCAAATGTCATCAAGCTGAGTAGTAGAGAGGTCGCAAGCACTGAACTCGATGCGACCAACACCCTCTCTGCCAACGACGAACTTGCCAAGCTTCTGGAGCTGCTGACGAGACATGTTTCTTAAGTCGCGCAGCTTAGGCTCGGTGAAGTAGTCGCCAACCTCGTTATCTTTCCTCACACCAGCAGAAGGAGCAGGCTTTTGCTGTGTAGCGGGTGCGGAGCCTGGGCGTTGCGGGACACCATCTTCCGGCACGGACGACAGACCACCATTCGAGCCGTTGACTTGCGACATCTCTGGTTGGCGGGGAGGACCATTGGCTTGCTTTGGTGCTGGTGGAGCTTTCATCAGGCCAGGCGACCGCTGATCGTCCTCCTGCTCGGTGTTTTGAGACTCAGTCCTGACCAGGGCGTTGCTCGATTGCTCGCGAGGGATCTCATCAGGCGTCTCAGCAGTGCTGTCGTACCTCACTCGTCTGCTCGGCTGCTCGGCTTCCGGCGCCTTGCCAAACAGATCGGTGCGTAGACTGCGGTCAATGTTAAGCTTGCGAACACTGCCGTTGCCATATCGACCAGAGCTACCAGGAGGGCTGAAGGCACTCTCACGCAGCAGACTAGGCCGGCTCTCGCCAGGCGTGCCATCGCCTCGTAGATTGCCCATGCTGATGCTCTTATTCAAACGGCTAGATAATCCACTGCTGAAGCTACCAGTTGGTCTCAGCAAACTGCTTGCCCCAGGCGTAAGACTACCAGTGAACGCAGAACCAGGAGTACCATATGTTGAGTAGCTGAAGCCATATCCACCGTTCCTACCGACGGAACCACCACGGGGAGTGTACACGGGCGAGTTAAGACGCATGCTAGTCATCAAACTCGGTGTCTTTCTTGGTACTGGCTTTGCGCCATTCAGCGGCGTAGCAAGTGGGCCAATAGGTGGGTTTGAGGTGGCGAGAGAGGCGAAGAGCTGCTCATTACCGTACGGCGCCCCAGTAACAGAGGCAAAAAGCTGATTTTGTGGCTGACCGCCTTGCTGTTGCTGGTTGTTCGTGTTGCCGAATAGCGAGCTCTGCTGGTTCTGGTTGGTGTTGCCGAACAACGAATTGCCGTTATTCTGATTCGACTGCGAGTTGCCGAACAAGCTACCACCAGAATTGCTCGGACCAGTGTTGCCAAACAGGCTGTTCCCCAAAGCCTTGTTCTGCGAGTTGCCAAACAGACTGCCGCCAGCATTGTTGTTATTATTGCCGAACAGGCTACCGCCAGCGTTTTGCTGCTGGTTGTTGGTATTGCCGAAGAGACCACCGCCAGTAGTATTGTTGTTGGTGCTATTCCCGAATAGACCGCCTGCAGCAGGCTTGTTCTGGTTGCCGAAGAGACCGCCACCAGCAGTGTTCTGCTGCTGGTTCGTGTTACCGAACAAACCTCCACTAGTATTGTTGTTGCCGGCACCGAAAGAATTCGTGGTATTATTGGTCTGACCAAAGTTCCCAAAAGCAGGCTTGTTCTGTGTCTGCTGGTTGTTGTTGCCGAACAAACTCCCACCTGTAGTCCCTGACTGGCCGAAAGGGTTACTACTGGCTTGTTGAGTGTTGTTGTTGGCATTGCCGAACAGCCCACCACCGGTGTTTTGTGTGGCCGTGTTGCCAAATAGTCCACCAGTAGCTGGCTTATTCTGTGCATTGCCAAAAAGGCCACCACCACTCGTGGTCGATGACTGGCCGAACGCGCTATTCTGCTGCTGAGGCTGCGCGGCATTATTGTTGCCGAACAAACCACCACCAGTGGTCGTGCTACTGTTGTTCGCACCAAACCCGGCTGTACTATTGTTGTTCCCAAACAGCCCACCCCCTGTCGTGCCTGTGGTGCCACCGAATGGGTTGCTGGCAGGCGCAGCGCTTGTGCTACTATTATTGCCGAACAGTCCGCCGCCCGCAGGCTTGTTCTGGTTGCCAAACAAGCCGCCTCCAGTATTGGCCCCAAACCCAGAAGTTGGGTTGGTGTTCTGCTGGGTGCTGCCGAATCCTCCAAAGCTGTTACCACTAGTCGCAGTCGTGCTACCGAACATCCCACCCGCACTGGTCGTCTGAGCGGTAGCGTTGTTGTTGTTGTTGCCGAAGCCACCAAATCCTGTACTCTGACCAAACGCCCCGGCTTGACCGTTGGCATTGCCATATTTTCTGCCCTGCGCATAATCTTCTGTCCGCAGCTCCTCGAAGCTCTTGTTCTTGTACGGCTCCTGGAAGGTCACTGACTGGAACGACTGTGTGCCCGTACCCGTCGGCTCCTTTTCTTGGATGGCTTGGAATGGTACAGTCGCGGTGCCTTGATTGTTGTTGCCAGCGGATGCAGTCGATGCACCGAAACCACCAAATCCTCCACCTCCGCCAGTCGTGTTCGAAGCGCCAAAGCCAGTGCTGGCGTTGTTAGTGCTCGTCGAGAACGGATTACTGCCGGTCGTGCCACTACCGCCAAATCCTGTGGATGCATTGTTGCTTGTGTTGCCGAATAGTGAGCCACCTCCACCTGCATTGTTACCAAATCCTGTGCTGGTATTTGCTGTGTTGCCGAAGCCGCCAGCACCTCCTGCTCCGAATCCCCCGCTTGTGCTTGTACCACCTCCAAATAGCCCTCCACCACCGCTCGTCGTGGCCGTGGCGCCGAATGCAGGCTTATTGGCCGCGAACGGATTACTCTGTTGTGTATTGCTTGCGCCAAACCCACCGAAGCCGCCAGCTGTAGCAGTACTACCGCCGAACAGGGAGCCTCCAGTGGATGTGTTGTTGTTCGCACCGAAGCCGCTGCCGCTACTGCTGTTATTGTTGTTCGTGTTTCCGAAACCACCAAAGGTCGAGCCCGAATTGTTGTTGTTGCCGAAGCCGAAAGACATGATGACGGTCGTGGACGTCAGATGGAGTCGTCAATGGCACGCTCGTGCGCTGGTGTCGATGATATTGTGCTCTATGCGCGGCTGAATGCGTTGATGAAGCGTAGACACGGTGTCGAGCTTCCCTGATGCGCGTGTCTGGTGGACGTCACGTGTTGCGTCGCGCGTTCCAGCCGGGTGTGAATGGCTGGCAGTGACGAAGGAGGTCCAGTTTTCGTGGCCCTCGAGCAGCTTTTGCTGTGGTCGTCGCTGAGATGAATGCACTCAAGACGGAGGCGAGCTGCCGTTGCTAGTGGCGTGCCGCGAAGGACAAGAAGAAGAGAAGCATACGATCAAGACGTAGCGGGACAAAAGTGGTGTCTTTTGCGTGAGGGGAGGTCGCGTCTAGGAACTTTGAATTGGAGGAGCTTTGGGCAGTCCACTTCGAGTTTAGGCAGCGGGAGCTACCGCCTGCAGCAGAAGTGTTAGGCAGACATCAGGCATCCTGCATTGAACGGCTGCCTAAGGTATCTATTCCATTCACTTCGTAGACCTCGTACTCGAATGCTTTGATGCTGGTCAGATTTCTTCTCATCTAGAATCTGGAGCTATACACGAAACATCTCAACTCCAAGCCTTAACAGCCTTCTCAACCAGCGGAGCAACATACTTCCTCGAACAAGACTCGCACTCAGTCGTCCACACCATCTGTCGCTTGCCCAACTTATCAGCACCATGCCAAGGCTTGACAGCTAGCTGCTCATCGTTCACAATCGCGTCATACGCCACCTTAAACAGCTCATCCGCCTGCGCATCGTCCACACGAATATCATCCCGCACTACCAGCGTGATCTCCCTAATCTTCTTCTTCTTGCCCACGATCTTCGGTTGCGTGGTCTTGCACTTGCTCATCGAGACACTGATATCGGTACTCGCTTCCGCCGTCCACGCAGCATGAACGGCAAACCAGTTGAACAATTCTTGCCACTCTGTGCGTTTGATCTGTTCGTCTACTGAAATGGGGATGGACGCGAAGCCGAGATGTACTGTAGGTGTGCGAGGCGAAGGCGTATCCACGAACGAAGCCTTCCAGTCTCGTCGTAGCAAATCCCGAAGTCCGAGAGCTCCGAGGTCTTTCTTTGCGTCGCCTAGCTCCTCGTCCAGTTCGTTCATGACCTCTTGTAGATGTCTGTGAGCCCAGTGACTGCGTGCAAAGATCCGTTTCGAGACTTCTTTGTCGGTCTTGTTGCTCTTCGCCGGGTTCAAGGCATCCGAGTCAATAGCGATAGCGCTGAGCACCAGCTTCAGCAACTCATGCGGCATGTGGTACTCCTCGTCCAACTGCTCCAGCTCATCAAGCATTTGCCTCGCAACAAGGGTCGTGCAACTCGCCACCTGCTCGAATACGCGGGGTGATGCATCAGATGCCGCTCCAACGTCAGTGTGATGATCGAAGATGCTGAGGATGTTTGCATCGCTCCATCTCCTCAGAGGCTTAGGATGATCAACAAGCACAATCCCCTTCAGCTTCTCACTCAACGTCTCAACATCCTCAGGCAACTCATTAACGTTAAGTAAGTCCCGATGTTCACTCGACATATGAGCATAACTCAAAGCCAGTTTATTCTCGGGCCGTAGATCCAACTGATCAGACGGTGTCTGCAGTAATGCCACGGCCTTCATAGGTTCCGAGGTATTCTGCGTAGAGTGAGACAAGTGATAGGCCCAGACCAGGGCGGAAGTGATGCTGTCCAGGTCCCCACCTTCATTGCCCATTACGAGCACCCATTCTGAGGCTTTGTCGCGCTGCCAGTCTTCCCAGAAGTGCTTCTTCTGCAGGCGGCTCCATTCGCTGAAATGGCCCACACCTGTGTCGGGGCGTTGGTAGCGATTAGTCTCTAGAACTTCTTGCGTACCCGAGAGTTCCGAGCAGACAACCCTGGTGGCGAAGAGCCCGACCAGGACCACGGAGATTAGCTTAAACCGCATCGTTATCTTTTACTGGTTGATGATAGTCAATTGTGTACATAACAAGGAAGTTGGAGGAGTTTCTGCAGGCACATATTAAGGTTGTGCTAGAGCTGAAGAGGGAAACGCCTCCACAACGTGCCGTGTCCTCGGGACCTGCGTCATTGTGCAACAAACCAGCCACCTACCAAATGTTCCAGAACCAGGATTCCAAGGCAGTGATGCAGAGCGTGACAACCAGGTAGGTGGGTACAAATCTGTTCTTCCTTTTTCTCACCTTTCACCTTTCAACCAACTCATCAATCCACATTCACCAAACTTACCACTTTCATAAACCTCACCATGGCTAGCTGGTTAGCATCCGCACAGAATGCTGCCTCTGGGTATGCCACAGCAGCTCAAAATGCAGCAACCGGATACACGCAAGCTGCGCAGGACACAGCTACAGGCTACTATAATCAAGCCGGCGAGTACGTGACGGGTGCGAGAGACACGGCCTATGGATACGTTGATAGCGCTGGCAATTACGTGACTGGTAATCTGGACAATGCTGGTAAAATGGCCGGAGACTATTCCCGACAAGCGGGAGAGACGATACAGAGCACGGGCGAGTACGCCGAGCAGCAGGCGCAGGGGTATAGCGACACCGTCAGCTCGACCGTGAGCAAAACGACCGGAAAGCCAGTGCCCGTGAAGAAAGCGGCACCGGCGGCGAAGAAGGTTCCCGCAAAACCAGCTACACCTGCCGCGCCAGCAGCAGCCAAAAAGGTCCCAGCCAAACCACCGCCAGTCAAGAAACCTGCTGCATCCGCAGCGCAAACAGAAGATGCAGACGATGCTGTCTCAGCACCCGCAACGAAGCCCACCACTGCTCCCCGAGCCATGAAGAAGCCAATCCCCCCAACTCCCGGCCCAAGCAAGAAGGCACCAAGCACTACTACACCCGCCACGACAGCAACCAAGAAGCCGATACCTCCCAAGGCCACTCCGGCCGCAACCAAGACACCTACGACTACCCCGAAGCAGCCACCACCTAAGACATCGGCGCCCCCTCCAGCTAAGAAAACACCTGCTGCTGCAGCTCCTGCCTCCAAGCCCGCTCCGCCTAAAGCTGCCCCTGTCAAGAAGACCGTGCCATCTGCTTCTCCTGCCGCCAAAACACCTGTTGCTAAGAAGCCAATTCCGAGTAGACCTGCTGCGAAAAAGGCACCGGCCGCGGCTGCTGAAGCGTAGTGTACTCTGCTCAACATGAGAAATAAAATTATCGTATTGAGCGTGCTTTGTTCTGTCAGCGCCTAATCTCTCAAGTACCTCAATAGCGCAATGTATAATCCAACCCATAAAACAACCCGTTCAAATACGATCCTCTTTGTTTGCGGGGAGGGTGAAGGTAAGAATGGCAAAGCTTTGTTCGTTATGTATGTACATCTCTTCGTAATTGTCTGCAAGAGGCGGGGCATATTATTGTAGTCGTGGTAATCGTCTCATCAATGACCCCAGCACTTTACCATCCGGCCCATCCTCCAGATTTGCCGTCGAAGTTGATGAGTGCGGCACTGCTATCGGGGACGGTGATGCTCATACCTCCCCACCCAGCACGCAGAGTCTCACCACGTGTCACGTTCCTCAAGAGTACGGGCTTGCCGTTGTCCAGCTCGTAATTATAGCTGTATCCGTCGAAGGTGACACCCGTCACTGCGTCGCTGCCATTGGCGACCAGACGTTGAACGGAAGCCGTCTTGCCATTGCATGAGGACGGGACCTGAAGGCTGTAGGTGTTTGAACCTCTCGGGCTAGTGGAGGTGTAGTTGTTACCCGCCGTGGCATTAAAGTCTTGCAAGTTGATGAGCATGATCTTGGACAATTGGCCGTTGATGTAGCTGGCATAGGCAGCTTGTAAGTCGCTCGAGAGCGGGAGATTGACGACTTGTGGGCATTTGGCTGCGTTCGTAAGATCACCGAGGAAGGCGGCCACGGCCACGTTGCCGTAGTACGGTGCCTTTGTGCCTTTGGTAACGCGTGCAGTGTTGATGGGCTGCCAGGCTTGGTAGCGATAGTTGGTGCCTTGGTGCATATGGAAGCGGCGGATGTTCTTGGAGGCCATGAGCAAGTTCGCATCTACGCCCCAGAGAGCTGCGCCGAAGGAGTTGGACAGGCCGGGAGCGCCTTGGCGCGCGAGAGAGTTGCCTTCACCGAGGATGAACGGGAGGTCCGAAGGATAAGATGGTTGAGCATGCAGCGAGTTTGATTGGTTGGCCAAGTAGTTGACAGAGGCGATGGTGGCTGTGTGGTTCATCAGCGTACCTTGGAGACTGATACCAGGGTTGGTGGCTACTCCTTGATAGCTGTTGACATGATTAGTCACCACGCAAGTTGTGTATACAGCGAGATGGACTTACTGGTGAGAGGCGAACACTTTCAGGTCCTGATCAGCGTCAAGACCAGCGTTCCACGTCTTGACCTGGTCAAGCTCGCTAAGGCCTTGGGATGCGGCGAACGAGGGTGCATACCACTCGAACGAGCCATTCTTCGCCATATCTGGACAGCTGGTTTGCAAAGCACTGCGTATGCTTCGAGTGAGGTTGAGCCATTCCGACACATAAGCAGCTTCATTGCACGAAGCAGGTCGAGACTCGGCAGAACCAAGGAAGGCAGCGTATAGATCAGCCTCGTTACCAAGTTCCCAGGCGAGCAGCTGACCCCTCAGCGAAGCACAAGCGTAGGGGATGGAGTCCAGTAATGCCTGGTGTGCGGCGGTCGTGTTGTACTTCAGGTTGAGCCCATGAACGAATGTTGTCTGTGGCCAAGTGTGGTAGGACTGAAAGAAGTTCGGGCCGTAGGTGAGGTTCGAAGGCTGGTCTGCTGTTGCAGACGCGAAGGTGAGGATGGCACCTTCAGTCTGCGTTGGGACGAAGAGGGCGTTGTCCTGCGAGCTGCCACCAACACGAATATATGGTTTGGAGCCACTGTATGTCTTGATGTTCTCGAGTAGATTACTCGAGAAGGTGTTGGGGTTGGAGGTGTTGCCAGCATAGTCCGGGAAGTATGAGAACTCGATAGAGAAGGAGACGAAGTTCTCCAAAGGTACCCCTGCGCCGGCTGGAGCATTGTTCGGTATCGAGACAGTCGTCGATGGTTTCTGAGCAGGCCATGCAGACGCCACGGAGGCCGCGCTAAGGAGCAATGCTGAGTACTGCATATCGTCTGATGTAAGGTGTGAAGATGAGCAGACTACTGATAGATGAAACCATACCTGCAGTATACCATACCTTGTATCATCTCGGTATCTGTACAAAACTTCGTTCTACTCGCCTTTCGGCATTACCTAGCCTAGCATCGGCCTTCGCACATCATTGCTTGGCCTCCACAGCCCCATGGGCATAACATATGTCATGCGGGGATCCATGGTATGGTATGACGGCCTGCGAACCAAAGGAGCATGGATGATGTCTTCTTTCCCGCTTGAGTACATCGGCCTTTGACTTTGTGACCCCAGTTCTTCGTGAGCGAGCCTCCGGAAGGACGTGGGCACCGAAACTGGGTCGTGTGCCGGCATTGTGTGGAGAGACTCCAGCCACGTCGGTCCGCTGACTCGTGCAATATGCGATGGTGCGGCTATGTGATCACTGATCAACTCATCACGTGCAAGGCCTGGACTACGTGAGACCTAATACCGGGAGTCACGAGCTCCCAAAACATTGCCCCATTAGCGTACGTCTAGAAGCCTGCTACTGTAATACCCGCATCTCTCTACCGTAGCTAGGGGACGTAAACAGAGTCTACAGATCTGTGCCTTCCTTCGATGAGGCTTCTACTTGAACCACGCAGACTCGGCAATTATTAGCAAGTCCGACTAGAGATGGGCACTTTTCTCTTCCCCTTCCCATCTGACGTTCCAAACAGCCACTGTACAGGGTGGCCAGCATAACATCTCGTGAGGTCTGTTGGTGATCAAGATCTTATGAATGCGAGCTATGCGATCATGCTGCAAAGAACCATGAAGTTTTTGAGACCTCCCTATTTTAGTTCCGCACAACATAGCTCTGTCCATGAAAGAAGTCACACCTCTCATTCGCATCCATATCCGGGATCACGCCCATCATAGTGTAATTCACATCCATGATGCTGAATCCCGTGGTCGAAGGCGACTGATACTGAGGCCACTGCGGCTTCGCAACGCCAGAGTAGCTGACACTATTCGGATCCAGATTGAGGACGAAGCCCAGATACCAGTCTTTCATGATGCTGGCAAGCGTCTGATTGTTGGCTGCGGATTGTGGACCCCACAGGAAAGGACCATCGGCACCGTGGAGCTGGGAGCCGGCGTTGAAGATGAGTTTCCAGGTCGGCTGGCCCCAGTCGCTTGCTGCGGTTGCCATGTAGTAAGTGGGACAGCTAATCAAAGTCAGCTTATAGATATCATCCCACGATCTTTTATAACATACTCGATAATATAGTCGCCATATATCGACTGTCGCTGAAATAAAGTACTGTTGAAGGCGGTTGCAGGATACAGCTGATACAGACGTTGAAAGAACGACTGTTTGGCGTAAGGGAAGATCAATTGCAGATCAGTCGTCTCCTGCTCCTGTGTCGTCTCGTTCTTCGGCGAGTAATTGTAGCCCTCGAAGCCATCACGATTGACAATCAGCGGCACCTTGGTAAAGTGTCCTTGCTTGAACTCATTCGACGGCAAATCGCGAATCGCATCGCCGTCGACTGCTGGACCATAGTAGAAATCGCCCCAGCCGTAGACTTTGTTGAGGTAGCCCGTGTCAAGGGACGTCTGCATGGCAGCAATCAAAGTTTCCGATGAGACAGTTCGAAGACATGCTAGCGTAGAGCAATTCGTCGCTGTCAGCATCTCACGATACTGCATCTCCAGGATTGTGTTGTTTTTGTAGCTCTGCCACCATGGATATTCGGCAATGGCTGCTCGGAACGGAGGATTGGAAACACCACCATAAAGGATCATTTGATCCATGACGCTGCCTCCGCCAGCGCTTCCACCAATGATTGTCACTTTTGCAGGATCTCCTCCGAACGCCCTAATGTTACGTTGGACCCACATGAGGGCTGCTCGTTGATCAAGCAGGCCAGCATTGGCATTGCCGTTCTCTCGGATCTCAGCACTACTCAAGAAGCCGAAGGCATCCAGACGGTATTGTATCGAGACGTAGACCATTTGTCCTCGAGACTGGTTGACGATTAGATAGCCAGGGTTGCTCTCACTATTGCCTTGATCATAGCCGCCTCCATGTCTGTTTTCATATTAGCAGCTACCATAATCTGGGCATACGAATGTACTCGTACATCTGCACCAAGACCGGCAACGATGCATTGACCGGCTGCTGTGGTGACAGGACATCCAACAACAGGCAGTCTTCACTCCCAGTACTGTTCAGCGTAGGATTGTTCCGCCAGTACGGTGCTCCTTGAACACAGATGGGACCTCGCTCGGTAGCTGACTGCACCTCCGATTGGTCGTAGCCACCGTGGCTCTCAATGTCCATAGGCGCACGCCATCTCAGTTCTCCGACCGGGGCCGCAGCATATCTTATGCCAAAGTATTGTACGACGCTATATTCGACATCAGCACTGCATCGAGAAGACCTGTTGTGGAAGCATACCTCTGGTTCAGTACTCCCTGATACTTGGTATAGCCAAGATCGACAATATGATCTGTAGTGTTCTGTGCCAGTGCCAAAGGCAGCGAAGCGACAGCCAAGGCTAGAAGTCCCAGCATTATCTCGTTAAGTTGGTGAAATCACGAGTGGAAGGGTGAACGACCATCACCTACCTTTGCAAGCTACTACATGTACCATTTGATCGATCCTAGCTAATTAGGCTCTCTAGTGATTTCTCTAGATCGTTCGCATCGTCATCGCCTTCGACATTTTTGCACCAGTGACGTGCGGAGATGGCAGCTGTAATGCACAGCATTCGCAACGGCACCATGAGCTTGCACTACCGAAGACTTGCCTTGTTCGTCATTAGAGAACGGGTAAAAGAGCAGCGAGGTGAGGGGATTGGAAAGAAGCATTGCATGGCTAGCCGAAGTCCCGACCAATTTCGCCGCTTAGTCATAGGCAACGACAAGGCATTGGAATACACGCAGCATTGGATTCGATCAATTTGCGGAAATTATAGTTGCTTTTCGAGTCTGGTACTCATACAAATATGCTACAGCATAAGTAGTCGTTACTGATACACGCCTTGCTCTCCTACAATCCTCAGAACATCTTCAAAGACCATCATAATCGCCACCAACACCACAGAACAATTTCCGCCAACTTCTCTTCTTCTTTCCCTTCTCCTTTCCCTGCTTCACCTGTTGTTTCTGTTGCTGCGACGCCGAAATTTGTGGCACACTTGCGCTCGACGAAGCCTCTGTAGTCGCATCACTAATACGTTTTTCGGCAGGCTTCTCCGCCTCAAGCGTCCGTGGCGCTGTGCGATTCGTCGAAGGCGACGGCGGCGCACTCTCGCCTGGAGTCGTCGTTGTTGGGATCGGAATAAGCGGTTGTGCAGCAGACTCCTTGCGACCTTCAGACGCAGCCTCGGCGGGAGAATCCCAGATGCTATCTGGACGAGCCGTGACTTTAGTAGGGGTGGCCGCAGTATGCATATCCTCTCTGCTAGTCTCGGTCAAGGAGTTCTGCTGAGCAAGTAGATCCGGTCGCCAAGTCGCTTGCTGGTTGTTCTTGCGTCTGTTGCTGGCTGCGCGGTGGACGAGAACGGTGCTAGTGCTATCGCCTCGCGCACGCCCTGTTTTCTTGACACTTCCTGCTCGCTCAAGACCTGTGCTTTCGAGATATTCTTCCGGTAATGAGGTCTGACTCATCCGGTTGTCTCTGCTCAACATACTGGTTCGGCGGAAAATGTTTGAGCCAACAGATTTGATACTACCTCGTTTCTCGAGCTGAGCATGGGTTGGGGAGCCGGGAGGTGTTGCCATTGGGCTCGCGTTCGATTTGGTGGGAGAGTATGGCGCACTCATACCTGACGCAGCTCGTTGTGGAGCCACACCAGCCTCTTTGTCGTCATACCGGAAGGTCGGAGACCATCCCTCCTTGAATGTCACCCATATAGCGGTCATGGCAATGATCTCGCGAAGGGAATCGTCCGTATCACACATGTCGTTGCCCGCGCCCTCTTCTTCCATGGCATCGGCGAGCACAGAACTCGAATTTCTCGTTGGCGTGGGTGTAGGTGTAGATGCATTAGGGTCTGGCATCTTGTATGTATCATAAATGTCCACGCCAGTCTTGCTCAGGACCGCTATCACTGGATGTCTCCGGGTGTTCGGACTTATGGTGCTGAAGTTGAATCTCCTCGTACCATCCTTGCTCAATGCTTTGCTGCCGTCCTTATTCTTCTTTGGCACCCATCGCATTGTGAGTCCCAAACCATGCTCATCGGTCGTGAAGAATTCGTAACCACCATTGATCAGAGGATACGCCTCCCACTCCATGCCTGTGGCCAAACAGATTTTGACTTTCGCTTTCTCGACCATGCCTTCCTCTTTTGTCTCTTTCCTGCGATTGCAGATCAATCCAATGATGTCCCGAGTCTCTTGCTCCTCGTCGACTACATCATCATTACCCGCATACTTCTCAGCTCGCAAAACCACAAAGTCGTTCGGACATAGGCCATGCTTGGCCCGGAACACTTTTGTGATGGCTTTGGTCAGTCGAACGCTGAAATTGGCGCTCGGGATGACTTCCAACGCTGGTGTTGGCCGAGCATCTGGCGACAACCGATGTAGCTGCAACAGACTTCGCGGTCGACGATGTAGCTTGTGTCGGGTCAGATTGGTTGGTGGTGGATGGCATACGGAGAAGGTTGTCTTGAGCTTATTGGTCCTTCTCCGGCTTGTGCGTTCATCCGCCAAGCTGCCTTCCCGAGAATCGCCATCTTCACTATTGATCCGTCCGTGAGGTTCTTCAAACATGATATTGCTCCGGGTCGGCGACGTCTCGCGAGACGCAGAAGCATCGTTGGTAGTGCCATTGTTCAGTATCGACAGAAACGAGCGGCCAGTTGCTTCGCCGGATGAGGGCTTCGTGTTATCGCTGGTCGCGAATGGATTGAGGCTGTTGAGATTGACGATGGGTAGACTGGGCACCCATCTCGCGAACCCAGAAAGTGGTGATGATGCAGGCGTAGGTGCTGCAGCGGCCGCCATGATTGCTTCGAGCTCCACACATCGACCACAACAGCTTGCAGAGTGGGAAGTGGTGGACTACGATTACAATGCCTCTATTCCCGACAACGACAGTAAGTATTAGAATCAGTATTGGTAGTAATGAACAAGAACTCATATGCCTGGTCGGATGATACTGATACTGGCGAGCCCCAACCTGCTCTCCTGCCTCCCTCGAATCCTGTCTCGAAGCCCTGCCCAGGCCAACGACGCTTTCCCCACAGAAGATCAACACACCCGTTCCAGCGAAAGCCAGAGTTGCGCACCAATCAGAGCATGCCAGCCCCTCGATTACGCGCACAAGTAGTGACGAAGTGGTCTGAAATGATGATGTTTGCTGGTGCGTTGTATAATGGTCATACGCGGCTACTCGCGAGTCTTACGATAATTTGGTTCTAGCCAGCCTTTGTTGCTCTGCACACCTGCGTTCCACGACAGCTACCCGCTTGGTGCATCAGCTGTGAATATGCATAAAAATGGGACCACTTCTTCAGCCGCCTCTCGCGATCGATCGGCCCGGCGCCAAGACGGAGTGGTGACGAGGACGAGACAGCAGGAAGCTTGAAACTGTGCAAGTGTTTGGTTCATCATCTGCATCTACTTCTCTCCATTTGGCACTGACCGTATTGTATACGAGGTACGGTTGAAGCTCAAGACGACGTGGCCTTGGCGATCATACCCGCGAGTCTCAGGCCATCTCATCGGGCTCGAAGGATCGCTCTTCACAACACCGGGCTGCCCGACAAGCGCAATCATTCGATTGCACGACAGGCTTCGGACGCACTCCGCTGTACGTTGTATCCCATTTCGTGCCCAGACAACAGCACCATACAATGAGCGTCTTGTGGGGCTACATCAGTCCATCACGGATAGGTGAGCCGGCTCGTCCTAAAGGCAAAGCAGCTCAAGCACTCGACAAGACTGGCCTCCAACGAGTACTAGAACTCTACTGCCAATTGAAGTTCACCTTATTCGCCATCGCCATCGCATGTCCTGGCTTCGACGGCTACGACACGAGCACGGCCATACTATTCGACCAACATCGTGGTGGTTTCAACTCATCCTTCGCATATGTCGTCGAGCATATGGTCCGTAAGCTCACACGATGGGACACGATCTATTTTATCTCATCGGCCACGCGAGGATATGTTTATGAGCAGGAACGAGCGTTCAGTAGCTTCATGTCCAGCCTGACCTCTTTCGTCGCCAGAGGTGCGTAGCCATCCGTGTGTCAGGGCATGTATCACAGGCTAAGTGTTTTCCTTCCAGTCTTCTTCTCCTATCTACCACTTTCGTCTGTCGTCAAGTCTGCGCTTGCAGGGATCCTCATCTCCGTGGTCTCGAATCTGATGGCTACTATCGTGCTCTACAAGCTTGTTCACTTTCTTACGCCTGCAAATGATGCACGGAAGCGTCAGATGGCGTTCACGACAGCATGCCTTCACATCATCTCGCCTGCTGGTATCTTTCTGCTTGCCGGATATCATGAGTCCGCTTTCGCTCTTCTGAGCTTCCTCGGGCTGTATTGCTACATCAGCGCCATTGACAACCGCTTCTCCAACTACGCAGATGCATATCAGATCGATGCTGTCTACACCATTTCTGCTGGCTTCTGGTTCACGCTGGCTACTATGGTACGATCGAATGGCCTCTTGAGCGGCCTCGTATTTGCATGGGATGCTGCGGCGATGGTCCAGGATCTGCCTGCCGCTCTTCGCGTGAGAGACACTGAGCGTCTTGCTAGGTTTCTGGCCACTTTGATCGCTGGATCCCTGATCGCTGTCGGCTATGTATCGCCGCAGGTCCATGGCTACATGGAGTTCTGCACAGCAGGTAACACTCGACCCTGGTGTGATCAGATGCCGCCGAGCATCTACAGCTTCGTACAATCCCACTACTGGGATGTAGGCTTCCTACGTTATTGGAAAGTGTCCAACCTCCCGCTCTTCGCACTCACATTTCCTATCGGCTGGCTGATGGTCGAGACGACCTTCCCATCACTATTCCAAGTCCACCATATCAATCGCGTACTACATGGCAGCACAAAAGCAGATGAAAAACTCCAACCGTATCCTCCCATCCCGGCAACACGCGCGGAGAAAGTCTTCCAACACTGTCTCCCGCGCTTCGCCTTGCCACAACTCGTGATTGTTGCGTTGGCAGCTACGACATTCCACTGTCAGATCCTGAATCGGATATCTTCTGCCTACCCGGTCTGGTACTTCATTATCGCTGCGGAAATATGTCTTATGGACTGGGAGGGAGGAGCAAGTCCGAGGGTTGAGAAGCAAGTGCGACGTGGTGGTGGCGATGAGAGAAAAGCGACGAAGGGGATGTTCAGGTTGTTTGGGAATTATGATCGGATACCTTTTGCGAGGCCGGAGTGGATTGCTAGAGGGTTTGTGGTTTATGCTGTTGTGCAGGCTGGCCTTTACGGTGCTTTTCTGCCGCCGGCTTGAGATGTCGATTTGGGCCGGAAGAGATCCACGCCATCTCTGCGGAATTACGAAAGGGTTCCGTTGCGACCGCCTGTACGGCGGTTGTGCCTTCCGAAATTGAGTCCGAACAAGACCTCCGGCAGACTTTCCTCTGGTTAACGGACCTGCCTCCACAATTGTCAACAACCCCGCGTCCTCTCCCCGCAGTACAAAGCTGTGCAACGAGACGGCTGAGCGAGAGCTCATAGCAACAGAAAGCCATTGGCGTTTCGGAGACTTCGGACCTGAGGAGCTGCCTTTGCTCAAGCATGTATGGCACCAGGACAAAAGGTACAAGGTCGTGCCGAACAGCGAACGACAATGGAGATATGCCTCGTTCCTCTACATATATCCTCTCACATAGGACAGTATCTATGCCTTTTTCAGCACCGGTAGACATTCACGGGATCTTGTCGTAATCACTTTCGTACTCCTGTAGCATTTATTCTGTCATTCAGCAGCTGACAAAATGAGGGCGGCAAGGTATTATGGAAAGGAAGGTATGAGGAAGCTGTTACAATACGACAAATCATGCCTACATGCTGAGACATCTAGACATTCGTATCGTCGACGATATCCCCCGGCCTACGCTAGGCGCCGGTCAAGTCAGAGTCGAGCCTGCTTTCGTTGGCATCTGTGGTCAGTAGCTGGACTAGAAACACTCTCACACAGAAGAGTCGAATGTGCTCACCAAGACCAGGCACGGATCTACATGAATTCATGGGAGGGCCAAAGTCCGTGGCTGGCACTTCTCCCTTCGAATCCGCAGTACTGATACACTTTTCCCAGCTTCTCACCCACCTCACCACATCCAGTCACTAAAGAAAAGATCCCCATCACTATTGGCCACGAGTTCTCCGGTACTGTGAAAGAGCTCGGCAGTGGTCTGGAGAGCTCCGGTCTCAAGGTTGGACAAAAGCTAGCAGTGCAGCCAACGATCTATTGCGCTCAGTGCGGTGCCTGCTCATCCGGTGCTGAAAATGTATGCTTAAACGGTGGCTTTGTTGGCTTATCGGGAGGTGGAGGAGGTATAAGTGAGGAGGTCGTTGTGCCGGCTGAAGCATGTCTACCGCTGCCAGATAATGTTGGACTCGATATTGGCGCTCTTGTGGAGCCTCTGGCTGTGGCATGGCATGCTGTAGACGCTAGCCCGATCGCACAATTAGAAGAAGCGAAGTGCGTGGTCTTTGGTGGAGGTCCGATCGGTCTCTCGGTCATCCAATGCCTTCGTGCTCGGGGAGCGAAGATGGTCATTTGTGTCGAGGTCGCCAAACGTCGACAAGAGTTCGCGAAGGACTTTGGCGCGGATCATGTCATAGATCCGACGAAGCATGATGTCGTCTCGACCGCTTTGGAGCTCACTGGTGGCCATATTCCGCCCGACATCGCCTTCGACTGTGCTGGCGTCCCACAATCGATTGAGACCGCTTGTAAGGTTGTCCGGAGCCGGGGCACTGTTGTCAACGTTGCCATCTGGGAGAAGGTGAGATCACGTATCTTCAGGAAACGTAATAGTATCATACTGATATCGATGCAGTCTATACCTTTCAATCCCAATTGGCTGGTTTTCCGGGAAGCAAACTACAAGGCTGTACTAGGCTACCAGAAGAAAGACTTCCAGGGTGTCATTGATGCTCTTGGAGCGGGCAAGATCAAGCCAGAGCAAATGATCACCAGCAGGATCCAGATGGATCGGATTGTCAACGACGGCTACTGGGCTCTGGTAAGTTTCGTGATTGGGTATACTTCATGTGACGTTTGAGTGGAGTCTGACCATTGTCGCAGATCAAGGAGAAGGACAAGCACGTGAAAATCTTGGTGGATGTGAAGGCAGGTGTGTCAGATCCTGCTAATATCGTTAGCTCATAGGCAGTATCCAAATGGATCACGTACCATGAGTGCAGACCTGTCTTGAGCTCTGACAAGTGACCCACCTATCTATACAGGACAGCGTGCTGCGCATGTTACGCAGCCAACATTGATATGCAGCGCCATGAAACGGAAGGGTAGGCACGTCAATCCCCAGCAACGCAGCGCGATATCCATTGTCAATCTCCCGCATCGTAAAGTGCTGGATGGTGGCCGTGGCCGTGCTCCCTAGCGTATGTCGTCCGCATCACAACACTTTCAGCTTGTCTGGTGTATCTGCCTTTCCGCTTCGCCGAAGTTGTTGACAAAACAACCAGATTGCAAACGCGGTAGATCAAGGGCCGAGTCTCAAAGAAAAGCACAGCACTTTCCCAGACCGCTTTGCAATACACAGCCAATTTATCTGCCGAGTACCAATTCCGAGTGGGTGTGACCGATCTAGAGCTCGCCTCCGCAAAGCAATAGTTCTAGTAATATGCGTGGCTTGCAGAAGCGGCGCGAGGCGAGAGTCAAAAGTCTACCTTGAACGGAGTGTCCACATACAATCCATTGCGGTGCCTGCTCCCCACACGCATCCGACTCGCGACCAAGGGACCCTGCGGAGACCCCATGCTAACGGCGACGAGGCACAGTCGTCTCAACCATGCGACTAATCATGCTATATCACGCACGGTGCCTTGACTGGTCAGCAGAAGTCGTACATTTTCCACCTTCTGCTCCCTCTTTGTCTAGTTTCTCCGATCCACAGTCGTCGCCCTCGACCAAACATTGGGTACTGAAGTCTACTAGCAGCGAACATGGCAGGCTGGGCTCACGCCTTCAAGCTGTCCAAGCAGGAGTTGGCAGAGTCTGAGCCTCCTGGAACTTCACGACTCGTCGAACATGAACTTCACCGCACGCGTTCTGGGCGCGACACGAACTCGGACACGATTGTTCTGATTCCTCAGCCTACACAGAGTCCTCTGGACCCGCTCAATGTATGTACGGTTGCACGCGTGTGAGATCGTATCTACTGATACCGCTCCTCAGTGGCCAGTATGGCGCAAATACGCTGTCCTTCTGACCATGTCTCTCTTCGCCTTCCTCGCCAGCTTCGGCTCAGCCGCGATTGCTCCAGCGCTCCCATTGCTACAATATCAGATTTTACCACCACGGTCGCTGGCCGAGCTTGCCCATCTCGTTGCTGTCAATGTCCTACTGATCGGATGTTCGAACATCTGGTGGGTGCCGTTGAGCAACACCTTTGGGCGTAGGCCAATTCTGATCATCTCGATGCTTATCTCCATCTTTGCGAGCATGTGGGGCGGTCTGGCTACGTCGTTCAACAGCCTTCTTGCAGCAAGAGTGATTCAGGGTATCGGGTTCGGGCCAGCTGATACCATCGCTCCGGACTGTGTCGGCGATGTCTTCTTTGTGCACGAGCGTGGGCGTGCTATGGTATGTCGAATGATCTCGGAATGCCATACACTACTGATGTGTCTCTGCAGGCTATCTACACAGTCTTCCTTGCCTGCGGTAGCTTCATCAGTGGTCTTACTGGAGCCTACATCGCTGGTAATCTTGGATATAAATACGTCTTCTGGATAACGATGGCGCTGTTCGCCTTCAACTTACTGCTGGAGATCTTCCTCGTGCCGGAGACCTTATTTGATCGCCACGCACACCTACTCGCCGAGCAGCACCCCAGCGTGACTGGCGAGGCCTCAATCGTTGAAGAGAAGTCGAAGGTTTCAACGGTCGAGCGACCTGTGCCCGTCGGCAGCATATCATTTGGCCAAAGCATGAAGGTTGGACTTTACCGTGGCGACCTGTTGAAGCACTTCGTGGATCCGTGGCGCAGTCTTGCATTCCCAGGCACCTGGGTCGTCATGTTGCACTACGGCGGTCTGCTCGGTGGAATCGTGACGATCTCAACCGTGGGTCCTGTCTTCTTGGCCATGCCTCCGTACCTGTGGGGCAAGAATGTAGGACTGCTAAACGTCGGAGCACTTATTGGAGGTTTCCTGGGCTTCCTCTTCACATACTTCTTGGCCGATCGCTTGACAACCAGAAGCGCTAAAAAGGAGTCTCATGGTCTTGCCGAGCCTGAATCTCGTCTTCCTGCCATGTTCCCAGCACTTTTACTGGCTACAACAGGCATCTGGGCTTTTGGCTTCTCCGCTACGCACCCATCTCCACATGCGTGGGCTGGTATGGTCGTCGGTTATGGCATGGTCGGCTTTGGTATCATGCAGATCCCCTCTATTGGCTTCAACTACCTGCTGGACAGCTACCATTCGATCTCGGCAGACTGTTTCGTCATGACTACCATCTCTCGATCAGTAGTCTCCTTTGCCTGGACCTTCTTTGTGGCTCAATGGGTCGGTGTGGCAGGACCCGCGCTTCCATTTGGGATTTTTGGTATGCTGATGGGCATATTCGGCCTTCTTGTGTAAGTCTATATATTCTTTCGCCTCTACTCTGAATGTAACGCTAATCGTGACCACAGCATTCCTCTGTGGTTGTATGGTAAGAGGATGAGGATCGCTACAGCAGCATATCTGCCTATGCGTGAGAACCACTAGGCATAGCGGCTTATCGTGCACAACTATCTTGTAGCTCGGGTATGTACATCCACATCAAGCGCAATACCTTACAACCTTTAAAGCGGACTTGGATCTAGAACGCGGCTTCGGACTGCTATCTACAATTGTTTCATCTCAGCCACTGATGGCAGAATTCGTTCGCTGATTGCTCGCAGCCCACACTTGACTGAACATCTGTGGACTCGCACGCTCGCCCTGACGACCATCCCCATTCGCGGCATGAGCTTCATGGCGCGGTGAACTTTTGTGCAAGATACTCCAACGAGCTAATATCTGCGCCGCAACAGCGCATGCGCATTGATATGTTGACTTTACACCATACAGAACTTGGCGGTCCACAAAGACTTTATCAAGACAGTAATCCCCCACATATCCGAGACGGCCTGCGGCAGCGGCAGTGGGAAGTCCGAGCCTCCCTGCAGGCTAAACTGGTAGCTAATGAAGTATTACGCCTCAGATTCGATTCCCTGCCAATGCGAGGGCGAGCTGACAATTGCTGCCCAGATTACTGGGACGATGCAACCAGAGTGATAGCCTGATGAGATACGATTCTTGGCTGACCCGATCCTGCCTATGCACAGACTAGAGTACTTTGTGGCCAATAGCTTTCGGCACCGAACCTCATTTGGGCAGAACGCTCATACTAAATACGGATCTCTTGAGAGAGGGTTGTGCTGATTTTGTATCTTGGACGCAGTATCCTAAGTGCTCCCCCTAGCCTCCATCATGTCGCACATTTGATCATGATACATCAGGCGAAACTCATGAGATGGCGAGCCAATCCTGCTATCATTGAAAGGGCCAGTGTCGGTCACCAAATCATGCGTCTAACGAGCTTTGACGACTATCGAAGCTGCAGAGGTAAGAATTGTCGCCGGATGTCCTCAAGTGCGTCGCTACCAGAACTATCCACTTCGATCCTTCGATCCTCGTCTGTTCTTACCAAGCCTATCATGTTGTCCTTGCCGCGTGTAAGGTCAACAATCATGCGTTCCTTCTCAGGCAGATTGGCTTTCTTACCACCCAGCCGTGGTATCATTCGAATGACGGAGGAGAGTAGAGCTACTTTCATGTTGAGGTTGTTGTTTGCAACGCCAGTCGACATGAGCGAAGGTTTGGGTAGTCCCTCGTAGTGTATTACGATTGCGCGCTGTCGATCTGTGGCGTCCTTGTTGGGCGCGGAATGGTCAACTTCATTGCAACGGTATGACATCCATGTGTCGAGATTCTCCAGGTCGAGCTGTTCCGGTACTTGCGTGATAGACATCAACACGAAGAGCCTTCGATTCGCCGACAATGCCTTGACCTTCCCTTCCGGCAAGGCATCCAGGTATGTAGCGACGACATTGAAGTCGAGATGTGCCACCACGCGGATTGACAGCCTTGCGTTGGCCAGAAGGATCGGGCTGTATTCACGGTTCCACTGTCGACACACAAGTAACGGCGCCACGGGCTTGCTATACTTGCGGCCTTTGGGTGCCAGATTCAAGGCAGTTCCTAGTGCGAGCCATTCGAAGATTTCGTTACGCAGTTCAGATGGAAGTGCCATGAACATGGACGCTTTGGAAGTGTCTAGTTGCATTGCCGAGTTGTGGACTGATCGATCTTGAGCCTCATTTTGAACAAGTCTCTTGAGACGAGATAGCATCGTGAATGCGGCCTCGGCGATGGAAAATCTGATCCTCCAACTGTGGTATAGAAGGGTAGTTGGAGAGGATCAAAAAAGGTGGGTGGTCTGGTGATGACATACCAATCTAGGCTGATATGGAGCGGAGAAGACACCAGATGATTGGACGCCACCAATGTCTAGTGTCAAAAGGAAGGAACATGCTACGAGATGGAAGGTATTCTGCGACGTCTTGTTCAAGAGAATGATATAGATACCGCGAAAGCTGCAGCTTATGTACAGTGATTCAGGAAGCGCCGTTGCGTTGTCGACGTTCGTGACTCAAGAGATTCAGCATTCGGTAGTTTGTAAATCAGGAAGGCCATCAAATCATGCGAATTGCGCAGTGACAAGACTCTGAGCCGGAAGCTCTAGTTGTACAACGCCACGCCACGACTTCGGAATCTGCACATCGACGAAGTCGTCCTGGTTCGTGGTCTGAACCAGCCTAGTCATAGAGGCTGCGGGATCTGGGCTTTGCAATGTGATGCTGACAGCAGTGGTCTGGTTGTTCATGAACAAGACACTCCACGTGCCAGCACTACCCTGACCATGACCCCAGCCGGAGCCCCAGCCCCAGCCAAAAAAATGCTGGTTGCTATTCCCGCTGCTGCTCATCTTGGACGCGATAGCATTCACTCCAGACGGAAGCTGCTGCTGCGGAATGTCGTAGCGAACACTGCCAGGGCGATGAAAGTAGGCAAAGTGCTTGAGCATGAATGCACGCTTAGTGTAGTAGATGTTGAAGTCCCGTGTCTCATTATAGTTGGGGTCGTAGTACACCAATCCTGAATTGTAGCCTGCTGTCTCGTTGATCGACGTCGCGCACTGGATGCCATCGATCTTCGGCGAGCATGGCAGTGTTGTGGCAGCGGTCCACCAATCAAAAGATTCTGCTTGGACCAGTGTTAGGAATTGCCACACATAGCGTGCCACGATCAAGGCATTCGCCATTGTCGGATCGTATTGTGCGCCGAACACTGATGGTCCGCTACCAGCTGTGGTACTGCAGCAGGTTTCGGTGAATTTGACAGGTGGTGGGTTGCCACCAGTCAGGCTCCGTATTGACTCATAGTATATGGTGAGGTTCGCATCATCCGGATAATCGTAGTTATGGATCGCAATATTCGAGAGATCGGGAGCTGATGCCGGAAGCCAGTACTAAGATCTCGCTTTAGTATCCGGATCGGTCGTTCGGGTAGGGTATACTTACTGGGTCTTCTGGTAGTGCCTGCTCCACCACTCGACTAGTCTCGTCGCCGATGATATCGACGCTACTAGCGCTGGAGTCGTTCAGTGCTAATCGCAAAGCTTTGAATAGTGGTGCACGCAGGGACGGAACGACGGCCATGCCCTCTTGACCACAGTCTGACCGGTTGTTGTCTGGCTCATTCATCGGGCTGATATATTTCAGCTCGGTAATGCCATGCGAAAGCCAGTAAGAGAGCACAGTAGTGATGTAGTCCGCAAACGAGGTGATCTTGTCTGCAGTGAAGCTCCAGCCGCATGCCGCACCATTGCCTGCAATAGCAGAAGGAGCTGCGTTAACGAAGAATGTGATGTATCTGTTGACAGGGTCAGTAAGATTGCCAATTACTGCTCGCATGGCTGAAGCGTACGGGACTGCATATTGTTGAGCCATCTTCAGAAACTTGACTCCTGCTTGATCGCGATTCCAGTCGTAGGTGCCATTGCGGAGTAGGAAAGATTCGACCCGAGAGCCGTTCGTAGTCACTTCCTGGGTATCGTCGCCACCATCACCGCCCATATTGTAGCGGTAGGAGGACAGCCATAGACCATCTTGCGAGAACAGGAAATCGCCGAGAGCTGTCTGCGTGCTTGGGGGAAAGTGGACCAGATCGTTCGGCCACCTGTTCAACTGAAGTCAATGGGAGAGTGGTTACGGTGGGTATGATGTGCATGCTCACCATGCTCCAGACGCACCGAATGAGGTCAGTGTCTGCTTGGGCTGCGGATCAATTGTCACTGCAGACGTTAGAATAAATGAAGCTGACAATTGGGAGTCTGTCCTACCAGTGTTGGCATGGGCGGACGATGATAGTGCTGCCAGGACGATGAATCTGGCCGCGCCGCGGCTCCAGGCGTCGTGCATGCTGAGGAGATAGGCGAAGAGTGATGCTGCTACGAGGAAAAACACCGTAGCAGAAAGAATAACAGGTATTCTCGAGTTTGCCAACCACATTCTTATAGACGATTTATGGTCTCCATCCTCGTGCTTTGCGCTACGTCGCGGCTGGTCAAGCGTGCTGCAGAAACACGAGGTCTTGGAGATGCCGTGAGGGGTGCACTTGGTGGAAGAACTCTACCATGCTTGAGAGACTGTGGCGTTGGAGGCCGAAGCTGGCAATCGATCGTCGACCGCGGAGGCCATTCGGGACGTGGAGGGTGGAAGAGGCTTGGGGGAGATCGCCCGAGCTTATCTCTTTTCTCTGCCATATCAGGTAATCATTTGAGGTCTCACAGCCGAAAGAGCGTATGTCTTTCGAGGCTCATCTTTGTACTGCGTTCCGAAGGACATAGACTTTGTTATGATGGAGGGTGTGTATTTTGTCGTTCTAGCATGGGCCAAAACAAGCTTCACGGCTGGTGAACTTTCTGAATCATGCACTCCTCCTCCCATAGCTCTTAATGCCACTTTTAACAATATCATAACATCCGACTTGCTTCATAGCACGCGGTCTTCAACTATGATGATTGATTTTGGCCAGGGCGTACGGGTGGACATTCGCTTGGCAACACACACGGTCTCTTGTCGGTCTTTGATCTTTCAGTGGGACAGTGGGTCTTGCTTTTGAGAGACCCCGAGCCCTGCCAGGAAACGTCACGCGGGCATCAATCGTGCGTTCCACATCATATGCAAATGTGCGATAAGTATGGTGAGATCCAATGGAACAACTTGGTAGGACTAATCCCGACCATTTTCGCTACTCTGCTTCCCTCCTTTGGCACCTTTCAATTAGACCGTCGTCCTTGCTTCTGCAATCAATCTCACAGCAGTAGAGGACGAAGCGCAGATCGAATTTGATCGCTCCTATGTCTTTAACAGCCAGCGCTGTCATTTTCCCACAAAAAGGTGCGGATGAGTATGAGGAAGGGATGAGGAACGAAGACAAGCAGTCGCCAAACGAGCTCAACGAGCAGAAAGCTAATGACGAGATCATGAAAAAGGCAGGGCAGTCGGCATTGCAGGCTGAGCAACAAGGACAATCTCCCTCAGACAGTGCCAAAATCGAAGAGGTACGCGGGCAACAAGAGAAGCTTCACGCAGAAGGTGTCACAATCGAACCATCGCAACCCGGACGACCTGGACTACCTCGCTTTACGAGTAGCAAAGAGAACGTACTCTCCCAATTCTTCATTGGTAGTATAGACCAAGGGACGACAAGCACAAGATTCATTATATTTGACGGGACAGGGCAGCCGGTCGCGAGCCATCAGCATGAGTTTAAGCAACATTATCCAGAACCAGGGTGGCATGAGCATGACCCGAACGAATTGATCGCCTCGGCTGAGGTATGTGTCAGCAAAGCAACGGCGACTTTTAAGGAACTAGGGCATGATATTGCAGACATTCGGGCAATCGGCATAACCAATCAGAGAGAAACAGCTGTGGTGTGGGACTGGGAGACCGGCGAGCCGTTATACAACACTATTGCTTGGCCGGACACGAGAACGAAAGGCATTGCAAGAGACCTGAAGGACAAGGAAGAACGGCTGGGCTTGAATATCGCACAAATGACCGGTCTTCCGTTGTCGACATATCCTTCCTCTGTCAAGCTAGTCTGGCTATTGCATCACGACGAGAAAGTCATGGAGGCCTACGAGGCGGGACGATTAGCGTTCGGAACCGTCGATACATGGCTGTTGTACAACTTCAATGGCAAGGACAACGAATATTTCGTAACCGACACAACGAATGCAAGCCGGACGATGTTCATGAACCTGCATACCTGCCAATACGACGATACTCTGCTAGAATTCTTCGGAATTGACAAGACGAAAGTCCATCTTCCGCGAATCGTGCCTAGCTCGGATGCTCGTGCATACGGTAAGATGGTCGGGGGATCCCTCGGAGGTATGAGAATTACAGGTTGTCTCGGTGATCAGTCTGCTGCTCTTGTAGGTCAGCAGGGCTTTAGCCCTGGATCCGCAAAGAACACATACGGTACGGGATGTTTCCTACTATATAATGTTGGTGAAAAGCCGGTTGTGTCCAAGCATGGACTGCTTGCGACCGTTGCATATGACTTTGGCGGCCACCGTAAGCCAGTCTATGCGCTCGAGGGGTCTGTTGCTGTTGCTGGCTCAGGTGTGAAATGTAAGTATTCAATCAAGAGTCGGGTAGGTCGTTTCGAAGCTAATGTGTCCGCAGTCATGATGAATAACATGGGCTTTATTACGCACTCGCACAAGATCTCAGAGCTTGCGGCTTCCGTGGACGACAATGGTGGCTGTGTATTTGTAACTGCGTTCTCAGGCCTCTTTGCGCCTTACTGGATTGACGATGCGAAGGGCACAATCTTCGGCATCACTCAACACACGCAGCGCGGCCACATAGCTCGAGCAACACTCGAAGCCGTATGCTTCCAGACCAAGGCCATTCTGGACGCCATGGAGCTAGACTCTGGCCATAAGCTGGCCGCATTAGCCGTTGATGGTGGGATGTGCAACAGCAATCTTTGCATGCAGACGCAGGCGAACATTACAGGGATCAACGTCGACAGACCCGCGATGAGAGAGACGACCGCTTTAGGTGCTGCTATCGCGGCTGGGTTTGCCGTCGATATTTGGAAGGAGTTCGATGAATTGAAAGCTATCAATCAGAAGGACCGAATGATCTTCACGCCTGACATCAATCGAGAAGAGTCTGCGAAGATGTTCAAGAAGTGGACGCGAGCGGTTGAGATGTGTCGAGGTTGGCTCGATCCCGACGAATACGGGGAGGACTTTGATGTGTAGATGTGGTGTACGAGCGGTGTGGGTTATTGGTTTAGCAGGGGGAAGTCTTCAGGCTCGCATGATACCCCGGAGTGAGATGCAGAGTGGGCAGTCCAATGTCAATACAAATATATGCATAGATGTAGATTTACATATCATTCCGTTGGCATCCTTGCGCATTGAGCGGGTAGCCACGACTCCCAATGTCACCATTGCATGAGCTTCCTCCCCGACCGTGCGCCATTCGATGAAGACGTACTGTGAACCAATGGCCGCCCTGGCCGTGGTAGGTCACAGTCCGTGGTACACAATAGCACTACATCGAGCTCGGGTACAGCGAGCCACTAAGGTCCGGCCCTGAATGTAGCTAATGCAGGAACGATGCAGACAGCTTGACGTGTCCCGACCACCATGACACTCTTGTCAACGAGTACCTCTCATGCCTCCGATCGCCACCCTCGACCTACGTCCGGTTCAGACCGTTGCTGCGGATTCGGGATACCGATGTCAGATACAAAGGTTCCGCCCGTAGACACTGGAGATCACATTGAGAATTGGCAAGGTCCAGCCTACTCTCACGAGACTAGATCGTTGACATTGCCCAGAGCGAATGTCGGTATCTTGATCGAATAATGAAACAGCAGTAGACCCCAAGACGACGACGGCATCGCGCCACGACAATGTGTGCGCAGGATGCGGGATCTTCGGCCTCGCATGCTGTTGGATACAGTACACCTGATAAAGCAACGCGGATGCTGGTACGACGCACATGGCCATTAGAAATGTCACAAACAGCCCGAGTCCACAAGGCAGACATTTCTTCCTCGGACAGTTGCTCGGAGACGTCAAATGCAAACCCCTGCACCGATCTTCGCGTTGGGCATCGCATGGAGAATATTTCCGTGCGTATCGCAGGAGCCGAAAAGCTCTCGACCATTATTTCCTAGTATCTGCCATGTCGATACTCCCTTTTCTGCCCTTTGAGGATAACGGAGAAGTACTTTCAATGCTGCTTCACGCCTCCCGCTCCGCCTCCCTGCCAACTGGCTACCGTCAGCAGCCGCGCAATGACCTTCCGCCAAGAGCGCCACTCATCTCTACCATTCGGTGACCGGCACCGGCCCAACGGTCATGACACTTCTCGGCTCACCGGTTAGTGATCTCGAGTGCCGGCTGGGACAATGCGAGGCAGTGCGTAGCCCGGCAGTCTGGTTCGACCTAGCTGCTTGGTGGAGATGTTTTATGAAAGTGCAGCAGACGTCGCACAACCGCCTTCCATCTGTTCTGGCGAGAGCGGTCTACGCATGGTTTCGAGCCCTGGCATGCAAAAGAGGAAGGCCGGTAGTTGCTGACAATTACTGGGGCACGAGCACGGTACACGGGCTCGCTCCTCCATGACCTCAGCTATTCCTTACGGCATCAGATTCCGGGTGCTCTGCTCACTGGCGAATGGCATCTCCCAGGAACCAACACTCGGCTTTGATTCGCTGCCCAAGGATATTCTTTTCGGAGGTTAGGACGAATCGGCGAACAAGACGGTCGACCAACATCGCTATCGCTTTCTTCTTTCAATATGCGGGCATGTAGGACCTGGGTCTGGACTAGCACATTCGTTTCATGAAGGCTTCAGATCAGCGGGGGACTCTTCAGCCTGTCGTGCATTGCAGTGAGCACTGTTTGCCGCCACAGTCGTACATTAGCAACGCAATCGACTGCCACAAAGTACGATGTTCAAACACACGTTGTTTGTCTCTGGTAACTTCCGAACTGATGTCTTACCACTCTCTCTCTCTCTCTCTCGGAATCAGCTGCCGCACCCTACCACCATTGAGACACTGACGCTGACGACGACGACGACATCGGCTTACCTCGCTGAAGCGATCCTTGAATGCCAGAGTACGCTGCAAGTCAAGTGAGAGAATGTGCGACTACACGCAAGTCGAGTACAATTGCACACATCTTCGCTTCCTCGTAAGAGCTTGGTGTTAGCCTTCACCACCCCAATCTCTGCCCGAAACATTACTGATCCATAGCAGGTACCAAGTATCAAGAGACACATAAGCGATGGTCAGCTCATTCATACACGCATACAAGTCATACAAAAACAGCTGACCACCATCTAGCCCACCCAATGTGGTGGCCATCGAGTACCGACTTCATGAAGACTGCAGTAAGGTCAAATTTTCTAACCCCATCTCGACCAGGCACTGATCCATCACACAGGCGATTGCAGATCATCCACAGCCAAATTCGACATCGACCAAGTAAAGACCAGAACGAAGGTCGATGGCAAGGAGCAACCGCAGTCGACCGGCGAGTCATCCAAGTCAGCTACAGAACCGCGAGAGGAGCCACAGATGTCCTAGTCGACAGGTAGACGATCTTCTGGGTATGCCGTAGCGGGTACACAATGTGCCCAGTTGACTTCTGGCATGTCATCCTAGAACGACGTGCTTCAAGGGAACGATATATCGAAGACAAGTCGCTCCCGGTGCAGGTAGTTTAGTCGACCCGACGAGACGTCATCCATTTGCCAGCCACGATCACCGAGAGCTCACGGCAAGTCGGGTCCTTCCAACATCGTATGCGGTGAAGTTTGCGCAAGGGTGGTACAGAAAGCGGGCCATCGGAGAAGCACAATCTGCATGCACAACGGCTGGCCACATCCGGCCACGGTCACGCCCTCGGCTCTTCTGACCTTATCATATAACATCTACAGTTCGACTGGCTTGACAAGACCGATACCAAGGCACGACCGCGGCTGGCGGCGACGCTCAGAGGTCGGGCAGTGGAAGATCTGCTTGGTGAGCCAGCCGAAATTGACACAATGAAAATGGTGGCAGTGGAAAAAGGCGCAAGGAGGACATCTGACGATCGCCAGCACAAGATGCTACCGCCCCTCTCCTCTATCGTGCACACGTCCGCTGTAATACGCACAGGACACACTCCGATAAATAGTAGGGCAGATGCACCATCGGTAGCAAGGCCATATATCGTACCGCTGGAAGGAATACAGAGTCATCCTACCCTGATCATACCTCAGTAGCGGACCAGGTTGAGAGGCGGCTACGCCACACGACAAGTCTTGGCTTGTGAGATACTTCTTGGCTATTCATCAGATTGTTCTTTACCAAAGAAGATCGGCAACACTCGAGGCGGGGGGCTGATGGAGAAAGCGAGGGCGATTCAGAGGCTATGATCGCCAAAACACTTGATCGGCGAACTCATCCAAGGGGGAACCCTTCCTTCGCATAGAATAGGGGAGGGATAAGATTTTCATCTCACCATTGGTGTCGGTACCCCGAAGCTCACAAGTCAGATATCCGCCGCCTCGTAGCACCACTGCCGGACTGTGCGCCACTCATACCACTTCCGCCAGTAGCCGGGACACCGGAAATTCTCGCTACTACGAATCGAGCGGGAACGTGCTGCCGCTCGTCGTGATGCTGTCTAGCGTACTAAGAAAAGCGCAGAGAGTCTGGATCGCGGCGCCTTCCTGAGAGGAGGATAGGGGAGTACTGTAGCGGTTTGCATGGTCGGAGATGATTTGGAGGTGGACGGGGGCGGACTGGTTGGTGTGTTGTATCAGGGCAAAAGAGGGATGAGGCAGAGCGGAGGTGAAAGCGTGGATGGGCAGCGTATTTCGAGAGTGGCTTATGTGAGCAGTGGCGTCCGTAGTACTGAAGAGTAATGTGAGTTGTGGTTGCGGACTCGATTACATACGTATGGGTGGCAACAGCAGACGAAGCGCTTAGCGGTAGGCTGGGTGGAATGGAATGGCAAGGTCTGCTCTGAGACTTTCGTCGACCTGGAGGTCAATGATGAGGGACGTGCTCTACTCGACAATGTCAATGCGGTCTGAGACGGTAAAGCAGGAAGAAAGGGCAGTGTAGTTTCTGCCGCAATGATTGAAAACGAGCATATGCCGTTTGCAAGCATACTCTGCTCATCAGAATTACCACTTGACACGCGACCATCATTGCCTTAACCCATCGAGCTGCGCAAGCTTACTCGAAATCCTACTCGGAGCCGTCACTGCAAGCTCGCTCCTACGCGAAGACCCTAGTAATATTCGTAGCAACACAAGTCGGATTCTGCGGCTTGCCTTTCCCCACAACCCAAGCCAGAGTCTGGTATGTGTAGCCCAGATTCGTCGTACAGACGTACCAGCGATAGTAAGCCTTGTTGACATAAGCGATTGGTGAGACCGAGTCATCCTAGTATGAACATTAGCAGAGAAGGAGAGAAGGTCGGGTGTCTTGGAGCTTCGAGATGGTGGGGAACTTACGGAGGTACTCTGGATATTCATGAGGTTGTGCTTGTCGAAGGCGACCTCGAGACTGGCGTAGCTGGGTTCGAAGAGCAGGCCAGCGACGTTGGAAGTAGGGTTGACGGAAAGGGAGAGCGGCTCGGAGACTTGGACTGTCATCAGCTCACAACCTCTCAAACCAGCCGAGACAAAAGCAGACACCCACGATTGAAATTCGACCCCATAAGGTCATAAGTCAGATAACCCGGCGTACCATACACATCCGCCGGCTGAGCGAAACTCGACGTGTTGAACTGGAAGCTCGCATACGTCAATGTCGCCGTGGCGTTGGGCAAGAGGGTGCCGAAGGCACAGAGACCCTCGATTGCGGCGCCCTCGTGGCAGGCGCCGAGGATGGTGCCGTTGAGGGTGTGGTTCTTGGAGAGGAGCTGGAGGTAGAAGGGGGCGGACTGGTTGTATTGGGCTGTGGCGAGGGTGGTGAAGAGGAGGGAAGCGAGGAGGGTCAACATTTTTCGATTTGGTGTCGTCGGTCTATTAGTTGGTCTGTGATTTTACTTGTGGGTATTGAGATATGAACGATTCGTGCGAGTGAAGGGAGGACGCAAGGGTACATGCCAGTCAAGAAAGAAGTTAAGCAGTTGTGAATAATGTACTTGCCCTCCATTAAAACCCACCTTGCTCCCGCACCTTTCCGCCTGCTCCTCTGACGTACGAACATAACAAAGTCCGGCAAGTGCGATCTACGGAAACTATAACATGCGCGTGATGTTCTTACGGGAAGGTATGACCTCGTATTGAAACTCCAATATAGCTACAGCAGGCGCGCTAACAAAGGACGCGATATGTATGTCGTGCAGATTGCGGGGCGTGTCGGCATTCATTCGGCCTGATACAGTACTTCAACAAACTTTCTGCAAACCGATACGAGATTCCAAGACAATAGACAAAAGTGACAAGATTTGACATGGCAAGCAACACACACACACACACGTCCGCCTCGTAGTACAACCCTACACCCCTCAGCACAGCACAGCACAAGCACAGTACAAGCCTGCACAGGTCCTGAAGGGAAGGGAAGAAGAAAAGGAAAAAGTAGCATTCCCAAGCCCCATCTCAAACAACCACCCCCATCAAACCCTAAACCAACGGCCTCTCCATTGCCCCCACCACCACCCCCCCCTTAACCAAAACCCTCGGCCTCGTCCCCCGCTGAAAAACCTCCTTAGTCGTCCACTCCGGCCCCACCGGCCCCCTCAGCGCCCGCTCATACTGCGCACCATTCTCATACTCGCGTGGGAGAACAGCGGCAAGGTATTTCTTCCCCTTCCTCTCCGTCTTCTCACTCACAATCACCTTCTCCATCCCTACCCGCCCATCCTTCCGCTCCTCCGCCTTGACACCACCGCCAGGGAGTTTGCGTTTGAACAGAGGGTTATGCACCGCCTTGGCGTTGGCCTTTCGGATCTTCTTCGATAGGCCAGTACCGGTCCAGGAGCCCCAGCCCGGTAAGTGGGAGGATGTCTCCTGCTCGTCTTGGTCTGCGATATCGGCTTCTTTTTCGGCTTGGAACGCGATCTCCACGTCGTCGCCGGCGAAGGCGCGGCGGTGATAGGCGGTTTTCTGTTCGGAAGCGGTGAGAATGGGATCTGCAATGGCCGCCTCTTCGGCGTCGGAGGTGGTAGCTGTCTCGTCGTTGTCGCCGCCGCCGTTGGAGTAGGGTACTGTTTGCCAGCCATTGGTATTCCCTGCTGGTTTATCGTTGGCAGATGGCTTGACTGCCGCAGCAGACTTAGCTGATACCGTCTTGCCTTGCGCGCCTTCCTTGCCACCGACGGTGAGGTCAGTAGATAAATCGATCGTCTCGGCAGGTATCGCGGACCTCTGCTTCCGACGATCCTGCTTGCCCTTTTTCGCATTCTCGCCGTTCAACCATGCACTACTGAGCCCGACACTCTCCTTCTCAGGTTGAACAGACGCCGCTCCCGGCTCCCTTCGATCACGACCCAAAGCTGCTCGGGATAGGGGTCCGCTAGCCGCAGCAGATTTCTTCATCGCGCTCTTCAACGGTGCTTTCTCTTTCCCGACCGTAGCAGCAGCCTCGCTCTCAGCCTCCACACCCTCCTCCTCGCCAGACATCTCACCCTCCTCCATTTCCGGCTTCTTCTGCTTCACAGCCTTCCGCTTCCCATCCTCCCTACCCTTAGGCCCGAAGATAGCTCTGCCCAGACCACCCTCCTCCTGCTCAGCCGCATCATCACTACCATCCTCATCACCCTCAGCAACCGCCATGTCCCTCCTCATCCTCTCAATATCCTCCTCATTCCTCTTACGCAGCCGATCCTCAGCATCCCGCATGAATTTCATGCCGCCTACACCCTTCAACTCCGCATCACCCTCACCCTCGCCTCTCAACCGTCTGAGCGCAGCAGCATCATCCTCTCCCTCAACCTCCCCATCATAATCATCATCGCTATCCCCGCCCCCTCCACCCTCCCCCCCAACATCCTCCCCACCCACCCGCCTCCTCAACTCCTCCTTCCTTCTCGCCTGCTCCAACACCCCCTCCCTGGCCCCCTCATCCCAAACCATCCGATTAGTCCCCCTCATCGCCCTCCCAAATTTACTATCTCGATGCTTCGTGCTCATCCTCTCCTCCGCCCGCTTCCTCTCATTCCGCTCCTTCTCACCTTCATCCATCTCCACGCCCAGACCCTCCGGATCCATCAACGACCTCTCCCTCCCCGCCAACCGTTCCCGTTCCCGTCGATGTACACGGCGATAAGCTTTCGATTTGATCTTACTTATCCTCCTCGCCTTAATCTCCTCGCGGAACAGCAGCTCGCGATTCCGACGTAGTTCCGCCCGTCTTTGCATAACTTCCTCAACAGGAAGATGATTCGTCCCCAGTTCCTCCGCCTGCATGATCTCGTCTTCGCCGTCCCCGACGATCTCCGCACCGGGTCGGGGAGCAGTCATACCGCTCTCCTCCATGATCTTGCGGATATTCTCTTCCAGTTGACCTTGCGGTTTGCCATCAGTGACGAACTTGTCTTTGCCCATCGGCTCTGTGCGCGTGGGGTCCACAAGCGGGAAAGTGAGGAATTCGGCTCGACGGTTCTGGATCACGGTGTCCCGCCAGCGGTCTAACTGCTCTTTGGCTTTCTGGTTGGCGATCTCGCGGTCTAGACGGTCTTGGTGGCGTTTGGGGAGGGGTGCTGTGAGCTTTTGTGGGACTTTGGACTTCTTCCTTGGTTTGATGGCGGTGGTGAATTGTTTCTTCTCTGCTGGGTCCATGTCGGTGAGGAGATCTTCGAGGGAGATACCACCGACGTCTTCGGCGTCAGGGAGAGTTTGGGTTGGCTGTTCGGAGGCGTCCAGGGCTTCCATTCGATCACGAAAGCGAGCTAAGCGTTCTTGGTCGTTGGCACCATCGTCTTCTTCAGAGTCTGGTTCGGATATATCTTCGTCCTCGCTCTCGTTCTCCTCATCTTCATCGTCGTCTGCACTTTCCATATCCGCGTTCTCATCGTCAAGCATAGTAGCTAGATCGACGCCCTCATCCCCGAAATCATCTTCTTCGTCATCTTCGCCACTACTATGTTCAGCCTCGTCCAGATCCACCTCTCCACTTGACTTCTTCCCCTCCTTCCTCTTCTTGATTACACCCTTCCCACTACTCGAGCCCCGGAAAGCAAACCCCTCAAACCTCTCCTCATCGCTCTCCCCAAACGCCTCGTCGGAATCCAGATCGGAATCCTCATCCCCCTCCGCCAAGCCCCCCAACACCCACTCATTCCCCTCACTATCACTGCCCTCCTCCACCCCATCCTCGTTCCCCTCCGCCGCTAACCCCCTGCCTCTGCTCTTCGGCAACTTCCTGCGTGGCGTCGAGTCATCCTCACTAACATCCTCCTCCTCCTCGTCAACCTTGTCGTCACCCGAGTCTGTCTTGCGACGTTTCTGGCGGGGATTATCGTCTAGGGATTCGCCGAGACGATGTTTGGCGATTCTCGACGGCTTGATGGTGTGCGAGGCGATGGAGTAGGCGTTGAGGTTTCGCTTCTTGGATTTGTTCTTGGCGGTTTTAGGAGCGGCGACTGCGATCGAGGAGCGGGCTAGTCGTGGAGGCATTTCTGCGTGTGTTTGGCAAGAATGTAATCTTTCTCGCCTCTAAATTCTCGAACATGATGCGCCAAGATTTCGCCGAATGAAAGTCGTGGGATACGTGGGACGAAGATCCGTGCTCATGTCCGTGGTTGCCCGCACGTTAAGATGAGATGGACAATAATAGCTATGCCATTGCATAGCATAGATTGTGATCAGTTCAGCTATAACACGATGCAGCCAACCCCCATCCTCCAACGCGCCATCAAGCGTCTAGCCCTCACAACCAAACAAGGCCCGCACAACTACTACAAGGGTAACCGTACAGGCGCCATGGGCCAGCATACCAAGTACGGTGGCTATAGGATCGCATGGGAGAAGGTGCGGACCTATGTCTGTCCTGATCTGACCGACTTCAATGTAAGTTACTATGTATGGGCTGAGGTGGCGATGATGATGCTGATGCTTTGTGATTGCTTAGCTGACCCCGTTCGTCGCGAGACGCATCGAGAAGAGGAGGGATACCTTTGCGCATACGGAGACGGGGAGTCCGATGGATGGGAAGGAGTATTTGAGGCGGTGGAAGGAGGAAGGGGGAATCATTTGAGGATGATGGCTGGTATGACGAAGATGATGGCATGCGGTTATTGATGGCTCAGGACGAAGCTTTTCTCGAGCATTTGGCCTCAAGAGAGAGTCTTCAAACACCGAGTCCATCGTCCATCGTCCATGTGAACTCTTCCCCCGACCGATCGAAAGGACGGCCCTGAAGTATAGCACGAACACAGCACAACTTTCGAGTCGACCTGCTGGCATTTACTTGCGCGGCTTGAGGGCGTAGAGCCCTGCTTTCGCGGTCAGAGAGCCCAGTACACGCCGACATCGTCGCGAGTCACCCTAGCCTTCCTCTCGAGGCCAGGGAGACAGTGGAAGACCCACGGCAACCGCGACTTCCTTGGGACAACAGCCTGCCAACAAGCTCGGAGCACGGGAAACTGAACTGCGTACTGTTCGATGCTGCCACCGCTCAAACTTGCGCGTGAGAGCGAGCTTAGGTGGACGGACTCGGCACGGAGACTCGCAGGTCAAGGTGCGTATGCCGAGCGGACCAAGGGAGCGCTTCCTCGAGCGCGTCACTTATGAGAGGGATCTGTGAAGGACGCGTATTGGAGCACAGAGCTTAAGTGCTGCGAAGGCAACGTCAACGATGCAACTCGCCTTGTACTGCTATCATCGGATGTTTCAGATATGGAGGCATGATCGGTGGGCAGCGAAATCTGTATGTCGATAACACACAAAAAGTCAAACTTCGCTTCCAAGATTTTCCCACCCGAGCTGATAATGCAGCCACCATCTACCAAAACCTCCCTCAAACCCTGCACCATACACGCATGACTATGACTATACTTCAGAGTGCGACATGTGAATCTACTCGGCGGTGCCCAAAACGGCAAAATTCTACCTTGCGGTGGCGAGCCCGATCCAATTCACCTCTTCACCGGACTGAGTCATGTGTGGTCCGTGCGAGCCTCTGCTTGTGCATGTATATAACACTGCAGCTTGTTACCTTCGACCTTTTTGGTTTCGCATTTGTGGCAGTAATACTAATACTAATAGTTGGTGCTGTGTGCAAGATCCTGGACGCTAGGAGAGAAGACGGTCGTCAGCACGATTGAGACACTGTCTGCTTAGCAAGAAACGCTTGGTCACTCCTACGACAATACCTGGACTTTCGTTTACACTACCACTTGGACAATGCTGGATTGCCGTAATTAGGACATTGCTCATCAGCACAGTACAGGCAGACCCGCCACTACTTACGCCCTCCTTCCCAAACTCGACCACGTTCTTCACCAGATCTGATCAAAGCAATCGCCGGCTCAGCCCCAGCTGCAGCCACGCCACGTCGCATCACATATCTTCTTCAACAGCTTGAACAGACCTCCTTCAGCATGGCTACCACACCCGACCAGACCACCCGTAATTAAACCATGCTCCGTCAACGCCTCCTCCGCGACGTCGCCGAGCTTGAAAACAGCCCTTATCCTGGCATCCGGCTCGACATCAAAGATAGTAGTCTGCATACCGCCTGTCTTATCCTCTCCCCGGAAGGCGAGAACCCGCTCCACCTCACCATCAATTTCGGCGACGACTACCCCATCAAACCACCGCAGATTACCATTCAATCGGTTGTCGACCACCCGAACGTCTACGACGACTACATCTGCGCTAGCATCCTCAACACACAGGAAGGTTATACGCCCGCATACACGCTCAACGGGATCTGTATTCAAATGCTGAGTTTCTTCGCTTCGGACATGATCGAGCAGGATTATGGTGGTACCGTAAGTCGGAAGGGCCATGATGCTTCTTACCAGTGTGGGACCGACCAGGGGTTCGACGGCTACCGATGTGCGAAATGTGGCTTTGGTGATGAGGCGTCTGCGAGGAGACGCCCGGTCCCTGGTGCCGAGCTGGCGGATATCCCAGTGAGTGATGCGCCCTCGCATGAAGGTATCACCTTCCTGCGACAAGCAAAAACGACTACGCCGGACCCAAGCAAAGCACTGAAAAGACAGAAGCTGCTTCTCATCGACTTGCCAAACGAGCTCCTGGTCCTCATCACGGAGCACATGGATGAGCAGTCTCTCTTCATCGCTGCGCGTGCCTGGAACGGGTTCAGTCGGCTCCTCGCTTCTCACAACCTCCTCCAGGTCCGCGAGATGCAATGCTACACCCTGAAAGCCGGCTTCAAGACCCATAAACTTGGAGTGGGCGTGTACATCGAGCGTCGCAGCATCCAGTCCGAATTCGATATCATCTCCGAAGATGCCTTTACCAAGCTAGGCGTCAGACGCTCGGTACAGGGTCTATACTTCGACAACTGGCTACCCCTACCACTATCCGAGAACCACTGAAAGAGAATGGGCAACGCTGCATATGACGCTCTAGCCGCAATCGGCACTAGAGCCCAACTCGCAGACTCGCCCAAGCCAGTCGACGTCCTCTACGCCTTCATGAACGATATCACAGTCAAGCTCTCACAGTCCACTTCGGAAACCGCCGAGCCGCCAAAAAATACCTCCTACCTCTACAGTTATGGCATGCAAGGCAAAAGCACCCTCACCCACGCCAGCGAGAAAGCAGTAGAATCCTACTTCCAACTCTACCACCTCCTCATCGTCATGGCTACCGACCGCCCCAAGATCGCCGAAGAAGCCAACGCCCGCATCAAACGCTTCCTCGACGGCGAGCGCGACAAAACCGCCTGTCCGAATCTCGGCCACCTACTTGTCACACTCCTGATCACCGATACCTCTACCTCCAACCCCGTGGATTTAACAAAAGCCATCATCAAAGAAGCAGTAACCCGCAACGTCGTCTGGATGCTCGACGCCCGCGGCGCGAATATGCCAGAGTTGAGCTACATGGAGCCGTCGGAAACCAGTCCCTATCGTCTGCAGAAGAGCTTCGAGGCGAGCAAAACTTCTTACACGCTCCTAGTGTTCGCCCATCTTATGCTCAAAACCGTCACCGATCCCTCCCCCTCTCCCACTACTCCCACCAACACGACGACGACGACACCCAAAAATCTCACCGAAATCCGCACCGACCTCTTCGCCCGCCACGGCGCACCACCCCCCGGCGCCGCCGCCAACCTAGCAGCTGAGATCCGCAACATTCAGCGCGTGAAAACGTTCCCGGCTTTCCTGATGGCGATGGATGTCCCTATGCCGACGCAAGCGGCTTTCACGCAGTTCTTACGGGGGCCGGTGAGGGAGAGTATGGAGAGGGGTTATTCGAAGTGGGGGGTGACGCAGGAGGAGGCGTTGTTCTTGAGGTTGCAGAGGGAGCCCGGGGTGATGGTTGCTGAGGGGCTGGGGGCTAGTGGAGGGGTTAGGCCGGTGTTCACGTTTTTTCCTGGGGATGGGAGAGGTGGCGGGCTGAGAGGTGGGAGAGGGAGACGCGGTGGGAGGGGTGGTGGGTTCAGAGGTGGGAGGGGGAGGGTTGGGTGAGCGGGTGGAGGATTACAGGCGCCTGCTGTCAGGGTGCAAGAGAAGGTGATCTGAAGTAGAGCCCCTCTCGCTTAGTCGGTGAGACCGTACGCTCGACGTAGCTACTAGCTTGTATAACGTGATATGACACAATACCAAGAACCACAATCAGCATCGAAAATTGACATTGACAATGACGTCGACTAACCACGCCCCCTGGTTCGATACCCATACTTCGGGCCCAGAATCTAAGTAATCAACATCCCCCCCTCACAACCAATCCCCGACCCCGTCACGAACGCACACCGCATACTATACAAATACGCCTCGGCCGCCTCGTCTGCACCCGCAATAGCTTTCACCAGCGTCGCGTTCGCGAGATGATCAGCGACTTCCTGTTTTCCCTTGGTCAACCCATCGAGTAAAGTCGTCTGAACGGGGCCCAGGATAACGGAGTTAGCACGGATGGGTGCTAGATCGACGGCGAGAGCGCGGGCGGCGACGTCCATGCTGGCGGCGCCGAGGACTTGGCCGATGCCGGGGCGGGGTTTGTAGACCTAGAGATCGTCAGTATGGTTCTGTGTCTGTAGGTGCTAGTGCAAGTGAGACGTACGAGGACGCCGCTGGAAATGGTGATGCTTGATCTGCGGGTGTCGTTCATATATGTCTTGGCGAGATGACATAGGGTCAAGGGCCCGTAGACCCGAGCTGTAGATGCGGTCAGGGCATCTTGACTGGTGGGATTGCCGCCTAGGGTGGCGCTAGAGGGACCGGCGGCAGTCCAGACGATATGGTCGATTTTGCCGCCTGGGAACTTCTCCGTGGCGGTTTTGAGGATGGCTTCGACGTCGTCTTTTTGCGTGGCGAAGTTGCTGATGTCGCCGACTATGTAGTCGATTAGTTTGTCTTTGGCTGTGGGCCCTGCTTTGAGAGTTTCAACGGCTTTCTCCAGCTTGTCTTTGGAGGAGGAGGAGACGATCACGTTTGCGCCGGGGAGTTGGGAGAGGGAGAGGATGGCGGTGGCGAGGCCGATGCCTGTGCTGCCGCCGATTACTAGGACGTTGTTGCGGGTATTCAATGCCATGATGTGAGCCCGCGGGTCGTAGATTCTAACGAACCCATGCACCTGTCGTGGCTCGCTACATGTAGTGTACCTTTAGCATCGGAGTCGGAGCGTCTTGCTCAGCCGCGGTCCGTTCCAGTCGGATATACATGGTGCAAAGAGCTCCTATGCCCTATTGATATTGCGTGATGAGGATACGGTTGCGTGCGTGGTAGGCTGAATGCAATGCAGAGACATTGGTCAGCAGCGGGTTTGTCCGCGGATCATGGGGGAACATTTGTTCCATCCCCAGGCGCCGGGAGGTCTTCAGCTCTGTCTACCGAGCATTAATTCACACCACATCGTCAAACCATCGCTTTGTCTTCGAGACCGGATTGTCGTGCTTGAATTCGGCCCCGGAGACGGATGTTTGCTAGAGTCACACTTCATATTGCCTATGTACTCTTCATACATTCAGCACTTCTCTGTCTTCCTGCACGCTCATCGTTGCGACATCTCATGAATCATGGAGTAACCGGGGCCACAACTCGGCCTGCTGTACATGGTCTCCTCATCGCATCTTCATATGTTCGTCGTCTTGTCCAGCCATCTTGATAGCAGTTGGTCTGACTAGCAGTGCATACCAGTCCGGCTCGTGGCCGTACGTATCCGTGAAGAAGTCGATGAGACCTTACCCCTTGCAGTAGTTGGTCGATCAGTTCATGCGAAATGCGTAAATCCGGACGTCGATCGCGCCACATTGAAGACCGTCGCACGCAAATCTTCGTCCACGTTATGCCTGTATTGCGTGCAGTCCCTGCCCCTGCATTGGTCGGTACCACAATCGGGTGACCCGTCGTTCTCCAGCAACCTCGCCCAGTCGCGAAGTGGATGACCATGCAGTATCCACATTGCATTCATTGTCCTGGTACCGAGCATGCAGCGTGTTCCCATAGTGTAAGTGCTCGGCTATACCGATCGTCGAGCAGCGTAGATACAGAAGGCCATGCAGCAAGTCGAAGGCCACCAGATCTACAGCCTGAGGTGACTTTTGGGGGGCGTTGGTCCTCGCTTGACTTTAGCGTCGACTTCTAGGGAAATTTTGATAACAGCACCCGCACCGAGCGGGTTGTGTGGACATCGCCGCCTGTGGGTCAAGCAAGCCCGCTGCTACCTCCTCCTCCGACAGCTAGTGAGTAGTGTAGTCCGTTCAATAATCTTCATCATCCTCCTCCTTCTGCTTCTCGCTCATGACCGGCATCGCCTGCTGCTCAGCAACATAAGGCGCCTTGCCATGGTAATTGTACCGATCGTACTTCTGCTCATCCTGCATCGAACTCGGCGAATGATCATACCCATAACTATACCTCCCCTCATCGCTTCGATGGTGTGGGTTATAATTCGGCGTCCCATTGCTTCCGGCCAAGACTTCCTGATTCCGGAGTCGGACTTCCCGCATGTAGGCGCTCTGTTCCTGCTGGGGATCACCGTGTTCTTCCTGATGGCCTCCGTCTCGCTTGCCTTTGTACGTGATGTACATGCCCCATGCTAAGCCTACGCCGACCTGTGGTGAACAGCAAGTCAGTCTTCGCCAAATGCTGGAGGGCTTACAATGGCTGGACATACCGCAACGCCGACGATAATGAGGGCTACCACGCCGGCAGCACTGATTCCCATGGTGTATTAATCGCTCGAGTTGTGGACGGGACCGAAAGAGTCGTGATCGCCTCAAGCACTTCAAGTTAACAGAAGCGGCGTCAAACACAGAAATGTACCAAACATACTTATCACCATTTCCACCGTTATCAAACATATGTCATCGGCCCAACGTCACGGCATGGTGGAGAAGCAGGATTCTTATTGACAACCCCGATCCATATTTAATCACGGCTCGCCAGGACCGCGGAGCAGGATGCTGGAACACGGGTTGAAACTGTTTGTTTCTCTTGGCAGATCGAGAAATGTCTTGCCATAGCAGTGGTCTTCAGTCGAGTTGCCGTCCTCCAAGTATCTTGGTCGTCGCTTGCGATAACTGCGCGAGCCACATGAACATTCGAGAGCTCTGCTTCGGTCGAAGGACTCGTGCGGGTGAGCTTCGGAGTTTGAGACATATCAAGCGCGAAGCAAACGCGGCTGGATTGTGATTGGACAGACGTACTGACGTCTTGGTCAAAGCTTGGGTCAATATTCTGTTTATGCTTCGTTCAACGGTCAACCAAATTCGCTATTGGGGAATGGCTTGGCATGTCGTATCCTTAACAGTTGCAACACGGTACTGACTCAGCCGAGTTGAACAGTACGTCTATAATCCAAGACGTCGCTCATTGATCCCGTGCCCAGAATGTCCTCGGCTGCCTCACATTCTGACCGAGGTCACTGATCTGACTGCCCATCTTCTTCATCACGAAAGGTCTGGAATCAGCCCGCCACTCACTGATCTCGACCCAAGAACCGGAACCCTCCTTAAGACTTGGTAGAATCCTACTGCAGCACAACTTGACAAAGGGTGGCGGGCCCTCTCCACCACCAACAATGACCTCTGAGAAGCGCGCTGCCTCTGGTACGGCTTCATCGAAATGTCCCGGTTGTGTCACTTCTTTGTCTAAAGATGGTTCTCGCTCCTGCATCGATCTTGCAAGCTGCATCTCCACATCCATAACCGCACCGACAATTCTTCCAAGCACAGCACTATGATGTATGCCCTCGCGTCGATCCGCCGTATTCAAAAGATCCATTGCTTGTCGTCGCACTTCAACATTTCGGCACTTGGTACCAACAAGGTACAAAGCAGGCAGAACGCGCATCTCGGCTGACCAACCTCCATGTTGTGTCTCGGTGCGAGGTTTGCTCGGATCTTGCATCCAGTATAGTAGGTTCGTGGCAGTCAGGTGGATGAACTCCTTGCACCAGCCCACGACGGACTTGAAGTGCGCGTGCCAGAGGTCGGTGTCGACCTCGATAGTGTTTCGTAGATTGTAGAGACTGAAGCTGGTAGCGAAATGCTGGATTTGCAGGAGTAGTGGTGCACGACCACTGACTTCACCAGACTTCGCAAGTAAGCGGGCGAAGTGGTTCGACCAGGCGTCCAAGTCATTCTTGAGCCGTTGCATGCGAGCCTGCAAGACAACATGCTCATCAAGGTTCATAGTCTTGGCCATACAGACCGTCAGGCAAGAGGTCACAGCATGTGAGGCAGAATCACCGGACAACTCCGCTACACGATCTCTCGCTATATCCATTAGCTGCTTCTGAAGTTGCTCGTACATGCTTCTTAAGCCATCCAGATTTACCCGTGCTTCGGCGAGGTTGGGGAAGTCGTTGGAAATAGTTAGAGAGCTGTCGTCGGGCGGTTGATAGAGTGCCGTCGCAGACTCGAGCGTGGCATCCTCTTCCAGCATAGTTTTGAAGACTTCGAGAACCGGGCGTGCAAAAGGTCCCGGAGGAGGAACAATGGGATGGCCCACGATCTTCTCGTTGGGCGAGCGTTCTTGCAGGATCCGTAGCCCAAGTCCTACGGTAAGTGTTAGCCGATCTTACGCTCGTCGTATCGTAATTATCGGCATTGCTTTACCTAAATGTGCTTTGGCATCACTCGCTTGCTCCTCCAAGATATTGTACAAGACAAGCAGCAAACACGAGCCCAGCACGACTTGCAGCCCTTGCTCATCATGCGCATTCTTCATCATATGCGCCCGTAACGATGATAGCGCTTGTCCGTACTGCCTATGGAAAGCCCGTCTATCTGCCTGCACGTACCATCGTCGGAGCGACGTATCGAACGTCGAACCGGGATCGGAATGTGCGTTTCCAGTCGCAGTGATGGCGCGGAAGATGGGCTCGCACTCGAAGCTCAGCTGAATCGTGGGAAGCAGGAGGCCGGCTAGTGGCGTTATGATCTGCAGACTTGGATATGTCGTGGCGTAGAAGAAGTCCCAGGCATGTCGTTCGACGTCTGTGATCTTGAGTCGGAAGGTGGAAGTTGGGGAGATCCGTGGGGAGATGGAAATGGCTACACGGGGTAGACCCCACCTAGCTCCAACGATCGTTGAGCCGAGCGAGGTGGCGGAGCGATTAGGTATCTCGCCTGGCGTAGTCGGTGACGCGAATTGTGTGAAGACGTTCGGTGATGTAGTACTCGACGGAGGCGTGTCGTCGTTGGATCCTGATGTAGGCGAGCGGTCATCTGTCACAACTACGCCCTCCTCGATCAACTGTTGCTGTTTGGCATAGCCAGGACAGTTCCAGCCACTTTTCACACAGCGCTGGCAAGCCGGAATTGCCTCATCGCACTTAATGCGTCTTGTTCTGCGTCAGTCTGGTCAGTATGGTGTTGATCATGCAGCATATAAGCACGAAGGTAGGTACCGGCATGTCTGACACCCATTCCTGCTAGGCTTCGCCCGAACAACTCGCTTCCTCTTCTCCTGCATGATTGGCTGCGTGGCATAACGAGAGGTCTCGACATCGAAACGGTAGAGGTCGCCATGTTTGTCGTAGGGAAAGGAGGCTTCTTATCGGCGAGCTCGATACTTGAACGCCAAGACAATGTTCGAAGCGAGGAGGAAGGCGGAGCAAGACAGCGTGCACGGACCTTTAGATTTATCGAGCTTTGCGCTCCATCCCTTCCCTCGTCCCTGCAACGAGCAGCATCGTGCCATTGGCCAGCTCGATATATCGGTATCGAGTCGTGCAATGGCATATCCGCATAAGATGATTAGGCGCACGAGCATGCAGGCCGCGCGTGAACGACAAGGCAGTTGCGGGATCCTACAGGTAGGTGTGGCAAGGATGTGTTCACTGCGCTCGGATTCGGCAGAACTTCGCATATGGATTTGTATACAGCCTGGGAACGAGATGGCCACTAGCCATTTGGTACCTTCTTTCCCACTGCGGATCACTCTTGATTATCAATACAACGACCCTCGTTCTTTGAGGAGGAAGACACTCGTTTACCATATCTAAATTCGAAGTCTGGAGCCGACTGGACGATACCGATCAGCCCTCCTACTCACATCGCTGAACCATTCGTCTGGGGACAAGCACCACGCTACGAGAGACCTGATCCGGGTGGATCAGTACTAGCACCGCACGCGTACTCCTGTCGGCCATCCACCACAAGAACAGGATTGTATCCCCCTCGACAGCTTCTGTCAAACAACGGCGGCCATCGCTCAAGAACAGTGAGCGATAGCACTAGCACCCACCGCACACCCTGCGTCAATCCGGAAGCTTTCGAGGGAGTATCCTCGCTCAGCTCGCTCGACCAGGGACAACAACGGTGTAGACGGACCCACGCCTCGACCACTCACCCTCCGCCCTCGATACCGATTGAACCATGGACCCCTTACCCCATGCCGCGATCGTCTTCCTCATAATCCTCGGCGTCGCAATCGCGGTAGCAATCAGCTATGTAAGTATCCCAAGCCCCGCCTCCGTCATGGCAAAAAGAACGCGCACCCCCCCCCCCCCTTTCCTCGCGCACAAACGAAGAGAATGAACTTCTTCGAACGCCGCGATCTCTAAACCTATCCCTTCCCATTGTCCCTGACTGCACCTCCGGTCTTTCAACCCAAAAACAAACAACCCCAACCCCAATGCCTCCACCCTGCCCTTCGAATACCCAACCTCACTCACACACTAATACCAAACCCCTCACCAACAGGGCATCTGGTCCCTCATCCACGGCCGCGACCCCGAAGACTCCCTCGAACCGACACAAGACCAAGCAGTCTACATGCGGGAAGTCCGGCTCCGAAACCACGACTGGATGGCCCAGACCTATGGGTACCGGTACGAGCGTGGCGTGCCGGCGCAGGGACTGGCGTATCAATCGAGTGGGCGGAGTTCGAAGGGGAGTTATGTCTGAAACCCCACAGATGCTGGCAGGGGACCAGAGGCTCTTCGTAGGGTGGCTGATACGTGTCGGTGGTGTGCCAGCATGTCTAGTTCTGGATAGGCCTAGGGAGAAGAGTGTAATGAAGTAATGGCGGGAGGGAGGCGCAATGTGTGTGTGAGAGTGCGAGAGAGATGGGGAGGAGGAAGCAAGTATCGTGGAAGTGGCAGGCATACGTACACGACACTCCGGCTCCACGATCCCGTATTTACTTGCGCTTCTGTCATCCCACCGCTCTCGCTATGCACATGAGTTACAGCAGAATCTAGACAGACCGATCAGCGCAGTTTCCTCATAGTCTATATCTTAAACGCTCATCCATCCCACGTCGGCTTAATCAATGCTCATTAGTCTTCTGATTAATGCACTTGCCCGCCGCCTTCAATGACCCCATCACCTGCTCCATCCAAGGATAAACACTCCCATTCGCCGGCGGATACCCCATATGCAAGAGTCCCGTGAAAAACCTCGCCTCCTTCGGCGTCCCATACTCCATCATCAACATACTATCCTCAATCGGCATAAGTCCATCATGCGTCCCATTGATCAACAAGAGTCTCGTAGCCGGAATCTCCACAACCCCCAACTCCACAAGCGAGAAATCCTTCTGCGCATGATCCATGAATTCGTCCTCGGATTTATAGCCGAATTTCGCCGTGAGCGCTGGGAGGGCCGTCCAAGGGTACTCGTGATCCTTCGCCTTCTCCAACCAAGCGCGGGAGAAGAAATGATGGGTCCCGGCCCCCTGGCCCACGGCGCCCGCGAGGCGCGAAGCATGGGTGTGCGCGGCGCGGACGGCGTTGTGGCCGCCGGCTGAGAGGCCCCAGGCGATGATGTGAGACATGTCGTAGATTTGCTGCTGGGCCATCCAGTCGAGGATACTGGTCCAGAGACGATCAGGGGAGGCGGCGTCCCGGCGGTCGGCGGGGCAGTCGGCTGTGCCGGGGATGTCGACGATGATGCTTGCCCAGCCTCGGGAGAGGAATTCGTCGCTGCGGGTGGTGTTGTCGGGTCTGTGGCCATCTAGGCCGCACATTAATAGCACAGCGGGCGCTGGCTTCTCCTTCGAGGTGTTCTTTGGCAACCGGAGGTAAAGTGGGATCTCTTTCCCTTCATCCTTGGCTGTGCCGGCTGTGTGGGGGATGGACATATCTTCTATTGGGACATCCCATAATGCTGCGCCTTTCATGTAGGCTTTCTTTTGGGCTTCGTAGGCGGCGGTTTTGACGTCACTGTTGATGTAGGGGAAGCGGGCGATTCGATAGACGGCACAGGCTCGTAGGTACAGATCTATCGCTTCTTGCTTGTTTCCCGCGCCACTCGCTTCATCTGCTTTCTTCACTAGTTCTTCGGCTGTGGGGAGGAATTCTTTGGTGTATTCAACGCTATAGCCATCGTGGATGCCTTTCTTGATGAGGGTCTCGAAGATTGGTTCGAAGTCTTCGAGTTTGCCGTCGTGGAAGGGGTAGAGGCTTCGTGTGCAAGGGAACTTCCACTTCTTGTTCCAGAGGGCGTCGATGGATTCAAGGTGGGGGTGTTTCGTGTCGAACTTGTCGCCCAAGATCCAGCGGGAGCCGGTGCGTGGGTCGGTCATTGTCGTGGTATGGTGTGGTGAGGTTGATAGACGAGAGGGGATGGGACGGGAATGGTAGTTATACAGGTGAGAGTCGGACATTCGATACTAACACTTTCCCCGAGCAGCATATCCAGCATGCAGGTGTTGACTAGCTCATTATTGTTCTAATCTGGTGGAGTCGTTCAGGTACCGCTCGAAGCGGCGTCATCTCGTCCACCGTCTTCCGATGGCACGGGATATGCGGGGTCGTGGATGATGGTCGGCGGTCCACGGTGCCGACTGGTCTGATTGTGATATATTATAATTGTTAACAGAATGCATCTGTCTCATGTCTCAGATTATGTTTGGCTTGACACCTGCCATGTGGCGGAAGCTTTCTGCCATCGTGAACCTTGGGATCTGCTCTGCCACTGCCGACGAGACTACCGACATATGCCGGAGATACGTGACGCCGGTGGCCGGCGGGGTAACTCGAATCTCTCGGTGACGCGCATGGAGACCATGGCATTGCATGAATGAAGGTAGTTGATGTACAGCTACGATTACACTGAATGATCGCTATACTGAGACGAGTGCACTCGAGAAGAGTCCAAGGTAACCTAGATCATCCCAATGAGCACGTGATCAAGGCAAGAAGGAAAGGCATACCGGGTTCCAGAGCGGTGAGGGAGAGGGAGCCACAGTGAAGATGGAGCAGTCGGGCAATTCGGCCAAGGATGTGGTGAGGGAGGCGATGAGGAAGGATGTAGCATCAGAGGCACGGCTAGCAGAGCCAGCACCAGGTCAGGCCACAGTACTGGCCGATGGAAAAGCACAAGTCGACACGGCTCAAGGGAAGCCATCACGAATCGACATAACCACACCAAGACACGCCGCGTCCAGTCACTCACCCACAACATCGCCACCAGTCTCACCGCCTATATCAGGCCGCCATAACGACACCATCGCAGACTACTACACTGCGCGTCCCAAGTTCGATCGTCTAGGCAACCCGATACCCGACCGACGAAGACCGAGCGCCATGGCATCTGTATATGGCAAGCAGACGGTGAAGCTACCCGGAGACCTTGGCGCAAAAGATCCACGACGGCCGAAATCTCCAGCAGTTGCACATCTGCCAGGCGACCTTGGCCCGAATGATCCACGGAGACCACGAAGCGCGAACAGTAGTCCTGTGCCGCTAGGCCATAGTCGACACATATCACTGGAGAGCTCGGAGGGTGCGGGCAGGTTACAGGAAGATCCGCCGGTGCCAGGCGAAGATGCGCCCGGCAGCGACGACGATGCCGATGCAGACAATGACAACGACACTGATGCAGACGACTCAAAGCGCGGCCGAGGTAGGAAGCGGCCGGAGCCTGGACGTACCACATCAGGCAAGAGTACGAACCTGCGAGAAGGAAGTGTAGACTCCGAGATAGGAGTTCCCCCGAAACCTGACCCCACGAAAGGAGAAAGTAAATTATCTTTCCAACGAGATCCTCTAATCAAAGTCACGCCACCGACAGAAAAGCGCCGAGTCCATCCCAGCACAGCCTTCGACACCGCACCATCTGGCCAAGCAACACCCCTCGGCAGCGACGACGAAAGCCACACCGATGCAAAAGTCGCCCAAAAACTGCCTCTCACCATGAGCGCAGTCCACAGCACACCCTCAGCACACAGAGTAATTCGACAAATTATTCGAGGCGACTATGCGCACTTCCAGCGCGAAGCAGAAGAAGGCCGCAAACGCCAAAGAGTCTACCTCGTCGCCACCGACCTCTCCCCCGAAAGCGAATACGCACTCGAATGGACCATCGGCACCGTTTTGCGGGACGGCGACACCCTCCTAGCACTCTACGCCATGGACGAAGAATCCGCCAGCGCCGGCGGCGCCAGCTCCGGCTCAGGCGGAGTGGAAATCGGCAAGGGCGCAGATAGTATCCGCGACACAGCCGCCATCGTCCACGGGCTCCCGGCTACCAATATTCCGCCTCCTTCTCCCGGTCCCTCACCCCTAAGTAAGAACGCGGGCGTCCCATCAATATCAGATCCGCGAAGTCGCTCGCGCGGCGGCGTCTACACAGCCGCCGAAACCGAACGCCGCCGCGCGATCGAAGACATAACAAACCGCAGTATCCACCTCCTCCGCAAAACCCGCCTGCAAGTCCGCGTCGTGGTCGAAGTCTTCCACTGTAAATCCCCCCGCCACATGATAACCGAAGTCATCGATTTCCTCACCCCGACGCTCGTCATCATCGGATCCCGCGGTAGGAGCGCGGTCAAGGGCGTCCTGCTGGGATCGTTTTCCAATTACCTCGTTACGAAGTCCTCCGTGCCGGTTATGGTGGCGAGGAAGAAGCTTAGGAAGCTTAGTAAAGGTGGTGGTGGGGGTGGAGGGGGATCGGGGAGCGGGATGGGGTTGAGGAGGAATAGGGATGGGACGAGTGTTCCGTATTCGGGGAGTGGGAGGACGAGTAGGTTTAGTAATGTTATTGAGGTTTCGAGTGGGAGGGGGTTGAGAGTTGAGGGCTGGGATAAGGTGGGGATTGATTGATTGATTGACTGATTGTGTGATCTGAGGATTCGAGGCTAGCATGAGTGTCGGTCGTGTAGCTGGGCTTGTTTCTAGGGTCTGGTTGGTGGCATAGTATTGCATAGCATAGTATAGTATAGCATAGCCCAATGCATTGTACAGCCTTTGTCTACCCTTCTCATGCCTAACAGACCATGCACGAAGGACCGCCTTGCTGGTCAACGGATGCTTTCGGCGTTTGACGGCTATTGGTGTTGCAAATCAATTGCCGAACCAGCTCCTCTTCTTCTTCCCCTCATCATCATGCTGGTGAACTTCCATCCTGCTACGGCACAACTACCAGCGACTTCGGCGTATCATTGTAGCAAGCTCGCAGTGATGTAAGTGTTAGGTACAGGTACGGTGGAACCCCAATTCGTTCTATTCCAGTTGTGTTTCTGCTCCCTCAACGACGTCTACAGCTTCTCCTCTGAACCTATCACGTCGATTTCATTGCGAAAGCACAGGAGGACAATAGGCGAAATCCACGAACAACAGAAGCTCGCAAGAAACACCAACCGGATACTCACACACAGCCATGAAGATCCTGATAACAGGCGCCGGCGGCTTCGTCGGCCAACTCCTCGCCTCCCACCTCCTCGCCGACACCAAAGCGAACCATCATCTCATCCTAGCCGATATCTTCGAACCCCCTATCCCACCCAAGACTTCGAACGCGAAGAACGTCACATGTATCAAGGCCGATTTGTCAAATGATGCCGCCTCCGTCCTCTCCAAAGACCTCGACGCCATCTACATCTTCCACGGCATCATGAGCGCCGGCAGCGAAGAGAATTTCGACCTGGGATACAACGTCAATCTCCACTCCACACTAAAACTGCTCGAAGCCATCCGCAAAACATGTCCGGGCGTGAGGGTTGTATATGCGAGTTCTTGTGCTATTTACGGACAACCGCTGCCGCAGATGCCGTCGGAGGATACGGTGCCCACGCCTGAGGGGAGTTATGGGGCGCAGAAGGTCATGATTGAGTACGCGATTAATGATTACTCTCGTCGAGGCATCCTGGGCCCGAGCTTTATTTTCAGATTCCCGACGATTTCGGTGAGGCCGGGGAAGCCTACTGCTGCGGCTAGTAGTTGGATGAGTGGGATTATTCGGGAACCTTTGCAGGGCAAGGAGAGTTCATGTCCTTGTCCCGATGATTTCGAAAGCTGGCTCTGCTCCCCGAAAACCCTCGCGAAGAACTTGATGATTGCGCTCGAGTTGAAGGGGGATTGTATGCCGAGTCATGTTCGGCAAGTCAATCTTCCTGGTATCTCGGCGACGGTTAAGGAAATGTTGCAGGCGTTGAGGGAGGTGGGTGGGGAGGAGGCGGTGAAATTAGTGAAGAGGGAGAGAGGGAGTGAGGAGGTTATGGGGTTGTTGGAGAGTTGGGGGGTCAGGTATGATGTCTCCAAGGCATTGAGGTTGGGGTTTCAACCGGATCCGGGGTTTAAGGAGGCGGTGGAGGATTTTGCGGCGAGTTTGAAGGAGTAGGGACAGTGATGTATGGATATCCGATCTGGAATTAATTGTAAGGTATATCCTGTCATACGTACACAGTGCCCCCCATTTTCGCGCCGTTTGTATGGTGCATTTCTGTATGGCGCTAGCGGCTGTAAACTTTTTGGTCGTGAACATTCACCACTCCCTTCTCGTCTGCTTCGCCCACCTCGTAGGTGGGATTGTCAAGCCCACGAAGTACCCTCAAGGACGGTGGGGTGAGCATCCAGATGGCCTCAAGCATGGCTGCAGTCACGCTGCTGCGCCATAAGACCATGGCGCCGTCCGCGAGCCTTGTGGTGGCGTCTCGCAGCCTCGTCGCCTTCGGGCAGCCTGGCGGGCGACCTCAACAATTTCGATATTTCTACTGTATCGCTCCTTGTCGTGCTGACCTGCTCGCTCCTTTTTCTACCTGGCCATGATCGATTCCCTGTCATGACCAGATTGCAGCAGCCATGGCAAGATACACTGCTCCCAGAGTCCTGGCATTAGTCCTGCTCCTCCTCGCGATATGGACAACTACTACTTATGCGTCATCTCTGCCTGATAACGCAGCTGATGGGTCGTACTCGACTCCACCATCTCTCGGCGAGAGACAGAACAGACTCCCTCTCAACCCACAAGCCCTCTACGGTATCGGCGTGCGAACAGGGAGCTACCTCCAAGGCTTCGCATTCGTGATTGGCTTCACCTACCTCGACGACGTGGACCCAAAATCGCAATTCTCCGGTATCATACTTGCTCTCCAGCTTCTGATCAGATGGTGGAACAAACACAACACCCACACCGCATCACTGTCCGAGCTTTGGATCGGTCTCGCTCAGCTCCTCATCATCACTACGCCGGGTGCCTTCTTGCTCTTCTTCAGCTTTGGGTATCAGCGTAGACAATGGAAGACGGCTGACAATCGGCCATTGCATCGTTGGGAGGTCATCCGAGATCAGGGTCTCAATTTCTTGCTGGTATTCGCCGTGCTTACTGGTGTCGGAGCTACCAATATCACCATGGCTCTCACCGCTACCGATGCTGTGCATTACACCGGAACACCGGCAGTAGTGGATGGTGTGACCAACCCACTATGGATCTTCAAGGTCTGGCCTGCGCAGGGAAGCTACATGCTAGCATTCATGTGGATTCAATCCGGCGTCACAATCATCCTAGAAGCCATACCCTACACCATCTATCTCTCCGCTTGGGCTGTCTACGGACGAGATTACTTCGTCATGACCATACTCCGGCGGAATATGCATCGCGAGAGCCACGAGGTCGAGGAGAAGCGTACGGAAACAAACTGGATGGATCGCTTAATCGATTGGATGTACAGCTGGCCGAAAGAGCTCGGTTTGGTGATGCTCTACTCCCTCGCCTGCGCATATGTAGTGATACTCATCTTCTCGGTCGAGCGAACAATCACAGCAGCGGACATCGGGCCCACAGGGACTCTAGCAGATCCTTCCCAGCTTCTACCTTTCATCACTGGGGTCATCGCAATAGTCAACGCTCTGGCGAGTGCTGCAAACAGATTCTCGATGGTGTCGCATCATGTCAGTCATCATAGGTTGTTGAATGGTGGCACTTTGATTTTCTACAAAGATGGGAGGTACTACCAGAACGGTCAAAGGACAGAAGTCAACAACCCCGGTCCGGGAGGATACATACCACTGATTGAATATGGCACTCCACGGCTGCAGCGAGATTATGATTATTCGTAGGATGAATTTGCAGGTCTATCTTTATATACAGTCTGCAGGTCTATCTTTATACACAGTCTACATACTCATCAATACGCAGTGAGCCAGCAATACGGTCGCAAACCACTCCCACTTCCGTCTGCTTCCGTTGGACGAGACTAGAGACTTAGCACTCGACGTCTGAGAGCTGGACAAGGTACCACCCGCTGCCACAGAGGTCCTGGTCGCACTCTGGGGTCCCGTCGCTTGAGCAGAGCCTGTGACGGTCATAGGTCGGGTACCCCCAGTAGGCAGAGTGAGTGTAACGCCATCAACCACTATAGTAGAGCCAGGATTAAGAACTTGGCCGCCCACGACTATAGCAGTGCCACTTGTGGTAAGTGCCACAGTCTTATCAAGTAGCTTCAGCACTGCTGGCAGAGAAGTCATCTCCGGAGCTAAAGTCTTGGTAATGCTCCCGTTGACCACGATCACACCAGACTGTTTAAGTGAGATCGTCTCACCGGACACGGTGACTTGGCCGCCCACCGACAGTGTCTTTGTGCCGATGATGATGGCATTGCCGGACTGAGAGTAGCTCAGTAGATCTGGCCCCATGGTGATGATTGATGAAGCCTGGGACGTGAGAGTTCTGGTAATGCTGCCGTTCACCACGACGACGCCAGAGCTCTGCAGAGATAGAGTCTCGCCGTTGGCTGTGATCTGAGCACCAGGCGTGAGTGTCTGAGTGCCGAAGACGAAAGCATTACCAGATTGCGAGTATTCAAGCGGATCAGCACCAAGTGTCAGTTGTGCTAGACTGGCTTTCGTAGCCACTGCCACAACTTTTGGGGTCATCATCACCGATCCCAACGTCAAAGGTGAGGCGTTACTCGGTATCGAGACTAATGTCTCTACCCCATTGACATAGATGCCGCCACCAGTCGATGGAAGCGAGTACGTCGTGCCCTGAACAACTATGCTTGAGCCAGGAGCGAGCGTGCTTCCAGCCATAACGAGCTTAGTAACGCTGCTTGGACTCCCTCCGGCAGGCGCTGCTTGCGCAATCATGGCCGTATGGCCGTCAACGTCGAGCGCTGATGCTGAAGGTGCTAGAGCCAGAACTGTGCCTCCGGCTGTAATTGCAGGCCCGCCGGGTACGAGCGTCTGTGAGCCAATCATGTAATTTGAAGCTGGGTCTTGCGTGACAATGCTTCCGCCGAGTGTGATCGAAGGCGGGAAGCCGGCGACTGTTGCCTGAGGCACTGGCTTGATGGTCTGCTGGCCCGACGTTGAACCCGGGTCTATGGGGCTGTTTAGAGATCCTCTAGAACCCTTGCTCGTGCTAGCAGGATCTTGACCACTCTGCATGCCAAGCACGCTGGCGATTCTGTCTCCGACATTTGCTGGTGTGGACGTGGCAATAGCTACCGTCTGGCTAGTACGAGTGGCTTGTTCCAGTATTGATAGGACACTGTTCCCGGCATCTAAGGATACTGCAGACGACGTAGCTGCGGAAGTGGCAGACCATGGTTCTCCAGAGGTCATACTAGCCGCGTTCGGATCTTCTGCCGGATCATTGCTCGTTTCCGTAGACGTGGCGGCGGGATCAGCTGGTTTGAAGGGTGCCAGCGAGGGCGCAGTAGAAGCGATAGCTGGGGAGTAGGCGACTGCAAGCGATGTAGCAGTGGATGCGACAGCTGGTGAGTTTAGTACGCTGCTGCCCGATCCATTAGGTCCTAGCACGGGAGCACCAGCGCCTGAAGATGAGGATGTTCTGACGGTAGTCGCAGTGACAGATGTGATGGTGGGTTTTTGGCTTGGTGAGGCCGAGGTCGTTGTCAAGGTTGCTGGATGCGTCGGCGTTGCTTCAACAGCTGTGGGCTGTAGTGCTTCAGGAGGGTCGTAGAGGCCACCATACCTTTCACGAATGTCAGCGGGCATGTGTAGATCATGAGCCTGGAGTCTACTAACCATGGCAAACACACATCCCACTCCGGGTCAAGAGCCGACACCTCTTGTGGTACGGCAATGATCGGAGCATACGGCCCAGCATTACAGGCGAAGTTCTCCGGTGTGAGGCCTCGGAGCTGCCCAGCTTCTTCCGTTAGAATCTCATACTGCTTCATGCAGTCCGGCTGTAGGTTGTAGATGCTATGAGGAACCGGTGGGACCAGGTCCGACAGGTGGAACGGTCTAGTTGACCAGCCACTCGAAGCGGTGAAATCGCCATATCGGAAGACCAGACTGGACATTTGATCTGTTGCAGTAAGTGGTACGACAAGATTGCTGTATGCCGAGCCCACTTGACTGCATGAGTCCGAAGCGTATAAGGTATCGTAGGAGATGTAGACTGTAGGCGAGGTGAATGTTGTGCCTGCCTGATTTAGCAGAGGCTCAAAAGGTCAGTCTGGAGGCGCCTCACCGTTGACCACCGCAGTACTTTGCGCAGAACGGTTGCCATATGTTTGCGGGGCAGCGCTAATTTCTGATACATTCGAAGTCGCAGGTGGCCAGTAAAACAGGCGTATAGTGTTCCCCGTGATCGAGCACTGCTGACAGCCCAGTGTGCATCCCGGGGCGAGTCGACTATTCGAAGGCCAAGGGCTTATCGTTTTATGGCCCCAATTGATGGCTGTCTGTGCCGGGTCATCTTCAAGCACGACCATGGCAAGCGACGTACAGAGCTCGCTGCCGACTGATGCTTGCGTACACGAAGGCATGGGCTTGCTAACACTGTCATCATCTCCTCGTAATGCTATGGATGCATTCAACCACGAGTTCCACTGGCTTTGACACTGGGAGACGGAAGTGGGAAGCGCACATCCGGGCGTGGTAATTGGTGTATTGGCCGTCTGTACAGTAGCCAGCTGTGTAAATGGCCCAGGATTGAGGTAGTAGCTGACCGTTGTGCCCTGGTACGTTTTTGTGTACGTTACGCCATTGACCGAGCTGGTGAAAGTAGTGCCATTCTGAGTCTCGAAACTGTTCGTCTTCGTACCTGTACTGGTCGTCAAAGCCACTGCAAACACGGAGGGGCTCCAGTATTGAGACCATTGATCCCAGCAATCACCTGAATACTGGTAGCTTGACCACTCTGAGCTCGGCAGTGGCTTCGTCATCATGATAGAGGTGATGTTGTATTCGGAGGTTGCGATGCTGAACCATGGCACCGTTGGCAGTGCTGTGTCATTAGTGGAAGCAGTGCCGGAGGTGGTTGTATTTTGAGTGGTGGTCGTGCTATGTGTTGCGCTCGTCGTTAATAAGAACTTCTGAGTTGAGGTGTCAACAGTGGTGCTTGACGGGTTTGACTTTGATGACGATGTTATGGACGCAAATGCCGTAGACGAACTTGAGGGCAGTGCTAATGTCTTGTTGGGTATCAGTATAACAGAAGGCCAGCCGGCGATTGGGACTCATGCCTACCGTTGAAGTCGTTTGTGTAGTATTCTGCCATCTGGAATTACTTGCGCTGGCACTCTCAGCAGCATTTCGCGCCCAGCGCTTCCCGGTCACGATATTAAAGTTGATGAAGACATTCGCAAACAGAACAAGTCCATGCCGGCGGCGTGACGTGACCATGTTGGAGCGGAATCTGTTGCAGCTAGTGGTCTCCGCAACTAGCAGGAAGGAATGCACCCCTCAAAAACCACAGATCAAACGAGTGTGCGTTCATATCGAAGCCACATTCAAGTCAGGACCATTGTGGGTATCAGGGCTGAAGGATCAACCACATAATAAGGCAGGAGCAAGTTCCTCCGAGGAGACCAAACATCCAGATCGTGGGTCCTTGAACGCGTGCACGAATAGCCTGATGCATGAAAATTTGTCCAATTAAAGGTGTTGAAGTAGCGCATGCACCAGCAGCGCAATCAAGCCGGCAGTCATCAGAGCCAGTCAATCCTGTGCGATGGGGCTAAATGCATGTGCGATACCTCAGCTCGCTTCGACTTGCATATAACAGAAGTTTGGGGCCAGAACGCCACCGTCAGGCACCGTGGATTGGTCACTATCCGTAAGGCTGTTACGGCTGATGACCTATGACAGCAGAGCCATCCTGATCTGCGCATATACATACAGATGTAAGCCACCGCTGTGGAGTTTCGTAATCCCTCTCTCCTACCTCCATCTCGTTATCGCGTCTAGTATGATCTTTGCTACTCCGTCTGGTTGAGTCAAGAAGGCTTCGTGTCTGGACATATACCGTCAGTGAAGCGTGGTCACGACACCAGTCGAACAAGTATGATAGATCAAATTTGCAGAGGAATATGACCTTCTAGATACTCACCCAGCTTTCAACTCAACAACCTTCCATGCCACACCTGATGCCTTGATTAACATATCCTGGAGTGGCGGCAGAAACGTGGCATCCATCATAGTCCTGATCACCATCCGCCGACCCTCGAAAGCTGAATCCTGCCACAACGGCTTCGATACTGGTGTATTGATGACCTTCATACTATGTGGCCGCATCACTTCGGCATAGCGGTCTGCTTGCGCTTTCTCGACATCGTTGAACAAAGTATCAGATATTCTGTCAAACGACACAAGACCTTGGCGTGGCTGCAAGGAAGTCTTAGCGCTATGGATACGAAGAAGGAAGATCATGGTAATGCACTGACATGATCAGTCATAATATTATCCGGCCAGATCGAACCAAAGCTCCTGAACTGCGAATGACCATCCATGGTAGGAATGAAGCTCATATAGACCAATCCAATCACACCTCCCGTGAGTCCCATGCCAGCACGAACACTTCTAGAAAGTCCCAGGTCCGCGCCGCTCAGACATGTGCCGCCAAAAGAATGGGCGAATATGAGGACATCTCGGCCTTCGTCCAGGAGAGGTAGCAGGAATTCGTCGAGTAGATGACGTCCATCCTTGGCCGCAGTGCAGTCATCTGGACTGCTTGGATTCAGGCTCGTCAATGCGCCAGCGACAGTAGGAAATCCAGCTTGCTCGAGTATCGGTCTCAGGCGATCGAAGCACGCCGAGGTCTGCAGAGCACCGGGGACGAGCAATATCGTGGATTTGGTGTAGTCCATGGTGGATTGACGGTGGTGGAGTGTGTCTTGAGTCGTCAAGCATACGACTAGTTCGTCATATAAGCTTTCTCATCGGGAGACTTTACTTCATGCTTCTGCGGCTGACATTCCGAACCACTTCCATCCGCCAAGAATATGACGCAGATGGCGTCTGATGTACGACCATACGCTACTGTAATCGCCCTCGGCGAAAGGGCGTGATGATCGTTAACCAAACTATGAGATGAGATGAGAGCAGCATTCACCGAATACCCATTAGTAAGCGCAATAGAGTTGGTGATCGTTGAACTCTAAACGGGGACGGACGCAGGCACATCTCACTGCATCAGGGCGCGCAGCGTGGCCGACCGCGCAGGGCACTGTACGTCAGCACGGCTGACGAGAGTCGCGTACCCTGTGGATGACATGCTGTGCGGTCATCCATAGCGGTCATCCAAAATTCTTCAGATCATGAGATCGAATGCCACCTTGAACGTTCAGATTTGAGGTCGGTCTGGCGGTACGCGCTACTCATATTCGCGCTGACATGGATAAGAAAAGCATGGCCAGGTTGACAAGCAGATTCAACCATCACCTCCGCCAACCTCAACACCCGTCCTAGGTCGACTCTTGTTCAGCCCTTCGAGCAAGACACAGGCCTTGCACACAGCTTGTGAAGACAGATAGCCGCATCGTTCGCATTGTCCCAATGTCTGCGCAGGTCGTGCAATACCATCCTTGCCCATCTTCCTTCCTTGCTTCTTCTCTGCTTTCGTTCGGATAGGCACAGTAGTTTGCTTAGTCTCTAGGTCAGGGATTGAAAGATGTGTATGTCTGTCGTGGTCCTGATCAGATGTGGGTGTAATCAACGCAGATGTAGGGGGGCCAGATGCCGCAATGTCTCTGTCGTGATTTTGCCCATTCACAGCCTTCATCGGCATCTTGATCTCCACCTCCATACCATCCTCCTCCGCCTTCTCGTCCTGCCATAGCTTCCTCTCCATCTCAGCCATTTCGCCACCAGCATCCTGCCCGTTCCCACTCCCACACCCACCCTCGCCCTCCTCCTGCTCAGCCTGCGCCTCCTGCTTCCTCTTCTTATCCGCACATCCGCTCTTACAATTCCCGGCTGCATCGGGAACCAACTTTGCCATATCAATACCACTCCTCACCACATCCAATATACTCTCTGGCCGTATCCTCTCCAGGTTCTTGATCAGTGTCCTGGCACTTCCACGGAACGCCTCAGGACTGTAGATGCATTCTGTACTGAAATAGTCAAGTTTCTTGTGGTGTGCGTACAAGACTATCTCCTTCTCGTAAGCATACATGAGTGGTTTGCTCCTCTTCACATTCGTGAAAGAGCCTTCGGGTCCCCGCGCTGCACTGGGAGTGCTGGTGACGATACTCGTCGCACGAGATAGTCGTGGTAGATCTCCTCGAAGTAGATTCATGAGGACTGTCTCCGCTACATCGTCTGCATTGTGACCGGTTACTACGTGACCTACGCCTAACATAGCGGCACCACGGTCCAGAGCCTGACGACGGAAGACACCACAGTATGTGCAATTGCCTTTCTTGCCTACCTGTGCCACTACCTGGTCCATAGACCAGCCGTACAGCTCTTCATAGCTTACTATCTTCAGTGGAAGTCCAAGCTCAGCACTATTCCTCTTTACAGCCTCCAGGCTGTGGTCCCGATAGCCTGTTATGCCTTCGTCTATAGACAGGAGCACAAGATCCAGTCCCCAGCCATGTCTGTCGTTCAGTGTCTTTAGCACAGAGGCAAGGACGGTACTATCTTTTCCACCAGAAGCTCCTATAGCCACCCTCTCTCCTGGCTGGAAGAGACTCGTCGAAGTGATCGTCTCAGCCGTCTCGCTCTCGAAAATGTCGATGAAGCATGCGGCACAGATCCGCGCATGATTCTTTGGTCGAAGGATTTGGGCGCGAGCTGTACGACAGATCTCGCATATATGAGGCGGCATTTCGGATCGATCACTCTCCCGGACAGTCAACGAGTTCCAGCCCTGTAGGAATGCAGAAAGGCAGACTCATACCAACAACGCGGCCGCATGACACGCCATGTGAAAGTGGCGCATATTCGCACAGAATGTATGCGGGAGAGTGCGGCCGCATAACACGCCATGTGAAAGTGGCGCATATTCGCACAGAATGTATGCGGGAGAGTGCGGCCGCTTGCAAGGATCCTCTCGGGGCTCATTTCGGGACCGATGTCGATAACTGCCTGGCCTTCTCTAGTTTCTCGCGAAGAAATGGTGTGTCAGTGAAACTACAACGTACAGCCAAACCACCGGATGCGGTAGTATATCATCCGAGAAGTGCGACAGACATTGCAGCCTTGGGCTGAGCGAGAGTATAAGAGCATCAGCAGCACACTTTCCTCTCCAGGTTTCCTATTCATATCTGATCAATTCAAGACTCACATTATCATCACCACCAAAGAAGACATCAATTGTGAAACAACGATATGGCTGACAATCAACGAGTTGTTCTGATCAGCGGCTGCTCTGATGGCGGAACTGGAGCTGCCCTAGCGAAGGAGTTTCATGCTCATGGCTTCCTTGTATACGCCACAGCACGAAACGTCTCGAAAATGGCCAGCCTCTCCTCTCTCGGCATCAAGACACTAGAACTGAACATAGGCTCCGAGGACTCCATCGCAAGATGTGTTAAAGACGTCCCGCACCTCGACATCCTCATCAACAACGCGGGAGGCTCCTACACGATGCCTGTCAGCGATCTCTCCATTGCGGAAGCAAAGAAACTCTTTGACACGAATCTCTGGGGCCATGTAGCTGTGACACAAGCCTTCCTGCCTCTTTTGATGAAGTCACGGAACGCGATGATAGTCAACCACACTTCTGTTGGAGCTGGCATGGCGATACCATTTCAAGCAGCCTACAATGCTTCCAAAGCCGCCATGGCAATGTTCTCCGATACCATGCGGCTCGAACTAGTATCCTTCGGCATCAAAGTCGTCCAAATGAGAACGGGAGGCGTGAAGACGAATATCATCAGCAATACTCAGGCCAAGGAGTCCATGATCCCGGCGGATTCGATCTGGTCCCCTGCGAGAGATCTAGTGAATAAAGCGTTAACGCTAGAATGGGCCGAGAGCCAGGGCATCTCGCCTGAGCAGTGGGCGAGGGAAGTAGTGGCGGATCTTACAAGGCCAGCTCCTGCGCCCATGGTGAGGAGAGGGTCTTCCGCTTGGGTGGCGGCAATTGCGTCCATGCTGCCTACAGGTTGGCTGGATAGTATGAGTAAGAAGTTATGTGGACTGGACAAAATTGAGGTTGTGATAAGGACGAATAGATCGTCATGAGTATTCCACGGCATGAACGGGCCTTTGCATGTCTCACGATACACTCTTCTAATCAACATCGGCTGCCATCTATCTTCCTTTCGTATGGTCTTCGATAACGTACTCACGTGCCAGCGTGCGATTGCATCCACTCTGAACAACTCAGGGTGGCCACACATGACAAGTCGCCTTGACTGCACAAGATACCAATAATCGCTGCAGACTAAGAGAGAAGCTTTCGGCCCGAGTCCAGAGTTCAGTCGCGAACAGAGACAGGTTGCATTTGTGAGCAGCATCCGTCGAACAGACTGTCCTGGACCATCCGTGATGCCGGATGCGACAGGTGACTGCTTAGATTGCCCCTTGGAAAGCAAGACAACCACACTCCAGACACATGTTCACCTAGCAAAGAAGATTCGCCGAGTGGCTGGACACATAAAGGTACGGAGTACAACGCCCCATCCGCCACACAAAAGGAAGTCATTGTCAAACAGCCGCAAACGGTCTCCAAGCGCCCTTTGACTCGAAGCCGCCACCATCCCACCAAGATTGTACATATCGAGTATCCCGGAGAGAATCTTGAAGGACAACTGCAGCAACAAATTCGGCTATTTAAACAACACACCCTTGCCTCAAACAGTCTTCGTTAAGATGTCTCCAGCTCACGTCAAACCTACCGCACTGGTCAACGAGCTGACCTACAAGGTCGAATGCTCCAAATGCGGTAAGAAGTGGAGAATGGCAACACGTGCGCGTGTGGCAGGAAGAACTAAGGACTGTATGACAGCAAGGAACAGCGCATGCGGAGGATAATGCAACATTATCAAAAGTACCTCGCGCATCAAGTAGCATTACTGTCGCTCTGTTAGATAAATGCCATATTGACCCGTCTTGGTCTTCACCTTCTACTCCAAAAGCCTTATTTCCGAAACTTCGGAATTCAAATGCTAGCCTCCCAATTTGATCTGGACTACTCGTGCCTATCCACTTCCTTGCCTATCTTCCGCATGAACTTCTCATACGCACCCAACCACCTCTGATTGACATGAATTTGATGCTGTCCGTACTCGATCAACCCTTGCACAATACTTGCACCATCACTCATCATCACTTCTTCCAGCTTCGGGCCACCTGAACTTGCACTTGCTCCTTGGCTTGCCCTAAACTCCCTGACCGTTTCAGCGTACTTCTCAAGGAAGCCCTCGCATCCCTTCAATCTCTCGATTGCTGCTGGTCGTCTTTCAACATACCCCGGTGCTGGTCGCTCCAAGCTCATGAAACAGGGAAATTGAGCAACACGTTCGATCGGCGCAGCGATAACACCATCAACGTCTATGAGCGCAAGTATGTTGAACTCCTTATCCACCAGAACATTATGCGCACCAAAGTCGCGGTTCACGAGCCCGAACCGGGTTTGTCTGCTTTGGCCGTAAGCCGCCATGAGATCGTTAAAGTAGACCGGGAGCTGGATTGATGCATCAAGTTTCGTCTCTTCTGTACAGTCTTTACGCGCCACGCCCGCGGCATGATGAGCCCAAGCATCCCAGTACATTTGTGGCGTGGCCCAAGGTCCAAGACCCGTCTCAATCTCGGGACCTAGCTTGAAGCCAACATCGCCGTCCTGGTAGACAGCGCCGATACGGTCAAATGTCAAGTTCGCAAGTTGGAATTGTATTTCCACCATTTGGCGTCGGAAGTTCTGGTCTTGCTCGGGTGTACCAAAGAGGTTAGAATCCCCGTCTATCTCTTCCTGCAGATCCTGCGCAACATTGCCGTGGATGTAGGACATAAGGATGTATGGTGCTCCAACGCCTGTACTGTCTTCCGAACCGAACTTGTAGCTGTGAATATCTGGCACAGGGATCGCAGTCTTCTCTCTGTAGAAGAACAAACGCTATGGCATCAGTCAATGCTCTTCTATTGTACTCAACGACTTGCTGAGCTGGAATAGAGACATACCGAATATACTTCAACGTTCCAACCTCAATCCTCATCGAGTTTTCCACATCCAAGGCCTCCCTTTCCCCAAAGACAGAATTGAGCTCCGGCAACCTGAGTCGTGCTATCCACAGCACTCCATCCTCAAATTCCAACCTCCTTACCATGTTAAAGTGGCCTACAGAGAACTTCTCACTGAGCGTGCAAGGGATGCCATGCCGGAGCTGAGAGGCATTTTTGGTCAGCGAGGACCAGTCAATGTTGGCGATGAAGTCCGCGGCTCGAGTATGGAGTGGGTGGGTGCTGTCGTAGGCTGAGGCGTTGAGCCAGGCGTCACTGCCCAGGGCGGACATCTTTGTTGCTGAGTCGCCTTGCCGGAGATCCAAAGACCGCTTGCTACACGCTTCGATTAAACAGAAGCCCGGGGTTATATGTGTCGAGTCAACAGTAGTGACGCGCTTCGGTGGAGTTGAACTGCTGTCGTGGTATGCTCGCACTGCTATGCAAGGGCTAGCAGCTGCAGAAACAAACAAAGGACATGACGTCGCTCTTTGTGCCCCTTGCGCGAATTCACTGGACTATGTATACATCGTGTTCCGTTTTCCGGTCATAAAGGCGTGGAGGCAACACCATGACCTGTGCTCTTGGCGACCGGTTTCGTCAGTCCTGGAGGTCCTCGAGGTGTATCTTGCTCTGAAGCAAGCGCGTATCAGAGACGGCGATCCAGATGCGAAGTTATCTTCCCGGCACGTATTGCAATCGATGATAGATGGCCATCGAAGTGATAATGAAAATTCGGTCTCTTCTACTAGGTCCAACTATTCAGCCTTGCCCGCCCAGCGATAGTCGGATCTTCGAGTGCAGAATTGCGCAAGCACTGTTCAATGCCTCCTGGTCATCGCAGATCGAATTCCCAGATTCGCTAGCGACAGAGACATCACTCAGATCCTGCGTCTGGCCGCCAGTCATAACCTCTACCCTACAGCCCCTTCTTCGATTTGTAGTCGTCGCCATCAATACCATCGGCTCGACCCATCCACTCCCTGCATGGTCGTCGGCTTTGATGATCTGCTGTTGCGTATCGTGCAGTAGGAGCAGCTTAAGATTCAATGTCTGCAGCCCTGTCATATCGTTCTCGAAGAAGTCCCAGAGAGCAGCCCAATCACGCTTGGATCGTGTGTTCATGTGTGGATGATGTGGTATCCTCATGGTCATTCGAAAGTGACGGATGCTCTGGACACGGTGGGATGGGATCATGGTCTTGAGGAAGCGGAAAGCTGCATGGTTCGAAGTGAATTGGAAAGAGTTCGTGCTGTAGAGGATGTGGATACACTCTGAATATACCATTCGGCATGTGACGAGCAGTGGGAGGAGACCGCTCGCTTCCCGGTATTCGTCTCGCGGCGCAGAGGATGGCCGGTGGACGTTGAGGTGATGACACGAGTGACTCGGCTCGCCAATAGTGTCCGGCTGTGTACAAACGATATGGAAGATTCGACTCTGCGGCGTGCCAGACTCGACGTGGAAGTGCATGTTGCCCAGTACCATTTCGTAGATGATAATTCGAACATCCAGTGGCAATCTCGATAAGAAAAGGCTCCATGGCTGATCGTATGGCCTGCACTCTACCTCAGTCATCGAGAAGAGGTTGAAGCGCTGCCACAGGGAGCCATCGGTAGGCTCGTGAGGTCCTGACAAGGCTCGCTTTCGTGTCGGCGCAGGCTGCTGCAAGTACTTTCCAAACGGCAAACCTTTCCACTGCTCAGCAACTCGCATCGCCCATGGTGACGACGGCGTGAGATTGACAAAAGCATTGATGGCAGAGTCGCCCCAAAGACCTGTAACAAGCTTGTCAGTATGTCAGACCCTGGTCGCCGTTGCATATCGACCTACTCATGTTTTCTAATACCGTCAGTTGCGGTCGTCGCCCGATCGCATCAGCACCGCCCTGACTACCTTCCTGTCAGCTGTTCGCGTTGTGTTCACTGTACTGTTGTGACCCGAACATTGATGTGCCACCATCATTTGCGCTGGCGATCGATGACAGACCACCGTTCATCACATGCTCAAAACTAGAGAGTGACATCCTGCCAGAAGCTTATGGGCAGGCCACTACCGCCCCGTGAGATTGATGGCGTGGCGGAACAAAAACGAAGGTACGTCCCGACCACACCTTTTCGCGCCACGAAGATGCAATGGTGAAGTGAGCTCGACGCTGGGACGGGACGCTTCGGGAGCACGACACAAATCCAGAACGGTCCAGAGATTCTCGATGGTCTGACCAATAACAATCCATTGTTTTCACGATGCACGAGAGACATTGATGCAAAGGTCAAGTGGTGACTGGGATGCTAACAATACTGCCGCCTGCAATACGGATGCACTGGGACGACGGTGTCCGGATCAGGGCCTGAAGCGGGCATGAAATCGCGCAATTAGCGTCTAAAGACACGACTTGAGCAGCAGAAGCTATGTAGCCATCAAGAACCGCGTGATGGAACATTTGAGTGATGAAAATGATCATTTGGACAACAGCGGACATGCTGGACTCTGTACAGTCACTACTAGGACAGCTTCTTACTTGCCAACGCCGTGCTTCTTATGGATATCGATCACCTTCTGCACCTCATCGTAGCTACCCATGAAGATGCCACTTCGATCATGGATATGTTCTGGCACGACAGTGAGCATACGGTCCATCTTGCTGTTGATCGCTTGGCCACCAGCTAGACAGGAATTAGCATATGTCATTTTGAAAGAGACATATAGCACTTACCATTCTCGAAAACCATAGCCATTGGGGCACACTCGTAAAGGATACGCAGTTTACCCTTCGGACTCTTCTTGTCCGCAGGATATGCAAAAATGCCGCCGTACAGTAGCGTTCGGTATGCGTCTGCAACCATGGATCCAATATAACGCGCAGAGTATGGCTTCTCAGCCTGCTTGAGCGAATTGCACCACTCCAGCACCGGCTCGTCCCAATACTTGCTGTTGCCTTCGTTGCAGCTGTAGATCGAACGCTTCTTGGGTATCTTCATATCCGGATGTGTGAGGATGAACTCGCCCAGCGCGTTGTCCATGGTGTAGCCGTTGACTGGCCCGCCACGCATAGTCATGACGAGTTGCGCAGAGGCACCGTACATAGTGAAGCCTGCTGCCACCATCTCTGAGCCTGGAAGCAGGAGATCTTCCTTCGATCCCCTTGAACCCTCGGCCAGACGGTAGACAGCGAAGATGGTGCCGACTGATACACCAGCGTCCAAGTTGCTGCTGCCGTCGATTGGGTCGCAGGCCACGGCATAGCGTGCGTGTGGGTGCTCGTCGAACACTATCGCCTCCTCTTCCTCTTCTGAGACCAAGATCCTGACGCGTCCGGACGACCGCATTGCTGCGATGAACAGATCATTGCCTATCACATCTAGCTTCTTCTGATCGTCACCCGTAGTGTTTGAAGAGCCAGCAAGACCGCCAAGGTTGATCAAAGATGCTCGTCGAATGTAGTACGCTATTTGCTTGAAAGAGAATTGGAGGGCATGGCACAAAAGGCTACAATTACCTCAATTAGCACTGCTTTGGTCCTAGTGAATATCCCTGAACGTACGTAAAGTCCCCAGTGGCCTCTTTGTGTTTTGTCTGCTCCTCGGTCAAGAAGCGAGTCAGGGTCATGATATCAACATTGATCTTCTCCGAGCCCACTGCTCCTCCTTCACTGCCATTGCCGTTCATGATGTTGGTGTTTCGGCGAAGTGTTCAGAGACTTTTCTACACTCCTATGCTGGGTTCGCAAGCTCGTGTCGATTGCCTAGAGTAGGTACAAGACAGCTTCTCGCAAGACGACCCGGTATGATATCAGAAGTGGAGTAAGTGGAAGCTCTTGGTTGTTGATCACGCGACAAGATGGAAGGCTGACTATAATCAAGGGACAAGGATACCGACCGTCACTTACTTTCGGGGACTGGTCAGACTATATCACGTCCACTCCGATGCCGAGGGAAGCCTTTCATACTGCCGCACATGTTCCGTACATTTCATGGTTGCAGTAGAGGGGAGCTCTTATAGGTGGAGACGAGGGGTCACTACACTTGCTCCGGTGAATTGTCGTCTGCACTCCAGGGCTTGGCAAGATGATCCCCGATTCTACCCGTAACATTTCTCCTCCAATGTGCCTTCTATTCTCGAACCCCTTATCCCGTGCTCAGCTCCATAAAGTCATCGTCTATCAGATGCATCGCTCGTACCGAAGCGCCATAGGGCGACATGACACCATCAAGACGTGCTTCACCTGGCGGACCGGTTCGGCATCACCCCATAGACCCAATGATATGCTGACACCACCTCCATCTGTTGCGCATCAGCTCTCAACAGTCATGGCCCCAATATTCGCCAGCTGACTTATGGTTGAGCTGAAGTACGCCAGATGTAGTGCCTACAGGTGCTAGCTCCGCAGGACAGCAGCATACTTATACAAGACATAGACACGCTCCAGAAGAGGTAGGAGATGTGCCGCGTTACTCTACCCCACCCATCTTTTGGCGACACAGATTTGCCGGTAGATCCCTTGTGTGGTCGTGCAGCACGATTGAGTTATATATTATTGATGTCTCACACCCAGAAAGAAGCTGTAGTACACAGCTCCTACGATCTCTCCTGATCTGGTTAAGCACTGTTACCACCAATCCAGCACCAAGATGGCCACTATGAAGCGATCGCCCAACGTGAAATTCGACGAAGTGCCAGGAAGTCTGCCACAAGAATCAAATCCGGACAATGTTGATCTCTCAGAGGTAGCCGACGTTGCAGTTGCCAAGCTAAATGACCCTCAGCCGGACCACTTCACCGAAAATGCTATCTGGAGGGACCTCCTCTCTTTCACAGGCACATATCGCACCCTGTACTCGCGAGCCAAAGTGGTCGACAGTTTGAGCAGATTGGGTACGGAGAAGCAGCGCTCTCGATTCGAGAGAAGGGAGGAGACAGCCCACAAGCCACGAGCTGCCAGTAACTTCGCGGCAAGCTGGGTCGATATTGACATTCGGTTCTCCTTAGACATCGATGGTCTGGCTGGAGAGGGCTCTGCTATTGTTTCCGTGGTGCATTCTCAGGATGGTAAGTGGCGTATCTGGATGCTTCGGACATGGCTGGAATGCTTCAAAGGTCATGGTGATCCTGACACCCCAATCACAACAAGCCAAGCGACCAATGGAACCAATGGTGACTCCAACGCAACTTCAAACGGCCACACGGAGACATCAATCTACGACGCCATCGTCGTTGGCGGCGGTCAAGCAGGACTTTCGACAGCTGGAAGACTCAAGGCACTTGGTGTCAGCTATCTGCTCCTTGAAAGCCGCCCTGAAATAGGAGATGTCTGGAACACACGATACGAGTCACTTCGATGGCACACGTCGAAGCTTTCCTGTGGCATGCCGTTCGATCAAACCACTTTTCCGGACGATGACGACTATATGCTGCCCACCAAGCGCATAGGTGCTGGACACAAAGCGTGGTCGGAGAAGTACGGCATAAACGTCCGGATAAGTACGACTGTGGATTCAGCTCGATGGCAGGAAGCGGAGAAGATATGGACAGTCAACACAACTTCTGGGGAACGGAAGGAGACATTTCAGGCGCATAATCTCGTTCTCACCATCGGCACTGGTCACCTCACACCCGTATTACCCGACTGGGCTCATGCAGACAAAGTTGCAGTAGGTGGATTCAAAGGCACTATCCTCCACGCCTCACAATACATGTCCTGTAAAGCTTGGTCTGGCAAGCGAGGTATCGTAGTCGGGACCGCAAACACTGCTCATGATGTCGCCGAGGATATGGCAAACGCTGGTATGCAGACTACCATGATGCAACGCGGATCGACATACATATTTCCAGCTGAATGGCTACACAAGTCGCAAGATATACATTACAACTCAAGCAAGCATCCGGCTGATGCGGATAAGGAGTGTTTCACTTACCCAAACAAGATCTTGAGAGCGATTATCAATCGATTTGCATACATGCTTGTCAAGAAGAACTCAGCACGGTTCGATAGACTGGAGGAAGCAGGCTTCAAGCTTGACCGCTTTGGTGACATCTACGACAACCTATACGTGCGATTCGGTGGTCACTACGTTGATATTGGTGGATCCAAGCGTATTGCAGATGGTGAGATCAAGGTTGAAACAACGGCCGTGGAGAGCATGACGGAAGACGGCCTGCTTCTCGAGGATGGTCGAAAGCTGTCAGCGGATCTGATCGTGCTGGCTACCGGTTTTGATCACGACTTCCGACGCGATGCTGCAAAGCTGATCGGCCAGGAGGCCGCTGATCAAATGGATGACTTTTGGGGTGTAGATGCTGAGGGCGAGATAAGAGGACATGCTAAGTTTGCCGGACGTAAGTCCTCCAAAGCACCTAGTCCTTGCTTAGTGATGGTCGATTGACATGCCGATACAGATCCCAATCTTTACTATCATGGCGGAGATGTACGTATTTGCCGCTTTTTCTCAAGGTTCATTGCCCTGCAGATTCAGGCTGAGGTACTACTGGGCAAGCCTATGGAGCGCTACACAGACTGACTAGACGTCAATGATGCCACGCGGAATTGATTTGATGGTGTATGACCTCAGCGAAAGCGTATTTAGCTGTCATGACCGGTCTCTCCATTTATCGATCCTCCATATTGATGAGCACACGAACACATGATAAACGGCCATACTACAGGAAGATTCCAGCATCGTGCTGTGCCACCTCAAAAGGATAGATCTTCAAGCATTCCGCGTGTATTGCACAACGGTTGGCTCCCTACCAAGCCAAGCGAGCACGCCGTAAGACAGTATCAGCTATCGATAGCACGGCATCACCACAAGGTAAGATGAATGGGAGATGAGGCTGCTCGTCAGCGGTATACGGTCCAAGCACGAGAATTTCTAGCCAAGATGGAAGTGACAGCAGGACCATTGCTCTCGCCATAGGCATAGCAGTTCCTATTGGTTGTATGATAATCGTCGCCAGTCTGCCCATATATTACGGTGAGAAAACAAGAGGGAGAAGAGGATATATCCGGTCTGAGGAAAGGCATGGAAGGGAGGCCGAGAATATTGGCACCGTAGAGCGGAGTTTCTATCGTGGAATTAGAGCGGTTGGACATAGATGACTGTGGAGGGATATTTCTGTATGATGCGTATAAGCGGAAGAGTGACTAGAGTGATCGGGAAGTGCTTCGATTAAATGGCTTTTATTTATCTTTCATGCTGCATAGCTACTATCGTACAACCTCCTACTGTATCACAGGCACGCCGAAGCTACTGGAACCTCACTCAATCCTTTACTGGTTGCCCCTTTCGCGGTCCTCCTGAGCATTCTTTGGCACACCGACCATCTTTGGTACGCTGACAGCGTTGAGACGGCGGAAGGCCTGCGATATGAGTCAGTCTACGTTCTGCTAGAGAGTGACACGAATGAAGTAGGTATGAGCTGCTCGGAGAACTATGAGGCCGGCTCACCCTCCAGACAGATGTCTCCCAGGTGAAACTCCATAGGTAGAATGCCCAAGCTTCACCATAAAAGAGCCACCAGAAGGGATTGATGAGAGTCCAAGGAGAACGTACCTGAGCGATCGAGCCTTCTGGCAATTTGCCATCCCCTACGAGTAAAGTCAGCAGTGATAGACCGACAAACATGAAGGCAAGCCGGACATACACTTATCAGCAAGCGACGAGATCTTATCGCCCTCCATATGGATCTCGATCAAGCTGTGAATCTTCTGCTCTTTACCGATACCCTTGACAACGTATCTGGTGTCCAAATCCATCTTGATTGGGTTACCAGCATCCTTCACCTCATGGCCTAGCCTCTCAATCTCGGAGAAAGCTGTCTGAAGACCGTAGAATTGTGCCTCGTACTGTGCACGACCCTTGGCGATGGTCAAAGGGTCCGTGAACTGGGCGTCGTCCTTCCAAAGCCCAAGCTTAGGTAGCGAAGGGCGGCCGGCGAAAAGGTCGAGCACGGAGCCAACGATTGTGCGCTGGTGGTCGCTGAGCTCTACACCGGGGGCGGTGTTGATGTTTGTGTTCTCGATCTTCAACTCGCCACGGCTGTTGTCGGCGGACATGTTGACGGCGGCTTCGTGAGCTTGTTGGGTCTTGCTAGGAGTTGTCTGGAAGCGTTGGCAAGATGTGAATGACCTGGGTGATTGTGTGCTTCTTCTTGCGATGCAACGGGTGAGGTTTGAGCGGAGGGATTGCATTGAAAGGCTTGATAGAGAATGTAGAGACTGCTTCGATGATCACTACTGCACATATGTACCTACTACTCTTTACTGTTTCGAGCTGGTTGCAGAAAGTCAATGACGTCCGTGTACGTGCTTGCATCAACGCGTCAGGGTGAGATCAGACGTGCTCATAGAAGATGCGGATCAGATCTCGGAAAAGTCATCTGGAACGGCGTCGGATGAACGACTCTACCGAGCACGTGCAAGCGGATCTCAACAATGCACATATCGCTGTCGTCCATTGCCCTATTCACAATAAGCCTAATCATGACGAGACGTAATCGAGTGTCTTCTACCGAGGACACCACCACTACGAGCCTACCAGCGGATAGTGTGCTTGTGCCATCAACTCTCAAGGATGGACTCCCCCTGCCGAAGATGATGGTGTTTGACCTTGACTATACTTTATGGCCGATGTGGATCGATACGCATGTCTCACCACCTCTCAAACCCGGCAAAGACAACGGATTGACTATACGTGATGCCTATGGTAGTAGCTACGGATTCTACGCAGATGTCGCTTCAATACTGTCATCGCTGAAGGAGAAAAACATTCTAGTTGGCGCAGCTAGCCGCACAGGCACCCCCGACCTTGCGCGACAGATGCTGAGTATGCTATCTATACCTGGGACAGAAGTAAGAAAAGCTTCGGATATGTTCGGTTATTCCGAGATCTATCCTGGGAGCAAGACTACGCACTTCCAGCGCATACAGAAGGCCAGTGGTGTGCCGTACGCTGAGATGCTGTTCTTCGATGACGAGAGTCGGAATAAGAATGTAGAGACGCTGGGTGTTGTAATGCAGCTGGTTCGAGATGGTGTCACAAGAGGTGAAATCGATCGAGGTGTTGAATTATGGAGGAAGAGGAACAACCGGACCACGAAAGAGAGTGAGGAGTAAGCTGAAGCGAGAGAGCTCAGTTACTTCTACTGTTTCGTCTGAGAGCCAATGACCATGGATACCTTACTGGAGGATATGCCGCGTACGGACGTCCACCATGCTCAACGAGGCATTTTAGACCCAAGATCAGGACCCCGTGTCGTGCTGTTGTCGAAAGTCTCTTTCATGCGATCCATGGCGCCAGGGCCAGCCACGCATGGAGCGATGATATCTGGAGTTAGGTAGAGTCTACCCACCAACAAACGACACGGATAGGAGACCTGACACCGTTCTAGTAACAGAATTAAAGCTGTGTTGGATATCTCGGTTGGGCCACTGGAGGCAGTGGCCTTTGCGTCTCTGCCATATGATTGATAGCTACGGTCTGTTCCACATGCTTGTAGATGGTGGCGATTGGAACAGGTTGTGAGATATTCAGGCATGGTGCTTGTGCTCGAGGTCATCTCGGTACAGCGATGGCCGAGTCTTTGCGAAAGCGTGCTGCCATGTGCAGAGCAAGGTTTATTGTTGCGGGTAGAAGTGGACATCATGATCCGTTATGCATTTCGAGTTTCCATGAACTCCAACCTCTTGCAAGCATGATGTGTCTACTCCTCCTCCTACACCGACCTTCTGCAGATAGCCGCGGACACTGCTTAGCACATGGCCATCACGAGACTATGCTCTTTGCTTGAATGCAGTGCAAGTGCTTGTGTTCCCGTTGTGGATTTGCAAAACCCGGCCTCTGTCGTCACACAAGCAGAGGCGGGGGACAATGCTTGGCCCGGCAGGATCACCACCTTGGCATCCACGACATTCATTGGTGCCCTCGCCATCGGACAACCAAGCATGTTTGTCATCGCACATCTGCAAGTCATACTCCTCACCATGATGATGCTACCCCATGGAGACACGCTGTGTCCGCCAAGCGACTCCCACGCCGGCAGTGACGGCGCATCGGGATCCTTGTGGACATAGATGGTGATCAACAGGCACAGGTACTATAAGAGTAGTTGATCAAGCTCCTAGGTTGGTTTTCAAGTCTTTGCCGCAATTCTTTCGATACTGTGACAATGTATCTGCCATCATCTCTCCAGGTGCTGGCGCTTGCTAATGCTGCGACCGCACTCCATTTCCCACGACAGGTCACGAATACCACCAAGTACGCTGTCAAGACTCCACCGCTTACCACCGACTGGACGTATAAAGTCGGCACAAACCCGTGGCCAGAGTATCCTCGTCCTCAGCTTCAGCGTTCGCAGTGGCAGAGCCTAAACGGCATCTGGACATGGCAGAATGCTTCGTCGCTCGATGCAGTCAACTCGCCACCTTTCGGCCAGACGCTGTCTAGTGAAGTGCTGATACCTTCTTGTCTTGAGAGTGGACTGTCTGGTAATATCAATGACTTTCTACTTTATGGTAGCGGTTACTAACAGCGTCACAACAGGCATCCAGGGCGACTACCTTTTGACTTCCTGGTTCTCTACCTCTTTCACGATCCCCTCCACCTTCACGCAGGATCGTGTGCTCCTCAACTTTGGCGCTGTGGACTATGAGGCAACGATCTTCATCAACGGCAAGAACGCCGGCTTCCATCGTGGCGGCTACTTCGCCTTCACCGTTGACGCGACTAGCTACGTCCGCTCCAACGGCACGAACGAATTGCTTGTCTTCGTCCACGACCCCACGGACAGTGACCCGTATGTAATTCCGATTGGCAAGCAGACGCTGAAACCTTCGCACATCTTCTATACGCCCTGCAGTGGCATCTGGCAAAGCGTATGGATCGAGTCAGCACCATCGAACTACATCACGGACCTTCAGGTCGCCGCCGGAGCCAATGGCCAGATCAACGCCACAGTCTCGACTTCTGGCAACGGTACGGCTGGCCTGAAGATCGAAGTCATTGATCGCAAGGATAATAGTACCGTCGCCACGCACGATGGTCCTGCAAATACGGCGTGCACTTTTAACGTTGACTCGGTCAGCACTTGGTCGCCAGACACGCCTACACTCTACGATATAAAGGTCACTCTTGGTGACGATGAGGTCAGCAGTTATACTGGCTTCCGAACCATTTCCCGTGGGGAGGTCAACGGGATTGAGAGACCACTCTTGAATGGGAAGTTCGTCTTTCCGTTCGGTACTCTCGACCAAGGTTTCTGGTACGTATTGAGCTGTAGTGCCTATTTCATGCCTCGTCATTAACGTATTTCCAGGCCCGACGGTATATACACGCCACCCAACCGCGAAGCCATGGTGTACGATCTGCAAACCTTGAAGAGCCTCGGCTTCAATATGCTACGAAAGCACATTAAAGTTGAAACAGCATTGTTCTACCAAGCCTGCGACGAGATGGGCCTCCTAGTCTTCCAAGACATGCCTTCTCTGCGGCCGCTGCAACAGAGAACGTTGTCCAACTGCACGATTGAGACGATCTTGCCGGACGCTACTCAACAAGACGAGTTCGCCCGTCAACTCGACCTTCTGATCATCCAACAAAGACCCTTCCCTAGCATCTTCAGCTGGGTAGTCTACAACGAAGGATGGGGTCAGCTGACAAACTACTACCCCGAGTTCGCACTTACAGACCGTGTCCGCCAACTAGATCCCACACGTCTCGTCGACTCCACAACTGGATGGTACGACCATGGAGCCGGTGACTACAGCGATAATCATCATTACGCCAACCCACAGTGTGGCTCACCTTTCTACTCGATCGACTCATCACCTTACGACCCCAGCAGAATCGGCATTCAAGGCGAGTTCGGCGGCATCGGCCAAAATGTTTCGATTGACCATCTCTGGAATGTGCAAGAAGCCATCAACACCATCAATCAAACCTATGAGATCGATCAGACTATCGATGCCTGGAACTATCGTGGACACAGGTTGCTGGATGACTTGCACGATCAGATCGTGAGATATGCCTGCAGCGGTGGTATCTGGACTCAGACTACCGATGTCGAAGGAGAGGTCAACGGTTTGTTGACTTATGACAGGAGAGTCTTGAGGCCAGATGTTGGACAGTGGAAGGCTGATATTCAGAATCTTTATGATGCAGCTGCGGCGAGGACGAATGCTTCTACAGCTGCTCCTACCGCCAGCTGATCGAATGGTTATGAATAGGAGTACGATGTCCTCGGCATTGATGTTGGTGGTGAAGCGCGCAGAGACAAGCTTGTTACAGTACATCAGTCAGAGCAAGATCAAAATCAATAGTCGTCTCATCAACACTATCGTCTCCTAAAGCACCATTCCACAATGTATGTACGCCTAAGAACTACCTGGTATCTCGCTCGTAATGCCCAAGCAACGATCTATGCTCTGAAAGTATAACCCCATCCCACCCATCTCAAGCGAACGCCATCCAACAGGTGGAACCACAACCAACTCATAAAACGAACGCCTCGGAACCTGCGATCAGCTCGTCCTCCGCGGCCGTATCTCAACGAGCTCCTCATCACTATCTTCCTCCTCGTCATCGTCGTCCATTTCCTCCGGATCTGCAAACGGCCCACCACCGAAGCCCAACCCCCTCGCCGAAACAGCAGAGCCGAATTGCGAAGCCTCATCTTCATCCTCATCGTCGCTCAAAGGCGTACGCTCTTTAGCTTCAGTGGTGCTAGGTCGTCGTTGATTACCCCCTGCTCGCCATCCACCTGCACCGCCATCCTCGTAGTCGCCACCACTTCGATAAGCAGTTTCGTCTCGTCCAGCCTCGTCCTCATCTAAGTCTTGATCGTCATCGTCATCACTAGAGGAGTCCTCACTTCCGAACAGTCCTTCGAATTTGCTAGCGCTGCCACTTCCGCTGATGCCTCCCACGGTCCTCAGCCCCGTAATTTGAAGACCATCAACGCCACCGCTCAGACCCTCAACAACATCTAGCTCGGCAGCAGGCTTGAGGTCGATGGAGCTCTCATCAGGCTCAGCCGGTAAGTGGGAAGCAGTTTCCAATGCCGCAGCATCCTCCGAGTCAGGGTCGGCAAGGGCGGAAGAAGAGCCACCTTCCTCTTCTTCCTTCCGCTTCTGCGCCAGTCGAGCAGCTAACTGTCTCCTCGCTCGCGAAGGCGGGATGTTGAGAGGTGGTGGTATCGATGCCTGGCCACCACCTGCCGGACTCTTATCTGCTTCGGGTGATTCAGGCGTAGCCTATAGTGAAGAAAGATTAGTCAGTATTGGTATTCTTGCCGTTGCGGCACGGAGCGTACCTAGTGCCGGCAGTGCAAGAGATAGTGTGGTAGATGAGGTAAGAAAAGATACAGTAAGCCAACAGAAGCCGTCCAGCCATTGGCCAATACTGCTTCCGCAAGCGGGAAAGGGTCTCGTGACCGAGATTCGAGCGAGAAGGAGGTGGAAAAAGTGACGAGGAAAGTAACGGAGGGCCACCCGCTCATCCGTCCAACGATCCCAGAAGGCGGCTTGAACTTAATCATGTTTCTGCTTCAGGGTGGTGTAGCGGCTGTGCCAAATCGTTCTTTTGTCTTCTACACTTTCGTCGCTATCTTCCTCGTGGGGTTTTTTGGCTCCAAAGCATCGTCCATCGTACAACATGAGCAGGCGCCTTTCCTTCGTGTATACGCGCGCCGTTTGTGTGTGCAGATGATGTACACCCTCCCGTCTCAGTTCATAAATGTGCAGTGCAGTTCAGTGCAGGGCAAAGACAAGAGTGAATGTGCGAAAGCGCAGGAAAACCGGAGTCAACATGGACCATCAATGAGGCCGCAGGCTCATCGATAGTCCATATCGACATCTTCGAACCCAATCTCACCTACATTTTCGTCATCCTCAAACGCACTCCTCAGTGCCGCCCGCCTCCTCTCTCTAATATCTCCCGGTCCAGTAATAGCCTCATCCTCCAGCATGTCCTCGTCCTCGTCGTCCCCTCCGTCTCCAAACCCAGAAAGCATAGTTCCTGAGTTGATCTCGAAGCTCTGCCCGACGGTACCTTCGCTCATGGCCAAGGAGTCCTCTGCCGAAACACCGGCACCTACACCACTGAGACCAGCAGACGCGAGAGCGGACTGTTGACCACTGGAAAAGCCTCCGCCGCCACCGATCCCGAGGTTCGAGGACCCGTTCCGCATTCCTATCGCGTTTTCTGGCCGTACACCGCCGAGGACGGCATTGTCCTTCTCGCGTGTTTCGGTCAGGGTACCATCTACGTACGCGTTCCACTCAGGTCGATTGACTCGGTCATGAATGTTCTGATCCAGAATCTCGGGGGGATGTCTATTTCCAAACTTGCAAACTTCTTCTGCGATCAATGTGAGATGTCCCATGTATCCCAACCGCATCCCCTTATTCTGCTGCGACAGGTTCGAGGCGGCTTGACCATCCAGTATCCGCTGGGTGATGTCCTTCCTAGAAACCAGACCAGCGCTCTTCGCGTTCACTGCATCGGATGCTGACGAGTCGTGCTCCGCGATCGTCTGGAAAAGGTCGAAAGCCAGAGCCCGATTATATCCACGCTCCAGCGTCCCGTTGAAAACCTGCTGTACCACATCGTAAACCACATTATGGAGGAAATTGTTCCACGGAAAGCGGAAGAAGAAATCCTAGAAAGTCATGCAATGTGAGCAGATGTGCCCCAAGCATCGCAAGCCGCCCGTTAAGAAATGCACTTACAAGTATAGTCGGCACAACCTTATGCTCAACAAACTGCATCTTGAGCATATCGCCCACAACCGGACTACCGTCTGCCTCGATCTCATAAGGTAATCTCTCCCCATTCCTCTCCTCTCCAGACTGCGCAGCCATGACATCTTCACCTTGAATCGTAGCAATACTTGTGTCAATATCCTGGTACTCATCACTCGTCCTTCCGGCTTCCAAATCGTGTTCGGACCCGGCAGGTATCGCTGCGTCTCCGGCTTCGATACCTGCAGTCGGCTTCTTGCCAAAGGACAAAGGCGCAGGCTTCGCGGCGTCCATAGCTAATTGCTTCTCTAGCTCGCTCGGGCCATCATCATCGTCGGTTTCTTGGAGATCATCACCGAACTCCGTCATTACTGTGTCCTCGTCCATACTGAAATTCCCCACCTTATCCGTCACACCAGCCGCTGTCGGCGAATCTCCCGCAGCTTTGGTAGGTGGCGGGTCGAAATGCAATGATGACTTCGTAGGCGACTTCGCTTTCGCGGGTGATAGAGGTGCAGGCACATCCGTGTCCGCTGCAGTCACTCTGTTCTGAGGATCCGTGGGATCACGCTTCTCCACTTTCTCCAGCGCAGGTAGACCCGTCTGTTCAATCTTCTCATTGAAATCATCGAAGCTCACCTCGTCCGGCAGATCGTCAGCATCCCGTGGGTTCACCTTCTCAAACCCATCCTCATCAGAAGCATTCTGGACCTCAAGCTTTTTGCCCTCACTACTCCGACCACCCATCTCATCATCAGTCGGCCTCTCAGCATGATGAAAGCCATGCGAGTCCACCGAGCTGCCAAACTCATCATGACTATTATCGTTCATGGGCGTAGTTGGTGCCCGAGGCGTAGCAAGCTTGCCCTCGGCCTTCAGCCTCTCACGCTCGGCGTCTCTTCTCCGCACCTCTTCCTCTGCGCCGCGCTCATTCAACAGTCCCATATTACTGCAGTGAAGGAGTTCGGCCATGAGTTCGCAAGTCTTGAACCGATCGAAACCCAGCGGCTCGATCCTGGTGCCAAATGCAGCTTTCAGATCTTGTTTCTTGGCTGAAGGCGATCGGATCAAGTGCATGAAGTCCGGGACATGGTTGGCGAATTGTCGAAGGGCAGTTCCAAGGTAGATGGGATCTGATGTTTTTGGGTCCGGTCCAACTTGGCTGTCGACATCATAATCCGAATTGTTCTTACGAATCACCTCGATAATGATACCCACGCCAACCGTCAACGCATTGCCACCTCTCAGCATCTCCTTGATCAGTGTATCAATGCACTCCTCCGAGACCAGCTGCCTTGTCAATTCGTTGGGCCCAATGACACTTTGATCCTGCGTCGTAGCATTCGCCGAGATTGTGATGATAGCCTTCAAGAAGTCTCCAGCCGAAGTCTGCGTGGCATTATTGTGCTCGGGGCCCAAGTATGCAAGCAGCGCCGGAATGATATCCTGTGTCTGCAGCCAATCCACAATCCCTACACCACCTTCGTGCTTCTCCAAAGAGATGATCTTGAGCAGTAGATCCATAACCATAGGACAATCCACATGCTGCAGCATAGCCGGGACAATCCCATCCAATGACTTGAAAAAAGCAAGCATCTCCTCCGTCTTCTTATCCAGAAGAGCCTCGTTGACTTTCGTGAAGTAGCCAGCCTGCAACGGATCCAAAGGAGCAGGCTGCTGCATGTACCGCCAAAACTCCCTCAAATGATCCTGGTGCTCCAGGACCGCTTCGGTAATAGACCAGACTTCACTAGAAAGCACCTCACAAGCCACATAAGCGTATTTCTTCCTCTGCGCCTCCTGCTTCTCATGCTCCGTCTCGCCCGCCTCATCACTCCCAGTCTTCTTACTGATACTCTTCGATCTCGACCTCGCTTTCCCTTTGCCAAAGAATGAGATCCCGGGACTCTTCACCTCCTCCTCCTTTTCTTTCTCCTCGGCCTTCTCCTTCTCCGCGCCCTCATCGGCAGAGGGCTGGTCATTGGTCACGACATACTTGAGGAGTTTCTTGAGCACAGGCTCCTCGCGCAAGAACTCGATGAGTTTGCTGTTCTGCTGTTTCAGTTCCTGGATCAAGTCGCTCTCGTCTAGGAGTTCTTCGACGGTGACATCGGGCTTGTCGAGGATGGTGTCGAGGGTGGAAATATTGGCGTAGCCGCCGAAACGCCAGAACATGGTGCGTGATGGATGTCGTAAACGAGAGGATGGGCGGCGGGTAGTCGTGCCCGAGCGGGTGGAAGTCTTCACGTGGTCGTCATGCGTATCATGTCATTACTATGCAAGCGTCGCAGCTGTCGAGTATATATATTAATGTCGAGGGCACTTGCGACAGGAGGATCACCTTTCAGGGTGCCGTGAAGTGAGTAGTCAGCCGTCTGTGCGTTAAAAGTGGTCGCGTGCGCTGGCTGGAAACAGCTGCAGCTGTAGGTGCTTGCGGAGGAGTGCAGGCCGCGAGCAGGTGATGGTGGCGGTGAAGCAAGCTTTTCCAACTTCTTCAGTAACTTCCTTGTACGACGAATGCCTCCTACAGTCCCGGTTCTGACAATATGTTGCACAAAACCATTGCGATGATGGTAAGAGCACAACTTCGGATGATAGCCTCGTTCCGGTGCGGCTGCCGCGTGCCGAGCAGCAGGAAGAAACAGGGGCTCGCCGATCTACATGCACCTCCTCGCAGCAATAGATTACTGACTATGCCGAAGGAACACCATCGAATGGTAAAGGCACAGGGAGGATTGCGAGTAGCATGGAGGGAGCTATAGGGAAATGCTGTAATTGAGCATAAAAATACCATACGCTACACAAAACGATTCGCTGTTCTCTAGAACAATGCTTGCTTGCTTGCTTGCTTCGCCTCTCGTACACCACATCCCGTCACATCGCATCGCCCGCGAACCGGCTCTCTAGCCCTCTCGTTACTTAGCTCAGAAGAGCGCAATCAAATCCATACCTAACCCTCTCCTCAACATCCTCCTACGGACTCCCCGCCTTCACCCCATCCCCAAGCTGGCCCGGACTACCCTGCCCCGGACTCCCACCCCCAAGCGGCGGCAGCCCAAAAGGCGGCATCAACGGCGTCTCAGGCGCCTTAATCGGCGTGGTGATATCGACCTTGATCTTCTCCGGCAGCTTCTCGCCCCTGACCACCTTCTCCATCTCGTCTTTGCTCAGCGTTTCGTACTCAACCAACGCCTTGGCCAAGCGATCAAGGGCTTCGCGGTTCGTGGTCAGGAGGGTCATACTCCGCTCCCGACCCTCTTCTACTAATCTTCGGACTTCGCTCTCGATGAGTAGGCGGGTCTCGGAACTGAGTTGGCGGTAGTCGGATCGCAGGTCGATGTTGCCGAGCTTTTCGCTCATGCCGGCCATGGCTACCATGCTGTAGGCTACTTGTGTGGCTTGCTGGATATCTGACGATGCGCCGGTCGTGACGTTGTCAGCACCGTAGATCAGTTCTTCCGCCATCTTGCCTCCCATGCAGACGTCTATGCGGGCCAAGAGCTCCTTCTTCGACTCGCTGACCTTGTCGAGCTCGGGAAGCTGGAAGGTTATGCCTAGTGCATGGCCGCGAGGCATGATCGTAGCTTTGTATAGCGGTGTGGTAGCCTCGGTCAACATGGCGACAAGTGCGTGGCCTGCCTCGTGATAGGCAGTCATGATCTTGTCCTTCTGCTGAATCACTGCACTCTTTCGCTCTGCACCCATCAAAATCTTGTCTTTCGCCCACACGAGATCCTCAATGGTCACCTTGGGTTGCCTGTTCTTCGATGCGTGAACAGCAGCCTGGTTGACTACGTTCTCAAGCTCTGCACCGGAGAAGCCAGGGCAGCCTCGCGCTACTTCTGTCGGATCCACGGAGGCATCAAACTTGATAGTCTTGAGGTGGTGCTGGAGGATCGCAATGCGACCACGCACATCAGGAAGTGGTACCTCGACGTTTCGATCGAAGCGACCAGGGCGGGTAAGAGCTTTATCGAGAGACTCCGGAAAGTTGGTGGCTCCAATGATGATCACGCCAGAGTTCTGATCAAAGCCGTCCAGTTCGGTGAGAAGTTGATTCAACGTCTGCTTGGCATATGCGGCATCGCGTTCGTGGCGCTTGCTTCCGATAGCATCAAGCTCGTCGATGAACACAATCGCAGGTGATTTAGCTTTCGCCGCAGTGAAAAGATCGCGGACACGTTTAGCTCCGACACCCACGTAGACCTCGTCGAATTCAGACCCAGACATGTAAAAGAACGGCACGCCGGCCTCGCCAGCGACAGCACGAGCCAGAAGGGTCTTTCCCGTCCCAGGCGGTCCGACAAGCAGCACACCCTTCGGCAGCTTGCCACCGAGCGTGCTAAAGCGTTCCGGGTTCTTCAAGAAGTCGACCAGTTCCTGCACTTCCTCCTTCGCCTCATCGCAGCCATGAACGTCGCTGAAGCGAGTAGTCTGCAGCTCCGGCTTGGCCTCAGCATTATTCGCCCCACCGACCTTCTTCAACACACCCGTCGCCTCGATCATAAGTGTGAAGACGACGAGCGCAGAATAGGACACCAGACCGAACACAAGCAAGAACTTGAACCATTTGAACACGGTGCTCGCCGTGCTCTCGTCCACAACCACATACAGCGGTTCGTTCTTAGCACCCGATCCAGCGCGAGAGATACTGACATTGCCGCCTTGCGAGCGGGCTGAGACTGCTTGCCCGATCGCCTGCAGTTGTTCCTGGCTCATCTGATGGCTTGTCCCACCCGCGATCTTGCCTGCTGCAGAACCTAGACCGCTTGTCTCGGCAGCTCCTATACGCTCGAGTGCGCGCATATAAGCGCCTTCGCAGGCTACATTGCTGGCGTATCGGCCGGTTTGATAGCGTTCGACGAGGATCTCAGGCATGTTCGCGCGAAGGAGGGTTTGATAGAAGGCATTTTGGGAGGTGGCGCTGTTCGGGTTGTTGTTGGCCGTCTGTTCCATGGAGGCGAGGAGGTTCCGTTGGTTACTCTGACCGCTCCAATTTTGGCTGCCGAAGATTGTGCGTTGTTGGATGAGGCCGAGGGTGTTTATTCGCTGTGGTCGAAGTGAAGGTCGGATGGTAGTGCTGATGCTTCGAACAATCGATAATGGTCGTGTGGAAGAGCCATGTCGCTGGGCAGCCTTTGATACTGTACCAAGAAGCCCACTGGCTGTCGTAGCAGATGTTACGCCAGCCCTCCTCGAGACCTGCTCTAGTGACCACGTCGATGCCTCCCTGCCAAACGCCACTTGTCTCCGCGCCGCCGCCTTCACACCAGTGTTCCTCCCAGTAGTCCTCAGCATACTCGCTACCAGGTCTCCAGCCATCATCGTCGTCCTCTGCGCACTGCCAGGCGCCATCATGCTCGTTCGTAAGAGGCGGAAGTATATAGAAATGTAGTTCGCAGCCGCAGCCGCCTAGCGCCTCCGGACCAATCACTGAAAGGCTATAAACGAGGAACAAGACATGCAAAGAACAACGAAAGGGAAGAAAACCGATTGGGCCAATGCGACATTGGGTGTTGTTGAGATGTGGGTGAATGAGTGAGTGAGTGAATGTACGTATCAAAAGTCGTCCTGTCTTCGAGGATACGCAGGCGAGAAGCTTCGACTGCATGACGGCTTCCCAGAATCGCTCCGACTTCCGACGAGTGAGGGAAAATCCGGGGGAAGCCTCATCACGTGCCTGTCAAATGAAGATGGCAACCAGCATGAACTACTTACTGCCTACACCATATGGGAAGTAATGTGAACAGGGATCGTTGTCGCGGAGAAGAAGGAAGAAAAATGCCGATACATATATCATTATCTCTTCTCCCTCCAGAAGGCCGTCTATGGCAAAGTACACCAGCCAACCCAAATCACAACCCCATCCAAGTTCCTCCTCATCTCTCATCTCCCATCTCCCATCTCACATCATATCCCAACCCTACCCTAACCTCTTCCCCTGCCACCCCCACCACCCCTCCCCCGTCCCCTCCTCCCCCCACCAAACCCCACCCTCCTACACTCTCTACAAAACCAACTCTCACTCTCCGCCGGCGCCTCCCTCAACTCCGTACACCCCAAATGAAACCACTCACGCACACACTTGGCATTATCGCACGCGACCATTTCGCCATAGGAGCCGCGGTCACAGTAGCAGTATTTCGGTTCATTGGGGTCGTCGGGGTCGTGCTCGTCGCTGTCTTCTGCCTCCTCTTCTTGGTCTTCTTCTTCGTCGTTGAGGATCTCGGGGTTGGGTGAGAGTTCGGTGTCGGGTTCGGCTTCGGGTTCGGAGGAGGGATGGGGTGTTGCTGAGGGTGAAGGGTTGTGGGAGGCGTTGTGGGAAGTATGATGGCTACTCTCCGGTAGTTGGTGCGGCTCATCCAGGTCCTCGTCTTCCTCATCAACATCGTTATCATCCCGATCGGAAATCAAGTCCGGTGCCGGCCCAGTAGGAGGGTGACCATGCTCGATGGACGGCGCAGGCGAGATCTCTTCTTCATCGATAGACGCCTCATCACCATTATCACTCTCCAGCTCTGGCGCCTCTTCTGGGAGGTCCTCGTTCCTCGGAGGACTAGACGCAGCGATTGCATTGCCAACTCTAGTCTCCATACCCTCCGCCTCAGGCAACTCAACCATGCCTGGAGGCGGGCCCGTGGTCTGCGTGTCCCGCCTACTGATAGGCCGACTCTCATGTCCCCTCTGCACCTGGTCCTCCTCACCCGCCTCCTCTCTCTTTCTCTCCCTACTTCCGCTTCTGCCCTCCCCGTTACCATCTCCACTCTCCTCACTACTCCCCCTATGCCGGTCCGCATCCGGGCTGCGATTGAAAGGTGCAAGTTGCTTGATAAGATGACTATTACTAGCCACCCGCTTATGATGTCCTCTACTACCCGCAGGCATCCCCACACCACCGCAAGCTACTTCACGGTCGTTCGGCGTATCAGAACCACTGTCTTCCCGCCCATTACCGCGCAGACTTCTCGCGGATCGCGTACGAAGCATACTTGTCGCATCGGGTGCGACGAAACTGTCACCATTGCGTGGTGTGCCTGGTTTCGAGCCACGGGGTCCTGTGCTTGCTATTGCGGCGTTCTTCCCAGAATTCGATCGAGAAGGTGTTGGTCGTGCGCCTGCATCCGCCATCTCGACATCTTCGTTCTTGAGGTCGTCGTTCGGCTCGGTAGTCTTCGCAGCATTTGCCCGCTCGGAAGCCTGTCTGCGCTCTTCGTCATGCACAGTCTTTTTCTTGCTACTAGTCGCCTTCTCACCATTACTGCTCGCCTTACCAGCCGCAGAGGTCGGCCGACTGCTTTCTCCACCAACCAATCTCTCATGCCGCAAATTTGTAGTGCTGTTGTTCCGTAGCCTCTTGGTCTGCGACCTCCCATTGGGCGGTGGCTCCATATTGTTCGCATTGAAGGAGCTATGTAGCGGACTGCTCGCGAGCGCTGGACTGTTCTGCGCACTATTGAGCAACTTCTTCTTCGGAGGAAGAGGTGCTGGTTTCGCTTTCGGCTGCTTCTTGCCTGGCTCAACAGCTGGTGTACTACGCGGAGTATCTCTGTTCGCTTTGCTGCCCTTGGCCGAATTTTGACTCGCCATACGCTCCATAGCTGGCGCAAGCATACTCTTATCCACCCTGCGTCTCTTCACCGGCTCGCCGTTCGCCAAGATACCCAGACCCATCGTTGCAGCCTTGCCCTTCGCACCCTTGATGACCTTCTTCGGCCGCTCCTCGAACTCCGAGTCCACATGATCCGCAGCCGCTTGTCCTCTCTTCCCTTTCACTTTATCCCTACTCGCCTCCTTTCCAGCCTCTCGTCTGGCCTGCGCGATTTCCGTCTCATGAAATGCCGCAGCCACAGCAGCCAGACTATTCGTCGCTGCGATGTCTCTACGCGAAGGCACAGGCATCGGATGCTTCTTCACTCTGTTATCGCTGTACGCCCAGTGCGTCATGCTCCCCAACCTCGCCTCTTCACTAATCTCATTGTCGATATGCGGCATGACCGAGTCCACACGCGCGAGCTGCACCGCAAGTACACGATTCGCCTCGGTCAAGACCGCCGTCTTCTCCTCCAAATTCGGGAGCATGCCATGAATGAGCAATCGCAGCTCGTGGAACGCTCTCCGCCTGACCAAATCCTCTTCTGTATCCTCGTCCCCAATCACTGACCCCGCGACCGAGTTGACAGCAGACAAATGCGCACCACCTCCTGCAACACCATTAATCAGACTCACGTTCGTGCTCCCAGTGGTACTGTTCGCGGCAGTAAAGCTCAGCAGTCCTCCTGCACCCAACTGTCCCAAATGCGCACCTCCATTGTCCCGTCGCGCAGGTATAGGCATCTCCAGCAGCCTCTCCACCATTCCACTCAACCGCTCGTTAGGCCCATGCACCTTGCCCTCTGCCTCTTTTATGAGCGTGCTATGGCGGACCATCTCCTTGGGTAGTGCAGTGATGGCGTCGCTGAAAAATTGTAGCGCAGGAAAGAATCCTGGTTCTGGTGCTTCGCTGGCATCGTTGTCTACTGCCAGGCCCGCACCACCGAAGTGTCTCGCATAGTAGTTGGTGGGTCGTGTGGTATTCGTGCGAATCGCGCGACCTGAGGCGGTGCGTTTGGAGACATTGGACGTGCCGTTCTCGGTGGGAGGAGGAGGATACGAGGCGAGCGAAGTCTTGCGAATGTTCGAAGTAGGAGGCATCGGGTAAAATGGCTAGTAGGCCAGACAAGCGAATGTGGTCGTGATCAGTGGATGTGTGCGTGTGTGCTGAGGATGGCTGCGACGAAAGCAATTCTACGCTTCTAACTGAACGAGAGCATAGTAAGAACGAACGCCAGCGACCTCGGGAACGTGAAGACGGTAATGTAGTGTATGTGCAGGCGGGCGACGAAGAGCTCTCGAGCTGAACACAGCGAAACACCTCCTCGCGCGCGCGCACCATCGTCCACATTCTGCCGAACTGGAAACTCAGCCGAGACCATTCGACGTCATGGCATCTAATCTAAGATCAGATCACGTGAAAGAACCCATCCAGGAGCAGGGAGTCATCTTGTTGTTTCTCTCAGGTATGTCTGTACACGGGTCTCTTCATATATCCTACACCTGCCCTCCCCCCCCCACAAGAACAATATAAACACCCATCCCAAACACCCTCGCTCGCTTGACCGCGCCATAAGCTCTCCACGCCCATCCTAAACCTATCCCTCGTGTGACTTCCAACTTGTAAACTCAACCCAATCAGCACGGCCAAAATCACTAGATCGAGCCGCCAACGCTCCTGATGTCGCTGGCAAACGCTAAGGACCTGTTGCAATGATGTGTCTGCGTCCGGGTTTGCACTTGTGCCTGCAGAAGTGTACGTAGTGCATTAGCCTGGGCTGACTGCTTTGCAGAAGAATGTATAATGTTGGTTGATGGCGAAGTGGGAGCCCTAGTGTGCTAACCAGTGCCGTTCATCGCACCGTTACTGTGGCCATGCACAGCCGCTTGTTCGAGGACCTGAGGTGGATCTTGCGCTGGAGTCGCGGAGGCTGGGGTCGGCAACGCTTTCGCCAAAGGCCCATTAGCTTGTCGCAGCCGGCGGAGCTCAGCTTCGACTTGACGACGTTGATCTTGCTCAGCCTATAAGTCATAAGTCAGCAAAACAGTCTCGACACTGAAAGGGCGTGGCCTGCTGGTAAGCCAGTCAAACAACTCACCCTCAACAACCTCACCCCCTCCGCCCTAGCCTCCCTCATCATCTTCTTAAATTCTTGTCTAATAACCATCATACTCTTCATCTCCCTCCCACCAACCCCACCACCAACAACAGCCGCACCATTGCCTCTACCATTGACCCCACCATCCCGAGCAGCGTCAACAGCCCCAGACATCGGACTCCTAACCCCCATCCACCTAACCTTCTCATCATGAACCTGTGCCTCAAGCCCCTCACAGCGATCCCTCAACCCATCGATCAAATCCTCCAACTGCCCGCGTTCCTTCTCCAATTCCACAGACTCCTTGGTCAAATCCCGGAAAGCATCAGTCATATCCCTCAACTCGCTCTCGAGATTCTTCGCCCTCTCGACGGAGACAGAACCGGTCTTCATGCCCTCGAGTTGCGCGACGGCAGCTGCATGCGTCTCTTTCAAGCCCGTGTGCTCAGTATGAAGTTGCTGCAGTTGCTCAGTCATAGCTTTGTTCTGTTGACCCAGGCCCACGACTTCCGCTGCCTGCGCTTCCCTAGCACGCTCGGCGCGGGAGCCATATGCTCCTTCTAGCTCGGCTTTAGCCATGGTGAGCTCTGTTGTGAGACGCACGACTTCGCCTTCCAGCTCCTGCATCTCATCTTGCACACTAGCGTGTCTATGCTCCGCCGCCTCTCTCTCTGCGACAGCAGCAGCCAACTGCTCCGAAGTAGTGGCATGCATGGACTCCAGATCCCGCGCCCGAGAATCGTGCTCTACACCCTGCAATCTCGCATCGTCCGTCAGACCCGCGACTTGCGCCTCCAGACTCTCCACGTGCTGCTGCAGACCCACTGCATTCTGATGATGCGTCTGAAGCTGCCTCTGCATCTCATCCCATTCCTGCTGCCGCGCATCAACCATCTTCTTTAGCCCCTCAAACTCATTAGCCGTATTCATCAACTCCAGCCTGGCCTCCGCGACCTCTGACTCCGCCTGCGACCGCTGCGCCATCTCCTTCGTAAGCTGCTCCTGCATGCCCCCGTGTTCATTAGCCAAGTGATCATGTCGCCCTTGCAGATCCGTAAGCTGCATATCCTTCTCCGCATCCGACTTCCCGTTGAGCTCGCGCTGCTGCTGGATCTGTCGTTTCAGAATAGCCTGTTGTTCTTTCGCGGATTGTTGCTGATTATACAAATGCTGGACATGCGAGCTGAAAGCCCCAAGCGAGAAGTCTTCTCGTAATGGCGTCGTCGGACTAGGAAGACCGCGCTCACCGGCATCCTGATCGATACCACTTGGAGCCCGGGAGCTGGCGCGATCGGATTGCAGAATCTCCCACAGCCCACCAAGCGTCGCCTCATAATCATCCACCTTCTTCGCATGCTCGTGAGCCTTTCCCTGCGCATCCGCAAGCGCCATCTCATGACCCTCGCTAGCCTCCCTCGCATCCTCAAACTCAAGCCTATGCTGCCGTAAGGTTTGTTCCATCGACCCCAGACTGTCGGCCAAGTACTGCAACTGCTGCTGATAGCCATGTCCAGACGCCTGAGGCGGCTCGCGCAGACTCTCCATGTTCTGCATGTCCGCGCTGAGTAAGAGGGTGTTGTGGAGCTGGTGATTGATATCGGATAGTTGTTCTTCGACGGCGTTACGGGTCATGTGCGCGCTGTCTTGCAGACGCGCATAGTGCGCCTTCACACCTTGCTGTTCCTGCTCGAGCAAGTGCACGTTGTCTTCGAGTCGGTTGAGCCGCTGGTCGAGCCGAGCGGTCGGTTCTTGGTCATGATCCTGGATAGCAGGTTCTGGAGCTGTATTCACACCTCGAACTCTACTGGCCTCACCTATGACAAGCCGAAGCTGCTCGTTAAGATGCTCCAGCCGAGTCTGCACACTCGCCATATGCTGTTCCTGCTCCTCCTGCAGTTTTTGAGCGCCACCTCGGCTGGCCGAAGTAGCTGGCGCGCCATGCAAGATATCCCGAATGCCGTCGAACTCGTCAGGGTGGTAGATATCATGACTGTCCGGTTCCTCGTAATGCTGAGCGTGGCCGTTCGTGAGAGCCTTGCCATTGATCTGCTTCGTAGCCCTTGCCGACTGCTCCGCCAACACAGCCGCGGTGTGCCGAAGCAGTTTTCGCTCCACGAACTGTCTCCGCTCAAACAGTAGCTTCAGAGTACCAGTCAGCTCCTCCACTTTCTTGGTACTGACAGCCAGCTCATCCTCCGCCTGCGTCAACGAGCCAGAGCCGCCACTGCTGCTCCCCGGCCGTACTCGACCAAGCAGACTACTCCTCGACCTCTTAGGACTATCCGGACTCTGCGGCGTATCCGGCCTACCCTTTCCACTGGCGGAGTACAACCTCTGCAGATTCTGAGCCGCCTCCTTGACTTTATTCTCCAATGCCAACTTCCTGTGCGCAGCATCGATCCGCGAGTTCAGCCGAGCATGTTCTTTCTTCAGCGCATCAACATCACTAATCTCCAACATCTCGTAAGACTCCGAATCCATCATCGCCTTCTCATACAGCAAATGCTGGCCAACCACGTCCTCGTTCTGTGACCGTATCCTGGTATTGAGGCTGATCTGATGACTCGCCCTCTCCTCGAGAGGGGTATTATACTCGAAATCCTCAAAATGCCCCTTCCCCTGCCCGTGGTACTGCTGATGTTGCTGTTGAACGGCAGTCGGTGGTCTCCAGGCCATGTTGTTGTTGCTAGGAGGCTGCTCAAATCCAGGGACGCTATACTGGCTCCCATCGAAGCTCTCGTAGCGTGGTAAAGGTGATACCGTCCGGTCGTAGTAGGCACCATTCGACTGCATCGTGGTCGCGTATATCACGTTCTCCCTCTCCTCCTTATCTTGAACAGGACTATGCAAGTCTTTCTGCTCGTCCTTCTGCGCCAACGTCCAGCGCGTCTTGTTAGGAGCACCCTGAACCTTAAAGATGGCTCTCGGCATGTGAAGCTGACGGGGTCGGATTGTAGGGTGTAAGCATAATCGTACTACGGTCTGAGTAAGCACGAGTGTTTTTCTTGTAGCACTGCCAATGCTGTCCAGTCTTGAGATCGCAATACGCACAGGTAAGGATCGTCTTGGTGGGTAAAGAATAGTAAGGATCAGTGTTACAGCATGCGATCTGCGAGGAGTGCGCTTGTTCCGGGGTAAGGGGTTTCGGAGGATCTGCCGGCTCGGGGTCAATCAAATCGTCAAGTCTTCCGAGAGCAATCAGCATGAACGATAGCAGCAGGATAAGTAGAAGAGAACAGTCGCAAAGGAGTTCATGGGTAGAGCGGTGTCCAGGACATGAAACACCAACAAGGGCCATGCAACCGTACGGGAGGCTTTTCGATGCTTTCCTTCCCTCAAACTTTCCTCGAACGCCACGACTGGCCCTGCTCCTGCAGCTGTGATTGGTCGGAACCCCTTATACCGGTCAAGCGCATATGTTGAGATTGTGTAGCCATCGTTTCCCACGTGTCGTGCACTGTCTACTATTAGCCGAGTGCGATGCTCACGTAGAATCAGCAAATCTGCCAGCATCTATTGCCATACAAGTCACCGATCAGAAGGGCAAGGATATCATAGGTGGGCGGAAACACGGTATATGATTTATGGGGACCGAGTTTATGATCGAAAATCGATGTGCTACGAGCCACTCCCTTTCAAGCTGGAGCAGATAAATGGACATTCAGATCACGATCTGCATCAACGTAAGACATCACATTGTCTCACGAACAAGTTCCTGGCAATTGGCATGGCATACTCTTGGCAATACTGACACATGTGACAACTTCATGCAGTAATTCAGTAGGCTCGGTGGATCAACATCGGCGAGACGTTCTGTCCGTAGCACTCTCTGCAAAGATGTATGCAGTGCAGCCATCGAGGGAGGCCATGTCGTGAATTCGTGGTTCTAGGCGTGTGGCGGCTGGGAGACGTGGTCCTTCTCTGGGCCTGTTATATGGTGCTCTACTTACAGAGAGCATGACTGCTTGTGATTGCCGTGCGCCCGCGGTATCCAGGACGTCGTGTAGTGCGCATCTATTAAAGGTGAACTGACCAAACTGCGCGTCGAGGGCGCCGAATGCAGACCCATGCTTCACCACTGAATACTAGAAGCCGCTTCGAGAGCTCAAGCGGTCGGAACCAAACCGACGACAATCACGGCATAAAGGACTCTGGTTTATGAGAACTGTTTCATTGCATAAGTACACCCTGAATATGATAAAGCGATCATGTGAAAGCCCTCTCCAGCTAGAAGATGTCAGCTCTGCTTTGGCGATATCTGATTGAAATGTGATAGAAGCTTACTCTCCACGGATTGCTGACTTCGAAACCAGCAGGCGCCTTAACCATATCCGTCTGTCCTCGTAGGAAGCCCGTGAGGCGTCGGTCTCGGTCCATCACTGTATACTGTTAGCCTGCCTTCCTCTCATCTCATCCCACTAGCATGATCTCCCCAGCTAGACGCCCAGTATTTCCTCTGCGAGAGATGTCACGTACTCTGTCTATCCCACTGATCCACCGAATGCCTTGCCCTCTTTCCTCCATTCTGCATGTGTCTGATCTTCGAGAGTGCTGCGCCGGAGAAGCCGAACATGCCTAGACAGACCGCATAGCTTAGGGTGGAGTCAGCAATGGGTGTTGAAGGATCTAGTGGTGGTGATCATACGGGATGAGAGCTTCGAATGGGACACCCTACGTGCTAGTCAGTGGCTGCTGCCGGTTCATGTTTGTGCTGTAGGGTCATACCATGTTTGCTGTGTGCAATAGGAGTGTCGCGACTTGCGTGAGCTGATGGTGGGCACGAAGGCCAGTAGACTCGTGTCGCGAAGCAGGTTCCCACAACCGTGCAAGTTCTTTAGTGAAGTCGCAATGCTATATGCTTCAGTGATGTGGTGGAGGAGTTGGTGTTAGTTGCGGCTTAGAAAGACGTGGGACATCTTGGCCAAGCCGTCAAAAGTCGCTGACTCAGCCCACTAGGGAGCAAGGTGACGAGCGGGCAGCAAGGACAGCAACAACGGGCTGGAGCACTCTCAACCTTCAGTCCATCTCACAAAGGTGTCGCATATACCTTAATAATCACTGGAACTTATATCAACCAACTTGCGCACGCCTAGAGAGGCACTACAACCCTATCCGTGGCCCAACAGCTGCCCACCTCTCATCACACCCACCGACACCCAGGACGCGTCAAAGAGGTCTCAAAGACGTGCTGTACAGGTCAGAAAACAAGTTCGATCTGGCGGACGCGTTCGCTAGCTACTAAAACTCATCTGATCACGAGACTGGGCATCACGAGACAGAATCAACAAGAGGAGCTTTGGCAAGGCTAAGCAGTGAGCAAGGAAGCCGCACCCCTCGCCCTATGGTCGACGACGTGGTAATTCACTCCAGCTGGAGCTAGTACATCAGACAACCTGGCTACAATCGTGCTCAACCGCTCCGCGCCCACGCCGACGAGGGTGCGCGGGCGCGGTGTGCATTACAAGGTACACAGCAACAAGATGGAGACTGGAGGTGAGGAGCAAGATGCTGAAATGGCGGAAGAGTTTGAGGGGGAAGAGGAAGTGGGTGCTGAAGCAGAGCTGGATGCGCCAGCAGAGGAAGAGGAGGACTCAGATGCGGACGCCGAGGTAGCTGAGGAGGATGATGATGACGAAGACGACGACGGTGAGATCGTTGGTGCTGTCAAAACACGCTCAGGCGCCAGACCAAAGAGGAGAAGAGTGGAGGAGGAGTCGGTTGCTGACGAGGAGGTCGCGGACAACGAGTCTGATGAGGAAAGTGAGAAATCGGCCGAGGAAGACTGGGAAGCCGCAGACGATGCACACGAAGACCTGGAGGTTGGCAACGTGGCCGCAAATCGCTGCGTGTATGTATGTCTCTACAGGCTTCCTGGATGGTTACTGACATATCTCAGATTCTGCCAGCAGGACGAAGAGCATGATCCGGGTGACGAGTTTGAAGAGTACTTGGCCTGCTCAGTGTGTGGCGACAATGGTAAGTTCCTTGCACAAATGTCGGATATCAGTGAAAAGGTTCAGCTCTGAACTGCCAACACGTGCAACTTTAAAAATTCCAGGGTCTACATGCTGACTTTCCGTTCCTGCAGCGCACCGGTATTGTGCCAGAGAAGCGGGCTCGCTAGCTTCGGATGAAGGTACGTAGATCCACCATATTCCGGCTGCATGCCAAGCAAACACTCCAGCAACAAGTACTGATCAAACATGCAGATGCAAGCGTTTGGAGGTGCAAAGACTGCGTGTCTAATGGACTGGAAGTCGACTTTCGAGATGTCCCTGGTCTTCTACGAACAGATCGCAGGTCATCGGCTCCTAGGATGGCTCGCGACCTGCTGCCAGCTGCTAGGGGTGGCATCAAGCCAGATTCGCATTCCGTGTTCAATACCCTTATCTTGGACGAAGACCCGATGGACGGCTCAAGGTCGCTGCGTAAACGTAAGACGCCTTCTGGCGACGAAGAGGAGCCGCCTCGACCAGCGATTCGCAAGCGACGGAAGACCGACACTCAGGAGCCGGAGCAGATACCCAATGGCGTGGACCACAGCGTCGCAAGTGTTGACGGCGCAGACGACGTCGGGACGCCAAAGTCGCGTTCTGGACGGCCACGGCGGGTCCTCAAGCAACGCCACAAACATTTCCACATCATCTCGACTGCCGAAGAGCCTAGGAGTCTTCTTGTTGCATTTCCCATCACTGCTTCTCAATGGGATACGGTCGAGCGTGAAGTGCAGAAGAAACAGCGAAGACGAGAGCGAGATCGTCAACGACGCGCACGCAATAATCGACGAACAGCCACCGTCGAGCCGCCTGACGAGCCCAATCACTTTCCCGCCGTGCAAACGACCATCTACACGAACCCATTTTACGCATTTCCGGACAGGGAGACGGATGAGCTCAAGGGCAGACCTTATGGTGGTATACTCACGGACGCCGAAGCAGACACGGCTCGGACATATCCTCAAGACGTCGATCGTGCCACGTTCCAGACCGCTCGCGACAAAGCTGAGCAGGCGTGGAAAGACAAACTGGCTAGCATGAACGGCGAGACACCCGCACGATCAAAGTCTGCCGCGCCCGCAAGCAAGATCAAGTGCATTAACTTTGGCCAGTACGAGATCGACACATGGCATGCTGCGCCGTATCCTGAGGAGTACAGTCGAAACAAGCATCTCTACATCTGCGAATTCTGCCTCAAGTACATGAGCTCAGACTATGTCGCATGGCGGCACAAGCTCAAGTGTCCCGCCAAGCATCCGCCTGGTGATGAGATCTACCGCAGCAAAGCCACGAACCCCGAGACTGGTGCCGAAACCACGCTGTCATTCTTCGAAGTTGACGGTCGACGCAACCCGCTGTACTGTCAGAATCTATGCTTATTGGCCAAGCTGTTTTTGGGCTCGAAAACGCTATACTACGATGTCGAGCCGTTCCTCTTTTATATCATGACGGAGAACGATGAATTTGGCTGCCACTTTGTTGGATACTTCTCCAAAGAAAAACGAGGTTGTGGGCCTGCTCCAACATTACAGCCGCACAATTCGTTTGACGGCACGCAAGATTCACAAGCCTTTGGAGGCGCGGAGACGAACGAGGAGCCGGTCTACGATGCGACGCTCAGTAATCCTGGGAACAACGTGTCGTGTATTCTAGTGCTGCCAGTGCACATGCGACGCGGTTTTGGGAGAGTTTTGATTGAGTTCTCGTATCTGCTCACACAGGTTGAAGGTCGCACAGGGTCACCTGAAAAGCCGTTGTCTGACATGGGGTTGGTGTCGTACCGGTCTTACTGGCGGACTGTTCTATGCAAGCTCTTGCTTCGATATCAAGGCAAAGAGGATGAGGACGCGGACGGTGCCGGTCAGCTCTCGGTCGTGCAGATTGCTCGTGAGACTGGCATGACTCCCGACGACATCATCTCGACGCTCGAAGCTTTACGATTCCTGGTTCGGGACCCTGTCACGCGCAAGTACGCTTTCAGACTCGACTATCATTACATGAAGGAGTATGTCGATAAGCACGAGAAGAAAGCTACTGTGAAGCTTGACCCGGAGAAGCTGTGCTGGACACCATATGTCATGGGCAAGCCATCCAATTATTTTGCGATGGGCGAAGAAGCAAACCAGCCTATGCAGACCGTCGCACCACGCGAAGAGGCCACCGACCTACCTGACGAGCTTGAGGAAGGCGTCCAGCAGACACTCAAAGCTAATGTTGAGGCTTTCGTTGCCAACGAAGGTACGCATATGGAGGCTACTGAGAGCACGGAGCACGTTCCTGAAGCTGAGGTCATCGATCCTGCTCTCACGAAAGCAGATGAGAAGACGCCTCCAATGTTGGCATTGACACCTCAGCCCTCAAACGCTGACCAGCCGGCGCCACGCTCCCCGACACGCCAATCTCCTCGCAAAACACCAAACGGCACTTCTGCTCGCGCGGACACCAAAAGTCCAGGTACCCAGCACAAACGGCAAGGAGACTCAAGTAACGACACCTCCCGTCCCCCGTCCTCCGCTGGGCCCATTCCACCGACCAGGTTCGAAATCTTCCCACCCGTGCCTGGTATGGCATCTGCGAAACGCCGGCCCGGTCGTCCACCCCGTGGTGGTAGTCGAAGAAGTACGTTTGGCTCTCCTGCACGACGATCAGCGGCCAGTAGACGGTACACTGCCAACCGCCGTGCCAACGGTGGCGATGACGATGGGAGCAAAAGTCTGCGGCGCACGAGAAGTAAACTCGGTGATTTTGCTGTCAGCGCTACCGATGTTCAAGCCGGTGGGTCTGTGGATGGCGAAGGAAATGTTGATGACGGCGGGGAACGTGCCGGACAGGACGACGGTGAAGGTCCTGGCCAGGACGACGACGATATGGCTGATGCGCCTGGTGAGGAGGAGGACGAGGAGATTGGGTATGACTAGGCTGGCGGTGCTTCGTACGCGAGAGACGAAGAAGTTATATACCCTTTTTTGGTGCCATGTGCTATACTTGTGCACGATGCCAGCGTGTTTTGCTAGGAGAAGAACTTTCTGTATGAGTAAAGGCAGTGTACAATTACTACTCCTCCCTATCGAGGGAATCACAGCAATACCAGAGCATGAGATGTGACAGTGACCTGGTGGTCGTGGAGAGCACAAGACTGTGGATTACCGATACTGGTAGCTTATACCTCATCTATATGTACAACGGACTCTGCTGCCAACGAGGTCACACTTGGCTGCGTTGTTCTGTGGTTCCGACTTTGAACAGCCATCGTGCTCGCCTTGGCGTCCAAGCAGGTTGTACAAGAATCTCCTGGTTGTTCGCCTTTTGCTTTCACTTTGCCCAATACCGTGCACTTTGGCACGGTTATCGAATGTGCACCGAACTCCGTCGCTAAAAACCATGCTCGATCCCATCTATTGTCCCTCCATCACCTCTTCTAACGCCTGTGGCTGTATTGGGTCGCTGCTGTTGCCAGAGTTCGTGGATATGCCGATTCCCACGTGTGGCTGGCTAGTGCTGATACCCATGGCTCGTTGCTGCTGTTGCGGCAGATCTGGACGAGTAGGCAGCACGGTGTCGTTCGTGTCGTTCGTGTCGGGGTTTAACGATGACATCCCCAGAGCTATGTCCAGATTGTGTATCCTTTGCGAGCGTTGCAAAAGTGGTTGCGCGTTGACTCCGGCTTGCTAACCTGGAGGCAAAGGGTTGAAGTTGTACATTGACTGCGAAGGTTGTGAAGGTTGTTGTGTCGCAGGCGTGAGAGTCGGGTAGTTCGGTAGTTGTGTCTGATATGAGTAGTCATGTACTGACTGCTGCTGTGGCTGTGGTGGTAACGAGGAGTCGCTGCCAGAATACGATGGCGCTTGTTGGTGATGGCTGTGCTCTATTGGCGTGCCACCCACTGTGGTGAGACCTGACGGCATATACCGTGGCTCCCTGGGCAACACTTGTGGTGGTCTTCCTGCTACCGCACCATACGTATCGTGATCTGGGCTCGAGACGAGCTTCACGTCATCGCTGTGAGAGTACATCCCTTGTAGATAGTCATTCGTAGTACTCAGAGCTCCGGTCGTTGCACTGGAAGTTGTAGTCGCAATGGAACGATCGGATGGCAGACCTATACTGTTTGCGATCAGAGATTGTTGCGATGGACGACGCATGATTTCATTGTTGGCGTTGCCGAACGACCCTGCATAGCTGTTGTCTTGCGGTAAGAATGGCTGTACTTCCTGCGGCTGCGCTCGTCCGAAAGAATCATCGTCCGAAGAATGTGATAGTTGTGGGACGTGGCCCTGCTGATGCGCTGACGTGGGTGTTGGATAGCTACTAAGAAAGCCCATCTGGTCCATTGCGGACTGGCTGGTCGTCAGAGGATAGCTTGCTGATCCAACTGCCGGAGGTCTCTGAGTATTTAGTCTTGCCATACCGCTATACATATCTGTATGTGAAGCTCCATGGTCAGGGTAGCCACCGGACATATTTGTTGTTGTGTAATCTCGACCAAGCTGATATGTAGGGCTCTGTTGATCGTAGCTCATGTAATTGCCGCCATAACTATTGTGCATGATGTTCTGCTGTGGATATGCATAGTTTGACTGGCTGTAGCGCTCGTGTCGATTCAAGGAGTAGTCATGATGTAGTTGGCGTCGCTTGTAGTCTACTGAATCCGCGAGACTGTACTGACTGCCGCCGATAGCACCGCCAGGTGACTTGTCGACGGCCGGGACGAGATCGAGTGCTTCGAAGGTACGTTTCTTGCTGTTGCACAGATTAGCTGTGTCTCCATACCAGATCTCCTCGATCCGAAGCGACCAACCCTGCTGCTGGCCTTGCCTCCTTTCTAAGTCGCAGTCGCACGCCTTGGTCTGAGAAAGTTCGCGACAGAACTGACGATTCGCGAATGCCCGGAAACTCTTTTTGGTTGTAGACTGGTCGTGGGTTAGCAAGACGCGTCAGTCGATCATGTTTGGCCTGCGGTACCTGTGAACACTGCCGATTCGACGTGCGTTATGAACTCAACATTGTTCTCACCCGATCTAGCAGTCGTTAGCCTCCAGATCCTCGGGCAAGAGGTGGAATGCGTCCACATACTTGTCGTAGTTGAACAGGTTGAATCTCAAGCGATACTTGCCAGTCTGTTTTATGGAAATATCTCCAAAGACAAAGAAGCCACCATCTGAGTCTATGGTCAGCTTGATGCTCATAGCGATATCGCGTCTCTTTCGAATGATCGTTCCGCGGCTGATGTAGACGCTTACCTGAGTTATCGACGTCCTTGAGACGGTGTAATGAAGATGAGCTGGCTCCGATCATGTACTTCTCGCCAATGAGTCGTTCTCCACCAGCCTCTCCCTCTAGTAGATTCGCAACAACGAAGAGATATGGGCTGACTAGCCATGCGCTGGAACAACGTCAATCTACTGCTTGGTATCGGAGAAGTTTGGCCGTACGTACGAGTCCATGTGTTGATCTGATACCTTGAGCTGGAGTATTGGAGGAGGATCAAGCGGCTTACGGTCTAATTGTTCATGTATATGTCAGCATAACCTTCGTGGATCACAAAAGCTCCAGCAGTGGCAGTGCTTACTCTTCTCTTTCTTGGTTGTCGTGACCAAGCCGTTGACTGGCTGCTGGCGTACAACAAGTTGGACATTGCGACTAGGCGAGCATACCGTCAGCTGTCATCCCGCAGCGCCAGGGCATTGTATGGCATCTTGTTCATACCCGTTCAGCTCCGGTCCTTGGGGCATTCGTATATGCCCGAAGCCAGGCATGTTCGACATGAAGCTCTTTACACTTGCTTGCTGTCCCAATGACAAGCTGTTTACTGCGTGGGAATATCTTTTGGCTCCGCAGCCACGCGTCGCCCAGTCTCACACCCTCTGTACCAGTGTTCGTCTTCCGTACGACACAAACCAGCTCGTATAGAGGTATGCGCGAACCAATGGTAGAGCGTAATGCGTAAGAAGCAGCACAAACGGATCCGGGTGCCGTTAGACCTTTGTACTCGTGATTTCGTACGGCTCTCAGCAGAGCTTCGCACTGTACTGATGCTCGAGATTGGCTCAACACTGAAGTAGCAATGACGACTGGTGGTGTGATCGTATTGGTGGTTAGGTTTGCAACGACCGAGTCTACGGGTCGAGACGACAGACGTGGTGCTGTGTTGCGATGAAGATAAAGTTCGACCGTGGTGTCTGTAGGGCATTTGCGAATGCTCCAACCAATGCACTTGCTCGGTACACGTCGTCCTTGATGGTAAGCGACAGGCAAGTCCGCCTGTCAACTTTTTGTGGAAGGTACACAACGTCGTCCGCTCCAGCTAGTCACAAATGATATTCTTGGTCGTTGCGCGGCTTCGACCATATGCATCAAGTCTACACCCGCAATCTATACAGCCTCTCTGCGACCTTGAACGGTGGATTTTAAAACCCTCAGCGACAGCGGTTGCGCTTGCGAAAGACTCGATTCGATTCAGACCAAGGTAGCAGCGATTCAATGGCAGGTGGCTCCAGCGTTCAAGGTGTTGCTCTGATTCGTGAGGAGAGTTGATGGTTCGACACTGAGGTCTGCCTGTGGAACTGTGACCCTGCAACAATAGTGGACGCCAACGGATGTTCAAACAGTGGTAGTCGGAGGGGTGGAGGGGTAATATAGGCCTTGGGCGAACCGATCTAAGTACACAACCGCCAAGTCGTCGGACTCGCCAATGCCACTGGCGATAGTAAAGAACTCCAAGACACCGATAGAAGACCGTAAGACACACTTATCGAAACCAGACTCCGTCGTGATGTCGCAGATTCTTCAAAGGACTTCCTTTCCTGATGACGGGACTGCGAACGGTTCAGAGGTTCGTCGCTGGTCGGCTCGCTAACGGCGAACCACTTCAGGCGGAGACGTCCTTGCTAGAAATGGAATGACCGTTTACTCTCCAGGCTTCTGCTGCAAGTCATTTCAAAGTCAAATGCTATCCAGTTGCCGGCATGATCCAACGGCTGGCATGTGAGAGGTGATGTTTCGTGGGGTTATCAACGGGAAGTAAACTCTGCCACAGCACAGATCCGTCCCCGTCCGAGGACTCGACAGGCCTGCAAATCGCAAGCGAAGATGCCGATAGCTCGCAGTCGCTCCGAGAAAGGGTAGCAAGACGAAATGCCTCACGAGCAGCACGGAGCAGGCAGAGCACTCGGCTAGAGATCGCGAGCTTCTATACACCAATATGATTGATCGCTTATTAGACTGCTGAGGATGCCTGTCATCAGCCCTACCCTGACAAGAGCAAAAGGACTACCTGCTAGTCACGTTCTCGAGCTCCCATGCACAGAGAGGCAAGGTAGCAATGTGGAGCCCCGAGCGCACGAATATAACTTTACCGGGCTTGTAATCAGCTCTAGCCGGGCTCAACTCGTATAGTATAGGGATTGTATTGGCAATCGTCTAACCACTTTAGCGACTATCAGATCTCATACTAAAAATTGTCAGTTTGTCTCAAGCAAAACCTCATACCCGCCACCATGACGCTTTTTGGCACTCTCCTCTCACTTCAATCGCAAAGCAAGTGACTACTGAAGGCTCTTTCGTCATCCTGGCTTGACACGGGCTGGAGGCAAGCGAGCACGACAGTCTGCACGCCTGCGATGAAGCGAGCCGGTATGTTCGTGCTGCAGCTGAGAAGCCTCCCATCACGGAACGTTTGTGGTCGCATAGAAAGTACCACAAGCCACGTTTTCCAACCGGGCGCCGGCAGGTCAAATCGTCGCGTGGCAGCCGTGCCCTGCCTCGTCTACGCAGGGAGGCGTTTGCATCATGCACACACGAAGAAAACCGAAGCGGCGTGTCTTCGCCGCATATGTGTCGTACCGTTCCCTTTCGAGCGTGCACAACACCCAGATGCGGCCTAGAGCATTTGGCTTTGACAGAATCGATCGTCACATGCCAAAATACTGGTCCTCGGCATCGTGCTCCGCGACATTTCCCAAGCTTATTGAGTCTTATCCGAATGACTATCGATTGACTGACTCGTATCAACCATGGGAGACATCACCAAGAATGAAAGCATGCGGCTGGTCGTTCTATTCTGTGCGCAATCTGCTTGCAATAGGGTCCTCGAGAATGAAAGAAAGCACGCAATATCGCTGCAGTAGTTGACAGGAAGCGCAACGGCGGCCCAAAGCTTGTCTGACCAACCTGTTATTTTCGCAAACGAACCTGGTTTGCTCGTCGGTACGGCTAGCTTGGTACGGCAGTACGATCCTAGCTGCCTCTAGACGGAACGAACCTCGACTGCTTCATGTCCATCGCTAGTATACATCGAAAGCGGTCAAGCATTGTACACGAAAAGAAGCCCAGCAAATACTGCAAGCAGCTGGGCGGCCGCGAAAGCCTACAAGCGAGTTGCTGCTGAGCTGATGAAAATGCCCAGCCTTCGGATCTGTCTATTGATTGGTCCTCTTCGATATTTTCTTCATGCAAGTGACTTCTGCCAGTGCGTGACAGGTGTGTAGTCCCACGCCCCTAACAATACCCGCATGTAAGCGACCTTCGGTTTGATCACCTGCAAGGATGTCTCGCCAGTCGTTCGCCTCCATTGTCGAGAGCGCCCAGAAGGTGCAACTCCCTGTCGTCAGCTTGCTAGTATCATTGCGGCCACACTTCGCCATCTGAGATCTCGACTACGACTGCCATGGATCTACACTCGCAAGAATTGTGGTCAATGTGCTTCTCTTGCGAGGCGCAAGGCCATTTCGTTGATAAGAACGTCTTCCATCTCTTGTAATGCGGAAGTGCAACCGAGCTGTAGCCCCCAGCCGGACTCGGCCGTTCAGGCATGAGGATCATGCATGCAGCATGCAGCTCGAGATGAGAAACGGCTTCTGTGTCTGCCACGCGAGCACCAGGATGTACCAGGTCGCACTACTAATTCGCCTGACTGAGGGCGAGAGATTACATCGCCGGCGTTGTATGTCAATAGCACAATACTGCTGTGCACCAGACACGACACAACCAATAAATCAATCTGCAGAACACCGTGTCGAAATTGAAGCTCGAGCCGCCTCTGCATCACGGGAGTCTCCCATTGACGCCCATTGTCATCATGTTGAGACATGCAGCCGCTGTATGGCTGACTTCGTACGACTCTCGTTGCTCGGATGCTGTTGCTGCCGGTCATGCAAGGCGCTGCCACGTTGTCAGCGCGTGGAAGCCATCAGCGCATCCGATGCATTGCATATCGGCTCTCTGGCCACAAACCCATGCAAATGCGCAAGCGAAGCTCCTTCGCGCTGCCACCGCCTGTTACACCCCGGGATTGTTTCAGTCTGGCGATCATCATGCATATGATGTGCCGCCCCATACGTAGGCAGTATCATCGTCAAGAGACCGCTTAGCAGGAGAACAGCTTGTGCCTCGAGACGAACGTCTGTTCAGGTTTCCAACGTGGAATGATCTAAGTGAGGGTTTCGCCACTCCTTCTGATGGATGCCGATATGTAGAAGAACAGAAGAGCACTGAACTGAGGGATCTCACACATCTACCCATGCAAGCCACCGCATCCTCCCCGGTACCACAGATGTCAGCGACGATTCGTTCATCGTACGTCGTTAAGAGAGGATGTGGAGCTGTCGACCGCTTCGACTGTATCGCTTGCATACTGTGATTGATTGCAGCACTACCTCAAGCATGACATGGCTTCGCCATCACGACCTCGCTTCGAGCGACACGTGCGGTCCTTGAGCGAGAGCATAGAATGCTGAGCCAGCCATCTGCGAACACTACATACGGCCCAGAGACAATGATATTGTGTGCAACATGCGATAAAGTGAAGAGGCTATATCGAGGCGCCGCTTGTGCGACACTTGGTGTGTTCTCAACCGGGAACAGCAATCGTGCATATGCCATTGTCGCCATGTGGCAAGGACCCAACCGCATCCTTTGACAAGTCGGCTAACGACACTACGTTTACAGCAGAGGGTCTTGCTCTGATGACCTCTTCTCACAGGTGGTCAGTTCGTCAAACTGCTGTCGAACAGCAGTCTGTACGCCTCTGAGGATGAGGTGAGAGGGTATTTGCATGGTGTTGAAAGAGGTTCTGCCCTGGTCTCACTTACAGTGCGTGCCAACCACTTCTTCCCTTGTAATATCGTGACACCATCCGGTACGCTGCCTAGACGTAAGACAATGCTGAACAAATCACGCACAAATAGTACTCCCAGCGCCTCGCCGAAACAACGACCAAATTAGACAGCTTGCACAAGCATCACACCACTCAACTCGCACTAACTTCAGCTCTCAACACCTCGATCCATCTCTCGTGCCTTGGCAATAATCTGTGCATGCATCTTCCTCCTTACAGGCACCATAGTCATTTCCACGAAAGGCTTGAATAGGACAGAGCAAGTACTTTCAATCACCTCATCCAACACCATGGCAGTACCGCCAGTAGTCCCGCCAAATCCAACATTCTCATACGCATTCAATATAGCCTCGCCGTCGTCATGTCGAGCTGTCCGGATCGTGTACTCCGCTCTGGAATTAAAACCCATTGGTGCTTGGATGTATGACACTACTCCATCTGGCCTGTTCTGGAAGGCACAGGTGAAGCGTATTTCATACTTCCATAGGCCGAAGGGTAGAAGGTCCAGTTTCTCGTAGACTTCGTAGCTTATTTTGCCAGTTTCTTCGTCGCGATCACGCTCTTCATGGCGGGTCACGATCGGTGACATGGTTATCAGGAATTCGTGATTGTGGAGGAGTTTTGTCACGGTATCTGGGTAGACATCTTGTGGTATTGGATCCGCCACGTTGTTGGTGAATGTGGTCCTGAACATGGTGGACCATGTGAGTTTGTCCCTTAGCGCTGCCAGCGTACCAGACGGGATCCTTCAGGTCGGAATGGAGTCCTCGAGAAAGTGGAAAGCTCCTCTATATCTCGTGAAGTCCTCTCCTCACGATAGTACGATTCCGCGATACGAGACACCTCACGCTCAAGTCTTAGTGACCAACCAAGGCAATTGTCTGCTATCAGCCGCACGATGCTTCGCCACTGTCGCTGGCGGATCGCCCGTGGCCATTCGCTCTGTCCGGCTACCAGGTGCTGGAAAAGGCTCTCAAGCGATTATTAGACCCGCTCGTATAAGAAGCTGTTGCCATTCAGCCACTGAAGATGCTTGGCCGTATACCAATGTCATGAATCGCGAGGGATTGTTAAGGTGACAATTTGGTTCAGCCGAGTGGACCACCTCACTTTGCTGAAGCGCCTTGATGGTGACCACGCAGTCCGTTGATCGAGTACTCTCCCTCGAACGTCTCTACAGTTCGCAATGCCCTTGAGGATGTATAGTAGCAGGCGTGATACAGTACGATAACGTTGTCAAGCTTTTCCGGCCCCGCCAAACGGTCGGTCCTCCTGGCGATACCGTCTCAAAAAGTAAGCTCAACAAACTGATATCATACATAAACATAGATCTCTTCCCTTCCACACCTAATCTCGAGCTATCATATACACCTTAGAACGAACTCACAGCGTATACAGAGAGATACACAGTACAACCATGTCAGGACACGCTGGTATGTGACAATGTTCTTACCACGATCTACGAGTCATGCAATGCATATGAGGTTCGGGTTCGCTGGTCGAGTTCACCTAAGTGCATATGCTTCTGCCTTAATCACACGACGCTGTTTCGTCTCATCACCAATCTGTCGACCGAGTATGCTCGTTTTGGTGGTTCCTGAGATGTGCAGCAAGCTGATATACGGCCTGTCCAGACTCTGCCTTCAAAGCGGCCCTTGAGAGCAACCACCGATGGGCAACGGAAACAGCAAAGACCGATACCGAGTTCTTCCAGTCGGCCGCAAAGGGTCAGGCACCACGGATACTATGGCTGGGGTGCAGTGACTCCCGCGTGCCAGAAACGACTGTCCTTGGACTTAAGCCAGGTGAAGTCTTCACTCACCGCAACATCGCCAACATCATCGCCCCTACCGATCTCTCCCTTCTTGCCGTAGTCGAGTTCTCCGTGGCACATCTGAAGGTCTCGCACATTGTGGTATGTGGTCATACATCATGTGGTGGTGTTGCAGGATGCTTGGCCAATGCTAAGCTGGGTGGACCATTGGACATCTGGCTACAGCCATTGCGAGCATTGCGTGAGAAGCATGCAGATGAATTGGATCAGCTCCAAGGTGCTGAGAGAACTACGTTCTTGGGCAAGAAGAACGTACGTGCAACAATGAGCAGGTTCTGCTGGTCTTTGCCATATACTGACTTTCTGTAGGTCCAACAAAGTATCGATGTCGTTCGGCGCATACCTACCGTCATCGATGCTGAGCGCGATCGTGGTCTCGAAGTGCACGGTGTAATCTACCATCTTGACTCCGGCGTGCTAGAAGAGGTAGAGTGCAGCGAGGATGAGAAGACGGCATCTTTGAGGGGAGCCACATTCGAGCGCAAGTGAACCAGTGTGCCTACAACGACCTAGACTAATATAGAAGTCACGCACTGACCCTATTCATCACTGTCATTGCCACTTGTCACAGGCTCGAGGTACACTCTCAGGCTTTGGCCTTGCGACCTCTGACTTGGGCTTCAATACCATGGCCCGGCCTCTGTTGAGTTCGCTAATTGTAAACCAGTGCCTCAGATCAGGTCGAAGGTGACTGGCGGGTCTCTACTCGCTAAGATCTCTGCTGACACCTCGCCGTGCATCATCCCACTTACATACGCCTCGCCAAGGAAGAGAGAAAGCTCTTCCAGTGGTCGAAGCACGTACGGCGTAGAACCATAGCAGAGTAGCACCACTTTGTCGCCTTTCTGCATAGCCTTCGAACCGAGTCCCATCCGACCATCAGCCGTAACCAGAAATTTGCGATTCGTGCAGGTGTGATGTATAGCGTGGCCGAAGAGACTAGCCGCTGTCACTTTCGGATCTGGGTCTGGTGGTAACATGAATGGTACTGGTGGTAACTCCGCCGTCTGCTCCAGTATAGACTGCAAGTGCAGGAAGCCTTCAAGAAAGTCATCTCCAGATTTGTCACGATTGTGATCATGCTCTGTTACAAGCACACTCGCAAGTTCGAGCGCTGGTATGGTTCGGCCACACAGGGTTTCGGCCTGTGCAACCAGATGTCCAACCTCCTGCAGCCAAAATGGAACAGTCTGCCATTGGGCGAGCGTGCTTATTTCCGCGGCAGACGAAACAGCGGCGATCGTGCAGACTTCGTAGCCCGCCATGCGTAGTATGCGAGAAGGTCGCAATGTTTCTTCCACGACCGAACGAGGGAGTTCTAGCAAGTCTCTAGCAGCATTGAAGGCTGGTAGAAGACGTGGAGGGTCAGCCAGAGCATCCCACTCTCGATCCCAGCGAGGCGCCCAGCTGGAGAAGTCTTTAATTGTCTCCGCGGTAGCGTTGACCGGATGGGACACGAACGCGAATATATTCGGAAGGTGGCGAAGGTCAAGTTCCATCGTCTTAAACAGTGCTGCTCTCGTAGCTTCCTGAAAGACCTCACCTAAGGACTTGTCGTAATCGGGTACTACGAGTGGCCTAGTAGAGTGTTCCACGATCATCTCAGGCATGAGACTAAGCAGTGAGTAGATGTGATCGTGCGCCACTGACACTGCACTTTCTCGGCTGTACGAATACAGGTATGGTATGCCCAGTGCAGGCGAGCCATGCAAAATCGGCAGAAATTTGCACATAATCCCAACGCTGCATATCAAAAAATTGTGTTGAACTCAGAAGTATGTTAAATTGCAAAAGTAATGGTGGATTTGCGACACCTGTGTGATTCGAACTGAACGATCATTAGAATTGTTTGTGGACAACATCGGTTTGTGCTTACCACACGCTCCCGAACTGCGAGGGTGTTAGACCTGGAGAAACAATGCGTATGTAACATATCACTCACGGAACTGCCTATCAGATAGTACTTCGCAGTAGTAGCAGGGCAGCGCGTTAACCACTCCGCCTAAACCATCGTTAGGATTGGACAGTGGATCGCTCGTTGATCGATGATTTACGTACCAAAGTGCCTGGTTGGTGGTGAACGCAGATTGCCGGTAAACATATAGAGGCTCAATATATCTGCCGAGCTTTCCCCTCGAGCAAAGTCAAAAGCGCGAGATTTGTAAGGCAGACTTTCCGTCTTACACGATACTGATCTCACGATCATGCGCCCGTTTGACGCCAGTATGGGACGACGCATGAGCTTACACTGCTCAACTTCTTGTCTAAGATACAGAAAATGCGTACATGTTTGTCTACCGTTCGTGAGGTGACACTGTTCTCCCCGTGGTGATCCGAACCCAGCCACTCGTCACCGGCCACGCGAGCTTGTGGTGTTCAGATACAGACGACAGGTCGCAGGTACCATGGACCAGATCACAAGCCAGGAATTACATACGCCTCAGCATCCCATTGGTTCAGTCCCGTCGATAAGTCAAGTTCCTTCATGGCCAGAAAGACCGGAAGGGAACTCGTACCGTTGATGTACATCATGCATTCGCTTCCCGTTTCATCCTGCCTAAGCGTTGCCGATGAAATTCGAAGTCGGGTAGAGAGGTCGACCATGGCAGGATCTGTGCGACTTCTGGCATCATCCGCTGCTATCGAGGGAGTCAAGTCTTCAATTTTAACATTGATCATATCTTCCGAAGTACGAATCAAGACCACTATCTCTTCTCCTCTTGCTTGGTTTGACTTCCTAACCCTACCAAGTTGAGAGCATTTCCATGGCCCAAACGTCTAACCACACCCCTTCGCAACATGACCGACTACCTTTTATATGTGACGTACAAGCGAGGGTTGACCGACCCTAAGTCAAGTCCAACTCTGGACAGTCTTCTGAAGGTCCAATCCATCTGTAACAAGCTTTCGCTATAAGATTGTCGACATGTTCTACCTGAGAAGATTCTCAATGGTCACACAGCTCTCTGGCGACCTCTCACCATAGGGCTTTCAGCGAGCTTCATCTGGGACCAGTCCCAGAGTTCGACATGACTGTTGCCTGGCCAGATGAGAACCTTCGCCGAATATCTGCCGACCTGGACCATAGATTCATTCTGCATACGAAATACTCACATCGACAATACACTAGTCTCGCTGAAATTACACAACCGGAAGGCGTTCAAAATCTCGGTAGTGCTACCAGTCTCGAGCTGCTGAAACCTCCCTCATACTTTACGTCTGGCTAGCGTATACCAACGGCAATGTTCGCTCTGTACGCACATCACATTTGGTCGATCCGGTGATCTGGTGGCTCGTTGACTTACAAGGCTGACCACGAAGGCTAATGACCGTTCTCGCGACTTCATCAAGACCACCAGGGCCAACGGTTTCTGTTCACGTATATGGCCGCCAACGCTGGGAACAAGGTATCTCCACGAGCGAGCCTGAGTCCGCCGCCGTCCCATTACACAATTCCACGCAGCAGCAGTAGTGTTGCCGATGGTCTAGACTTGGACTTCGTGCTTGTAAATCGTGCTTCACAATCCGGACTTCCAGCATCCCTTTTGCGACCTGGTACCGGTTGTGGTGGACCGTCAACAATCAGCCTATTAAGCTATGCTTACACATTAGGGATGCAAAACCCGTTGGCACGCCCTTGCGGTGTCGCTGCAGCCATGGCTGAATCGGATTTCTACAGGGCCGACAATCTCAACACCGCAACCGATGCATCTCGGCGGTACTTGCAAGCCTGTAGCTAATATCAAATACTCGCGACTATGTGCTTGGGCAGGTCAAAGACGTACTGACGCCTTCCAATCCTCGATAGCGCTACCGAGTCCGGGCTCCCATGACAGCTTCAGCACCACCTTCTACATCTTTACCGTTACCATACTACTACACACTATCGCCGACAGGTGAGATAGAACAGCGCTACGAAGCTCGACCCAGCGCTTTGGTGCGGCACTTCGGACTCACAAGTAAGAGTCCTCTAGCGCCTGACGCGGCACCGTCCCTCCTTTCTCATGGACGGCCATCATCGGCCAAACTCGCCTTCCACCAAAATGACCGTGACATGACTGTGCTTCTTGCCACATCTATGGACCAGCTTAGGCAGTTTGTAGCGCACTTTCTTATGTCACCATAGCCAGCATGTGGCAGCGACGCTGCAGTCGAGGAGAGCCTTCCTCACAGCACGCCCCAGGCAGCCATCAACAATACACATCTTGACTCTTCCATTTTGCAATCTGACAACTGGTCACGGATACTGTGCTATGCCCAGCTATCGCTCTCGAATCAATCTCAGGTCATCGACATGGACCGATTCGTGATCCGGAAGGCCTTCAGCCAGTCCACTGGTTACAGCAAGCGCAAAAGAGAAGACGAGGCAATCGTGTCTAGCAAGAAGCGACCAGTCGGGCTCACTGACCACGAAGTCATCCACAACGTAGTCCAGGATAGCGACACATTCAGCATCACAATGACGCTCTCGGCAACAAGTACATGCCCGCCATATCTCATCGTATTCCACAACCTCTACCACATGTCGAGCCAAGACACGGCCCGTGGATTTGATAGCTTTACTCAGAGATATACTGAATCTCGGCTACTGGGTGTCCTGGAGGAGACACTACGAGCCCAAGCGAAGACAGTGTTCAGGGAGGAACAATTTGAGCGGTTGGAGGCACTGCTGAACATTGGTGGCGATATCACCATTGACAGGGCGGGTTTCTACATGGACGTTCTGACAGATACTACGGCGACCGAATGGTTCAAGCTCTATATCAGACAGGCAGAGCGGCTCAACGTTCGCATCGGCTATCACAAGAAACCAACAGTACTGCGCAACAACACGGCCCTACATTATCAGCTCTTGCGCAACAATACGGCCCTACATTATCAGCTCTTGCGCAAGCTGGGCCGCCATTACAACTATGTGATACTTGGTCTTCTGCCCAACAACCTGGCCCACGATACTCACCTCTACGATGCCATCGAGATGTACCTGGCCCTTGTCTTCCAGCTACTCCCGCCGAAAACTCTAACGAAATATCTACCCCCTGGATCGCAGCTTCGGCAGCCCGATCGAGGCTGTATGGTAGCCAATCCTCTGAACCAGCACCACGATGATGATGCAGCACGGCGGGCTTCTTGTCAGCTTCGAGACTCGTCGGACCCGGAGGTACGAGGCCATTACAAGGATGCTTGTGAATATCTACGTAAGGTGGAGTACGTGCCAACGATGGAGGCTATGCGGGCAGTTTCGAAGAAGAAAGAGTTCTTTCGGTTCGTGGTTTCATTCGAGCGACCAAAACGGACTTCTGACTGACTCCGCTTACCTAGACCTGCTTCAAATGAGTTCGAAAGGATTGTTCATGTCCGATGCAATACATGCAAAGCCGATGTATCCATCAAGAAGGACCCTCTGCCGGTATACGATCGCGAGACCAATGCCTATCTCGTGCGGCAACAAAGCTGCCACAACTGTCCTCTACCTGGATCGGAAAAGGGCGATCGCAGAGAGTTCAAGTCGACCATGTTCTATCCTATTGATGGGAGACCAACACGAAGCATGTCATGGTCAGTGATAACACGGGCCGTCTTCATGTGCATTACTGACATACCTTTCACTTAGGCTTGGAAAGCATAAGAAGAAGCCACAGTCAACCAACCAGTATGCTGAGAATAGCAAGTGGAAGGCCGCTGTGACCAAGGTGGACGAGGCACCATGAACCTGGGCCATGTTGCAGATCAACCATGAAGTTCGAGAGAAGAGGTTTGATTGAGGTGGCTCAGATTGAATCTTCCAGCGTGTTGAAGGAAAGCTGGGAACGCCGAATGTTGTCATCTTCAATGGTATGTCTTCTGAATTTACAAGATAGATTGCGTCCTAATATGGTCTTAACTAGGTGGCGATATGCTGGTCACACCACCTGATGACGCTCTTTCCGCATCTTTGGAGACTCTGCGAAAATCGAGGCAATGACCTTCGAGAGCGCTTATGTTGCCGCCCAGGAATCTCTAAAAGAATTCAGAATGTTACCCAACGACACACCTACAGCTTTCCATCTGCACCGGCAATGCTCTGAACCAGATCGCAATCCCGGCCACCATGCCATATGCACTCGGACAGGTCGCGGCGGCCATGATGATTGAGTTCGCTGCAAATGCATACGGTCAGCAGGGCTACAGGTAGGCAGATGCCCATGCCACGAAAGCTTGTGCCAGCGTGATGCTGAGACCAGAACTTCACAGGTTCTACTACGCCGATGAGCGACAAGTCGATGGTCGACCTCCTAATTTGGACAGAGATGGGGTTGCTCATGCAGAAATGTACTGGACCCTGGCGAACGAGGAGAAGCAGTCGAAATGTCAGGTCACTTTTGTCAAGGGTTAAGGGAGGAGAAACTTCGTGGGCGTTGACTTCAACGGGGAGACCAGGAGTCCTACGATCACAAGTTTGGCCGTGTCTGATCGAGGAGGACCAAAAGCATACCCCAACGTGGCGGCATCCGATATGTCGTCAGTGCACCCAGCTAGGCTGTCGGCACCGCGACCAAGCACCTAGAAGGCTTGTGCTACTGTACGCTCTTTTGCTTTCCAGCATAGTAGATCTCCCCTCAGCCGCACTACGTTTCCGAAGAGACGGCATCAGCATTTTATACTGTGGAACGTGTGCAGACCATACGCCGAGGAATATGGCGAGGGCTCCATCTTCCTCCTGCGCCTTCGTACATGTATGCATGGGAGTACATCTCGCAGTCTAGCTAGTGCCCACGTGTTTATCGATGTGAAATGTTACGCCTGATCTGTTGACGGCTGCTATAGCTTGGTGACTACTGAATGTACGACAGGGAAGCGTGTTTTACATGCCATCTTGTCCTGCGAATCCTCAGCTTGGCTGCTGTATTGGCATGCCAAACATTTGCCGAATGTGAAAAGGATGGAAGCTGAACAATACAAGATGAAAGCAATATTGCGCACCACCAATCATTTGCCAATGAAAGTGCTTACCACGAAACCCTGGTCGTAAGAGGCTCTGCTCCTGCAGGTACGAGATGCCAACCAATTGCATCACCAGCTAAGCACGCTAAGCATCGATTCAAGAAACTCGCCCGTAGTCGACTTAACCAGCTTGGGCAGGTCGGCGTAACAACCTTCCATCATCCTTCCCGACCTTTCCGTGATCACGACACACGTGCGACCTCTTCTCAAGGCTATAGGACGCGTTGAAGACGATGTTAAGGACTTTTGCGAGACAATACTTCGTTTGCCCCATTGCCACCGCATACGTGAACAAGGTCATCACAATGTGGGCTTCCAGTCTTCTGGCCTAGTAATTGCTTCTGCATTGGCGTGCACATCTCCCGCGCGCCATCAAGGACTGCTCGTAGAGGCATAAGGTGAGCGGCAGGTACATAACCTCGCAGAGTTTCCTTGCTTTCAATCTGTCTTCAGCCGCACGTACTTCCGTTCACTTGCAGTCCTCCACAATGAAGGCCGTCTTCACCTCCGCGCTCGCGAGCGCTATTCTTGCGTACGGTGCTCCTACCAAAGAAGCCCGCGACGTCGACACGAAATACCCATACGTCGGTCCCGCAGTGCCAGTCGGTGACTTCGTCAACAACAGCCCCAACGGCAATGGCAAGGGCTACCCTCGTCTGATCGAGGCGCCTGCGGTCAAGCCTTCCAGCAGCAACCCGACCAACAACATCAATGTCATCAACACCGGTTATGTGCGTAAGTATACCGAGTGTATGGCCGAGGCATGAATGAGTCCACACTGACATGAACGCAGCTGGTGGGATGAATATCCACTTTCAGACGCCCTTTGGTATTGGTCAGGCTCCTACTATCAAGTATGGAACAAGTGCCAGCGCCCTTTCGCAGACTGCAACGGGTGCCTCGAGCACGTACGTCTCCTTACAATATGCTTTTCCAATCGTCTGGCACTAATTTGATCTTAGCTACGACCGCACCCCTCCATGCTCAAGCATCAAGGACCCTACGCAGTGCTCGCAATTCTTCCACAATGTCCAGCTCACTGGTCTTAAGGCTGGGACCACATACTACTACCAAATCCCTGGTAGCAACGGCACGACGTCGTCTCAAGTGCTATCCTTCAGCACCGCAAGAGCTGCTGGTGATAAGACCCCTTTCACTATTGGTGTTTTGAACGACATGGGTTACACAAACGCGAAGGGAACATACAAGTACTTGTCTCAGGCTGCTCAGGGCGGTGACATTGCTTTCGCCTGGCACGGCGGTGATATCTCATATGCCGATGATTGGTACAGTGGCATCCTGCCTTGCGAGGCGGACTGGGATGTCTGCTACAACGGCACAACTACGGAGCTACCCAACACTCCTCCTGCACCATTCCCAGCTGAATACGCTGCTCCTCTGCGTAAGTATATCAAATGAATCTTTGAGTCATCAACGAGTCCATACTGACGCGAATGCAGCCGCGGGCGAATCGCCGTCGCAAGGTGGACCAGAGGGCGGTGATATGTCGGTGGTCTACGAATCCAACTGGGATCTGTGGCAGAACTGGATGAACAACGTCACCAACAACGTTCCTTACATGGTTCTACCAGGTAACCACGAGGCTGCCTGCGCCGAGTTCGACGGCCCACAAAATCAGCTCAGTGCTTACCTCGACGAGGACAAGCTCAACAGCACTGCACCCAACTCAACGCTCACATACTACTCCTGCCCAACTTCGCAACGCAACTTCACCACTTATCAATTCAGATTCCGTATGCCCGGACCGGAGTCAAAGGGTGTAAGCAATTTCTGGTACTCCTTCGACTACGGTCTTGCTCACTTCATCTCTCTCGATGGTGAGACCGATTTCCCATACAGCCCGGAGTATCCATTCCTTCGCGACTTGACGGGCAACGAGACACACCCAACTGAGGACCAGACTTTCATCACCGACTCTGGCCCGTTCGGCACCATTGACAACAACCAATGGAAGGTCAACAGCGCCTACCAGCAGTACAACTGGCTCAAGGCTGATCTTGCTGCTGTCGATCGCACCAAGACTCCTTGGGTCATTGCCATGTCTCATCGTCCCATGTACAGCTCCGAGGTCTCTAGCTACCAGAAGAACCTCCGCAACGCCTTTGAGGGACTGCTCATCGAGAATGGTGTTGACGCTTACTTCGCTGGCCACATCCATTGGTACGAGCGCATCTGGCCTATCGGCAATGGCACCATCGATACTGCTTCGATCATCAACAACAACACCTACCAGACCAACCCAGGTGTTTCGATGACCCACATTGTCAACGGTATGGCCGGCAACATCGAGTCTCACTCCAGCCTCAACGCCTCCAAGATCTTGAACATCACTGCTGTGCTCAACCAGTACAACTATGGTTTCTCCAAGCTCACTTTCCACAACGAGAGTGTGGCTACTTGGCAATACGTCAAGGGTGTCGATGGCTCCATTGGCGATGAGCTTACGCTCATCAAGAAGAAGAACGGTACCTCTTCCAGCACCTCTTCTGCGTCTAAGTCTGCTACTTCGACCAGCTCTGCTTCATCATCCAAGACTGGAACATCTACCGGGTCTGCCAGCACCTCGAAGAGCATCCCAACCTCTGCCTCCGCCTCCAAGAGCTCGTTTGTATCTGCCTCTGCCACCTCATCGAAGACCGGTTCTGTCACTGGTACCGCCTCCGCCTCCAAGAGTGGCTCTGCTTCCAGTTCTGCCACCTCGACCAGCTCCGCCCAGCCTAGTGGACCCGGCGGCTACCCACCAGCTGGTCCTCAGCCCGGCCCCCCTGGCCCTCCCAACCGCCCATGGGGTCCTGTCGATGGCCCAGTCGATGGTCCTCACGGTCCACCACACAATGGGCCTGGCTCGCAAGGCCCTCCCGCCCGTGGTAACGACTGGTAGATGTTGATGGGTGAGACGATAATATGATTGAGATATACATGTATGAGTGTAATGTAGAATGCTGTATACGAGTGTAGCTACAGTAGTGTTCTGTGTCGTCTTGATCGTCGTGTGACTTGCATGATATGTCATCTTGGCGCGAAGATGTCTGTGCTCATGTCACCATCAGCCCTGACCTTCATCTCCCAACTTCAGTCATCATTTTCGCCAGCAATCTCATCGTTCCAACAGACGCTCGTACCTGTCTATGGGCTGGGAACAGGATGACGCAACATACCTACCACTAGCGAAGTGCATGGAAATTATTGGACTGTTGTCTCTGGCCATTACACGAATCATCTTATGGCATGAGGGCAGGCTTGACCCCGAGATCTCCATACTCCACTGTCGTACCATCTACTCTCGGTGCCATCAAGGACTACTCTCTGGAGCACGGCAACCGTTTCATACCGATACAAGATTCTAGGCTCGAGGATCAACATGTATACTCACCGTGAATATTAGCTGATCTCCAACAACGATACGATTGGCCTTCCCACATACTGCGCACTTGATACTACGGAGGCATCTGATTTCAAGCCTCGAGCTCAACAGGTCGTCTCTGGTAGGTAAGCACCTTCCCATCCATTCGAATTGAGCAGAAGTAAGCGCCAAGTTTTCATACCCGCACCGGGTTTCTATTGTTGCTTCCTCCAGATCTATCACCAGCATATGCACCAACGATCGCCTAGGAATCTTATAGGCGCATACACTTTGGCATTGCATAGGACTGCAGACCGCTTTACGCAAACTCGAGATGGCGATTACTGTGAGACAGCTCTTCCTCCTCCCACTAGAGCTACGCTCTATGATCTACAACCAGCTCATCTACACAGAAGGCGACACAAAGACCTCGCGCGTGGTCTGTGGGGGAACACTCATCACTCTTTTGCAATTCGTACGCCACCATGAAGTCTTATGGGATGACTTGAAAGAATATTGCCTCGACAACCTCACCGTACGCATCAGCGGCGAACCTGAGCTGCGAGCGCTGCTGGACCTAGCGAGCAAACAGACACTGCGATCGATCAAGACTGTGCACTACGACCTCACGAAGTGGTTGAGTGGATTACAGGACAGCGATCTAGAAGACGACAATATAATAGATCCGCTCCGCTACCTCCCCAATCTCACCTATGTCACAATCCAGATCAACGCCACCACGCCAAGACAAGTCGACACAATAGGAAGATGGAGCGAGAAACTCATCCCGTACCCTACACGACCAGCGCAGTACACATGTCCCCATCTACAATCCCTCGAAATCCAAAGTACTATCAGAGACGCAGCCGGCCATGCCACAGTAGCCCTGCTAGCAGAAAGCCACCCCTCAGTTCAAGCCGCCTTCCGTCGAGCCCTCAGCGCCGGGGCCTCGATTGCTCTCTCACCATCAGCGAGTGGCGAGATGACGCTCCATCAAGCCGTGCTGGAAAACCATATCATGACCCTCAACAACGAGACCGTAAGGAAGATCTATGAAGCACGCGGAACCAGGTGGCAATAGCGATGGCCAGCAGGCACGATCCGATTATCTTCGGAGGTGGAGGGAGTCATGATTTTAGATCTTTGGAGGAGAGCGAGGACATGGTGATGCAGAACGGTATTGACGGGAGAGTACTTAGGAAGCGAAAGGAGCGAGAAGAAAGGAGCTGGGCAGAGGTCCTACGAGGGAATGCAAAGGGGCCGCCAGGCTCGACATCATGTCTACTTCTGATGTAATCTGTCGTAAGTACAGGAAGTTGAAGCGAAGTGTAAGATAGGCACAACGAACTCAGAGGGAGGATAGAGTATGCACAGGCACCTATCTCTCTGTCTGATGAGTTGATCGTCGCACAGCAAGCTGCACATCATTTACCTCATTTCATCTACACTGCCCAGCCAGCTAGCCACAGCACGGCACCGCACAGCTACCCCCTCCCCGAGGTCATCCAAGTGCCTAGATATAAAAGCCATAAATCTTCCCGTATAGATTCATGCCATGATTCTATGCGCCGCCTTCCTTTATGGCTGTTTCGCGCAACTGTGTGGACCCGTCTCATATCTCCAAGCAGAACCGTTCCAGCTCATCGCATCTCATCGCATCGCATCTCATCATCTCATCTCGTCGTCAAATGCAGAGAGCAGCACGTATGCAAATCAAGAACCCAAGAATCTCGCTTCGCGCGGAAACAGCAGATTGTCGCACATCACTCACCCGTAGGCGGCGGCACTGACTCTGGCGGTCTTCCTTTGCAACTGCGGCTGCGGCACTCCCGTCGTACTCATGTCGGATCATGGCTCGGGCTTCTAGCCCGAGCGTGCAGATCGAGTGCGTTACTTTCAAGGCGTACGGCAACAGGGTGTAGGCCAGACAAGCCCATGCTTAGCCACAAGCATGATCCTACCAACCTCGAGCATTGTCAAGTCGATGGTCCAAGACTTCGCAAGCCCTCCTCACCGCTGACAGAACAGCTCAATCTCCCCCATTCCCCCCGGCCCCGTCCCACTCCCCTCCACCCCCCCACCCCTCTGCTCCCTCCACGTCTCAAAAGCCGTAAGCACATCCTCATCACTCAAAATACTCACAAAGTCCTCCTCATCCAAATACTTCAACTTGACCACTTGCTGCCCTTCCCTCCCACCGCCCCCACCCCCACCAGAAGTCCCCAGACTCAGATTCGTGCTCCGCTGCAACTTGGCGTCGATGCGGTCTTTGAGGCTTTGGTAGGAGATATTTAGCGGGACGACCAGGGTGAGGGTTTGAGAGGCGGAGGGACAGTGGACTTTGACTTTCAACTGTGTTGGGGCGGGGAGGTCGAGGTTTGATGACTGCGGCTGCGGCGGCGGGGGGTTGGGGATGGCGGTTGTGGGCGGTGGGGGCAAAGGCGGCGCTCCTGCTGCTGCTGCTGCTGCTGCTCCTGTTGTGGTGACGGGGGTTCCGCTGCGATTGCTCATGGAGACTGGAGTGCCGGTGCGGGAGAAACTCTGATCTATTGAGGGTTGACCTTGGCCATGGTTCTGCTGTGAGCCCAGTCGTCCGACTTGATAGCTTCGTTCTCGCAGTAATTGCGGGCTTTGACGGCTGGGCATCGTACCTGCCATGCCGATAACTGCCGACGCCGGACTCGCTCGGCCACCGGGGTATTGGTAATTTGTGGGCATATCAGGCACAGGCGGCTGCTGCTGGCCAGCACCATTTCTCAATGCTGTGCCCGGTACACCCCCGCGAGGCCCACCCTGATGGATATCCGGCGAACTCGCCGATCGATTCCGATGCTGCTGCGTCGGCATCTGTTGCGCGCTATGCATGCGACTCCCAGGTCCCGTAGGTCGTCCCGTATGTGGCCCATACCCATTCGCGGTAGTAACACTCGGCTCCCTTTGCCGTCCGATCGCCGGAGCAGTAAAGCGAGATTGTCCGCCATGAGGTGGTTGTCGATGATAGTCCTGACTATAAGTCTGACCATGTGACGAATAGGCACCTTGCTGCTCATCCCAATACGCCCCGGCTCCATTCGGCATCATGGGCTGAGACGTCGGGGGCGCGCCACCGCCCGAAAGCTGTCGGGGAAAAGGGTACATGCCGCTGGAACTCGACGTCCGAATGGAATTCTGTGGAGAGTCGCCGGTGGGAGAGAAGTAGCTGTCCTGCTCCGGCATCCGACCGCTCGGGCTCATAGCCGCGTTGCTCAGCTGCTGCGTCCGTAACGAAAGGCTCGCCTGCTGCTGTGACAGCGAGCCCTGCGCAAACCGCGGCGGGTGCGCCCGTCCCAGATTAGGCGTCGGCCCGGCACCGCTGTCACCAGTCGTGCTGCGTGACCGCAAACTACTACTCGACGCATTCCGGCTGTCCTCGAACTCCCGGCCGGGATAAGGATACCCACCATTACCATTCCCATACTGCACCGACGACGACCCACTCCCCACCAACGTCTCCAGCCCATCATCCTCCTGGTCCTCCTCATCCTCCTCCTGCGCCATCTTCGCATAAGGGTTCTCCAACAGCGGCTGATTCTGCATAAAAGCAAACTGCGTCGCACTCGTCCCTCCCCCACTCCCACCTCCACTTCCACCACCCCCGCCACCGCCACCGCCACTCCGACTCCCATCACTATCCCTGCCCGTCTTACTCCTATACTGCACCCTCTGCGCATCAATCTGCTCCCCCCACCTTCGCAACATCTCCTGCGTTGTGAACCGCACGATGAAATTCTCAATACTCGGATCCCCCTTCCAGAAAATCTGACACGTGTATGAGCCTAAACCATCAACGGGAAAACGCACACGGGTCAGTAAAAAGATACTTTTACGGGGAAGGACGTACCGATTCGGAGCCGCGGACGATGCAGAAATGACCAATAATATCATCATCGCGTGAATTAGAAGGCGACATACCTTGTTTGGAAATCTTCACCACCTCGGTAACATTCTGCATGAAAATACGGCCCTTGAGTTGTAGTTTCGGCTTGCCGCTTTGCCGGTCCACGAGCTGTTTGTTCAGCATCTTGTTCTTGGGCTTGGTGGGGTCGATGTCCTTGCAGCAGAGCAGGATGGTCTCGAAGAGGTAGACATGGTATTGTCGCTCGCCGTCCTTGCCCGAAGCCAGGTTCTCACTTTTTAGGACGGTGAAGGTGCCGTACAAGAGAAGTTGACCGAAGCCTTCAACGCGATGGCCCTTCCAGTCCTCCACTCTCACTTTCAGCTCCTGCACAGCGGCGGCCTTCTCTTCACGATCGATGGCTTCGTTGGTCCGGGTTAGTATCGATGTCGCCGCCTCCTCACCCATCAGCAAATCCAGCTTCTTCGCATCATCCAGATCTCCCTTTTTATATAAATCTTTCAGCAACAGCGGATATTTACTCAACCGTTGAAAGGGCTTCATCAAAAATCCATAAAGCGTAGGTGAACTCTCAACCATCTGTCGCATCTGATCACTCCCGCCCGCGTCCTTGAGTTTCGAGAATTCTGCTACAACCGTCTTCTCACACTTCCTCTGATTGGCGATATACGGTTCATATACTTTGAAAGCCTCACAGTACATGATGAAGAGTTTGCCCCAATTCTGCTCTTCTTCCGGCTGCGCGTTTGTTTGCTCGACGCGGATTAGGAACCTGCGTTGGAAGTCTAGTAATGAGTTGAGGTTGAGGAAAATGTCGTGGATGGCGTCTCCGGGTATGATGCCTTTCTCTTCCACTAAATGTTTGAAGGCCTGCAAAAGTTCCAGATGTTGCACATATGTTCGCTCTGTGCTCACCAGCTCATGGACAATGTGTTGCCGTTGTGATCGCTTGAGTCCCTTCTCCGCTTGCTCAAAGTCATTCGCCGTCGGTCTCACATCATCCACCAATCCTCTTTGCACCAGGATATCGAGCACCCGATTCACCACACGTGCCACTTTCACAAACCCAGTCGTGTCGTCGCCGTAGAGATCGGTGATGATGAAGCATTGGTCCTGCGGGAACTTGAGATCGTTCACGCAGGCCTGCAAGAATTTATACGTCGCAGCCTTGCCACTCTTCTCCTCCTTCACACCGACCTTTAATTCGAGCGGCTGACTAGGATTGAGCGCATTATACAGCATCATCAGCGGCAGCCCCCTCCGGAATGTCCGCCAAAGTAATGTCACGGGATCCGTATCATCGTCCGCCTCTTCCTCCTCACCAATCAACCACTCCCGAAACCCGGGCACGCCAATCAATCTCTGCCGCAGCGATACACATATTTGGAACAGCGAACTCGAGGCGTCGGCCACGCTGTTCATCACGTTATCCGTCGCCGTGACTTCTCCATTGGCCAGCGCCGCCGCGCCAGGCGGTAATGGGGGCGGGGCGAAAAGTGTGCTGTGTGAAGTCCCCTGCGTGCCATCGCTACTCCGACTCGAGGGCTGTGACTGGATACTGTAATTCGAGCTCGTATGGCCCTGCGAATGAAGTAGGGAAGGGTGATTGGTCGTATGCGCCGTCATGTTGTTGTTGTTGTTGTTGTTGTTGGGGAAGCGGGCGGAGGTGGTCGAGGAGGGGCCGCTGGGACGTCGGGCGGCGGTGGCGGTGGATGAGTTCTTCTTATTGGCCGGGGCGGTGTAGGAGCGGGCGAGGTGGACGGTGGGATTGAAGACGGCGACGGCCTCCATTGCTGGCGCGTGCTGGGGGCGGCGGGCGGCCGACCTTACTTGGGGCAATTTAGATCCTGGCGGCAGTCCCTTGTTTCGCGGCTCCGGGCCGAGCGCATGTGCTGTGCTGTGGGGATGATGTGGATTGGATTACAGTATAACAATGGTTTTCCTCGAGAGGCCAGCGGCGGGGCGCAACAATTATTGACGGCGCAAAGTGAAGTGTTGTTTGCGCGGGGGCACAAAAGTTTGTGAGGGGGGTCCTCGTGAGGGATGTGATGTGATGTGGAAGTAGTGTGAGCCTGCCGTTCGCTTGCAGCTTTGGCGCGGGTCGAGGAGAAGGGGGCACGAGGCTTAGTCGCTTGACCCGCCCTAAACGTTTCAACTACTTCTTCCACCCTCCTACGCTAGACTCGCTAGAAGCCAAATGGGCAAAACACCACGCTGCCGGCTCGGATCGTGGAGGAGGGGATGTAATGTGCCGGTGAAGCAGCGTGTGTGTGTGTGAGATCTGTATCTGTATCTCTATCTGAATCTGATTGACTTTCTCCTTCGTTCGCCTGTGCACTTGCGACACGTTTGAGCGATAGTGGCGCTTGCCTCGAACAAACCCAAATGTCGAATATCAAAATGCAGCGCTGGTGGCTATACTTCCGTAAAGGATGCAGCAGTAGAGTGTATAATAATTGATATACACCCCTGTGCAGAAGCTGTGCGTGCTCGCAGGATGCAGACGGATGGGCATTGGCAGAAATGTGCCGCAACAGTGTATTCCCTGTCGGATGGACGAAAGGTTGGAGTAATGCCTGTGACCGGCACATCTACTTACCACTACCTTTCGCGCCACGAGGAAGGCCTTGTCCCTGTTGCCTTTGTTTCCCCTTCCCCCCCCGCGCCAGAGCTAAGGCTGATGAAGAAGCTGGAAACAAGATGCTTCCGTGTAACCTGAGCACTTCTCAAACACGTTACTGCAACGAGTTACGGTCATGGATTCATGATGGAATATCGTCGGGATGGGCGAGATCGGCGGTGCACAAGGGGTTTGCATTGCGTTCACGTGGCAAAAACCGGTGGCCTGCATAGACAGAACTATCAAAGAGATGGTGATGATTGGCTCGATCTCGTGACCAATCACGTGCAAGGGTATGGCTTGACGCTTTGACAGATATCGTGGCGGGACGCAGGGCCAAGGCATGAAGCATCGCTCGTCGACTGTCGCCGGTAGCTTTACCACTCTTCCGCCAGACCAGTGAATGTGATGGTGAAGATGCTGACCTGATGAGCGGAAGGCTTCTAGAAGCTCACTTGTGACTGTGAACATTACGCCATCGCAACCACAATACAACACAGTACCAATCTCGCCACTGTTTATGGATAGCACTCTATACAACCCCAGTCAATGATAACAAAAGGTCCCGCCATCGCTTACTGCAGTGCAACCAAGCCTTCCCGAAGCAGTGACACGCAGATCATCACCACTAAACCAAAACAAACCACGCACGCGCCCACACATTACCTCATGGCCTCACATACACGCCCTCACCACTCATTACCAATCCAACCGCGCACCACCACCACGAACACTTCTTCACTCCCACTCACATCATCAGCCGCCCCGATGCAGCGCAGCCACAGCAACCAAGTGGACGAGGGCTATTCGGGGGAGGAGACGAGGAGCCAGTCGGAGAGCGAGATGTACCACGGCGACCTGGATCCCGCCACCCGCCAGATGCTCGAGCTCCTACTAGCGATGCCGGTCGAGCAACGCAGACAGATCATTGAGGCCGGCATCCGCAGTCTCCCCAGCGCGGAGAAGCAGGCGGTGGGCCATTACTGCACGAACCTCACCCACTTCGACCCAGCCCTCTACCTCCCCGCCGAGCTCATGCTGGGTGTCTTATCCTACCTCTCCCCCTACGACCTTCTAATCGCATCACGAGTGTCCCTGGCGTGGCGACAGCGGGCTCAGGACGAGAAGTTGTGGCGGATATGTTTTGCGCGCGAGGGGTGGGTGATGGATCGGGGGAAGATGGATGCGTTTGAGGAGAAGGCGAGGCTGAAGGGGAGGAGGGTTGCCGAGGGTGGGATTCAGCGGAAGGGGAGTCGGAAGCGGAAGACGGAGGAGGCGTTTAGTAGTGAGGGGGAGGCGGCGGCAGATAGGAGGATCTCGGGTGGGTCGTTGGGAGAGGAGGATGGGATGGAGGGGGTTGAGATGGCGGGACGGAGTGCAGATAGTGCGGTTGTGTTGAGGTCTGTTGGGAGAAGTCGACGGCCGTCTGTTGCTTCTGTGCAGCCAGCGCTGTATCCGGGAATGGATGGATATCAGAGTCCTTCTGATGCCTTTGTGAAGCTCAAACCTGGCCTATGGAGAACGAACACGGACACCCCCAAGCTCAGCTGGCCATACTTATACAAACAACGAGCACGACTGGAGAAGAACTGGGAGACCGGTCGCGCCGCAAGATTCCAGCTACCTTTAGCTGAGCATGCTGACGAAGGCCATACCGAATGCGTCTACGCCGTCCAGCACACAAGCAGACATTTAGTCTCAGGCTCACGCGACCGCACCATCCGGGTCTGGGATCTCAACACCTACCGACTAAAACGCACAATGACCGGCCACGACGCCAGCGTCCTCTGCCTCCAATTCGACGAGCGACCGGAACACGACATCATCGTCAGCGGCGGCAGCGACTCCTACGTCATCATCTGGCGTTTCAGCACGGGGGAGATCCTCCGCCGCATGACGACCGCCCACTCCGAAAGCGTCCTGAACCTCCGCTTCGACGACCGCTACATCGTCACCTGCAGCAAGGACAAGAGCATCAAAGTCTTCTCCCGCCACGCCCTGCATAAATCCGACCCGCTCGTCCCCACCCATCTCCTCTCGGACGAGTGTGCGAACGTGGTAGATGCCCGCGGCATGATCGCCGAATACAGCCTCCTCACCACCTTCATCGGCACCCAACTAGGCGGCCACCAAGCCGCGGTCAACGCCGTCCAAATCCACGGCGACATCATCATTTCGGCTTCGGGAGACCGCAACATCAAATCCTGGTCCATCGACACCGGCAGAATCCTTCGCACCTTCACCGGCCACACCAAGGGGATCGCCTGCGTGCAATTCGACGGCCGCCGCATCGTCTCGGGATCCAGCGATAACACCGTCCGGATCTTCGACTCCCAAACCGGCGCCGAAGTAGCCTGTCTCCAGAACCACCAGTCCCTCGTCCGAACCATCCAAGCCCGTTTCGGCGACCTCAATACCGTCACCGATGCCGAATTAGAGGAGGAAGCGAACACGATATCGCAGGACTTCTACCACGCGCTGGAGAATGGGATGCCGATGCCTTCGTGTGGGAGTCGGCGCGGGAGGAACGCGGGGTCCAGACGGCCGGAGGATATTACGGCGACGGGGACGAAGGTCCCGCCTGGTGGGGGGGGAGGCAGGTGGGCGAAGATTATTTCCGGGAGTTATGATGAGACGGTTATGATTTGGAAGCGGGATCGGGAGGGGGCGTGGCGGGTGGTGCAGACGTTGGAGATGGATGGGGCGGGTCGGGGTGGGGCTGCGAGACGACGGGTTGCGGTTGCCGTTCCTGCTGCGGCTGGTGGGCAGGGAGGGCAGGCCGGGGTTCAGGTGTTGGGTGCGCAGCAGATTGTGCAGCAGGCGGCTCAGCAGACCCAGGTCTTGGCGCAGCAGAGTCTACAGCAGGCGCAGGGGAATATCGCCGGGTTGTATTCGGCTATGCATCATTTGGCTGCCGCTCCTGGTGGCGCCAATCCCTCCAATCTTAATGCCAATACAACTACCACCACAGCGACCACAACAGCAACCGGCACTGCGGCGACACCCGGCCCCAGCACTCTACCTATGATCGCAGCAGCAGCAGCAGCAGCAGCAGCCCCAGACCAACTCCCCGGTGCAGTAGCGGCGCACAATGCCTGGCTGCTCGCCCAAATGAGTAATGCGATGGCGAACGGAGGCGTGCCGCCTGCTGCGGGGAATGGTGGGAACGATTTATTGGCGCCGTTGCAGCAGTTGCAGCGGGGGTTTGGGCCGTTGGTGCTGCAGCATGCGATGTTGACGCAGCAGAATCAGGCCAGGGCGCTGCAGGGTGCTCAGCTGGGTTTGCAGGGTATGCAGGGTGTGCAGCAGAATCAGCAGCAGGCTCAGGCTCAGGCTCAGGCTCAACAGTATCCAGGCCAGAATTTCGCGCCGGGTGCCTCGGGATCGACTCTGGGGCCTTTGTTGCACAATCCACCACTGCTTGATCAACATCCACAACCCGCACCACAACCCGCACCACAACAACCTCAACCCCAACCTCAGCCCCCAAGCCAATCTACCCTCGGCCCTCTCCTCCACAACCCCCTCCCGCTTCCAACAGCAAACACTGCGCCACAGCCAATAGCAGCAGTAGCAGCAGCCCCTCAACCTCAGCATCATCACAGAGAGAGCAATCGGGTGTTTAAATTGCAGTTCGATACTAGACGCTTGATTGCTTGTAGTCAGAACCGGGTGATTGTCGGGTGGGATTTTGCCGATGGGGAGAGGGAGTTAGAGCGGGTTGGGGGGTGGGGGGTTGAGACTGCGTAGGGGTTGGATTGGATTGGGTCGATGTGGTTTTAGGGGAGGTAGAGGGGAAGGGGTGGGAAAGGGTTAAGTGAGTGTGGATGGGATTGGGAGAGCGGGGAGGGGGAGAAAGTGTGGTATTGCTAGATTCGGGCGTGGGCGTGGACCGAGTGCTTTTTGGACTTTTGGTTTTTGGAGCCGGCGTTTGCTGTGCTTTGCTTGCATTGGGGTTTGGTGGTGAAAGCGTTCTCATTTTTAGCTGGGATGGGCAGGTGGGCATTTTTTTTTTTTGGTGGGGAGGAATAGGCATTTGATCAGGCATTGGTATTGGTGAGGATCACAGCTTGAGAAGGTATTGCAAGTACGATTTTACTCTCAAGAGTTATTGTCTTTGTCGTCGTCTGAGCACGGTGTTGTGGTATGTGATTCGTCTAAGCGCTGCATATCGACTACTTTACTTCGCCACGCCATTCACTACGGTTGGTTTATGTGCCAAAGCACTCTCATTATCGCCCAGGAACTCTCCCAAGTCTTTCTTCTGACCAGTATGGTCATTGACACCATTCTGTTTCACCGGCTCACGAGGCACGATCAAGCGTTCTAGATACCGCACTACTCCATCATACCCATCTAATGTCGAAGTATATCCCAATATACCATCTGGTCGAAGCACAGCAATAGCACCAATCTCGACCACGACCCCTTGCAGCGCATGAGCGCTATGATTCATATCCCAATATGCGTTCCCAAAACGTGGTATGCCTAGATGCTCATCAAAGACTCGACCGTACCCGGCTATGATAGTCAGGAAGTCTACGGCGTGGTCGAAGCGGCCTTTGTGCTTGTCGATAGCCGTACGGAGCTGTTGGAGATACGGACGTGTTTCGGCTGCTATACCGGCATAGACGATGACACGGAATTTGCCATTGTGCTTCGTGACTTGATGAAGGCGGACGGGATGTCGCGGGTCGCCGTTCTTGTGCAAGTCGGTATCTGGGAATCGATGACCTGGTACTGTCAGAATAGGTAGTGTTGAGCTTTGCACATCATTCAGCAGATTCGGAGGATATGAGATGCCCAATCCGAGGGTGAAAGCGGCTTGTTGCGTCATGATCTTATCCAGCAGTACCATAGGATCATCTCCCTGCCCTTTCATACTCTCCGGTATCTGGCGGGCAATGAGTTTGCTGAATAACTTGTCCAATTCGATGAGATGCTGCGAGCTTTCTCTTCTTTCGTCCGAGTACAGGGACAGGACTTCCGGCTTGTACCAGCCTTTCATTACTCCAGCCAGTCGCCATGAAAGCGCTGTGGCATCGTGCACGCCAGTGTTCATGCCTTGGGCTGCACTACTGGAGTGTGTATGTGCCGCGTCACCGGCTAGCAGGATGCGTTCTCGATCCTGAAAACGCTCGGCAACGTGCTGTTGGATGCCATAGACGGTGTGCCAATGTATCTCGATGAACTCGAGGTCGAAGGGCGCGACTGCCTTCCTTGCCTCAGCTGCTGCGTCGGCTGCAGACATGTTTGTACCGTATTTCTGGTACAGATCCTCGCTCAAGGCGTAGCCAATCCGGGTCGCGCCGTGGTCAAGGGCTACCCAGAGGACTTGGCCGTGCGTTGGAGACTCGACAGCGCCGAAACCTACTCTTTGTTCCGGGACGTTTGATTTCACGATTCCATCTATGCGAACCCAGTGATCGACGTGCCGTTCACCAAGAAATGGGATGTCTGCGAGCTTTCGGACGGAACTGCTGCCTCCATCGGAACCAATGATATACTTGGCCCGTACGGTCTGGATTGGTCCTGAAGCATTTTGGTATGTCGCTTCGATTGGTTCGTCGTTCCCGGCGGTCGAATGAAGACTATAGTCTAGCAATTTTGCCGGCGCATCTACCACAATACCTAGTTCGGAGAGCTTTTGTCTGAAGAAATCTTCGCTGTACTTCAATCGGATGTTGAGCGAGTAGTCAAAGTTGGTTTGGCCACCCAGTTTTGCGAATAGGTTCCAGCCCCTGCCCTGCACCCGATGACCTTCCTTGTACGCGAACCCCTGCTTCCCAATAACGCCGACTTGTAGCATATCATCGAGTAAGTCATTCTGATCGAGCAATTCAAGTGTCCTGGAATGGAGAGTGCAAGCCCGTCCATACATGGGGAAGTCAGGATGACTCTTGTCTGCTCCGTCGATGATATGGACTTTGAGGCCATGCCGGGCGAGTTGATATGCCAGCAGGAGGCCTACAGGACCTGCACCAACGATGAAGACGTCGACGTGTGTAGTAGCCATGGATTTAATAGACTGGAGAATGAAATACTGGAGCTTTGAGCGCAACTTACCATAGCCGTGATAGAGGAGAGGTCGCCTTATAGCACTTACCGCGGTCTACTGAATTCTCTTCGCTGAGCTGAGCTGAGCTGACGGCTGACTGCTTCTGACCGGACGACCTCGTTCGCGGCTTCGACAGTGTGACATTGTGACTACTGACAGCGATGCCTTGTTCCAGTATACATTACGGCCGTGCAAATCGCGGGCTCTACCAAAAAGTCCGGATCCGATGTGAGCAGAAGCGCCATGCGTCATGCCTCACGGCTCTCCTTCGAGTGGAGCAGCAATGAGTTTGCGCATTTCCCTACGGGCTGACCGGGACTCTCGGACGCCGTAGAGAGATGCAGATCCTTTGGATAGGGTCAGCCGATGAACCTAAGTTTAGAGAACGAGAGCGAGATTAGGTATAAGCTCTGGAACCCCTCCTTGCTGAGGCACTAGGATACTCACCAGTTGGTGGGTCAACATTGCCATCTTAGAACCGCGGCATGGTGATTAGAGCAATTAGCAGAGGTGTGCGATGGTGGAAGGGTATTGGGAGAAGCTTTGAAGTCCTGCGGATGGTTCGAAGTCAAGGTGCCACGACAGATTGGCCTTGGCACTATGTCACTGCTGCTTCTCCTGGAAGGAGCCGCAGCGACTCTTCTTCTGGTATATCAGCTTCAAGGTACCTTGACCATTTCTCATATTACCGTGTTCACGCAAAAGCGTCCACCGAGCAGTGCTGCGGTCAAGACTGAGAGAGTCAGCGACCGCGCGCGTGCTGCACGATCTCGTCATGCCGCCAGAGATGCTGGCGCCGTCGAAGCCGAAATCGCCCCAACTCGCCCCTACACAGTCAAACACAACGTAAGAAGTACAGATCCTGTGATACCTAGACGAGATCAAGCCTTGCCGACCGACACCCGCCCCGGTCTTTTTATCGTGGCCACTATTCAGGCACTCGTCCCTCGGCCTCACGAAACACATTTAGGCTAGAGATTGATCTGACGAAGCGAGATGAAGCGATCCAGCTTTGCTTGACGGCATCAAGCGTTCTACCTTCAGACTCCAGACCAAGATCGACCGTGGATAAAATACATATAAAACCGAACTGGGAGCTCGTCTCATGTACGTATATCCAGCTAATAAGCAGCATGACCTGACTTCACAATACTGTACTGGATATAGCCACGACGCACGACGCTGGCAGCCACCTCGTCCATCACACGACGTCTGATTCGCCAGCGGTTATCGGCACATCGACCTGCAATGATCCACCATGCAGCTCTCCATCTCGACTGCGCAAGCGTGCAGCGATGGCGCTCATGCATTCATAACAACCGCAAATCAGCCCAGTCTCACTTGCAGCTTCTTAGATCCGATCTGGTCAAGCGCTTGGCATATACACGGCGCCGTGCCATCTCCACTCTTCCCCAGATCGGAGACAAAATTCTAAACGATAAAAACCCTGCCGAGCACATGCGCCAAGTGCAGACCATCTAGACGACCGCCTTCGCCAAATGCCTGGCGACGCAAGCCCAATGCGAGATAGGCCACTGCATTGGCTTAGTGTCGAAGCGAGATGGCGTAGACTACTCTATTTGAGCCAGATGATATGGCATGCCATGCGATTGGCAGTTTGGCAGGGGCTGAATGCAGAGTTGACCAGCCTAAGGCCTTCGCTTGCGCATGGTGTTCCTATAACCCACACCTCGCGCCGTGTAGCCGCAAGGTAAGTGGTATCTTCACTTCGTCTCTCGTATCTCGTTATTTGCATTCGTACACAGGCAGCATCTTGCCCGAACAGCATTTGATACACGACACTGTCGTCTTCATCACAGCAACAACTAGGAAGCAATCAGCAACAAGAAGGGTTGTTCTGCAATGGCATCAGCATTCTTGCTCTCCGGACCACTCTGGTTCTTTACGCCCATCCAGATCGTCACAACCGTAATCGCAGGCATGAATTGTGGCGCCTCCTCGCTACAGTCACCACTAACCTGGCCTCTACTCCAAGATGTCGATGTCCCAGTACACTACGTAGGTCGACAAACCGAGCACCTTCTCCACGGCAGTGAGATCATCTTCCCGCCGTTCAACGGCGTCTGCACAATCGCCAATCTGGTCCTGACCGGAATCGCGTACTACAAGCGCAACGACGATCTCTTAACCTCTGCAGTTGCGGATGCGAAGCTTCCATGGACTGCGATTGCATTTGGAATGCACGTCGCCACTACCGTCTTCACTCTCACGATCATGGCGCCGTATAATCAGAAATTGAAGGTGGCATCTAAGCAGTTGAATGAGGGTATTGCCAATAAGGAGGGCAAAGAGTCAACGAGTCAGCAGCAGGCGGAGAAGGATTTCAGGGAAGCCCAGAAGGTGTGGAAAGTGAGAAATTATGGTCGTGGAGCTATCATGCTGGCTGCGGCGATTGCGAATGCTATCGCGTTGAAGATCTAGGAGAAATTTCGAGAAGCGAGTACTGAGCGGAGGATGGGTGTTTGCTACAAGAAGCGATAGGCCTGCTGTTCAGACACAACGACGGTGACGTTCGCTGGAGCACAGCTCGTGCAGCTATACGCAAACATGCGATCGCTCGAGGCAGGCCACAAATACCTTGATCGACACGTATCCAATGGTGGTCGCGAGAGTCTGACATGCTGCGGCGTGTAGAGGAGCGATAATAATGATAATTCTCAGCAACAAGTCCTTCAAAGCTCATCGATCATGCCATCTGCATACACTACCATACCATCGATATTCTGGCTCATATCACTAGCTAGGAACAGAGTCAAGTTCGCCACATCGTATATCTTCTGTGCTGCTTGCTTTGCTTCTTCGCTCGCGTTCGGAACCTCCTTTGTTAGCCTTCAGCTTCTGATCAGTAAAATGTCCGAAGAACCGAGAAACGCTGGACTTCGACGATACTTCTCTGTCTTGACTAGAGCTCGCATATGTTCTTTTGCCTCCTCGAAAGCGGGTGCTGGCTGTGCGTCGGCTTTGCCTCGTAAGTCTGATCATGGTGCGTCAATCTCGCGTAGGTGATGATGTGCACATTCGGGCACAACTTACCAGCAGGCACAATAAGATTACACCTTAGCTTCCCATGGCTGTGACTTGAACCCGCAAGCCTCCTCGCCTCATCCATACCTTCGCCGTCTTCAAGAATATGGACGATTGAGCCTCCGTCACCCTTGCCCATAACACCTCCGACCGTCTCAGCTAACGTACTCTCCTCGCGGCCATGACCCAAGCAGACCAGAACATCAACCCTTTCACTCCCCTCAAATTTCTCCGCCACAGCTTGCGTCATTTGCTCCGCAGCCCTTTCAGTACTACTTTGCAGATACTGGAAGTGCGTGCCTGGTGCCGAACTTAGGGAATTGTCTTGCTTCCGGTCATCGATCCCGAGAACGAGGGCGTTGGCCTTGAGCAATGTTTTGCAGACCACGGTTCCCAGGGCCGATGAGGCAGACGTGACGATGCATATCCTGTATTGAAGGTTTAGTGGAGAGTTACGAGGGATGATTGACATGTCGGCGGCAACGAGCTCAAATGAGAGGAGTGCAAGGCCGGGTTGCGATGTTTGGGTCGTGTAGCATTGACCGTGATCGTCAGCTGGTTGCTGATATTGTTATGTTTCAAGAGCTTTTAAGCTCTGCTATGCCGTCCATCCGTCCGGTTTGCACGAGTCTGCAAGCTGGAAGGAACATTCGTTGTTCATGCGCCAAGGAGCAAACAGTCTTGTAGTTTTAGATGGTGATCGGTTCTCAGAGGCAAATAGACATGCAGCATTCGTATCTAGCAGGGCGATTGCAGTTGACGAGGAAAATCACTTGTTGGAGAGGCATATTCATGCTTTCAGATGTCACATGCACCTTGACGATGGCGGTCTCTTCTATCATTGGCATTATCCAGTGCATCGCATGCCTGATACTTACGTTCACCTCATCCTGATCGTTTCATTATAGATGGCTGCTAAACATCAGTTCAGTGCTTATGGCATGTCATTGTGTGACATGAGGACAGATCTGCCGAGGGGTCTTGCCACTTGGTGATGCAATGTCGCCGAATGGAGAAGGTGGGCAACATTGACGGCATTAAGACCTAACACCGCCAATCGATCACAAAACAATCATATATTCCCACATAATTTCGTAGTGTTATAACAATACTGCACGAACCTCACAACTCTTGAAGATCACTCACATCAGATCAGCACCCCAACCACCATCAATCAACTCCATCACAATCGCGACCATGGCAGCAGTCGAATCCAAGTTCGATCCCAAGGACATGATGTTCCGCCACCTTGGCCCAACCGGCCTCAAAGTCTCCGTCCTCTCTCTCGGCGGCTGGCTCACATACGGCGGCACACAGAAGGGAAACATCGTGAAAGACTGCCTCGAAGCAGCATGGAACAATGGCATCAACTTCTTCGACACTGCTGAGGTGTACGCCAATGGACAGTGTGAGATTGAGATGGGGCAGGCATTGAAGGAGCTGGCGTGGCCCAGGGACGAGTATGTGCTTAGCACTAAGGTCTTCTTTGGCACTGGTAAGTTTGATTGGGTTGCGAGGTTCTGGGAAGTCTGTGTGTACTAATTATTCTATAGGTCGCAAGGAGCCCAATACCCGTGGTCTGAGCCGCAAGCACGTCGTCGAAGGTCTCAAGAGCTCTTTGGCTCGCCTTCAACAACCCTACGTCGACATCGTTCTCGCCCACAGGCCTGACGTTGGCACGCCGATGAAGGAGATCGTCGAGGGTTTCACCCAGACCATCCGCAACCTGAATCTCGCATACTACTGGGGTACCTCCGAATGGTCTGCCGTCCAAATCATGGAAGCCACCCAGATCGCGGAGAAGTACAACCTCATTGCTCCCATCGCCGAGCAGCCTCAATACAACGCCTTCCACCGCCAGCGTTTCGAGGTGGAGTATGCGCCTCTCTTCCAGCAGTTCCAGTACGGCACCACGATCTGGTCGCCTTTGGCATCTGGTCTGTTGACCGGCAAGTACAACGATGGTATCCCCGAGGACTCGCGATTTGCCAACAACAAGAGCTTCTTCGAGGGTACTATCAAGGGCCTGCAGAGCGAGGAGGGCCAAGCGAAGATTGCCAAGGTCCGTAAGCTTACGGAGATTGCTGAGAAGCTCGGTGGCAATGTTGCGCAGCTTGCTTTGGCATGGTGTGTGAAGAACGAGAATGTCAGCACGGTTATTCTTGGTGCTACCAAGGTTGCACAAGTAAGTCAAAAGACGTCTATAGTGATATTGGTCTGTTGCTAATTCATTCACAGATCGAAGACAATGTCAAGGCCATGAAGCTTGTGCCTCAGCTCACACCGGAGATCATGGCGGACATCGAGAAGATCCTCGACAACAAGCCAGCCGCTCCTTCGTCATTCGGTCGTGACAGGTAGATATGCCCTCGCGCATGAAGCTGCGTCACTGTGGCCAATGCTATGTCATGATGAGCAGAGAGCATTGGCTCACGACTCGCTAGGACTGCTACGCCACGGAAATGGCGAAGTAAGATATAGTATGTTGCATACAGTATACATGAACATGATGAAGCTGTGCCCGTTCGTGCTCCATTTCGATGTCCGTGGAGCAGACCATGGACAGGCAGAACTTACCTATGCGGCATGATATCGGTGGAACCGTTCAAGTCACGTGCAATTCACCATCTCACGCTACTGCAAGAAGCCTTCCCCGCGTGCTTCACCGTGGAGCAAGCTGGTCGAATCATCCTCCTCCTGCACTCTTCACCTTGCATAGAGTGCATGCATGAGCTCTCCTCCACCAGCCACCTCTGTTGCACCCTCGCCCTTGCGGCGACCGTGTGGAAAACCCATGATAGCAAGGCAGTATGGCAAGTAGATCTGTGCCTGCATCTTCGAATGCTTCTTTTCGTATCTCATCGAGTATCATCTACCTCACGATCTAGGCATCAGCGTCGCTTTCGCGCTTGTCGCAAGGTTGACCACTTCTCTCGTCTCAATCACATGCAGGTGTTAGACATACCGTGACCGCCTGCTCTCCGCGACAAAGAGACGGATGCGATTCGGGAAAGCACGACTGCGACACGCATGACGGCGACGAGAATCACCCGGTTCATGCGCGCGAGACAGACGGTGAAGAAAGCAAGGTCGTCGCTTTCCTCGTCTTGGTAGTCTTGGACTGTAATTGTGTATCGATCATATCAGCCTTGAATTTATTCGCATTCACTGCAAGCATTGCAATACAGTACTACATCGGACGACAGCAATATACTACCAAGGAGAGAGCGCGCATGATAGCACCAACCGAGATGACAGCCCGACAAGCCTACCTAGACTCCCACGCCAGTCTCAACGCAAGCATAGACGACTTTGATCTCCCCCAGAACTTCTCTCCAACCGTCCCCGAATATCCCTCCCACCACTCCGGCTTCCGATCCCACGGAGGCTCAGAATACAGCGAGCAAAGTTCACGGCGCTCCTACTCCCCACCCGCCTGGCGCAAAGCCGGGAGTTCGTGGTTCAAGCAACATGCGGGTAGTCTTTCACCTAGCAGGAGTGGTGTGAGGAGTAAAGAGGCTAGTCCGCAGTACCATGATGCGGTTGAGGAGGACGACGAGGGTGATGTGACTGCGTATCGGTTTGCGACGAATTTGCCTTTACCTGGGTCGCCTACAAAGGGGAGGAGTGTTAGTAATACGCCTGAGCCGGAGTCCGTAAATGCAGTGGATAGAGGTGGTGGCGCGCAGCAGCAGCCGCAGGGAGTGAATGCGCGAGAGCAGAGTGTGGAGACTGAGTCGCCTGAGGTGGAGACGCCTACACAGAGTAATTGTAAGTATCTTCTCTCTCCTCCTATGTTTCTATTTTCTCTTTAACATCTGAACAATCAACATGCATCGCCAACACCTACCCAAGCGCCGATCTCAGCATGTGTGTAGACTGACCAGAGCTCCAGACTTTCGCTTCTCGACACGACTAGATGTTGTACAGCGAACACAACCGATCGAAGATACCATCATCACCGTAAGAAAGGCATGGCATCAAATAGGAAGGTCGAAATGGCATACCCTTCTATACAGTATAGGGACACTACTTGCTTGGATGCTCGGCGTGCAATTACTGTCTACTCCCAGCAGTGGCCCAGTACCGGATCTGATCAAGGTAGCTGGATTGGCAAAAGCACTTGAACCAGCCATCTACTACTCCGAGCGAGGTCATACACAGATCGGCGAACTACAAGAGACTGGAGTGGCGGTCTGGGATCTTGGTGAAAGCGTGCGCAACACGAACATGACATCTGCACCGGTGATCGTGCACCAACTGGATGACCTTAGCGACAGCATCAAGACTCTCGCCGTCGAACTCACACGCTTCTTTGCTGGCGTCGACGGCGATATCGACAATATCCTCATCACAATGGAATGGGCGCAACGCGAGCTTACAGCTCTGTCAACCGTCCCACAATCAACCATCTCTAGTGTCTGGTCCAATACCCACAGTCTCTTAAGCCGCGTAGGCCTCATGAGCCAAGGCCAACTCGCTCAGTCCTTACTAGGACAAACACATCAACAACTCACCCGCTCCACGTTGGAAAGAGTCTTCAACGAGTACCTAAGTGTGCTTGAAGAAAGCATCAACAACGAACTCACGTACAGCATGCAGCTCTTCCAGCTGTTCGAGGCCATCGACAAGCAGTTCCTGAATCTGCAGCGGAGTGTGATACGTGAGCAGGACACGCAGGAGAGACTCGAGAACGACTTCCTCTCCTCTCTCTGGACAAAGGTGATAGGTGTCAACGCCAGCAAACTCCGCAAGTATGAGAAGAACAAAGATCTCCTCGCCTCGGTTCGTGATCGCACGGTGCGGAACAAACATGTTCTTGTGGATCATAACCAGCGCCTACGTCAGTTGCAGAGTAATCTGGAGACGCTGAGACGGAAATTAGTTTCTCCTTTGGTCAGGAGTCAGAACAGTTCGACGTTGTCTGTGGAGGAGCAGATCAAGGGGTTGGAGGGGACGTATAGTCAATTGAAGAGTTCCCGGGAGGTGCAGAGGAGGAAGATGATGGAGGTTGTCTATGGCGCGGGTGATAGGCGGCATGGGGTGCCTGGGCACATGATCGGGGAGGAGTGAGAGGACGCTTAGCTTTACGTTGGTGGGCAGTATTGGAGAATGGTGAGCTGAAGCGCCATATTGATTCGCGGTGCCAAGACCTGGATTCGAAGGCATGGTGGTATGGTCTTGGGACCAGGCATGGTCGGGTCCGAATGTGCATGTGGCTGTGGGCTTGGATTTGGCATGTATGGGTTGCGTTGGGTTGGTGCTTTGGATGTGAGATGGTTACGAGTTCTCAAGCTTGTTGGTGAGGATTGAGGTGATCGGAAAGGAAGTTCATAAGCAGTGGATATGCATACCTGGGCGGGATTGCTTGAAATTGCTTTGATTCGAAGGGCTTGTATATACTGCGATGCAATTGTCTGCTTTCACCTGAGCCCATCTCTGTACATACGATGTTGTTATCGTACCGCAACAACCGTCACTTTTCGTTTCCACCACGTGAAGAGGTTCATACTGTCATGACTCGCCACACCTATCCATGATCGCAGCATTCCAATCAAGAAATCCCTCTACCAAGCCATTCAATATCTCCGCCAAGTGTCTCGTGTCTCCGCCAAGGGGGGCTGTGCCTGCAGGACACGCCCGCGGCGCAACGTCATTGGCGCGCATTGACTTCAAGCTCCCTCTAGCTTTTGCGTGGCAGGTCGATGAGCTTCACGATTCTGCACTGCGCCTCGTTACTCCTCTTCCACTACCACCATCACTCGCTCGCCTGTACCACAATCACCCACTATACGACGGCAAATTGCAGCAAATCGGCCGAGGTCTCTGCTGCCCGAACAGCACTGATTGCGTCGGTACTACCCTCCACGCATCCAAGCTACTCAGTATCTGCTTGAGGGTACAACTACCTGTACGATCACCCGCCCAACATGAGTAAGTGCCTCAATTTCTCTATCACATCCCCCGGTCACGTTTCCGACCGCTATTCTATCGGTGTCTTGGCAAATGAGCAAATATTTCCCGCTGCTCATAGCCATCTACCTCATTACCTATCACCGCACCGCCATTGCCAATGTATGAGAGTTTCTTGGCGGAAGGTGTTGCACCGCTCCTCGTGTCCAAGTAGACCATCTACTACAGACATATATCACTCATCTACCTACTCGCTCTCCCGTAAGCCTGATCGCTGTTGTAAACACTCATCACTACACAGGCAACATCCGCAAACAGTTCCACAAGCTCGGCCGTAGCCAGAGCGGCAATTGGTCCCTTCGCCAAACCATTTCCAATACGATGGGTAAAGATGGGCCGAATGGTCGTCCCGCCGGAGACGGCGCTGACGACGAAAGACAACCTCTCATGACCACTGCACGCTCGAGCTTAGGAAACATGGGGTCGATCAGAGGCATGAGTGGGGGTGGTGAACAACCGCATCATCTATACGAAGACGATCGAGCTTGGGTGCGGTGGCCGATGAACTTCCTCCACCTATCGTGGTTGACTCTAACGAGCAATTATGTCAATGTACTGCTGCTATTTGTGCCGGCTGGCATCATCATTGGGATGCTGAAGCTCAACCCGACCGCCGTGTTCGTTGTCAACTTCTTGGCTATTGTGCCTCTGGCGGCGCTGTTGAGCTTTGCCACGGAAGAGCTTAGTGCAAAGCTTGGGCAGACTATTGGAGGGTTAATGAATGCGACGTTTGGGAATGCTGTGGAGCTTATTGTGAGTCCGAGGTCTCCCGCGTACTGTGGAAAATGTTGCTAACAAGTTCACCAGGTCTCTATCGTCGCTCTCCAAAAGGGCGAGATCCGTATCGTCCAATCCAGCATGCTTGGTTCCATCCTCTCCAACATCCTTCTCGTGCTCGGCTGCTGCTTCATCGCATCCGGCGCCCGACGATCCGAGAGCACATTCAACGAGACAGTCGCCTCGACCATGTCCTCCCTCATGGCAGTTGCGGCGACCTCCTTGATCATCCCTGCCACCCTCTACGCCTCGCTCACAAAGAGCCAATCCAGCACCGACACCAATATTCTCATCCTCTCCCGCGGAACCTCGATCATCCTCCTGATCCTCTACTGCCTCTACCTTTACTTCCAGCTCAAGACCCATGCCAAACTCTTCGATGGCGAGAACCAAGACGGTGGCGGTGAGGATGGCGAGGAAAAGGAGCCGGAGATCCTCGGACCCATCCCTGCCTCCGTCTGTCTCGTCCTCGTCACCGTCTTGGTGGCCGTCTGCGCCGAATACCTAGTCGACAGCATCGACTCCATCGTCCAAACCTCCGGCATCAGCAAGACGTTCATCGGTCTCGTCCTCCTGCCCATCGTCGGCAACGCGGCCGAACACGTCACAGCTTGCGTCGTAGCATATAAAGGCAAAATGGACCTCGCCATTGGCGTCGCCCTCGGCAGCTCGCTGCAGATCGCTCTCTTCGTCACCCCTTTCCTGGTCATGCTAGGCTGGGCCATCGGACAGGAGATGACGTTGCATTTCCAGGGTTTCGAGACGGTGGTGTTCTTCCTTTCCGTCTTGGTTGTCAATTATCTGATCCAAGACGGCAAGAGCAATTACCTTGAGGGCTGTATGTGCTTGGGCACGTATATCATCATTGCGTTGGCATTTTACGTGTACCCGGATGATGCGGGAGATATTGGGAGTATGGTAAAGGGGTTCTTCGCGAGGTCGTGATCTTGTTACCGTGGCAGTAAAGGCTCCCAGAAGCTATTCTTCTTTGTATTTCTAGTTTATCTTCTTATAGCTCGATATAACACGTCAAATCACGAACCTTTCCAACTACCTTACCATCTGGGCCCCCGCAAGCTGTCTATGTGAGTATGGTCATCCTTCCTACTGCACTAGCACAAGGCGGTCACTGGTTGGTCTGCATGATAGGCTTTGGCTTTTTGTCACCGTGATTACTCACGGAGGCTCTCGACGTACCTTCTCCGGGTGAAGGTCCAAGCTCCTCCATGTTTTGAGGATCTTGGCCACGCAGGCGTAATGCTCGATTACGATTGCTTTGGCTGATGCGGCAGAGGTCTTCTGGAAACGTTCTCCGTACGAAGGCTAGATCTGGAACTCCTTCTCACAGCTCGTTTCAATGTATCAGAATAACGAATAGGTCAGGCAAGGCCGTACTTCTCAAGAGCATATGCTTTGGGGCCTATTTGCTGTTCATTCGCTACACGTAGCAGCGTCCACACGGGCACAAGAGACGGGAAATTTTTCTCTCTTTCCGAGAATGATCATCCCGGAAGCTGACCTGAGCTTTGACCTAACGCTTATGGACGGGCGTACCTTCCTCTTTCGGTAATAGTGTAACGTACCTTCTTGGACGATTAGTCAAGCTAACAAGCTTTACGCTTGTGCAAGGTCGCTGACTTCGTAGTGTAAAGTAAGCGAGCTCCAAATGGGTGTCACTGTCGGCACGTGGCGCTGCAGATTTTCCCGCCAGTATACGATATGCATATTCATTACTTGAGACCACCCAGAAGCTCATCATGCTACGCCAGCCGATGTGGGCCGTTGAAATTTCTCCTGCCTTTGATCCGTTTGCAAGTAGATGCTAGGGCAATGATGCTGTTCTCACGGGCTGCATCGGGAGATCACGTCTCAAACCACGGCAGGCCGAACTCCCCGCACCACTTGATGACACAGCCGTACTTTTGAGTTGAGTGGCTTGCATCCTCTCTCGAACACTCCCGCTCACCTCCCTCGTGTCCGTTGAGCGGATAGCTCGAAGGATTCCTAGCAAAGATAGGAAGGTGCAGCGCTGTAGTCAGGCTATCCAGTGTTGCGGGCTCTCGCGAGCTTCCTCTCTCATTCCTGTGCCGCGGTTACTCCACTTAGCCTTCCAGGTTTCCTCTCTCCACATATCCAGGGCCGCGTACATAAGGTAACATCGCATGCCCCCCGCCGTCCCTTCCACCGGCCGTCCAATGCCGCTACGCACAATGGAGAATTCTGCACTGCTACACTGATCATGGTGGGAACGGCTTGCCGGTAGAGGATTGCGCTTTTCGCGTCCATCGACAGCACATCAGTCTACCGAATATCGGGCGGATTGCTTCGACTAGGCAGAGTTCAAAGGCTCCTGCCTTACTCAGAAAGATCTGGTGTTCACTACTGGCCTTCTATTTCTGACATCGTCTCATCAGTAAATATGGATAGCCGGGTGGACTATTAGGCCGCTGAACGACGATGCGAGGACGATTTCAACGTCGACACTTTTTTCTGTTCGCTCTGTTGCTCCTTCATGGCTTTACTTGAGATTGCTTGCTTCTCGAAGGAGAGTGCGATACTGGCATATGAAGCTGGAGCTGACCGGATCGAGCTTTGCGACAATAGGGATGCTGGCGGCACGACTCCTCCCTCGGGTTGGCTGGATGTCCTACGAGGACGGGTTGATATCCCTATATATGTTATGATCAGGTCGAGAGGTGGCAATTTCACTTACTCGGAAGTCGAGTTCGATGAGATGAAGGACAGTATCAGGGAATTGAAGTCACGGGCTGCAGGCTTTGTGTTTGGTATACTGGATCCTCAACGAAACATCGACATACCCAGGACTACAGAGTTGGTGAAGCTTGCGAGTCCACTACCCTGCACGTTCCACAAAGCCTTCGATGACACGCCAGATGTCTTCGCCGCATTGGGAGATGTCATCGACACTGGCTGCTCGTCTATACTATCATCTGGAGGAGCATCAAACGCCCTTGCCGGGCTTGGGACTCTAAAGCAATTGGTTCGCATGTCGGAACGGCGCATAACGATCATACCAGGAGGCAGCCTTCGAGCCAACAATGTCGCAATCATCCGTTCGTATACTAGAGCATCGATATTTCACTCGTCAGGCATACCGAAAGGAGCAAAGCAGCCTCATCCTGACGAGATCGAGAAGATGAAGACTTTGCTCAACGAGCATGATACCGCAGCACTACCACCTATCGACCCACCATCCCCGCCGATGTCGAGATCAAGTGATGACGAGGGCTCGATCTCGGATATGCTTAACAGCGCAGTGTCCATTGGCCCTGGTAAGACTGTCCCGTTCTTCCGAGTGAACAAGTACTGACTCCATTGTCATCAGATCCGAAAAGCAGGCAAGGCTCAGGAAGCTAGCATCGTCGAGCTGCCGGAAAGTGAGCTTTCTTCCGGACCTGGAAGAAACATTTGCCTACCGTAGCTCTAAAGCAGTCCGCAGTCCGGACTTAATGATACGTACTACGATCTAGCCGGCAGCGGACTCTGGATATATGCCACAGCTTGGGCCTAGTGCGTAGAGGTCTTTTACGACACGCTCAACGATGATGCGCTCCAGTACAATGGCAGGCATCAAACCGCGCTTGGCGAGGCAGATCATGGTACCGTAGTAACATCGAATTGACGAAAATTCGTAGCTTTGTCAGCGACCAAATCCGTGCTGCAGCTAGTCATGCACTATGCACGCCTAAGTGGCACTGCAAGCCACCACTAGTAAGATGATGCAGTACAGTAGTGTAAGCTGACTGGGCCAAGCTACACAAGCTATGTAACATTGTACCAAGGATCTATATCACACACAATCAAAATCCGTACCATGCCGCGACATCATGACGGCTATCGCGGCTTGTTACTGCATTTGAGCTATACACCGACAACCCACCCGAGCTCTCTACTCGCTTACCCACACTGCCGCCATCCCCATACCTGTGCCAACGCACATGGAGGTCACACCGAGCTTTTGCCCTCTCCGGCGTAGCTCGTACAGTAGAGTGCTGACTTGCCTCGCACCCGTACAGCCTAAAGGATGACCGAATGCAATGGCGCCGCCTTTAGGGTTGATTTTCTCCTGCGGGATCGCGAGCTCGTTTGCACACCACAGGCATTGCGAGGCGAAGGCTTCGTTGATCTCGTATATGTCGACGTCGTCTTTGGTGATGCCGGCCTTTTCCAGTGCGACAGGGATCGCTTTCCAGGGACCAATGCCCATGAGGAGCGGAGGCACGCCGACGACTGACGCTGCAACGTATTTGCCCAAGATTTTTTGACCCAGACGTTCGGCTGTACTGCGTTTCATCAGCAGGACTGCTGCCGCACCATCCGAGATCTGGGAGGCGTTGCCAGCGTGGATCGTGCCATCCTGAAGTAGCATGCATGGTTAGTGGGAAGCTTTCTATGGGACGGTACTCAAGGCTTACCTTGGCAAAAGCCGGCCTAATCTTTGCGATAGACTCAGTGGTCACTTCACGCACACCGTCGTCCATGGAGACAGTGATCTCCTTCTCCTCGTCGGTCTTTGGGTCGGTCCACTTGACGGTCAAAGGAGCGATCTCTTCGTCGAACAGGCCTTGCTTCTGGGCAGCTTTGGCCTTTGCATAGCTATCTACTGCAAACTTGTCTTGGTCTTCGCGGCTAATGTGTCTGTCCTTTGCCATCTGCTCGCTCAGTACACCCATGGGAACCTTACACTCAGCAGCCTTCTTGTGATTCTCCAAGAGCTCGCTGAACTCAGTGACAGCCTGTGGGCCGTATTGGGTGCTCATGGATTCAACACCCGCACCGATGCCAACCTCGATCATGCCAGCTTTGATAGCGTTGGCAATATCGACGCATGCTTGTAGTCCTGAACTACATTGCCTGTTCAGTGCTTTGACAGCTGTACCCTCTGAGAAGCCAGCAGCTAATGCAGCTGCTCTAAACTCGGTCGCACCGCCCCCTGGAGCGAGCACGTTGCCCACAGCGATGTCCTCGACCAGACTTGGATCAATGCCTGAGCGCTCTATCAAATTTTTGAAAGCGCCGTATAGTAGATCTGCTCCTGCTGTGTCCTTGAAACCACCTTTGCCGCCCTTGGTGATAGCTGTGCGCAATGCTGTAGTGACTACAACGTCGTCGGGGTGCTTCTCGAGTAGACGTGCTTTGCCGTTGGCTTTGAGATGAGCAGCGACTTGCGAAAGACGATCAGCGGCTGCCGCCATGTTTCCTGTCTGGATTGGATTTGTCATGTCTGATATGGATAAATAGATTGAAAAGTGTGGCAGCGAAGATAATAAGAAGAAATGGCTCCTACCTCGTCCTTGACAATGTCTTGCTCATCACATGGGAACTTTGTCTGATCACCGAGGCTCATGTGAAAGTGCAAGGGCCAAACATTTGGACTTGAGCCTCATTGACTTATCACATCACCTGGTCAGCTGATCTGAGAACACTACACTACCATATTATCGGCCCCCAAGTCGTGGCGCAAGATTGACACCTTGGTCGCACAATAATCGTCTCATCTAAAACGTCAGCAACATCGCCGATCAGCAATTCAATACATCTTGATCGAGTGTACTGGATGGTCTTGCCTCGCCGTGATACAACTCCGCTGCACGAGCGTTGGAAGAGCCCTCCCTTGGTAGGGCTCATGACGGAGATGGTTGTCAGACTGCGTCGACGGCGGACTTCCGGCATCGTGACCAGAAATGGGGCTTGCAGGCTGCAGCCGCTGAGTGCTGTTCTAGGGCTCAACGCCTGACCGTCAGCACTGAGGATGCCTCGCTTGTGCGACAGCCGCTGCTTTCGCTTCCCATCAGGGTTTCTCTCCAGGCTGAAGGAACGCTCTCGGGTCATTCGGACTGATCGATCAGACCCAAGCTCTCAAACAGCTCCTTCGCCTTCGCCTCGATCATCCATTGCAGCAATCTCGCTATTAAAGACCGTTTCGATGAGCAAGGTCACTACTGCATCACGGGAGGATTCTATGTCCCAGCTCACGATAGGTTCGACGAGCTCGCGCTCGCTTATTGATCCTTTGTGGGGCGAAGGATTTGATGGCCCGTACTTTGTACTCGAGGACATACCGATTGTAGACAGTGGCGTCCGCGAAACCGCTACCAAATTGAGTTAAGATGGGACCGACTTGGTAAGTCATCATGGAATGCGCCAGCCTTGTAAGATTCCTCTAGCGAGTCCTCTTTGGCTGGCTCGTCCGTCCCAGTGAGAAGTCTTGTCCGCTGCCTGTCCTTTTGCACTTGTCACTCATCTCTTTGCCGCCCGACAGGAAGATGAGAGGCTTACGGTCGCTACACCTGCGCCGCATGGCAGACACAGTTTATAGCTCATGCGATACTCACCAAACTTGCGTATCGGGCGACTGTGCCAATTTCCCAGTAGTCTGGGCACTCACCGTGTTCTTCATTGGCCCAGCGGCTGACTACTGAATCCCGTCGATCATTGTCAAAGTCAAGAGGAGGCCTGTACACTATAAGAAGGCAATCCGCGCTATTGCGCATTAAAGAAAGCATAGATTTCGATGATCCTGCGCGAACCATCGACTTTCCAGGCTCGCAATGCTCGGAGTCCGACCGCACACGCAGACATCAACTTTCCAAGGACATCCCCCTTTGGCTTTGTCGCATCGCTAGTGAGCTTTGATGCAAAGTTCGACACCACGATAATGTTCAATAGTAGAGAGCTTCCGGTCCCTACGGTGCCGAGCATCACCAGTTTAAACCAGGCACACGCAACCCTGCTGCATTGCTGGAACAGAATATGGAAGTCAGGCATCGCTGCGATACCTGGCCAGACGACCCAAGAGAAGCCAATCCTCGACTTCACGGAAAGGCGGGAGCTGTGTGGATGGCTTGAGAAATGGGAGAAGGCGTTCACCGAGTATCTCGCTACGGCTATGACCAGTATGGGTCAACAGGATCTTACGCAATGCCGTGTCCTCAAAGCAAATCACCTCGGATGTACCATATTGGCGTCAGGATATGAAGCTTGGCCGGAGAGAACGGTCATGTTTGAGGATGAATTTCGAGCCATCATCGAGCTTGCTGAAGCAGTCTTACAGGCTCGCGAGACAATCTCTCCGCAGAGTGCCAGTACTGCTTCTCCTGTAGAGCCAACACCACAGACGAGCGGTCTGGACGTTCACATGCCGTTAAGCATTGTGATCACACGATGTCAGCATGCGGCAATACGCGAGCGCGCCCATCGTCTGGCAGTACACAGTCGTGGCTCCTGATCTAAGCACTCCAGTGGCTTCTCAAGTCTCAGGATGAAGATATTGGTTACACCAGACATCAGTCTCTATTGGTGGCAGATCCACATCCAGAGAGTCTTGCTTCTGCTTCACTTCATCCCAGAGCTTGCCGAAGGTTATATCGCAGAAGTTGTCGTGGAAAGCAAGCTGAACAAGATACTGGCGCACTTCCTGCCAAGTACGAATGCGAAGGTCCGTCACCACTACGACAAGATGTCCGACAAACCACGATCGTTCCGGCATCATCGAGTGTGCTGTGTTGCCGCCCACAAACAGCAGCCACAGTAGAAGATGACTCTTGGTTCCGACTGCACCAATGAGATGGGTCAAAGAGGATTTTAGATCTCGGACCAGGGTATGCAGCATCAGTGTCGGGTCCGGGAAATAGCCGCTCAACGGCGTAAAGACATGTAAACAGCCAGCAAGTCTACAGCTCTGCGAAAGTCCTGGTATCGGAGAATCATTCGATGAGAATCTGCTCATCTGCAACAACTTCTCCAACACTGAGCACAGCCCGCTTAGCACTTTGGTGGCCTCGTTAGGTGTGCCGAAGTTGACGATGGAGGAGTAGTTGCGAGACAAACGCTGGACCTCATGCAGAACATTGGCCGTGGCGGTATCGACACCAAATTCTCTCAAATCCTTCTCACCTCCATCGTGGGTCAAGAGTGTGGCAGTGGTAGGATTCGTCAGCCATCCGAAGTCCCGATCCAGATCTCCATACGTAAGAGGCAGCAGCATTGGCTCATTGATTGAGACCATCATAATCCAGAATACAAGGTTGGCAACCATAGAGTTACTTGCTCTGATAGCATCCAGCCCGCCTCGCAGCTCAACCACACGTTTGAGGCCAGCCATATGTGCTTCGAGCACACGCATGTTACCACGATCATGCCTAACAGCGACAGTCAGAAACTATCGGTATCTTACAAACGAGTTACCCTCGTCAACTTGCTTACTCCATTGCTGCCAAACTTGCGATAGAGACCAGTGTGTGGTCATTCGTACCGACCACTGGATCCTGTATACGGACGTTGAGGGAACCGAGACACTTGCCGAGGAGCTGCCTCGTATGTACTGTATCATGCTTTCCAGCGAGATGCTGGCGATCGAGGCCACTGAGAAGGAGCACAACGTGAAACAGCAACTCATCATCACGAACAAAAGGCCACCATAGCTCTATCAGTGGCCGGCTGGCATAAAAAGGAAACGACCGAAAGGCAAAGTCCGAGAGATAATGGGACATGAGTGCGTTGACATCTGTACCTGATCCGGCTGTGGCAGGGTAAGCTTCGAACGGATCAAGACGACCACCAGAGATTGTGGCAGGTACAGTAAGCGGTTCGGCACTCCGTCCTACCCGTGTGGAAGCTTGTGGGACAGGCAATGTTCCTGTCGACAAGAGTATTGACGGAGGATGAGAGGCTGTTCTGAATGATTGGCCAAGCAGCTCGTTCCTTGAGACTTCTCGCTCGAATGCTGACGACGGCTGTGTGGTTGCGGATGATGATGGTAGTGCCGCGTGAGAGCCCGGACGACCTGCACCTCGCGCATGAAACCAGTTGTTCGTTAAGACTGCCGTCGATGGAGCCGAAGCCGAGGACTGAAACGTCGGCTCTCGGTCGTCGAAGTCACACGTCACAAGGTTTGTGAAGTGGCGTTCGCAGTTGTAGCAGAGTGGTCTACGTTCATCGCACTATAGCAGCTCACACGGTTAGCGCCAAGCGTAGCTCTGATAACAATACTCATGCAGCTTACCTTCACCTTCCGGGCTCGACACGTCCTACACCCTGCCTTGCTCTTCCTGTGAGACCGCCGTGGTATGGCACGGGACATAGCTCCCAAGGTGAAAGCCTCAGTTCTGTTGCCTTTCCGTGCCTTCTGACACTATCGCGTGGCAGAGAGCACTGGCGAAAGTATGCCAGTATGACGAGGTATCCCGAGCTCTTATTCGTAACTTCGGGTTCGTGTAGACATGCATACTGACCTTACCGTACTGAGCTAGAGGGAGCGGCTCTTCTGGGCACTCGTGTAGCATAGCTTGGTCCTCCTGCCGGATTTGGACATCACCTTCCACAGCTTTCAGGGCATGTGGCAAAAGAGTAGCCTGCATTTCAGTCAAGCCCATACAATGCCACCAGCTCGAAGACATTTGCTCCCATGCACTGACAGAGCGTATATACTCAATGTGGGGCTGGAGGTCAACAAGCTAGCACTAAGGATGCCTTCAAGAAGTATCGCGTCCAGTAGCTGAGGCTACTGAAAATTATAAGTACACATGTATAGTAAGACCTCCAGGCCATGTACAGAGTTCCACTAGCGAGCGTCTTGTGTCAAGCAGCATCTATTCTCAGGAGGACCTTGATTGACCACTGTGGCGATGGTAAGGCAGCATCATAAGGGTCGCCAGAATACTTACAACATTCCAGATGAAAGCAGCAGTTATTCACGAGGCTGGCGGGCCCGATGTCCTGAAGATCGAAGAGGTGCCTATACCCAAACCGCGACCCGGCTGGGTCCTCATCCGCATCAAAGCCTTCGGTCTCAACCGTTCCGAACTCTTCACCCGCCAAGGACACAGTCCGGGCGTCCAGTTCCCACGGATACTAGGCATTGAAGCTACAGGTCTCGTCGAAGAAGCACCTGGTGGCGAGTTTCAGAGAGGTGATGTAGTCGCCACCGCCATGGGAGGTATGGGTCGGTCCTTCAATGGGGGCTACGCAGAGTATACTTGCGTCGCAGCTGGCCAGATCCAGAAGCTGGAGACGAAACTTTCGTGGCATATTCTGGGTGGTTGTGGCGAAATGTTGCAGACGGCTTATGGGAGTTTGTTCAATGCTTTGCAGTTGAAGAAAGGTGAGACCTTGTTAGTGAGAGGTGGGACGACTAGTATTGGTCTTGCAGCTGCGGCGATCGCGAAGAGTCATGGTGTGAAGGTCATCTCAACTACGCGGAATTCGGCTCGTAACGAGTTGCTGAAGAAGTCCGGTGCGGACATCGTGGTCATTGATAGTGGTAAGGTGGCTGAGGAAGTCAAAAATCAGACGGATGGTGGCGTGAACAAAGTGCTGGAGCTCATCGGCACGACGACTTTGCTAGACTCGTTGCAGTGCGTCAAGCCGCATGGCATCGTCTGCATGACTGGTATGGTGGGAGACAGTAAGTTCAAGCTCGGCTTAGGGTGAAATTTAAACTAAGACTCTTCTCCAGGCTGGAATCTCAAAGATTTCTCACCCATGGACGCCATACCCACAAGCATATGCCTAACATCTTACGATGGTGGGCCCGATGCGTTCATTTCAACTCCCTTGCAAGAGCTAGTCAATCAAATTGAAGCCGGCACCCTTCCAGTCTCCATCGGCAAGACGTTCAAGCTCGACGATATCGTCGAAGCACATAGAACAATGGAGCAGAACAAGGCTGGCGGCAAGATCGTGGTGCTGACGTGACTAAGGGCCTCCGTGATCAGAGGTGGATTAAGAGATATATGCCTGACTGTCCGCTCTAATATCTTGTCAACGTATCTTACATATGCAGAATGGGTATCATAGCAACGACATAGCTTCTTACAGACAAAGGAAAACGTGCACCTTCCAGTCGTGAGCCTCGCTCAGCGCATTCGTCTCCTACTCACAAGCGCCTCTGTTCCACCACCCAGCTCAGCCCAAGCAGCAAGCACGTCCTCGCCCGCACTAGTGATACTCGCGCTCTCGGGTCCTCGCATGCCATGCCCGACAATCTTATCAAGTCGTGGCGGTGCCTTTCTACTCGACATCCCATGCTTCCTACTACTAGCTGGTGTGTTCGTCTGACCAGAAGCAGAGAGTGAAGTCAGATCCGTGTCTGGGGTGTACGCTCGGTTGCGCAGGCTGGCATTGTCGCTACTGTATGCCCCTTCGATCGTTGGCTTCTCAGAAGCAGGAGCAGGGAAGTTCATAGCCTCTGGTGTCCAAGGCGATATACTCGTCGCTGGTGAGGCAGTCAGCTGACTTGGTGAGAACTCCAGGGGTGTGAAGTCGAAGTGCGGGTGGAGATGATAGGGTGAGTGGGCTGTCTGGCCGCCTTGTCGCAAAGGGTGAGGCATGGCAGATTTGTGGCGCATTGCTAATGGCACTCCGGGCTCTGTCTCGGCTTCCAGATCTACATCGTACTGGCGCGAGAGTCGACGTCCATGGACAGAGTTGCGCCGCTCTTTCTTGTCATGCGAAGATGCATAAGCATCGTCCGCGTCCTGCTCACCCTCCTCCACTCCCTCCTCCACTCCCTCCTCTTCAGCGACAGGAGAAGGCGACCACACGGCGCTAACACGATAATCGCGTCGAGAAGGGTTGCGACTCCGGGAAGGTGGAGTAGGAAAGACACCGGCGTTACCAAACAGATTCTCCGACGCACTGCTTGAAGCCAAGAACTGTCTCAAGCTCTCATGGTGGTCCTCAATGTCCTCGAACTCTGGCGCAGGAGACGAATCTTCCGCAGAGACGGGCGAGTACGCGTCAAGCACCTTGCTCGGTGTAGGACTGTAGACACTGGGCATGAGCAATTCGAACTTCTGCGGTGGCCGCTTGCTATCCATTGCGGGTGTCTGTCCACGACTAGGCGGCTCCGGGAAGTTGTCGACGGTCGGACTGCTGACATCGGCCAAGAATTTATTCATCTTCAATGCTTTGTCTACATCCTCTTTCTTAATAGCACTGAGCTTCCTTCGTAGCTCATGGTCCACACACGGCTCTGCAGAATGGACTGTATTCACAATCTTGCTCCCAGGTCGGCTCTTGCTCGTCTTCTCCTCGCGCTGCTGCAGGATCTTCAACGCTGTCTGCTGCGCACTTTCACGTCTCCTGAGCAGAGCATCCTGTTCCCTCTTCAGCGCAAGCTGATAGCCCTCCGTGAAGCTGTTCTTCTGCATTGCGGCTCTCTTGTTGCGCATCAATTCCAACAAAATCATCTCTTCCTCACTCACAGCCATCAAGTGCGAACCATCAGTGGGAGCACTACTGACCGATTCGCCACTGTTGAACGTCTCGAAGTCCTGATGCGACATCTTTGTCGAGCGTCGCGCACGAGTGAGCTGGTCCTGGCCTGTCAATTGTCGCAAAGCTTGAGTTGTTGGGCTGGCGAGACTCGTCTGAGTGCTGCGCCTTGATTGAATTTGAGGCGGGCTCTGCGCCACCGTGGGCATGGCAGGAAGTGGTATGGATGCTGTGAGTCTGATCGGAATCGAACCCGAGGTCTGCATTGTCTGCACCGTGCTCGTGCTTGCTCGCCCAGCGTTCTCGGCTGGGAAGCTACGTTGTCTTTGCAAGTGTTGCCTTGAATTGCTGTGGTTAGTGCTGCCTGCAATGCTCATGGCACTCAAAGTCTCCATATCGATTCGTCCAGGACGAGGTGCACTTTCCTCCTCATCAGAGTCCGACATCGAGAGTGCGCTCTGCGATGGAAGGTCCAGCATTGCAAGCCTGCTTTCTCCTCCTGTCCTTCGCGGCATCTCCGACGATACGACGCTTGCTATGGTAGTGGCATCGGCATGGCCAGAATCTATGCTGCCCTTGCGTATATCAATCTGCCGCATGCGCTCCTGTATCCGCTCCTTGGCATGATGGATGGCGAGCAAGTTATCTTCGACCGGATCCTTAGACAACTTGCGATCCAGACGAGGCTGCTCACGATCTGATTTGATATGCCAGGGGCTGCCGAAGTCGACTGCAACATTGTGTGTCTCGGGTTCTTGCACGGGTTTCTGGCCGCTCTTGCCAGGGATCCGGACTTTCTGCTCCGGGACGTGTTCCTCTTCATCTGAGCTGATATCGAAACCATCAAACCAGTTCTGTATACCCTTGGGTGGACGTCGCACATTGACTTTAGCCGAGTCATAAATATCCTTCTCAAATACTTTGGGTCGTGTAGCTGGTGCAGCTGCGGGTGCTGGTCTCTTGAACGTTTCGTATCGGGCATTTTGTGCAGGCTTTCGAAGTTCCACGCGCACTGTGTCTGCAGGAGAGGGGAAGTCAGAGTCATCAGTAACGTCTGAACCAGCACGCGGCATCATCAGATTAGGAGCGGCCAAGGCATTACGTGAGCTCGACCTCGGTGGCGGGAAGAGCTGAGACAGATCCAGTCGCTTTATCTTCTTGCTCGGGCTCGACTTGAGCTTCAAGGATGATCCAGTGGGTTTGCGAGTGCTTTCGGGCGACGATGGCTTCTTCATTGCTGACTTCAGAGGTCTCCTGCCTAGATTGGGGTCGCTCGAGGTTTCGTGAATGGTCATTGGCGGAGGCTTGCGCAAACCCATATCGCGCACAGCTGAGGCCGAAGTCTGCTGCGTAACGTACAAAGGTTCCTTCGAACGATCATAATGTCCTTGACCGCTACCTGAGCTTGTCGTGCGAGGGTTGATGCTAGGCCGACCGGTAGGCTGGTAGACGCGCATGCTCAGTGTATCCTCTTGCCTCTTCTTATCCTGCTCCAGATTCGGCCAGACGTTCAATCTGCCCCTGGGATCCAACATCTCGTCCAGTAAAGACTGCGAGTCCTGCCGGATATCAGGTAACTGGAACTGCGGTCTCGCCGTCTTGTACTCGTCCTCCCCACCGTATTCGCGGCTATTCGGCTGCTGCGATCCCCTTCTTCCTAACCGCGTCTTCGCTCCTAGCAACAGTTCTGCTTTTTGCGGCAACGCCGTGTCGCCCAGTTGGAGGACATCGTCTGATGTTGTGGCTCCTCTGTCCTGCGCGGTACGTCTGGAGAAGCGCATCGTGCTCCACTATCCTTCCAAGCAGCGGGCTGATATGGTGCGACGAGTCGCGAACACTCTCCACTGCGAGTGTTTCAACAGACTGTATCGGTGTTAGTGCACGGCAATCTGATGATAGCTGTCCACGAACTCACCAGCTATATGTGCCATCTTGGAGCAGGCGTCCTCGATTACTGGTGTCACAAGGCCGACTGTTCAACGACTACGACCTGTGTTGGCTCCTCATGCTACATGAAGCAGAAGAGAGTGTCACAACCACGAGATGCCACGAGATGGGATCTGCACAGGTAGGGATACTGGTCTAACCTTCCATGGGTGCGAGCGCCATCCGAGATCATAGCGCAATGCTTAAGCACGCCACGCCTTCTATAGCGTAAGCAATAATTAGAACTCCTTCGGCTCTTGATCAAGAAGAGTTTGGATCAGGGCTGTCAAGCTGTGATGGTGGACTGTTCGTCTTGCGGAACACTTTGGCTTCATGCTTATTTCTTATGTATGTGAGCCTTCCATACAAGGAGGCAGGGATGTGAACACGACCTGAAAGTGCTCATGCGCAGTTCGCGGGAGTTTGTTCCACCTCCACACGCTCTCCTGCCGATATATTGGCGGCAGTTCGCGTATAACGTTCAATATACCCGCTGATGAACCACGAAATACGAATTGCACGAAAGATGGCAGCAGATCATTTTCACGCCTTCCTCCCATCTGAACCACCGCTTCTGCCATCGCTCCCTCGACACCCATTTCATGACATGCTGGTATAGGAGGTGCACCGTACATTACAATCGAGTGATCTTCAGCTGGGAATTGACGCATCATGCAGGGCTTGCAGAACATCCCTGTAGAAATCAGGGGTATGGACAAGGTTATGGTTGCGCTCCACCTCGGCTCATGGCTCAAACTATGCTGACTCGAGACACATTCATACATCGCTCGAGCCACACAACGTACAACCTCACCCACCACCATCATGGTCTGGACAATCCAGAAATCGAGCTAAAAGTCGTGGTAGACATAGAACATGATGCGGACCTCACAACTCTCTGCCATGGAACAATGAAAGGTGGGAAGCAATCATGCGTGCCACAAAAGAACCATTGACCATGTCTAGCAAGCAAGACAACATCTCCCGATTAAAGACGCATGTCTATAATATCTGCCGGAAGTGCCTCAGACATACTTCTGCATCAAGCAAGACATACCAGCCGAACAAACGATGAGCCTTAACACTATCCAGCTACAACGACACATACCAGCCCACGTAACCATGGCCGGGATCCTTCAGATGGTCCTTCGTAATGGCATAGCCAATGCAGTCCACACGCCGACAAGACCATGTACCAGCGACGAACTGACCAAGTTCCGGACCGTCTTGCTCCGAGATCCCTTCTTCGATCCTAGAGTCCAGGCTGAGGAACTGATCTCTCATCTCCAGCCTAACGAGAACTCGATGTTATTCGCTGACTTGGTTGTGCTGATGGCTAAAATTGTTAGGGTACTGATGTTTCATGCGCCGCTTACGGAGACGCAGATGCGGGAGAGGATTGCTGTGAGGAGGGAGGCATTGAGCGAGCCGTTCTTTGATCGGGCAAAGCCTTCTGCTTTTGGGACGAGGCCAGTGTCATGATGTGCTGATCAAGTGCAGCTGAAGGACGGCGGGTTGGATCGGGAGTGCTTACAACATGATTGAACGAGGTCATTGAACTACTGCATATTGTATTACTTTCCAAGAGACCCCGCGCTGTGATGTGGTATCCTCGTTACTCAAGCAGCATCCGCGTCAAATTCGTGGGACAGATCGACGCCGTCTTGACAGTCACTTCCACCCCAGCGAGCGCCGCACCCCTACCCTTTCCATCGGAACTAGAGCATGCTTAGTGGACGAGGTGGGCCGAAGACGATCTTGCCGTTGACCGTGCCAATCCCGCCATTGTTGCTCGTCGTACCATTGCTTGTGGTTGCTGCAATGCTCCTGCCCGTATTGACAGTCATACGGCCAGTAGCGTTGTTAGCAGTCGGTTGTTGAGCAGTATCGTTGCCAGTCTGCGGTGACATGAACGGACCGCCCAGGTCACCGAACAGGTGCTGCATCACAGCAGGTGACTTGATGGAGGTCTGCATCATCTGCTCCGCCATATCTGCCAAGCTTTGGTTGCCCATCGCAAGCGCATCGTCCCTCATTTCCACCCAAATGCTCGAGTCATTGATCTTTGGACCACGAGCAGCATTTGCAGCCTTCGCCTTCGCCACGCGCTTCGTCACAGATGATTGACTTTGATTAGTGAGGGCAGCGACAAGTTCACCGATGAACGCTTGCGGCATCTCGCCACGAACAGTGACCTCTTCTGCAGCGCCATACCATTGCTTGAAAGGTTCCATGACCTCGTGATCTCTAAAGAGAGTCTGCCGTGCCTCCTCACGAGTCAGATTGTAGAACTCCCCATGCATATCTCTCATGGAGATGAGCCGCGCAGGCATACCAGGAGGGAGTGGACCTTCGAAGTCGTCGCGCATGTACTCCACTTCGCCACCGAAGCAGCCTGAGTAACTAATCGATAGTGTCTTCAGCTTGATCTGGGCGGATTTGAAGAAGCGCACGATAGTGATGTTGTTGTGGAGCAAGTTGATACACTCATTCTTGCGCACGCGGTCCTCCAGTCACCGCATGTTGTGAACCATGATGTTGACGTGCTTGATTTGCAGGAAGTTGTGGAACATCAGATAGCATGGCGCACCTGGTGGGTCGCACGTTTTGTTATCGCAGCGCCAGAAGGGATAGATACGCTCCCACTCAGGCATGATACCGAAGATATTCTTGCTGAAGAGGATGCTGTTTGCCTCGGCGTTGATCTGCTTGTTTGCAAGCAGTAAACCCACGGCCTTGATGATGAAGCGGTAGCGGTATCGCTCGTTGGCGCCAGGAAGGATCACGGTGTCGCTACCATAGAGTTCCAGCGCATTCTGCCGACCGTACTCCTCGAGCGGAGTGTCCGAAGCAGCATTGATCTGGTCGATCTGAGCCTGGTTTGCCGGCGACAGCTTGGCGACAAGTAGCTCCTCGTAGATACCTGCAAATCTGGTCAGCTTGAGCAGACGACAGGGAGAGCTTTACTTACGGTCACGGATCTCTCTATGCAGGCGAAGGAAAGGAGAGTTGGTGTCTATGCCAGCTACCTTGAAGCCTTTCTCGCATGCCACGCAGTGGCAGCGGACGGCTCGAAGTGTTTGTCCATGCTCGGTGGTTGTCGGTTTAGCCGATGGGGTTGTGCTCACCTTCGCCGCCTTCAATCTCTGCTTCTTCGAGCCCATCGTGCTCAACGTTGAGATTCGATGTAGTGCGAATTTGTTCAGAAGGTCTGGAAAGAAGTGTGACGGACGATTCGTTTGCAGGCTTTGCAGTGGTTGCCCAGTAACGTTGATTCGGGAAGGTGCATTCGCGGCTCACGTGGTCGTACAGAGCACAGACCGGGTGGCGAAACCACTCACATGATACAAGGTAAGGATACAGAAAATGTAGGGATATACATACCACGTTCACAACTTAGACTTGAGCTTAGCCTCCCACTGGCTCACCTGCTTGTCTGCTGCAGCTCTTTCTCGTAATCTCTTGGTTCCGGCAAGATAATCTTGCTGGTCTTCCGCTGCAAAATTCTCCAGATAGCCCACCGTCTCCCGCCACATCTCTCGCTTGAGCTCACCGTAGACTGCCTTGCCAGTCACACCTTTGCCAGCTTTCTGGACGAGCTTCAGCTCATCGACGTGGGCAAGGGTTTCCTCGAGGCCACCGAGCCAATCAACAATGCCTTCCTTCAGAGCATCAAGCGCCTATTCTTGTCAGTGTTGCACTTCCGTATTTTTGACCAGATCTCCAGGACATACCTTGTACCTCGCAGCCTCAAGCACAAGTCTCCTGTACGTCTGCGGGCTGACCTTCTGGCGGAAAATGCTCGTCATAGGTGGTCTTAGTGGTACACCAAGCTCGACTTCGTTCAAGCAAAGATAGCCTTTGTGAGGATTCATGATCCGATAATCGTGCATCATAGCCAGCATTAGAGCCCCAGCAAAGGCGTGGCCGTTGATCAATGCTATGGTTGGCATTGGATATGTTAAGATACGCAGCCAAAGGGCGTACAGGCTGTCCGAAAAGAACCCCGGCGTGAAAGATGCATGTTCAAGATCGAGGCCATTGCTGAAGAACTTATTAATCCCCGATGTCGTTATCACGACGCCTGGCGGGTATTTGGTCTCCAGGATGTTCAGGGCCAGCAGCAGAGCTTGACAAAAGGACTGTGTCTGATGTTAGAAACAAGCGCTCGATGACTCCAGAGATATGACAGCATACCGTGATAAGTCTGTTATCTGGTGGGCTGGAGAATGTGATCAAGTAGACCTTGTCCTTGGCCTCCGAGACAGCGACTTTGCCCTCCTCGCCGATCGGCAGCTCAAACAGTGTATTCATCTTCATCGTGCTGGCTATGATCGTACTCGAGGAGATGCCACACCTCCAATGGAGATCCCCAAAAAGCAGTCTTTGGGGAGAGACGAGATGAAGTCGCGGTTGTGATGACGATGACTGATCGCATCCCTGCCAATCGTCGCCGAGGCACATCAATCGCGACAAAGTTCACCCAGCTGCCCTCTCCCTCCCCTATGAAATCAAAATTCATTTCGCCTCGAGCATGCGACTACGCTTTGGCCTATTCGCGTATCTCGGTGTCATTGCGTCGCATGACAAGAGTGGATGGGAGATAGAGTAGCGTAAGAGAAATCGACTTCTTGGGGATACGGGCAACCGAGCCCCTCTTCGCACCTCAGCTAGATTTTACCATCGAAAAGATCGCCATGCACGATAAAGAGTGTAAAAACCTCGTGTATATGAGCATTGGAGCAATGCAAAATCATCAAAGTGCAAACGTTGAAGTATTCTAGAGGTCTATGTCTACTGCACTCTTTGAGCCAACACCTCGTCTATCCAGTACTCGCCGACTTCTGCCCTTACTGTTATCGCTCGATCAATTGCCCCATCGATATCATATTCATCGTGACCGTGTACATAGCTATTGTCGTCCAAATGTACACGGCGGTCACGCAACTTCTACGCACACTGTTAGCCTCAACAGCGGAACTTGCTTTGGTAGCACTACTTGTTGATCTAGCAGTGGCTGCGGTCTTCGGCGGAAGCGACAGCGTACTTGTCGGATTATTTACAGCGACTTGTATCTGCACGTCTGAGCTCGTGAAAGGGTATCGTCTTGTCGCATTGCCGCCGTCCGGTCTGAGCAACAACAACGATTGGACAGTCTCCAATGCGCTGAGCTCCTGACCCACGCCGTAGTTGCCGTCGTAGCCATCGACATACCACTTCTGCCCGCAAGTGTTGCCGTATTGACCGCCTGAACACGACTGCGCGGCGGCTTGAGCAGAGCGAGTGAGTAGAGCGTTTACCGAGCTCATGATATATGGAGCCACAACGGCGGACTTCGACAGCCACCTTGCGAGATATGCCTTGAAGCTAAGCTGATCATAATTGCACGTTTGATCCAATTCGCATGCTGGTTCGTACATGATGTCTGTTGAGTTTGGGTATGGTGTGAAGAACGTACGGGCGCACTCCTCAAGAAGTCCCGTGGTCCGGTTCTCCCAAAGCTGAGAGCCGTTTGTGTAATTGTATAGCACAGCTGAGCCGTATAGCAGCATACTTGGATTATAACTCCAGAGTGTGTGATCAATGCGTGAACAGTTGATCGTGTCGTCGGTACCATCGAATACATCATAGCTTGGGCTGATCAGGCCAATCGCGCTCATCCAGTCCCAAGTCTTCTCAGCCCAGTCGAGATATGTCTGATTCCCGGTATACCGCGCCAATCTGGCCGAGATCTGGAAGAGACCGCCGTTACTGATGCTGTTCTTGTAGTCATACCCGGCGTTGGCCTGGAAGATTTGCCATTTTAAACCGCCATTACAGGATGTCGTATCCCAGCGAGGCCATTGGGTGTTGAAGACTGCTTCTGCCAAGTCGAGATACACACTTTGGCTTTTGCCCTCGGGAATTGGGAAACCATATTCGACGGCTGACAATACTGCGATCGCCCAAAATGCTTGATCATCGTTGCCCAGAGACGAGTAGTACGCTGGAGGCATGTAGTTGTTGTCTGGTCCGACTTGCGCCATCAAGGCCTGCTGTACTGTAGGCACGTAGCTTGTGTCATTGGTATATGCCCAGTAGTCGATAAGACCTGTTTCGATGTCAGATATCAGCCAAGCAGACCGCGTCAAACATGGACCACACATACCTCCCCATACTGCTCCAGCTTCCCACCAGTAGAGAGGACTATTGAAAGTGCCGATAGCCGTAGTAGCCGTCGAGCTTTGATTGTTCTGGTACCACGAGCTAAGTCCGTATGCTATCGTGGCGGAAGCATTCTTGATAGAGTCTGCTCGGTATGATCAGAGTGGCAACATAGATTCAATCCTGCTTAATAAACTGACCTGTGTCATTAACATTAAGCTCAATAGCACCGCATAGCCGCAGAAGTGTCGCCACCAGCGGCAGCAGATAGTATGCTACCCTCATGATGCTGCTTCGTATATGCTGCGCCGTCCTGATGCTGTTATGACATTCGCATGGAGAATCTCCAAAATCTGTAGTCGAAGTAGACTGCCTGTGGCGACTGCCTCCATCGAAGGATCAAACTCGTAGCAGTAGCGATGTTTGCTGGCAGGTGGGACGGCGAAGAGCCTACTAGTAATGCAAGAAAAGAAATACTGCACACCTACCTGCTGCCAATACCACTACTGAGACTGATAGAGCATATCCAAGTAATGCCTAGCACTACTTGTCTAGTACGCTGGAATGTACATGTCCGAGACCGCGGCGCAAAGGTACACAACGAATCAAGGTTAAATGGGCGAAGTTGGTGACGTCTTGAAGTGAAAGCGGTTGCACGTGCTCGAGCTGAGTCAGACTAGACAAGGGTCCTTTCTCACCCTTCGCCTTTGAACAGAGAGGACCATGATGATGTGGGATGAGATAGGATATGATACAAGGTAAGTGGTGGATCTGAGAAAGTTGCTTCGACTTCAACACATCTACTCATCAGCTTACTGCTGGAAGCTTTCCTGCCTCGAGGCCACCACCAACTCGTGGCTAAACACTACCCAAGAAGCGCCGCCATGCAGTGGTATCAATGCCAATATGCTAAGACATGCTCAAACCAGTAAGCACATCGTCAAAAATCGTCAGTTCATCGCCATCATTATTCTAAGAAAATGATCGAGGCGTCAACCTGTATTACAACCGCACTTATTCTTCTATCTCATGAGCCTTGGTCTCATGGGGTGTCGGCTTTCAGTAGCCTGGAATCTGCGACCTGCTCATAGTAGGCAGGAAGCGGCTGAAGATGTTGGCCGTCTTCTGCTTCTTGGACGATTGCTCGCAAGTCTGGTCGAGAGGGAGAGCATGAGGGAGAGCCGTGAGGGTTGGCTTGCCCATTGGTGCTTGGATGTGTACCATCGTCGGCATCTGGTGGCTGTCGTACTGCTGAATATGGACAGGCAGCTCTTCGCAGACGGGCTCCATGTAGGATGAGGCGATGCTGATGGGTGAGCAGGATGATGCATACGACCCATTGGAGGATTGTGATGCAGAAGATCGACTCCGGGTGGGTGGCGACAATGATGGTGTCCGTGATGGTGCTCTCGATGACCCAGCTGATGAGGCGGGGTAGTATGTTTGGGCGTAACCATACTGGTCGACATACGATCGTGGCGCCTCGTAGAATCTCGCAGTCTCCATCGCCGCTCGCCTCTGTTGCTCAACTACAATTTCAAGCTGATGTTGTTGCTCAAGTGCAGCCATCTCGGCGCGAATGCGATGCTTCTCAGCCTGTCGTGCTTGCCACTCACGAATGGGAGCAAGGAACGGCTCAAGGTGGAAGTAAAGATCATTCTCGGTAATCCGAAGATCCCAGTCGAGAAGACCAAGTAGCTGCTTCTCCATCAAGTTGACCTCCGTCAAGCTGAAGCCGAAGTCGTCGAAGCCAGGGACAGCTGTGTAGCGGGCCCAGTGCTTGTTCTTTGGTGAGGAGTCGTTCAGGTTCTTGGCTGCCAGGATCAGAGCTGCAAGGAAGATGCGGTGTGATGTGCACTTCATGCCTTTAGCGACTGGTGGTAATCTTTGCTGAAGGCGAGCGAGGTAGACAAGAGAAGTCATCAAAGTAGGCACCTGAACGTGTGATCGCTCGACCAAGGCGCTGATGAAGAGTTCCAGAGAAGGCAGTAGCGGCTCACCATAGACGTGCTGTGGTGGTGTGGTGGGTGGGGTTGGTGGTAGGTTCTTATTAAGCTCCATTTGTCCCTCGCATCGGATGACGTTTGAAGCCTTATGGGCGAGGTATGCGATCATCTCCTGCGAGACAGGCATGTAGATGAAGTGGTCCAGAGCGGCAGCATTCTGAGCTAGTGTTGGTACGCAGTAAGCCATGGTTGATCGATTTGTCGTCGTGATGATTGTGATAGTCAGAGTCGTTGTGCTCGAAAGCAAGAGGCTGTTGGCGATGGCGATGTTCTTATAAACTTCCTCGCAAGGATTGGTATTCTCGAAGTGACAATAGCAAAAGTGTTCTCACTGCCTGGAAAGTGAATGGTCGAACAATAAGCTTATCGAAAAGCCAACGTCGAGCGGTTGGAAAAAGCCGTACAATAGCAGAAGTATTAGTCGGACAATAAGAGTGGCTGCCTTGCACCTGCCTCGTGAATAAGTCGGTCGATTAGATACGATTTAGATTTGTTGGTACGCCAGATTTCTCCAACGTTCGCGTGAAGTGACGGCGAAGATTGCTCGTGAGCTGTTCGAAAAAAACAGTGATAGTAGCCTCCTCGTCGAGTAAGGCGGTAAAGCAGGAAGCAGAAAACTTTTGTGGTATGAGGCAGCGACCGACCAGCGGATGCGTGCAACAGATGTGTCGTAAAGGTGACCTGTAAAGGCGGTCTCGCAAAGAACACGCAGACTGCACGTTTTGGATGAAGTGCGTGGTACGGCGGGGCACAGAGGCTTTTGACTTGTTCCTGAAGAGGTGGATGCAGGGGATGGCAAGCTGCAGGCGAAGGAGGAACCAGGGATGTTTCGATTGAATAGTGAATGTGTCGTATTAAGTTGCCCGAGCTGTCCAGACAGTCGTCGCAGTAGTGAAGGGTCGTCGATGTGTAATCGGATAGCAGAAGGAAAGGGTTGTGTGGGAAGGCGACTGGCTCGACTATGTACTTGATCGCCCTGCTCTCGTGCTGCAAGGCAAGCGCTCAAGGAGGTCGTCGTGCCTGTGGCAGTATTGAATGTGGGGATGTACAGCGCCACCTTTCATTGGTTCCCCAGTAAAGAGGAACCCTGGACGCTACTGCCGCCTACAAGGGTCGATGGTCAAGGTTACAGGTCGTTTCAGATTTTGCGTGTATTAGGTTGGGAAGCCACTTGCTAAAATTCAATCTAGGTGTGGACCAACGGGCGTCTGTATACACTGGCTCGGCTTCACTTGTCACGGCGGTGAAGGAAAGCCTTTTGGTAGCGCATAGCGACTACTGGAGCTGCGCCGGGCCGTTCGTGCGTTTCGCGGAATAAGGCCAACAAGTAATGCCTGGACACGCGCCCTGGCTTGCGGACAAAGGATGACTGGCGCCAGGAGCAAAGGTTCGCTGGTCGCAGGAATGGTAGAGCTCAGAGCTGGCGGTGCGGCATGTGCCAGTTGGTACACCTCACGCACCCAGTCACCTGTATACCTGAAGGCTGATGCGAAAATCGTGGGTTGGGCTCGTGGCGGCATGTCTCTGAGCCTAGCCGGGCGTACTTCTGCATGCGTGTAGCCATACAGCTCGCCTTCGCCTCACATGCGTGCACTCGCCCGAATGCAATGCTGATCAGCACTCCACAGGTATCACTCCTGCCCATCTTTGTCTCGTGGGCCCTTGTGGTGGCGAGATATGCAACTTACCAGCCTCCAGACCATCTCATGAAACGACACGTAGCTTACACCTGCTGGCTGCATCTGAAAAGCTGCTACAGCCCAGAATCATCTGCACATCGGTAGCCCACATCATCTCGTCGACACCTCTCAGCAAATGAAGCGTGTTGACACGGCCTGACCGTTTTGTGGCTGAGTTCTGATCGGCGTCTGCAGCAACTCGCGCCATCCCTCGCCAAGCTTTCTAGAAGCTGGCGGTGTGAGCGAATCGGTCGGCTTTGCGATCATCGTCAAACACGAGACTCCCGAGATGAAACGCGATGCGCGCCAATTGTAATATACGTGGCTACGCGACTGGATACGATCAATCTATAGTCCATCTCCACCAAATGATCTCACATACAGTAGTACAGCTGGATCACCGGTCATTACGATACAGAAATCGAAGTGCGCACGGAATACGGTATACCACGGCACTGATCATAAATGTAGTGCTGCCCTCCTTCCTCGGTTCGCTTGAATAGACCTTGACATGGCTGCCGATGGTCGAACACGGTATCCCAAATCCAATACGCTTCAAGACGTCCGAAAATGCAAAGTGTAGTCGCCGTCTCATCTCCATAACCTACCCATCGGACCATCAGGCCGAGAAGGCCTGCAGCGCATGAACATCTGTTCCTATGCGTCGGGATGGGCTATTTGATGTTGGTCGCGCTTAGCTGATTGTATACATAGATGGCCCAGGCGCTTGTCTTCTGCGCGCCTACTGAAGGTCATACCATGCAGCCGCCGGACCCACCCTCACACACGAGGCTCTTTGCTTCAGATGTTTGTAGCAAGATCATGTGTTTCATGTCAGAGGCTGGCCACGTTCGCCGGATTGTTGTTGTGTGGACTGGTAGGACAAGCGTCTGATCTTGGCCAGAGCGTTGAAAAGCGAGATCTCTTGGAGCTCTTCAGTCATATGGTCTCTTCAACTGCATCACGTGCTTCAGCCTGCGTCCATGTCATGATGTATGACACTACCGGCATCGCTGTCCACCAAGCTAGACGAGCCTGTATTCATGGCTGGCATAGGCGCCGGCGCATGACTAGGCGAGTTGTGAATCACAGAGCTAAAGCTTTCGAGACTACTGCTCTGACCGTGCATGTACGGTGTCGCCGATCTGGAAACATGTTCTCGGGCAGTGACAGGACTTGGCACGCTGAGTGCAGAGGTTGCTGGAGAATACCCGCATCGGACGCGAGGTGTCAGGTATTGGGCAGCGCTCACTGATCGCGATCGTGCTGGTTCTGGCTCGTCAAGATCCGATTCTACATCGTCTGCTGTCTGACTCCGTATTTGCTCAAAGATTGTTTGGTCCAGTTCCACCATGCCAGCCAGCAGTTCGGAAAATGTGGCCATGAGATCCGCGAACTCATATTCGGTGACTGGACGACCGCAAAAGCGCGCATGCTCGTATTGTCGCATGAACACGTCACCAATGTCTGCAGGATTGATCAAGCCAAGATAAGCCAGCTGCTTGATGTAGTCGCGCATGCCCATTGTCGTTGGCCGGGTCAGAAGCTCTACCACAGCAGAGTCCGCAAGAGCCTGGCCGTTCCGAGGAGTCGAGAGTGGATCAGCTGGAGCAAGACTTACTGCCTTCGCTTCGATAAGGTTCGGCATTTCTGCAATCACATCCGCGAATTGTACGTTGGGATACTTGTTATCATCCCTCTGGCTTGGACTGCTCCAGCCAGCATGTCTGACTATCCCCCACGGTGGCTGCGCAGGATCGATTTGTATAATCCTACCCACAGTATAGTCGTTGTGGTTGACACTGTGAGTCTCGGCAGGTAAGACACCATTCTGCTCGGCAGCATAGATTTCTCCAAATGCGTTCCGGGGCTTTGCCTCCCACGCAATGATAGCACTGCGCTCCAATTGCTTGACAATCATCTTCCTGACATTTTTGCCCACCTCTCCTTCTTCCACCGGTATGTATGCTTTGCCCACTGCGGCCAGGACTGTACGGTTTGTGTACAGTCTGCTGCTGTAGATGAAGGTGGCGAGTAGTGCGACTAAGACGTAGACGCTGCCGACTATGAGGATGTACTGGAAGGCCCGGTTGACGATCGCTGAATAGATCAGACTTGCGGGTGTGATGGCTAAGAGAAGAATCTCGATGGCGTAGAGGATGGTGTAGGTCGTGCTGTAAAAGATGCGGAAGAACGGTATGCGGAAGGGGAGGATGCGACCTGGTTTGCGTGCCATTCTGGATGGCTAGCTATGTTGGTAGTCGACGAAGATGGTTGATGCGCCGGATGTTACTGCAGCGGTAGTGCTGCTCGGTTGCCGAATCACATGTCGTCAAAGTATGCCATATGCTGTGTTCGTACTGCGTAGCTCAAAACCGCCGTGACTATTCCTGTTCCCCAACGTGCGTAACGTCGACGGAGAGCGACAACATCATCGCCGCAACAGAGACGAAGATGTCACTTCCCAAAGAGGCAAGCGCGACGTCAGATTCACATGCAATTGCAGAACACTCTCTGTGTTTTCCGAAGAATAACAATTCCATGCACATGTTCTTCAGGAGAAGTATGGTGATAACCACCTTACTGGCCTGTACATAATTTCACGAACCAGGCATCTTGGACTCATGCCGGAATAACCTTACATGTTCTCTGACGTGGTGCAGCATGCCTTTGAACAATACTAATCAAGCGGCTTGTCTTTCGGTTAGCTGCAACTACTTCTTTTTCACATGACTGGATCTCGTTCATATCTTGGCAAACGCAAAGTCATCTTCCCCGGCAGCTTAAAGACTACTCGGCAAGGCTCAAGACAACTGAACATGGCTATTACAGACTCTGCTGCCGACGACACCTTGGACGAGCTCCTTAGGAACAAGGCTCGTATTATTGAGCTCCCGGATGACAACAACGAGGATGAAGTGACTGGTGTACCCTTTCCCGGCAACCATCTTCGGAAGAATGGCATCCACCACTTGCCACAATGGCTACAACAAACCACGATCGGCCTCTTCCACGACGACTACAACACAGTATCCTCAGAAGCGCTAGATAAAACTGCTGCTGAATGTTTACCTCATCTAACCGGCCAAGACAATCAGGGGATCCCACTCAACCGTCATGGTCTTCCACATCTGCAACGTAAACAGCATGCCAGCTTCCTCCACACGCCGCTGAAAGGTCTACCTGCTCCGTATGCAGCAATGGATGCTAGCAGACCCTGGCTTTTTTATTGGTGTACAGCTGGCTTGAGCTTCCTGCGCGAGGACGTCAGTATGTATCGTGAACGACTTATGGAGACTGTTCGACCACTGCAGAATAAGATTGGCGGCTTCGGTGGCGGTCATGGCCAACTGAGTCATTGCGCTTGCACTTACGCCACTTTACTTGCACTTGCTACTGTAGGTGGGCTGGATGTGATCGATCGCGAAGCTATGTGGCATTGGCTAGGAACGGTGAAGCAAGCAGATGGTGGCTTTCGTATGGCTATTGGTGCAGAAGAGGATATAAGAGGTGCTTACTGCGCCATGACTGCTATCACGCTTCTCAATCTGCCACTTGAGCTTCCACCAGATTCACCAACTCGCGAGGCGGGCTTGACACACTTCACGGACAGGCTTGGGGAGTGGATTAGCACTTGCCAATCGTACGAGGGAGGTATCTCGTCCGCACCGAATCATGAGGTGCACGGTGCTTATGCTTTCTGTGCGCTGGCTTGTCTATGTATCTTGGGTCCGCCACATATCACCATACCGAAGTATCTTGATGTGGATCGCCTGATACGTTGTCTTACGACACTACAGACAAACCCAGAAGGCGGCTTTGCTGGACGAACAAACAAGCTTGTGGACGCCTGCTATAGTCACTGGGTGGGTGGGTGTTGGGCACTCCTCGAGGCAGCAGTAGTAGGCCCGCATGAAGCTAAGCAGAATGGTTCGGTCTCATCTGCGGAAAGCAGACTCTGGAATAGAGAAGCTCTCGTTCGCTATCTCCTCACTTGCTGTCAGCAGCCTGGACCCAAAGGCGGCATGCGCGACAAGCCGTCTGCTAGGCCCGATGGCTATCATACATGCTACTCGCTCTCCGGGCTATCAGCGGCGCAGAATCAGTATACTTACAATACTACTGCTTCGACCACAGACAGAGAAACTGGTCGACTTCTGTCAGCTTTCAATTGGAAAGGCGAGCGGGCAAGTGAGGGCGATATGAAAGGACTTAGCGTGGAGCGAAACGATGTCGTGGAGCTCGTTCATCCTGTCTTTGTGATCAGGTTCGAGGCTGTGGAAGAGGCCAGAAGGAAGTTCGCAAGAGGTGGATTTCCTGTTGTGGAAGGCACAGACTAGGATTGCGCTTGTCATTAGTCGGACTACGTGCCCTAGAAGCGATGGTGCTGGGTACAAACTTGAGCACTGTTCATTGCCCTGGAAGTAGGCTCAGGCATGCGGCAAGCATTCGCTTGAATGGCAATATGAGCTTTGGCTATGCATTACTCTGGTGGCCTTGCTGGAGAGACAATTACACCTTGAGCATGTCCAAGCCCACCATCGAGACGGATCAGCATCGGTCGTGAGAGATGCATTGACTCATCACGCAAGAATCTGGATCCTTTAGCGGACAAATCAATTCCCATCAAAACCTTTCTGCACCTTATACTTCTTCCAATCATCCGCATTAGGCCACGGTACATCGGGAACTTCCACACCCAAGAACTCACAAAGCCGTTCCCACCCTTCTCCAACTTCAGACCACAGCACCTCCCTCAACTGTTCCTCAAAATACCGCTTCAGCATATCCATGTGCTCACGCCAGTACCTACGCCCATTGGCCTCGAAGTCATCGTCCCAGCAGTACTTTTTATATCGATCTGACAACGCATGGCGTTCCTGGACTTCTTGGTCTTTGCGGCTGTTGCGGGCGTAGATTAGTGTGCTGTCCATGCTAGCATACCAGGCGTCTTCTGGGCGGGTGGTGATGATGATTTTGGCTTGAGGGTAGGTGGTGGCGAGTTCGATGGGGAAGAGGGACGCAGGGAAGTCGCCGCAGGCGTCGTAGTCTTTTAGGAGGTCCTGAAGCTCCTTGGACTGGATTGGACGTTGGGAGTCGGAGGGACCGAATTTCGCGTCCATTAGCTCGATCCAATTCTTTCTGTGGCCTGGGGTGTCGTCTACGGTTCGCATGTGGTAGAATTTTGGGTAGCCTAGGATCTCGAGGGTGTTGGCTAAGGCTGACGGAATTGGTCAGCTGTTGACAGGATGGGTTGTTGTGGAAGAAGTGCTTGCATTGTGTGCCCGTCCTTGGAAGGCCTAGGTCGAGAACATGGACGGGCATTATGAACTGGACGGGAATGTGATGGAGAGCTTTGTGGCGTTGAGCGGTTGTTGTTTGGTAGCACTGCTCGGTCAACCTCACTTCTGTGTGAACATGAGTTCCACTCCATTCGGCTTATGCAGGCACGTATACTTATACAGTTTCCTCTCATCATGGTACGAGTATTTGCCTCGCAAGGATGAAGTCGGGATACCTGGTGGGACCTTATGACCACCTTTAAAAGCAAGGAAGATGAGGTATGTTTCGACACTACATCGAGCACCACAAAGCCCGTGGCTTGCATCCAATTTAGGCTATATCAGGCAGTTCGAGAAGCCAGGTGCGGCAAGTTATAATCGAGGTCGCGAATGTTGCAGGTCAGTTTCGGGAGGAGTCGGGTTGAATGGGAGAGTTGTGCCGTTTCATGTCACCATCCAATGCTTCATCATTACGTCCAGATCCGTGTCATGAGCTGCGCACCGGCTGATGGTGTGCTGACGAGGAAACCAAGGAGATAGCTCACCCGGCTCTTCTGGTCAGGCCATCATGATGTACCATACATTGCAGACAAAATTGCAAGACAGAGCCCAGAAGTTCAGGCGTCTTCGACACAGCACGATAAACTCGAGCTGAGATAGCGGGATCGATCAAGAAAGGTCATATCATCATATATACAGACCCCATCAAAGGCCAAAAAGACAATAGATCTGTCGATCTAATATCCACTACTCCAAAGCTCCCCCTCATCCCTCACAGCATCCTCCTCCGTAATGACCCCCCTCGCCTTTCCCTCCTCCCGCAACCTCTGCTTCCTCTCAGCACGACTAGCAAGGTGCGGCGTCACAGGGGTGAGCGGCGTGAAAGGCATGTAGGGCGAATAAGGTGTCGCCATCCCAGTCCTCGGTGCACCGAAGTGATCCCGGCGTGGCGACACGAATTGGGTTTGGCCTGGGCCGGCGCTGTAGGGGATGTTGAGGCGGCTGTGGTGGGTGTTCAAAGGGGAGAGGGGGTACATCTGTTGGTAGGCTTGCAGTTGAGGCGATTTGAGGGGCTGGGTTTGGGTCTGGGATTGAGTCTGGGTTTGGTTCTGGAGCTGGCGGAAGGGGAGGGGTCGGGCGGTGTTGCTCGCGGCGCCTGCTTGTCTCTCTTGTATGGATCCTGTGGGGTCGGGGCGTGTGGAGGCGACGTCGGTCAGTGCTTGGGCTTCGGAGGCATAGTTGTAGGTGCTTAGGCGGTTGGGATGGGCGAGGGGGAGGTCCCGAACTTGATCGAGTTCTTCGTGGTCTCGCTCGTCTGGGTATCGCCAGCTTTGTGCTGTGCCTGGTGTGGTTGGTGCATGACTGTCCATCGTTTCTGTTGTCCGAGCGGTTGGTGGCTCAGGCGGCACGCCGGGATCGGTGTAGAAACGTGGCGAAAGTGGTGTTCGTGCGCCATCGCTGTTGTCGTCTACGTGTAGCGGCGCGCTGATCTTGATGTTGCGCAGTGTCTTCCGTAATCGTTTGCCACCTGAGCTTCCAGAGTCGGACGTCACTGTTCGGCGACTGCCTAGCGAGTCCGAGCGACTCTTTCGGTTGATTCGGAGATCGCCCTGGTCCAGAATCGGAAATTGTGGCGATAATGGCGTTGACATGTTCGGGTAGCCTGCCTTGATGGGACTTGTGGGTGACTGAGGCATTGGTGGCACATTCGAGTCTGGAGGATATATCGCTCTGATTGGACTCTTTGGCGTGCCGGGACTTCGAGGGCTCAGCTCGGAGGTCTGTAGATGTCTTAGACGAGGATCATCCGTGACGAGCCTGGGCGGCTTCCTCTGCGAGTACTCTGGTGGCGCCGCCATGCTGTCATCTGTGCTGATAGTGACAGCCGGCTGCTGCGACTTGCGCTCATCATGAGCCATGACAGCCGCGTACAACCTCTCCATCTCATCTTGTCTTCGCTGCCTATCAGCCTCCACCACACCATTGTCGAAGCTAACCACACTGTCCAGACCCGGCGACCGGACATTGCTTTGCCCACTGCGTATACTGGAGGTCGCACTCTTCTTCTTCCTCAACCACCCTCTCGCACTATTTGGACTGATAGGCGAAGGATCGAATGCCTTACCCATCGGCTTCACCATCTCCGTCGGCCTGGCCGCCATGTCGTGCGCTCGTCTTCGTAATGATCGGCCGACTGTGAGCAGGAAGGTGCCTAGTATCAGGACCGTGACGATGTATGCGCCGACTATGCCAATGATCTCGTAAGGTAGCAGAGCTTTATTCCGTATTGCGTGAGCCGAAAATGGTGGTCCGTCTTCAGGTGAAGGCGCTGGACTCTCGTCGATATCGACCGTCCAGAGGTTGCAGAAGGCGCATAGGTCGGCGGCCCCGGCACTGCTCGGTGCTCGGGAGAGCAGGATAAGAGCTGTGTAGCTGAGATATATCACTCCGCCTCTGCCCATACCTGCGATGCCACGAAACTAATCCTCCTCCTCTTACTCGGAGTGTATAGTACGTGTATATGAGGGCAAAACCAAGACCATGGGACCTACAATGATCTACCGACCTGCCTCTAGCAGCAGCAGCTATACATAACCACCACAGTCCACATCACACCGCAGCCAATGCCTGGCATGCAGGTCCAGAGGCACTACGAGGCTTGCCAGTCACGATGAAGAGGTGGTGTATCGAAGACATGATTGGCTTGCGTAGCGCTCAAAGTGAAAGTGGATGCAGCGGGCTTGCAGCGGTAACGGCCCGAGCAGCATATCAGTCTCCGGCGCTTCGGTTTCTTCGTCTGCACTCTGCTCACTGCGGAAAGAGCTTTGCCAAGAAGTGCAGTGCTAAGGTGCATCACGTTGTGATGAGTTGGTGATTGACTCGCGCGGTGGCTTGTACATTCATGCAAGCAACGTGCTAGTTGGGGGACTGCTGGCTTACTGGACCGATCATGAGGACTGGTGTGCTGACGACGAAGTGATCGAGTCTTGTAGGAGCTTGGCGTTCCTATCACTGCAACATCAAGGATCTGGCCACGCCCTGGAGGACGGATTCGGCACGCACGCATCGTGATTTCACGATCGTCACCATGAGCACACACAAACGCCTCTCCTTCGACGTCACAGTCAACGCAGCAGGTGAACGCATGGCACTCCAGATCGCAGACGCAGGCAACATCAAAGCCGACAACCTCACCCTGTCCACTTGGGGCTCAGCTGAAATCTTGGCTAACGTCCTGCATCGCCTCGACCCACCAGATCTCTCTGGCTGTGGCACATTGTCAAGTACCCACCATGTCCTCGAACTGGGCGCAGGCACGGGACTCGTGGGCATGAGTGCTGGTGCAATCTGGAAGACCAATGCTTGCCTCACCGATCTGGATCCTATTTTACCTAACATCCAAGCCAACATAAACCTGAACAAGGCTCTGCTGGCGAAGTACGGCGGCTCAGCATGCTGTGGTCTCCTGGATTGGGCTCGTCCACGAGAATCCATCGTTCCGTTCGTACCATACGATAACGAAGTCTTCCCCTCTGTTCGCGCCCGCGTCATCCTGGCAGCGGACACCGTCTATAGTGAAGAACATCCCGAGCTGCTCACTGGTGTTCTCGTGGCGCGACTGGAAAGGTCACAGAAAGCAAGGTTTATCATGTGCTACCCGTTGCGCATAGGCTATCTGGATCACATCCGAGATTTGTGGGAGAGGTTGGAGGGCGCGGGCCTGGTGTCTGTGCAGGAAGGGAGGGAAGAGTTGGGCAAGGAGTGGGATGAGGATGTGCCTTATGAGTGGAGTGTCTGGAAGTGGGGTAGTGAGGTACTGGGAAGGGGGGCTGGCTGATGATGATGAGGCCAACCTATGAGTACATTGGCCGGGTAATCGCCGCCCGGGAGCTGACGCTGATGCGAGAATTCGAGCTCTCAGACTAGCGTACCCGATTTCAACAGACACGACAGCGATCATGCTACCAGGTGGCAATGGCTATGGACGTGAATAGCGTTGCTCAGTAGTCCATCAAACTCAATGCCTCGATTGGAAGCGCGACCATTGCACGAACAGCGAAGATACAGCAACGCAGAGTTATTGAAAAGATAATGGGAAGCCTAGACTAGCTTCGCAGGACGGTAGCATTGCTCTATGCGCCGCCTGACCTATACTGCCTCGCATTCAGATTGTGCTGTACAGGTGAACCGAGAAACGCAATTCACGGCGGTGGTAATTGCAACCGCGCAGTGCCATAGGCTATGGCGTATACCACAGGTAGCACACTTCGCTTCCTGACCTTGATATCTTCTACACAACTCTGGCATGCGAAGCTCCTTAGTCGAGATGGGCCCTTCTCCTTATGCTTACACCCACACAGCTTTCGCTGTCCACTCTGAGCCGGGAAGAATAATTTGACTCGATTGTGCAACTCCGGCCAGTTCTCCATCGACTCGCATTGCATTGTTTTACCGTACAGTGGGCGGAGGCTGCTGGAGGTGGAGAAAGGGGTGGGAACGAAGAAGATCGGAGGCTGCACAGAGCTTTCTCGATGAGTATGAAGAGCGCTGTGATGCTGACGGCCGCTACGTCGCCACGCAGCGAGCGCAGGTTTGTGGGGATGCTAGGGATTGGACTAGGATGAAGAAGATTGAATACTGCCTAGAGTTTTCTCGAGGAACATGAAGAGCGCTGTGATGTTGACGGCCTTTAGTTTGCCGTGACTTGGACGGACAGTACTGGGAGTGCTGGAGGTAGGAGCAAGAGGATTAGTTGCTGCACAGAGCTTTCTCGAGGAGTATGAGAAACGCTGTGATGCTGAAGGCCATTGCTTTGCCGCGCACTGGACGGAGATCGCCGGGAGTGAGCTTAGGCTTCCTTTGGGATGCCTTTAGGACTCGGCATTCCCGATACATACCTACACAGAGTCCCCCAGAACCCTTTCTAGACTTTCGGCGACTCTTCACTGGAGAGATGAGGGAGCATACGGATGACGGCGATTGCGTTACCTCGTTGGTAGGCTCTGCTGTTGGAAAGGCTACATGTATGAGTGTCACATGCCACGGCGGACTCGAGCTCAAAAACGCCAACTCTGGTTCTCTCACTTTTGCACGTGCTGACTGAGCCTCCTGAAGCCGAGTGAAGCCGCCGTGCCTGCCAGAAACAGCTGAAAGTGGGTCCACACAGAACTGCTTTTCTTCAGCAGTCTCTGCGCCGAAAGTCAGTGCAGTTTACGACACGCACTTTCAACGACTGATGAGAACACACGCACAGGACTCAGAGAAGTATGCAATATCCACTATCAGCACTTGAGGACCGTCCATACACCATACTAACGAACGCTTTCCCAGAAAAGACACGATGGAAGCACCACCACAAGCCAATGCAGCGCCTCAGCCTGCATCCCGACCTTTCCGCTTCCTCAATCTCCATGCTGAGCTGCGCAACCAGATCTACGGCATCTACGCAGCTGAATGTAACGTTATACTGGTGCACGCTGCTGGTGCCAAAGGCCCGCATGTTGTGGCTCAGCATCCAATCAGCCAAGTGAATCAGCAGCTCCGTGATGAGTTTATCACAGAGCTCGAGCGGCAGACTCTCAACACCACACGAGACATTCGAGCTCGTGTAAAGGACTTCGACTTCTCTTACCTGATTGCGTACCTCGGGAAAGTGGTACGTCGTGACCCGCTGGCCTTGTTCGACTACGAGCCCGCCACCATGGCCCCACATCGAAGACGTTTACGAGTTGAGCTCGACATTTCGGATTTCTGGGAGCGAAAAGGTGACGTCGAGCCCCTGAAAGCCTGGTGCCGCTTCATTGCTATCAATCTGCGGAAGTCTCCTGAGCAGAACGTAGTTCACTATCACGTCGCTTCAGTAGCCAACAAGTACATCACGATGCAGCATCTTAAGGAGTACGATGCCGAGAGTAGAGATCCAGACTATGCAGAAATTGGGAGTGCGCTTCAGGTGTGGAGGAGGTTCGGTTCTGCAGCGATCGCCGTACGAGTCATGGCGAGGGTAGACCGGGAGAGAGATCTGAGGCTGGGAGAGTACGACGATGACTGGTATGATGGCGATCTACCAGAGATCGAAGCGAGTCGTAAGAGATTGTATGAGAAGTAACGTGGCGTTGGTGCAGCGCAGTATGCCGTACTAGTGGCTACCTCTATCAAGCATCTCGAGCAGTAAGAACGAAAGTGTACTCCGAGCTCTACATCTCCTCTATATTGCCACACGTCGCAGCGGAAAATTTATCTCGCCCCGATCAGCACGAGCGACCATTTCGATGTGGGTGCGCATAACTCTCCTATTTCCTACTTGTGGCGCTGCATTGGCTATCCACGGTCCTGGCACGTGCACTACACCTTCACAACCCAAGCAAAGCAACACTTCTGGTTGTCTGACCACAGGAGCTTGATTAACAGTTCTAGCACTGTACTGGATCTCAGCACCACAACGGCAGGCTCTAAAGCTCCCGCGTGCCGCTCTCTTGTGGACCAATGCTTGCGAAGCGCGGACTATGGCCCCATTGCGCATTGTCATGTTTCGAAGCCACTCGTCGTTTTGCTGGCGGATCAGAAGCCGCTCGTCGTGATCGTCGCAACCGCCATTATGAACGCACTCTGCACAGTTCGACTTGTTGTACGGGCCGTCAAGGTCGCCAAAGCAGACGCAGGTGCTATATGGGAAGCCGAGCTGCTGATTGTTTTGTCCTGGACAATGATCACGCATGAACATGTATCCTGGTAACTGCAGCTCATCCGCCTCGATAGCATAGTTAGCTCGATCCGCACAGAGCAGCTTCTCCACAAATTCGCAGTCGATACAGAGTCGAGTTCTCCACACCGTAGTAGCCGTGCCAGGTACCAAGGCCCCCGCTGCGTTGATAGTATTACGAATCGGCTCAGGCACGACAGGCGCAACTCCAGCTCGCACATTGGCGTCGGAGAAGATGAATTGCGGCGCACTTTCTATCCTATCCTCGATGTCGAGATGCCACTGCATCTGCTTGGTGTGGTCACTGCAGTAGCGGCATTGCCAGAATCCAAGGCCGTGAGCGGCGGCATGATTTCGACATGTTGTACGGCGGAACCATCGGATGCCTAGGCCAACTGCAGGCAGACCGAGGGCACCCGGGTTCCACTCACTTGCGCAGTCTGGTGCGCCGGGAACTCCAGCGTGGTTCACACGGTCGTTGCAGTTACGCGGGTACCCGACACGACCTGCTGCAGTAGCCGCTGCCATCCAGCCTGGAACTGGTGGCGCGTAGATTTGTGGTAGTGCGACTCCAGCAAAAGCTGGTGCTGCAGCCCATGGCGGACCTGGTGCTCTCGTAGTGAGCGTTGCTGTCCTCGCAAGGTCGCGGTCGAACCAGCGGTCGCGAGCCGCTTCACGTTGAGCTATCCTGTCGATGAGTTGGTTGCTCGGCCCATTTAGGAGAGCCGGTGGAGGCGCTGCCATGGTACTGTAGCGAGTAAATGACTCGACCAGACGGCACGGTAGCCCGCCCCGGAGGCCACCTGATATCTTCGACGACCATCAAAGACGACGCTCCAGGCATTGTTGCTGCTTCCAGCCAGTCGTCGGTGTTAAGACAAAGGATCTGTCCGCATCAAGCATTGTGCAAAAGCAACATTGTTGTCAGAGCGGCTAGAGATGCGCTCTTGCTGGCCACGGTGAGGAAGGGACAGAAAGCGTTGGTCGGGGTGTCTTGCGCTCTACGAACTGCTTTGTTGAAAGAAACCATGCCAATTGGTGCAATATGTCTCCTCGGAGTCGTGGAAGAACATGTGTACTTGAAGATATGAAGACGAGATGGAACGAGATCGTGCCTGCTGTGAACAGGATGCAAGACTGCCATATGTACTGCTGATGCTTTGCGTCCTGTCAACCCAGATCGTTGTAGTCTGCTGCGTTCATCGAAGAATGCAAAAGCAAAACCAAGCTCCCGGTAATGGATTTGCTGGAAGCTTTGTCAGTCTGAGTCCATAAACATCTCACAGATGGATTCCATCGATCGCACTCACAACCACTGCCTTCCGCGCAACCGTGAATCTAAGTTTGTTTCGACTCGAAATGCAAGACGGGCGGACTGCGCAAGTCACGTTGTTAGCATGTTCGTCTATCCGGAAGCCAGCGGATACGCGCATGGCTGGCTTATGAGAGCATGACAACACTTACAATCCTAACCACTAGACCAACTAGGATTGTTGATGGTTTTTGGTGTGATAAGATCTGGTTTCTGAGAGGATTGTATCCTTTGTGTTGCATCTGCCGTGGTTCCGCCGATTGTGGTGGGCGCGGAAGCAAGGGTGTCGTTCTGGAATGTGCTCCTGCGCATGCGGGAGGTAAGCGCAAGGTCCAGTAAGATCACGATCTGAAGGTCTTATCGTACTGCTGTTGGTTTCGCCGATACACAGTGGCAGAGGATATGCAGACCATGAGTTCCAAGATCCAAATGAGAGTCCCGTGTCCAGATATGTCTCTTATATGCGCCGCAGCATATCCATATATGGAGCCTCAGCCATGTTCCACCAGCACAGCTCTATTGCCGTGAGCTTTCTCGGCTCTGGCATGGCCGAATGAGGTAGTATATCTCCGTTTGCAGAGCTGCAGGCTACAGTCCTCTCGAAGAGATGGTATTTGCTAGATGGTAGCTCAGCATCGCTCTGTCCAGTAATCTCCATGCTCGAGTCTTCTTGTATCACAGATTCTCACACAGTATCGATCCTACACGGCTCCCTCCCTCTTCTTCACCGCAAAGAAATAATTACCCCAGGCCTCACTTCCCTTGACCTCCTTCCACCCAAACCCAGGCACGTACACCACACCCATGACATGCCAACCTACACCATCAGACGTATTCAGCTCCTTCTGTCCTCTCGCCCAGTCTCGCATCTCTTGCGGCTGGATATACTGGTTCCAATCGTGCGTGCCTCTTGGCACCATTCTCAATATATCTTCGGCGACGAACTTGGTGGTGAACCATGAAACCGGTGTCCGAGCGATTGTGGAGCCGATGAGCCAGCCGCCTGGTTTGAGCTGTTTAAGTATGGATTGGAGAAATGGATTCGGTCGTTGGATGTGCTCGATTACTTCGAAGAGAGATATCACGTCGTACTGCTTATCTGATGGTGTTTGAAGGCCTTCGATCGAGGTTTGAAGATAGGTCAAGCGGCCTGGCTCGAGCAGTAGTGGATCTGTCCGCCGATGCTTCTTGGCTACTGCTAAGACCTCTGGTGTGGGATCGATGGCTGTCACAGACTCAACGTTGCGCATGCGAGCCGCGGACTCCGCGAAGATGCCTCCACCGCAGCCGATATCGAGATACCGCATCTTCCGGTCCGGATCCAGACCATCGGGTGCTAGACAGCGTCGTATGAACTGATGTCGGAGAGGGTTCATCAGGTGTAAGAGACGGCTTGAGCCATGAGGATCCCACCAGTCAGAGGCCATAGCATTGAAGTGGGAGACTTCATCGTGGTTGACAGAGCTCTCAGGTGTCGCATGTGTTGTTTCTGTGGCGTATGGTCTAGGACTTGAGGAGCATGGCGAGCTAGGAGCGAGGGAAGCTAGACTTGGTCTGGAGGTAACGACGCTTTGACGGAGAGCGACAGGGAGTCTGAGTATGGCATCTCGAGATGCCATTGTTGCGAGAGTGGTGGTGATGTAGAGATGAAGAACCCACTGCGGACGAAGGTGCTTCGACTTTGGAGATCATACAAGCGGAACCCAGTCCGCGCCTATAGACATCCCAATGGCACTGAAATGGTCTTGCTCACCATTCTCATTGCTCGTGCTAGGTGTACTACATAGTGTCATTATCGCTAGCTCATAGGGGTACTCTAGATCCCGCCCTGTCCGTCTTGATCATATCACTCCGCCTGCACGGCAATCTCGCTCAGCCTCCTTCGAGCTAGGTCCTACCTATCCTTCGCCTGGCTCGACTTCTGCTTATCAGGAAAAGCATTCCACTTCTTCAAGACCCGCTCAAAACCATCCAAACCCTTCTTGAGATGATCCATCCTCGGTCCATACGACACGCGTACGAAGTGGTGGCAAGGACTGTCGAATAGATCACGGCGACGGCTCGGGTTGAGATCGAAGAAGATGCCAGGTACGACGATGACCTTCTCCTCAAGACAAGCCTGGAAGAAGTTCAAGCCGTCGTTGATGCCTTCTGGAAGCTGCTCGAGGTCCAGCCAGAGGTAAAATGTGCTGGTGGGTGTGTATGGTAGGTGAAAGCCCATGTCTCGCAGACGACCGACTACATAGTCACGCTTGTCCATGAAGTGGCGTTGGAGAGCCTTCATCTCGTTGCGGACTTTCGTTGGCTCCAGCATTTCGACTGCAGCTTCTTGGAACGGCACATTGCAGCCGCCGTCTAGGTATGAGCCACAGGAGCCGATCGCCTTGATGAAGTCCTTGGGTCCCACAATCCACGCTACACGCCATCCTGGTAGGCGAAAGCGCTTCGTCAAGCCATCGATGATCAGAACATCATCCACATTGACATCTTTGACATTGTCCGCAGCGCTAATCACAGTCCCATCGCAACCAGTAGTGTAATTGTACCCACCATAGAACTCATCCATGATGAGCGTAGCCCGATTGCGGCAAATGTCCTGGATCTTCCCCAGCTCCGGATTACCTACGACTTCACCGGTAGGATTCCTAGGATTCGACGTCAAGATCACACTAGTACCTCGCTTCACCTCCTCTAGAATCTTGTCGGCATGGATATGATACTTATCGTCCTTGCTAAGGGGGATAGGAATCGCAGAGAAGTTCTTAAACAAGCTCAACATCTCGTTGTAAGCGGTGTAGTCGGGGATGAAGAAGCCTAGGTATGCGTTGCCAAGCACTGCAGCAACTCGAATGAGGCCGGCGCGTCCACCAGGAACGATGCAGACGTTCTCCCAGGTGTACTTGCTGTCCTTGCCTTCGCGGTGGTGGGCGTTGTACAGGTTTGCCACAGCGTCGCGGAGAGGTTTGATGCCGGCTGTTGGGCCATATTCGCGGCCTGTCATTGTTATGTTGAGGGTTGTTGGACGCTTGAAGGAGCCTTCGATGTCTTTAATGGCAATTAGTTATGATTCAACGATGCGCTTGGTGGCGATACATACCATCGTCGACTTCAGGTGCGCCTTGTCCCAGGTTGGCCCATTCTTCAGGATTCTCGAGGAAGCCATGTTCGTATGCTCGCTCAGAAGTCCACACTACGCCGGTCGAGGCACGAGATGGGTCGAGCCCAGCATGTGCTCGATGTCCTTCATGGCACTCTCGAAACTTGGTATGGATGTCTGAGTTCTTCTCTACGCAGTGTCAGTGGTGCATCGCACGTTGAGTTCATTTGTTCGTCATATTTAGCATACCGTTGTCGCTAGGTCCATGCTTCGACGTGCCCTTTTGGTTAGGAGCTGTCACATCGTCAAGCTTCTTCCCTTCACTCGAAACAACAGAAGTCATGATGCGGGGAGTAAACAGTAATGACTAGTAAGACTTCTGATACCAATGCTTGGCGTCTTGGTGAGGGCAGATCAGAGGGAATGCCAAGAGAGTGTTGTGGATATGGTATGGCAATTAGATTAGGCGGTGTGATGCCCTTCCGAAGCTCATGTTTCGTTGTCATGGAACAAGCAACGAATGAAACGGACCTACGTAATGCAGAAAACAGGGAAGTGTTCCGCTCTGACAGGCAGGCAAGAGCCTCACTGGCCTTATAGTGAACGGAACGCTGCTGGCATCGTATTTACAAGGTATGCTTGTGGTCGGCGTACGTGGCATACCTCGTATGGCCGAACACAGTAGTGTACGCCAGGATGATGTCTCAAAACCGTACTTCCCAAGCCGGATGACAGGCTCACAAGTTTACACTCAAGCCTCTCGGCATCGCATGGCACCCCTGCAGCTGCTAATCTGGCAAATCGCGATCGACGGCATGCCGTGAAGATCCGGAAATCCCCCAGGTTTGGGCTTCTCTGCGGGCCTGCGGCTCAAAAGTGTCTCTTGGGTGCAAGTGTGATGGAAAGCGTCACATGTGTTCCCCTTGTGCCTAGAACTTCCGTTGTATGGCTTACTTACACTCCTTAAGCAACTATTTGCGAGCTTCTGACTGTTTTCCTGATCCGCATGTTCTCACACGGCGATTTGCGATTTCCGTTAAATAACGTATTGGCTGGAATCATGGCAGTAATGGACGTATCACGTCGTCAGGCGTCTTTCGCCGGCGTGCCAATGAAGCACATTTCACTTATTACAGTATGTAACGAGGATGGTGAACCTGGAGTACCATTATACTGATCTGTGATAGCTCACTCTTCAAAACTCACTTCTCATCCTCATCATGCACTATTCCCGAGTCATGCCGGCGGTCAATGGACAACGATATCATACTTCAACTGCGGTTTTCTTCAACGAGGTCCTCAAGCTCGCCTTCAGTCTGTCCATGGCCCTGTACGAGATCGCGAGCAATCCGAAATCACCAGAGACGTCCACAGTAGCAGGAATGTTTGGCGAACTGGGAAGAGCAGTGTTCACTGGCGATAGTTGGAAGCTGGCGATACCAGCAATGCTCTACACTCTGCAGAACACTTTGCAATACGTAGGAGTGAGCAACCTCGATGCTGCAACGTTTCAAGTGACCTACCAGCTCAGGATCCTCACAACGGCGTTGTTCAGCGTCGTTCTCCTTGGACGATCGTTGAGTTTGCGGAAATGGCTAAGTCTTCTTCTGTTGATGGTTGGAGTTGCGATTGTTCAGATACCAGGATCGCATTCGTCGAACGAAGTTCTATCGATTCACGATCTGAAGGATAGTGGCTCGTTCAGTGCGCCTAGAGCAATTTGGGAGTTGAAAGCATTGGGTAACGCTGCTGCTGGACAACTGGAGAAGAGGTCAGCAACATATGAAGGCATCGACGAGGACTTTGCGGCAGCGACGCCACAGCTGGATGCTTCGATCGGTCTGATAGCTGTCGCCATTGCCTGTATGATTTCGGGACTTGCTGGGGTCTACTTTGAGAAAATTCTGAAGGATTCAAGAGCCGATGCGCAGCGATCAACGGTATGGGTGCGCAACGTGCAGTTGTCTTTCTACTCCATCTGGCCAGCATTGTTCATTGGTGTGCTTTTCAAAGATGGTGAGCATATCGCGAAGACTGGCTTCTTTGCAGGTTACAACTCGATTGTGTGGCTGGCCATCACATTCCAGGCCATGGGCGGAGTCATCGTTGCTCTGGTTGTCAACTATGCGGACAACATTGCGAAGAACTTTGCGACATCCATCTCTATCCTGATCAGCTTTCTGGCCAGTGTGATCTTCTTTGAGTTTCAGATCACTAGTGCGGTAAGTGGGACGGTGGCGCTCTATCCAGGCTAGACTCTAGACCCGAGACTGACAGTCTTCACAGTACCTCGCAGGCACTGCAGTTGTCCTTGCAGCCACGTACATATACAACAGTGAGCCTGAATCGAAAGCAAGACCTCCTCCCATTAGCGTGTCGGATTACGAAAAGAACAGCGGACCATCATACTTCGATCTCGAAGCCGTGGCTACGGCAGGCAGATCACCTATGCGCTCGGATGCGCGCACTACCAGCAGGCCTGGTACTCCAACATGGGAGCGCATGCGCGTCCGCACTCCGGGATTGACGCCAATGAGACGAGAAGTGTAAGAACGAAGCAAAGCAGGTAGCGTCTCAACGGCGTTCAATCACATACGTCTATTTGTGCAGCCATCCACCATCCATCGGTCACGAATTTGCATGTTTGTATGACTCCCGTGTCGCAAGGGTGGCCCATCAGCCAAGCTCAGATGTGCCGTCGTAGAAGAATCATGAGGTGAGGTTGGACACGCGCGTGAAAAGCGCGGTCGTGGAAGGCAGCAATGACAACACCTCACCTCGTCCGACACTGACGATATACTCTTTCGAATCAAACACATTTCGAAGAGTTGAATCACTTAGGTTTCACTGTATCACACATATCCGCGACCACCAGCAGTGCACAATGGCGGACCGTATCTTCGCACAGCTGGACCAACTCGAGAGGGGCGCACGTCTCGACGACCATCACTCACATAACACATACACCGACAACCCAGCATCGTATGCTGGCCGAGATAGTTACGGCAAATACTACGCAGAAGAAGCACCCTTGCAACACGATCATGAGCACGTTAATGAGAAACCAATGGAACTTGACTCATTCGGTAGGTGGCTTGCTCACTACTAACATATCAGTGCTAATAGCATGCAGATGAAGCCTTACTCCGGCAAGCATATCTGGGTGCACATCGCGATGAAGGAATGCCTGTGCGTCAACATGCACCTGCCGCGCTCAATCTGTCTCGCTTCTCTTTCAAATCAGATCATGCCGGCGGAAGCACTTCATCGCCTTTCGAGCAGCCTTTGCCGTCAAGCCCAGCCTTCAGCGCCAGTCAGCAGCGACCTGCCGCTTACAATCCTAGTCACGGGGGGTCGCTTGCTCCACCACAGCATCTGACGTACCCAGCAGAGTCTAGACCTCCATACTCATCCCATAGACGGACGCAACCAACTGCTGGAGACGTACCAAGTAGGCATATGCCGATGCAGCAAGACTTCCGTCCGAGTTATGCAGCATCTCAGCCAACTTCGCGGCCGGAACAGGTACAGCTTGGACCTCCAGTCGTGCAAGGCATCAACCTTGTTTCCACACATGAGCTCCCTGACCGCTTTCGCGCCATCTTCCCATTCCCCCTTTTCAACGCTGTGCAGTCCAAGTCGTTCTCCACGATTTACAAGTCAAACGACAACTTTGTACTCTCGGCACCTACTGGCAGTGGGAAGACTGCTGTGCTGGAGTTGGCGGTCTGTCGTATGCTCAACAGTTTCAGCAACGGCACATTCAAGGTTGTCTATCAAGCGCCCACAAAGTCTCTGTGCGCAGAACGTCAGCGCGATTGGCAAAGCAAGTTCGGTCCGCTAGATCTGCAGTGTGCTGAGTTGACTGGCGACACGGAAAGTACACAGCTACGCAACGTCCAGAATGCGAGCATTATCATCACGACACCAGAGAAGTGGGACAGCGTCACACGGAAGTGGAAGGACCATCAGAAGCTCATGCAGATGGTCAAGCTCTTTCTCATCGACGAAGTCCACATACTCAAAGAGGACCGTGGCGCCACTCTCGAGGCTGTTGTGTCACGCATGAAGTCCGTGGGATCAAATGTACGCTTTGTAGCTCTCAGTGCTACTGTGCCCAACTTTCAAGACATCGCTGCCTGGCTTGGGAAAGATCCCTTGAATTCGCATCTGCCAGCCATCAAAGAGCGCTTCGGCGAAGAATTCCGACCTGTGCGACTCGAGAAGCACGTCTGTGGATACCAATCGCCCGGCAACGAGTTCGCTTTCGATAAGGTTCTTGGGTCGAAGCTGCCGGAAGTGATTGTGAAATACTCACACCGTAAACCAATCATGGTCTTCTGCATCACAAGAGCATCATGTGTCGACACGGCAAAGCAGCTTGCGACATGGTGGTCGTCGAAAGGCCCACAAGAGCGCTACTGGGCGGCACCTCGCCGCAGCATCGTCGTCGGCGAGAAGGATCTCAAATCGACAGTGGCGTCTGGCGTTGCTTTCCATCATGCCGGCCTGCAGATACAAGATCGCAATGCCATCGAAAAGGCCTATCTGGAGGGTGAGGTCAACGTCATATGTTGCACATCAACTCTGGCTGTGGGCGTGAACTTACCTTGCCACATGGTCATCATCAAGAATACTGTGACTTACAGTACCAACGGCATCAAGGAGTACTCCGATCTTGAGATCATGCAAATGCTTGGACGAGCTGGCCGACCACAATTCGACGATAGCGCCGTGGCAACTATCATGACCACGTCGCAGCAGGTAAAGCACTACGATAACATGATCACTGGCGAAGAGATCCTCGAGAGCTGCCTGCATCGGAATCTCCTCGACCACCTCAATGCTGAGATCGGCCTAGGCACCATCGATAATGCGTCATCAGCTAAGCGATGGCTCTCTGGGACATTTCTGTATGTTAGGCTTAAGGAGAATCCGGAGCATTATAAGCTACCTGGAGATACCCCTGGCCACAATCTCGATGATCGCCTCGAAACCATATGTCGCAAGGGCATCGCTCTACTTGAGCAGCATGATCTCGTCAAGTCGACACCCAGACTGCATAGCACAGAATTTGGCGATGCCATGGCACGCTACTACCTGCAATTCGACACCATGAAAGTGATTCTCGCGCTGCCACCAAAAGCAAAGATCTCCGAGATCCTCTCAGCTGTGGCACAAGCAGCTGAATTCAAGGACATTCGCTTTCGGAGTGGCGAGAAGGGGGTGTACAAGGACCTCAACAAGAACTCCTCGATCAAGTTCGCCATACCCGTCAACATCGATCAGCCATCGCACAAGGTTTCCTTGATCATACAGGCCGCACTTGGGTCTATCGAGATACCAAGCGACGACTATCGCATCACTAACGAGCATCAAACAGCCAAGTCAGCCATCTTCCAGCACGCGCATAGGCTAGTACGATGTATAGTCGACTGCCAATTATTCTTGGACGATGCAATCACTACTCGGAACGCTTTGATGCTTGCTCGTAGTCTTGCGGCTCAAGTCTGGGACGATAGTCCTCTGCACATGAAGCAACTGGATGGCGTCGGTCCAGTAGCCGTGCGCAAGCTTGCTGCTGCTGATGTCACCAGCATCGAGGAGATCGGAGACACAGACGCTCGCCGCTTAGAGCAAGTCCTGAGCCGCAACCCACCATTTGGTGCGCAAGTGCAAGAACGAGCTCGCTCATTTCCACGACTACGTGTGTCGTTGAGTTTAGTAGGCGAGCACGTCATCAAGCAGGGCGTACATGTGACGGTCAGGGTGAAGGCCGAACTTGGTTTCCTGAACGATAAGACGCCCGAAGTCTTCCAGCGTCGCCCTGTGTATATCTGCTTGCTGGCTGATACGTCCGACGGCCATTTGGTGCATTTCGCTCGCATCAGTGCAAGGAAGCTTGGCAAGGGTCAAGATGTTCTCTTCAGCGCCAATCTTACAGGGGCCAGCCAGAGCATTCGAGCCCAGGTCATGTGTGATGAGATTGCCGGCACTGCACGCAGTGTGGTCCTCAAGCCTGACATTCCTGCTTCGGCTTTTCCTCCACCGAAGACGGCGGAAGCCATGAATGCTCGGAAAGGCCAGGTCGTTCATGCACCAAATACATCGAAGCGCCGGGCATCAGCAGACAGGGCTCGGACCGATGCAGACGATGAGTTTGATGATGCTGGAATCGATGACTCAGACATGGCGATGGCAGAAGGCGATGGCTTTATCGATATCGAACACCTGACTGAAATGAACACCGAACCCAAAGCGAAGAAGCAGAAGCGTACGAACAGCACGCAATATCCCGCCGATCATGAGCCGCGACAACTCCCAAACGGCAAATGGGCCTGCAACCATGCTTGCAAAGACAAGACTGCCTGCAAACATCTCTGCTGTCGTGAAGGCACGGACAAGAAGCCGAAGCCACCAAAGCCAAAGGAGAACAAGAAGCAAGGCTCTCATCCCGCCTCGGATCCCGAGCAGACGCAGCTGTCCGTGAGCAAGTCGAAGACTGCTACTTCAACGATCAAGAAGGCGGATGCCAAGCTAGATGCGCCTCCGAAGGGGGCTAAGGAGTCTCGTGAGACCCAAAATCTGCATCGTCTGCACGACAGCATCATGACCTCAGCTGCAAAGGTACCCCTTCTGCCTACCGCCCCAAGTACCAGTGGCGCTTCGAGCTTGAGCTTTCTCCCTGCTGTTGCAGCTTCATCCACCCATCGCGCGGGACAGTATTCGAGCGACTATGGTGCTGGTACGTGGGACACCGAAGATCTTGCAGACCTTGATCACGGACCTCTTGGTACTCAGGCTGCCCACCGCATGAGCCCGCCACGAGCACCGGAGAACGATAATGGTTTTGACGACGATATGCTCGACGCAGACTTTGCGGACGTCGATACACTGGCCGAGTCGCAGCCTCCAAACGAGAACAACGGCGATGGCTTTGCCGATTTCTCGGCATATACGAACGACATGGGTGGCTTGGCGCAGCACGAGCAGGACTTTGACGAGTTCAATGCCGGACCTAGTCAGACGAATGGTAGGCTACCTTCAATAAACAAAGCTGAACGCCACGGCATATTTCTCAGCGACACTTTCGATCACCCTGATCCTGTCAACAATATGCACGAATACGATGCCATTGAAGCGGCCGGCTATAGTGGATATGGTGACACCGCCGAACGAAGAGCATTACCGTCTGCTGAGAAGACTACTTGCACCAGCCCTTCTTTCGAAGACGTCGTGGCACCTATCGTTGAGGCGGCTGTATCAGCTGAAGAAGCTGCTGACCAGATCGAAGAGCCGCCGAGTAGTGGTGATGAGGTGGAGAAGTGGTTCAAGGCGGAGTTTGGGACGGAGTACTTCAACTACGTGCGCTGAAGGAAGGAGTGTTGTTTAACAATCGCGTGGACAAATCAAGGGCATGCGTGACGGGGGGGCGACATGTACACGCGTAGATTTGCGTGATAGTACAGAGCACGTAGCTACTCGCACATACGGTGAGGACTACGTATACCGAGTCTTGGTACTTCGAGATGACTTTACGACACTCGCATGTAGCAAGACGCCCTCTCTGTCTACTCTAACTGATATCCTGATCCCCAATCCCAAGAACGCCCTCCCACCACACCCAACCCAACCCATGGAAAAAGCGCGCATCCCATCCCCCCAACACCAACGCTACAAAGCACACAGAAAATTCTCGGATCCCACCTCACCCACTTCCATTCTTCCCCAACCCCGCTGAACCTACTACTTCTTCAGCTTGGAGTAATCCTTCAGAATCCCCACCATGTGCGTATTAGTCTTCTTCGTATTCTTCCGATCCACCCTCTTCCTCTCCTTCTTCCCCGTCCCCAGCTTCCGGGCCTCCTTGATCGCGCTCGTAGGTGTCAGTCCTGCCCTCTCTAATTCATTCCGGATATCGTTGTCGTTGGGCGGTAAACGGACTTTGCCCCAGAAGGAGATGAAATCTTCATCTGGTTTTGTGATATGAGGCGGTTGCGAGGTTGTGGAGGCAGGTTTGAGGAGGTGGTAGGAGGGGTCGTCCGGGTAGACGGAGCGGGGGATATTGTCCTTTTTGTTGCGGGTCAGGAGGATGAAGCCTTGGGATTCGAGGCGGTCGAGGGTGGGGATGCAGTCTTGCCAGCCGTCTTTGAGTTCTTTGACGGGGATCCCTTGGGCGGAGTCGAGGCGGGAGAGGTAGGCGCGGAGTTCTTCGCCGTTTGTCACGGGGTGCAGGGGTTTGTACTTGAAGCTTTCTTTACCGTCTTTGCCGGAGCTCGCGTCGAGGTATTGGAGGCGGTGGTGCGTTTGGAGGGCTTGCTTGAATTTCGCTAGGCCCCGGGGGGTTTTGAGGTCGAGGGGGAGGGAGGAGTAGCGCACGATTTCGTCGAAGGTCTCGGGGTGTTGGCTGCCTTTTTCTTTCATGTGTTGGACTGCGTTTACGACGAGTTTCATTATCTCCGCTCCGGCCGAGGCTCCCAGCGCGGGACCGGAGAAGGCGGCATCGTGCGTACATTTCTGGTCAGCGGGTTTGGGGGTTCCTGACCGAGCGGGGGTGTTGGAGGTCGTGGCGGGGCGGGCGTGGGCGAGGTTGCGGGAGACGACATCGGCGCGTTCGGATTTGAACTGTTTAAGGGAGTCGGCGAGAGACATGGTCGGTGGGCAGATGGGGTGTTCCCTCGGTGGGAGGTGGTGGGAGGCGGAGATGGTGGGATGAGGTGTTTGTGCTGGTGATGGTGATGGTGATGGAGATGGTGGTGGTGGTGGCCTAGATGACTGCAGTGAAGCGCTCCAGGCCGGTTTCGTGCTGCTGTGGCTTTTGTACCGTATCGCGACTCGGATGTGGTGCTGATGACGGATCACAAGCTGGCTGTTGCACGTGTGAAGATATATGCAGGTGGGCAAACGTCGTTAACGAAGGCGGTAGTGAATGTACGACCTGACTCATGCACAGCTGAGTCAGCCAAGCGCGGTTTCCTAACGCGTCCGAAGTTCATTGTCACTACCACAAGCAAGCTCGACAAAATAATTCCCTAGCGTTCAATTGCCTTGCCTTCCTTCCCTCGGATTGTGGCGATTGAGGGAAGCTGAGAATGATTGAGACTACCATTTGACACAGCAGCGACGATGCGGACAAGGGCGAAAGCTGCCGATGCGACGGCAGTCGATCTGCCATACCTCTCCACCACCTATGATGTCCCCGAGACAGACCTACAGTCGATACTCGACGCGCCCACTACTGATCTCATTCACCAGTTTCTTGCCTCACTAATAGCCAAGGGCCACGACTTTGACGCGCTACGGGCGGACAAACTGAAAGTCGACGTGGAGCTAGAGAATACGGTACGAACTTCGGAGAGCAAGATCCGCGCACAGAAAGGGCAGGTCACGAAGCATGCAAAGGAGGTCGAGGAGTTGCGGGAGAAGTTGAGTGAGGCAGAGGGCGCACGTGAGAGCTTGGCATCGGAGCTTGAAGTTCTGCAGTCTTCGACTAGCGGTTCGAATGCCGAAACTTCTTCGCTGAAGCAGAGGATTGAGACGTTGGAGGCTGCGAATCGCGAGGCTTTGGCGCTTGTGGAGGGCAAATCGGGTGAGAAGGATGGCTTGGCGACGGAGCTGTCGGAGCAGCATGGGAAGCTGTTGAACCTCCGCCGCGAGGTTGGACAACTCGAGGAGCGAAATCAGAGCTTGGAGAATGCTGCATCTACGCAGAAGTTCAGGGAGCAGTCACTACAACAAGAGATTGATTTGCTTAAGCGAAACAACGAGTGGCATGGCAATGAGCTTGAGACTCGCAACAAAGAGCACGCCAAGTTCCGAAAAGAGCGCAATGTACGGATAGCAAGCCTGCAGCATGAGCTTGAGGATAGCAATGCGACCGTCGATACCCTGAGACGCTCAGAGACTACCCTCCGACAACGTCTGGAAGAGCTGCAGGCCAAGGCTGACGAGGCATATGCTCGCATTGCTGGTCTGCAAGAGGAGACAGCACGAAAAGAGCAGGACTTCCGGACCGAGGTCGATGCGACCAAGCGTTTGGCAGAGCTGCAGGCACAGAACGCGGCTACACACAAAGCACGACTTCAAGATGTGCAGGGTCAGGTCGATCAGATCAAGGAGGATGCTGCTGATGAGATTGGCCGCCTACAAGCTGAGATCGAGACCGAGCGTGGTGACAAGGAGCAAGCCGAGCGTAAGATCGCGGAACTGGAACTGTCAGTCGAGCGTCTGGAGCAGATGCCGCGGGCTTCGCGGCCGGGGACGCCACGTAGGAGCGGTGGCTTCGACCCACAAACACCCTCACGACTCGGCTCACGCGCTGGCTCGCCATCAGCTATGCCCGGCAGCCTTCGCAAGACCGTCAATGGTCTGAGCTTCACTCAAGTGTACAGCCAGATGACCGAAGCCCAAGAGGAGCTCGCGCACGAGCAGCGTCGGACCAAGAAGCTGTCAGATACGCTGGAGGACATGGTCCGTGAGCTGGAGCAACGTGGCCCTGAGCTGGCCGAGGTTCGGCAGGATCAGGAGAGGTTGGAGCAGGAAGTGCTCAACTTCTCAACTATGCTTGATGAGGCCGTCCAGACGCGGGAGAATGCTGTCAAGGAGGCTGAGCGATGGCAGAATGAGGCGGCTGCGGCGGCTCGGGAAGGAGATGTTTTGCGTCAGCAATTGCGTGATCTCTCAACACAAATTAAAATCCTGATGGTGGAGATGGAGAGCCGCGATCAAGGTCTGGGCGAAATGTCTGCGCAGGAGCGAGTTGAGCTGGAACGAGCTGCCCGTGGTGAGCTGGCTGATGGCGACCTCGACCGCATGACGGATACTGGACGCTTCATCGCCGAACGCCTGGTCGTCTTCCGCAATGTCTCGGATCTGCAGGAGAAGAATCAGCAGATGCTTCGACTTGTAGAGACACTCGGAGATCAGCTCGAAGGCGAAGAGGCTCAGGAGAAAGAGCGCCAGACTGCTGCGTACGCCTCGGAGAATCAGGAGCTCAAGCAGAAGGTGCAACGACTGCAAGACGAGCTGCAGGCGACTGTCACTCAAATTGACAGCTATATGAAGGAGCGCGACATGTTCCGTCGTATGCTACAGCATCGTGGCCAGCTACCGGCAGGTGATTCAGAGGTGCAGTCGATGTTCGGCCAGAGCGTCCCACCAGCTACGCCTTCACGCAAGAATGGTGCCATGGAGCCTCCTACTCCACGATCAAAGGATGTCGCGGACCTCAATAAGCTTCTCCGCGAGCAACAGACATTCTTCGACCAGTACCGGAACGAGTCTGCCACTGACCGACGTATGCTCAAGGAGCAGGTCGATGGTCTTGCGCGAGAGAAGAGCGCGTTCCAAGCTGATGTGGCACGTATGCAGTCGCAGCTCGAACTGGCTAGTGGACGCTACGAGATGCTGCAGGGTAACATGAATGGCATACGAGGCGAGAACCAAGAGCTGCAGAAGCGCAGCCAGCAACTTGCTGAGCAAGCCGCCAAGCAGGATCTTCGCACGCAGCAAGTTGCTGAAGATCTGGTTGAGGCGAAGTCACTTTCGGACTCCCTTCGTAACGAGAATGCCAACGCCAGGGCTGAGAAGGACCTCTGGAGAAGAATTGAGACGCGCCTCACCCAGGACAACCAGAGCCTTATGGACGAGCGAAGCCGACTCAACAAGCACGTCGCGGATCTTCAGAATCTGCAAAACGAGCGCGAGCTGGCTGACTCGGAGTCGCGGCGTCGTCTTCAGACTCGAACCGAGACACTCGAGGCCGAGCTCGTGGACGTCAAGAAGAAGCTTGAGCGCGAAGTCGACGATAGTCGAAAGGCTAGCTTACGCCGCGAGTACGAGGAGGGTCAAAATCGCACGCGCATCGACGATCTGGTCAAGAGTCTCGGTAGTATTCGCGAGGAGCTTGTGGCTGCCAAGACGACTCGAGATCAGCTGGCTGCGAGGGTTGATGAGATGAAGATTGAGCTTCGCAGTGCGGAGGAGAAAGTGGTTGCCCTGCAGCCTCGTCCTACACCCCGATCTACCTCTGCAACACAGAACGGCGATGGCGAGGCGCACAGTGAGGAGTTATCTGCTGAGCAGCATCTTGCGATCGAAGTCTCGGACTTGAGGCGTGATCTTGAGTTCGCGAAGAATGAGCTCGAGGGTGCTAGGGAGCAGGCCGAGCAATACAAGTCGATTTCACAGGCGACTGAAGAGGAGTTGGCTTCTATCAATATGACTAGCGTTCAGTACCAAGAGGACATGGACCAGCAGCTCGCGGAGAAAGATGCCAAGATTCATCAGCTGGAGCAGCGTGTCGAGGACATCACCGCCGAGCTTACGACGACTAATAATGAAATGTCTGAGCTGCGCACCAAGGCTGAAGAAGTTACTCGTGCTCTGGACGAGCAGAAGGAAGCTTCTGAGTCTGAGCTTGCGCGCCTTCGCGACGATGCTGACCGGCATGGTGAGGAGAAGAAGCTCATGCGAGAGGATCTCAAGGCGCAGTCGGAAATTGCGCAGCAAGCGCAGCAGTCTTACGAAGATGAGCTGCTCAAGCATGCAGAGGCTGCTAAGCAACTTCAGCAAGTCCGCAGGGACCACAATGAGCTTCGCACTGAAGTCGCTGGGATCCGAGCGGAGGCTGAGGCTGCGAAGGCTGGGCTGGAGTCGGGTCGTGAGAGCTGGGAGGAGCAGAAGGGGAGGTTTGAGAGGGAGTTGGAGGATGTGAAGAAGAGGCGGGAGGATGTAGATGCGCAGAATAAGTTGTTGCATCAGCAGATGGAATCCTTCTCCTCGGAGCTCGCAGCGCTCCGACAAGGTCGCGCCCTACCAGCTGGCCCTAACGATGGCGAGGAGACCGCTGCGGGCAGTCCAGGTCGTACTGGCGGTGACGCTAAGCTGCAGGAGGTCATCCGCTATCTCCGCCGTGAGAAGGAGATCGTGGATGTCCAGTATGAGCTCAGTATGCAAGAGGCCAAGCGACTCCAGCAGCAACTCGACTACGCGAAGGGTCAGCTGGAATCGACACGCCAGAGCCTTGCAGAGGAAAGACGTAAGGGTGGCGAGAAGGAGGCGACCGAGTCTAGTACCAATCGTCTTCAGCAGACAATTAATGAGCTGAATCTTTACCGTGAAAGTGCGACTACACTCCGTAATGAGGCCCGTGTTGCCCGCGAGAAGCTGGAGGAGAGGGTACAAGAGGTTGAGAGGTTGGGAGCGCAAATCGAGCCTTTGCAGGTCCGAGTCGGGGAGCTGGAAGGTGAGATGGAGGGCAAAGACGGCGAGCTCAAGCTCCTGCAATCCGATCGCGATCATTGGCGCGAGAGGACGCAGAACATCATCTCCAAGTACGACCGCGTTGATCCGGCTGAGTTGGAGAGTATCAAGAGCCAGCTCGAGGCTGCGAAGGCGGAGAAAGAGCGCTTGGAGGGTATCGTGAGTACGATGCGTGAGCATGCGGATGGCGAGGCCGGGAGGATCGAGGAGATTACGAAGGCCAAGGATGCCGGGTTGTCGCGGTTTAAGGAGCAGGCGAAGGAGCAGAATCGGAAGCAGAATGATTCGAAGCGGGAGGTTGTTGCTGAGAGGGAGAGGGTCGTTGCGGAGCTTAATGAGACGAAAGCTGAGCTTGAGAATTTGAAGGTCCAGCTTGTTGAGGCTGAAAGCAAGACAGGTGGGGCTGAGGAGGGGGAGGTGGAGGAGGAGGCGGAGTTGCAGAGGAAGTTTGAGGAGGCGGAGGGGAGGACGAGTGAGCATGTCGCGAGGGCTGGGGAGCTGCAGGGGCAGGTGGAGGGTCTGCAGAGGAGAGTTGCGGAGCTGGAGGGTACGGTGGAGGAATTGCAGGGTCAGCTTGAGAGTGCGCAGCAACAGCAGGCTACCGGTCAGGTTCCGCCGGAGTCGGTAGAGAGTGGCGAGCTGCTGGAGAAGCTGCGGCAGGATCTGGCGACTGCTCAACAAGAGGCCGAAGCTTTGCGCACAGCTGCCGCGCAAGCTCCGCCAGCTACCCAACAGGACTCTACTATGACCGATACCACCACTACCGCTGTTGATGGCGAGGAGAAGTCCACGGCACAGCAAATCCAGGAAGCCTGCCATACTCTTCGCGCAGAGATGCAGTCTCAGCACGAACTCGCCCTGAAGCAGAAAGATGACTATGTACAAGGCCGACTTGAGTCGATGAGGACTCAGCTGAATACTAAGTTGAGAGAAGGCCGGGATAAGGCGAAGCAGGATGTGCTGGACGAGCATACGGCCGAGGTACAGAAGTTGAGGGAGGAGCATGAAAAGGCTGTTGAGGAGTTGAAGGGTGCTCATGCGGCGGAGCTGGAAAGACTCAAGCAAGATGGCGAGGCGGCTGTGCAGAGGGCTAGCGCGAATGCCACGAATGCTCCTCCTGCTGCTGTCGTCAACGAGAAAGCCGCCGATGCTGCACCTCAGGCTGTCAAGGTGGACGACGACGCCGATCTGTCCAGCCTCGAAATCTCCGAATCACAAGTCGCCAAGTTGTTCCAGACGAATTCTCGGGCGAAGACTATCCTGCTTAATAATATTTCGAAGGGTGTGAAGCGCGATACGGCCAAACTTGAGGAGACGATCGCGGAGAAGGATGCTGAGATTGGGAAACTGCAGACTGAGCTTGCTGCTGCTGAGGCTGCGAAGGCGGAGGCCGAAATCAAGAACGCCGAGGCTCCTCCTGCTACTCATGTCGATACGAGTAAGAACGATGAAGTCATCACGGAGCTGAAGAGCAAGCTCGAGGCGGCCCAGAAGGATAAAGAGGTCGCTGTCGCTATTGTCACGAGGAATCTGGAGCTCAAGGCTAAGGTGCAGGTCTCGCAGCTTGATGCCCTGCGTGCGAAGTGGAAGGTTGTGCAGGAGGCTGCTAAGAACACGCCGGAGAAGGTTGTCAAGGAGGTCTTTGAGGTGGCTGATAAGACGAAACCCGCTCCGAAGGTTGCACCTGCGCCTGCGCCTGCGCCTGCTGCAAGTGCGGGTGCGGGTGGAGCACAGTCGCCTGCTATTGCTAAGCCGGCTACTGTTGTCCCACCTTCGCCTGCTCAAGCACCCACTGCCCAGAATGCGACAGATGTGAAGCCCCTGGTAGATGAGAAGGCTGCAGAGGAGGCCAAGAAGCAGGCCAGACTTGACCGGTTTGGTTCAGCAGCCGGTACACCCGCAGCATCGTCCACGACATCGACCTCCGGTCAGCCAAGTACCGGTCCTATTATAGCGGGTACCTTTGGCCAGCCGAGCTTCGCATCTGGATCTTTCGGTCAACCGAGCACTCCAGCAGGTCTGAGCTTTGGTCAGCCTAGCGCACCTACGGGTCCTGCATTGGCACAGCCTGCTCGTCGTCCCTCCGGTCCCAATTCTAGCCCTTTCGCAGCTGCAGCCGCGGGCTCGCCAAACCCACAGGCTGCATCGTTCACTCCGAGTGATGTTCCGACACAGCCGAGGAAGGACCTTGGTACGGGTCCTGCTGCTCTAAGGGGCTTGCATTCGGGCATTCCTCGTGGAGGAGCTGGAAGTGGACTTCCACGCGCAGGCGGTGCTGCGGGCGCGAGAGGTGGTGCTGCTGCAGGTGGCAATAGTATCGCCATCCAGGGTGCCGCCGCTCGTGGTGGTGCCCAAACAGGTCTACCACGCGGAGGCGCCAATGCCGGTCGCGGCGGTGGTCGTGGTGGACAAGCAGATGGTAGTGGCATCGCTCGCAGAGGTGGTGCTAACGGTGCCGGCCAAAAGCGTCCACATGATGGTGATGGAAGTGCAGGCGACGGCAAGAGGAATAGAGGCGGTGCTGGCGGATAGGATCCTCGGTATCGCGACTTATTTTGGAACCCGAGAGGGTACTAGCTCTATATGCCTATGATAGCTTGGTGTTAGGAAGTACGGGCGGTGATATCAGTGGTGGCATTTGCAGCGCGCTGCGGGTACGGCGTAATCTGGTGGATGATGGTAGCGCGAAGTGGGTGCTTGGGGCCGGGAGTATGTTATCAGCTTGTGCAAACTAGCAAGATTGAGAGTCGGATCAGTGCAATTAGTATGAGATGTTATTGTCATCACTTTTATAGATATTTTGATTGAGGAAGGAGGTTGGAGCGAGGACTCCGAAGCCTCTGACCATGGCATACCGCGGATCAGAACATTGAGATTTGACAGACCCTCACATCGTTTTTGACTTTTCTTGAGGTGTCTACGGACAGATTGTGAAGTTACAGGCTCACAGCCATATACAGCTCACTGGCTAAGTCTCGCGTACACCCAAACGATATAAGCTGTGTTGACCATTACAGGAGTCTAGATACCTGAGTCTCGGTCTCGACCAGACTACAGCTAAACGAAGAACATCTATACACACCCCAAAAAGCAAAATTTACACTTCTGCTCTCTATTCAACTATAGACATTTCCAAGCCTACGTTACCACTCTTGCACTAGCTCTGCACCCACTGAGCAATGGTAACCACACTTGTATAAACCATCGCCACCACACCAAGCGACATCAAAGCAATATCCAACACTTTATACCATCCCTTCGCGCAACCACGATAGTGCAATAAGGGCGGGTAGATGTAGACCAATGGCACACAGGCAAAGCTCCCAATCAGCGCGACGAACTTGTCCAGGTCGCTGGCGCCGAGGATCGCAATCCCACCGCACGCGAGCATCATGACCGTACGCAGTAAATTCTTCTTCCACTTGGTACTCGCCGAGCGTTTACCCGTGGCTTTCTCGCCGAAAAACGACGTCTCGATGATTCGGATAGCGGGGTACAATTGTACCGGTTCGCCGACTAAGACAGCGAGGGAGTAGATAAATTGCACCGCGTTGACCAGTTTACTGTCCTGAGGGAAATTGGAAATAATCTGGATCTTCGTCTCATCTCCGAAAGTGGCGTAGCACATTGCTCCGATGGAGGTGAAGATTACCGTTATGATGCCCATGACTAGGTATAAGAGGCCGGCGAAGTGTTCGGGTTTCTTCATGCTGGATTGGATAGGAAGGATGAGGCCGATGCCTTCAAAGGTGAAGATCGCGGAGCCGATTGTGAGGGTGAAGGCGGAGGGATTGAAGAGCGTGACGCTGGGTGCGATGCCACGTTCGGCCAGGGTGGCGATGTCGTAGTACCAGATGTAGACTAGGCCTATTAGGATGAAGACATCGGCCAGTAGGGCGGCGGGACCGAGTTTGCTGATATTGCGGATCAAGGCCATCGGGACCAAGATCACGAATTGGATTGCTATCAGCGAATTTACACCGAATGGTTGGGCGCTTCTCGTGCTCCAGGACACGGCGTTGGCGAAAGCGAGGAGGTTCTCGGCTGTGAAGATCAAGCCGGCGCAGACGAAGCCGAGCTGGGAGAGGGTGATGGAGCCGAGGATGAGGGAGCGCAATTTAGGGCCTACTATTAGGCCACCGAGTTCTCCGTAACCTCCTCCGCCGTAGCGGGAGCGGCATTGTAGCAGTAGTGTAAAGCATAGAGTCGTGATAAGCGAGACCGAGACCAGAGTTATGCTTGAGAAGAGGATGCCGCCGTTTCGGAAAGCTTTGGGCAAGAACATGATCCCCGTACCGATAAAGGCCTTCAGCAATGTGAAGAATGTCTTAGTCGTACTTGCGTCACCTTCGCGACTGAATTTCTTCGTTGTCTTGCGTCGGCCTAGTAAAGGTCTTCGTTCTGAAGGTCCGTCGTGCACCTCCTCCCTCGGAGCCTCCTCGTCCTCGATAGCGGATTCATCGTCATCATCATCCTCGTCGAACAAGTCCTCTCCAGCGAAACTGCCGTAGAGTTCGAGAAAAGATACGAAATTCCTGGTGACCGGAGTGGCGACAGTACTTAATCGTCTCTGCAGAGTTTGCCGCTGGATATACTGTCTTCGAAAACCGCCCGGCTCATGGGAGCCCTCGGCCGCATACTGATCGTCGAAGTCCGGTTTCCGCGCAGTATTTGCTGAGAATGTGGCAGAACGCTTCGGTGCATTCGCCCGGGCTTTGATCCTGAAGATATCCCGATGGACATCGCCACCTTGTAGCGTTAAAGAGGACTTCGCTTCTTCCGATCCAGTTGTTCGAGCTGAGGTATCGCCGTTGGTAGTTCCGTAATTGACAGCCTCGGAGTCCGCTGAATATCCTTGGGGCAGGACTCGGTCGACGATGGCCGCCTCTCTCCGCGAGCGGTCACTGTTCGGAGTGTCCGTCATGCTGCCAGACAATACACACGCTTCTCAGCTCCACGATCCCTGCTTGGCTGTGTTACGTGGATGGATCTGGTCTCAAGTGAGATGCAAGATGGACATAAGAGAAAAATGCTGGTCGAGGAGATGTGGTTCACAAACTTTGTCGTCAGAGCGCTCACGTGCTCGGGCCACGCGCGGTGCCGTCCGCCGCTAGTAAAGGTTATGAGACTGTGCTTCTTATGTGCAAACGTCTCATCTCTTCAAAAGCCGTACGTGAAGACGTGCAGCAAGATGTCCAGCAGTGAGAATCATCTATGACAGACGGGCAAGGCGTGTCAACGCGGGATCTATGTCGAAGTGGCGAAAAGCGGGGCGAAGACACTTGTGACGGGATGAAGAACGACGATGACCCCTTACAACGATCCTGCCACTTTACACCAGGCAGTATGGGATGGAGCGTAATTATCAGAAAATGGGATTCATCTCATAACTACGACTAGATCTTGCTACTACTGCCCCTCAGCCCGCTACTAACGATATGTCCTTGTTCGTTGCCTACAAGTCGGCCTTCTCTGCTGCCAAGACAGTACCGTCATGAGCAACGGCAATTTTATGTGGTATAAGTGAAGCCTTGACCGGGTTGGGAGCCTCGAAAACAAGATCGAGCTCCTCGAGAGTGCGCTTCTTGGTCTCTGGCAACAGGAAGTAGAAGACGGCCGTCTGAACGGCGTCCCAGATGATAAAGACAATGTAGGTGTGCCATCCGATCTTGGCAAGCGAGATTGGCCAGGCCAACTGGTTGAGGAGACCACCAACAGCGACGGCAAGACCGGAGAAAGCCATGCCTTTGGCACGCATCTCATAGGACAATACCTCCACTGGATAGAGAGCCTGCAGCGGTGTGAGACCGATCGAGTAGACAGCGCCGAATAGGAATACCATGGCGATACTGGCTTGTGCTGCAGCAGTATTGGTCTTTCCAGACTCGTTGAACAGAGCTGTGGCGATGGTCATACCGACCCAGACGACGGTACAAGCCGACATGCTGAAGAGGAACATGGGGCGTCGGCCCACACGCTCGACGAAAGCGGCACCGAACAGGGCGAAGGCGAACTGAAAGATAGCGTATCCGAGGTTGATGTTGGCTTGCGTGATGGACTCGGTGTAACCAGCAGTATCGAGCACAGCCGGCAGGAAGTACGTGAGCACACCGTTACCTGCCCACTGGGCGAAGATGGAAAAAACAATGTTGCAAAGAATGCGGTAGCGGCTCGAGCGCTTGTTGAAGATGACACGATAGTCCCAAGCTCGCTTGTCCTAGAAAAGTGTCAGACAAGTTCAAAAGCCAGAGACCTGATTGGGACATACGGCGCCGTTAAGGACGAGATGTTCCTCATACTCCGCGAGCTGGAGCTGGACCCAAACAGAGTCCGTGTTACCAGCACCATGCCACTTACTGAGCGTAGCAACAGCCTTCTCACGCTTGTTGTGGACGTACAGCCTATTACGGAACGATCGAGTCAGCAATCGTGCTTGCAAAGCATCTGGTCTCTGACGCTCTTACCATCTGGGACTCTCCGGGATGAACCAAGCGAAGATCGCGATCAAGGCAGGGAAAAACATCTGAAGCCAGACAGGGAGCTGCCACGATGCATTACCTGAGAGGTTGAGGCCGCCACGAATGGCGCCAGCGGCCAAGATGGAACCAGTGAACCAGAAGGTGTTGCAGTATGCTGTGACCACAGCGCGCCAGGATGGGTGAGCAGTCTCGACGACATAGATGGGTCCTGCAGAACTGACGATGTTGACACCAAACCCAAGCAGGAAGCTGAGGCAAAATCAGCTCCCATTTCTCGATCTCGGGCTGTACCCGCAAATCCACTTACCGACCTGCCTTGAGTTGGCCAAGACTGCCACTTTGAAGAGTCGTTCCGTTAATAATGGTGCCGATGATGATGATCCAAGCGCCGATCTGCATGCCGACCTTACGGCCCCAGGTGTCGATAGCTGGTCCGACGAAAGGCAAGGCGCAGACACTGCCGATCTGGTACATAGCAGAGTTCAGAGCCGCCCATGTGCCATCGTTGGTGCCATTGAAGAACTTCAAAAATTGTTTGTTCGCTGTAAGTCCGCCGAACACGGACCCGTCGAAGCCGTTCATCGTCTGGCAGAAGCACCCGAGAAGGAGGCATCCGACGAGCTGCATGTTTGAGGATGTCCACATCTTGACGGGCTCCTTGAGCTTGGCCTCATTGAAAGCCTCCGAACCACGGATGACTTTGATTTCAGCGACGGCATCCTAATCGGGGGTCAGCTAGTGTCGAACACTGACACATGTTGATCGCGAACATACGTTGCCAGCAAGGTCGTCGACCCTCTCCACCGCTTGCTTGAGTTCCGTAGTCATCTTGTCGTCGTCAAGATGTGTGTTGGTCAGGAAGTACTTCGAGAATGAAGAGCGATATGAGAAAAGAGGAGACTCGAGATTATACTAATAAGTGCCCTCGTGGTGACCATGCACTCGCCGTGCTCGATGCAGGTTAGAATGCCTAGGCGCCCCAGAAGCCAAAGTATATTGATTGACAACCTCCACCTCGACCCCAGATTACCTTATTATCGACGGGCCGAGGTGAGGTGTTCGCTTGGAGGTCTACACTCGACCTCCAACACTTTCACTTCTGACACGGAGAATCTGGCTCCGTTGTCCCAAACGGCAGCACGGGCCTGGAGTTCCGTACGTCCACTACAGCAACAGTCTTTGTGTCAACATGTGAGACATCCTTTTTCGCCACTTTAGAGTTAAAAGACATTGCGATCTTGGTATAGAGCAGTTCGGGATAGTTGGCACGAATCATTGCGGCGTCGGTCAGGCGCATGGTGTATGCATGTACGCCTATATGCATGTACTTTGTCTCATATCGCCATGATTCGTGCACGAAGGATGCATTGCCAAGCTTACACGATTGACAAAGGCTGAAAACATCTGCTGACAGACGGCATGGAGGGCCGCATCTCCTCTCACGTATGCTCGAGCTACGACCATGCGAGGACGGCGTATCAATTGCCTCAATATGGATCTGACAACATCTCAGTGGACTTCAATGTGGCACATTTGTTACGAGCGTCGGATCAGGTGCCTAATTTTCCGAGATTGATACACGACCTGAATGCATCTCGAACAGGCGATCGGCTATGCAGGTCCGACATTTCGTGCAATATAATGCTTTGTCCAGTCACGCGAGGTTCATGGGCTTCTCAGCAGAGGTGGATCTGGATCACGCATCGGAAACTCAAGCAGCTTGAGTGTACTTCTAGCCCTCTTCTCATTCCACAATTTCGTGCCGTGCAGCCGTCAGACTGGCCACGGACCTGCTTGACAGGTCTGCGGTAACCGATTTGTCTAGATGCATATGCCGCTGGAGAACAGACCAGACCACGAACGGAGTGACGGACTCTCGTTCAAGAATATGCGGCCTTATCATGAACGGCGTCTGATAGGATCGACGAGATACGATTTAACGACCAAGCAGCGTTCTAGCTTAGAGAGTCGTGGCGGACTCAACAGGATGCGATATTCTTACGGCATAGAGCGCTGACTGTATATCCAGTCGTGCTTTCCAATTCGAGCATCCATGTGTCGGCATGCTGAGAGAGGAGGTCTGTGTGGTGAGATCCCCAATGTCTAGATCGCTACTTGATCGACCTCATAATTGACATCCAGTGCATCCCTGAAAAGATGTACGAAAGCTCCTCGCATCTCGCCGCCACGAGCATCTCACCTAGAAGGTCCAGCTCGCAAGAATATCAGATCGAATCGTTGCCGGATCCAAAGATAAATCTCGTCGTGAGAAAGAGATCCGAAGGTCCCGAAGTCCACTACACTACCCCAAAGCGCAGGCATAGCGAGTGTGAGACGGACACGGCCGAATTGACCTCGATCATACCCATCTTCCCGGCTCATGGCAACGTTCTTCGCTAGCCGCTGTACTTCAGCTCGGGTTGTTGGCGATACTCCCTGGGACGAGGGTGTCACCCTGCGCTGCTTGGTTGTGACTCTGTGGTATAGCCTGAGAAGCACGAGACGTAATTGCCAGTGATAAATGCAAGCCTCGAAGTCCATTGCAGTGCTGAAATGCAGGGAGAAAGGCGCAAGTCTGGCGTCGGCTGGATGCCGTGTCTTTCTTACTTTCGCACGATGTAATATTGCAGTTTCTGCGGCGTCGTCCACCAATCAAAGCAGTTCGTTGACAAGCTGCGCAGCTTGCACGACTTGGAGGGCTGAGAGCACCACGAGCAGATTCCGTACCATTGCAATAAGAGCAGGCAGGCGGATGATGAATTGCTGGGCTATGTCTCTGATAGTCAGTGTGTCTGGCGACACAGTCGTCCGAGTCGCCACTTTGAGACGTCACCAGCCTGGTACATCGAAGGGAGAGGCGACGCCGTACGCACAAGCAGCACAGGATGCAGCCATGCAGTGGGCTGAGAAGATTGTCCGCACTATCTCGCTATCGGCCCTGTTAGGATCTCGATTCATGAGCAGTATCTGTTGCGAATGGTCAGAGATTGTTGTAGACTGCCTGGTTCAACATGAGAGCATTGATCTTATAGTATGGACATTTTCGATTGGGCTCGAGTAGTACCATCAACCTACATAAACTCCATGAGTATGTGGAAGCCACTTTCCACTACTCGAATCTGTTCTCTTGAACTGCGTCGTGGTCTCGAAGTTCGCTAGAAGCTCGACGGCGAGGAGTACTTCGTCACTCTGCTGACCGCCTTCGTCGGTCAGAGCACTCTGAACCTCTCGTATACAGTGCGAGTACGGAACCAGACAGGTCACTACATCCGCATCGGCAGTGCGCAGATGTTTTTGAGCAGCGAAAGCCTGTGCTGCGACAAAGGCTTTGGTGGCGAAGTCGAGAGCCTTGTGACGTCCGAGTAGCATAGGCATGAAGCCCAGCCATGTTTGGCCAAGCTGTAGCCTTTCGAGAGTGTCCGTGACTTCGTGCTGAAGCTTGATTCCATGTCGCGAAGAGCGGAAGTGAATCAGAGGGTTGGACGCCTCAAATGATCTGGCCTGTGCAGGCTGTAGCGGTCTGCTGGAGATGGCTCGCCTTTTGAATCCAATCTTCAGCTGATCTGTTGGTATTTCATTGCGGAGGGCGAATGCTTTTCGTGGTTTCCTCTTCGGCGCTACAGACGGTTTATTGGCATCACGGCCAGACCCGTCCATCGAGTACAGTGGCAATAAAACGAGCTCTGCTGATCGATCACTGATGGTATACTGTAGGCCATTTTTGCTGTTTCATTCAACATGCAGAATGTCCAATGGTTGTGCCCAGCCTCGGAATGCCCAGCTGGCGTTTCAGCTCATGACAAGGTGGAACAGCGATGCACAACCTCATCAGCATCCAGCGGGTAGTCGTACAAGAATTAGCATCTTGCTGTCGCGCCTTGATCCAGACTGGGCTTTCCTATCCCTGCACGGTCTCGGATTGTCTGCCGGACATCGAGTCGACACTGTCACGATGAGATCACCGCCATGCAGGTACCTCCGCGACACATGAGAATCAATAGGTTAGATGGCAAGTAATCGATTCGCTGTACCATACTGTGTTCGTCTTGGTGCATTCCATAATATAGACACTGATATCCATTAACCTCACCACAACAACATGCCACCCACCCACTTCATCAGCACGGCCCTGCGGATGTCTAAGAGGACTCTGATACAAACCCCTACTCCTGTGACCAGAGCGATCTCGACATCAACACCTAGACTAGCAACCCAGCCGCCTCCAGGCAACCAGCCGCCCTCTGCAAAGCAAGCCGGCCGTACAAGTCAGCCAGCCAGCGATCCGCAATCCTCGGCCAGCGCCAAGCAGCCAGAGGCACAAGCCGAAGGCGATGACCACCCGGCGAAGCAACCAGATTATCAGGCGCCGTCGGAGAGGAGTACGGGCTTTCATGAGGTTGAGGGGGGAGGAGGCGTGAAGGGAGGGAAGGAAGGGTTGGATCAGAGGACGGATAAGAATCCTGGGGCTGAGAAGAGGTCGGGATGATGAGGGCTGTATGTGAGTAGGTCGTTGGGAAACCATGATGAAGGCAGTATTATCAGAAGATCATGTGTGACATGAGCGTGTCAAGCAGAGTGTGTTTGTAGGTTACCGAGAAGCTGCAATGAAACCATTCCCTCCCATCCCATACGGCATCATCTCAGGTCCGAAGTATCACTAGGTACATGTGGATGCCTCTCACAGCGGGCTCCAAGGCTGATGCATGCCGTCGGCGACCCTCTGCGCCACGATCTCATGTCCGTGGCCTACTCTGCCACAGGCATCGGGTCCAGGAAGCTGTAGCTGGGAACACTCGCACGATGTGCATTCATTCGATCCACCGGTCCCAACTCGACGTCATCGAAGGCTCCATCCAAAGCAGAATGCGCCGGCTGTTGTTGAACAACCTCCTCAGTCTGCATTCCATCCGGACCAGTGGTCTGGACGACGACTTGTTCTTCCTTCGAGACCAGAGCGTCTTTCTTTGGGCGGATGAGACGGTGCAAGAGGCTACCCAGGGCGAGGACAAGTGGGAGGAGACCGAAGAGAAGGGTCAACAGGAGGTAGAGGTGCCATTTCCGCTTGACGCTGGCAGCTGATGGGTGGGGGCACTGGCAGTAGAAGCGGTGTCTGTTGAGGCGATGAAACGCTGCCATGAGAAGGCCGAGTCCGATGGCAATGGGCAGCATGAGAAAAAGGCTGACGAGGTGGGAGATCCGGTGAGCCTTTGGGACAAGGTCAGCGTGATTCAAGCATATCTCGGAGCGACAATGAACAACTTACCTTTCTCTGCCACGCCCTCGAGATCAGCTTGTTGGCAACGAAGATCCAAAAGATCAACCCAATCAACCCCAAAGTCGCCCCGATAACGACCCATCGAAGCCACTCAGCCTGCTAGGCGGAGAGATGAGCGTACCGTCCACTCTTCATCTGGCACTGGGGAGTCATGGTGCTTGGCCAGTTGACGGAGTAGTACATCACACCATCGTAAAAGGACTCGAAGCGGTAAGGGAGATGTTTTGCTTTGAGGGCGGCGAGGTTCCAGTTGGTGGGGAATGTTGCTACTGGTACTGTGGCCATGATTGATGATGAAGGATGGATGGTGGTGGTTGTTCGATAGTTCGTTGGTATGTGGAGGAATTGGTGTGGTGAGAGAGAAGTAAGAGTGGCAATTGTATGATATGCAATGCTGTGATGAGTTGAAGAAGAAGAAGAGCAGAAGAAGAAGAAGAAGAAGAAGAAGAAGTGAGTTGAGAAGTAAACAAAGTCCTGTGGAAAGTGATATAACGCAGGCATGGGCGGTGCTGCGTACCTGCAGATACATGTAGCCCAAGAGTTGGTGAAGGGCAGGCGCCTACCGTATTCAAAGTACACCACCAACTAAAACTGCAAGGCCGCCCACCACGAACGGCAGGGACAAATGCAAAATCACCAGTTCCCTCACCAGCGATCAGCACAGCCCGAAGCCTCTGTCATGACGCCAGTCGTACATACCACTTCCCTCGACATTCATCATCCCAGATCCATAAGCCGTCGCCGCGAGCTCCGCGTAAGAAGGACATCATGTGACAATGTCTACCCCTGCAGATACGCCATGCCACCTGTCCTCCCTCGAACAGTATGGCAAGTGCAAATGCAAATGTGAACGCGACGGCCAGGCCGCGACGACCGGTAGACGCTCCTGGTCACAGTCATCTTTACAATCGTCCCTTCCCCAAGTTGGCAGGTCGTATTCGAACCAGTCGCAAACAAGCACACAACGTGACGTGAATTGATATGTATCGTAAACAAGGCACTCACTCCATACAATCCCTATCCTCCCATCCTCCACAACAAAAATCTATATACACACCCAATCCCGCTCACCCATCACCTCCCCCCTCACCTCCCCTGCCTCGTCCCCCATCTCCCTCCTACAAACCTCCTTCCAAACCTCTACATAAGCTCACTCATCTCCTCCTCCAACAAAACCTCAAAACTGAACGGCTCAAAAGCCACCCCCTCCCCAACAAAATGCTTACTCATAGCCTCGACCCAATGCAACCTCAAAGAATGCAACATCGCACTCGTCCCCTCCATCACCACCAGCACCGCGACGGTAAGGAAGAACCACACGGTGAAGAAGACGAAAATAGCTGCGATCCCCAGAGCGCCGGTGAAGGCAAAGGCGTTGGCGAGCGTCATGCTCCAGAGCACGATGGAGAGTTGTTGATGCGCGAGGGAGAGGGCCCAGAGACGGAGGTAGGAGGCTGTGTGGGAGACGCAGTTGAGGCAGAATTCTATTTCAATCATGTCAGCACGCGGTACACCTCCGTGAGGAATGGGGGAGGAAAGGGGGAATGGGGCTAAGGAACGTACCAATAGTATGAATGACCTGATGAATCATCACCTCACTAAACTCAAACTCCTCGTGCTCTTCGCCGCCAATGTCCTGCGTAATCAGCGCATTCCCATCCATTTCCGAATCCGCCATCGATGGTCGACCATTAGCATGCTGATCCCCACCGGCTTCCTCGTCATCGTCATCCAGAGCCGAGACTGTGGTAGTTTCGCCGATACCTCGATACCCCTGCGCCCGCGCCTTGTTATGTTCCCAGCGCAAATACAACGGCTTCAGGAACAACATAATCGGGACCTGAACGACGGCAATCAGGACAAGCGCGACTTGAAGCGGACCTTGACCCGGGAAAAGTTGCTCTTGCACCGTCCCGGGGGACAGGAACATGTAGATGAGCATGTTTAGTAATCCAGGCGGTTGCTGCCCGATGGCGTACCAGTCCACGCTCCATTTGTAGATGATGGTGAAGACGAGATAGCCGAAGATGGATTGGAAGAAGAGCATGCCCGGGATGAAATTGCCGAAGATGTCGATCGGGGAGCGGAAGTGGCGGGCGTTGATGTAGGAGAGACAGAGGGAGTAGGTCATCTAGAAGAGAGCAATCATGTCAGCATGGGCAATCCTTTCTTGGACGTGTCGTATCTCAGAAGCATATCATGACTCACGTGTGCCCAGCCCATGATGATGGAGAGTTTCATCTTGTAGCTGTTGCTGAACAGGAGGTCGTTCTCCGTATCGTGCCAGCGCCAGTCCATGCCGAAAGGGTAAGTATAACCCTCCACCCTCGTAGCCTTGATCATGCCATCGCCTTCTTTGTAGCCATCTGGGAAGTCCCTATATGAACGAGCAACACATCAGCCAAGCGCCCCAATGCACCATCCGCAAGACCATTTCTCGATATTGCAAACTTACCAAGTCCACATACTAGGAAACAAACTCAACTCCTTAGAGAAGATATCACAATAAATCAAACCCGTATACATGGAGAAAATGCCCATCATAAGCATGATATAGCGTCCATAGAAAGCCATCCCAAACAACTCATCCTGCTTCCCTCTGCTCAGAGGCTTCTCCCAGTAAATCATAGCCGCGGCCGCCATAGCCATGATGGCACCATGTCCAAGATCACCAAACATGACGGCGAAGAGGAAAGGGAAGGTGACGATGGTGGGCAAGCCCGGGTTGACCTCGGTGTATTTTGCTGTCCCGTAGGCGTCGATGATGGTTTGGAAGCCGAGGGTAAATTTATTCGTGCGGTTGTAGGTAGGTGGGGTCTTGGAGGTCTTGATTTGGTTGACGATGGTGGGGACGCTGAGGCCGGCGCGGTCGTTGACGTCTTGGAGGGTGGATTTCACTAGCCCGAGACTGTTGGTCGGGCACCAGGCTTCGGCTACTAGGGTCTTGCGGGCGGGATCGTAGGAGAAGCGGTTGAGGGTTTGGTAGACGGCTTTTTCCTTCTTGATGACGATCATCCAGGCGGCGAGGGAGCGGCCGATTTGAGTCAATTCGGCGTCGAGGGTGCGCTTGGTGTTGCCGAGGACGTTGGAAAGATCCTGCAGACGGCTGTTGACTTCGTGGATCTGATCGCGGCGGAGCTCGCTGTTCTCGTCCACATTGTAGATGTCCGCTCCCAGGCTCTCACTAATCTTGCGGATCTTGGCAATAATCTCCTTGCCATGAGCGAAGATGACGAAGACGTTCTTGTGCACCTCTTCGTTCTTCTCCGGGTCGATAATGGCGTCCGGGATCTCAGACTGGTTCATGTACAGATTGCCACGGAGGGTTCGCCACAAGATCCGCTCAAAGGCACCCATGCGGTCGCGCGGGATAACACCAGCCACAAAACCGATGTTCATAACGCTGAAGCTCTGCTGATTGGCGTTTTGCCCACCTTGTCCTGCTTCAGCTGATCCATTGGCCTGCTCCAGGTCGCGGAGAAGGGGCGCATCATCGGAATCATCCAGGCTCTGTCGAATCTCCTCCGTCTGGCCACGGGCACGGTCGAAGAAACCTCCCGCCTCTCGCAACACCCAACGCCACTCGGTCAACTCCGTCTCGCGCCTCTTCAATGTCTCGTAGCTGTCGTTCAAGCTCTGGATCCTCTGCTCCAAGCTCTGGCTACGATCGGCCAGTTCATCAATCTCGGTGGCGGAGGGGGCAGCCATGGTGTTGCTGAATTCGTAGATGGAGCGCATGCCGATGCTGTTCTTGTCGATCTGGGAGCGGAAGTAGTTGAGCTGACGTTCAACATTGTCAAGGCGACGGATCTCTTGGGTGAAGGTGCGCTGAAAGGCGGACGTTTCGGGGTTGAGCTGGATGTCGTATTAGTTCACGTGATCATCGATGAGGTAGAGGGGATTGGGTATGCGTACATCTCGAAATTGCATGCAACCCAGCTCTCCCAAGGCAGACACGACCTCCCGCCCTATCTCGTTGGCCACGTACAGCTGGGTCAGGGTCATATCCACGCTCCTGAAGAGCGAGTCCTTTGAGGCCGCCATCTTGAATCACAACTCCTCTCACTGCTGTGGACAATGAGAGATGTGGTGAGCCGGTTGGCGATATGATGGTTAATAATGAGCGTCGTAGGCAGCTCGTTTCTTCTGGCTAGAGGTCAAGGTCGAAGAGATGACGGGGCTTTGCCGCCGAAGTGGCTCGTGCACGGAACAAGCAAGCACCACTTCACCACCGAGACGATCGATTGATGTGCATATATCGTCCACTCAGCAGGCGGATGCTCTTATGTCGAGACATTATTCAAGCATGAATCCATACAGCCGAGGCATATTCGCGCTTTGTGAAGGCCAGTCTGAGCATCGTAGTACAATACATACATGACATCTGCGTCTATGCACGGGCCATCGTTTGCTTCTCACATGTGTGTACAGCTTTATTCTCTCTTCTCTCCCACACAACGACCATCCACAACTTCCACCACAGCACAGCAATGTCAAAAGTAACCCCCATAACCTCCCCCGCCCACTTCCACACCCTCACCTCCTCCTCAACCTACACCATCGTCGACTTCCACGCCACCTGGTGCGGCCCCTGCAAAGTCATCGCCCCGATCTTCGAACAACTAGCAACCGCGGAAACCAAACCGGGCAAAATCGTCTTCTGCAAGGTGGATGTGGATGAGCAGCGTGAGGTCGCGGGTCGGTATGGCGTTAGTGCTATGCCTACTTTCTTGATCCTCAAGGGCGGGAGTGTCAAGGAAACGGTTAGGGGGGCGAATGTACGTACTGTCCTCTTCTATCTTGTTGGTGAACATGTAGTGGGGTTGGTGTTTGGGTTAAAGGTGCTGACTTGATGTTGTTATTGCACAGGCGACCCAACTCCGCACCGCCGTCCTCTCCGCCGCAGCCGACGCCGCCAAAGTCCCTGCTAAATCCTCGGCGGGGACTTTCTCCGGTAAGGGACAATCCCTCGGCGCCACCACGACCCCAGACGGTACAACAAATGGCAGCAGATACGTGCCCGCTCCTTCCTTACCCAACTTCGGCGCTATGCTAAGTTCTCCCGCCACTTTTGCGCAAGGTTCGGGGTTCCCGCAGACAGCGGTGAGGTTTTTGGGACTTTACTTTACGAGTTTGTTTAGTCTGGATCCTGAGGCGGCGGCGAGGGAGAGTCCTTTTGCGCTGCAGAGGGGTGGTGGAGGTGGGAGTGGGAGTAGGGTTGGTAGCGTACGGTAGATGCGGTACAGGGTTCGGTGGTGAGGGATGAGATGGTTTCTTGGAGTTGGTGCTCGGGTGGTTGGGGATACCCTTTGTTACGAGTTATGGAATTGTGCATTTGCATGGAATGGTGTTGAAGGCGATTCTTGGGTAGATTTGGTGAAAGTGCGCTTGGACTTCACGAGTGCACGGCTTCATGTGCTCTAGCCCTCAAGACTTGTGCTCAGGCGTCGTGGACATGATAACGGGACGAGTGGGAGGTGAGCAGTATGCTCTTTTCTCCCATTGCCACTCTATCTGATTTGACGTACCCATCTGTGAGTAGTCTGTCTGTGTGCAGAGCTGAAACAAAAGTTGGAAAGTCATGATCCGTCTTCTTCATCATCACCATGATCTCATCTCATCGCCTCATCAGCATCAGGAAATCATCCCCATCGTGTCCACCAACCAGTGGCAGAGCACCCGTGCTCTCAGAGAAGAAAGAAGAAGCAGCTTTTTACAAGCCCTCCTCAATCTTCTTCACGCACTGCGGGAACTCCTTCCAATCATACATAACAACCTTACACTTCGTCTGCTCCGTCAACACCTTAGCCATCTGCTCCTCCTTCTCCTTGCCCTCCTCAATCCCATAAATCCCCACATACGCCACCGTCGGGATATTCGCCCGCATGCCCGCCGTAGCACCGGACTTGGAGTCCTCGACCGTCAGCGTCTCCTCGGGCTTGACACCCAACTCCTTGCAGGCGAAGAGGTAGATGGCGGGATCCGGTTTGGAGGAGGGAGTCGGCATGGAGGTGGCGGCGCTGTAGACGTGCTCGTCGGTGAAGAAGCGCATGAGGTTGCATTTCTTCAGGGAGGCGACGACGCGGGGTTTGGCCGAGGTGGAGACGACGGCCATGGGGTAGCCTTCTTTCTTGGCCCACTCCAGCTGCTCCGTCACGCCGGGGCATTCCACGCATTTCTCGCTCAGCTTTTGGGTCACTTTGCCCAGTTCTTTGCTGACGTAGTCGTCGACTTCTTCGGGCTTCATGGAGAAGTTGTGCTTCTTCTGCAGGCCGACGAGCATGTTGCGGAAGTTGTGGCCGACGAAGTCTTCGAGCAGGGAGTCGACGTCGTAGCGGGCGGAGATGTTGTGTTTCTCCAGCACTTCGTTGGTCAATTCCGAGCAGGCTTCGAAGGCCAGGCGTTCGGATTGGCAGAGGGTGTTGTCGCAGTCGAGGAGGATGTACTTGACTTTTCCCATCGTGGCGGTGTTGTTGGGTTGTGTGTTGAGTGGTGGAGGTAGTAGTGGTTGGTGGTATGGGAGTTCTTGGGTGAGCTCTGTGTACGTTGTCTTGTTGTTGTTATGAAAGGAGAGAATGAAGCTTTTGTTGAGAAAAAGTGAGAGTCGGTCAGTGTTTTGGCTTTCGTACCACTGCGTTGTCACCTGCACGCAAGTGAAGCGATTGGGAGTCAACAGATCTACCTGCAGGTGGGGCTCGACTGGCTAGACCAAAGGTGGATCGCGGGGTCCCCACGTGCCTTCCTCATTCCCCCTCGAGCTATCGAAGCTAGCTACACTCAATTGCTCGCCACCCGTAGCATTCACTGACAACCCAAGTGAAGTTGCCACTCTCTAGATACATCAAGCGGGAGGCTAATATGGCAATGAATTCAATGCACTGCTCATCTCACAGTACATCATTCTCAACTCACGAGACGGTGCAAGCAGCGATACGTTGAGTGAATGACTGACTGTGGCTCTGCATACTTCCACTCCTCTTCCTTGCCCCCTTTTCCATCGACACCGACTCCACCGAGCTCTTGCGCTGCTCGTCTACCTACGTACCTGCGATACGACCTCACCAAGCACTCAACAGCCCTTTCACTCTTCTCTGCCCTTCCACTTCTTGCTACTCGATCTAGGATGGCGGACGTTTCAGCACGACGCTAGCAGGCTGAAGCTACCAGGCTGAAAGTTGCCGGATGCGCACCCGTCTGCATTGTCTTGGTCAGCATTCCGTTATATAAAAAATAGCTCACTACACATCATTCTCGCGAGACTTCACCACGGCCATGAGAAGCGGCGACAACAGGGAGCCAGAGCATGACGGGAGTCCTTACTCTAACCAAACCCCACGGTGTTCCATGAGCATCACCGTACTGGGTCACGAAATTGATTGCGATCTACGTCAGCACGCTTCTTCCACTTACTCGCTCTCCTCCTTTATCTCCTTATCCTCCCGCCCCTTTCTCCTTCCTCCCGACCATCATGTTACTGTTCACCTTCACAAACAACCCCGGGCCTTGTAGAACCAACGATCTCTCCGCTCTTGACAGCTAAGGGTATACTGATCTCGCTGAAGGGCGAGCAGACGTTATTGGCGCCTGGGGTGAACCTGCAAGCTTCGTCGCCCGCATTTTGGGTCGTGCAGCCGCCTTGGTCTGGAGTCGGAGGAAATTAGCTTTTATCGGACGTACCTATCATCTGGGCCGTTTTGGCGTATGGGAGAGTGCCGGCTAGCAACCCTGGGTTTTTCTCCGTGCTGCTGATTCTGTGAATGTGGGTATGGTGAGGTGTGGAACGTACGAAGACTTGTATGAGGGCGTAGGGTGACGGGCCTTGCTGGGTGTCGAGAAAAGAGGCAGCGGTGAAACCCGCGACGGCAGCAGCGAGGATGGATTTGGTAGACATGATGGCGAAGGTGGATGTTGGAACGAGCTGAGGGTGATATACGGGGCTGAGTGTGATGGTGGAGGGACTTCACGGGACTTGATGCTTGGAGGACATATCTCTGGTGGAGAAATGGAAGGCTACTTATGCCCTCGCCGGGACAAGGACACCTCACCAGCCCCTGAGCTGGAATGCGGCCCTTCGCTCCCGAATCAGCGTCACTGAATTATCCCTCATGTTTGCCAAAGTCATCAGCTCCCAACAGACCTTCTCCGTCAACAGGCAACGATCTGCCATTGACCTCGCCCGGGCAATGCTAGGTAGGCTTACCTCCCTCGTCATTTCCAATCGAGGTGTACCTTGCATCTATCCAACGACTGTCTCGATATAGTACACCACCGCCAGGAACTTTGAATGCAGACAATGTTGGTATCCTTCGATTGGTTTCCAAAGCCCGTGCGGAATGACTCTCGTCGAGGTTGGACTAACACAGACTGGCCAGGAACTGCACGAGCATTGGGCGTGCTAATTGGGCGTCGATAATAAGGACGTCATTACATGAGTGCGTGCATGCGATCCTGGGCATCAGCTGATGGCTACGAAGTTGACTGACTATACAGGGAGCCCACTGTCAGCCTAGCATCACCACTGTCGTTCTTATCAAGGCTTAAGTGCTGATGATCATCTGACAGCCAGTGGAAGAACCACTTCTATCCATCCCATGCGTCCTAACAGCTTGGTCGGTACAGTGTAGCCGCAAGTAGGTGGCCACTGTCAGGCCTTGTCCGCTGAACGATCAAGCCTACAGCCAGCCGCTACCTCGTACCGGATACGGCAGGAGGACTTCGGGGCCGAGCGTGATGCTGTTGTATCTTGATAGCATTAATGCTCGTGATGAAGTACCACGGTAAGCTGATCTCGTCGCCGGTTCACCATGTAAGAGGCCTTGTGTGAAAGGCCACATCACGATGCCCGCCATGTCGAGCGTGGCCGATGACAGTAAGGTATTGAGAACGGATACCATAGCGGGAGATCTCTTTCCGTATCGACCGAGATTGTGTTAACTTTTCGTACAACAACGGATTTGAGAGCGCCCAACTCGTTGTGGCTACGAATGCAATCAGCAGAGGATGAAGACGCTCTGTATGACGTTCACCGCTCTTACGTGCAGGTCAAACACGGTGTAAGCTTGATAACGGTGGGCGAAGTAAACTTGGTGATAGTTAGTGATGGGTGGTGATTGGCTGACTGTCAACAATGGTATGAAGCACGAACGCTGCATAGGTAGTCAGTCATGATCGATCGTGCTGTTCACCCTCCTCACTACCACCCTCAAGGCGTTCTCGGAAAGAAGTCAATAGTCATCCATCATCGCTATCATCCTCACGGCCGAAGCTGTGCAACGCTTGTCTGTGATGTTGTCCAGGCGCCAGGGCAACGCCTCCCAGCTTCGGTGAAACAGGCGACGCTGACGGTATACATGTACTCTTTGTAGCCGAACGATTGGCGTTTGAACGATGGAAAGCCAGCAGGGTACCTCGTACACGATCGATTGTCCCGGCATGAAGCTAATGCGTACTATACAGAGGCTATTGGATTCGAGACCATCTCATATTGGAGTCCCTCTCTCGTCAGAGCAACCATACTCTCTGGTCTCCCCGCGCATCCGTGGCCCCTAGAGCATTCAGCCGGCCATAATGTAATCTCAGACACACCGCGATGATGGCTGTAGCGAAACTGCAAGCCGCACAGGTAAAGTTGCCGGTCGGATATCCCTTATGCGCTTCCGCAGGTTTCCATATCCACTGAGCAATAACCTGACTCACACCGGCACAGCTATTGTTCAATGCTGTCGCAATGCCCATCGTAACGATACTAGGCACGTTGCAAGTGACCCACGCACTCAACGGCCCAGAGGAAGGGAACGCCCCACAAGCGCAGAGCATCAGACATCCATAGCGCTGGATATATGCATCTTGCGGTAGTAGACCAGCTGTTAGCCAGCCGATCCCGCCGATGACGGAGGATGCGGTGATGTGCCAGCCTCGGGCGTTGAAGCGATCGGCAGAGTAGCCTAAGAAGAGACAGGCGCAGTAGCCTACTATCCAGGGTGGGACGGTCATGAGTTGGGCTCTGATGGAGGTGTAGCCTAGACCGCTGACGATTGTAGGAGTGAAGAAGGTTAGGGAGCCTAGGGGTACGCAATCCGTCATCTGTGTCATCTGTCAGTCAAAAGCAGTAGGCCTGTGATGACAAGCATGTCACATACGTAGGCGAGGTAGTGCGCCATCATCCTTGGACTGAAAACGGTCTCCAGGATCTCCTTCCTCGTCGAGCGCTCGTTGGTGTACCCACCGCCTTTGACTCGGATGCGTGCTTCAACAAACTTCTTGTCGTCGTCTGACAAGAACTTGGCTCGGCTCGGGTAGTCGGGCAAGAAGCAGACGACAAGGATGACACAGAGGACTGTGAGAAGGCCCTCGATCTATGCCACTGTCAGTGGATGTCAAAGTGGATAACTCGGGCAAACTAACAATGAATAACCATCTGAATCCTTCAAGGCCTGCGGCGCCGTTGAAATGGCCGACACCGTATGCGATGCAGCCACCGAACGCACCAGCTGCGGTCGCAGATGCTAAGACGAATGCTATCCTGACTGATCGTTCTTCGACGGGATACCAGAACGTAATCTGTAAAGCATGGTCAGTGGATGTCGCTTCCGCAAATTCTCACCAGTATTGCTCACGAGGTACACGATCCCGGGAAAGAAACCCTGTAGTATGCTATCAGTAGTGGTCCTGATCCATTTCAGACACGAGGCATCCGATACTTACAGCCTCAAAGACACCAATGAAAAAGCGCAGCACAACCACCTCTGCATAAGTCTTCACACCACTAAATCCGATGGTGAAAACGCCCCAGCAAAAGAGAAGAGTGGCTAGCCATCTCGACGGCCGCACATATCGCTTCATAATCCAGTTCGATGGCACTTCGAAAAGGGCGTAGGCTAGTGAGAATAGCGACACAGCAACGGCATATCCAGTGGCTGTCATGTGCGTCCGCTGGATCAGATCGTCGCCAGTCTCCTGGTTAAGCACTTTACTATTGCCAATATTGCCACGATCCAGGTAATTGAGGAGGTACATAAACGCACACAGTGGTAGGATCTTGAGATCGATGCTCCTGACCACTCTTCGTACGCGAGCTTTGTCGTTGAAGTCGTAGACTTCTTGGCCATCGATTTGGCTATCACCTTTCGGCGAGGCATTGCTTGCGGATTCGTAATGGTCGACTTCTAGCTTGTCCATGGTGATGTGCTAATGGTGATGTGAGGTTGGTGTAGAAGAGAACGCTTTTGGTTCATAGTGAGCAGTGAACCTAGCCAATGCTGAAAGCCAAGACCTCGTGGGATTTCTTGCCGACAACGGCGACGGCAGTGTACTACCGTTCATCGTGACGAGGTTATGCCTACGTAAGGGCGTAGTCGTATGGATGTAGCGATGGAAGCAGGCGAAACTGTGGGTGAAAGCATGCTGATCCACCTCCACGGTGATCACTTCCTTCTGCGGGGCTGAGGTGTGGAGTGGCATGCACGACCTCCGCACGACCTCTGCAGATCTCATATCGTGGCCACGGACGATCACGGCAATAGGTTAGGCACCGAAGCCTCGAAGATTTGCTGACGTGAAGGAGATCCTCATGGTTACGAGGCTACCTAGCCAGCTGCGAGTGGCATGCTGGGTCTAGCCGTCGCTTAGACTTCCTGTATGTACTCATAATCCGCCTTTCTGGATTCCCTGGGATCATGATCAAGATCTTCCGTATCAAGCTGCTCAAACATCTCCGGTGGGGCGAGACCATGTGTCTCGTTGAGTAGTATACCCACATCCACATCTGCCACCGTCCGATGAGACGTCCTTCGCTGTGACTCCGGGAGCTTTGTATTAAGGAACATGGCCAGCAGACCACCGTCATACGCAATTTTCAGGACAGCAGAGATGACAAACACAGCTCCCCACATCTTCTTCTCATGGAAGTACCCTGTAAGCATTGGTCCGCCAGCAGAGGCCACAGTTCGAACGAGATTGAGCGTTCCCATCACCGCAGTCCTTTCAGAAGGAAGGAAGACAGCTGCAACGAATGCTGATCGTGGTGCTTGGTCCATACTGCCAAATGCAGAGCTGGCAAGCAGTAGCAACGCCATGAGCCACCAATTTGGCGCCAGCGGGATGAAAGCCAGGAAGATTGCGTTGGGTAGATGCGTGAAGACCATGGCTCGGATGAGTCCGAGCCTGCGGGCCACGCTGGCCGAGAACAGGTTGGCGACACTAGCGGCCAACCAGACAGCTGCCATCGTGTAGCCGATACGGTGTGTCAAGAACCACCTGTATCGCCAGTTCGCATACCATGACATGAGAGTCACAGGCAGCATGCCACTGGCGAAGGAGTTGACCGCAAATAGTATACTTAGCTTGATAAGAATCTTCCGACTCTCTGGTGACATCTTCGTGCTCACAGTGGCGCTCATTCGGCGGATAGTGGCAGCGACAGGTTTCGTGTAGGACTGTCTTCGATTGTGTTCTGTCATCAAAGGAGCAGAAGCCTGCTGGTCCTCGACGTCCATCTCGGTCTGCCGATCGTAGTTTTGCTCGCAGTTCTCACTGAGAGCAAATGTCAAGATTATCTTGATTGCCCCTATGATGGCGTACAAGCCGAATATCACTGGATAACCTCTCTTCCAGTCCCAGCCTGCGTACGTACGCAGAGCGTAAGTGATCCAGCCACTAATGCAGAGGCCCAGTGACATCCCAAGTGTTGAGGTGACAGCAAACCATGCGTAGACGTCCGTTCGTGCATCTAGGGGAGTCAGCTGAGCGAGGGTCGACTCCTGCGACAAGATTAGGGACGAATCCAACTGTGAGAGGGACCATGACACTTACCTCTACAGCTCTAAACGGCCCAACCTCGTGCGCACCTGGCGTAATCACGCCAAAGATCGCAGCGACAAGTAGCATGTAATAGTTCTTACTGAAAGCGAACACCGTGCCCGCGAACACCATCAGCATGCTTCCTATACGCAGCACCCTCCGCCGGCCAATCTTATCTGCCATCATTGTCAAGGTGTAGCTGATAACGGCATCGCCAAGCAGGGTCATGGTCATGAAGGTTCCAATCTGGACGCCATTGTTCCCAGCAGTGTACAGGAAGATGCCGAGGACTAGAGCAGCACCTCCATAGGCAAACATGCGCAGGAATCGCGAGAGCAGGATGATATAGATGTCGCGTGAGCCATGTGTGAGCAAGCTGTGAAGACTAGTTTCGTGTAGCAGCCATTCTGAGAACGCCATGTTGGTGGATGGAGACAGAGTCCGGTATATCGTTTGAATCGACGCCGACGCCAGATGTCGAAGGGGTCGTAGCACGAGATGTCACAAAGTTAAGAAGAGTATACAAGAGGTAGAAGATAGGCAGCAGTGATCAGATAATCAACTTACCAATAACGAAGCTTACCTAGCGCGGTGTCGGCACCGTAGCCATGGTGTCATGGACGCCATTCGTTGACAAGAAGTCGATCTGCGGCTTCTTCATGGTGTAAGCGTCACGATAATGCACGACCGAAGTGGGACGATAGGAGCTTGGTGAGCAATGTATAGCTCTTGCATGATGTTGTTATCTCTGATTGGTGATATCTCGTGAAGTAGCTGTTGCAGGTCAAGCGGGGAGCGGAGTGAAGTCCAGCTCCGCAATGAAGCTTAAGCTCGGACGAGCGGAATTAGGAAGGAACGATAAAAGTGTCATCTTGGCTACATTCATGCTCGGATCATGAATTGTGAGACGATGTAAGGCTTCGCTTCCCTTCCTGAGTGCAGGACCTTGGGTCTTACTCGAGATATCATCCTTCGCTTTCTGCGTATAAACCACATATTCGCCTCTCTTGGCTCTAAAGTGTCCTGCTTCGACCTACTCCTGTACGTCGCCCACACCTACTCTGTGGAACGGAACACCAATATCGCGCTCGACTCTCGTTTTGATACCATCGATAGTGTACCTCGGAGGATCATTCTTATGGCCATAGGTTTCGCCCTCGCCATCGGGCGCGGCACCGTCTTCGAAGAAAGCGTTGATCATTTCCCACTCCTCGCTATGCTTCTGGTCTCGCCACTTGTCAAACTTCTCCATCTTTGACACAATCAGTCTCAAGGATCGAATACTTGTCGGCTTGAACCAGTCTTCGACCTCGTCGTAGTCATATTCGTAGCCAGCATGATCATACGAGGGTGAAGGCTCTCTCTTTTCTCGACGGGCATATTACAGCTTATCTCGCGCCTCGTAAAGATGGTTGAACGAGGCGTTTGGATCCTTGATGGTATTGCGATCAAAGTCGATGTCCTTACACACGCAACAGTCTTTGCGGCACTGGCCATTCTTCTTAGTGGAATGACAAACTCTTAAGCGCTTGATCTTCACCTCCAAAGGGAGCATGTGTTCTGCTGTGTAAATACCATTTGGCAGGCTGATCCTCCTTTCGGAGGTTGGCTTCGTGAAGCGTGGTGGCCCATTTTGCTCGATTTTGGTAGGCGGCATACTGTGATCTAGGCTGATGGCAGCTACAGTCAAGAATGCACCCTGTTCTACCAATGAAGCGAACTCAGAACTTGGGACACATCGCCCCGTTCGCTCTTGATTGATCGATCGCCGTGATGAATCGCGAATCTGGCACGTAGCACGTGACTAAGACTTCGGACGAATCCCCGTGGTGTTCGGGTTCGCATCGATGCGGTGTCGCTGTTTAGTCATTACGATTCCCTCGTGGTTTGATCATATATCTCGTGTATCGGCATTCTTCTTGTTTGTAAGATTGTCCATTATCCATAGGCTGTATACCGTTACTACGTACAGTGCTCCCGGCTGGAAACCAGTCATACTAAGATAACAAACTTCTGCAGCACTGTCTTTTCGATGAAGGACCGTACCGAACACACAGCGCACCTCTAAACGAACACGACTCTGCATGAGTGCCATTACGCCTGCAAAAACCTGCTCGATCAAGCTCGCTCAGTCTTATCGCTGAACGTGTCTATGCAGTAGCAGGCAATCACTGCTCCTGCTCCTGTGTGACCCCTCATTTCAACACCGTACCTGGGAACGAGCGACTGTGCCAGCAATTTCATTAATATGCCTCACCAAAGGCGGACCAGTACCAGGATACTGTGTAGAGTATCTTCACATCAAATTTCAAGCCACCGACGTGCACAGGTCTTGGTTTGCACCACCAGCAACGACATAAGCCGAGAGATGGCGGTCACTTGCCTGTCCCGGGCATTGGAGTGACACTGGAAGGAACAAGACGACGAGGCACAGATGCGAGCCAGCAAATCTTAGTATTCGACCTTCCGCCCTTTCTATCGCTCTTTTGCGCATACTCAAACTATTTCACGGCTATCGGCGGCACCTTCGATCTTATCTATGGCTCGGCTGCAAATGTGGTCCGTTGCTTGTAGGATATTGGCTAAAGCTTATCTCGGACCATCCATCTTTGGAAGTACTGCTCATGTCGCGTGCCGCACAACCGATGCTGCGATGCAACACTCCCTTGTCGATGCTCTGCGCGAAGGTGTGGTGGTACATATACAAACAAACATGGTAGGTCAAGTCCACGTTCCGCTTCAATTCGTTTCTATTTCTTCGCATACACCCCGACCTTACAACTCAGGATGGCGAACATCATAGCAATCCGGCCTGGTAATATGGATACGCAGAGCGTGGCGGAGATCTTCACCCCACGCAAGCTCTCTGTGGAGGAACATGGTGAGGTTGTCGCTCCCGCGGTCCGCGAACGTATCTGGGGTCCAGCAGCTCGAGTCGATTCGACGGTGACATTCGAGGAGTACCAGTACTGGGCTAAGGAGGAGCGTGCTTTAGAGGAGGAAGAGAATCGGCTCGATCAAGCTGAGAGGGGTCCGCGCACAGCCCTGTCAACTATCACCGGCCGCTTCTCCAAGGGTGTGCGTCAGGAAAGTGCTGAGAAGGATAAGAAAGCTCTCGAACGTACCCACAGGACTGTCGACGAGAAGAACGGGGACGGCACTGTCACTGATACAAAAGGCGACTCACATGGCTCGATGCTCTCGCCAGCTACCTTAGCGGCCACCCACACTGAGTGGCGTGATGCTGCCCGTGTTATGCGCACAGCCAGCTGGGGGTCGATCTTCTACCTCATTACCACTGACATCCTTGGCTGGTCCAGTACCCCGTACGTCTTCGCCAGCGTCGGGTTTGGACCTGGTGTGGCCTTGTACGTGATCTTTGGCCTTGCTGCTGGCTTCAGCGGCTGGATTCTTTGGCAAGTGTTCTTGGGTCTGGATTCTGCCCGCTACCCTATGATGAGTTTCGGCGACCCATTCTTCCGTGTGTTCGGAAAGAGAGCACGCCATGCCATCAATATCATGCAGTCCATTCAGCAGTTTCTGACTGTCGCCGTGCTAGTGCTTGGGCAAGGTGTGTCGTCGACAGCCAAAGCTAAAAATAATCCATGATATACTGACCGGCTTTCAGCGTCTATCATCGCACAGATCGCAGGTGCCAGGATCTGCTTCATTGTAACGATGGTATGGAGAATTCCATCACCATGCCTCGAGCTTTAATTGACGAAATTCAGATCATTGTCATGGTCGTCGGCATGATTCTGGGCAGCATCCGAAGTCTGCAGCGCTTGAGTTGGCTATGCAATGCTTCAGTCTGGATGAATGTTATCAACTTCATAATCATGTAGGCGCCTCACGATCAAATGTACGATTTGATCGAGCTGACCTCGAACAGCCTCGTCGCTGCCGGCAAATACCCACCTGACTACGAAACGATCTTCGCCCAAACAGTATTGCCCAAGCAAATCATGCCGAAGCGCACATTTGCAGGTCCACCGCCACCAGACTACCAGCTACAGTCAAAGAACGAATTCGCTGCCCAATTCAACGGGGTGGACTCGATGGTTTGTGAGTAGACATGACTTATCTGCGGATTCGTCGCCGTTACTGACTATTGTGATCCAGACGCTTACTCTGGTCTCATCTTATTCATTGCGTTCCTGGGAGAGATGCGGCACCCTATGGACTTCTACAAGGGTCTCTTCTTGGCGCAAGGTTTCATCTGCTTGGTCTACATCTGTTTTGGTGCCGCAGTATGTCAACACTTAAGCTTTGACAGTCGTGCGTGCGAGCTGACATGTTCTTTGTCAGGTTTATGCTGAAGTCGGTCAATATATGGTCTCTCAGATCGGCCAGTCCATCCAGCCATACTCGATTCAGACCGCTGGTAATGTTTTTAGCTTGCTGACGGGCTTCATTGCTATTGGTGAGTGATCGACACCGAAGTGCGTGCAGTGGCATATGGGCTGATTGTTCTTCCAGTCCTCTACTTCAATGTCTGCATGAAGACAATCTATCTCGAAGTCTTCCAAGAGATCTTTCACTTCCCGTCCATCACTACGAAACGTGGCACATGGATGTGGTTCGGACTCGGACCGCTGCTTTGGATTCTAGCCTTCATCGTTGCTGCTTCGGTTCCGAATCTCAATGGCATCGTCAATGTCGTCGGCGGTCTGTTTTCGCTCAACTTCACGTACAGTATCCCGGCTCTCTTATGGCTGGGCTACAGTGTCAAGGACGCCTCCGCATTAGAAGGCGAAGGATTCAATCCTGCTACTGGTGAGACCACACGGCTTGATGGGGGCGTGAAGCGATATGTTCGAGGCTACCTCAAGCGTCCGATCTCCCACACCATCACGCTGCTATACTTCACTGCTGGCCTCGCCTGCTCTGGCATGGGATCGTGGGCTGCCATCGAGGGTTTGATCTCAGTCTTCGGACCTGGAGGTACTGTTGCCACTTCTTGGGGTTGTGCTAGCCCTGTGGGTTAGATCGCCGACTCTGCTCAGCATCGACGGTGCAGATATCATGAGCTTTGCATGTCTTCACAGATTGTCTTCGACGTTCATAGGATTTAGCTTGAAGCTTGTCCTGTGCATGGGTGAGAACGGTTGATTGCCGCCTATGGTGAAGACCCTTCCACTTCAGCATGTCCCATGCTACAGCTGTATATCTTATACTTAACATTTATTATCAATTTACTATAGTTTAGATTCCCAAAATGCAGTGAGAACATGATCCTATCGTACGATACTGACATGATATTGGAAGGCCTACAGCAAAAACATCCTGTTGTGGCAAAGTTGTCAATTCTTGAAATAGCTGTCCCTATATGCTGACGGCTGTCGCTCTGGCAATGCAAATTTTGCTCGCGTAGGCTAGTTCTCCTAGATACGTGCAATCATTGTAACTAGATCGAGTGAGCGATCGCCACCCTTTCTGCGTCACGCAACCTAGAAGTACACATCGGCTGTCTCATCAATGCCTTTTGCCTGCCTGACTTGCACACCAGGCGGCAAGACATCAAGGTCCAGTCCTAGCGCGCTGTGTTCAACACGCGAATGCTACTCTGGCTATCTGGAATGTTGATGGCGAACGATTGAGGAACATTGGTCTCCTATGAGGCGGTACTGTAAGAGATTCGCTGTAGCAATGCCGACAATAATGGTTCATTGCATGCAATATGAACTACCTGTACATGGGCTCGACGATGTGCGTGACGGCAGATTGCCTGTTCCCATCATGGTACAATGGCACTCGATCCCATGAGTTGAGTTTTTAGTACAATTTTGCGATACAGCGATACGCAGGTTCAGAAATTTGTCGTACGATTGTTCTTGTCAGCGGCGAACGTTTCAAAATCAGCAGGACGCAGTCCTAGCGAAAACACCCTATCACGCTAGGCGATGGGCAGAACGATATATGCAACAAGGAATGATCTCGGCTGACTGCGCGACAGCCTTGCCACATAGTCAGGTAGCTTTTACAATAGAGTGTCGCACGAGAGGGCAGCATGCACATAGCGCCATCACCGACATTGCCTTCGACGGTATTAAGGACCAGAATGGTTAGAAAATATTTGCGCCGCTGCTGGAACCGTAAGAGCGAGACACAGGGACACGGCCAGACACTTTGTCAGAGAGTGGAAGTCAAGTGCGTGATCGTTCATCCACGATCGATCGGTAGACTGTGCGTGAGGTCGAATTGACAACCTATAGGACAATCCGTAAATAAGGGCGAGTCGTACTCCAATGATATTTACAAGAACGTGAAATAGTGTGGCCTTGATTCGGCCCTCACCAACCAACGAAGCAATACTCGTCCAGCGAGTCTGCAGTCTCAACCCTCAATCTCATCCCTCACCGTGAAGTCCCTAGCATGACCGCGCTCCTCCTCCCTCTTGCCCGCTTTCGCCGGCATAGAGAAGTCAATACAACTCTCATAAGTCTGATCAATACTCCTCGCATCCCAAAACATCTGGATCGCACACTGGCCAGCCTGAGCACACTTGCTGCCCAGGTTCGTCGGCATAGTAATGGAGAAGTTCTCTTCACCATCAGGGATCGAGGCCGAGTTTGAAGCATAAACGGACCACGACTTCAAGTTAGGTGCGATGACTGTCCCGTCGGGCGTCGTGATGTCGATAATGGAGACGTTGGCTACGCCCGTGTGAGGAGCTCGGATGGCGAAGTTCATAGCGACAGATTGGCCGGGGGTGTATTTCTGTACGTTGGCGGTGTTGTCGGCATATTTCATGCCTTTGCATTTCCAAAGGCGGCACGTGGAGGGGTTGTAGTCGGATTGGCCTTTTGTGGTTTGTTGCAGGCCTTGAACATTGCCATTGATGTCACCGGACATTTGGTAGAAGGCTTGCATGCCACAGGATTGTTGGAAGGCGGTGCCTGGTTGACGGGCTTTGGGAGTGACAAAGTAGCCGTGGGCGTTGGCTAAGGTGGCCAGCGAGGCAGCGGCGAGGAGGGAGTGGATGAGCTGCATGGTACGATCTTGTTGGTATTGCTCGGTGAGATTTTGTTGTTCAGTTCTGAGTATCGAGTGTAGAAATTGAAGCACCTGTGCTCCAGAAATGAATGTGATGAACGAATGGACAGCTCGCAGAGCTCAAATATGAAAGGCGACGGGCGGAAAAGATGACTGTCTTGCTAGAAATCTCTGCGAAGCGGACTGAGAAATCTCAGGATACATATATTCCTAGATTTTCATCCTCTCGTCTTCTGTATCAGATGGACGGGGTATCAGACTCCATCTGAACGAGATGGAACGAGATTCTCCGTGGTGGAAGTGATGAATGTGGATTCGTACCGGTCGATGATACACGAGTGCAGGCGGTCATCGTGCAGTCCACGACACGCGGCAGGCGGATGTAAATGCGTGAGTGTGGGAGCAATCTATCTGAAAGCTCGAATGGTTTTGTACTTGTTTCAGGACAGCAAGCGTGAAATCGGAACGGCATGCCTCGATCCACGCAGCAAGGGCTGAGAAATACGTCTTAGGATCTGGGTAGACATCGATCTTGTTAGCATTGGTCGTCTGGGACATCGATCGCTCCTAGCATGTTCTTGAGGGGATTTGAATCGTTAGAGGAGTCGAGGAATATGGAGCGCTGAGCCCGTGAATGTCGCAAGCGCAAGCCATGAGCACGTCGCAAATCATCCTGTCCACTAACATAGTCTGGCTCCAAGGTTGGTGAATTGTTGCATGGTACTACAGGAGACTCGAGCACACCACAGTATCGGCGAAGTACCGCTATCATGCTCGCTGACAGGCTGCCGCCCAAGATGGAGTACAATCAGCAGCATAAAAGGAACGCTCTTCGAAGTGATGCGTCGACTGGTGTGCCAGAAGCTTGTAGTCCTTCACGACTATTCAGCGTGTTCTTGATCAGCGAGCCAGCAGTCCAGCCTGAGCTCGGGGGCTGACGATACTGGATCTCGTTGCTGAGCAGTCAGTAGACGGCTCTCATCTCCATTTTTATCTGCCACCTCGAGCGGTGGCGGCGCCAGTGACAGACGCCCAGGTGAGGCACCAAACAGAGATTGTAGCCTTCTTCGCGAGGATACTTGGGTATGCTTGCTCACTGAGATGAGCAATAGCATTCTTGTTCAGTGCAGAATCATGTTGCAAAGCGATTGGTGGTCTGTTTGGAAACCCAACGTATTGACGGCCACTTCCGCAACGTGGTCTGTGCTGCCAGCTTTTGTCGTCTCCTTCAACCAAGCTCCTCGATTCCACACCCACTGCGCCATCACTCCCACTCCACCGCCCATTGACCCATCAAACCCTCATCTCACCTCCAAGATGGGCTGGTACGACTACTTCACGGACATCACGTCCTCCCTCACCATCGGCAGCGCCTACGCTGACCAAAATGAGGGCATTTCCCGCTCTCCCGAAGACCTAGCGGGTAACATGTCCGACTCCAAGTCCGTGACGTCCGGCGGCATGGGTCAAGCTCAGCAACGCGGACAAGCCGGCGTAAAGGGTGGTGCGAGCACAAGTAGTCCTGCTAGTGGTACCGATGAGGAGAGTTCGGGGGAGAAAGAGGCCAATGAGGAGGAGCTCAAGAAGTCTACTTCGCAGAGTGGAGAGGCGGCCGCTGGGCACAAGCCTGGTGATGGCGGGGAGGGAAGCGGACAGAAGGGGCCCGAAGCGAGTGGGCCTCATGGTGGTAGCGTAAAGGCTTTGAGCGGGGCTTCGCAGCAGGAGAAGGAGGAGGGTGAGGATGATGTCGCTGAGGATGACGATGAGGAGGAGGAGGAGGAAGAGGAGGATGAGCCTGAAGATCTGAAGCCCAAGTTTGAGGAGGGTAAGGTTAACAAGTGGCGGCTACCGGCCATTGTACGACATAGGCCATGACGCAACATTGGCTAACATTGCAATCGCAGAGTGTATGCGATCTCAGAAGTGTGCACCTCTCAAGCATCACTACGACGAGTGCTCTGAGCGCGTTACCCAGCAGCACGAGCAGCACGGCAAGGCTCACGAGGATTGTGTGGAAGAGTGTACGTTCTAGCCCGGAGTGCATATGCCCAGGAGCTATCTGATCACTGATAATTGTTTTCAGACTTCCACCTCATGCACTGCGCCGCCCAATGTGCTGCTCCCAAGCTTTGGAAGTCTCTCCGGTAGACGCCTAATACCATGACCTGAGGCGATGACAGGAGACAATTCAGCGCTCACGGCAATCACAGAAGCTTTCCACGCCATGAGCAGATCCTTTGTCGCTTCAGGTCACACAACAATCAGACCGACCAATCCCCGCCTGTATAGCAGTCCTGATATATGTACTATTGCTGCCGTATGTAGAAGTGTTAAGTTTGCTGCATCTTGACTTGGCTTTCCAGCTTTCGAACTCTGTCCGGACAGCCAATATGCCTGTGCTATTATGGACTTTGATTACATGAGCCCGAGTCCAACATATGCCATTAAAGTTGCTGGCGGAGAATTGGCATTTGGTTATGTCCGTGCTCGGCCCTTTCGGCTTGAAACTCAGCGCGGTTGTGACGTAGAACAGCTTCGAGCTTCGAGCTTCGAGCTTCATTTCAAGGTCCGACCTTAATCTCACAAATTCCTTTATACTGTACCAGAACAATGTCGACCACTATGCTCAAGACTACATCAGCGCTGCGCGCAGCTGTGCGCAACTCCGCGCCATTGACAACTAGAGCCGCCGCTTTCTCCACCACATCTGCAGTCCAGCAGAAGGCCACCCTTCCGGACCTCAAGTGTAAACACCCAATATCTGGACTTGAGATTGGTGGTACGATACTGACTTCCTCTTTCAGATGACTACAATGCTCTCGAACCCGCCATCTCCGGCAAAATCATGGAACTCCATCACAGCAAACACCACCAAACTTACGTAACATCCTACAACGCCGCACAAGAAAAACTCGGCGATGCCCTCGCCAAAGGTGACATTGCCTCAGCGATCGCCACACAACCACTTGTCAACTTTCATGGCGGCGGGAATCTCAACCACACCCTCTTCTGGGAGAACTTGGCGCCCAAGAGCCAGGGAGGAGGAGAGCCGCCCAAAGGTGCATTGGCGAAGAGCATCGATGGCCACTATGGAAGTCTTGATGCGTTCAAGGAGAAGTTCAACACCGCGCTGGCCGGGATCCAGGGTAGTGGGTGGGCTTGGTTGGTACAGGATGTTGATACGGGAAGTCTGAGTATCAGGACTTATGCTAATCAGGATCCCGTGGTGGGCAAGTTCCATCCTTTGTTGGGGGTGGATGCGTGGGAGCATGCGTATTATTTACAGTATGAGAATAGGAAGGCGGAGTACTTTAAGGCGATTTGGGACGTTATTAATTGGAAGAAGGCGGAGGAGAGGATGAAGTAGGCACTACAAAGCTTGGTGGAGGTATGTCAGTACTGATAAGTGTTGTGTGTACATTAACGCAGAGGATCGTGCAGTACATATCAAGATTTATCATTGCGAAACAATGAATACATTGTCATAGCGATGATAAAGTCAAGTCATCTGAAGCTCAAGCTCCTTGGACCATCGAAGAAGAAATACGGACAGTCGACCGCATTTGCACCGAGCTATTCGATCTCATACACGATTCTCTTTGCATGATCAACAGAAGATCCTTCTCAACTCTCTCACGCGCCGTGCGAGGGGGAGCAGCATCCACTTCGTGTAGTGCCCCCTGTGGACGGAGATTGGTAGTGGCATTCTCTGCATCTCCTGACAGCCTGTCAGCTTGATCTGCAGCAAGGCATCAGCCCAACGATCCTCACCATGTGCCAGTCTGTGCAAAGCCTGAAGCTGCCTTAGATCTATCCAGATATGGTAAACCTTAAGTCCGATGTGGACTACTGTTCCAACAGCGTTGACTGTGTCTACCACCGCAGTCATGAATGTCTTCCAGTCTGGTGTTGGTTCGAGGATAGCGGTGGCGACGGCCGATCCATTGAGAAGTTGGGTGAGCAGGGGCTGGGTGGTGTTTGCTTGGGCTGACATGCTTGCTTATTGGATAGGTAGGAGGAGACTTGTTGCGGTCTGTAATCGAGAGTGTGGATTTGACTTACCTCTTCACACTGCGATCTACTGCTTCTTAAGGTCGTCTACGGCACGAATACATTGCGACAGAGCACCCTCCCGAACGCGACCACAGGAACCATAGGCTCGAAGGGAGAGTAGTGCGCGCAGCCTGCGCGCGCAGAGCGCTCATGAGCTCGGTGCTTTACCCGCACTGCTCAGGATCTTGCCGTCCCGCGAGGCAACGGAACTTACAGACGTGCCTGAGGTCATGCTTCACCACAGTGAAGTTGGTCGACCCAATCGGCCGCCATACCGAATAGCAGAGCGCCACTGTTTCAAGGATCGAGAGAAGCGCGGTGAGCCGCCGCGCGCGCGTTGAGCGTGCAATGCTGCGCGCATGGTGCGGGCACAAACGCAACCTGGAATGATTACGAAGTCTTGCCCTTCGAGTGCAGCCAAGGGGACCCCCAACGAGTGGCTGTGAGATCGCCTCGTACCCGCTGTCTCGGAGCGGGTTCCTGCAGTAGCGTGGCCTTGTTCACGACCTTATTATCCGCCGGCACCAAGCAAAAAGGCCAACGCCTTACTCAAGGCGTCCACGATGCTACAGCTCGATGAAAATCTGTGTAGATTTGAGATTCTCGCCCGTTCGTGTGACTTTCTCGAGTGTCATGATGAGTGGATCCTGGATATACTCTTCCAGAACATCGGTTCGGTGCACTTCTCGTGCGTAGTGACTGAAAGCTTTTGCCAGGAAGGCTCTCAGCTTGTACTTCTGCCATGTAGATGTCATGGTTGCGATGGACATATGCTGTGGACATGGCTTGCCGCCTTTTGATACTGGGGTGTGTGGATGTGGCAGTCCCAGAGGCGCGTGCTCAGCTGGGACTAGTGTAACGCTAGTGTTTCATAGCATGGTGTGTGTGGGGCAGCGTTGGTGAAGTCATGAGAGTTCAGCGACAGGGGGGAGTTCGGACATGAGATGGGACGTCTGCCTTTGATTTCTGTTTCCTTCTTCATCTGCAGCTTCACCAAGAAGTGTTCGTTCTTTTTTGCTCATTGCCTGCCTTTGGCCACCGTCAGTCCTTACAGTACACCAATCCTCTCAGCAACATCATCGCTCTGGTAGGCAGCCCATTCTACGCATGCCGCGGATCGCATCCTTCTCAGCTCTGCTTGTCAGAGCACGATCGGACACGTACAGCGCCTCTCCAACTCGTCACCACAACCCTGATCGCCTGGAAGCACTTCTAAAAGTCGTCTACAGTGGCTCAGATGAGCTTCTAATCAAGGCGTTTTCCGACCCGCAGCTGAGTGCCGCAATCGAACTTCTTCGGAGCATCCCAATCGCAGAGCTTCAAGCAGAGTTGGGTGCAACTCGAGTATACATTGAAGGAGGTACGATCATGCATTTCAGGGCTTCGTTGACATCATACCATGATGCTGATCGATAATCGTGCCTAGTATGCGGTCCAGCATCAGGCCGTGAAAGTTTTCTGAGTGCATTATCCGCTAGCTCGGGCTCTACCTCACAGCGGCACAGTCACGGGTCGCTTGTGTCTGCCATCACACAATACTCGGACTATTCGTCAAATACTGCGTCTGACTTTGATGTTGATCTTCGCCAGCGTTTCCACGATTCCACTACTCTCGGAGACAATTCGAGACATGCCCATGATGATGCAAATACCACCAAATAAATATTACTGTCCTGCTTGCCGGCAGCCTAAGACAGTCAAAAGGAACGACGCCAAGCGACACATGAAAGATTCTTGCGAGGTGCTGAGGAAGATGGCCTTTCAGACTTGGTTTGGATGTCCTTACTGTCATCAAGTCGCTGCAAAATCTCTCGAGGAATACAGACTCCATCTGTACGATCATGTTCAAGAAGGAGCTGCTCCAACACCCCATGCTGTGATCCGGCTTCGCAACCTTACGATGCAGAATCAACTGGTCGGACCCTCAACTGCGGAGCTACAGCGTAGGACAGGACGTCCTGACTCTTGGATGGAGCTGTTGTGGTTGGCAGACGATGTCATCCCTCTGACTCAGATTCTAGAAATTGGTCAGACTTTCTTTGGCTGGCCACAGACTGCACAGGGATATCAGAACCCCGTGGACTTTGTCAACTACCTACTGAGCATCGCTACGATCGGTCGACAATCACTGACCGCTGCTATCAACCCAATGGCTGTATCCGGCCCGTCCAGTACGCCAGGACGGCAAGCCGACCGTTACCCACCGCTGTATCTGAATGCTGGGCAAGGTACCTGCGATCTTGACCACCAACGGTATATCGACAATATGAGCGAACCACGAAGAACAGCCGACTCTATACCGTCCACTATCCCGTATCCTGTACCGGACTTCCCCACTGGCACCTTCACGTCCAATGTGGCCCTCCATGGCCAACGGCCGTCCAACAACGCACACTACCTTTCAAACTCGATGACCGGTCTGTAATGATATCACACTGCGTGCTTGCCGCAGCTATGGCTGCCGATCACACCCAGGGGCAGCTTTGCCCGTCAACCGGAATACAACTTTCAACACTTACTTGATGCATCCTCTCCGCACTGGCCACTATGTACGGCGACACCTGGACAAAGCTATCTACTCCGCTGGTTCAGAGTCTCATCTCACTAATGTTGATCCCGTCACACGCCCTCACGAGCAAGATGGATATGGTTCATGATAATAACGATATTTCCTTGTTTCTTACTGCGTTGTCAGCGATTTGCTTCCACATTGCATAGCGATCTGCTTGTAAAGCGTCTTTCACACTTTCATCCTCTCTTCTTCTGCATGCGGCTCTACAGTGTCGCCCGAGTGTCTCATAGAAGCATGTATCTTTGACTTCGTTGACAAACACTGGTGCGCAGGAAATACCCACTGAATCAGCCGTACTTGCTTGGTGACTGCGTATCCGGAGGTAATTCTCGCTCGGCATCCTTGCCTCTGCGCAGCGCTGAAGGCTTCCTCGTCCGCCCAACAAAATCATCTGCCCAGCCCTGCACTCTATCGGACTTCGCCTGCAGCGGCACAGGCAGCTTATGAGAACTGTCTCCAGATAAGACAATTACACTCGTACTATTCCTCGCAAACTTCCGACTCAGACTCTGCCCAAACGCGCACCCCTTGAAAGCACTCAAAGCCACATTCTGTATCAACACCACGTCGCCTGACCTCCACGCTTGTAACGAGCTGCGCAGGTCATCGGCCTGTTTGTGCTGGCTATCTCGGGGTGCGAGCCAGAAACTAACGCTGAAGCCAGCTCTGGTCTCGTCGCCAAGAACGATCTCAACAATGGCCATCTCGCGGTTGCTTCTGCGTAGGCTTACGGTTCGTGATGGCGAGATGGATATGATGGCTGCTAGGATGTTGACGGTCACGGTTTGTGGTTGGATGCGGGTGATGTGTTCGGCTGATGGGATGCCCTTGAGATCTGTGACATCGCCACGCATGGGGAGGCCATTCGTATCGTTCGCGAACTTTGTTGGTGATGTAGAGGAGTACTCTGTCTCGCCGTTGCTCGTCGTGAAGGATGTACCGGTGGCAAAAGAGTAGGTTGACATGAATGTTGTCTCTTCCGGACCAGCGATCTGTGAGGACTGTAGTTCGCTCAGCATTGCCAGCGAAAGCTCAAGGAAACGTAGACGCTCCTGTGTACCGTCCTCGTTGTCAGGGTTGTGGAATGACAAAAATTGTGTTTGAGGTGGCGCAACAGCCTCTGCCATTTTGTCGTCTTGGCGAGGTACCGGGATGGCAATTCCACGCCATTTGGGAAAGGAGGCTGTTGGCGTTGAATCGCTTGGCAGCGTGGTAGTGTTCAGGCCCTGAGTACCTTCGAACCCTGCCTGGTCCAGAAATCGCCGGATCGGAGTGTCAAAGTCATGAAAAAGGTCGTCATCGTTCCAGTCCAGTTGTTCTACCTCTGGCGCGCCAGCAAGTAGAATGCAGTCCATTCCTACGGCGATGCCCTGTCATCTCACGTTGTTTTTTCCTTTCGGATCACTGCGCATGACCTTGGAATATCACAGAAGCCGTTCGGTCTCGACCCAGCGAACTCGGTGGTGTCGTTACCCTCCTACCTTGCACGAGCATGCTGATATAGCTATGCCTTTCAGTTCCGATTAGAATGTGGGTAATTCATCAATTCATGTTCAATGCTGATGATTGTTGGTAGCAACCTAAGCCTTCCACAAACTCCGGAGCTCGGTCTTGTCTCTGCCTGAAAGTCCGCTTCGGCCGAGTTCAGGGAAAATGACAACAAGCAGATTTAAATGGGCAGGCAGCGTCACATAAACAAATGTCCTCGCCTTTACGACCTTGCAGCCTGCGAGCAATCGTCTACCTATTCCGCTGTGATATGAACGAGGATTGGAGCAGTGCCTCGACTCAGTCTGGTAGTTATCAATACCGCGCCGGAACTCATTCCGCCTGCTAGTCGGATCTGATAAGATCTATAACCAAGCCACTCTACAGAAAGTCGTCATGCCCAGCTTCGCTCCGCAAAAGATGACCTCCCTCCTTCGCTCGCTTGCGGATCGCATTGTTCCTACAGCGAACGATGCAAACGCCACGAAACCAGGACCTGATGGCTTTCTCACAGCCAAAGGTATCGATGCCTTGTTCCCACGCACCAAAGCCGAAGTAGATGGGGAAGAATGCCTGCACGACTGCGAAACATGCACTGTCCAGTATCCGAGGAAGTTCAGCATCGATGAGGATGACAAACTGTATGGCGAGATCAAGGGCTGGAGTCGACATATCCTCGTAGCGACAGGTAAGACTGATTGGGTCCGAGATGTGGAAGATGAGAAAGGGAGTGTGATGGAGGCTGTGGGCAAGCATGGCAGTGCGGTTGAGGGTGGAAGGTTGATGTTGAGTGCGAGTAACATTCCTACTGCTTCCGACTTCTTTGGTGAGGGCGACGGGAAGGGCGATTATGGACGACCTACGAGGGTATTATTGCTGCCCGCTTTTCAATGGATCAATGGTGTCACGCCCGGGACTGTACCGGACGTTTTCAAGTCTGCCATTAACGCTTCGTCGACGAACACGCAGCCTATCAGCTCGTCGGACACCTCGAGTCAAACAAATGGAACTCTCAGTTCGCATACCGACCTCCCATCGTTGGCATCCTTACAGATATCAGCCGAGTCACTTCCCGAAGGCGTGTCCCTGTCGTCTTGCCCACACAGGTACCTCATCCTCATCTGCTCACAAGCTACCCGCGACGCACGCTGCGGGCAGACCGCTCCCTTGCTGAAACGAGAGCTCGAACGCCATCTCAGATCATTAGGTATGTTCCGCGACCTTGGAGACGAACGACCTGGCGGAGTAGGTATATACTTCATCTCCCACGTCGGCGGCCACAAGTATAGCGCCAACATGCTTGTCTATCGCCGTGCGGAACGGCCGAGGACTGTGGTAGAGCAGATGGAAAATGGGACTTCTGCGGGTGTGGGTGGGATGGTTGGTGGCAAAGCTAAGGCAGAGGAGGAGGGTGAGGCGGCGCAGTGCATTTGGCTTGCCAGGGTGAGGCCGGAGGAGTGTGAGAATATTGTGAGGTTCACGGTCTTGCAGGGGAAAGTTGTGAAGCCGGAGAGGCAGTTGAGGGGTGGATTTGATCGTGAGAAGGGCGTCGTGAGTTGGTAGGGTGGAGGTATTGCGAGGAAACTCATAGACATACAGTGCACCGATCATACATGAACAAAAGAGCTGTCATCCTGTGGTAGATTCTTTCTTATGACTCAAGCTGACAACACCTACTTAGTGTCCGACGGTCCAGACGGGCTTCGGTCGAGTTGCTGAGGCAAAAAGGCAAAACTTACAACAGCAGGCGTTTGGGGTCATGCACTGCTCTGATGCTTCGCTGCTTCAGTACAGGAGAGTGGACTACAATCATCTTGAACCTTGAAGCTGTGGAGTCTCCGATATCTCACGTTGTGTCTTGTACTGCTTGTCGGCACCGTACTCTATCTCGCAGTAGTGCGACGATCTACACTCAGAGCCTTGTGCTACCAAAGCCGCTCATCAGGGCCCAGCGCGGTGATGTACGCGGGATACGTACCGTTCGCAGTACGCCAACGAGCCATGTCAGTATCAGCCTCTTTGAACCGCTCCGATTCTTCTGCGATACCGTGCTCATTCACCTCGAACATGCCAGCTCGCACGTATGCCGCTACATGAACCAGCATGGTGTGTAGTTGAATGGGATGACTAGGCATAAATGGGTTCCAACCAATCTGAAAAAGATCTGCATTACCGTTCATAACTGATCCGTCACTCAGCTTGGCATGCCCGTTAATGCCAACATCGCATGGCAACACGAGACGAGCAGCGTCTTCGAACGGGCTGAACCCTGCTGGATTATACTGGCAGAGGTATAAACCCCATGGGATTTGACTCATCCCTTGGAATGGCGAGCGCGCTGTCTTGCCACCACAAAGTATACACATTGGAGTATTGGGATATTCGTTGGTTCCTAGGCCCTTGGTGGGACTAGTGGTCAGCTCGTAGGCTGTCGGCAGGCGCAATTGTGGACCCAAGTACCTGCGCTGTGGTCTTCGAGCCCGGGTGAAGAACTTCGAAGCAAAGCGATCCGATTTTAATCCCGCGATGAGCAAGTCTTGCGGCTCATAAAAGACCGTGGGATATGCCATAAAACCGATCTATGCTGTGAGCAGGCATCCGATCTTCTGCTACCTGCACAAGATCATTCCATCGAGCGAGTATATCTGCAAGATCTTGATCGCAGTTTGTCTGCATGACCCACGGGTCGATGACGGTGCCTATACGACGTGCCCCGGAAGCAGAATCCACTTGCGACTCCTCGGAAGTGGACACAGATTCTTCTACTACGCTGCCATCGAGCTGGACCACGCGCCAAGTGGGTGGTGGTTTCTGCACGGCTTTATGTAGAGCGACTACCTTGCCCTTTTCGATCATATCGAGCCAAACACTAAGCAAAGACTCTAGCGGCTGCCAGGGCACAGTCTGCTCGGTCATAATCAGATCTACAGGGTCTCCCTCGATGAAGGCACAGGCGTGTCTAGTCTGATTGTACCTTTCGTGTGTAAGCCTAATTCGTGAAGATATTGAGTTTCTGATCGGGACTCACGCTACGGCGACTTGCTAATCGTCCTCATGATAATTAGCCATGTAGAGTGGTACGAGCTTCTCATCAGTGTCTTGATAGTATAAATTTGTAAGCTCACCAGCAGACCTCAGATCTGGGCTGAAGTGGAAGAAATTGTTGTCGGTAGAATCGCTGAACGAAGGCACCATCATCGCTCGCTTCAGAAACTCCACGACTGACAGATCTAGCTGCTGCTGGGCCTGGTCCAGCAATGAGAGATCGTATGCTGCCTCCCACCAAGTAGTCATCGGCATTTCCGTGACATGTTGACCACTAGCTCGCCAGCCATATTTGACGATGGCATTGTGAAGCACCGTGCATCGAACGTAATCCATGCCATTGCTGTCACTAGTTGGTGGCTGGTTGTTCCTCACTCTCTGGCCATCACTGGCAGCAAGATCTAGCATGCGTAGCGGATCATGCGCTGGCACAGTCCTGGAAGCCGCCATAACAATACCCCTGACAGTAGGTAAAGGTCAATGGTTATGGAGATGTTGCTGTCCTGCACATTCGAGCGAATTAGACCGCCTACTTCCGCCTCATGGAAAACTGGATCAGACAATACGAAGTGAACAAAGGAGTACGGCTGATGGTAGATCTGGCAACTCGTAGGGCGTGGAAATATCGATCTCTCGCGAGGACCTGCCAAGTCGGGTCACCTGTGAAACAGCAGCGCATGCATTCAAACCTTTCTCGAAGAGTACTATATACCCTCGGCTTAGTCCCATGATAATTTCTGTGGGCTTGCACGTACTGATCTTTTGCGTACACTGCAACCACAGCATGACAACAACATCAGAGCTCGACCAGGATATTTGGCGGTCTCGAAAGATCGTAAAAGTGCACGAGGTCTGGACCGTCGAAGGGTGAGTAAATCATTCCCAGTAATCATGGACAGATATTGAAGTGGTCATAACAGACGGCCGAGGACTGAGTACAAGCTATTACGTATGGAACAGCCGTCCAACATACCTGGCAAGACTTTCATTGCTGTGTTGATCACCATTCCTCCCAAGGCAGCGTAAGCAAGCTTAATTCACACGTTTGAGATTGCCCGACCATTCCTGACACCACTAGCACTCCACCTCATACGCACAACGGCGCTGCCATCTATGCTCAAGTGATCAAAGGCAAAGTCATCAGCCAGATGATTCATCAGCATACTGTCACGAGGCCAGATGGCAGCGTCGAGACTGAAGACCCCGATAGTGGTTTGTCACTGAGCAAAGCATGGCCCAGATCTCTCGCTGATGAATCAAACTAGGCGTTGGAGTGTATGAACAGGGCCATATGTGGTATGAGGCACCAGGCTGTCGCCACGTTCGGGCGGAGAACGCCAGTGATGTAGAAGAAGCGGCATTCTACGCCAACTTCATAATCGATTCCGAGAAGCTGGCCGGAGTCGAAGAGACAGACATCGGATCTGTTTTGACGATACTGGACGTTGATGAAAGGTCGCCATACTACGGAAGTACTCAAATATCCTGATGAATGTCCTGGCTGCGAAACTGACAACCACACCTACCTCGTCACCGTCGTCTGAGGTGCCAGTAAGGGGTCGGATTCGTGCACATTCAGCTCCTCTGCAGACTCCCTTATTCTGAAGGGTACGTCCTGAGCGTCGCTTCGTCTATCATTCAGATGCATGGTTGAGAATCGTGCTTGCACCTGCTCGTGCATAGCTGCGAGGCTTTGTTTGAGATCATGGTCTCCGCGCATGTATCATTGGGAGACTTACTCGCTTCTGATGACCTCCACACGCTAGTAGGATTTTAGCGGAAGCGACATTATCTAGTGCGATCGCCTTGTAGTTGAGCTCGTTATGCTGCATATCCGGTGACTCGTCTAGGCTCCGAGCAATGCCATCGGCAAGCTGTGTAATGGCAGAGAGCGGATTTCGCATTTCGTGACTTGTCGTATCGATGAACTCTTCTTGACGCCGCCTAGCTTGCGTTGCCGCCGCTGCATTGCGAGCCTGCACCGATTCAGCAAACTTTTGCCGACTGATGTCCATAACACAACCAAGCAAGAACTTCATCTTTCCATCCTCGTACAGCGCGATACTGGTCGTCAGGATCCCTGTAGAAGTATCAGGTCAGCTCTGCAAGCGGAGAATGGCCTCATGGCATCGCTTCGCTTGATCATGGCCGCCCTAAAGCTTCACATCTACGAGCATGTCCGACCATAACAATGGCAACTTACATGCAGAAATATTACTCGGATCCTCACCGTCGTGAAGCTCTTCCGCTGGTGGCGACCAACGCCTAATCAGTCGCAACTCGTTCGAAAGTGTAGGCTGACCTTCAGACAATTTCTGAAAATCGGCGAATGCTCGCTCCCGATCTCCTTCATCAATGACTGCGAGGAACTCGGACATTGCACTCTCATTTTTAGGTAAGCCAGTGATGCCGTAGAATTGATCGTTGCCCCAATCAAAACCACCTCTGGTAAGATTTGACACATGCCCAATGGCGCTGATTGAGCCATGTGTCGTAAGCGACGCTCGCTGTCAGTCAGCTTACGCTCAAGCGTCCCCTCGCGCTGCCGAGCCTCCTCCTTTGAGATACTGGCTGCCCATCTGGCTTCGTTTTGGCGGGCATGGTCCACGATTGCCATCTCCACGCTTTGGTCGTACGGCCTACGAGGATTGATACCCTGCACATAGAAACCAAGCCTCCTCTTGCCACTACGCAATGCAAGGACAAGAACTCTTGGAAGTGGTAATCCGTGGCCGACCCAATCAATGCCTTCGAACATGGTGATACCGGAGGCCACGTCGGTTTGGTCACAAGCAATCAAGACTGGCGCTCCAGAGTCCAAGGCTTCACGAAGGTATGGAATTATTCCAATGTCTGTACCCGTCAGATGCGCCCGTTTTGGCGCACAGGAATGTCCATCTGGGATCCCTACGGTGCCACATAGATGGAGGTTGTTGCGCCCTAGGCTTTCGATCTTGTCGTAGGAATACAACATGGCCATTGGGATGTCTCGAGGATTGCATTTCAAAGCGTCTATTATATGTCAAGACGTTGCGTCGAATGGACCTCTTGGTATCGAAGCAATTCGTTCGACAGCTCGACGCTGTCGTGCATGTAGTACACTGCTGGTCGATTCGAAGGATGTATTATAGACACCTTCGATGTTCCCACTATCGCCTATGAGTAGGATCAGCTCATGACTCATACAAGTACTTCGCCCACGGCATACCTGCGATGGGGATGAACTGTCCGACGAAATAACTATGACCAGGAACATCAGCGAGAACACCCAGATCAGAAGCCCAAGAACGTACCATTCTTCCAACAAGCCGTTTCTCAACACAGACAAAGCAATGTCATCGATGTCGACAGTCTTCCTCGTGGCTGCAGCCAGCTCAAGCAAGCTATAGGTATCTTTCCAAACCTCTGGAAATGCCACCTTAAGAAGGCTTACCCATCATGCGCGGGTGCTGAGCCGAGACGAGCTGGATGAACCCTTCATTGTAGATCGAAACCTGGTCGGGACCCGAGTAGATGTTGGCCGGTCGGCTATCAGTCAAAACCATAGACGCATCTAAGAATGGTGGTTAAGATCCGCCAATCGTCTTTACGTGGCATGCGACATTGGCCAACTTACAGGATCGCAGAGCAGGGCTCCACGATGACTTCGGCCCCAACAGCATTGTACTGAAGTAAATAGCTCGGAAGAAATCGATGTGGTCGGTCTTTGGTAGCAGGTCAACCCAGGCATCTCATTCCTGTGCAAGAAATGGTCCTTCTGCCACCTTCGAGATCCTGGTTTCGCCATTCACGGGGGCCTCTGCTGCCATGATGGCGGCTATCTGTTCAAGTATGTCAAGCGATCTCGAGCATACCAACTTATGGAAACGAGGCCACGCGACTCGTAGGCGAGGCCATTGTGGTGTCGATGACGTACTTGTGTAGCAAGGCACACAGCGGTTGTAGGTCAGTCTTGTGGTATATCCAGGGATTGCGCTCGCGAACCGACGACATCAGTGCGCCACTAGGAATCCTTGAGCGTACATTGTTGTGTAGATAGACTGTCACCCCGGTACTGGGGTTGATCATCAAAGTCTGCAGCGAATCTAGAGCGAGACGGCTTCGTCCCAATGCGATGTCGTGTGGATACCGGCTAAAGCGACAGACCGAAGCGCTTGGCATTGTCAACGTTGGAACCCGCCCTCATAAGCAAGAGAGGAAGTCATGTTCTTCGATGGCGGAATGAGGTAGTTTACCCCTGTGGAGAGAGATGGGATAGTTATCAGAGCACTTGTCGAAGCATCCACGCTGAAGTAGAGCTGCCAAGTCGGTACGATCTTGGCATACCCGGGCTTTTGTGGCGATGTTGTGTAAAAAAGCCACTTTCATGCGCACTGCCATCACGCCGCGGAGCGAATTCCAGTATGAGCTCGTAGGCAACTATCGATCGGACGCAAGTAAGATTGGGTGCAAGGAATGCAATAATTCTGGCGTCCTCTATATGCTGTAATATACACCGAAGGCCTCATGTGCCGGACGAAAATGCCTACGATGCCTGCTCCATAGATACAACAGGTAAAGCCGACAAAGGAAAAGACAGACTCAATCATACCTGCTTCGCAAACGCCGCCACCGACCTCACCGCCGCCCGGTGTAATTCCGGCACAGCTTGACGAAATATTAGGCTCGCACCATGAACTGTTCCAAGATTGACATGCCCGACGGCTGGAACCCCAGCCTGTACCAGCTTCCGCAGATAGGCCTCGCCTTCAGAGCGTAGCGGATCAAGCTCGTCCAAAGCCAGAACATGAGGCGGCAGGCCTTGGAGCTCCAGTCTGTTGGCATGATGAGGCCATGCTAAAGGGTTAGTGCCGTCCACAGACCGTGGCGTGTACAGATGTGCTGCGTAAGCCATATAGTCGACATTGACGAGGTAGCCATGGCATTCGAGCAACGATGGTAGCTCCTGTAATTTCCGGGCTTCGGACCAGTTGTAGGCGTTGGAAATCATTGGTGACTGCGCATATACGCCATCGATCTTGTTAGACCACCCGTCCTGCTTCGCCTTGATAGCAGCTGCAAGCACTAGATTCGCGCCCATTGCATCGCCTTGTAGGACGATATTCCTAATGTTGAGTGTCGAACGATGGCTATGCACGTACACTGTAGCTGCACAGATATCGTTGAGGCCATTGGGGAACAAGCCTTCTGCCAAGTGGATTGGATCGCGGTAGTCGACACTGATCACGACCATCCCCTGCGCCGCTAGCGAACGACACCAGCGGATGTAGACTTTGTTATTGAGTCCGAAACTTGCAATGCTACCTCCTCCGTGACACTGCAGGATACACGGTAGAGGGCCACCTTTCACTACTGGTCTGTAGATATGAAGATCGATTGAGTTCCACTTCTGCCCAGTGATGGTTTCGCGTCGATACTCGACTTGAAGCTCCAGATCATCGTGAGGTAGATTGTTCGGCAAATGCTCGCAAAGGCCCTCAACGTCCCTGTCAGCTTCCTGAATACGTGCTTTTATTTCTTCGAGGCTAGAGTTCGGCGTCAAGAGCGCCAGGGGCGTCGGTGTTCTTGCAACATGCAAACCATAATTCGTCAGGACAGTCAGAAGTCTTGCGTCCAGCCGTATATCACGCCCGACTTCCATGCGGTATGCTCCAAGTCGACCCGGTGGCGTATAGCCAGTCGCCACAGATATTCCCAGCGGGCTGCCGATAGTGCTGGCCGTGATGCTTGACTCCGGACTGGAAGCCTGGGAGTTGTCGAAGTCGGATCGCCTTCGCTTCGACGGAGGTGGGTACATCAACTCGGTCAACTATATTGCTGATAGACGTGTAGGGAGACGGTTCTGCAAAGGATTAGGTGGCTCCGAAAGTGTGTTTGCTTGTACGTACATGCATTGCACGCCACAAGCGAGTTTTGTACTCGCTTGTACTGAAGGCCATGGCAGCGAAGTCGCCTAGGCGGCATACCCATGCCGTTGATCTGAAGGAGAAATGCTCTTTCGATCGTAGCACCGGATCATAACAAGATGCGAATATGCCCACCATAGCTCGGCTGGCGAGGTACGGCCGTTTGAACGCTTACCATCCGCAGGTCTTCCTGCTCTAGACACTGCAGTAGATACTAGTAGGGCCGACGGACAGTTTTCCTTTTTGTTCTTGCCATGGATGGACGGGGTTACATAACCAGAAGTCCGATGTGAGTGGTGTAAAAGTGCCAGCCGACGGCCGAAAGTCATGTCGATCGTCGCGATAAGTAATCGGAGGTAATGTTCACGTTGGCCGTCCATTCCGGAAGACAGAGTCTACTGATGGTCCAGTTTTCGGTCCTACCTCCTACATTTCATGACCGCGGAAGTTGCACCGTGCCTCATTGTTTGACAAAGGCTGGTAGGGATGAGCAGAAATGAAGTTGGAGCTAGAGCTACCGCTTGATTACGAATTAAAGTTTCGATCACCAATTTGCGTCATCACTAATCTGCAAGTCATCAACTTCACCAATTGCCATTGAAAATAATCCCCAGAACAAGCATCGTTCTGTCGCCGAGAAGGCATTGCTATCACCAGCTCGGCCCATGTAATAATCACAGTCTTTGAGGATTAGACAGCTCTGGTTCAAATGTTTCGGCCCCGAATATTGCCCATCAGAAACCTAGCGACGAGCATCAAGAAACGATCTGCACACATGGCCAACCAAGCACCACTCAGTTACTCAGCAGCGGCATCGGGCGCCTCAGCAGCTTCAACATCCGACCACCCAACCGATGCCGATAAGGTTGCAGCACAGCCGTCCAAAGCTCAGGAACAGGCAGTCCGTGGCGAATCAGCTCCGACGACCGACAGGACAAGACAACAACATCAAAATGGCCCTCCAGCCCGACGATCACCTTCACCTCGGCATCAACCAAGGGGCGTTGCCGAGAACGAAGCAGTGTACATCCTGACTTTGCAAACGGACAAACCTCACCATGACCGGATGACGGCTCTGAGGAAGAAATACTTCCCACCAAAACTCAACAAACTGGAAGCTCATCTTACACTCTTCCATGCCCTTCCGCAAAGCAGGCTTGACTCAGCTATCCTACCAACCATCCAGGACGTTGTGGCCAAGAACCATCCGTTCAAAGTGACTGTCACAAAACCGTTTCGTCTTCGACACGGCATCGCATTATCAATCCCCAAGCTCGAAGGCGGGAGTAAGATCCAGGGCATCCATCGTGCATTACAGGTGCCGTGGAAGGACCAAGGATGGCTTAGTGACCAGGATGCTGGGGGAATGCAGGCTCATTATACGATTATGAATAAAGTAGATTCTGACGCCGAGGTTCTCGATGCCTTTGATGAGGTGAGCCGTGAGTTTCAGGGCGATGAGGGGATGGTTGAAGGGTTGGGGCTGTGGAGGTATGAACGAGGGCACTGGAAGTGGGAGCGGGGATTCGAGTTCGACAGGACTTGAGCAGGTTCCAGCCGAAAGGGAATATGGGTATCAGGAGCCAAGGCAGAGTTCCGGCTCGACACCTCTTCTCTCATGGCGAGCTCGATACCATCTTGTCGGCGCGATTTGACACCCAAACATGGTCGAATGCTGTGGTCATTGTCGCTCGCAAGCCCCGGGAATTGAGCTTCGACCACGCAACGCCGACGGCCATCGAAGCATATCGTTCTACCCAGACTGTCAAGAGCTTCTGTCAAGCAGACAGGAGCATGCACGAGAAGCACGACTTCCAGACCTGAAATCACACACACACACACACACACACACACACGCTCTCTCTCTCTCCCTGCACACGGCCGCGTCGGACTGCTAGGAGCCCTTGTCTTCCACGGCCTTCCTAAGAATCACGTCTTCACCCACTAGCCACTAGATCGTTGTGTGATGGAAGCAGTCGTCAGCCTCACAGACAACTATCAGAACCTCAACAAGCACCTGGTGAACAACTGTCTATGACACATCGGGAGTTTAGCAGCTCCCCAGCAGCTCTATAAGCGGGCAAGGCGATAGATCTGCTGAGCGTAGCAATCGCACTTTGGGGTGGTGTCGAGTAAGTGAGCATCGATCAGATAATAAGAATATGAATGAAGACGATAGGACAATCGATCATGAGGTCATATCATACACGAGCGAACAAGATCATCGTAGCAGACCGTGTCTTGCCTCACTACATAAACCACACCATATCCTTCCCTTCATCTTTCCTGTACACCTCGGTAAAGAGGAAAAAAGGGGGGGGAATACGAAAAGGCTCCACGCCCAAGGACCCGCACAGCTACGCCACTCCAACTCATGTCCCACCAAGCCACAAGTTCGTATCCGCAGACTGACTAATTGTCAGACTAACCAACCCGCCGTCTACTCCTCTTAGCCGGACTCGCGCCCAAACCCAATGCCACACCCAAACCCACTCCAGATCCCGCCCCAGCATCCCTCTCCTCCCCTACTGCCCCCAACAACTTCCCGTGCGCTCCCGCCTCAGTTCCCAGCCCACTACCCATCGGCCGTCCCCGCGGTTTCTTAGCCGGGGACATAAGACCGAGCACCGGCACCGTGGCCGCAGCCGCAGCCGTGTCGTTCTCAGCAGTGGTAAAAGTAAAAGTGGGTTTGAACGTCTCGGCCGCGCTGAAGTCGAGTTTAGGCGCTGCAGAGGGTCTCGTCGATGATGATGAGGGGGGCGGGAAGGATATGGGGTTCAAACCGCCTGCCACTGTTGATGGTGCAGAGGTGGTAGATCGTGGTTTTTTAGCAGGCGAGGATATCAGTCCAAGCGCAGGCGCAGGCGCGGGCTGAGCTGGTGGTGCAGATATGCTTCCCGGAGCAGGCAAGCGCGAAGCACTCACCGCACCGCGTTTCTTGCTCGCCGCCGCCGTCGCCAAAAGCGGACCTTTCTTCTCCATCGTCGTCGTCGTCGTGCCGGAGACAGAGATCGTCGTCGGCGCCAGATTCAAGTCCGAAGGCAGAAGCGCCGAATTAGAGGCGGAATTGGCCATCCCCCTGCCCTTAGCAGGCGTAGCAATCCTCGATCTCCGCGCCTTGGACACAGGCTTAGCCTTCTCATCTTTCCTTGCTCCCTCCTCCTCTTCCCCTTCCTCTTCCTCCTTTTGTTCCGCCGCTGCTGCTGCCGGGATAGCCATCTCCACGTCTGTATGCCGAATAGCAACCATGTCTTTCTCAGGAGCCGCAGCCGCAGGAGCCGGAGCAGTAGCAGAAGAAGAAGCAGAAGAAGCTGAAAAAGAAGAAGAAGAAGAAGCAGTCCTCCCACCCTTCTGCAACTTCCTCATCTTACCAGGCTTTTGCGCCTTAGGTTTACTCGGAGTCTCGACAGCCGGCACCGCCTTCTTAGCAACCTTCACCTTTTTCTTGCTCGGCTCCTCCACCTCCAGAATCTCAACCGTAGGATCAAAGTCCGCCCCCCTCTCCCACGGCATCTTCTCCTCCGGCTCATCGCTAAGTTGGCTTGTTTCGGGGTCGGCTGTGCCGCCTTGGTAGAAGGAGACGAGGGTCTCGGACCAGGTCAACGTCTTCCTCTTCTTCTTCTTCCTTTCATCAACCCCAACCACAGCATCTCTCACCTCAGCATCAACCCCAGCATCAACTCCCCCACCGTCCTCACCCTCACCACCACCACCACCCTCAGCCTCCCTCTCATCCTCCACCAACCATTCCTTATTCAACCCCCCAATCCTGCCCCTAGGCATCGTACTCCCCCCCTTATTCTTCCGCGTGTTACTCCTAGTCACCACCGCCAACTCCTGTGCTTCAGACCGCTTGACGTGGAAATCGGTAGCACTCGCCGTTCCTCTGATCGTAATTCTTGAAGGAACGAGAGCAGCAGGGACAGGACCAGACGCGGAGTCTACAGAAGTAGCGGCAAGGAAGGTGGGGTGTTGTGGTTGTTGTGGTTGCGATTGGGGTTGGGAGTATACCTGTGGTTTCTTCCTCTCGCGCCCGCTGCGGGTGCGGCGCGTGGCTAGTTCTTCTTCTGGTACTGGGTCCGGTCCGGCGCTAGCTGGCGTGGGGTCCGCTGGCGTATCATCGCCGTCTGTTTCCTTCAAAACATCCTCACTCCTAGCTAAATCGTCAGTAACTTGATCCCCCTTCACACCCTCCTTCCCACCCTCCCAATCCATCCCTCCTCCCTCTAGCCCCTCCAAACCTTTCTCAGCCTTCCTAGGACTAAGAAAGGTATTAACATCCAACTCCCCCAGTACAGTATCCATTCCCTTCCCCGTCCCCGGACTAGCAAGGGCCTGCCGCACGGTATCCGAGTCCCGACGGTTAGTCAGGGACTCCTTCTCCGATGCTGACAGGCGGCGCCGTGATGTCTTGTTCTTTTCCGCCGCGGCGCGGTGGAGGAAGGCTTGGAGGAGGGCGGTGTCGTCTGAGATCCGGGGGGGTTTGTTGCTGCTTGCTTTACGTGGGGAGATCTGGAGGGGTTCTTCTTCGGGCGGTGCGGAAATGGCGCGTGGGAGGAGATCGGTGGGTGGGGTTTCTTGGGAATGTGTTTCGGACTCCTGCTCAGGTGGGTTGGTGAAGTGATCATTGTACGGCATGTCTTGCACTCGTTTCAGAGGGGTGAATGCCACGAGATGTGGTTTCTCGGTGTGGTCGAAGACAGTACTCTGCTTTAGCGGACTCGAGGATTTCCTGCGCGGGGAGCGGCGGAGCGGTGGTCGTGGATGTGGGCCTTCGGTGGATGCTGCTGGGCTGGACTGTAGCTTGTCTTCTTGCGGTGCGAGCATGTCGGATTGGGTGTGGGATACTTCCTCCTCCTCGCTGGGGACATCTTGACCTTCTGATTGCTGCTCTTCGTCGTCCTCCTCTCCGATATCTTCCCACTCGTCGTTCGTCGCTGCTGCCTCCACCTCGTTGTCCCCTATTGGCACGACATCGTCGACCTCCGCTTCTTGCACCATTTCGATGTTTGTGGCCCCGTCATGAGCTTGTGCCGCACCCTCCTGTTCCTCCATATGTAGATCTAATTCCTCAGCCCCCAGCTTGCCGACTTCTTCTCTAGGCTCCTCCATCTGCACAGCCTCTACCTCTACAGGCGCGGAATTCTGTCTCGCCGTCGCTATCACGGCAGGCGCAAATTGCACAGGCAGCGTCTGGCGCCTCGCAGCAGATACAGTCCTAGAGGATCGCGGGCCCAGCTTCCGTCTCTGCTTGGCCGGGCTGACAAAGCCTTCGGGCAGTATGACCTCGCTGGGCGCAGAGAGTATGGGAGCTGATTTTACGGGAAGAGAGATGGTTGTGTTCGCCGCAATCTCCTCCTCATCTTCTGCCGCTTTCTCCACCATCTCGTTGCCCTCGGACGACGCCCACGTGCTTGTGTCTACGTTATGCGACATGGCGTGGGGGAGATGCGTCATAGGATGCTCAAATGCTCCTTCCTCATCCTTCTCAAGCTCAACCTCGACATCAGACCAGCTCTGCTCGTCCTCTTCCGCACCCTCCGCACCCTCCACCAGTTGCCCATCTTGGTCAAATACCTCCACCGTAACATCACCTTCCTCCTCTTCCTCCTCTTCCACCTGCTCTCCCTCCTCGCCCTCCTCAGCCAAAGCCACGATATCTGCCAAACCCGCCGAACTCCTCGTAACAATCCTTCTCCCGGGACTCCCCGGCTCCTCCCACCTCGACACCTTCACCACTACCCCACTCCCAACACCCCCTCCACAATCCAACTTGACCTTCTTAACAGACTTCAAAGGACTACCCGCACCCCTCCCCCTCTTCCCATTCACCCCAACCAAAACATCATCACCACCCCCTCCCACCACCTGATCAGCCAGATCTATAGTAGTAGTAGTAGCAATAACAGGCCTCACCGCCGCCCTCTTCCAAATCTTACTCCGCCCCACCCTAGACAAAGGCGATATCGCTTTCCTCTCCCACGCGCGCCGAACACGTGCCAGTGGGAGATTGGTGGGCGCGAGGTGCGTCGTGTCGGTGGGCTGCCATTGCGCGTGAAAACCTTGTCCTGTCGCGTCCATAGTACTAGTACTACTATTCCCTATCAACGCTTCTCCCTCGGACGCCATGTCGTCGTCGGTGGCGGTGATCGTGAAGTCGCGAGTCGCGCGTGTGCCTGATTTCCCCTTCTCTCGCGCGCGTCTTGACAAAACAATGACATAAACAAATCCCGGCTCGGAAGTTCGGGGGAACTTCGGATCTCCTCCGCCTTTTCACGAATCAGAATTACCACATGGGGAAGGAAGCCAAAAGGCCGAAGATATGATCGATATGATCTGGCCACCCCATTAACCACTCAAATTACATCCACAACGACATCGTCAGACTTCCTTCTGGGGTTGTGAGGTAAAAATGGTCGTCGGCAAAAACACCTCGCAAACCCTCACCCGCGCCGCCACCTCCACCACCTCCCCGAAACTCCCTCCCTTGCCCAAATTACGAGTCCGGAAACCGAATAAGGCGGAGGTGAACCCGTGTATTGGCATGATGAGTAGTGTGTTAGGTACGGCATCTGCAAATTCATTGATAAAAGACAAAATTTTGGGAGAGGGAAGATCCAGCAAACTGATTACTGCCATGTGATGTAGGTTGTTGGGCCTCCCAAGGCTATAGCGCTCAGGGGTGCGCAATGCTAGAACAGTCGTTACGGGCTTGTATGGACGCCAAGGTACGAAATTCTTTAACCATTTTCCCCTTCGACTACAATTTAGTACCGTGCCTCGATATGGAGGCAGGAGAAAAAGAAGAAGAAAAAGGATGAGGGCGTTGCTGATGTTTGTGGATGGGACAGAAACCCGATGCCGGCAAGAAGAGCAATATCAATTACCATCTCGGCCGCTTCTACCCTCAGATGATTGGGCCGCATAAGCGGAAATAGAGACGTGAAGAGTCGTTGGGAGGGAGGGAGGGAGGGGGTGGCCATTATTTGCATTGCGATGGCGTTTGGGGGCGGAATTGTCTATGGAAGTTTGGGTTATTGCCACGGCATCGTATCGCACATGCATTGAACGCCGATCGATCTATGGAACGAAAGACGGGCTGGGCCGGAAGGGGAAGGCAAGGGCAGCAGCTTGTTGTGTAGGATAGACTTTGATATGCTGGGCAAGTCATGCGAGGGATCAATCATGTACATCAGACGACGACTTTGAGGACATCCAAAGCATTCGCAGACGGTCCCCGGGAGAACAGAAGGGAGGAAAAGTGGCATCCCAGGTAAAAAAGGTTTTTTCCGTTTGAGAGGATACGCGAGCAAGCCTGATGTTTCTGCGCCGAATGCCCGCCCCGGACTACAAAGAAAGAAAAGAATAGTGCATTGGGCATGGTTCGCCAACCCTCCCCCCATCACCCCGCCGCAGCAAGCACAGCCATCTCTCTCTCCTCCTCCTCGCTCTCCTCCTCATACGCCCGAAACCGACAGAAACACGTCCACCCCATCATCCGCCTCAACCTCGCCCAACCCTTCAATCGACTCTCATGGAGTGCACAACGCCAGCACCGTGTGCGTCCCATACGTGTGCGCCAGGTTCCGGCGCGAAAGTGGTGCAGGTGCCGGATGTGCACTGTTTGTCTGTCGTCGTTGTTGTGCTGGGAAGGTGATTGGGCTGGGGAGATGGGAGGGAGGTGGAGGTCTGCGGCTGAGGGTTGTTGTCGGGGTTGAGTGGTTGGGGGAGGTGGGGTGGTGGAGAGGGTCGTTATGGTGTTGTTCGAAATTTGATGGCAAGGGTTGCGGTCTGTGTCGTGGCCGTGGCCGTCTAGTTGGATTAGGCTGGCAGGTTGGCGTGAGGACGGTGGTAAAGGGAAAGAGGGGATGATGGAGCGGTTGTGTTTGCAGTGTTGGATCTTGCCTCCCCAAGTTCCTGTGCTTGGTCGTGATGTAGGCGCAGTATTCTCGTCCCTTCGTCCTGCAGTCGGAATAGATCCGGTAGCGGCAGGCCTCTGTATCGGTCCTGGTCTACTCGGAAGCACTCCTCTATCTTGTGTACGTCCAGAGGGCGGGCCCACGAATCTGCTTTCCCGGCCGGTCTGCTGTTCAGACGCGGATCGTACGACCCTCTCGCCTCCATCAGTGATCGGGCGTTCCTCCTCCAATGCACCGGGAAGACTGCCCGCGATCTCAGCTTCAGCAGGCGAAATCCCACCTTCATACTCGAAGAAATGAAGATTGGCATGGCTAGCCGCACTGAAGTACCGACTCACATCCGTCAAGGCACTTGTCGCCCTCGTGAAGGGCACCACCGAGAGTCGTTCATCGCGACGCTCAGCCTGACGGCTATCATGCGCTCGGCTCTGCCCTTCTGTCTGGTTGTGGGGTCCATGTGAGCCCGGCGAAGTATCTTCCAATTCGTACACATCAGGCCCACTCGACCCAACATCGGCGAGACGCTCATAGTCCTGCACCATGTCCCCAATCTCGTTCTCTCCATCACCAGCTAGCTCAGCCATCTCCAGAGCACGCGAAAGCTGTCTCGGTCGCATGGGCATGGGTGATAAGATTCTGCCATCTTCCACACCTGTTCGTCCCAGTGGTCCAGAGATCACACGTCTCAATCTCTCCCGAAGCAAACTCGTGCGTCCAGCTGAGTTCTTACTAACAGAAGCCGAGGGACTACTCTGCGGTGAGACCGCCCCTCCAGTGAGTCGTGGGAAGAGTGTCCATGCTGGTCTCTTGGCCGGAGAGTGAGGATGTCGTGACGGTGGGTGCGGGAATTGGGAGAGGAGGTCTGTGGTTCGCGTTGTGCCATTCGGGAACATGGTTGACCTTCCTGTCCCGTTCGTGATCAGAGTAGTCGGCCGTGAAGCAGTGATGTGATCGTGAGGGAGAGTAGAAGTCCTTCCTCTCAAACCAGCAGCCACTGCTTTCGTCGCTCGATCGGGTGATACAGGGACAGCAGTACCATTCATGGCATGTAATGCTCTCTCGGATGGACTCAATGCTCGCAGTGTCGTTGCGGATTCTCCCCGCCTGTGTATTGTAGCCCCATCATCGTCCCTGAGAAACCTCTCCATATCCCGCTCATGCCGCCAAAAGACTTCCCTCTGCATCGTGCTCATCCTGGGCACAGCACTCGCAGTAGCCCCTCTAATCTCATCTCTTCGCTCTGGGAGGTCTGCACCATCATTGCTGACATGTTCGAATACAGGTGCAGTAGTGAAAGGATGCGTAGCCAAGTCGCCATACCGCGAGGAAGTATATCCACTAACCGGCGGTCTCCAGAATCTCCTGCCTCCTCCGCTCTGCACCGGCATCCGTCCGCTGTGGCGACCATACCGAGCAGACTGATAAAGCTCTCTCAACCGGATTTGACTCAGACTTCTGTGCCGCAAATATCCTAGCACACCAACCCTTCTCGACCTCTCGGTCCCGTCTTGTTCGTGGTCGATATCATTCTCTCCAGGCCAGCGCGGAAGTCCCTCAGGCGTGAGTATGCGTTCGGGTGGCTTATAAGGCGGTTCTGCTGGCTGCGGGACATTGCGTTGAGGGGAGCGTTCGTCGCTGCTGTAGACGGTAGAGGACTAGGCTGCCGAGAGCGCTTGGGAGGTTCCGTTGCTTTTGTGGTGATGAGGTTTGAGAGAGATGTCGTCGTCCAGGGAGAGGAAATGTTTGTGATACTGGGGGTCAGAGTGTTGGGTCGAAAATGGTGGTCTTTGTGCTTGTGTATGATTGCGGCATTGGTCCATGTCCGTGAGTGCTGTATTCAATCTCGTAGATTCTGTTGCACTCTGATGCTCATGTTGTCTTCTGGCTATGTCATGTACCTTCATGCCATCTCTGCCTTTGTCGAGCCTCCAGGTGCTATCAACTCTGTTATGGTCTTGGGCCTCCATTCCTGCAGCCATCGCATGCCAGAAGGTCGTGCCTGGTCCAAAAGCCCTTATTAGAAGGCGACAGTAAATGCTAGATCCATGCGATTGTTATTTCAGCTCGTATAATAAAGCAAGACAGTGATGAGATTAGAGGTCCTGCTATACCATCATGCTGGGTTACCAGGTCTTGGGCAGTGATACGCCAGGTGAGACATTGCTGCATTCTTGGAATTGGCAGCAACGAGCAAATAGTGCTTGCCTAAGATAAGCACTTACCTCGACACAGGCTCTTTGCGAGTTTTAGAAGTGACACCTACGTTGTTCTTACCTTTTAAAGGATCGTTGTGAAGTGCGGTGGGAGCAGGAGCAATGCATGTCGGGGTCAGTGTAGTGATTGAACGTGTGGATGAAAGAACAAAAGAACTTCCCACTTACTTCGTGTTGCAGAAATGAGCGAAGAAAGGATTGTGCGATCATATTGAAACCTCGTGATGTAGTGATTCGGCAGTCGATTGCAAACCCTCGTCGATGAAAGGACGGTTCGTCTGACAAAAGCCTGACAGTCGTTAACCCGGAGACGCTGCGATTGTGATGTCCTAGACTACTCCGGCATTGTGAGCGTGCTTTTGCAAACCAGCGCATCAGACTTCGTCACTCAGGAGCTTTTGGCAAAGAGATACATATCCCCAGAACCCACGGTAAGGTGGGTTGTGTTAGGAACGAGACTTGTCCGAGTAGAGAAGATATCAGTGCTGTGAAATGGTGTCGGGCTGCACTTCGGTAACCGGACTATTGCATCGCAAAACTACAGTGCCAACGCTCCACGCTAGATCGCTTGGTTGCGACCCACCGGGCGGACTACTGAGGAGACCAAATCAACATCTGATGAAATGCGATGTCTCTGTGGCGAGCACATTCGCCCAGGCGGGAGCAACAGAGTCCATAAATTCGACAACAGTTCAAGCATTGACAGCAGGCATGGCGTCTCAAGCCGAATCGAGTGTCTGGAATTTGCTGCTGGTCATGGTTGTAGGCCGGAACAATAACAGCGAAGTTCTTGGCAATGCTCGCGCCTAGTGCACGCAATCTGCGCGATTACTGCTTTTCTCGCATTTCGAACAGCCTGAATCGATATCAAGGCCGTCGGTATAACGAATATCGTACACACCAATGAGAGAACGCATCTGCCTGTCACGGGCCACGGTTAAGCACGATGGCGGTAGACTGCGCATGAGGACGCAACCTGAATGCTGCGGGCTGATGCCGAGATGGTGGATCACATGCGAGGAAGAGGCACGATTTCCTTATCTCGGCATAGGATTCTCGAATTCTCTTGGCCACCAGGTTGGACCGGTAGTAACATACAGCCGATATAGACTAGTACCGCTGGCGCCGGCCGACTAGCTCCGGTGGTCTAATAAGTGAGGTTCAGCGATAGGACGTAGCGGATGACATCTGGTTGCAGTTGGGAAACGTATGAGGCGTATCTTCCGAATGCTTTCAGGTGCCTTGGCTGTCTGCCGTGCGAGGCGCCATTTATGTCGAGAACACGTGGTAGGTAGTACAGACATGAGATCATGGCTGAGATGTACGGACGGAAGGAAGGAGGATGTCAGTCGGTAGCTTCCGTCGATAACTATCCTGGCCCCTGGGCGTGATCTCCAGCGACAGCGTCAGATAGACGGGCCGATGGTGCGGGAGTCGAGCAGTGCCACAGTAAGCAGTAGCAGGTTTGGTGTATATCAGCGGCGTGCTGATGCATCCATCGAATGGTACTATGCGGGAGCCGATATTGAATCCCGCCGGCCAGGATGTAGCCTTGCCACGCACAGGTCCATGGTAATTGTGGTTGCAGCCACGAGAGTGAGGTGTCTGGCCCACTAACCTTGCCACCTCGCGTCTTCCCGTCCGCCCGCAACGAGTTGGCCTGGGGGCGCTATGCTTTTCGCACTAAGGAGAGCTTTTCGCCCAAGGCGTTGAATAGCTTGTTTCGAACGAGCTTGCTCGCTTCGCCAGCACTCAGCATCTTCAAACGCTCGAATGCTGCTGAAGCGCTGGTGTGGAATCAGATGAGGGTTATCGTGTGGCGTAAACTTTGTATTCACTTGGGATGGGACTGAGCAATAATGGCAAGTACGACTTTCAGCCCGGAGTGAAGACCGGAGTGCTGTGTGACACTCCAGAACATTGCCTGTTCCGTAAGAGGCTGCATGTGGTGTAACGCCAAAAACGTGGCAGCCTCGCCAAAAAAACGTGGCCGCCAGCCGAGGGGGTGGCTGCGCTAGAACATCTTACGTATGGCAACATGCAAGGGTAGGCGCATGTACTCGCCATCTCTGGGCTTATGTGGACCGCCAGCAGGGCCGGAAATGAGCCTACTGCGATCGATAATGTGCATAACGTGAGAAAAGCAGTCAATATAGCGGTCAACCTCACTTTATACAGTAAAGATTAACTTTGCTAGTGCCAGCTGGGCAATGTGGACTGCCAGATCACGGCAAGCTGTTTTACATCTCGGCAGTTGTAAAATGCTATTTTATACTGTGGGATGTACTGCTATTGATTCAGGCGTCAGACACAGACCCACACCGGACCGTTACGGTACTGTAGGAGCCTTCGAACGGTATCTGAAACCGAGACCGCACGAACCGCTCAGCGAAACACCTAAGGGAAGCTCATAATTGATTGCAATCCCTGGGAACGAGTCCACCACATGATATCTCGGAGGATATTTCAGCCCTGATTGGGTTGGAGACCGTTGTCTCAAGGTCCTGCTTCGAGCTACTTGCAGCTGCATCTCGCTTGAGATCGCTATTCAGGCCGAATGGCAGGTGAGCGACCGGATATGTTGCTGCTTTTTGCGTCTGTGGGCTTGGTCAACGCGCATCAAAAGTCAAGTGCAGCCCGAGACTGGCTGCGTGGCATGCGACAAGGATCAGGAACGTCCTAGAGCGTAACACCCAGGCTAGCCTTTGGACTTTGCTTAAGGCTTAATCCCGTTACTTAATAATGCTCACTCGGCTCGCATGCAATCTCACGGCGCTTCAGCAAACGCTATTTGATGGTCGGAGAAACCTGTGCCTTTGAGCTCCATCTTGCAATCAACAGCAACTCCATTCCTTCACCCTTCGTTGTTCAAGCCTGTACCGTTAGACTTTCACCGGTCCATTCGGCACTTCTAGGTCCCGTCCACATCCGTCACATTCGCAATGGCTCCCGCCCGTCCTGCATTGGCTCAGAGTGAATCCAAAGCTAGATTCTTCGAACGGCTTGGCTTAGATGAGGACAATGAACTTCACCGCAGAATATACGCCATGATGAAGGTTCGCTCAAGCTGTACTGATTGAAACTATGGGACACGATCTGACTCATTATGCAGGAGGAAGCTGTAGATGCTCGTCGACGATTGACTGCAAACCGCGCTGCTCTTGTTCCGGCTCTGGTAAACACTGGCGTCGAACCGCCGTACAGTCACGCACAAGTCAGCGAAACTGCTTTGCATCGCGAGATACTCATTGTCTATCGTTCGGCACGGCGAGAAACCAGAGCTGTCTATGATCTTGGCCATGACATGGATCGCATCGAGCAAGAAAACTGGGTCATCAGATGGATGCTCTGGCACGTCTTCCGGTACCGCGACAATCGAAACCGTAATCGCAAAGGCAACGCAGCCGGTAATGGCGACGACGAAGATGAGGACGACTCTGGCGAAGGCTCGGCTCCCGGCTCGAGTGCAGGTTCAGCATGTGAGTCTGAAATATGCTGACCAGGCAGACTGCAGGAATGGCAGCTAATAAACACTAGACGCGGCACGACCTAATGTCTTTTGGGATCCAGTGAGGAACGGATGATACCTAAGGCATACCAATAAGCATACACCCAGGGTCCATCAAACATCGGACCGCTTTTCTCCGCCGCTACGCCGCTTATGATTCTCAAGCATCAACGTGGATTCTCGGGACACACCCAGCAGTAAACGCGATGTCATCGATATGAAGCCGGAGTGTGCGTCGGAATGGGAATAAGCACCATGATGAGTTGGAGTATCCTCCAAACGCCACATTAGGCTTGAAGGTCGACTGGATTGAGCTCAGCAGAGTGGGCCGGAACAGCATGCTCAGCGCCAACAGCGCAGGAGCACATGCGATGGGCAGACTCGCGGTAGAGGCGAGCTAGTCCATTGGTTGACGGAGAGGAACGCGGGCAATGTTTCCGGTCATCGTTGCGGAACATGCGGAGGATGGCGGCAGGTCCGTAGTCCATGCATAACATATGCATGGTCGTGTCATGTAGCTTGAAAAGATTAATCAAAAAGCCATGATTCTGAGCCTTGCCAAGACCCACCAGATGGAGTCATGTGAAGTGGTCGGCTTCCTCGGCAACCAGGACAGGGGTTTCGGCGGATAACTCGTCTATTTACTGAGTAAGCTGTCCTTCGGTGGCTCCTCCGTGAGTGAGCAGAAGCGAGGACATCTTGTCGGGCCGTGACAAGCGTTCGGTATGGCGGGTCGGCCATCTGCCCGATTCGGATAGCCCACATTCATAACATGGAAACCCGCTTCGTGTAGACGGTTGCAACCATGCATGTCAATTAATGTATGCGGCCGGTGTCGCAGGCATGCGTGACGGTCGATCCTCGCATGGATCTGTTTATTCGGAAATCAGTGGGGGAACATAGGGTTGCGCAAAATTACGGCAAACCGAGCGAGTAGATTGTGGATCTGGAGCGATGTCTGTCATTTCCCGTATACTATCAAATCCTACTGCTTGTCGGAGGTGAACAGGTCCCGCCAGAACTCTTTGAAGCCATACTGAGGCTTACGACTATCATGGACATGCGAAGCACGATCCATGGCGAATCTGTCTAGGACACCGCCAGGTGTGTGACCGACCACTTGAACGCCTTTGATCTTCGGCGCCATGGCTCGGTCATGTATAGCTTTTGCGACTGTCGGCGCGACGTCTGCATAACACGCCTTGAGCTCGCGTTCCAAGGAGTAGTATGGCTTCTTGGCGAGTTCAGGAGCCATCAGATTATATGACCTTGTAATGCTGTTCAAATTCTCAACAGCTTTGCGGAGATATGAGCCCTCGGTCTGCTCCCACATGGCATCTCTGAAAGGTGCTACAGTTGCTTGTCGTGGAGTGGGTGTAGGCATGACGCTGCCAGGCTCTTCTGCTGTGAGTGTGACGACTTGCGATGGTTTCTTGAGATTGCCATGATCGTCGAATGTCTGCTCCATGACCTCTATCTGCGTCTCGAGGCTTGCGTCGGCCACCACAGCTGCTGTGTTGAGCTCTCCGGCGAGCGTAATCTGCGACACGTGACCCTGCTCGTCGGCAGTGTTCAGCTGCTCCATCTTCTTCTTCGACGGATTGACAAGCATTTCCGCATAGGCATGCTCGTCAGCAAGCTTCACTTGGTAGTCGAGTGAGCCTCCACGGCTGGCAATGGAACGCGCAATGTGCCGTCGCCAGTCCGACCGTAGCCTACTCCGAAATTTTGTTGAGGTGGCTACCAGCTCCTGTTGCTTCTCGATCCATGGAGGCACAATCTCCTGCTTCTGTATCATCTTGTTCAAGAAATACTCAGTAGTATCGAGGAACGGGTTGTCTGCTCTGGGGTCTCGTTCGACGGCCTTGCCTCGTGGCAGGTTCTTGAATTGACCTCGTGCGATGGCGTCCTCGATACGCTCGTTTGCTAAAGACTGTAGACCTTGTACTGTCGCAGGCACAGCACGCGCATTAGGTTGGAAGCGTGCCTTGAGTTGTGCCCGCAGCTTCTTGCGCTCCTCCTCTGACAATCCTGGGTCGTTCGTGACTGCATAAGCACTCACATTGTCTCTCACACTGGCCAGACGTACACCCCTACCACGAGCATCGGCAGAGCGGCCAGTGTCAATCTTCGTCGGCACTCTGACTCCAGGGGCTCTCGGAGGCGCTCGAAGAGGCTTGTGGGCGTCTGTGAGCATCCGCAGAGACGCATCTTCGACGCTCTCGGTACCGGTCCATGGCTGTGCAGCTGCGATATCCCTAGTGCCCTTGCCAGCTGCTCGCAGTAGCCCAGCCTGCGCAAAGGCATTGGCATTTTCGCTGCGAAAGCTTGATGCTGCTATTTTCTCCTCCAGCTGCCGCTTCAGATCGTCGCCGAAGCCTGCCTCGTCGACTGCCTTCCTAGCGCTTCTGCCACCGCTTTCCAAACTCTCCTCACTCATCTGCTCCAATCGACGTGAAAGTGCGCCCCTTTCCTCCTCTCCTCCCGGCGCCGTCGCTGATCCATTGCCACCGTCCTGCTGTGGCGCTGTCGCGCTGGATGCATAGCGAATAGTCTTCCTCAGAGGGAAACTTGCATTCAGCACTCTGACCCGCAGACAGCGAGCACAGATGAAGGGGACGGTCTCACTGATACCTTGCATACAGAAACGCGATTGTTCATGGAAGAAAGATCAGACGGAAGCAGCGTGTAGTGATATCACTGGCGCTAAAGTCCGCTAGCGTAAGCTTAAGTCCGACACAAACTCACGCCGCCGCCGCCGAGACAACTATTCTGTACAAGTGAATCACCAATAGACAATTGAGTAAAATCCCACCTGGGAATCATAGCACATCTTGCAAAGATACACGTCTCCGTCTGGACATTGGCTCTTCATACATAGGATGAGAGCCTCTTTTCTACAGGTTTACAAAGCTCTCCAGAGTAGAATGCAGATGTCTACTCGGCTGCGTAAGGTCTGATCAAATCACTTAAAGCGCTCGATTTGAAGATCTGATTGCGCCAAGCCCCGGACGAGAACCGATCGGTCCAATGTGGCCAAATCGCGCGGCAGATAAGAGCGTTGACTCTGGATCGTTACAGTGTCGGTGAGATACATTGGTCGGGTCGTTCGAGCCCGTCGCTACCGTACCTGATGTCCTTTTGCTCTATCTCCCTCGGTTCTGACGAGGTCGATCTTGCCACAGCCGACGAATTTGATGTGAGTATGCTCTAGATTCAGCCGATGATCTTGCGTTTGAAAATGACGTTTGCGTTCAGACTGATTCGACATTAAGAGCGAGCCCATAGTCGTCCGGAGAGGTATAGCTGGGAGAAAATGGCTTGATGTTATCTAAAATCAAAAGGCCACAGCTTGTCCGCCTTCTTCTTTGCATCTCCCTCAGTCTCGTCTTCTTCCCGACTTGTAATGCAGGTTCTCACAAACCCAGCATACTGCTCCCGATAGATGGGAACGACCTCATCCCATCTGCTGCTCTCAACCCAGCCATCCATTTCACAGCGCAGAAGTCTTGAAAGATATGCTCGCAGTCTTTGCGTGGACTGTGAATGTTCTCTTTCCAAGCTCAACAGCTTTACGTCTTCCCCGCTTGGTTGATAGGGACAGGGCCCTGGTATCTTAAGCTCCTCCCACTCACTGTTGACATCTGCTAGTAGCGAGCAAAGTGAAGTGATGTCGTCAGAGTATCCTGCACTAACGCCGGCGAGATAGCAGCAAAGACGGTGATTCAGAGCCGTAGCTTTGCCCAATTTAGGACAAAGAAAAACCATGACGGCCCAGGTTGTGCTGCAGCGTCTTGCATCGTCGTGCATTGCCTGATCGTGAGAGATATCTGCGTCTATTGTCTTGTCCAGTAATGGCTCCTCTGCAAAATCTGGCGTTTCCACGGCGTGGACAAAGGCAGGCTCAATCGCCGTGGACTGCCAGTCGATCACACCTACAATCTGTGTTGGATCGTTCGGATCGACGAATATGTTGCGTGCATGTAGGTCGGGGTGAAACAATATAGGACCGGAGGCATCAGCTGTGACATCCTTGACTATCTTCAAGGTCTTTCGGCTCATTTCTAGAAGTCGCGAATGATCTTCGACCAGCGTTTGGGGTGACCCGCGTTGGCTTATAGTTACTTCACCAATCTGGGTGAGATCTGCGAGGTAGTTCGGAAAGTCTTGCCCTTCAAAGGTTTAGCGAACGTCGACTTGGAACGACACCAGATATAGACTTACATAGGCCTTGGAGACCTAGGGGAACCGCGGCTTGGGTCATCTGGTCCTCGTTGTGACCCCAAACACGTCGGCCACAATGTGGACCTATGCAGAACTCTTCATCGATGGGAAGCGCACCTGATGGCTTATCGGTTGTGTTGAGGTACAGTGAGCCAAGTGCTTGAAAATTGAGAGCGCAGAGCACTTTGATCAACTTCCCCACGGATGTGATGAGTTCAATATGCTGCACTCCGCTCATTTGGCTCCAAATATCATGTAGGACGACGCCAGGCATGTGCTCCATGATAACGTACTCAGTTCCCACTGTGCCGCTTTCAGATCTCGAACTCCACGCGAGCACTTGAGGAGTAGGCACTCGGGTCTTGCCCTTGACTTTGTTGCGCCGTATGTTAGCTTGTGGTCCAGATTCCTAGAGCTTGATATGCTAGGTACCATATCTCAAAGTCGCCACTTCTGACATTGTCGTTAAAGCAGCAGGGCCAGCGTATCGCATGGGCACTTTCGCAACAACCTTTCCGCCATTGTCGAATTCGATGAGGAACACACGGTTGTATCCGCCTTCTTTCTTCTCACAAGCCACAACCTCGCGAGCACCTTTGCTGCAATTCACTGCCACGTCAAGCAGGGCATCGAAATTGAAATCAAGTCTTCTGGCCCTCTGTCGTTGCTCGTCTCGATCTAGCCAACGCCCTCGAGAGTAGGTGTAAGGGTCAAATGCTATGGCTGGTAAGCTGGTCTTCTTTCGCAAACGGCAATTCGATTCTAACGTACACGGGGAGTACCGATTCGTACAGGAACGCATCGTCAAGCTCCGGATCTGGGTGAGTTGCCCTAGAGATGCATAACCAGCTTTTGTTAGCCGCAGCTTTTGCATCATCGAGACATTTGGATAGCTAGATGGGCCAAGCTGCTTTGATCTGTAAGCAAAGACGTGATGTTCCCACCAAATATGCCTCTTCGAAGCCCTTTTGGTTCCTTCTTGTCACCCGGGAGGATCGATGGGTGCCTATCTGTCTAATCGGAGCACTCGCCTTTGCCGCCGCGTATCGCCATGAGGCGCGGGCCGCGCGGGTTGCCTCTCAGCCAATCACTGCAAGAGATACAGGACGCCACGAAGATCTATCTTGCCCAGGCAATTAAGGAATCAGCTTCGCACACTGCAGCGATACGCCGCTGATCTGTAGGCTTAGCACGTAACTCAAAGCGCTGCTTCGGCCTTTCGAACGAGAATTCGTTCCTTGTTTATCGTGTCAGATGATCTCGGCGCATAGCATCTGCCTTGCAGTGAGTGAACGAGTATACTAATGAACCTCGTAAATAGATCATGGGTCAGAGGCGGCCTTCTGTAGAATGATACATCAAGTGAACGAGTCCAATAGCCCCTAGCGCTTATACAGGATTCAACGATGGCGCAGCTCTCACAAGTACTGTCTGGATAAGTACGCTTCGAACGCATCTCAAACTTGAAGACCATAGATATCATAATTCGCGTTGCATCTATTACATTCGGTGTTTGCAGGACGAGATACTCAACACTGGAGATCCCGAAAACGAGCCACATATTCCATCCATTCGTCAAAACATGTCGAAAGCCAACGAATCTTTTTTCCAAAGCAAGCTGACCCCGAGTAACCTTGCGAAGGTTGCAACGACCAAGAAATTCACCCCAGGGCGTCGAGTCGCCCCTGTGGACAAGCGCGAGGATGCAGACGCTCAACTGCGTATAGCTGCTGGTGAGAAAGTCGGCGACAAGCAGAACTTCGTCCTTCAAGTCAACTCGCAGGCAACGAACACCGCCCTGAAAAAGTTCGTGGCCCAAAATGGTCGTGGTACGCACGGCAAACTCGCCACTGCCTCCTTCGACACGAAGGCCCCGGATCCAGAGGCAGAAGCGGAGAGGATGGTGGAAGAAATGAAGGAGGAAGCGAAGAGCAAGCTTGGGTAGTCACGAATTGCCTCCATCGCGGAGCTAGTCGAACAGTGATCAACCACGACTTGTGGCAATTGAAGCAGTAGGATGAATCCGCGAGTGCTCTTGTTCATTCTTGTTCGTCCCGGTGGCGGTACGCCGGTATCATTCGGGGGGTCGGGTGGGATATAACAGGCAGCGGATGGCGAATGGCGACAATGTGCAGCATACTGTGGAAGGCTGCTGTGCGGAGTCATATGTTCAATTCAATAGTCGATGCTCAAAGTTGGGACTATTATGCAAATATCAACGTCCAGCTACCAAGTCCCTTTCAGATCAGTCACTCTTTACCGCAGGCACAGTAACATCTTCCGCACCATCGTCGTCAAAGCTCTTCGTCAAACCCTCACGCCTGGCTCGCTCGACATCAAAGGCGCTCTTGCTATGGAAGATCGTCTCCATCTCTTCAATACTCCGGCCCTTTGTCTCTTTCAGGAACAGGTACACCATCGTCGCCATGATAATATCGAGAATGGCGTAGAATGTGAAAGTGTAGCTGCCCCATGCTTTGATCATGTATGGGGTGGTCAGTGAGAAGGTGAAGTTGAACAGCCATTGCGTCGCTACGCCGACGGATGTGCCGACCTCACGAATGCGGGTCGGGAAGATCTATAGCAGTTAGCAAGAACTCCACATTGATCGTGGTGAGCTTTTAACGCACCTCTGCGGCATATGGCCATGGTAGTGGGCCCCAACTGAATTGATAGATACTGTTCGTGATGAACACCATCGCTACCGTAGCAATACCGGCAGAATTCGCTTTGTTATCCTTCGGTGCTGGTGTTGTCTTGTTGACGACGTTGACGATGACGAAGCAGCATGCCATTAGTATGGCGGAGATGTACAACGTTGGTCGACGACCCCACTTTTCGGAGAAGAAGATTATATAGGTCGTGACCATCACGAATTTCTCAGCGCCAAAGAGTCCAGTGATAAGTAGGTCCTGGCTACCACCACCCACGAGGACTTTGAAGAATTGTGGCCCGAAGTAAGCCAGTGCTGTCATACCGGTGCATTGTTGTCCGAGGAAGATGCCGAAAGCCAAGAGCAGACGATAGCGATTGGCTGGTTCCAACAACTCACGAGTCTTCAGGCCTTCTGTTGCTCGAAGCTCTTCAGCGAGTCCGACTCGGATTTCATTGAACTCTGCTTTAACTTCTGGGCCTGTGGGAAATGTCAGCATATTACGATGGTACGGAGTTATTGGGATACTGACCGTCGTCGGCACGGATCCAGGTCAGACTCGCCCAGGCCTCGTCATATCGTTCTTTCTTTGCTAGCCAGCGTACACTCTCTTTGCAACCAATTAGGCCAAGTCCGAGGACTGCAGCCGGGACGAGCTGGAGGCCAACAGGGATCTGCCATTGCTTGGAAGACACCGGAAGACCAATGGAAACACCATAGTCAATCTAAAGATTTCGTAAGCAATTGTTGCCTTGGGATCGAGCCACGATGCTTACCCAGTACGAGATCATCACCCCCAGGGCGAATAGTGACTGCATACAAGACCCAAGCAAACCACGAATCTGTTTGGGCGCCATCTCTGCGTTGTAAGCTGGTGCGACAGCCGTGGCGGATCCCAGACCCAGTCCAGCAATGACTCGTCCAACGTAGAAGCATGGCAGCGAGTGCGACGGGATCACCTGTAAAATCACACCAATACAGAACAGTATCATGGCACCTTGTATGGTGCGTTTGCGACCAAAGCGTTCCGACAACGGGAAGACGCCCAGTGCTGCGATGAAGGCTCCGGCATTCTGCAGACTGACCATCACGGCGCTGACGGTTGTGTTGTCCGTGTAGTGGAAGTCTCGCTTGTAGCTCTTGAGCGTGAGCACGCCGCCTACATCGTGGAGAGTATGGTGAGCTTGATACACATTAGGTAGGCCGATCGTGCTACGTACCGACGATGCCAGTATCATAACCAAACAGAAATCCAGCCAGACAGATGAAGGTCCCGAAGAAGTATGCTCGAGCGACACCCTTGCGGGTGCCAGGTACAGTCGGTAACAAGCCCATTGTGAGCTTACCAGTGCGCTGGTCGAGTCGTGGTACCTGTGAAGCTGTCGACGACGAGGACAAAGCCACGAAGGTGTACAGCACAGGAGACACAAAAGTTTATGTAGAGAGAACAAAGACGAGGTGTGGTTCCACGAGGTGGTACGCGGTCGGCAGCCCCTCAGCAGTGATGTGCAACAACCTCGTGGATCCGGAAGGATGTACTGCAGTTACTGTCGCCGCACGCGATAGCACGCCATCGACCTTGGCCTTTTTGGGATCGTCGCAGTACAGATGAGACGAACAAGCTGCTCCACCATGCGGTATGTGGGCGAATAGCTACGGTGCCGTTACTCTTTGCGATGTATTATCATGCTCGAGGTTAATCAACGGTTGCGGCGCGACGGCGGAATGTGGCTTGAGGAGCTGAAGCTGTGTGTGACTTCCCAAAGTTTGATCTCAGCTCTTAGCCGAATAGCCGTGCTATCTAGCTTTACAAGCACGTGTATGCTACCATATCCACGACTGTGATGGCTTCAGAGACGATATCCACATGGATCAGTACGGTAGTCAGTGCACAGCGCGCCCGCAACAGCGCGAACAATGTGGCATCAAGTACTATTTACACATCGCCGACCTTTTTCGTGATGTGGCACCTTTCCCACATCAGCAAAACCTGATAGTCGCGTGATACGCCTTGCCTTATTTATGACTTGTCTACAACTCCTCAAGGACGATGTTGTGCCGATGAGGCAAAGCGATTGAAGCTCATTCCCAGTGTCCGACTTAATACTTGGCAAAGCAATCGTGCTCGGGATGTGCAGAGCATGTAGATTATTATGCCCTTCAACCCTGTGTAACGTACAACTCGATCGTGTTGGATAGCCGCGGCGCCCTACAGACGCGTCACATCCCGAGACCACATCAGAGCAGTTGGGGCCGATTGGTGGGACGAAAGGAGATGGTGTCTTGAAGATCAGGCATTATATCGTGAAGCTAGAGCCCTCGTGCTCGACCATAGCGCACGACTCGGCGCTGGAGAAAAAGTCTGGTTCGCGTGGGCAACAGACCATGGAGTAGCCACCATCCGGCCGAGCCGGGACTGTGCACAGTCCGACTCAGTCTTGTAGGTGATATGGCCACCAGCGCGGCGTTCCACGGCAAGGCCTGATTGATATTTATCCAGCCTACATCGGGATCTGTAGCATTGCTGCGTTCTGTCTCGGACGCCAGATAGAGTGATAGAAGCTAGCCCAGCGATAGCGACCGCCTTGCGATGAGACTTGGGGGATTTAGTCGACGATGCCGGCCCAGAGGACAACGGGATAGCAACCCCGTCATGCCATCATCTTTGCTCCGGAAGGATCTCAAGATTGGTATGTTCAGTTTCACGGTTCCAGATCACTTAGCATATCATCCCATGTCTGCCCGTCCAATCTCGAGAGTTCCTTGACCTCGGTCACAGCATTCTCCTCGATGTCCGCATCGTACAGATGTGCAAATACACCATGACTCTTGCTAGCCTCCCACTTCAGCTCGCCAGGGCCAGACTCGAGCTTTGCACGATCTAGCTTCGCCAGCCATAATGTGCTTTCGGAGGCAAAGAATCGTGATGCTGTTGCTGGAGTCTGGTCGGAGGTGGATAAGTGAATGAAGCCGTCTGAAGCGTCCAGTGAGGTGAGCTTGCGTGAGATGGGCAGCGATGGGCGTACAGTCAGTATCTTGTACAGGTAGTGAGCTGCAGAGTGTTTGCCAGCCATGTTCACGATTGTGGTTGCAGTCGATAGTTGAAATGGTTCCAGACCGCTTTGTGGATCGTGAATTGGAAGCATCCCGTGCCAAGGCTGATTATTGATGGATGGCTCTTTATAAGCTGCTCTTCGACATCAACGACCATCAGTATCATGTCCTCCGTCTAGTGGCTTCCCTGGCAATGCATGCTGTAACATGATGGCACTCTGTACCATGATCCAGTCAAAAGCCGTCGTTGATCCAAAGATCTCTTTACGATGAGGCTACTCAATTGCTCTAGCTCGGAGATCACTTACTTCATAGCGGACGAGGATATACCGCCGTACGCAATCTTATCTCACACATGGGGTGAAGGCGAAGTAAGCCTTCAGGACTGGCAGAACTTGTCGGCCTCCGATCTCAGTCTCAAACAAGGATACTCGAAGATACGGCGCTGTTGTGAACATGCTCAACGCGACGGTCTTGAATGGACCTGGGTTGATACGTAGGTGCTTTGCTGTCCAGCATAGTCACGACTGGCAAGTTCTTCAAACTGACCAAGACCGACTTCAGATGTTGTATTGACAAGACGAGCAGCGCTGAGCTATCAGAAGCTATCAACTCCATGTTCCGCTGGTATCAGAATGCAGTAGTATGCTATGCCTTTCTATCTGATGTACCGAATTGCGTGGATATATCAGCCGTGGACTCGCCATTCGCCAAGAGCCGGTGGTTCACCAGAGGCTGGACACTGCAAGAGCTTATTGCACCAAGCAATCTGATATTCTTCTCCAAGGATTGGGAACAGCTTGGGACCAAGGCCATGATTCATGCTGTGCTATCGACCATCTCCGGAATCGAAAAGGATTTCCTGAGCAGCGAGAATCTCGAGCTGGCTAGTGCTGCTAAGAAGATGTCTTGGGCAGCGTCAAGGAAGACATCGCGCACCGAAGACATGGCATACTGTCTTCTCGGGATATTCGATCTCAACATGCCACTTATCTACGGGGAGGGTAAGAAGGCATTCAGGAGACTTCAGGAGGAGCTGCTTAAAAGTCGGCCTGGTGATCACACCATATTTGCTTGGGGTACGATTGTGTCATCACCATCGATCAAGATTACTAACCTCGGTCTCTATCTGGACGAGGAACCAGTTCCATTAGCCCAGAGCACTACCTACCAACCTCTCTTGAGTCTCTTAGCAGAATCTCCACAGGACTTTGCTTCTTCTGGCGGCTTCTCTCCGCTTCCCCTTAGCAGCGTCTTCTATCGAGGCGGAACACAGCTTGCTTCGTTTCCAGTGGTGGTTGATGGAGGTGTTCGTCTTGATTTGCCCGTCGTTGATGCCTTCGACTCCATATACCACTGGAAGTCGCCCGAGATCGAGCAGATCCGGACCGCTAGGGTTGTAGCACTGCTTTGCTACCACGAAACGAACCGTAATAGTTTCCTAAAGATCCCAGTCCAGCGCTGGGGCACTGAGTACTTTGGCCGAACCAGGGAAATGATGATTGAGTCTGACCCTACCAAATACAATGTTTTCAGGAATCGACAGACGATTACTGTAGCCACAGAGCGACGACCTCTCCTTCATACTGGTGACGCCATCAGCAGGAGACATCTCTTCCCGAGATCCAGCCTATGCGAAGGCTCGGTCTCGGAATTCGCCGACACATCAAACGACGATGCTATCATAGAGGCACGCAAATTTCGGGCATACCCTTGGTTCGGGTACTTTTACGGAGTCCAAGATCTAGGCGGAAAGCATGGTTTCGCGATTAGATTCAGTCGCACTGCTAAGGTGAGCGAGTTTGGAGATGCACTTCTTGTGGAGTTGATTCCGGCGAGCATTGGAGGAGACGACGATGATCCTTATTTCGACAATCTTGAAATGAGGTGGTGGGATCCGATGGAGATGCAAGATGCAAAATCGGTTCACTCGCATATCATGCGTATACCTTTTGACAAGTGGGAGCTTAACGCAAAACCATTTCCTGCGATTTCTATCAAGGCTGAAAGGATGCCACTTGATGTGAGTCAGTCTTATGTCGATGTCCTCGATATAGTGGTTTGGCCAGTGAGGGATTCCAACGACCGCTTCAGAACACTGTCGATTATAGATCGCTGAGGTGAGCTCGAAGAGGACGAACGTAATAAGGCAGCAAGGAAGACCTTTCTCTCGGTCACTGGCAAGGACCTGATCGTGGTATCATCGAGATTTCGTAACAGTGGTGAGGCCAGCCCTACCTACACACCATCATAACGCTCCAAGCCCCACTGCATATGCACAATGGGCGAGCAGATTGAAGGCGGTGAACGATCCAGACCTACGATTGCTGGCAACGCGAAACGTTCTCTGCGGTAACGTCGTAGTGATGTGCTAGAGCAGCAAGTCGGGTCTCACGCTTATGCTGATCTCCATACTACTGACCGTGGGAGGCTAGTAGCACATCCCGAACGAGTTTATCATGAAGCAAGGCAGGAGAGGTGTCTTTACGAAATAGAGGGATCAAGATGCTCGACGTTCTCTGAGCTCACACTGTCCCACGGTAAACTATTCAATCACCACATTAAGGCAACAACGCAGTAGGCCGTGACAAACAGCAAGACCAATGCAATAGTCGCCGAAGTCTCATCTTCGTACGAAATCGACCCTGTTGAGTGCTCCGCACGCCATGCTACTTAGCGATGAGTTGCTTTAATCGCCAGGACGGCCAGCAGTACAAGGGAGACCACAACTATAACGATGTCAGGATTTCGTCAACGCCGCCATGAGACAACTCCGAGTCACTCACGACAGTATCCGGCAATCCCGCCATGCGTGGCTGACCTTGTTCCGTCGAGCTGCTTGTCAGGACTTTTCCAAATTGCCTGCAGTGGCGAGACATCCGCTTTGGGATTGTGGTCTTTCCACACGCTCCTCGTCAAGGTCGCTAAGGAGCCTAGCTCGACAAGCATGAACCATGGCATCGATACTGTTTGTTCCGCCGTCTCGATCTCAGTAAGATCTAGGCGGCCTTGCCAAAAGTCGAAAGTGTCCTCGTCCCGTGCATTGACGAAAAGATACGCTCTTGCTAAGATGGCGGCTCTTGCGTTTGGGAATCTTCGCACGACGAAGGCGAGTTCGGTACTTGGCAAGAGCGTAATCAGATCACCTGCTTGGAGACGACATGCGGCTAGTCCATGTAGTGGAGTGTCTCGGATTGTGAAATAGGCCATATCCGGTTGGGCTACCGCTTCTGAAAGCTCGACCTGGGCCACGTGGTCGAACATTGTCCAAACAGCGGCGGAGGTATCAAGCATGAAGCGAGGTGAAGGCTCAAGACGCTCGACCCTAGCTCTCAGTGCCTCCGATGCGTGGGACTCAGGAGAATACTCGATAGTGCCAAGAGCCAGAGCGGGGATGGCAAGTTGGAGATTACCGTACAGACTCCTTTCTCTCAATATGTCGTCCTGGGTGACTCGGAATAGCTGCGTCAAGAGCCTAGTGAAGCTCAGACTCCTGGCCGATTCTATCTGCTCGTTGTCATGCACGAACCGGAGGACTGACACCAGTCTTTGTACTGCTGTGGCTCCATAATCGATTCTCAAGTGCCTCCTGTGCTCGCCGACAAGACTGTAGAGAGCATATACATGATCACAGGGCAGCTGGCATCGATTCCCTGCATAACGCTCCACGAGATGATGGAGATACCTTGGTCGATCCTGGTTACTACCTTCCAGTCTCTGCAGTGCTAGCCGCGCCGCCGCACTTCTGGTCACATACCTGCATATATCGCGCCTCGCCGGATCAAGCGTTGTATAAGCCTCACTGTTCTGTTCCTGGTCCAGCTCCTTGCAGAAGAGTTCAAGCTCCTGCATCGAGCATTTAGACGAGCCAGCACGAAGCACCACAGTCCGCGCGTTGACAAGTTCTTGGATGATCCACTTCCTCGTCCAATATCGCAACCTACAGAGTCTCTTGATGGACTGCCAATCCTTCCTGCTGCGACTGATATGCTTCCGGGAATAGTGGTACACAGGCTGTGTGGGCGTACCGTAAGTAACGGCATTATGCACGAAAGCGAAGGCCCTCGCCAGATCAACGTGCTCGTTAGCGCCATGGAGCCAGGCAACGACAATATTGGCTCTGCCATATATGTCGGCCATAAGTCTCACTTGATGATTCCGCTCTTGGTCTGATGACTGGTCTATGCAAATGGCATCTACCCATAGCCAGCAGGCAGAATCGCTGTCCCGGATGGCTCGCAGGGCATTGGCCAAGTTTTTGCGAATTCTGATGACCGCGTTGTTTGGTAGATGAAGGTCATACCGGGCAGCATCTCTGCCCCAGGTGTAAGATACCGCCCTGTAGGGAGGACAATTCTCAGATGCCAAGGTATGATGATGGAGCGAGCCTATTATTTTGTCACCTTGGCCGGCGTGCAGCCTCAACAGCCTGAACGTCGTCTGCGATCGAAGCACATCATATCTGTACAGGTTTGTGGACATTGTATCGTCGTATTATTGACTTGGTTGTAGGTGTCAGCACGATTTTTCGAGTAGTTCAAGTCTGTGAATCGAAGTGGTGGAGAGTGAGGCTCCACATCGTAGAAAGGCTGCCCTCTCAACAAGGCTGAGGCCGACAGTGTGCTGCGATGCATTGCGGCCTCATTGCATTGCCTTCTTTCAAGCCACCCGCGTCATGATGTAGCCTCGCGATACTCTACTGCCTCTCTGATGCGTTTGATTGCATGAATAGAGGACGCTGCCAACGACCAGCTCAATGTCATGAGCTGTGCCCTTGCAAGGACTTTCCGATATTACGACCCCTATCATGGCTGCTCGCCAAGACTGGTTCAGCGCACCTCGATCAGACGATGCAGACGACAGAGAGGGCGGAGAAGCGGTAGTATGGCGATGGACTATCAGAATCTCCACTCTGGCTGTCATCGGTCTCTTGGTCGTGATTCTCACATTCAGTATCATTGATCGAGACATCAACCACACCGCACTGGAAACGACTCAGACGGCGATCGACTCAATCCAGCAGGCCGAACTGATCGGGCAGAACGCCAGCAATATCGCCAACCAAGCCAGCAACATTGCTGATCAGGCAAGCCTCTCTCACCAACGCTCAGACATACCACGCTGACATGCCACAGGCTAAGAATCTTACCGCGAATATTACCAGCATTTCCACGGACGTAACACAATTGATGTCCGAGATGTCAGCCTTACAGTCGAATTTCGCCAGTTTGGATTCCGCCGTCAACCAGATCCAGTCCTATACTATGTCTGCCGCAGGCGCGTCTCCTTCTCAGACGAGTGCGTCTAATTATGCTTCGTATGGGGCTGGAAGTCAACTCAGTTCCCACAGACCTACGACTTTCATGATCTCGGTGGCTGCTGTAACGCTTATCTCCGAGTGCCTGCATGGGATGTCGTAGGATGCTGTTGCGCTGGACTGTTTCCTCATGGCATAGGAGGCGAGTTGCGGGGTTTGCTTATCTCTGAGTCCATGAAGTCGCGGAAAGATTGTATTTACCAAGAATGTAATTTGTCAGCAAGACCAAGAATATTCAAGATACCCGCCTTTCACTTTAGCTACCCTCTTCAGGCCACTCAATGTACGCTCTCGCCAGGATATGGCTTCCTTCCGAAAGTGACCGGCATGGGAAAGTAAGCATGAATTCTCCTATCCTTCAAATCCCTCCCCACCCTCGCCACAAAAACATCAACCTCCTGCTTGGTCCACCCTAGTCCGCGCGTGAGCAAAGCCAGACAGAACCCTTCGAGGCCATCAAGGATATTGACTTGGTTCCACCGCCCGAGTTCTTTCATGTAGGGATCACGTGGCCAATTGTTGGACGGCCACATGAACATGCGCTGTTGGATGTCGACGAAGCCGGCGTCTCGCATCCATTCTTCGTATTTTTCCGAGACATCACTGCCCATTGGACGGCCGAGGTTGCGCGCGGCGTGGCAGAGAAGCTCGCCCCAGCGTAGGAGATCGGTGCCAAGGTGGGTGTTATCCGCGGACTTGACAGGAAGGCCGTAGTCTTGGAGTTCGAGCCAGCCGCCGGGCTCGAGATTCCTGCAGATGTTAGTTATGGTGATGTGTGTAATGTAGCTTCACATGATTCACGTACTGGTACGCTTGCCTAAAAAAGTTCTGCCAGTCGGCAAAACAGCCCGCCATCAATCTCGCATGGATGTAGTCGAATGTCTGGTCGTATATCCACAGGTCTTCCGCATCGTCTATTATGAACTTGAGGTTTGGTGGAACCCTATGAATATTAGTAAATAACCATTCGTTTTCGCCGCATCATGGTGGAAAGTGCTCACAATGTCGGTTGACCGGGACTGAGATCAATACCAATGACCTCAGCCTCAGGATGTGCATCGGCGAAGTCGACCGCCCAGATTCCGGTACCTGTGCCGATGTCGATAGCTCGCTTGACGTCCTTTAGTGGTGCAAAATACAGGCGATTGCCAAAAGTGATCCGAAAGAGGTGATGTTGAAGGTCGAGCCGATCAGCTTCTCGCTGCGTCCTATTAGCTCGCCTATCGTGCTATGGATGATGAGCTTCGTACCTCGTCATTGGGAAATATGTATTTGCCGTCCTTGTATGCTAAGCAATCATACATCAGTAGTGTTGTGAGCTTTCATGGAGGCTCGATCTTCGCTTACCATGGTACGTTCGTCCATGTTCCCTTCTGTAGTTGTATATGGATTCGCTCAAAGTGGTCGTTAGGCTTTGACTACGATACCATCAGTAATCAAATTGCAACCAAGTTGCAGAAAAGCCAAAGTACGCACGTATCGCTGCCGATAGCAGAATCGTCATCGTCCTAAAGTCAAGCACATACTTAGTCGCTTCGTCACTTGCTGAACGTCTTCGCCTTCGCTTATGAAGGCGATGTGGGCGCGAGACACGACGCACCTCTGGCTCGAGCTCCTGCTCTTCAGCTAATTGAGCATGTTGTACTGGATGCTGGACGAAGTCTGTGTCGTCTGGTCGATTCTGTTGATGGTTTGCTGGTATGGGTGTAGCAGATGATGATGCAATGGATGAGGCGTCGAGGCTCTCCGGCAAGCTCACTTCTTCCTTGAGGGTAGGAGGCTGAAATCCGCCTGCAAAGCCTAGTGTAGTCTGCGGCGCTTGGTCTGTGAGTGATGATGGTAGAGGCTGTATTTCGTGACGTGGAGTGCCCTCCGTTGTTTGAACCACTTCAGGTGTGACGCTCGATGCCACACCGCTGTCAGCAACGCTTGGAGCAGGCGTTTCTACGGTCTTGGCGCCATCCTGTCCGAGCGGCTCCTTGTCCTGTGGCTCCATTGGGACAGAGACAGCTCGACAGGCCTGGAATGAGCTTAGGGAGCCAGAAGATCACCGCAAGGACAGCCTAGTCGACGTGGAGTCGTCAATCACACGTGGGCTCGTCCAGGGTGCAGCTCGAGTTATGCGAGGTCAATGTGGCCAATGGTCGCACAATCAAGAGTGGAAGCGAGCTGCGGGCGTTTGTGCTCTGGTCTTGAGGTAGCCACGGACGCCCTTCATGGTCCGATGGAAGGAAGAGGTGAGGTTGAGGCAAGAATCAGCTGCGGCGTCATGGCTTTCCTGTGATCCTCGAATGGTCATCATCAGAACCGACTGAATGGTACGCTTGACTTTGTCCTCTCGATTCACAGGTGGTCGTCTCGTTTGGAACCGGCCCGCCTTCCGCCTCTGCCAGCAAAAAGAACTTTGAGCCCCACATCGGGACTTTTTGATGGAGCATTATTCTACAGAAGGGAATATGCAATCAGCCGTACAGAATTCACGCCACTAACACGCCAAAAAGTGCATGTAGGGACAGAGTCGGCGATGGAAGTATGTGCAAGACAACTCGTGGCCGCCATTGCCATTGCCATGCCATGTCTGATACAAGCGGCAGCGCCCAGCGGCATCGAGAGTCACCCTGATTAGACGCTACGGAACTAGGACACCTCTCGCTTGCGAAGCAATGCTTCTTTGGTGAAAGATGGGCAATCCGACCTACGGCTCATGCATGTACACGGGTTATAGCGAGCCACTATGCTCCGCCAGCGCAGGCATCCGCGGTTTAGAAAAGCAAGAAGTACGGTAGCTGTCTCATCAGCTCTTATAGATCCAGCAAATCATCAAATATCTGAGCAAGTAGTGAATGCTTTTCCAATCCTGTCCGCGCGTGCAGCCTTCACGTTCACGTTCGTCCGCAAAGCACTGTGTCGCAGTGATCGTGCCGTCGCTAGCCATGCAGCACGTGGACTGCTAGCATAGTTCTACCTCACTAACTGAACTGCCACATGCAGCTTGCCGATAAGCTACACTTCTAGATCGGAGCAAGGAGAACGAAGACCTGGAATCCTTCGGCGCACACATACAGGACACACGATCGACACATACAGAAAGGTCGACATTCATTCGAGCAATCAGAGCGGATACCAGTAGGACGGTTCACGAAGCTTGTATCACCTCACGGCGAATTCCTGCACGAAGCTCGAAGTAGAGCGCGCCACGATGCTCTCCGCCACAGTCGCACTGGGTGCGGTTGTCGCATTGCTTGCGCTGTATGTCTACAAATCTGTGAGGACTTACTATGCGCTCAAGGCTTTTGGCGGACACTGGTCTTGTGGGTGGTCGCGGTTATGGATGTTGCGCACGCAGGGGAGTGGGCAGATGAACAAGATCTTCACGGAGATCAACCTCAAGTATGGTGAGTTTCGTCCTCTGTCGCACGAAATTACAGCAGAGCTGAAGCGCCTCCGACTCGCTCGAGCTGGGGGTGACACCAATGTGAGGTAGATGCCTCGTGGCCTTGCGATGGTGTTTCATGTCTGTCAGCTTGTCTAACATGACATCCCAACAGGCTCGACCGCACGCATCGCACCAAAGTTTCTAGTGACTTCCGACCCGGAGCTGTTTCGGCGTATGAGTGCTGTGCGATCACCCTTTACTCGAGGACCATGGTATGCCGCGCTCAAACTCCACCCAGAGCGCGACAACATCACCTCGTATGTGGACGAAGGCAAACATGCAGAGATCCGAAACCGCATGGCCCCTGGATATTCTGGCAAGGAGAATCTGCATCTTGAACAGGATGTTGATGAGCAATTGACTAAGTTCTTGGCCCTGGTCGAGAGTAAGTATGTGGCGAAACCTGAGCAAGAGATCTACAAGACTGTGGACCTCTCGCGCATCACATCTTACTTCACCCTCGATGTGATATCCAAGGTGGCGTTCGGCCAGACATTCGGCTTCCTGGACAAAGATGAAGATCCTTTTGGCTACCTGGAGAACTTGGCGCAGATGCTTCCAGCCATCATTGTGTTTGGCGTGTATACCGAGTTAACGAAACTGCTCAAGATGCCTGCTATGAAGGCGGCTCTACCAAAGTCGACAGATAAGCGTGGTCTTGGACGTGTCATGGGCTTTGCTAGGGACAGAGTCCAGGAACGCTTCGGACCAAAAGCTGTGCGTCGCCAGGATATGCTAGACTCCTTCATCAAGCGCGGCATGAGCCAAGAGGAGCTCGAAAGCGAGACTCTCACCCAGATCACCGCCGGCTCAGACAGTACGGCTTCCGCTCTGCGCATGACACTCCACTTCGTCTGCACCTCGCCACCAATACTGGAGCGACTTTTGGCAGAGGTCAATTCTGCTATCGAGACCGGCAAGATCAGTAGACCTATCATCACCGACGCCCAGGCCCGCCAACTCCCTTACCTCCAAGCCTGCATAAAAGAAGGTCTTCGTATCTACCCTCCCGTCACAGGCGTAATGGCCAAGCAAGTCCCTCCCACCGGCGCCATGATAGAAGTCGATGGAGTTGAGAAATTCGCTCCGCCTGGAACACAAATCGGATGGAATAGTTGGGGTATGATGCACGACCAGGAGATCTTCGGTGCGGATGCTGAGATATATCGGCCGGAGAGGTGGTTGGTGAGGGATGGTGGGGAGGAGGAGGAGGAGGAGGTGCAGAGAGTACAGAGGATGAATGAGACGGTCACGTTGTGTTTTGGGTATGGGCGGTTTGGGTGTCTGGGAAGAGGGGTGGCGACCATGGAGTTGAACAAGGCTGTGATCGAGGTGAGTTTGGAGATGTGCTGGCTCTGTTTGCTGTGGCGATGAGAAGGCTGACTTTTGTGCTACTAACTACAGACTTTGCTGCGTTTCAATCTGCAGTCGTGCAATCTTGCCAAGCCTTTTAATGAAAAGGTCGTTGGCTTTTATGTGCATACTGATATGAATTTTGTCATTACTGCGCGTAAGCAGGAGGGAGAGAAGGCTGGTTTCTCTCAGCTGAGAGGTGGTATTGTTGATGCGGGTGCGCTTGCAGGTGCACCGGAGGAGTGATATGTTAATGATCATGGGTCGTTGAACAGGCTTATGTACTACTGTAATCTGAAACGGAAGCAATCAGACTCAACGGCCCACATATTGCAGCATCTGTCTTATGGTTCGCTAAAGTGACAACTCCGCTCACATTGCGGTTCTTGTTATCGTGTTGCATGAGAGCTGCTGCAATCACTTATTATTCCATGACCCAAGCAAATACTGTAGAGTACGTACTCCAGCTGCACGGCGATTGGTCGGATGGGCCCGAAGGAAGGAAGGCAAGCTCGTGTTCCCCATGCATTAGAACTAATCCACGCAAGCTCAAAGCTCAGCCTCATGAAGGACGATGTGATCGCTGCAATAATTGCTCCTTCCGCATGTTCATTGCTTCCTTGCCTTCACCGTCTCTCGCTTACAACTCTTTGCCGACTTGTTCCTCTCGTGAGGAGTTCGAATGCTCACTACCACCCGAGCGGGAGAAGGGGGAAGTTGTCAATGGTGCGGGCAGACGCAGACGCATCGGTGATTAGTGGCGTGTCGCACAGGTGACAGTTGAGCACGCGATCGCGATGGAGGTGAGTTTGGTTGGCAACTATACCTTACCAACCCACGCGCACGACCACTAACATTCACTCACAGTTGTTCACCCTCCCACCGTCGCTCCTCGCCCTCGTGGCTTGCTTCGTCCTCGCCGAAGCGCAATACCCACCACCAGCTTCATACCAGAACATCCTCAACTCGTCGCTAAACCCCAAAATCACCGTCGCATACAAACAGCCAGACGCGGGAACATGCACCACGGCCTTCTCCACGCAAAAGCAGTACACCGGATACATTGGCCTCCCTCCATATACACTCGCTCCCATACAACAAGACTATTCCATCAACACATTCTTCTGGTTCGTCGAGTCCCGACAGGTGCCCGAAACATCTCCCCTAACCATCTGGCTGAACGGGGGCCCGGGCTCGAGTAGCATGGTCGGCTTCTTCAATGAGGTAGGGCCTTGCGAGGTGATACAAACGGGTGATGGCAGTTACGGCACCCAGTTCAGAATGTACGGATGGGATCGCACCAGTAATATGCTCTTCATCGACCAGCCTAACCAGGTGGGCTTTTCTTACGACACGGCTACCAATGCTTCTTATGACTTCTTTCACGGCGAGACTTTTGAGCCGCCGACGGGACCTAGTTCGGGACTTCCGGGGTATATGTATATGAACGGAACTTTTAGCTCGGCAAGCTCCAGTATACCGAATGGCAATAATAATACTGCGAACACGACCGAGATTGCGGCGGCGGCGACGTGGCATTTCTTGCAGACTTGGCTGGCTGCTTTTCCGCAGTATAACCCTGCTGTACGGCCGAATGTCACGAATCCAAAGGCGATGTTTACGAGTACGGAACCCGTTGGTGTTAATTTGTTCTCCGAGTCTTATGGTGGCAAATATGGACCGGTCTTTGCGAGGCACTTTGAGCAGCAAAATCAGTATCGCAGTAATGGTACACTTCCCATGAACAGCACGCTCGCTATCCAGCTGGAGACGGTGGGTATAATGAACGGTCTCGTGGACGATCTGATACAGGACGCGACATTTCCTCAATTCGCCTTCAATAACACATATGGTATCCAAGCGATGGACTTGACGGACCAGCTGAACGGCCTATCAGCATTCTCTGGCATTGGAGGTTGTCGCGACCAGATCCTCGCGTGTCGGAGTGCTATGAACTCGACGGATCCGGAAGGATATGGGGATGTGGATGCCACCAACGCGATGTGTGAAAGTGCTCAGATTAATTGCTTGAATGTGTCTGCGGCATACTTTGCTAATGGGTACGATCCTTACGATATTCGGCAGAAATTGCCGAGTCCGGATCCCCCAGCTGCGTATCAGGAGTATCTGAACAATGCGAGTGTGCTGGCTGCTATTGGTGCAAGGGTCAATTATACTGAGAGTTCGTCGTACGTCCAGAACGAGTTTGTGGAGACTGGCGATACGATCCGGGGAGGCATGATCGAGGACCTGGCTTATCTTCTCCGGCAAGGCATTCGCGTGGCGCTGGTATACGGTGATGCGGATTTTCTATGCAACTGGTACGGCGGAGAGGCAGTCAGTCTTGCCATCGCTGCCGAGCTCGCCAATTATCCTGCCTCGCCCGCCGTAAGCCTCAATGGTCCGGCCGCCGTCGCCATACCGGCCTCATACGCCTCCGCATTCCCCGCTGCAGGCTACGCCGATATCGTGGTGAACAATTCCTATGTCGGAGGGGTATCGCGACAATTCGGCAATTTGTCCTTTAGTCGGATCTACGACGCTGGCCACTTCGTCCCGTACTTCCAACCCGAAACGGCTTTCACAGTCTTCACCCGCATCATCGAAGGCAATGATATCTCGACTGGTGAAGGTATCAACCTCTCTACCTTCGGCTCTGTCGGCCCATCACGCTCTAACCACACCAACAATCCCACCGCATACTCCCCTCAACCTACCTGCTGGATCCGAAGCTGGAATAGTACATGCAGTGATTCCGACACCAAAGCCATGCTCGCCGGTAGTGGGGTGGTCTCTTACGGCATGTTCATCCCTAATTCCGGTGGCTCGGTCTCGTTGCCTACGTCGAGTGTTCCCGTTGGACAGCCGGGTCATCCTGTTAGTAGTTCTTCGGCTGGTCATCAGTCTGGTTCGCCCGCTATGAGCGATGGATCTACTACTGGGTTGACGGGGGTGTATACTGCTACTGGGACGCCGGCGCCGACGCAGAAGGGTGGGGCTGGTGCGGTAAGAGGTGGCGGTGAGGGGGTTTGGGTGAGGTTGGGACCGGTGGTGGTGGGGCTGATGGGGGTGGGGGTGGGGGCGGTGGTGATGTTGTGAGTTGTGTGAAGAACAGGGAGGTGTGATGTGTGTTTGTGTATCTGTACAGCTAAATGCTATTCTGATATGGGTTTGGCCCCCATGGTGGGATCTTCCTTGCGATTTTGTTAGCTGAGATACCCATTGTTGTATATTTAGTATCACAGTAGCTGAGAGGTGGAGCTACAAAAGCTGTTCAACACTTATCCCCTTCATCATCAAGGTCTTGTCACGAAAGAGGAGCGATTCCACACGTGAATGATCTCGTACCGGCACGAATGCCCGAGGCTTAGGTACGCAGAAGCAGTCTATGCATCACGGCTGCCTGCATCGCGCCTTCTAGAAACAATGATCGAACGAGCCCAACGGCATTCGACCTTTGGTCAAAATCTATGCCGGCGATTCTGTGCTCACCACCATTGTTGGCCGATCTTCTGCGAACCCTGACGCACCTTGGCACGCAAGAGCAGCAACGATCTGAGTGGCATGGACATCCAATACGCGCCTGTGGTGGAGTGGAACGGACATAGTGTTCGTGTGAGCTGTCCTCACTGCGGGGGCACGCATAGACATGGGGCACGCTTTCAGACGACGGGTGACTGGAACGTAGAACGAGTGACTGTCGGAGTAGGAAAGAATACCTCATCGTCTTCCCGACCGATGGTAGGTACGGTGCAGCTGCACACTTTGGCTGGCATTTTGATCGTCAAAGGCTGGCTTTTGTCGCTGTTGAGGCTTCGGGGTCTTGGATCGATGATTACGAGGCTTCACCTGTGGAACGCACTCTGCTTCCACGGTACGTAGGACGGCACGCCATCCAAGATCCTATCGAGGAAGATCTTGACGACGACGTGGAAGGCTTGACAACTGCTGCTCATGGACTCGCTATACAGGGCGAAGACGAGAGCAGGGGCAGGTCAATCTCAGCCGATGACTGAGGAGTTGTTGGAAGATATGTATCGATCGCTGGACTTCCGCCAGGACGTTTACATCTCGAGTTGCGTGCTCAGGTTCCTCCGCAGATTGCAAATTCTGTTTCGAGACTATCCACTAGACGGATTTACGAGCCATGTTGACGTGGAAGGGAATAATGGCGTTACCCTCGTGGCCTCAGAAGAAGAAGCTGTGCCAACTCTGCAATGGTTACAGGGGAGAGGAGTGGATATCAATCATGTCAACTACCATGGCAGGACTGCGCTCATGGAAGCAGCACTGTGGGGTCGCCTCGACACTGCGCGCTATCTTCTTGAGCAAGGTGTGGACCAAACGGCCTGCGACGGCAAGTCCATGACAGCGCTTGAGTTGGCCATGGACACCAGACGTAATGCCAACGAACGTGCAATTCGCTCCAGTATAGTGTACCGTGAGACTGGAAAGGCGGGCGGAGATCGTCGACAGCTTGTACGAGAACTCCAGCGCATGTCCGAGAACAGTGGCTCATCCGCCATGTCATCACGTTTGCCAGATCAAAGTCCATCTTTCTTCCACAGAGTCGAGGGAGGACATCTGCTGCTGTATCGCCCATCCATCTTACTCTTGAAGCCTATACAATCCCCGCAAAAGGCAATTGCTACTCTGGACCGAGGAGGCAGGTATCCAGTCATCAACGCAATGAGTGGCTACTCGCATCCTAGCTGGCCCAATGTCCTGGACAACCAGTTGTGGACCGGTCGAGCGAACGACTTGCGTGCTCTGTTGGACCTGGAGAGGAGCGAGCGCTATGCGTCTCATGTCGGACCGCAGCTACTGGCGTATCTTGCCTTGCATCATACACTGTGTCTATATCCGTTCGAGTCGGAAGAACAGTGGGCACGGCTGGAGGCAGCAAAGCCTAGATGCAGCTTTACTGCCCTGATCACAGTCAACAAGCCGCGCTTCTGTCGTACGTGTGCGGAGTTCTTCGAGCAATTTAAGGTGCACTTCCGTGAAATTGGAGTTGAGTTCACTTTTGTGGAAGAGGCAGTAAATGTCTAAGGAGACGGGAGGGCAAGACAAGCCGGTTGGGTCCTCCATGCGTATATGCCGTGCTGAGTAGCATTGCATTGCATGCAATGAGCAACCGTAGACAGTGACGATGGACTGATTGCTGTATGTCATTATGGGATCGTGATTGTCATGTAAAGTCAGACCATGATCATGATAGATTCGAGACTACACCACGTTCAGCTTCTTTCTCGCTCTACGCAAACATCCTGCCTCAATGTGTGCTACACCTGACAACACCTGGCAAGAATATCTTCACACAAAAACGTCTCCTCATTGTTCCCTACACTGCTAGACCTCAGCCTCACCTGTGCATGTCTTGCCGGAGTCCCCGTGCAATCCCAGAATGTGATCATCATCTGAGCATCCGCGACCGTTGCTGCAAACCACTTCCACTAGCTTTAAGCTCGGTCGCATGGCCCTTAGCCCATGGTGTAGAATGTCGCTAACAAGTAGTGCGAAGAAAACACTCCAAGGCATGACGCAAAGAGCACTCGCCAGAAGACCATACCCATTAAGGAGCCCAATGACCAGACCGCACAGGATGCCCGTCAGGAGGAACCATATCTGAAAACGATCGTTCCGGTTGAGGTAGCCATAAGTCCTCATGAGTGCAGCTGCACTGATTGCACAACAGAAGAAAAGCAGAGGCGACGGATCGAGAATGGCTTTTTCGACGAAGCTCGATGTCTGGATAGAAGTTAGCCTCGTAATGCCGCCAGATCTTCGGAGAGCAAGACATACAAGTGCAACTAATCGATGTCGTGTATCGTCTTGACCACGAATCGATGACGAATCTCCGAGAACAGCAATGGAATGGCCATCGAGTATGTTCCGGAAAGTGTAGTCGTGGACACTCAACAGAAGAGGCGGCATCAGTAGAACCATGGCTGCCTTCACGATTGTTCTCACATATGGTCTCCAGCGAATTGTAAATCCGCGGCTATTGCAGGGTATGCTATCCATCCTAATTGTTGGTGGCGGACGGTCAATAGCGCCATCAATGGAAATGTCCAATCTCTTGTAGAGTGATTTCTCACCGTCGTGATTATCCTTGGTGTGCGGCGCATACTCAAACTCCATCGCTTGCTTGGAAAGACAAGATGGCAGGTCGATGGCCAAGACTGAGTGACCGGCGCCTGGTCCAGATAGCTTCTTGAGATCGTAGTCGATACGACAGTCACTGGTGTAGGGCCTCCCGAAGTCGAGGCGTGATAGTAAATCCAGACGCTCGCTTTCGCCGTTCGTAGCAACTCTGATGGGGCCTGCAACCATTGCATCTGGCCGAGCATTAAAACTGAGCTCGAGCTGCGCTGTCCTGGGGCGACTGATGGTGAGAATTGGTTTGATCATACCCTGCTGATTGACACACAGTCCGGTGTGCGTACGACTTCGATCACTGATGGCCGAGCGTGGAGCCTGGCGTCCGGGTATGCCAACTTCATTCGGAGGTTCGGTGGTGCCGGTGTAGATGATCCCATGGTGAGATCTCACAACCTGCGTTCTGCTAACGCCTTGGCCGCCATAGGTCGTGAGTGGCAGAGCCGAGCAGTATTCCTCGCCTTCTCGAACGACAACAAAGCGACGAACCTTGGAGTAAATCTGTTTGCCATAAACCTCTCCTCGAGCATGTGAAGAGGAATCTGAGGTCCATCCAGCTTCCTTATCGAAGGTGCGGTCGTTTGACAACCGCGCAAGACCAGGCGAGTACACATTTGGTGCCGTCTCGGTGGGATCAGCCCACAAGACCAGAAAGACCTGCGGGTTTTCAGCAATGTACAGTCATCGAATTCTCTAGCGAGACTTACGCTGCCAACGTTGAAAAAAGACCTGCTTGATGTCTTCAGCTGGAAGTTGCCGTATAGATTTTCTTCTGTTGGCGCTTGCGACCTGCAGAGCCGTCTGAGCCGGTCAACAAAACGACATGCCTGCAGTCGTCTTGTCGCGTCTTGCAGGCCTAGAGCAAAGGTATGAGCAGGTCTGTCATGTTTGCGATATGTCGCGAGGAGTATCTTGATGCTCTCCAACTGCGACCTGATCTCCGGTAGAACGCGCTTGGTCTCTGCCATCTTGTTCGGCGAAGAGTCGATAGACTCGCTTCCTGGTCCCTCGTTCATTGTCGACGAAAGCGTCTTCAGCGCTGCTGACAGTCTGTCCACCTCCCTCGCAAGCCCCGCGACCTCATTGCTCGCACCGGAGTATGCATGATAAGGGCCATTGTGTAACATGACAGAGATATCTGTCGCAAGTCGTAACGCGGCCACCACGAGTCCCACCACGCTTGAGGGATCCATTATGCGATGCCGTAGTATCTCTCGACAAGGTCCACACTGTAGAGCAGAACATCAAAGTGTAGATGATGGTATGATCCGACTTGACAAGGCTAAATTCACAAGCTCGGCTGCAGCATGTGATAGCATCGGCGGTCCGGACAAGGCTGCGCGCAGGTTGCGAGTAGTGGGTGTGGCTATCGCAATTGTGAGGCGTGTTTGAAGCTTGGAGCTTCGACGTGCATTGAGGCCGCACCTGAAGTCGTCCGCTTCGTCGCCCTGAGCCAACACATTCTTGAGCACTTCCAAGTTGCCTTCTTTTCTTTAGCCAATAGCACTCAACGTGGCAGCTAGGTCGTACGTTATCTTCCAGCTGGATGCTGGTTCTGTCTGCCAGACCGCCTTGGTTAATGTCAGCCCTTCATGCAAAGCCCTGTTCATCTCGGATGTGCTGCAAAGTCAATGAACTCGCACCAGTGAGGCATGATGATCCATGCTTCAGGCCGTTCCCTTGCCGTTGCTGGGTCTTCGCTTTCTTGACGTGGTCCTTGACCTGTTGTCAAACAAATTCACCACTATCTATCGATCAGTGGAACTGCATGGTAGACGACACCGCAACCTCGCAACTCGAGTGCCGCTCGTGTGCATGTGGACACGCACTTCAGTATTGCATGATAACAACAACACCTACCATGGCAGAGAGAGTCGGAACACCTCAGGGAATGGCACTGGAGATCAACAAGCATTTGACTCTACCACCAGCAGCACACGAAGCATGTCTAGCATGCCAGACCAACATTGAGAGACAGATTGATCAAACTACTCATCTCTTCCAAGGGACCGGGCAAGACAGTCTTCCTCCGGAAGGCGCCACGTTCGTGGAAGGAGTATCTGCACAAAGCCATCCGGCACATGCTCAAGCAAACTCTCAAATCGAAAACGTGCAGACAGCTGTGAAAACGAAAAGGCAGTGCTGGCAGCGGCAGAGAACTGTATTGATCCCGCGTAATATCGATCAGAAATGGCGGGCGCTCGGAAAGCTGGAATGGGCCCTTCTGCAGGAGATTCGATCAGCTGACGAAGCAGTCGAGGCAAGTCGATTAAGCCAAGTTTGTGGCCATGAGTCTGATGACTGGTTCATGGTGGATAGAGTGGACTGTGCACCGCCAGGAACTAGCGGCTCCTTCGAAAGTCACTTTGATCTGCTAAGTGACAAACGAGATCAGAATTGCGCAGAAGCCGATTGCTCAGCATCACCGGTGGTGCTTGAATGGTATCTCAGAAGATGTGGTGATGCGTCGATAGCACGAGAGCGATTGGCGGAGCTCGAAGACAGCTCTTGGGTAGGTTCGATTTTTCGAATGCCGAAGATCCACAGTGAGATCAGGAGGCGCATAGTTTGGCATGCAAGCAAGTCGCTTGCAGCGTGGCTTACACTATCCTGCGCTTCAAGCTTGGTAGAGCCAGCTGCAGCATATCCGATCGAACCGGGAGGCTACCACCATGAGCGGCCGAGCAGCTTAGAAGCCGGCGACCAGACCGGAGGCTCGATGCCATACCTCGCCATCGTGGTGGCAGCGATTGTCTTCGACTCTCTGACTGCCAGAAGATGGCTTCCAGAACGACACATGACGGCCTTGATCGGATCAGCAGTCCTTGGGCTACTATGGGCGGCGTTGCGACAATCTGGTGAGAAGGCAGAGTACATGCTGCCGACATGCGGCGCTTTGTGGCTGGCATCATGGATCGTGCTGGTCGGAGCTAGCGCTCGCTGCTTGCGGCGGCGTATGGTGTTTGTGACCTTGGCTGTCTTCATTGGTGGAGGCGCGCCGGTGCTGGCCTTGTCATTCCTTTCGGGACAAGATGCTCCAGAGGCTAACCCGACCATCACCTTGCTGTTCCAGACTATTGATCAAGCGGGTTTGCTGATGGAGACAGCCTGGACAGTAGCCATTTTCCTGGTACAGCAACTGTGCGGTTGGTGAAAACCTCACCCCTATGTTCTTTGCAATGTTGGGATATGAGCCGGGGCATTCAGTTGTAGCCATTTTGTGACGACAAGACTTCACAGTGGCCCATTTCGCGGCCATTATGAAGTATCGTCGATATCAGTACATATGTCGTGCCAATACACTCCAGCCATATGTCGAAGTCTCGCTGCACAATCGATGGCCGAGTATGACTACATGTTCATGGTGCCTTATCTTGAGCGCCACATAGACTTGCACAGCAAGATTTTGCAGAAATTGAGCAGCTTGGTTCTTGACGAGGATTCGGCTTCGCGCGTAGTCGCCACTTAGAGGTACCTACAGCGAGGCCGGCCTGTTTCCGTGCCTTGCCGGCAAAAACCCGATAAGCTGATTGCTGCTTCAATAAGCACAAACACTTGCTCGCCTGCGGCTTTGAGGAGGGCGAATGGGACTTGTTGTTCCTCTGCCATGTTTGGGTAGTGAATGGAAATAAGTGAAGTGGCGCATGCGAATAATGGTTTATGTGGTGACTGGATGCTCTTGCCAGAAACATCGAGAATGATGCAAGCGTGACCGAGACGAGCACGGACCGCCGGCGGTTCACGTGCTCAGCCACCGCCCGCAACGTAGCAGCCTAGTACTTAACCAGGCTGTTCTGCCACCTGCATTCCTCATTCTTACATCCCCACCCAAATAACTCTTCGACTTCCACAGCAAGTCAAACATAACCAATTAATCACACAAACACGCATTAAGTCAACACACACACTACCGTCACGATGCAGATCTTCGTCAAGACCCTCACCGGCAAGACCATCACCCTCGAGGTCGAGAGCTCTGACACCATCGACAACGTCAAGAGCAAGATCCAAGACAAGGAGGGCATTCCTCCGGACCAGCAGCGTCTTATCTTCGCTGGAAAGCAGCTTGAGGATGGCCGCACCTTGAGCGACTACAACATCCAGAAGGAGTCCACGCTCCACCTCGTCCTCCGCCTCCGTGGTGGTATGCAAATCTTCGTCAAGACCCTCACTGGCAAGACCATCACTCTTGAGGTCGAGTCTTCCGACACCATCGACAATGTCAAGTCGAAGATCCAGGACAAGGAGGGCATCCCACCGGACCAGCAGCGCCTGATCTTCGCTGGCAAGCAATTGGAAGACGGCCGCACCCTCTCCGACTACAATATCCAGAAGGAGTCGACACTCCATCTTGTGCTCCGTCTTCGCGGTGGCATGCAAATCTTCGTCAAGACACTCACCGGCAAGACTATCACACTCGAGGTTGAGTCAAGCGATACAATTGACAATGTGAAGTCGAAGATTCAGGACAAGGAGGGTATCCCACCAGACCAGCAGCGCTTGATCTTCGCCGGTAAGCAGCTCGAAGATGGTAGGACGCTTTCCGACTACAACATTCAGAAGGAGAGCACGCTGCACTTGGTGCTGCGTCTTCGTGGTGGACAGTAGATGGGGAGTGGAAGAGTGAGCGAGGCGTGAGGCAATTGGCGGATGGCTTCTCTGACGATTTTACGAGCGATTTGAGCATGACTGTTGCCTTCTCATTGGCAGCTGCTAGCCTCTACACACATCTGTAGCATGAATCCAGCGGCCTTCGGCCTGATCTGACTGCATCATCCGTCTCCCGCTCTCCTTCTCACGGAACGCGAATGTCTTTGCGTCAGTAGACTGTGCCAGAAGTCGAGGCCATCAAGCAGTAACTCATTAATTGTTGTGACATGCAATCGCCACCTTATCGTGGTGAGTCAGTCGTGGTGGCGTAGTCTGGGCTTCGGGCGGGCGCCTGCTTGCAACACGTCGAAACTACATGTACGAAACACAACTTCGCTCACGTGCGCGTTTCCACAACTGCCACCGTAGACGATAAGAACACGCACGAGCGAACGTGTCCAGCATGCCCACAGTAGGTGACTAGCAATGCATTCGCCGTCATATTTTTTCCACCTCAAGCTAGAGCTCTACCCTGCACCTGCTGCAAGCGCCCGCACGAACAAGAGATTGACTATAGCACACGCAACCACTGCCTTCGTACCATCCCACGACACCGATATCTTCAGGTCGAAGCTACCCACTCACTCCACCAGCAGCTGGACTGCCAAACGAGCCGAGACGCCGAAGAGCACAGCCAGCAGTTCCGACACCTCCAAGTCACCACCCCGAAACTCCTCCAACGAACGAGCAGAGTCCCATGGTGATGCCCTCTTACTGCCCGAGCGGAGTTCGAACCTACGAGATCTCCCACCGCCGCCATCACCAGCTCTCACACCCGCCAAGCGCTCCAACGAGAAATCGGCAAGAGATTGGAGGTACGAGGCTGTCAGTATCGAGAGCATAGAGATGGAACCTCAAACACTGTCAAAGGGCGCCAAAAGTGCAGTGACGGGACTACATACCAAAGCGGTCTATCAGCCTTCGGATCCGAAGACGACGGATGTGGGATTCGGTGTCATTCACCTCTACCGTGATTCGGAGGAGTCGGTAATTCTTGGTGATGACTACACTCTTGCGCGTCCACGTCTCGATAAGGTTGCCGCCTCTCGCTCGGCAAGTGGCCACAGCCATGGCCATGCTGCAGAAGAAGACGCCTTCCCGACAGAAGACTGCACCACTCTCTCCATCCTCGCCGTACCCTCATGGATGATGCCCTCCGATCTCCTTGGTTTTGTAGGCGATCAAGCACGAGAAGAAGTATCGCATTTCCGCTTGATCAGAACAGGCAGAGCGAACAAATATATGGTCCTCATGAAGTTCAGATCGGCGAAGAAGGCTAAAGAATGGCAGGCGAACAACAATGGTAGATTGTTTAGTGCTGCGGAGCCGGAGAACTGCCATGTAGTGTTTATCAAAAGCGTGGAGTTCTTGACGCCGGATGAGGATGTTGACGGTCATGACGGGAGTTCTTTCCCGGGAAACATGAATGATCCTTTCACGCCTGCTCGGGTTGTGAGTGGCGGCATGGCAAGGTCAGCGAGCAAGAGTCTGACGAGCAAGCCACTTGCGCCTCCACCACCAAATCTGAGAGAGCTGCCAACTTGTCCTGTGTGTCTGGAGAGGATGGACGAGACTACTGGTCTTCTTACCATCCTCTGCCAGCATGTATTCCACTGTGCTTGCCTGGAGAAGTGGCGCGGGAGTGGTTGTCCTGTCTGCCGATACACGCACTCGCCATCTTACACTTTCCCATATCCACGACCAGATGGCACAAGCTCAGAGGACGATGCAGATCAATTTTGCCGCGACTGCAACATCAACACCAATCTCTGGGTCTGTCTCATCTGCGGCAACTTAGGCTGTGGCCGCTACGATGGCGCCCATGCGCGAGCACATTACGAAGAGACATCTCACTGCTACAGCATGAACATCACCAGCCAGCACGTCTGGGACTACGCTGGAGACGGCTACGTCCACCGCTTAATCCAGTCGAAGCAGGATACGAGCGGCAACAAACCCGGTGATGTGGCTACGCAGATGAGACATGAAAACGAGGCGTTCAGGGCTGAGGGCGCGGATAGTGTGCCAAGGGAGAAGATGGAGAGTATGGCTACCGAGTATACTTATCTTCTCACCAGTCAGCTGGAAGGTCAAAGGAGATATTTCGAGGAGCAGGTTGAGCGGTCGGCGGATAAGGCTGCCAAAGCTGCTTCGAAGGCGAGTACGGCTGAGCAGACACTTTCAGACGTCCTGGAACAGCTCAAGGATCTGAAGACCCATCAGGAGGACTCTACGACCCGGATGAACAACCTCGAGACCTCTCTCGCGAAATCTCTGGCGGCAAAGGAGCGCTTCGAGAAGCTCTCCCGAACCATGACCAGCCAGCTCCAAGAAGAGAAAATCATGACCGTTGGTCTTCTGGCACGAATCAAGGCCGCGGATGAGAAAGTAGAGGCGGAGAAGCAGAAAGTCGAGGCCGCCGCGCAGGAAGTCAAGGAGTTGCAGGAGTCGAATCAGGATTTGATGGGGTTTCTGAGCGGGCAGGCGAAAGTGGAGGTGTTGAGGGAGGCGGGTGTGGAGGTTGATGACGGGAGTGTGGGGTTGGTGCAGGGGGGTAAGGGGAAGGGGAGGAAGAAGAAGTGAGAGGTTTGCGACGGCATTTTATTTTGCATGAGCTGTTTAGCGGGAGAATTGGGACGGCGTTTATCATGAGGTGCTGCGCGCGAAGATACCCTAGGAGTGATTAAAATAATGAATGTGGAGTTCTTGGGCGCGATATACGTCAACATTGATTCGGAAGTAAGAAAAAAAATGAAATATCGTACACTCTCCGGACTGCAGCTTGTCCACTGTAGTACTCTCGCGATCTTTGCAATACTCTCTGTTAAATCATACAGACAAGTGCATCAAAGCAAAAAATCAGAGACTCTACTCCTCCAGATGCAAAACCATAGGCGGGCCTCCCACCTTGCCCTTGGCGAAATCCTTCAGCTTCTGATGCGCTTCGCAGCTTTCATCATAGTACTTGACGTCGTCCATGCTGGCGAATTTCGTCGTGCTGATGAGGTTGAAGCCGGAGTTTCGGGGGTCCGAGACGGGTTTGTGTGATGATAGGGAGAGGATGTATGGTTTGCCGTCCTTCACCCGCGAAAGAACGTGATTAGTTGACAGACGCTGTGGGCTACAAGATACTGGTGGTGAAGATACCTTTTGATTGGTTTCTCGTATTACATCGTATTGGTCGATCATGCTTTGGATGTCGTTCTCGTCCGTGATCCTGAAGCAGGTTATACGTTGGACGGGCATCTTGAGTTTGATCCTGATGTGGAAGTGGCGGAGGTTGTTAGCAGTATGCTGTGGTGATATCAGGTAGTATGGTCTCGTCGTAGATTGATGCTGTAGAAAGTGTTTGAACATGCTGTTCAAGGGTTCATTCGAAAAGGAGATTGTATATTCCTACAATGTCCTTATCGTTCATTTCGTGACGACATATACTTTCGGATGGCGTTTGGCGGAGTCCGAAGAGATGTCTAGGATTTGTGGACTGCATCGTGGTCGCCGTTGTTGTTACAGACGGAAACCACGAAATGCCTCCTATCAACGACAACATCTACAAAATAAGGATTGTCCCACCTTAAGGGTGAGTGATGAGGTGCGGTCTGGAGAATAGAGAGAGGTGGAGCCTCGAGCACTGTCCTGGGCATTCGAAGAAGAGACGGAAATGCTGGCTCGTGCACTTTGTGTGTGAACGCAACTTCTGCACCCGTGCTGCTATATCTCATGCCTCCATGTTTGACATTCGCTGTGCAATGCTCCCCTTCGTCCTCCGCCCCTTGCGTATGCCAATTAACCGCCTCCAGTAGTCTCCAATAGTCTCGGATGGGGCCTCAGGTGCAACAAAACCTCACCGCCTCAACCTGCATATAGAACCGGCGCGGCTGCTGCGCTTATCTGTCACCACAGGCAGCGCGACAAGCATGCAAAGCTTTCCCACTACCCCTCAGATATGACACTGAAGACGTCTACGGCTGAGTCCGATCCCTCTTCCACGATGAAAGAGTTCTTGATCATCAAATCCCACTTCTCGGACAGTATCTCCGCCATCTGCGCTGGCGAAGTTTGGCGGGCAGCACCGTCCCTGCATAGACGTGCAGCTTGTGGACAGGCTAAGTCATCTCGACCACTGAGCGCATGCCACAACGACTCCGGTTCATGCGTACTTTGACGATGCGGATCCACCTTCAATGCCGACCAGGAAGCGCGCCGACAGTGGATCCGACAGCATGGCAAGGATTAATGACTTCGTTCTCGTCGTGGCGGTCTCGGTACAACCACCTGTCACGCGAGACTGCGTGAGCGATGCTGGTCCGTCAGTATGGAATCCCGGACGCTTACTCACGTTACCATGCAACTACGCGAGATACTCGGAGCTCGGCCGGTGGCTACAGGGTTTCTCTTTGCAGAGTCAATGCGGCCCGAGGACAGATTGTGGCTGCAGTGCACGCTGTTCAACTGACAACACATACCTATGCGCGACTTGCGGGCCGCGTTATGATGGAGTTTGGCAGCTGCTTTGGGTAGGACGAAGTGCTTCAGGTGAGGTCGTCTGTGGACGCACGAGCCTGGTTCTACGATTTTGAGGCCCAAGCTGACATGCCAATTCATGCCCAGTGCTGCCTTGTGTACTTCATACGACTTCCACGTCATGCTCTGGCTGATTATGAACCTCGTCTCTCTGCATATCTTGAGGACACGGCGGCCAATGCGACGGCAGATCTGCACCTTTGACGTGGTCCAGCAATGCAGTAGCCTTGAGCTCACGCAACCTTAGTGCGCTTGCGCCGCCGCTTGCATCCACCTTCTGCAGAGTCCAATGCTTCGACTTCCTTCTTCGACACGCTTACCTCCATTCCTCTAAGTACCCTTCGAGTATGGAGTGATGCACGACATAGCGTCCGGCTTGACGCCAAAATCTACCGCTGCATTTGTACCTGACACCGTGACAGGCACATGATCCTCTCTTTGCCGCTCTGACGGTCCTAGCAATGCTTGTACGCCCTACTGGAGCAAAGTCTGGGCATCTGGCGATCTGCACCTGGAAATTTGTTTAATAGACTATTCTGCTGCGGAGCTCATGCTCTACGCGGCTCGATCCTCGTCGTTTGCTGGCCGTAATGCACGCCAGCACATCAAAGATGGGGCTCTATCTGTCGGGCAACGATTCGAAACCTCATTTGCAGGCTGCTCTGCTCTCGCCTCTCTGGCTACCGTCCGTTTCGCTGGGTGCATGTGTACCCGCTCACCGGTGTCCATTCGGGTGTGGTGCACTTTCATGCTTTATGCCCTGCCTTCCTCGACGACTATATACTGCTTGCTGCACCACCCATTGACCACGCTCATCTGCTCATGCTTCTCGGGCATTATTGACTGACGCAGACTGCACGCATATATATTGCATAGAGGCGTTGGCGTTGATCATCTTCGGAACCATTAGTGTTTTACAACAGCTATCCAGACTCAACCAGATTCCACTATACGCACATATCCGCATCGGTCTGCTGGCACACCACCAAAGCCACGCCGCCACGTACGAACATCCACGTCGATCAGGCAAGCCATTGGCGTAACCATGTTCTATCTTTCCTACCTGCAGAGTGAGTATTTGATGATCACTGCTACTCTTAGGCCTTCTTGCATGAGAGACATGCTCGGTTGTAAGAAGAGAGTGCATCAATGTTGACGATAGTGTCTCTTAGGCGTCTGTACCCGCCGCCATTGGCCAGCCCCAGCCTACGAGGCCTACAGCAATTCACAAGGCTGGTTCTGCAAAGTCCGAGTCAACAATCGAGAGTACTCAACCGATGTGCCCTACCGTACCGAGACCCAAGCAAGAGAAGGCGCAGCCACAAACGCCTACATGATCTGCCGGAACTTCTCCCACAATGACGGCATGTACCCTGGCAAAAGGCCCGGACAGCGATCTGCCAGCGGTGCAGTCCAAGGTCTACCAGTAGCCATCGGCACAGGTCGCCGCGGCAGCCGAATGACAGACACATCCTCCACATACGAATCAGCAAGTTCAGAAGGCACAAGTAGTGGAGGTAACAGCCCACGAAGTCCCGGAAGTGGCTTCGAGCAGCAGATGCAGCAAGTGACGGCTACTATGCCGCGAGCTGCCCCCACTCAACGAGCTTCTCGCTCGCAGGGTTATGTTTGTCAGTGCCAGCGAGCACCTATATACGCATACGAGCGCTGCGGTCTTTGCTTGCGGGAGCAGGGCTGGGCGTGATTGGTCAGCAAGTGGGAACGTATCGGCGATGGAGGGACATCAATGCATGGGAAGATGGTGCCGCAAGGCATGTCATGATTTAACGATATACGAACATGTTCTGATTTTGCGTCTCTGGGTGCTTCTGGAAAATGCGGAGACACACAACTGGTATCACAGGACAGTGGTGGCACTCGAGACCTTCTGCTTAGCATTATGTAGTCATCTCAGTCTAGGCTATGGGCGAGCAAAGTAATGACTTGCATGGGCTTTTGATGTGGTTGACACTGCTGCAGACGTTCTGACTGTAGGATGTTTCTTCATTGCATATGTACAGTCCCGTTGCTCGATCACATTTATCATTATGCTCTTGCTCATCTCGTCATGCATACATCGGTCCGTACCAAGGTACTCTTTCCAAAAGCCTGGCATCATTACTTTCATGCCCAGCCTGATTGAGTCGGCGGCCCGCCGTGACCCCAATTGTTGTTACCAGCGTGCTGCCAAGGACCGGGAACATCACTGCAGCCAGGCGCACCAGGGCCATGGCCACTTGGGCTAGCGGCAGTTGTAGCGCTGTACGCGGCGGGTACGGTAGTTGTGGCACTCATGCTAGCCATCATGCTGCTGCTACCCGACATGTAGCTGGCGGGCACGGTAGCACTGGCTGGTATCATGCTACCGCTGACCACGGTAGACATTCCAGAGCTCATGCTGGCTGGCATGCTCATGCCAGCAGAGCTGGTCTTGTTGCTATATCCAGGTGGAGCCATTGACGCAGAGCCAGAGCCGTAGCCAGAACCAGATCCGGACGAGCCAGACAACGGAGTGACGGTAGTGTTCAACCAGATCTCACGCGAAGAGTAGCCGGCCATGACACCAATGGCACTAGTACCGATAGTCCATTGCTGAGTATAGCGATCCCAGTAGCTGATATCACGTCTGGTGAGACTGAAAGTCACGGTCTGGCTAGCACCAGGCTGCAGCGTAATCTTCTCGAAACCACGGAGAACTTTGACTGGCGTATAGTCCTCATTTACTGGCTGAGGTAGGCCGAGATAGAGCTGTGGGACTGCTGCGCCTGCGACAGAGCCAGTGTTGGAGACTGTCACGGTGGCGGTATATAGGACGTCCCAGAGAGCTGGGTTACCACCAGGGGCGATAGCCTGCTTGGCTGGTAGAGCAGTGTAACCGGAGCCTGTGGCAGTGACTGCGAGGTTGGACATGGAGAACGTGGTGTAGGACAGGCCATAGCCGAACTCATATTGGACGGGCTCATCGAAGTAGTCGAAGTGGCCTGGCTACTGTTAGAGTCACATAAGTCCCGCAACTGACGTTGATACTTACGGTAGTCAATGAGCAGACGCTCCTCGAAGTTTGACTGCCACGCGTTGGGATCCGTGGTAGTCAACAGCGCCGTAGAGTTCTCGATCGGTGCGAAGCTGTAGTCGGACTCGTTATAAGCAATGGTATAGGGCAGCTTGCCACTCGGGTTGACATCGCCCCACAGCAAGTCGACAAGAGAATTGCCAACTTGCTCACCTGGATAGTGAGCAGCGAGGATAGCCGTGACGTTCGGGTTATCTGCAAATGGCATGACGTTGAGACCACCGGAGTGCGTGACGACGACTGTATTGGGGCAGCTCTTGGCAACAGTCTCGACAAGGGCAGTGCCGTTCCAGTCGACCTGCAAGATGGTTAGCACTCAATACAATGACTGGTGTTCGGGTAGCTCACAAGCAAGCTCGGCCGATCATATCCCTCCGTCGCCCACGTCTTGAGGAAGACAATACAGACCTCCGGTGGCACCGGAGCCAAGATGCTATAGCCGCTAGCCTGGTTGACCAGTGTGTTGTTGAGGACATACTGCACCAATGCCTTAGGATTATACGAATTGACCTTGTTCTTGATGGCCTCGAGAGGTGAGACGACGTAAGTGAAGCGACCAGTTCCGGATCCACCACCGCTAGGTAATACACCAAATTCGAACCCGACATTGCCGAGATCGCCGTCGCCATCGAAGTACAAGCCATCAGTGGGCTCTCCAGCATCGTTCCCGAAAATGCCAATATTGCTTGGTGTTTTCAATGGCAAAGTGTTGTTTAGATTCTTAAGCAAGACAGTACCAGCAGCACCAAGCTCACGAATGGCTTGGGCATGATCGTCTCTTACGTCGACATTCGCTGGGCCGAGGGTGTAGTTAAAGGCGTAGTTGGCTTCGGGAAAGAAGTTCAAGCCGCTTGAACTGGCGTCGACTCTGGGGTAGGAGGCGCTGTTCTGCTGGAGAAGGAAGTAGGGAGACATGATGCGGCGACACATGTCGTCCAGGCGATCTTCGGCGAGAGTGCCGTTGTTGACTGCCGCCGTGATGTTCGGGCCGAAGTACGTAGGAAGCTGAGTTACGAAGCCAATCCCGCCGGGCATGTCCATGTCGAGGCCGGCGTCCGCAGCTGGATAGCCAGAGTGTGTTGCCTCCCAATCGGACATAACGTAGCCTGTCTCTCACATCAGCATGTGTCCATTTCCCAGCACGCCGGCTCGATGTATTCACCTTGGAACCCAAGTTCATCCTTGAGCAGACCGTTCAATGTCTTGCTGTTCTGGCAGCCGTACGACCCGTTGATCCTGTTATAGCTGCACATGACAGAAGCCACACCACTCTTGACCGCATTCTGGAAAGGCCAAAGGTAAAGTTCGTGCATGGTGCGATCGTCGACATTACTAGACACAGCCTCGATGGTCTCCCCAGCCTTGGTGACACTGGGATTCCGCTGCGTCTCTTGCTCGTTGCCGATATAATGCTTCGCACATGCCTGGATACCAGCAGACTGCATACCCTCGATCGTCTCGGCGAAGAGCTCACCAGTCAAGAAAGGATCAGGGGAGAAACCTTCCCAGCCACGACCTCCGTACCCTGATCGGCCAAGTGGTCCAGCGACTGGTCCGAGGGCTACATGAGCGCCTTTACCCTTGAACTCCTGAGCCATGTCCACGCCTCGTGTGCGAGCCAGATCTCTGTCGAAGCTGGCTGCGACCGTCAGTCCTGCTGGAAAGACGGAGGCATATGTTGCTTCACGAATAGCCAGTGGGCCATCCTGCAGGCACAATCCATCGAAGCCGAGTCTGTAGATAGGACCAATATTGCCAACGCAGGGACCAGGTGCACCTGTGACAAGCTGAGCTTTCTCCTCCAGTGTTAGTTGTGAGACGAAGTTCGAGGCTTGCTGGAAGGCAGCTTGCCAGCCCTGGCCGGTGGCATTGGCTGTGCAATCATGTTAGTAGACTCGTGATAAGAGTGCTGTAGCTAGTGAATCGCTTACGGGATGGGTAGACTGGCGGACTGCTGTCATAGTCAGTCTGCTCCCAGGTAGGTCCAGCTGCTGAAGGTCCACTGCCAACTGTCGTTGAGTTGGTCTGCGCACTCACGTCAGTCACGGCAGACAGCAAAGCGATAGTCGCAAGCAGCTTCTCATACGAAGAACGCATCTTGGAGGAAGTAAAGGCAGTACGAAATCGACTGCTAAGACCCTCCAATGAGTAGTGCTGTTACTCTGCCTGTCTCAACCTCATTTACCATGGGCATCCGCAAACATTTTGTAGCAGCCATCCGGCATCTCATCGGCGACACGAGTGGGGTTCATGGAGCTTCATACTCCGTTGTCCTCACAAAGTCGGCAAGGGCGAACTGTATCCTGCTGATCGTATCCCCTACTGGGCAGACCTCACGTCGCGTGGTCAAAATTCCGTCCCTCGGTCCAGGAGCTAGATGATGAGTAGGGCTCAAAATCAGCTCCACGAGGTGCCATCGTACATCACTTCAGGGTATAGCGCGGGGAAGCTTAGTCGATATGATGGCATGGCGCATGGTACCTGACGGTGTAGTGTAGGTCGCTAACGTCGATAGCGGTGCCTGCTTGAGTCATGAGAGTCCGCAAGGCTCCGTTCAAGCTCATGAAAGCCAGACTAAGGCAAGCTTGGGAGGACGGGAAGATGTGGGCGAGAAGTCAATCTGTTGAAGACCGCTTCTGGTTCCAAACTAGCAAGCCATCTGTCGGCATCATTGCAAGCACACAGAGTGGCGAATCATCACTGTACTCGACCTGGAATCCAGATGGTCCTCCTATGGCATCTGCAGGAATTCGTAGATCCATCCCAAGTGATGAAAGTGAGGTCAAACAGATCCCCGCACTCTTCTCCGCATCGCTTGCTGCAGGCACCATCCGAAGTTTCGCCGTAGCATGAACAAGTCCCGCATCGTCTGGCTTCTCGCCCCGGGTCAAGAGCATGCGAGACTCACTGGCATTTCATGCCGTCAAACGATGCCGGGAACACTCCATTCGGGAGCCAATAGAGAGTCCTCACAACCAGCGGAATACGAGCAAGAGCAGAGAATCAAAGTGCCGCTCACCGCGAAGTTGGGCCGATGTGTCGCCGTCCTAATGTCCTTCACGGAAGCATGTGGGATCGTACCGCAAAGCTTAGTAGACGATTCCCTAAACGCCGGCGCCCTGGAATTGAAAGGGAGAACGAGAAAAAGAAGAGGGCAAGCTGCACAGAAGAGGAAGAGATTATGCCGTCTGTTCTCGCACAGCTGTACCTTGTATGTGATGTATGTATGCATGCATGCCTTTCTGCGCAAGACCCCTGCTTTTGCTCTTACTCTTGCTTTCACGACCAACGCCTGGTACGCCCCTGTAATGCCCCCCTCGCACACCCTGCCGTGCGTTTCACCCACCCAGACCAGGAGGGGAGACTCGTGATGTATTGCCGTGCTATATCATGCTCACATGATAATCGCAGGTGCTGCAGAAACGTTAGTACCGCATTGGTTCCCAACCAAATAGTGGAGAGGGAGAACTCACTCTCAACATTAGCCTTGATACTCTTATGTGGCAGCACACTGGCACCATTGCAGTACACCTCATCACCAATGGTAACATCGTCGCCTAGTACCGAGACGTTCTCCAACCGCGCCCATCTCCCTACTGTTGAGTTCCACCCGACAATCGTGCTCTTGATCCACGCGTGCTCCTTGACTTTACTACCCTGTAAAAGCACACACCTCTGTAGCCTGACGCCATCCCCAATGACCACGTTAGGGCCGATGGTCACGTTTGGCCCAATTTTGCAGTTCTTGCCAATTGTCGCCGATGGGTCGATCATGACGTTGCCGCCGTAGACGTAGGGTTCACTGTTGGAAGTGAGGAGTTTACTGTTCTTTTTCGTGAGAGAAGAGAGGTAGAGACAGGTTCCACTGAGGAAGTCCTTGGGTTGTCCCACGTCCATCCAGAATCCATCGAGGTCGAAACTGTGCAGTTGACCATCCTTGACGATTGCCGGGAAAGTTTCCTGTTCGATGGAGGTAGGGCGGAGTTCGATGCGTTTTAGCACGCTGGGGTTGAGGATGTAGATACCAGCGTTGATGCGATTGCCGACGAACTCGACAGGTTTCTCCACGAAGCGGTCGATGCGGGAGGCAGAGTCGGGCTTGTGCACTACGACACCGTATTTACTCGGCTCCTCGACTTTAGTCACCACAATCGTCCCCTCATTCCCATGACTGCGGTGAAACTCCACCAGCTGCTCAAATGGGAAGTCACAAATGACATCCGAGTTTAGCACGAAGAATGGCTCGTCCCCATTCCCCAGCGTCTTCTCAGCAAGTTTGAGCGGGCCCGCGGTGCCCAATGGCTCGGTCTCGACGGAAAAGGTGATGTTGATACCGTATTCCTTCTCGTATTTCTTCAGAGCCGCGGTCATGATTTCGGGCCGGTAGTTGACGGCGAGGACGATGTCTGTTACGCCGGCGGCGGCGAGGGCCTCGATTTGGTGGAGGATCATGGGTCGGTTGCCGAATTCCACGAGCGGTTTTGGGAGGGTGAGAGTGAGTGGGCGTAGACGGGTGCCGAAGCCGCCGACGAGGATGAGTGCTGTACATCCGATAAGTATTGTTTCATACCTACATCCTGACGGTAGACGATACCTTTCATTCCCATGATTGCGGTGTATGTGTGGTTGTTATTCGATTTATCTCAAACTCCTTAGAACCAGCTTCCTCCTCGTCAATGCCTTTGCACGTGCCTGTGGGGTGGTGATGGAGGTGTATAGCGAACGTCTGTGGTCTTGCGATGGAGTACAAGACCAATTGATTGATGGGTGAGTCGATTGGTTCAGTAAATTTGGTATGACCAGGCGATTATTTCATTCAATGCCAGGCGGTCTGACTAGCTTTCCACAACTTTTTAACAGTAGCTGCGTGTCCTCCCTCCCTTCTACTTCTCTGGACCCTGACGAACCACCAAAAACGCAAGCCCGCGCTTCCCATCGTGGGCCGACGCTAACCCGCGAATATCTCCCTTTCCTCTGCCATCCGGCCAATCGGTTACGCCGCCACGGGACTCGTGTTTCTGGAAGTGTTCTATTTGTATAGTATCGACTTCGTATGCAGAACACTTGGCGACACAACATCACTCCGAAACCATATCCCCTGCCATCCACACAATCGCGCGCGGGATGTGAGATGAGACTTCACATTGCGCATAGCAGCGTTACTGCAGACAATAACCACGAATAATAAGAATGGAAAAGACTGCCTACAAACTCCAATCTAACTCCCTTCCACCATCAAAAAAACCAAGACACGCATGATCCTCCCTTCCCATCACTCCCGAGACATCCCATCTTTTACAGTATCACTATCGCATGTCTACATCTCATCCCGAAAAATACTAGACTTATGCCTCAACAACAGCCTCGCCGCCTCCTCATGACTCGAATTCCTCCTCACCTTCTCATCAACCCTAGTCTTCGCAATCCCATAAATTAACGCGCACATCATGCAGAAAGCGGCAATGAAGCCGAGAGAATACAGGATGGGCGACTGACTGACTGTATCGAGCATCTGGTTGCCGCCGAGATGGGGTGGTAGACTGCCGTTTGCGATGATGTGTTGGCTGCTTAGGGGTTGGAGAGTAGGTAAGGCGGTCATCTCCAGCCCTAGCCCTGGACCAGTACCAGTGTCCGTGGTCATAGCAGTAGTGGTGGTTGTCACTACCGTAGCGAAGGTGATAACCCCATGCAACGCACCTGCATCGACCTCTTCACTCAGACCCCTCTTCCCAATACTCGCCATCATTTCCGCATACGCCTTATCCGCATCGGCAATCCCCTCCGTCCCGCCGAAATTCTGCGACAAAGATCCCTTATGACTATTCTGCTGATGAAACTCATAAGAGTCCTCTCCTATCGTCTCGGCCGTCTGGTCTTTGTTCAATTCACTCCAAGCGATATCCGCCGAGTTCGACCCGGTTTTGGGATTCGTAGAATCAACGTCGATGGCTCCTGCATTCTTGGACTCGTTCACGAAGTCGGAGTTGGAGACGCCGTCTTTGTCTGTTACGAGGGACTCGTTGCTGGTATCCTTGGAGCTGTCGATGTCGACTTTGGATGTTGAGCCGTCCGGGGTGCCTTTGGTATTGGTTTTCCAGTTGATGGCGTTGTGGGTACCGGAGTCCTGGTGGTTGGTGTAGTTGCCGGCTTGATTGTGGATGTCCTGCGAGCCGTGAGAGGCGTCATCGGTCTTGCCTTCGAAGATCGTACTGCCACTTCCCGGACGAGTGCCGCTGACTTCGGTGGAATTGCTGGTAGGTGGTCCTGAGGTTTGCTCGTCTGCTTGAGGGCTGCCGGCTGGCGGGCCGGCAGCTGCAGGAGCGATCGCTTGATTGGTGGCCAGTGGGTCTACTGGTCCAGATGGAATGGCTTTGATGGCGCTGACGACATCAGTACCTTGAATCTTGCCTACGATGGCTTTGCCGTCATTGTTGTCGTGCTGGTTGTGGTAGTCGTAGATGCCTGCGCATAAACGAAGTCAGCAGACCATCTGCAACACCATCGAGAAGAGTTTAGTGCTTACCGCCAGAGTTCAACACATCAGTGTTATTATGGCTGCTCTCGTCCAGCCACTTGCACACGCGAGTACCATCGCCTTTCTGGAAACATGTCTTTTCTTGCTTGGGTGGGCCTCCTTGCTGGCCTGGTGGGCCTCCAGCTGAGGAGTTGCCACCTTGTGGTGGACCAGGAGGACCACCAGCGTTCGGATTGCTACTTGGCTGCCCACTCGGCTTACCCTGAGCTGGCGATGGCCCACTCTGCTTCGGCGGCGTGGTAGCACTCGGCTGCGCAGCTGTAGTAGGAGCAGTATCAAGCTTCGGAGCTGTATCAGGCTTAGGCGAGCCTTGAGGCTTGGGACTACCAGTCGCAGGTGGCTGCGCTCCCGTAGTAGGAGCTGTATCAGGCTTAGCAGCAGTATCTGGCTTTGCGGCGGGAGTAGCACTAGGCTGAGCGGCGGTCGTGGGAGCAGTATCAGGCTTTGGAGAAGCAGGAGGATCAGCCTCGGATTTAGCACTGGGTGGTGGAGCTGTAGAGGAGGTTGCAGCAGCAGGATCTGGCTCAGTCCAAACACCTCCCTCAGTCTCCCAGCTTGGTGGGACTGCTGGCACAGTTGTGCAACTCGTGGTCGCGGAAGGACTCACCACTGGCGCCGGCATGGAAGTTGCGCTCGATTGAGGATCCATGGACGGTGCTGTGTCAGGCATGGGTTCAGCTTCGCGCGCTTGCAGCTGGGTGATGAGAGTGGGTAGAGCCTCACGAGGAGCTGGGCGGGTTAGGGACGATGTACTGGCTGTGTAGGAGTTGTCGGCGTATGCCTGTGCTGCTGGAGTGACTTGTGGCGGCATAATTTCGAGGTATCCAACGACCGGCTAGGGCCCAGATTGAATGAGTGTATGGCGTTCCGGCACGGGAAGGAGCACTGAGGAGAAGAGGAGTCTACAAAGGGACGGGGTTGGATTTTGGTGTGCGCTCGCCATTGTGAGAACTCCTCTTCGGGTGCAAAACTTGTTGTGACCATTTAGACAGTGCTTATAGGCTATTGTGCGTTGCCTGCTTGCTAGATCGTGGTTGCTATATAAGCCATGTCTTCCCTGCGTCCACTGATAAACTGGAGAACGGTCATTATGCTGACCAGCTTCTGAGTTTAGCGACGCTACATACTGGACAGCACCTCAATGTTTTGGCGAGTGTGCAACGTGGCACATCGACAGAGATCGTTGTCATAATTGGCATCATTGATTTTTACACGGTATCTCAGCTCACATAATCTCCCAAAACATACACACATACAGTAGTAGTATCGCTGACCTCATCACTCGTTGAGCTCGCCCTTGTGTCGTTCCCGAGGAGATAAATTGATGACTGGTGTCGCAAAAGTCATCGTACAGGAGCAGAGGCGCGTTTTATCCATCAATGCGTGGGAACTCGTCGTCCATCTGCCACTGATCGTCTTTCAAGAGCTCCATGCAGACATTACCGCCCTGAGCCGCAGCCAAAGCATCGTTCAGATGCTTCAATGCTTTGGAGACTTTGAGGTGACACTCATCGAGTGTTCCTTCTTCGAACTCCGGATACCTGGCATGCTTCTCCAATACCTCGACTTTCTCCTCCAAAATCGTATCAAGGACCTTGATTTCGAGGATGCCACGAAGCTCAAATAACACTTTGATCCCTGGAATCCTCGCCGGATTGGCGCTGTAAATAGTCCCATATTTTGATTGGTAATGACGCTTCTTGACCTTGTGGGCAAGGTCACCATGCATGATGATGGTCAGCTTGCGCAGGCCTGTCAGCTGCTTGAGGAGCGGGTACGTGATGTCGACGAGGCCAATCCCGCCACTCTTGACGTCGATGTAATGTATCGTGAGATCCCGCAGGCACTTCTGGCGTCCTGGCCCGATGGTCGTGAGAAACTGGTGTAGATGGGTAGTCCATTCGAAGTTGAAGGCATTGCTGTGGTAGAAGATGCCAAACGCTTCGTTGTAGATCTGGCGATTGACCTCGAGCAGCCTCAGAGCAGACTCCGGAGGCGCAAAATACTTTTTTGCTCGCTTGTTCTTTGGTTGTGATAGTGGTTGGCGGACACTTGGCTGGACTTGCCCCTCAAAGCACAGCAAGAGCTCGTAGATACGGTTGCGAAGCTCAGGGGAGAGCGAAAAGAACGGAAAGTAAGACTCTTCGGGTATGGATCTATACAAGGTCAGTGAATAGACAAGGTCTAGCAGCATCGGAGCTGCTGATTCGGACATGCCATGACTTACTCGGAAGGAGCGGAGAGCACAGCCTGGCCCATGAGTTTCGGGGCAACCTGTGTTTCCAACACGCCGCCAGGAATCGGACCACCACGATCTGCAGAGTCACCAAACTTGTTGCGCTCGATGAAGTCCACCTTTGGATACGGACCCAACCTGAGGAGGGCAGCAATGCCCGGGAACTGCAAAATAGCGAGACATTGCTGCGCCGTCGGATCTCCACCTTCCCATGCAAAGCGCTGATGCAGTCTACGACTACGCAGTAGCTTCTGAACCATCGCCTTCTCATCGACCCGAATGGTGAGTTCGCCCAGGCACTTCAGCTTACGGAGATTCTTGAAGTCATAGCCTGCACCTGTCGAGTTCTGGTCCCACGTTATGACAAACTTGCGAATGAGCTTCTGGTACTGAGGTGCAATGAGCAGTAGTAGCTGGTAGACGCTGCTCGCATTGGTGCTAGCGAAGACGTTTTCGCTGAAGTAGATGGGGCCAGCCTCTTCCTCAATGTCGTCGTTTACGTGCAGCAGAGCAGGGAACACGCTCTGGTACCAGTAATGACCTGTTCCACCGTAAGAAAGGCGGCGATGGTCCGAGCCTGTGATAGGGTCGTCCTGTAGCAGGTGCAAGCGGTAGATGCGTTTTCGCACCGCCTTTGGGAGATCCAGAAATGTCGGCATGACGATTGTCGTCTGTGTCATATATCGCAAGTCGAAATCCCAGCGGATCTAGACAACTTACGCGCGGCAAGGTTGCTGGAGAAGAGATGTAGTTACGGTCAAGAAGGGTTCTACGGCGACACGTCTGTGTTCGGCGCTTCCCGCCCACACGTGTGTTAGGAAGTCACGTTCGAGCAGAGCATGCAAGAACGTGAACATGTCACACATGACTGACCGAAAGGCTGCTTCACACACTTACCTCAAAGTCTGCTTTGTTCGCCCTGAGGCCGCCTTCATGCAGGCAGCCGAATAACGCGCCACGTCACTCCATTGTCAACCAACGCATTCACTAGTGATAGTGATGTGGGGCCGCTGAAGGCGATGCGTGCCTACCACATCGAGCTGTGTAGGCTACCAGTGCTTTGTGACCTGCGGGAAGTGAACGGTGAGAAGTGAAGCGAAAGCAATAACTAAAGAACGAGCGACCGCAGTGGAGCAGCACAGCACGCTAGGCCTGTTCCTGTCAGAACGCCACACCAGTCGTACCGAAGTCTATCTGCGAGATGACGCCGTACGATCCTAGTGCATATCAAAATTGTTTCTCTAGCATGTGCTTACGATAAGATACTGTCATCCGCCTTCAGCAGCCGAGGCGACTCGGGCTCGTTCGGAGGCGGCGATGGCGACCCAGTTGAGCATGGACAACACTAGTCAACCAGACTCGGATTGTTGGCCATAGAAATGGCTCCTTCACTCTGCTTCTTCCATAGGAGAGCACATACTGCCTCACCACTGTACATTCCACGATGAGCACCTTTGGCGACTATGAGGCAGTCCGACAGGATATTGCCTCCCTACTACATCAGCCTGAATACGATGATGGGTCTGCTGGACCAGTGCTCGTCCGTCTAGCCTGGCACAGTGCAGGGACTTACGATGCTGAAACAGACACTGGCGGCAGCAACGGCGCAGGTATGCGATATGAAGCCGAAGGTGGCGATCCTGCAAACGCCGGCCTTCAGCATGCCCGTGTCTTCCTTGAGCCTGTGAAGCAGAAGCATGACTGGATCACATACGCCGACCTATGGACGCTGGCAGGGGTGGTAGCTGTGAAGGAGATGGGTGGTCCGGAGCTCGAGTGGAAGGCTGGTAGGACAGATTATGTGGACGACAGCAAGCTGCCACCTCGAGGCAGGCTACCAGATGGTGCAAAAGGAGCCGATCATATAAGGTGGATATTCTACCGCATGGGCTTCAATGATCAAGAAATCGTTGCGTTGTCTGGTGCACACAATCTTGGAAGATGTCACAACGACCGATCTGGCTTCCATGGTGCATGGGTGCCCAGCCCGACTCGCTTCTCGAACACGTACTTCCGGCTGATGCTCTCAGAGGACTGGCATGAGAAGACCTTGGACAACGGTGTACGACAATTTGTGCACTACGACGAAGATCTTGACGAAGAGCTCATGATGCTGCCTACAGACATCGCACTCACGGACGATCCTGACTTCAGACCATGGGTCGAGCTGTATGCCAAAGATCGAGAGCGCTTCTACATCGACTTCGCGAAGGTATTCGCCAAGCTCATCGAGCTCGGCATCACTCGAGACGAAAGTGGAAAGGTCGTCAATGGCGACAACGTCCGAGGAGGATATCACGCTGCGCCGAAAAAGAGCCAAAAGCCTGGCAAGCCGTTGGGCATGGATCGATACGGAGAGGCAGAGCCGTTGCGGAGGGAGAACGGAGCTTTCAGGGCGCGGTTGTAATTGTATGATATGCAAAACGCACCACTGGCATAAATCCTAGACCCTGAACTTACACCACTAAACATATACAGATAGATTGTAAGATGTACAGCACACCACGACGCCTACCCAAAGCATGCTTTCTCGTCATGGGTCTGATCACCTCCGATGACCCTTGATATGATGCAACTTACGCTCTAGTATCCCCTCGATTGATTATAGACCAGGCCTTCCAATCGAATCTGTGTTGATCGGTCTATCGTCCATTTGGCGACGTCCTTGCTGGCGCTTCTGAACATCCACCGGATGAACCTCACGAAGATGCTCAACCATCTTGTCCTTCCTCGTGAACCCGTACGCCCCGCTCCGATGGCAGCCTGCCTGCGTGCAGTCCACTTTTGCAACACTTCCCGTCTTATGGATAACTTCTACGTGTCGTTGGAGATCGGCGTGGCGGGAGTATGCCTGCGATTCACAACCAGAGTACAAGCAGATGTAATTTGGTGTTCTGTGCTTGGTTAATACTTACTCTATGCTGTCTGAAGATCTGGTCTAACAAGTATCTACTCACTGGGCTGGTAATGGTGGCTGTGTATCGCTGGCGCTGGCTGTCCGTTGCGAAGGCTGGTATGAGGATGCATAGCGGGAGGACTGGTAGTAATCATAGCTACGTTGTTCTTGGTTCGAGTTTGGCTGTGAAGGATCACGAGCTTGTGAGTACGGATCTGCCATTATCGAAGGATGCGACACTATGTTCTGTCTTCTCTCACGGTGTCAAGTGCTGGGTTGGCTTGTCCTTCTCTTTGAACCTGGGATGGCAGATATGGCGATTACACTAAGCTAATGGATCACATGTGCCCATAAATATACATGGATACTTGACGGTCTAATGAGGCACCGGTGAGACGACCGACCAGTTGACTTGACAGTCACACACCAACCCTCGTTTGCTGATGGCCGCTCATGACGTGGTCCAATCAACTCCATCGATTTCAGTATGCCAGCAACCGAATTAGATATGTGGAAGGTCAGCTGTTGGCCGATCCTGGGGAGTTTACAGCAACGTGCTTGCATATCATGCATGCATGACAGCTGCTACGAGAGCCTACTGCGCGGGCCTATTAATACCAAAGGCTCGATCACGGTCCACTACCCACCCTCCATCTCTCATCCAAGCCTTCCACCCTCGGAAAGTCCAACGTCCTACCAACAGGATTCTGATTCCCTCTCCAAGTCGCCCACAGACTCCTCTGTGTATGCAACTTCATATCAGCCGACTGATCATACATTGCAAGATCCAGTACCTCTCTCGACCGCCAACTGTCTTCCTTGCCTTTGCCAGCTGGCTTCCAGGGTGAGAAATGTACCGGGTCTGGATGACGGTCGAGGAAGGATGTGAAGGCTAGATCCACGACGGCGCTCTCGACGCCGGCGTAGATGTGTGGTGAGTGTGGCGAGGATGAGGCGAGGGAGTAGACACTGCTTTCCTGCGAGCGGCGGGACCAGTTATTGCCCCCTCCACGACCAGGGTATGTGGCATTGGTGGGTTTGAGGAAGAGATTCCAGTTCTTCGTTCTACTAGGTTGCGTAGGCTTGGCCTCTGCGGGAGTGCTTGCGTCCAGGTAAATGTAGCACTTCCGACCCATTCTCATATCGAAGAATTTAAGTAAGCTGTGCCGGCTTGTGCCTGCTACTAGCGTTTCCTGACCTCGTGGCAGCAGACTGTAGATCGCGCTATCGTCTGTCGGATCAGTGTAGGACTGCTCAAATTCTCGTTTCGATCGTAAGTCGTGGAGGCGAATGACGCTGTCATATGCACCGGAGAGGAAGACATCGCCTGTGGTGCTGCCGCCAGTTGTGCTCGCGGGCGGGAGCGGCACGATAGGATAGACTGAAGAGGTGCTTTTCTTGATAGTGCTCGGCACTGCTACTGCACTCGAGATCTGGTCGAGTCGTGCACCGTGTATCGCTTCTAAATCGTTCTCCAAGCTAAACTTTCGCAGTGGGTCCTTGTCAATACCAGTAGCACTGAGGTTGTATACGTGTATTGGCTCGGACGACGGCCCGATGCCAGCAGCGAGTCGGTGTGGCGACATGAGCTGTGCAGACCAGACCCGGTGAAGCCTTTGTCGTTCGCCGTTGGGAGTTTGTGGAGCAAGTATATCAATGCTACTCAGAGGTTCGATCTTTGTGGCCGACATATCAACCGAGTAGATGCTGACTCGTGAATCGCCCATATTTGCTGCAAGCAGAGAAGGCTCAGAGGGTCTCTGTAGTAGCGAAGTCGACCGTACAGATTGGCCTTGGGTGGTAAAGTACGTGATAGGGACCGCAGTACTGTCATCGCCTGGTATCGAGAGCAGCTGGAGGTCACCATTGGCTGTCCCTGTGATCATTCTCTGGTTCCCCCCCATGCCATCATGCTCAGGCCTGAGCAGATGTAAGGTCGTGATATCATCCCGCCCTTCGTGCGCGCTCAGTGGCCGATATGTCAACCATCGAACATGTTCACCTCTACTATCCCGCTTATTCTTGCGTATACAGACTTCGGCACCTGCACTGAACGCCAGTGTCTCCTCTCGATCTTGCCACCTCGACCCAATATCTTCGTACACATCAAGCTGCGGCGTGTAGCCAATGGTCTGTCCTCTAGGCTTCTTCCATCTCTCTACTGGCTTGTTGCCTGGAAAGGCACGTATATTGCCCTGAGGCTCAATATATCGAGCTACGAGGCCCCGTCGGTCCCATGCTTTCGACAAGGTCGTCAACGTTCGTGAAGCATCTTTGTAGGATGGCGAACAGGATGGTATCAGCGAGGGAAAGTGTGTACGAGCAAAAGTCTGCCAGGCATCCTTCTCCACGAAGGTATGTAAGGCCTTGTTGGTCTTGCCCAGACAACGTAACGATCGCGCTGATGGTAAGTAGGTTGTGATATGGTCCAGTAGCTCAGGAGGGAAGTCTGTCAGGTTGGCCTTCGCCATGGTATAGAATGTCTGTGATGCTGAGCTGTGTTCTCGAGGCACAAAACAAGCACCATCTACGTCAGAGCACATGTGCTATCAGCGCTTATCAGCCCAAAGAGGAAAGCACAGCAGAGCTCGGGGTACGTATCCATAGCTCTATCTTAACAAAACACAAGACGTGCGGGCCATGATTGTTTTTAGTACAATCTTCAAGCACAGTATACCTCCTCACCCTTCAACTATTCGACGGTACTGACGATGACCATTTCACTGATACCCTTGATCGCTGCCACGTCCCTGCTTGCTCTTGCTCTCTACCGTTATGTACTTCATCCCCTCGTCTTATCTCCTCTCTCCAAGATCCCCTCAGCTCACTGGTCGGCGCCGCTCTCCCGCCTCTGGATACTCTTTTACCGCAGTCGAGAAGAAGACACTCCTGCGATTCATGCCGCACACGAACGCCTTGGTCCGATCATCCGGATTGCACCAGACGAGCTGAGCATCAACAGCGTCGATGGCGGCATTCGTACGATATACGCTGGAGGCTACGAGAAAGGTGACTGGTACAGTAACATGTTCACCAACTATGGCGTCATGCCCATGTTCGCTATGCCAAACCATGGCCCTCACAGTAAGCGGAAGCGCATGATAAGCAATATCTACGCCAAGACGACGTTGCAGAACTCTCAGCCGCTTAACGTCATCAGTAAGACTCTGCTAGACGATCGGCTGATACCTCGTCTTGGTGATATGGCGAAAGATGGCAAGTCCGTCGAGTTCTACTGGATATTTGCTGCGGTGGCGATGGACTTTGTTTCGGCGTATGTATTCGGCCTAGGGCAGAGCACGAATTATGTGCAGGCACCGATTGAAGGCGACAAGTTTTTCCAGGACTACAAGGCTCGGCAGCGATATCAGTTCTGGCCGCAGGATATGCCCAGACTCACTTCCTTTCTCGGCAAGGTTGGACTTCAGTCCCTGATCATTCCTGCATGGGTGAATCGTGCGAATCGCGATATTGAAGCGTTGATACTGAGAATGTGTGACAAAGCGGAGAAGGTGGTGCAGAACTGTGAGTGCCAGAATGAAAAGCTTGAAGAAGGTAGTTGGCCGAACGTTTATGCACAGCTTCGAAATGCTCTACTCAAAGAGGCAAGCACGAAAGCTGATCTCGAGGCCTTGTCAAGTGTCGAAGGGATGGTTCAGAAGCAGCGATTGACGGTGGCGAGCGAGATGCTCGACCATACTTTGGCTGGCTTTGACACAAGCAGCATCACTCTCACATTCCTAGCGTGGGAGCTTAGCAGGCCCGAGAATAACATATGGCAAGCGCGGCTGAGGGATGAGATCGCGAACCTCGATGACAAGCATGATGCCAAGGCCATCGATACACTCCCTATTCTACAGGCAATCTTGATGGAGTCATTGCGCCTCCATGCCGCGATACCTGGCAACCAGCCTCGCATCACACCAGCGAATGCGACTCTTGGCGCCTCACCAGACACAATATTCTCACAGCTTCCACCAGGTGTCCGGGTACAATCACAGGCCTGGTCATTGCACCGGCACCCATCCGTCTTTCCTAAGCCAGAACACTGGGACCCTTCACGTTGGTTACCCGAGTCTTATCCATCACAAGACGCCTTCGAAGCAGCTCAAAAGGAAATGTTACGCTGGTTTTGGGCTTTCGGTAGTGGGGGTAGGATGTGCGTGGGAAGTAATCTGGCAATGTATGATATGAAGGCTATCATTGTTGCCATATGGAGCAGCTTCGGTACGAAAGTAGCTGAAAGGGGAGGCGACGGGATGGTGCATCGGGGTGGTTATGTGGCTGAGCCTGTTGGAAAAGACGGAAAGTTTTTGGAGCTTGCTCTTGAAGCTCTGTGAAACGTTCGATATACCCACTGGGCTGGACAATTCAATCAAGCTATCTCCAGGTCATTGGGGAGTCCTACTTTGTGGAACGAAGATCACAAGTACACATGCCACAACAGAGAGGACTGAAATGTATCCGTATCTGCCAGCACCTAGCTTGGAGGGTGCAAATCGTCCGGTCGCCTTCTAGACAGGAAAGTTTGGCGAACGAGTAGTCCTCTTGGCGCGCGTCTTTTTCCGCCTGCTCAAGCAGATAAAGATTTTGAAAATTCCGTAGATCGTCATGGTGATAAGCCAAACAAGTGCATGCTCGTATAGCTTTACTGCCTGGATCATCCGGACTCGCTTTGCGCCATGCTCACTAGCATCAGGAGTATCGAGAAGGTTGATGGCCACATATGCCATGCCCCCAATGACAATGGCGACGATGCCAAATGCTTGAGGGGAGCGGAATTTGAGGCTACGGGCACCCGCACAAATCATGAGGAACCAGATCGCCAGTATTGTCGCCTGGAGGAAAGGAGTCACGGACTGGGCTTCGTTCCCTGTTCGTACGAGAGCAGGCCAGGCCACAATAGTAAGGACAGCCTCGAAGAGGTTGAAAAGAGTGAATCGCTCATGCAGCCATTCGCGAACGGTAAGCGCTTCGAATGCCAGCGCCAAGAGGAATAACAGAATGTATGGTAGGGATCCAACAATGCCGTCCAGCCCACCTGGATTTCCGTACCGCTCGTCAAATGTTGGGCGGTGCTCCGCCGGCACGGCTTGCATTGCAGAGACCTTTAGTAGACATTGCGATACTGCCATAAGGCACGAGACTGCATTCGTACTAGTGCTCACGCTCGTGAGAGCTTTGCAGATTCTCGAGGCCATCGATCGACGCCTGGCAGCAAGCATGTACATCAAGCGCGGAAGTGATGAAGGCGTCCACGTAGGGGTCGGGAAGCGAAACCTCTGGTTGATCGCCGCCACCTGATCTGCTCCACCTACCAGCCAAGGCCTCATGAAATTCCTTGGGATTTTGAAATCTTCACCATATATCTTATCGCTTCCGTGTGCACATGGCTGCACTTCACTATTCAAAATCTTCGTTGAAGGCGACCGAAGCTTGGAGCGTTTTCTAGATTGTGGACCTCTGATCAGCCGCATCATCTTCACTTCGCCGAGCGGTCTTTGCGTATGTGTCGTCCGATCGAGGGATCGCTCGATCAATGCAAGTTCGGCAGCCTCGGTTTCGTACCACTGCTTGATCCCTGGCTGCTCTGTTGGACATTCATACGATGTCCAAGACAACTTTCTGGGATTGTGATCCGCCAAATTCGAAGCTAGGGACTTGGTGTAAGCAGCCAACTTACGTAGACTTGGGCGTTCAAGGGTGGCAAGGTGATGGCAGAGTCGGCCGACCTGAGGATACCTACGAGAGGCTTTGAGATACCAGGAAGCGGCGACTGCACCCCATTGGAGATAAGGCTTTCGCTCTTCTTCTATGGCCGTACGATACCTAGCAAGATCGCCCAAACAGTCAAACCACGTATCGAGGAATACCGGCACTGTTTCGTGTAGTAGAGATGTCATCTGGTATGCCACATAGATAAATGATAGCATATAGTCTTGCGAATCCGGGCGCCGGTGCCGCAAGATCTCGAGGAAGGCATGGATACCGTGCTTCCGCAGACGTGCCGGCATGCTGTATTTGGCCGGAAGTTCCTTTGGCCCCGATGTAGCTGATGGATGCTGAGTCGCCATCAGAAAGTCGTGATGCTCGTACAAAAGCGCGCGGTGCAGAGCAATGAGTGCCTGCCATTGCTCTTTGCTCAAAACGGTCGGGTTGCTCGCTTGTGCCCCATCTATGTTAATGCACTTAGCCTCGACCACCACAAGACCAGCATATATGCCTTTGATCTCCGCTGTGAGCTGATCTTCAGAGATGAGGGACGGCTCCGCCTGAAAGACCAGGCCAGGCCAACGAGCTTTCTGTGGGACGTTTGTTATGGGGTTCTGCGTTTCGGAGGTGCTGTCGTCTTGGTCGAGTCGAGTTGAGCTTGAGCCGCATGCCATCTTTCGTGAAGCAGAGTTCGGGTGGCTTCTGGCGTCCGCCTTGGTTCTGCCAATTGACCCTTCACTCTCTGAGTCGTTTCTGTACGAGCTTTGGCGAGCTGGGGATAGGCTGCTTCTCTTCCTAAAAGCAGAAGCGGGTACGATGGACATCACATCTTCCGAGGATATATCTTCAGCGTTGGGATGCAAGGTATCCCGCATATGCTTTCGATGCACGTTTCCGTGCCTCGACTCTGGTGTGTGACTGTCGGATGGAGTGTGGAGAGATGGCAGAATGATCGTGGCCCTGAGAGCCGGACAAAGTGTGACGAGAGTGCTGCAGTCGTTGCTGGATGGCGGCAACAATGTCGTGCGAAAAGAGGTTGTCCGCGCAAGAGAGGCTTCTAAACTGAACCTCGACTCCGAAGGACAAAATTTCTTGCCTCAAGACATTGGCTGCACTAATTGCCGGATAGTTGCAGATATCATGGTCGAGCCACGAACAGTAAGTCCTGAAGCGTGCCGTCTGATCCTTGACGAGGCAGTGCTGAGCCATCGGCACAAACGCAGTCGATCTGCGAATCATGCCACATTAAGGGCGACATGGAACCACTTCTTCCAGCCACCCGTCTACGACACATCATTCGGCACCATAATTGTACATGTTAAAAAAGGCATCTTGGTTGTGTCCAGGTTTTAGATGTGATCGGGGCGTTAAGCCTGCAGGTTGAGGTGCGGCCTCAAAGCATGGCGTCTGCGTAGCCACATTTGCACATCCTCAGGCCTGATCTCACCGAGGATTTCCTCGCAACTCCAGTCATCCATGGATACCGGTTTTGCATTCACGAGGCAGAGTCGGTGCTGGCTGGCACCGAGGTAGCTAGATTGTCTTCCCAGCATCTACTTACTTCACGAACTTCATGCTTAGTCGTTTCTGCATTGCCCATCGCCATCTATTCGCCAAAAGTCTTATGCGACTTGTCAGAAACGATCATGCCGGACGAGAGCTGGAAGGCGTATGTGTTCGAACGTCTACCTTCGGAGAGATGTATTCGCACTCTACAGATAAGGCCTGGATGTGATAGTGCGGCCATCAGCTGCGACCTGGAGACAGTCGATCTGGATGCAAAAGCGACACCGAGATACACAGCGCTGTCGTACAATTGGGGCAACGAGGCAGAATCTCGTGACATACATGTCAGTGAGCGTAGGATAAGCATTCGCTCAAATCTTCACCAAGCGCTTGAAGGTATGCGCCTGCCAGACGAGGTTCGTGGCGTGTGGGTTGATGAGCTGTGCATCAATCAGGCGGACCACCAGGAAATAGCAGCACAGGTCACTCTTATGGCGAATATCTTCAGCCTCGCTTCCCAAGTCGTAGTGTGGCTTGCCGAACAAGAGACTCACATGGACGTCGAGAGAGATGTCGATGAGCTCCCTTCACCCCCACGCAGGATGGCACCGCCATGTACTGGCACCACATGTACCGGAATGGAGCCGCAAAGCTTTACGAAGGGAGAGGGGGACAGACCATGGCACCTTGATGTAGAGATGGACAGTTGTGGCGACTGGTTGCTGCAGACTACCGAGTATCAACGCTGGGAGCAGGAAAAGAGTCGTTTTATCTGGATAAACCGGGTGACTGGTTGCGGCAAGTCGACTTTGGTGAAGAGTCTCCACGCTAGTGAACGCTGTGCGAACACAGATCCGAGAGAGCGATTGTGCGGATATCTCGGTATGTTCACCTCCAGCATGCCCGCTGTGCAATATGAGTGGCGAGCGGATCAATATCATTCTGTGCTGGACGAAATGACAAACCTGATGCAACGAGCCGACAAAGATGCACAGTCTAGGGAATATTACCTCAACGACCAGCAGACCGTACGGACGGCGCTTGATGCAATGGCTTCCGGCCAATGGTTCAAGCGTCCTTGGGTGCTACAGGAGATCTACTGCGCGAGTCGGGACGTTGAGTTTTGGATGGGGATAGAAGGACGATTGCTTACCGTTTCAGTCGAACGGGACCAGGAATTGATGGCAGCCGACCAGTCCAGATCACACGAGATAGACGTCAAACCTCCATGACATCGTCGCAGCAGCTCGTCGCAGCACATATGCGTGGATTTCGATCGAATATTGTACCTCCCACAGGACCTGGAGATCCAACGCACCACACGAGAGCCGCCTAGATCCCCTGATATGGATTGCTCGTACCGGAGACACGGCCGCGAATACATTGGCCCTCGCCAGAAGCCCAGTTGCGGTCGGTGCAACGTTGTATACACAAGGTCCCAAGTACGTCGCTTGTATGTGACTAAGAATGAGCATGAGCATGAACATCATGGTCCTGCACAATCTCATTGTTGCATCTTACATCGTTCAGTCGGCATTCGGCGAGCCGCCAAATTAGTGTCTGGGCTGCTCGTGGTACCGCAGATTCTGGCTGTCCGCGACTATGCTATTGCGTATGATTTAGCGCCGCCCTTCCAAATTTCCTGGGTACTAGACGTCAACACTGCAGAATCGATCTGGGCAAGTACTTCGGCAATGCCAGGCTTGCGAACACCGCTGACTTTGGCTCAGATACCGAATTTGGTTGGAAACTGGCCGTGGTTGGTAAAACCTTCGCCACAGCTGTTCCTTCTGTGCGTTATAGGCGGCACAGCAGCCCTTCGACTGTATGCCTATCTCTCCCGTGCAGACCGGTACCAAGTCTGGTTCGTCGCGCTCGGAATGCTCAGCTGGCCTGTGGTAGGATATCTCGTCGGGATAGATTTGCCGGCAGCGAGCCTCTGTGTCATGCCTTGGACAGCCTTCGGAAGCCTTCTACTGAGCGATGTCATACACGGCAGCTTGCGTATGCTATTGTTGGAAAGCACAGCCCGCTCCTCTGATGATGTGGATTTGGAAAGCCAGATTGATGAGAAAGATCAAATGTTCGATTATCCTGTGTGATCTTGACAAGGAGAGCGAGCACTGTAGGAGGCATTTCGGAGCATTGCATGTCTAGCAGGGACGGACAGCGTAGTGCCCTCGGAATGAGTGCGCCTAAGGTACTGTGGACGGTGTGTGTTCTGGAGCATCGTTATGGGAACAGGTATTGGCGGTCGTTGGTACTAAGACACCCGAGCATCAGTATAGCCTGTGCCTTTTGTTCGTGAACTTCCCAGCTTTGGTCTATAAGTCAACCAGTATGATCAATCGACATAGGCTAGGGTGCTCCCGCCAGAAAGTCTGTATGTTCTAATATCGAGATCTAGTCAATGCTATCGCCTCGAACAGAGCAGAAGTGAGCCACTGGTCCAAGCTCATCTCCGCATCACCCGCAATATCATAGCTGAGTACCATTGTGCCACCACGCAAGAGGCCGCCTTCGGGTCGTGAATGTAGTGGCTTGCGTATCGTACTTGTCACAAGGTATCCATATCGCTATGATGACATCTCAAGCCATCCAAACCCGCTCCCTCTACCGCCGCTTCCTGCGAGAGCTCCCCATCCGCACCCCCTCCATCCTGGCCAACCCATCACCAATCCAACAACACGTCCGCGCCGACTTCTCCAGCCAGTCCAGCACACCATTACCATCACTGGGCCATCAAACCGCAAAGGTAGCAGAACGAAGACTACAGGAAGCCGAACAGTATCTCCACTACCTCAAAGCTCAAAGGCAGTACATCACGCTGATCGAACGATACAATCCTGGTATGAATATGGCGGAGGAGGACCGTGTACGGTTGACGGCTAGAAGGGTGGGCATGGATCTGCCTGTTGAATTTGCGGCGGGTGAGAAGAAGGAGTGAAGTGATGGCGGAGGAGTGAGAAAGCAAAACATGGTTCTTGAGCATCCAGCCAGCAGCATCGCATAGTCTTGGATTACGGAGGCCGAAGAGCAACTTACGATGCTGTTCACAGTCCATCTCGGTGCCGGAAGACAAAACAAGCTTCGCCATCGGCCTGCATCGCACACGATTGCTGTCGAGAGGTCGGAACAGGTGTGAAGAACGCCATACGACGATGCCACGAGACTCGCAACGCTTCGGACGCCAGCATGAGCCCAAAGCTCTTGGTCTCGCTCGAAACTTGGGACGGAGTTGAACCAACACATGACATCGGAAGGCTTCGAATATGCATTGTCGAGGTGCAGCGTCATGTGAACTTCTGGGCTGTGGGAGGCACGATACCTGCATCGCTGAATGGAGGGGACGGAGAAGCCTGTCACTGTGTCGGAGGGAGACGTTGGTACAACCTACACACGTCAGTAGTCAAGGAAGGAAATCATGCTGGGAAACCAGTACCAAAAGCTATAGAACTATATCCAAGATCAACTCAGTGTAGTGTCCAGCCCAAATATCTGTATCCCGGTTGACATGACATAAGCCGAAATACGAGCCAAAGAATGTCCCAATAACTCCCGCAGTAGCCCAAGTGAAAGTCATAATACGGTCGTAAGTCGTGAACGCAACACAGAAAAGAAAGGTCGTCAAGCAGTTGGCATCCAGTGCCGTATGCTGGGGCTTCGTGAGACTCATGAGCCTCAGGCAGGAGGGCGTGAAGTGGGATGGTAAGCAGTTCGCACCGGGGTGCTTGGATAGTGATCGATGGGTGGTCCGCTGGTCATGCTCAGCTCAATGCCGACTAGAGTGTATATCCAGCTGTAGACCTTGTGCCGCGTCGTGCTGAGAGAATGGCTGGTTGTCGTAATGTGATGATGTCGCCGAGCAAGAACTAGATGTACCAAGTACTCTCTGCCAGACGAGCGTGCACACCATTGGTCCACTCAGACTGCCCAGCACTGTAGACGGTCGAATCGTCACCGTGATCTTCAGCAAGGACACTGAAGAGGTATGCACGAGCACGTTCGCAAAGCAGGTCTGCGTAGTATGCTGGCGGACAGATCGAGACGGCCTTGGTGGCGCGGTTGAAGAGATAGCACAGGTTGTGAGTGAATGCCTGCAACTCATCTGCCTCGAAGCCAATGTCGTCCTTAAGTACAACGTAATGAGCTGGGCGAGCGGTACCTTGGAGACCTTGGTGGGCTTGGAGCCAGAACTCGGAGATGATCCGACCAGAAATGTGGCGATCGACAATCGTGCCTGGCTTGGGGTTCCATGAGCCTTTGCCAGACTTTGGATTGAAGTCAGCATCAGCTTCTTTTGTTGGATAGAAGCGCGTGTGGTGGCGTTTCCCAACGACCAAGATGGCCATCTTCGGCCACTTCTTTTCCTCGCCGTAGCGCTCTTTGAAAGCATCGAGGAAGGCTGGCAGCTCCAGGAGTAGAACCTGATCGTATTGACCCTCTGATACACCGTCCCGGTATAGGATGATCTTCGTCGGCAAACCACCATTATGCTTCTTGCGCCACAGATCAAGCCGCTCAAGCACCATCTCCTTCAAGCCAGAGACCATCTCCTTCTTTCCTTCCTGTGTGCGAACACTACCAGGCCATTGGGTAAGGTGCTCATCCGTGCTTGCTACCACGCAGGAAATGCTAGGAGCGCCTACTGAGCTGCCGGGTGACGGATGAGTGACGTCGATGCCGAACAGCATAGTATTGTTGTCAAGTGGTTTGCTGAGTGTGCCCGCAACGACATGATTGATACCGCCGCCCTTGATGTTGAACTTCAGAGCAAGGTTGCCTAGGAACATGCCTTGGTTCTTGGGCTTCTGGAGTTTCTGTCCAACGGCGTTGATGGTGTGGATGCCGTGCTTGACATCACCGTAGTACTTGATTCGAGCATACAGCCAACGGTCAACCTCAGGCAGTACGACGAAGAAGAGTGGGCAGCGGTGCTGAACACCATTGTCAAAGACCTTCTCCAGCTGGCGGTTGTTCGTCGCGCGATTGTCCGGCGTCAAAGCATCAAGTGTAATCGTTTGAGTTGGGCCACGCTGACCCATTGTCAGCCCATAGGCCTTCAGATACTTGGCCAGCTCTTCGAACAGAGGCTCAGGGGAAAGCATATCACCGCCAGCCCTCTCGTTCAGGGCCGAGCCGCGATTGCCTTGTCGGTTGATCACGATCACCTGCCACTTGTCCCAACGACCGGGCTTGAAGAACTTCTGCTCTGCGCAATTCCACGATCCGGATCGAGGACTCTCTTGTTTGGTCGCATACTTGATCTGCGGGTTTGGCAGCACGCGACCAGGCACTGTCAGCATATCAACACCCGTACGCATGCCCCATGGCTGGACAGAAGTATTCTGCGGGTCTGCCGCGTTCGGGAGATTCCGCAGTCTGAATAGACGCACACCATTTCCTGGACTCTCCGCAGTCCCAGCAATCGACATTGCGTTGAGGTTCGGAAATCGTGCGGCGAACTTCAGCATTTCGCTAGTTTGATCGCCGCTGAGCAAGCGAGTGTATGGCTGACCAGGGAGTACAGTGCATAGCTCAACAGGTAGATACTGAGGATCGGTTCGAGTGCCGACATTCAGAACAGGCAGCTTGGGTTGCTGCAATGTAATCCCGTGATGGGACCGGAAGTATTCAAATACGGTAGTCTGACGTGGTTGAGGGTTGGCTTGTGTTCTGTCAACAAATCCGAAACGCACTTCTTGGGAGTTCCCGAACCGACGTACGCCACGAGAGGTAGCTGTATCTTTGGCATAACCGACGATAGTCTTCGTCTTCGTCATGAATGGTTGTTGTTGACCGTCTTTGCAGTACACAGCCTTGACCTTGAGCATGCGAATGAATGCTTCATTTCGCTCATGGCTTCTGGAGCCATACTCATTGATCAGTGTCTGCAACGGCATAGGCTTGTAGAAAGCCCCGCTCGTCACGTTCAAATTAAGCAAAAGACGGCCTACTGCTGGACGGACACTCGAGTAATACCCTCTTAGTGCTTCTAGACCGTTGCTAAGGTCGTAGCTCTCGAAGGCCGGATGTCCCTCATGCATGTAGAAGCGGTTCCTGCCTGCATCCCGAACGGAGGGAGCATCATTCGGCGCCTTGCACATGATAATGTTCAGGAGCTGAATGATATTCCCAGTGTCGTATGTTGCGCCGAGTGACGTACTCTTGAGATATTCGATGATCTGCCTCGAGGTGAACGTGCCATTCGACCTGACTGCGAAGGTGATTCTGTTGCGGTTTTGAGCTTCCTGCACGAAAGCAGGAGGTGGACCTTGGTTCGTTGGGGCTGATGCATCGACTGAAGGTAAGACGATTTTCTCCTTCCACTCTTCACCAGGTCCGAGATCGATCGTGGTTGTCGTGACAATGATATTGGCATAATCGGTGGCGCTCAGAACGTTCTTGAACTTAGGATGGGTAAGGATGTGCTTCAGTAGACGACGTCTCTTCTCACGGCTGAGCTCCGGCTGAATGTTGACGTCGTAGCGGTACAAAGGCTGCTCTGGCTTGCCAGCTTCGAACGCTGTTGTGATGCTGAGATAGTTCGTACGGAGGATAATAGGGGTGCCTTTTGTCCCGTAGCCACGGCGGCCTGGTACAGTCGTACTCCCAAGTGGGAACGAATTGTCCCTCGTGACTGGCACGAGAGAGTTCTCGAGATCCGTAATGGCCTTGGCTGGGATTGGTACAGGTGCACCACCAAGATAGATGCCACCAGCACCTCCTGGCGGTGGTCCACGGAACGCAAATTGCTGAGTCTGACCGCCGCCTGGTGGTCCCCTAAACCCACCCTGTGGTCTGTTGTCCTGTCCACCACCATCACGACCGCCGTCCCCACCACGGCCACGACCACGACCACGAAAACTGTCGCCGCGATTGCCGCCACCGCCACGGAAGCTGTCGCCACGGTTGCCTCCTCCACCTCTGCCACGTGGGGCAGACATCGTGGAATGTGGAACCACCTGTCCTTGGACCTATTCTGAAGCCCTACAGAGCCTGAATTATCGACGGGGAATGTGTTATGAGATCGCGTAACAACTACAACTGTGAGCTATCAGCTAGTTGGCCTGGACCTCGATCCTGATTGTAGGAGCTTGATGTAGATGACGAATAAGCAGAGTGATCAGGTCAACTGCGCTGGTCGAATGATAGCTTTGAGGACGAGAGTTCTGTTGGTAGACTAGGAAGAATATCGTCGAAGATATATGACGGAGGTGGGCGGTGTAGTGACGAGGCATGTGCTTGTGGACAACGGCTTGACATGAGACACGCAGGAGAGACTGCTAAGAGTACTTACAGCACGCATGAAAGATTGTTGAGACTCTGAACTTTTGCTAATGCTGTTTTGGTGTAGTGATTGAGGTTCTTTGTCGTGATGCTGTAATTCTGGGACGACTTGAAGTAACGAACAATGAAAAGATGATGGTGCTTCCAAGGTGGTACCAATGATACGCTGCACGAGGGATGAGATTCACATATGAATGTTGTAGAGAGGTGAAGGTGGACTGAGGTGAAATTGATGCAGAAGGACGTCGCAGCCTTGTGAGGTATCACAAGCAATGACGATGGATGCCTGGGCGCCAACGCGGCAGCACGTGACATGAGCTCGAATGAGGCTCTTCACGACCACATCCTTTCGTACACGTTGAGCTTGTCTCCGAGGATGGAATCGATGTCAAAGCCAAGGAACATCAGATACCGTCTTGCTCAAATCAAAGTGCGTACTGTATCCAGAGGGATCTCCTCTAATGGGGCGCGCCCTTGCCTGGGACACTCGCCCATGTTCAGTGGCTGATACTGTCCAATGAACGATACCGCCAAATGCACGCAACGGAACTCAGCGCTAATATTGGTGTCGACTTCCTTATCCGTGGCTCCTGGAATCAGGCTCCGTCTCCTGACTGCCGCGCCTATCGTCGCTGGACAATAGTCATTCCAACTCTCGATGACATAGAAGGACTTTCGTCTCTTCCGTAGGGATCAATACCAAACATGAGACGCCCACTCTGCCCGGACACAAAACGACCCTTAGATGCAGGATACGCCAAGGACCTCTCGACGAGTGAGCGCCATGGCCCTGGGTTGGTAACAACGAAGAAGGGAGAAAAGTTCAGACTGGACGGTTCAGCATGCTTCCCAACTAGCTTACTCGTATAGTATGTGATGTCAGCATTGCGAGTTGCAATGTTACGTGAGTCCTGACCACGCTTTGTATCTTCTAGGCTCGGCCACTGTTAGACTGTGGGCCCAGCGGCTACTGCCACGAGTACCTCAGGCTTCGCGGCGTGGAGAATGATGTGAATTTTGGTGCCCTGGCTAGTGTGGCGCTTGATCTGGCGCAATCTCATGGTTTACGTGGTGGTGTTGTGGTTGGATGTCATCTGGCCCCTGCTGGTCTACCGCTTGTACCTTCACATGGCTGTTCTTCGAAGAGTCTTCTATCCTGTGGATCTTCTTCTCAGCTCGGCAATGTGAGTTAGATGGTTCGAGGAAGATTGTGCGAACATGGGTCTCTGACGTTCCTCCAACCTTCAATACTGGAAATAGCCTCGCAATGTGAATCCCAGTGATATGGCTCGTAGCCAGCACACTGGAAGGAGGCGACGTTTAGACCGCGACCATGAGCAAGACGCCGACGAAATGTGCACTCGTCTTCCCAGGTTGATCGTCCTGCTATGAAAGCTCGGGCAGGGAATGTCGCAAAGTATGAGGCGACGCAAATTATAACCAGTCTACTAAAAGGCAAATGATGTCGACGCAGAAAGCAAGCTGTCGCATCAAGTGAAGGCGAGACGTACATTGGACCCGACCATTGATGTTGTGGCAAAGTTCTCGGGAAGCCGCGTCCTCCTCTATTGCAAGGAATATTATGGCATCCGGGACAGAACCGTGAGTTGACAGATGTGATTACCATCTTCTGAGGTGCAGATTCACTATATCCCAAAGTCAATGTACGGTGCTGCCATCTATCACTGGCTGTTGCAGCTTGTGCTCGGACGACTATGCAACGAGCTTGACACTATACTGTCTAATGCCACTGTCACGGTCCCTTTACCTGCATGGATCAGACGCCTTTCAGAGGACGTCCTGACGTCCTGGTAATATACGTTGCAGGCTGGGACTTTTGGGAGTGCCGTAGTGTCGCTGTCCCTGCCGGTCACGTGGGCCGTGATCGCTGAGAGTACGGCCGGTTTTCAAGGGACTGTTGGAATACCATTGTTAAAGCAGTTGTTGTTGGATAGGACGAACGACACAATGCGAGGGTGGCAGACAACCAGTAAGCATGGGGCTGACTCGCTCGCTGATCCGTAGGTGGGCTGACTGAAGGTCATATGGTGAGATGCCTTGGTATGGCTTGGTCAAACGTAGTTGTCCCATGAATAATGATGGCGGTCAACAACTGTGCAAATCACTCGCGTACGTCGTCGACTGCTAATCATGATGTCAGGTAATACAGGATCCGTTGTGAATCTGTCTCGTAGGTGCGTGGCAGGTCTTGTATTCGTTGCATGTCTTGCTAGCAAGAGGTGTTGTTCATGACGACGGCACGCTGCTGGAGGACAAAGGCACACTGCCAACGGGCTGCCCGGTGATGAGATGTTCAGAAGCCGTCTCCACAGGCTTGAGACCTGTCGTACATGTTGTGCAACTTACGTGCATCTTCGCGACTGAACGGCTGCCAGATGTGCGGGTGTGCAACTTACTGTGCAAGTGACACGGCCTTGCAGCTGGCCACGCCAGGGTATCTGGACCCGGTCGATGGCGCTTCTATGGCGCAAGTCGGCAGAGGTGCGTTGCATTTCCAGAGCCTGAGACATTGCCTCACACATGTTCTTCAGCAGTTGCGGAGAGCTGCTGCCGAGTGCCGAGAGATGTGGACGACAAGATTGTTGACATCCTTGTCGCTGAGGTAAACAATGGCGTTCTCACCAAAGCCGGCCCAAACGCTGACCGTAACAATAAAGCGAGACTCCGCATCACGATTCATGTGATGCAACGTCTCGAAGAAGTTAGCCATCTCGCTACCTCCCACTCGCCGTAATGCACCGTCCGGCCATCGGGCGTGTATGGTTTGTGTTTATTCGCGTGCCGGGAAGCACTCGGTCCGTGCGAAGAAAGATCATCCCAGCAACCGAGATCTGAGTTCGCGCCAGGAACGCCGGGCGGCTGAGCTTCATCTTGCATCTCGGAGTCTCATCAGACCGCACTACTCCTCGTGTGTGGGTCAAAAGGTCGTCTTGGTGGTGTGTGTGGCGATATCTCGATGGCTTGCGGTGAAAGCCTTTCGATGGTGCAGCTAGGTGGATGGGGATCTCGCGAAAAAAGGAGGATGATGGAGGCGCGAGACCACTCCATGACCTCGAATGGTAGAAAGGCTGATCGTATATCCGTCGTCAGGTTGGCGGAGGTAGCACGATGGCACAGGTACCTGCAGCCCGTGCGACGTATGGCGACACTAAGGATCAACGTCGCGCGTTTGGCCCTCTTGTATGGGCACACATTCCTCGACGTTATCCTTCTCGTTCCCTGGGTGAATATGACGACCCCACTTCCTCTTGTCGCGAGGACAGCGCCCAGGAGTCCTCCAAAGATAGGTATAATATTCATCCTGACCTTTCGTTACATAGTCGTCTCTGAAACTGGAATCCATCTGAGCCATCCCTTCGGGTCCTGTCACCTGCAGCCACGGCTCTCATTGTACATTTCCTACCATACCGACCAATCCACCAATCCCTCTTTAGGGAAGACAGGGCACATTCGATTCTGTCTGACGTGTGACGACCCTAAACGACACCAACTGATGCATAGCACTTTGTTCTCTGTCGTTTGAGAACGCCATACCCGATACACGGCCAACGACGCATCGAATCCACCACGGAACGGCAAGAGACAGCGACGGTCTGAGGGTGGTTGTACCTGTATCACGCAATCCAGGATACAAGCCTACCCAGAAGAGCGAAGAAGTTCTTAAGCCGAGTCTAAGTCCTGCCCCAAGCTCCCTCCCATCCTATTCTCTGCAGTTGCACATACTAACTACATTTCTCGTTGCTTCCTCCTCCCGCGATGGACAGACAACGGCTTCGCCCACGAGCGTCGCACCTTCTTCCGCTAATAGCGTGCATACAGGTACAGCTGAGCTCAGCATATCCACAGGTTCAACCACACTGGCAGAATGCTAGCTCGATCACGACTTCTGACTCTCAGCAGACTCCTCCGTACGGCCGAGGAACCGGAAATGCCGCCGGAAACACACCAGCAACGACATGCACGGAAGACGCACCGTGGCGATCGAACCATCCTGTGCAGCAGATTCAGGACGGACAAATACAAGAAATTGTTTACACAGAAGTGTTCTCCTCACAGAGCGGAACCGAGACGCTGTATAGCACAACCACGGCGACGACGGTGGTCACGGTCGGCAATTGGCCTACGAACGCAGCTTGGGGTCATGGACCGCCAGGATGGCATGGAGATCTGCCAAGTGATGGGGCTACGTCGACGCCGACGGATTCCTCCCCAGCAACTTCTCTATCAAGCAGCATCTCCACTTCTGCTCCGACTTCGAGCGCCACGGCCACTATGTCAACGAGCCCTGTATTCTCTGCTGCCGCTATCAGCAGCACTAGCCAGTCCTTCAGCAGTACTACGTCAGCGAGCCAGACGCCCAGCACTTCTGGCTCGACCAGTGCAATATCAGCAGCTTCTCAGGCACCAACGAGCGTACCAGATAGCTCTTTGACATCTCTGACAACGTCTGAAGTGCAGTCGGCAACACTCACGCTTAACCGAACTACGTCGACATCAGTCATCACTTCGTTGGATACCGTTGGCAACCCATCGTCGCAGCCATTTCAAACGTCGATCGCCAACGCAACGTCAACGCTCTCGCTCATCAACACTTCAACATTGAGTAGTCTTGGTCCCACGGCGACTGCGAATGTCACAGCTATCAACGCCAATGATATCTTCCAGGCCATTGCCACAGACGCACCGCCATCACAGATCACCTCGAGAGCGGATCACCCTGTCCCGACACTAGGCATCCAGCAACAACAAGAAAGGCTAGAGACCAACAAGTTTTACGCCAACTTCTTTCTTGGTGATCAAGCTGCTGGTACATGGACACATCCGTACTCTGTTTCGTGGTCGAAAGGTGCTGGTGAGACAAAGAGCTGGGGTCTGGCTATTAGTCACATTGAGCGAACGCAGCTGGCTGAGGGCTCCAAAGATCCTTCAAAAGATGCAGGCGATGCATCATTCTTCGCTGGACCAATCGGACTACAGTCAATCGTGCTTTCTGCTACTGAGCTCGCAGGTAACACTCAGCTTACTACGGACACCTTGACTGGATTCTCGGCCAACGTCAATTTGCTTGCAAATTCTGGTGCGAGTCCGGCTATTACTTTCCCGCTGGTACAAGGCATGGCCTTCGTGACTGGCCTATACAGTGGCGTGACACCGCTTCTCGAATCTGGTAGTGTGATCCAGACGCTCACATACGTCGGGACAGTGATCAATGGGCAGACGTACAAGTATCGTGCAGCACTCAACGATGGCTTCAACTGGGTCATCTACATTACCCCGTCGGTATCAGGCTATCAAACGACCTCCTTCACTCTGCTCTCTTCTGGCGAGATTCAAGGACCATCTGGCTTTGCGGGTTCGATCCAAGTAGCGAAAGTGCCCGGCGGATCTCAGGATGCGGAGTCCGTCTACGACGCTTCTGCTGGTGCTTATCCGACTGGCGCCAACATTAGCGGATCCGTACAAGGTACTGCTGGGAGCTACACTCTCTCGTGGTCGAAGGGTGGTATCCAAAGCCAGAAGCTACTGATCTTCGCACTCCCGCATCACCTGGAGACTTTGTCGTACGGGTCTGGAGCTGGCAAGACTGATGTCCAACTCTGGACCACTACCAAAGGTCTCGCCACAGCCATCACAGGCGATTCCTGGACTCTCGACGAGGCAACACTGCCCATCGCCATGAGCTTCGCACCTTGGTCCCCGCAGCAAGGCAGCATCGAAGCGGTCTCCAGTGAAGCCGAAGATGCCATCAATTCTGCAGCGTACGCAGAGCTGGACCAGGACATTGCCAAACAGACCAACTCTGGAAGTCTCTACTACGATGGCAAAGCTCTGGCCAAATTCGCTGCCATCTGCTACACCGCCAACGACATTGCCAACAACAAGACTCTCGCCGCGACTGGCCGCCAGCTACTCGAGACAGCGTTCGCTCTGCATGTTGACAACCAGATGCCCACACCACTCGTCTACGACACACGATGGGGTGGCGCAGTAAGTTCAGGTAGCTACGGCAACGACAACTCCGGCGTTGACTTTGGCAACACGTACTACAACGACCACCATTTCCACTATGGCTACTTTGTCTACGCCGCCGCTGTGATCGGCTACCTTCGACCTGCCTGGCTGAACGAAGGCACGAACAAGGCGTGGGTCAACATGCTGGTCCGTGACTATGCCAATTCTGTCAACAACGACCCGTACTTCCCTTTCCAGCGCATGTTCGACTGGTACCACGGCCATAGCTGGGCGCACGGGATAATCGAGTCCGCCGACGGCAAAGACCAGGAATCGTCCTCTGAAGATACCATGGCCTCCTACGGAATGAAGATGTGGGGCCAGATCATCGGCGACACCAACATGGAAGCTCGTGGGAACCTGATGTTGGCTGTTCAGGCCCGAAGTCTTCAGCATTACTACCTCCTTGCCAACGACAACACGGTGCAGCCGAGCAATTACATTGGCAATAAAGCCGGCGGGATCATGTTCGAGAACAAGATGGATCATACGACGTACTTTGGCACCGAGCCGGAGTATATCGAGGGGATCCATATGCTGCCCCTCATGCCCTTCAGCACTCTCTCCCGCACACAGACGTTCGTGCAACAGGAATGGAACGCCTATTTCGGGTCCTCCGGGATCAAACCCGCTGCGAGCGTCACGGGCGGGTGGAGAGGTATCCTGGTCGCTAACCAAGCTATCTTCGATGCGAAAACAGCTTACTCCTTCTTCAGCTCTAGTACTTTCGACATCAGTTTTCTCGACAACGGAGCAAGTCAGACTTGGTATCTGGCTTGGTCCGCAGCTCTGGGAGGATCGCCGGCCTCGAAGAAGGTCAAGAGGAGTGCTGAGATGAATGTGGAGGCGCATTTGGAGAGGAAAGGCGAGATTGTGAGTCATAAGTTGGGAAATGAGGATGGGTATATTGGGGCGACTCCGACGAGGAGAAGTGGGCGATCGTCCAGGCTGCAGCAGCGGATGAGTGGATGAGTTGATGAAGGAGGTGGAGGGATGAGGTTTGTATAGGGTAAAGTATAGATGGGGCGGGTCTGGGTATGGTCTTGTTTTGACGGCGCGATTGGGAAAGGATGGGTTGGGTTAGAGGATGGGATGGAAGGGATGGGTTATGATACCACGGATGCGCGAAGCGCCCCAGGGCTCTGGGAAAAGAGCTTGTTATGAAGAAATGTTCGGTCGCGTTTTACCGACAGTATGAAATTTGATATTATGACATTAATAGAACTGTATGACTTTTGCACCATCCATCCCATGAGCACGCAGATCTCTTACATCAGATTGACAGTTCGATCTGTGCGATGTCCTGTCAACTTTGTTGTGATCACAACCAACAAATAACATCAAGCTGTCAGGCCGGTGCCTTGCCCACCTCACGCCCTTTGCATCTAGAAGGAGGACCCATCCATGACCAAATTGATCACAAGATACCACTTCCTACACTCCCGCTCGTATCTTCGCGCAGACTCGACTTTCTTCCCCTCGTTCAAGAGCCTACTCATAAAGCCCGAGGCCATCGCGGCTCCAAGGTGCATCGCACTGTTCCTCCCGGGCACCAGCTCGACCGTCGTCTCGGTGAGCACGATCTTGTCGAATGCGAGGAGCTTGAACAGAGTCGTGGTGGCCGCGAGACATTTGCTCTTTTGGCTGGTGACGGCGTAGTGTGTGGCGGGACAGAATTACAGCTCCACCGGGGCCAGACGCGGGATGCCTTCATACAACTTTGCGTCGTAGGTCGACAGGAGATCGAGCGTAAGGCATTCGGCGCGAGTGCAAGCGCCGGGAGATTTGAAAGTCTCGTCTTGCGGCACGTCACGAAATTGCTTCGCGTCTTGCTCTAGCTCGCGCCTCTTCTGCTTCGTTGCTGCTGGCTCCGAACAATCGGCCGAGCATAATGCAAACGCGCACTCGAACCGGTCCAGCTTGAGGTTGGCCTGCAAACGATTGCAGTATAGCGTCTTCATGAGCGACATCTCGTTCGCATGGATGGCCGTGATGCCGTGTGAATAGCAGCTGACAGCTAAGACATACTTGCCAGCTTGAAGTGCGATATTGCCGGCCTCTTTCCATTGCAGTGGCGTCCACATCTGCCTGGTACCAGCTTGGAAAGCGTCGGCTCGAGTCAGCAACGCTCGTGGTACTCGCTTATCTATGAAAGGCAGACGGATAAGGTCCGAGGGATGTTCGACAAGTAGTACACCCAGATCATCGTCGCGAGAGGTGAAGTAAGGCTCCTTGATGGCGATGATTGCATCAGCTGGCATGATCTCATCATCGGGCAATGGGCGATCCGCGTTGGCGAGGGTCAGATTCTTTACGCTGCCGTGGGCATCGCATACGACACCGCGAACATCGGCGGAACGCATTAGGGGACCACCGATCCGGCGCAACATAAGAACTTGGCCCAGATGGTGAGTCTCACAGCGCAAGTCCGAGATCTCCATGGCCTGCAGCTGGTCTAGTGGCTTCGTACTCGGCGGGTATGGCTGGCCGACCCACGATCGAGACCCGAAAGTGTTCGCCTTCTGGTGGCTTGTCCGACTTCGCGCGTTGTACTGCAGCATATTGCACAGCGAGCAGAAAGTCAGGATCTTCGGCGGCACGTCTCTGGCCTTTGCGCTTCATGGCGCATTCCATCTGTGCCATGACCTCGTCCATGACATCTTCAGGCTCCAGAAGAGGAGCGTCTGGAGTTGCCATGCTGTTGTACCCTAATGGCTTAGAGCTCAGCTTTCGTGCGTTTGCTAACACTCTTCGTTTCTGCACGAGCTCAAAGACTTTTCCACGGTGCGGTCCGAGAATGATAGCGTGGTTTCTGCTGGTGGTGTAGTGACGTTGAAGTCCGGAGCAACCACCGCTTCCCAGCAAGGCTGTCAAGGAGCCGTGAGGCGCATGTGCAGGCGTGCTGAGTACCTATGAAGTCCTGTTCTAGGCTTACTACGCAGGACAGGGACGCAATACCTGCCGTCTGTCGTAATATACATGCTGGTGGCCTTGGGCTAAATGTTAGCCAAGTGTGGTCTCTGGTGCGTGCGTACAATGCCACCGCTTCGCAATCCCTCCGATACGTGTAAGAAGGGTTCAAGATCACGTGGTGGCATGTCCAGCAGTAGCCACCTTCAGAACCTCATCCTCAAACCCCTTCACAACAACAACGTCAATACCGGCAGCTTTCAATTTCTGCTTGCCCTCATTCACACCAACGAAAGTCTCTGGCTCACTGACACCCACACACACCGTCTGGATAGCCTGCCTGCCGTATTTGGTCTTCAGGGCCAGGATACGGTCGACACAAGGGGTGTTGCCCACACTTCGCTTATTGCACGGCTCCATGGTCGTATATAGCACAGTGTCCTCTGGTAGACGGTGTCCCAGGCCAGAATCAAGGCACTCATATTGCTTAGACAACTTGATGAAGCAGCTCTGCTCTGCATGAGTATTGCCAGGGCATTCTAAAGTGTAGCCCGTGGTGAGAACTTCATTGCCACATGCCAGCACAGCGCCTACGCAGAAGTTGGTTGGCTTGCGTGATGACTTGCGGGCTTCATCGAGTGCTAATCTCATGTACTCGCTATGTTTGGATGAGTCATCTGAAGACATGGTGGTCGATGATATAGTGGTTTTCTGAAGTGAGGTGGAGAAAGTGAAGTTGGAAATGTTGCCTCGGCAGGCGCGTGTCACATCACGTCACTTGAACGCGTCTTCCAGCTACTTCATCTTTGTTCTGCTTGACATCAGATAATATCAGATAATAGTACTACCGCCCCCCAAGCATCAACATACAGCACGGCAGCCAACATGCCTTCCGCAGATATCGACCTCCAGGACACGCCGCCATCCATCAACCCATACGAAGTCCTATCCATCGATAAATCCGCCACACCCGACCAAATCAAGTCCGCCTACCGCAAAGCCGCCCTCCGACATCACCCGGACAAAGCTTGCGACACCGACAAGGAAGAAGCGCACACCAAATTTCAAGAAGTCGCCTTCGCCTACGCCATCCTCTCCGATGAGCGAAGGCGGAGACGCTATGACGCCACCGGCAGCACATCCGAATCCCTCGACCTCGAAGACGACGACTTCAACTGGGCCGACTTCTTCCACGAACAGTTCGAGCACGTGATTAGTGAGGATAGCATAAATGACTTTGCCAAGAGTTATAAGGGGAGTGAGGAGGAGAAGCAGCATGTACTGAAGGCGTACGAGAAGTGCGGCGGGAATATGGAGAAGTTGTATGAGGAGGTCATGTTGAGCGATATGCTGGAGGATGAGGACCGGTTCCGAGTCACAATCGACAAGGGCATTGATGAGGGCGAGGTGGAGGGGTATAAGAAGTATACTGCCGAGTCCGAGGCGGCGAGGAAGAAGAGGATGGATAGGGCACGGAAGAGGAAGGAGAAAGAAGCCAAGGAAGCTAGTGCAGCGGAGATGGAGACAGACGAGGATCCTCAATCGAAAATGAACAGGGCCAAGGCGAAGAAGGGCAAGGGTGATATGGGTGATCTTGCAGCTCTAATCCAGAGTAGACAGAAGGATCGTGCTGGCGATTTCTTCGCGGGGTTGGAGGCAAAGTATGCTGGTGGAAGTGGTGGTGGGAAGAAGAGCGCGAAGAGGAGTAGTGAGGACGAAGGTCCGAGCGAGGAGGCTTTCGCGGCGAACAGGAAGAAGGGGAAGGCTTCCACGAATGGTGGTGGCGAGGATGCGGAGGCTGGGGCGAGGAGGAGTAAGAGGGCTAAGAGGGCATGAGTACTGCACTTTCAGCTCGGAGGCCAGTCTGGTAACACCGTTGATTTAACTGTTATCCTAGTGACTATTTGGACAGCGAGCGAGGCGTTTGCGGCCTGCCCACGATGAAAATTCATGATTCACAGAAGTCGACTCTCTCCAATCAACTCTCCGATGATTGACCTGGAATTTTCTGTCGATGGCCACATGTACACATGCTGATTCACGTGGAGCACGATCGCCCGATCGAGCGGATCGAAGACTCACATCTTGCCGACACAACGAAAGCCCACGCGACATAGCAAACAGGTTTTGGCCGGTAGCAAGCTTGAGAAATTCTCCTAAAAGAGCAGGCCGGGTCTGCGATTTTTTTGATGTGGGTGTGTGGATGATCAAGAGGCCCATGGATGTGCTCAGCTCTGATGTGACTGCGAGTCAACGAGTCGGCATGGCGTGCACGCCCGTGCGCGGCGAGGAGCATTCACTGACACTCATCAACATGGCTTGCGGCTGCTGCTTAGCTTGGAGACCTGGACCCACTTCTTTCTGACACGTATATAACTCTTGCTCGATTCCTGGTTCCCACAAAGTGCAACCACATCGAAACATCTACATCAACCTCATATGATCATAACGCCCTTCCCGAACTAACCCCGATTGTCTAAGCCAAAGGATTGAGTCCTCAACCGCTGAGAAGACTCTGTGGTAGATCATCATTCCCAAGATCGCCGAGAATATGAGCTCGCTGGTTGACGATGAGGCGTTTTATGAGGCTTTGCAGGAGATTGCCACATTGCGGAAGAGGGTGTGGAAGGAGATGGCCAAGTCCAACGCTGAGGTGAAGGTTGAGACGAGGGAGGAGGCTGGCCAAGGCGATGGATGGGGTGGCCGTCGTTTGGGCTGAGCACGGTATAGTGAGCACGGTACAGGTCGAGTGCATTCAATCAAAAGGTAAACCGAGTCGAGTCCATGTGCATAGATCAGCAGAATTCAGCTACAACGATTCTTCTAACCAACGAAGGCGACTTGAGCTGGGATTTTGCATATCATCAGATTCATCAATAAGTATATACTACACACCCTACCCTACCCTACCTACCCAACCCCCATGCCAAGTAGTACAATAAGCGCAACGTTCATCACAACAATAACCCCCCAAACCACCACCGCCAACCCGGCCGTAAACCACCCATTCCTCATATTCACCTCCCCTACCCCTCCATCCCCTATCCCGCCGCCCCGACTAACACCCATATACTTCGCCCTGCACGTGAACCAAATCAATGGCGCACTAACAAACGGCAAAATCACACTGAGCACAACCTGGCTCGCTTGGAGTGTTCGACTGAGACCTTCGGCTCCTACGGCCCCGGCGATGATGATGGAGGGTGTGATTGATATCGCCCGCGTCATAAGGCGACGTACCCAGGGTTTCACCCGTAAGCGGAGTTGACCTTCACTAACCATTTGGCCGGCGATGGTGCAGACGATTCCTGCACTGACTCCACTTAATAGTAGGGCTAGGGCGAAGATCGTCCCGGCGGCTTTGGAGAGGGTGGTGCTGAGGAGATGGTAGATTCCGAAGAGGCTGGCGTTGGCGGCGGTGGCGTTCCCGGTGGGGTTTTGCGGGTCGTAGAGGGCGCTGCCGGCGACGATGAGGATGGCGCTGTTGACGAAGAGGGCGAAGGTTAGGAGGGAGAGGGTGAGTTCGGTGGTGCTGTAGGTCAGGCAGGAGTTTATTGCTTTTAGGGAAGGGCGGTAAGCCGGTTTGTCGTCTTCGGTCTCGTCGTCGTAGATAGTGGTGGTGTTGTTGTTGTCGATGTCCCGGCGGCGATGGCGGATGGCGAGGGCTGGGTGGTGGGAGGGAGGGGAGATGGTGGAGGATAATGCTAGGTGGCTTGGATCTGTCTTTGCTAGCTGCCGGTCGAAATCTTGTAGTCGAGCTTGTATGATGCCGCTTCCGAGGTAGAGACTGTGCGGCATCACTGTTGCGCCTAGAATGCCACACGCCTGGTACAGCCCCTGTCCCTCCACCAATGCTCTCGAAGGTAGGTATCCCTTAAATACATGCCCGACATTCGTATCAGTCAACACGCTGAGCTGAAAGCAAAAGCAGACCACAACTCCCAGTACTAATGCCATGACGAAGAACTCGAACCCTCGCAGCGCCTTCATACTCTCCCCATTCGGTCGGTAGAAGAGGAGAATAAACATGACATCAACGATGGAGATCGCACAACCCGCCACAAGCGGGATCTTCCCATTACTCAACAAATTCAACGCCACCGCCGTCCCAATCACCTCCGCAATATCCGTCGCAATGATCGCCACCTCGGCAAAAACATAAAGAACGTAGTTCAGCCACCGGGGCATATGCGCCCGACACATCTCGGCCAGGTTCATGCCCGTCACCGTCCCGAGTTTGATGCAGAGGCTTTGCAGGAAGATGGCGAAGAGGTTGCTGAGGAGGATCATGAAGAGGAGTTTGTATTGGTAGGTCGCTCCGGCTGCGACGTCGGTGGCGTAGTTGCCGGGGTCGATGTAGGCTACGCTGATTAGGAAGCCGGGGCCGATGAATTTGGTGTAGCGGAGGAGGATGCGGGCGAGTTTGCGCGGCTGGCGGGAGTACCAGGGGAGGTCGGTGAGGTCGTTTGGCTCGGAGTTGGAGGGGTCGGGTTGGGGAGTGTCCGGGAGCATTTCTGTGCCCATGTCGTCGTGGGTATGGCCTGCACCGCCATGTCCACCGTCTTTGATCGCGATTGTAGGATGTTTGCCACCCTCTCTGGTATCGTCGCGGGGTGCGACCAGCTCGATATCGGGAGGATCTTCATCTCTTATTCTATGATCCCTCTGCAATCGCGCATTGGCTATTGTGCTCAGGTCGCTTCGTGTGGTGGTGTCTCCGGCTAGTGCATTGGGACTCTGGTTATATCCGTCCGGTACAATCGGATCGGTCTTGGAGGGGCAGTTCATGGTCGTGGTGTGTCGCGCATCCTCCGCCTATGAATTCGAGCCGAGGTGTTCAGACGGGTGGTGGGTGGAGAGATTCTTTCCTTAGGTGCGGCAGGACAGTGACCTAGACAATCATCAAGGTGCCGAGAGGTGCTTACGAGGCAAGGGGAGAGTGGTACTCGAGGGGTCGCGGCGCAATGGAAGAAGGTGCAGATGAGAAAGGATGACGTTCCTACCTTCCGTGTCTTCCACTTACAATAATAATAATTTGACATGGACGTCCAGACTCCCGACATGGCCCGATCTGTTTCGCGGCCTTTGAGCTTATGTCATGTCATGTCAGGTCAGAGCCAACACCCTTGCCCTTGCTGCTCTGACATGTCCAGCCTTTGATCGCCCACCGCTCATCTCCTACGCATGTGTCTCGGCAGCTGATGGTATGTCATGAGATGGAAGAGGTGATGAGGATGTGCATATACTATTGTACATGCTGGCGAATGGCATCTTGGATGAGTAATCGATCCGATGTTCCGATGTTCCGATGTGGACGAAGCTCGGAAGTCGCGTTCCAAGAAACGCGCCTTCTCAATTTGGATGTCCAGACTTTTGAAACATCATCGAACGTGCAAGTGCAACTGCAAGTGGTGATTGTTGTTGTCAGACGTCGAGGCTGCTGCAATGGAGTGGCAGAGCTCGATGGGTGGCTTCAATTTTGCGCCCCCGCAGATGATGATGACGATGGCGGGTGCAGTAGATGAGCACGATTCACAGAACGAGAATGAGAACGAGGAGGATTTCTACGGAGATGTCAATGATGTCGCAGACACAAGAGTAGGGGCGGCGGAAGATGACGACGATGATGTGGGTATACACTGTATGTGAGAAAGTGTGGTGATAGACAAGCTGACAGCAGGATGCCCAGGCTTCCGGCGACTTGTTGAGCAGTCTCCTGCCACAGCAGCCGCCACAAGCACTCCCACCTCAAACGCCCCAGCCAAAGATCGAACAAGGCATGTCCGCCGAGGAGAAGAAGTTGGAGAATCAGCGGACGGCACAGAGACTGCGTGCACAATTGCTGGCTAAGAGGCAGAACACTCCTCTCAAGCCCGCCACTCATCGTGCAGAGACGCCGACCAGAATGCAGGTTCAGCCAGCACCCCAGACTGCTGTCAAGGCAGACACTTCGCCAGTACCAGCTACGAAGCGTAGCGGTCGAGAGGATACTTTGGCCTATGCGGAGAATCTTGTGGTCCATGGACAGCCCTCGCAGGACGACATCGACCTCGACTCCATGATTGCGGATGCAAAACGGACAGCAGAAGCGAAAGCCAGCGAGATCAAGGCCAAAGGTCACGTGCAGCATCCATCCGCACTTGCCGCATCTACTAACAAGCAGGTGAACGCAACGCCAATGCGTGAAGTGGAGCAGAAAGCTATTACCACATCTGAGAAGTCTCTCCCAACACAACTGAATGATGCTTACTACGCTGATCTCCCTGCATGGCTCGAGTTGACAGGCTACCATGACGTCGAATATCGCACTTCAAAGCTTCGTACACGCCGCGAGCGAAAAGCACTCGAGGATGAAGTCGCCCGTATTCAAGCTAAGCTCGACCAGCTCAAGGAGCAGGAAGCTGCTGAAATGCAGGCGCTTCGCACGATCGTCGCCCATCCGACGTCATTTAGCAGTATTGCTCCGCCACCACTTCTCACCAAGCTCCCGTCAGAAGAAGCGCAGAATATGGCAGGCGTAGCCGCAAACTTGACCAATGGTGTCAAAAAGCGACCTCACTCTCCACCTCCAACCACGATGGAGAAGAACGTGCGTCGTCGCGACGACGCCACCAATGGATTCCGCATCCGTGGAGCAAATGGTTCACCCACCTCACCTCGCAATGGCTACAATGACTACCGTCGCTCTTCCTTCGACGCTCGTAGTCGTGACTCCAGCCTCGAACGCCGGCAATCGTATTATCGACGTGCTGGCGGCCCTCCTCCTCCGCCATCCGCTGCGGTGAATGATAGGTATGCTCCCTACTCCCCTCGCGATGGCAGAAGTACTCCTGGCTCGTATGGTAGTGGCAGAGGTGCTTATACTGGCCGTGGCGGTCGTGGGAGCAGGCCGGTCGTCAAGCGGTGGTGATACTGTCATTAGGCGTGACTGGCTCTGCTAGGCAGACTCTATTCGGTGTTTTGGGGCCATCGTTCATGTCACTGCATGGGTTATGTTGTATGCATAGCGAAGCCTGGGATTGGCTGGGAGACGCACATTGAGAGCCCATATTGCGGGCGTTATCATTAGACCTGCGCCTAGCCTCTGTACAACATCCCGTTCAAACCATGATTGACACCTTGATATCATTAAGTTATGATCATGAACATGTAGTGAGACCTATGAGATTTGCCTTGTCACCAAACTGCCGTCTTGCAGTTTGGGCTACTAGTTGCCCTTGATACAACCATTACAAGAATGAGCCGCGTTCACTTGGAAAGTTGATCTACAAGCCGACTACATGTCCGTAGAGTTTGTGATGATCATGCTGTCCTAATGGCAGAGGCTCGTCGGCACTACTTCACTGAAAGCTTCTCCATAGTCAGCGTGGCTGTGCCTTTGCTGCGGCTGCTTCATGCACCTCGGAAATCGTCCCCAATGGCATCACACCACCTTGATAATGCCGACTAGTCGATATAACAATCGGCTATGGTAGCTATTCTCATCCAACTGATCATCTCGACCTTCCACTATCTGTAATGACTAACTATTCGCAATGTGAGACCTGCATCGCGCTGATGCGCTACTGCCTGTAGAATAAGGACCGACCATGGTATCCATCTCACCACGACTACGCGACTCCCTGGACTATGAGGACCCGGAGGAGACTGATCCTCGCTTTAGTATCGGCTTCCGCTCCGTGAGTTTGGCTTCGACAGAGTACGAATATCTGGAATTGCAAGGCGATCACCGCACATGGTCCGGTAGTCCCGATCCAGCGGCGAGTCGTCGCAGAAGGCGCCAGAGGACTAGTGACCGGTTATTATTGGAACACGCTGTACCGTTTCAGTATCGGACAATTGCAGATGGCGATGTCTTTCGTGTTGTCACCATGCTTCCGGGCGAACGCAGCAAGCCCATCCAATGTCGACTCTCTTGGGAGAACTCGCGGAAGCCTCGATATGATTACAGATGTTTGTCATACTGCTGGGAGACTACAGAACGGGATTCGGCTATCCTGGTGGACGGCTATCGATTCCCTGTCACGCAGAATCTGCATAATGCTCTCCTGAGCTTACGGAACGTAAAGAGCGAACTCCGGATCTGGATCGATCAGATCTGTATCAATCAAGAGGATCACGAGGAGAGGAGTTATCAGGTTTCGATCATGAAACATATCTTCACGAATGCCAAGGAGGTTATTGTTTGGTTGGGCGAGGCGGATGATAAGAGTGCTAAGTTGTGTGAGTATGCCCGTAAGATGCCTAGGGGCGAGCATGTGGTTAGGGATAGTCCGAAGAATGCGCTGAAGAGGATTTTGGGGCAGAGGCAGTTGCAGGATGCGTTGCAGAAGTTATTGGCGAGGAAGTGGTTCACGCGGGTTTGGGTAAGCTGGAGTGGCTTGATAGCTTGATGGGGTGTGGCGGCTGATCATGGTATGTGTTTAGGTTATACCGGAAGTGGCACTCGCTCGCTTCAATACGGTCGCTATCGGCAACGAGCTGATATCATGGGATAACATGGTCAGGCTGATCCGAGATACTCCCATGCCTGAAGCAACTGGTTTCGACAAGCAGAGCGCTATCTTGGGCAACCCTCGTCAACGTATCGCGATACTCAGTCAGATGGTGGCATCTCAACGCGAGAACCTGTACCATACAGACATCACACAGCTCCTCATCCTGGCCAAGAGCAGCGAAGCCACAGACTTACGAGACAAAGTCTACGCTTTCGACGGCATCACGCTCCTCCGAACTCAGATCGACTATCGCGACTTGCCCGACTATATCCGCTCGGTCGAGAGAGTGTACCTGAACATCGCACACCATTACATCGACTCCATCACCTCGGAAGACTACTACAGCCGCTGGCATGGCCTGACCGAAGTACGGCGGACACAGCAACTCATGTCGATCTTGTATAGTGCTGGCAAACTCCACCAGCATCTTGACTTACCTTCTTGGGTACCGGACTGGACATTCGCTTGGTATCAGGCGCCGTTGTGGTGTAAGGCTGATTCGAACATGGCTGCTTTTTCGGGCAGGGATGGGTGGAGTGCGGGTATTAGGAGTGGATATCGGGCTGGTGGTGAGAAGCTGGAGACTTTCGAGTTCGTGGATGGTGCTGCGGGTAGGCGAAGGTTGCGCGTTTCTGCTTTGCTGGTTGATACGGTGCTACAGGTAGGTGCTTTGGCTGGTGAGACTGGTGCATGTATGCGATTGTTGACGCAGGGACAGATCTCGCAAGCATCTACGCCTGATGCTATTGACCTACCGACCTTCTCATATGGTCGCGATCACTTCATCACGGAGCATGGCTTGCATGGCTTGGCTACGACAGGTATCGCACCAGGCGACCGGATAGCTGTGTTTCTTGGTGGCGACGTGCCATTTGTGCTACGGCCGAATCGTGACCAGGATGGCGATGATCAGATCTTTGTACTTCTGTGCGAGTGCTTCATCTCGTCCAAGGGTATCATGGGCGGAGAACATACGCAGAACAATTGGACGCTTGCCGAGGACATTATTTTGAAGTGAGGTATGAACCAGGTCGTCCACTTGTGACTTGCCACAAAGCTTTGCCCTGACGACATCCGACACGAAGCAGATCTATAGTGGAAGATCAGATGCTCTTGAAGACATTGAGCCCTGTGAACGCCTTCCCATCTATGCCAAACATCACACACCAAGCACAGCTACTCCCCAGGGAGGCGTTATCGACCCAGGCAGGCTCCCAGTACTGGAAGAAGAACAGGTTGTCAGTATGGTTGGGCTATGTGGATCAAGGTCTCGAGACTTACGAAAAGACCATCACCGCCGGCGCTTTGCACAGTACTCGCAACATCCTTGATCCATGTCGCCTGACCAGCCTCATTCCACGGAATACTCTTGGTATCAGACGGGAACGCATATGCCGGGTTGGGACAACTCGAAGGCCAGTTGGTCTCTACTACCATGATCTCCTTCCCATACCTCGACTTCATGTTCGTCACGCTAGTCTTGAGCGAAGCGAGTGTAGCGCTCGGGTTGTAAAATGGGTAGTAGCTCACGCCTTGGATATCGTAGTCACTGGCTTTGAGAGGACCGGCGCCAAGAACTGTGTCGTACCACCATTGCTGCGTGCTCCAGTTCCAGCCGTTGTCCGTGTGGATGATGATCTTTGGCTTGGTGCTGAGCGAGGATGCTTTGATACCAGCGGAGGCCGCGTGCAGTAGTGTGGCTGCATTCTTGGGCGAGCTGTTGAGGTTGCCTAATGGCCAGAGTAGGCCGTCGGTGATCTCGTTCCCGATCGCTACCATGGCGAGTGGGATGCCGGCTGAATGGAACGAATTCATGACGGATTGAGTATAGCTCTGCACATCTGATGCAAGAGTAGTGATACTCGTGCCCGACCATGCGCTGGGTGTGGTCTGGTGTCCTGGGTCTGTCCAAGTGCTGCTGAAGAAGATGTCGAGGTAGATTTGTAGCCCAGCGGCATGGGCGCGCTTGGCGAGTTTGAGATTGTAGTCGAGGTCGTAGTCGCCGTTGCCATACCAGAGGCGTTGGCGTACTATGTTGACGCCGTTGTCTGTGAGGATTTGCTCCAAGGGCTTGGTCTTGCCGTCCAGGTCGGAGAAGGTCTTGCCTGATGCTTCTTCTACGGCGATGGAGGACCAGTCCACGCCGCGGTATGTCAGGCCTGCTGCTGCGCTGGCCGCCCATGCGAGAAGAGTCAATGGGAGAAGCATTGTGGTGTAGGCTCTTCTATCGAACGTCCTAGTCTGTTTGTGTCTTCGGCAGTTGGTTTATACTTATGCATACCTTGCGGTTGTGCTAGCGAGGATTTTGTGACAAGCTTGACATGAAACACTATGCAGAGGTATTTCGTATCAGATTAATAGTACTCTATTGCTAAATACACCGGAGCAATTTCTCTGCCACTGAGATTATTGACTCGCTATAAACACTTCGATAAATACAAGACTGCGGCGCGAACCCATTATTATTGGAACAGGATGGACTCGAGACACATGCTCAGCTCGCCGCTTCTGCGTTGGACTTCGCATTCAACTTCCGAGGTTTCTTCTTCTCCGCCGCAGGAGCGTCACTGTTCGCATTCTCGGAGGCCGCTGGCGCTTTCTTCTGAGCTGGCGCAGGTTTGGGCGCCGGTTTCTTGGCTGGAGCGGCGTCGGAACCAGTCGCCGTTGCACCTGCTGCTTTCTTCTGAGGGACTGTCCGTCTCGCAGGCACGGGCTTTTTGGCCGGAGCAGCACCACTTTCAGTGCCAGCGGTCGATGGCTTCCTGGATGCGGAATTAAGCTTCTTGGGCGCGGCTTGCTTCTTCGCTGGTTGTTGTGTGCGCTTGAGGGCCGATGCGGTGTCATCCTCCTCAACAATGAAATGTGCATCGGTCGGCTTCTTGGCGTTGATCTCGAGCACGTCCTGTGGGCAGGCACTCATGACCACCACGACGTCGCGCTCCGCCTTGAGACGCACGTAATCTTCTGCTTTGCCTTTGGGAGCCTTGAAGCCGAGATCGCCTTCGTCATCCCAAGGAATGTTCATGAAAAGATTCAACGGCGCCGGCACGGAGTTAATTGTCACGTCCGCCCCAACCCCTTTGGCGCCTTTCAATCCCGCCCGTTCGTTCAACTCTTTCAGCGCAAGCACCAAGTTCTCCGAGCAAGATCCATGTTCTGCCCATTCTTTGACGCCCAATCCTCGGTAGCGGGATGGATCGCAAGCAGCCATTAGTGTGTCGTGAATGCCTGGCGACGTGTCCTCGACAAGAGTGAGCATTGGCTCTCGCAGGTTCGAGACCAGTGTATCGTTGATCTTCGGCACCATGTGGAGGCTAGCTGCGCGCGAGTGTGGCATGCTCATAAACTCCATAGGTGGTGCATCGGCTGCATTGGTGGCATTCCAAGCTTGGTAGCCGGCGTACAGGGAGCCGCCATAGCCGCCACCAGTGAGTGCTGACATGCCTGTGTAAGCGGAGTCAGTGCAGGATCGATGGGAGGATGAATCTACCTGTCTTACCAGCTGCGCCGACTGGTGTTTTGGAGAAGTCCTGAAGCTGCTCAAGATAGGACTTGTTCATGTCGCGTTGGTGCTGAAAGTTTCTGTCAGTAGTTGTTGTACAAGCAAGAGAATGTACTCACACTTCCCGCAAACGCGGACACAGTATTGCTGGCAGACGTTGGTACGTAGGAGCTGAAGCTCTGTCCAGTCGGGAAGTAGGAGGACCATGTTCTCGAGTTCTTCTGCTCCTCAGTTTCCTCTTTCTTGGGCGCATCGCCTTTCTTAGCAGAGGACGTCAGGCCGAGCGACGGTACATATGAGCTCCATGTGCTTTTCTGCGGAGTCTTCGAGGCTTCTGTTGCGTCGCCGCCATTGGAATGCTCGCCTTCTTTGAACACTCCTTGTGTAGCTTTCTCCGCATCCTCCTGGCTGGGCATGTCATCACCCTTCTTCTTTTTCGGGGTCTGCTTCGGCTCCGGCTTCTTCTTCTCTTCCTTCTTAGGCTCTTCTTTGGGAGCCTCGTCCTTCTTTTCCTCTTTGGCTTTCTCCTCGTTGCTGCTCTTCTCGTCAGGCTTGGGCAGGGCGAATGCCCAAGTATCTATCACTTGTGTCCCAGAGGTATTGACGATCTTAATCGTCTGACCAGCCGGCACGAATGTCGCGACTCCATGCCGTGCTGGGATGACCTGTAGTTCTGCCATTGTGAGTATGGTGAGGTTTCGTAACGTTGGTAGCTTGGAGAAGGACTGGTACAAAATCGATCCCTACGATCACGATTACATATTTTGTAACCAAAAGTGGCTGAGACGACTATTATACCGCCGTGAACCTCACGCGTCACACGTTGCTAGGTTGTCCAACAACCTGGCAGGCGATCGACGCCACGGAACGAAACGTCATCGTGCATGAGTACTAGTGTGGCTGGGCTTTGGTCCTCGGGCATCTAGTCCCCCTTCTGCTTTTGCCATATGCTGCGATGAGATGCTCAACAGATCGATGAGCAGCAGCGTCAATACGACTCCATCTTCGGCTGTGTGGAGTATTGGGTCCTCTCTGATGACGGGCCAACAATCAACAACACGAGCACCCGGAACGTGATAGTCCGCTACTGACACCCTCGGAGCGACGTGAGCAGGCCACACCATACGGCTATCTATGGATGTTACACTAGCAGACATCTCACAGTCACATGTCTTCGTGCCTCTACCGCTTCGCCCCCAACTGTTCGGAAGCGATTATAGACATACCAACAACCCTCGCCTGTCGAGCTCGGGAAACATGAAGCACGCTAGTATACTGAAGATCTTGATTATGACAATCCTTCGACTTCACTTCCTCTCCTAGCCATCAGGTGGACGTGTGTCTGCGCCACATGGGTCCGTGAGAACCGCTCCCAACGACCACCTCTCCGAAAGCATCTCTGCTTGTGGTCTCTTGTGGTCATTATGCTACAAAAGTGACTTGACCTAGCGGAGGCGCCGACTACGTAACAGAATATCAGCTTTGCATGATACGCGGCTTGCCTCGGGTTCGCCCGGTGGGAGACTTATCTTGACAACAACGCAGAAGTCATCCGCATACCTCATACTCTCAGGAGGATCGGGGGTACGCGTGTCAACGTCTATTGTAGTAACAGCATCTCAGGATCGCAGCTGAAGTCTCTTGCCTGGTGGGCCATGTGTTCTCCGATTTCTCCAGCAATGCCTGAACATACTCTATGAAAGCATCCCGAGAAGATTTTTGGTCGACGTCCTCGACCATGCACCAACAGAACGCCCAAGATAGCGAGCTCAGCCTGGTCGAACAATACCTCGTCGTGACTGTGCGACTTGATAGATGCAGAGCATCGTGTTATAAGTATTGGACTATGTGCTCACAGAAGACAGCATCATCAACCTCCGAAGCACTGGGACACATTCGCCCAGCATTTCAACACCGCCACATTGACGATTATCTAAGAAGACATTCAACAGCATCGTAGAGCAACCCGATATATTTTCGCAACTCCTTTACGTTCACGTCGCGGTCATCTCTATCGATCATGACAACCACAAAAGCTATGCTCATGATGGTGCTCAGCGGCCTTTCGGTCCGGGATGTACTGGCTGCCGTCCTACCATCAAACGATGTTTCGACGATCCATGAACCAGCAGAACTCTCGGGTAACGACAACGAGCACGCCAACACGGTGCTGGGCAAGCGTGCCGCTCCTGGCAATGAGACCGATACCGAAATGTACAAGACAATGAGCTGGTGCTGGGCTGGGAGTAAGCAGAGTGTGTGATCCGGCTGGTGCAGAGTGCTGATCGAGACTCTCGTACAGAGAACACCACGGTGACCAGCATGCCTTCGAACCCCACGGTCAATCTCACAGGCGAAGCTCAGCCAGATGAGCGATTCCTGAACATCGACTACTTCAAGGATGCGGCCAAATCAATCCACTGCTCAAGCGATGCAATCAACGTCACCTTCAAAGACCAGCCTCATTTTGTTCGCGCGCAACTTGATTGGGAATGGGTTAGTGAGGAGTATAGTCAGCCATTTCCTGAAGAAGTAGACTGACATCCCTCACTTCGCCAGATGAACGAAAACAATCATACTGTGCCTTGTCGCTGAACCGGGCATCTGCAACAACACAGCCAGACAGCCATATCGTGCAACCTATGTTACGTACGACAACAGCACCATGACGCCAGCATCACCGCCTCGAATTGGACTTGGGAAGAAGCTTTGCCGGAGTGGCGCCTTCGTATCAAGAGTGAAGGTATCATGGCTAATACTTCCTCCGGCGCTGACACCTTGGAAAAGCCTGTCGATCAGAAGGCCTCGATCCCTATCACTCAAACCTTCAACGCCGGCTTCTCTTTAATGAGTGGTCTGACTGGGACAGCATCATTAACGCCCAGCGGTGTCGGCGCGGCCGTGACGCTTGGTCTGACTGTCGCCGCTGCCCTGACTCAGGAATCTAGCAGTTCGTTGACCATCGCTGATATCCCGCTCGGTGGTGGCATTGATATAGTGGGTATCAAGGTCGGTCCTCAGCTTGTCGTTGCTGCCACAGTCGGGATCACGAGTGTGACTGCTGCCACGACTATCTCTTTCGGGGTACAAGTTAGTGTTCCGGATGATTCGCTGGCAAAGGTCGACTTCTCTGATTCGGCGAACAATCAGTTCAATGGCTGGAACCCCTCCTTCACAGGCATCGGTCCGAATCTGGATGCTAGTGTCTCAGTCTCTGGCAGCGCGGGATCCAGTATACGTCTCGAAGTCGATGCTACGATCCTCGGTAAAGGTCTCAGCGCTGGTCTGAATCTAATGGTGCCTGAGTTCACTATCGATGCTAGTGCTCAAGCTACGCCCGATGGCGGCGTTTGCGGCGACGACAACGCTTTCCTTGGTATCGAGTTTGATGTCAATCTCGCCGCTGAGCTTGATGCTTTCGGAGGTATTGCTGCGGCTTCAGATCTACCTAATCCATTCACTTTGTTGAGCACCCAGACACCTATTTTCTCGACTTGCATCACACTTGCTGGGACTGCCACGAGTACTGCTACCGCCGAGGGTACGCTCACGGCTGATGGAGTAGGAGCGTTTGGAGGAGTGGTGGGAACCATTGCTGCTACAGCTGCTGCGACCCCGAAGCTGTGATGTGTTCGTCTAATGTAGGCGCCTCGGTCTGAATGAAGGGAGTGATGATAGGATATCTGGGACAGGTGGGAAATCAAAGGGCATCACATTCGTTCTGTGCGCTGCATATTTGGGTCCGGCACTTTCATTCACTCAGGACAAAACCACGGTAGATAGAGGTCTTTCAGAGCAATGTTCGAGGTTATGCGATATCTGCTGCATGGGGATATATCAGCCATTCACAAGAGTCACGCTGCCCGTCCTCCCTCGGCTTCGTGGAGCACATTATTGCCAAAGCACGTCCAGACATCATGCGCCAGGACTGCATGCACTTCATAAGACGACCGCGTTGCAGGAAAGAAGCTCAACCTAACCCTAGAAGATCTCCATCCCCCATCGTCGACACGTACATGTATGTATGTTTGTATCTATGTACGAGTGCGGAAGACATTGTTCCGACATCACAGATACGAATCGCAGTTAAGCCTGTCCACTTCATCACTCTAGCCAACCATAAAACGCGAATGCGAGCCGGGATTGGGTTCCTCCAAGCCAATGATCTTGTTGGTAGGGTGATGCGGGTCAAGAATAGCAGGTTTGTCCGTCGGTCTGCGAGATCCTCATCGTTGTGATTGAGCATTGTGCGCAATGGTCAAAGTATTGGCGGGGTTGCAAGAGCAGTAAGAAGGCTATATAGTATGTGAGCTGTACAAGAAAGCCGATTCGAACTCGTTCATCATCCATCAATTCACTCATCAACATCTCGCTGCCCTGGAGAGCAGGCTTGTGCATTGCCGAGTCCCTCCTGCATCAGAACACACGGCATCTATCCAGATCTGGAGAGATCTATCTCGTCGGCAATAATGAAGATCATCCTCACAGGCTGCACAGGCTTCACAGGCGGCGCCACACTCCAGCGCTGTTTAGCTCACCCGGCCGTAACCTCGATTGTAGTCCTCTCTCGTCGTCCTCTTTCGATCACACACCCAAAACTCACCACAGTCCTCATGCCGACATTCCTGGAGTATAGACCAGAGACTATCGCCCAACTTCAAGGAGCCGAGGCGTGTATCTGGTGCATGGGCACGCCGACCAGCGGCCGTGAAGTCCACGTCGACTTCACCTTCGCGGCCGCCAAAACGTTCATCGAGCATCTGGTCCCGGAGTTGCGAAAGGACGGCAAGAAGTTTCGCTTCGTTTACGTCTCTGGCATCCTCTGCGAGAGAGATCAGAATCGATCCCTATGGTTTCTCTCCCAAGCCCGCAAGATGCGCGGTGGCGTTGAGACATCTCTTGTCGATCTGGAGCGGGAGACTGAAGGAGGGTTCCAGGCTATGAGTGTACGGCCTTCGGGTATCCACAAGGCAGATACGAGTCTGGCGTTGAAGGTAGTAATGCCGATTGTGCCTTCGGGATGGCATATCCAGGTCGAGGAATTCGCCGCGGCTATGGTGGAGTTGGCGATAAGTGGTGATGGTGGGCACTTTGTCGAAAATGATGAGTTGAAGACGAGAGGGAGGCAGGCGCTGCACAGTATGCCAATGTAGACATTAAGATTCGTATCGTCGTTATCGCCATCTTAATAATAGTGCACCCAGGCAATGCAGAGTCATTATCATAGTACCAAGCCCTGTCCACGTCACGGCTTGTCTCGCCGCTTTGCTCGGGGGTACGATCAATATCGTTCCGCACTGCCCTAGCCCAGTCGCGGGTAAATTCGGCCCCGTCGCGGTGAGCGTCGAGCAGTAATTGCCATATACTATTCTCGTTGTCGTCTGTTGTTGTGACTGTGGCTGTGAGTATATTGTCGTTGCCTGTACGGTCACTATGCCACCCGCCCCTCCGTACACCGTCGTAGTAGGCTGATAATATGTAGGCGTGGGCGATTGGTAGTATGAGGTGGGCTGGTATGCGCCTGTTGCTTGCCAGCCGCTGCAGGCACAACCTTGTGGACAGCAGGCCACGCTCGATCCAGCCCACGAGCAGACGTTGTTCGCAGGACAGCAGCTGAAGTTCGATTTGAGTCAGCATGTCTACTTCACGTCAGGTAGGAAGGAGCGACCATGGGTAGACGTACTAGCTTGATGCGCCGATGGAGCCGCAGCTCACTGGATGATCGGCGGGACAGACTGCTTGTGTCGCCGGTGAACCGTTGCAAGTGCTACATGTCGAGCCAGAACCAGAGCCCTGGATGGTGATGGCACCACTGAAGTAGTAAGTCGTTGCTTGCGCATTGACTGAGCTGATGATGAGGCTGAAGACGAGCAGGTTATAGGCCGCAAGTTGCCATGAGCTGCATCGCACTGCCATAGGGCGGTGATCGACGTGGTGTAGTGCTGCTGTTCAATTGAAGAGTATCTCAGCGCATGAGGTGTGGGGAGAGGCAGTAGCGAGCGACAGTGTACATGTATGAACAGAACAAACGAGGGCACTACTACTTGCTATGGCAAAGAGGAGTGTCAGGCCAGGCAGGCGGGTGTAGTGGGATGAGGCGCATAGCTGATAATCATAATCAAGTTTGCCTTCGGATATGTAACCAGGGCAGCCCAGACGGCTGTTCTACAAGGCTGGCCCTGGATGACTACGTCTTGGCTTTCTTGGTGTGATGCTGGGTAGGGAGGAAGGTGATGCTGAAGCAGCGCGCATACTCATACTTCTCATGACCTTGTGGAAATGTCAACGGCACTCGAGTCTTTTGGCATTATTGTATGACAGCACCGAAGCTGTTCATCTCGATGGCGTGGGATGGCTTGCACGTGAAGATCGAAAGCTCCCCGCTCTCTCCAGCATCCAGCATCCAAGATCTAACATTCGTTGCCGCGGTGTTGATCGAAGCTAGTGCTAGCGTTATCGATTGTCGCGTGGCGACAGATTCGCGTAAATCGCGTCGCAGGAGTCAATGAACATAAAGGCGTGACAAGGAGCAGGACGAGCCTGAGAGACATAGCGATGATGCCTTCAATATGATAATATGAGATGAGCAGCCGCGCTCGGTATCATGTGATTCACCCAAAGCGCTACTGGGACGAGTCCACAACGTGGAAGAACTGGAACAAACTCACTGCTGCCGACATCCACCACACCCTGAGGACAGAGCCGGGGTTTGAAGGGCAGAATGTCTTCTTCTACGGCAACAATCCCATACAGTTCGTGCGAGTGGTTGGCTTGCTGGTGGACCTGGAGCAGCGAGGCCGATACACCATCTTGAGCATCGACGACAGTAGTGGCGCCTGCGTAGACGTGAAGATTGAGCGACGGCACGTCAAGGCTGGCGACGAAGCCGAATATCCCACCAACACAACGATTGACAATGTCCATGTCAAGATTGAGCTGGCTCTGCCAACCCTTTTCCTCAATGCCAAGCCTGTGGACATGGGCACGGTGCTGGAGGTGAAAGGCACAGTCTCAGTCTTCCGCAATACAAGACAAATCGATCTGGCTCGGCTTTTCCGCGTCAAAGATACCAATGCCGAAGCTGCTGCCTGGATCAAGACGGCGCAGTGGAAGATGGATGCTCTGTCGCAAGCATGGATCTTGAGCAACGAACAAAGGAGACGAGTAGATGAAAAGGTGCGAGAGGCAGAACGGCAAGAGCGCGAGCGGACAAGGAAGAGGCGAGAATGGCGTGCCAAGCGTGGTGACAAGCGACGCGATCACGAGGAGAAGAAAGAAGCGAAGCGCAAGCGGTCGGAAGTGCAGTATAATACTGGTGCACTATACGGCAGCCACTTGTTGCCTCACCCGTGGGACTGACAGACCATTACATCTTCCTTGCCAGTATTCTGGCATTTCTTCCTCTCCAGGGCACACGTCGAACACTTGCCGAGCTCCGCCTACAAGTGCTTCTCATTGACCTCATTGACATGCGTTACTCCCTGGTCGTTGGCTCCACGCTTCTCGTCATACGCATCATCCTCCCGGATATCATGCACACCTTCGGCCTGCACCGCCCTCATCTTGACCTCCTCGACAGCTTCAGCACCGTCGAACGTCTTGGCAATCTCCTCGAGCGTGGCGCCGCGGGTCTCGAAGAAGAAGAAGTAGACGACAACGACTTGGATGAACAGCCAGCCTTGGAAGAAGAAGTAAAACTTCCAGCCGCCTGCTTTGATACCAATAGGAATGGTGTATTGCGAGAGGAACAGGCAGATGTACGTGCCGATGTTTTGGAGCAGCAGACCATTGGCTCGGATCTTGAATGTGAGGATCTCGAGCGGGTAGGAGACGTTGAGAGAAATCCTGTAGACAAGATCATTAGTGACGATGCCTTACTCACCAAGTATGTTTTGGAGGCTACTTACCAGGCGAAGTTGTAGAAGAAGTTATGGAAGAAGATCATGGCGATGACACCTTTGCCGTAGCCCAAGTTGCTCGGATCCTGCGTGCTGCGAGCTGTCAAGGCAATCCATGTGGCGAAGGTGCAGCACATTCCGCATCCGGCAGTGAGGAAGAGTGGTCGACGCCCGAAACGATCAACCATGCAGGCCCAGAACCAGGCTTCGAACATGTTGGCCATCAGGATGAAGGCGTTAAGCAAGTTCTTGTAGGTCGGGTCATTCTCGTATCCAAGGGCGTTGAGGATATTGGCAAGGTAGTAGGACGCAATGCTGGTCCCTAAAAGCACAATCAGTACCCATCGACACCCACGAAGATAGTACAGCACCATGTTTTTGTCTCACCTGAAAATTGCGAGAAGACACCACAGGCGAGACAGATGAAGACACGGTAGCGGTTGCCCTCTGTGAAGAACGATCCATTAGCCAAGGTTGAGTCCGGCGATGTCTCGCGGAATACATACTTGTGGCAAAGAGATCGGACCAACGTCCCTTTTGCTCGCCTTGCGCGATTGAAGCTTTCATCTCCGCGTACTCGAACCTGACCAGCGGGTCTTCACGATTGCCGTTGGCGTGATACTTGGCCAGAATCTCCAGAGCCTTTTCATCTTTGCCGCGCGACATGAGCCAACGTGGAGACTCTGGCAGCAAAATGACCAAAAGGAGCTGAAAGAACGATGGCGCGGCTTGGAGCAGACTTGGAAGTCGCCATGCCCAGTTTGAGGGGATGTAGAGGGTGCCGAAAGTGATCCAGCCTCCGAGGAAGGCTCCAAAGTAGTACTGTGTGCTAGAGGTTGGTCAGCTCGTGATTGTACGCTTGGGCGAACTGAGTAGTGTTTACTTGTACAATGCTGTGAGGATACCGCGTTCAGCAGGATGTGCAACCTCTGTAATCAGAAGCGGCGAGCCAAGGCCGGAGAATCCAGATCCAAGGCCGACTGAGGTGTGGTCAGTAGAGTGTCATACAGGAGGCGGTATTTTGAGAAGCTTACTCAAGAATCGGGCCGCGATGAACATGTGGATATTGATGGAAAGACACTGGACGATTCCGGCAATGACGACAATAGCGCAGCCCGTGAATATCGTCCATTTGCGCCCACCGTAATCAGCCATGTACGGTGCTATGATCAGACCTGTCACAATCATCAGCTTTCCGGCCACATGGCGTAGCAGATCAGACTTCACGTACTGACTAGACCGCCAACAGGCTGGATGGCGTTGAGTAGACCTTGAGTCGAGCCAGCCGGGCTGTTGAAATCTGCATAGGGTTTTAGCATGCTTCGCGAGAGAGCATGCTTGTACTGGGATACTAACAGCTGAGGTAGTACGGGATGGACTGCACTCCGTTCATGAGCGATCTGGCCAATGTCAGTGAAGTGCTTCGACTGAGATTGAGGGAACTCCTACCCATCATATCCGTTGGTCGCGGACGACACCAGAGCGATAACCAAGAGCAGGTTGAGCTTTCTGCGGCCGGGGTCTTTCCACCATGATGTGGTGTTGGCCGTCAGCTTCGACATCTCCTGTTGAGTCGTCGCCATCTTGATGGAGTGGTGAGGTTGCCCTCGATGAGAAGTCGAAGTTGAAACAGTTCAGGCCAAAGGCGGTGGCTTGGAGGATCAACGACGGACATGGGCAGTACCATGAGTGGTATATGTAGTGCCCATAGCATAGTCACAATCGTTCATGCCGTGCGAGCCGCCGTGCATTGTCAGCCCCAGGCCGGCTAATTACAATCATGACTTGATTTGCTTGTTGGAATCAGCACAGATGCGTGTGGCAGATCGTGTGCATGGCTGTAGGACACGGGAAGAATGTACGAGTGGAGTGGTTGATCTAGCCTGCACCCCGCAGCGCTACAGCATTCATCCATTGTGGAGCCCTCTCCATGTGGTTCAAATGATAGCGGGTATGGAGAAGATGGAGAAATGGAGAGGTCTCTGGGGATGGATCCATCTCCATGTGGGTACGCTTAATTTGGTAGATCGAACATAGAGGTTGCAGTGTGAGACACAAGATCAGTGTAATTTATTCCAACCTCGAGGCGCAGATAAGCAAACGCCACTTCTGCAGGCCGGCAAAGGTTCTCTATCTTTCATATGGCATATTCTGAACAGGCTATCAGTTCAATCGCCAAGCAACCAATTGTGTGCCAGTGCTTGGGATGTACCGGCAGGAAGAAATGTAGCTTGGAACGCCACCCTCGTGGTCCAGATGAGGGTTGCGAGTCAGCACATCGCTCTTTTATCCGCCGAGTGGGCAGGTCCCGCGCGCGGGTAAATTCATCAGGTACAAACGGGCAGAGGAACGAGATCTATGAGCACCCTGAATGCGATTACTATGATCGTACTGTGCCAACTTCCGTAGGAGGAGCCGGGGCAATGGATCTGGATCCAAGTGTGTACGCGTTCGTCCAGGCTACTGTGACGCCAACCAAGGCGCCGTTAGCTAGCGAAGGTAGTGGGTACCACGTTCGAGACCATATGCAAGTGGTATGGTGCTCGAGGCAAAGTAATCTCTAGACTGCCCATCGCCCAGCAGCGAAGAGTACTTTTCCCTCCCGGGGACTAGCTCACAGTCACGATTGTGCAATGTGATACAGGCTTTCCCCGACCCAACATTCACTTGTATAACTATAAGCGAACGTGCTCGCTATCAAGATTCTGGCGCTTCGCAGCAGTATCCGGACTAGCAAACACCTCGCTAATCCGGTTTGCGACGTCTTACGCTAATAGTATATTTTATAGGTTTTAACTTTCCCTCTATAGAATTATATAGAGAAAGTCTAGCTACCTCTTAAGCTATAATATAGCCTCTTTAAATATAACTATAATAGTAAATATTATATTACCTATAGTAAAAGAAGGTTAGAGCTCGTTAGATAAGTAAGTTCTAAGTAATAGGTTAGGTAAGTAACTACTCTAAGGTTTAATCTTTTAGTAGGTTAGAAACTTAGATTAAATATAAACTACCTAATAAGAAACGTCCCTTTTATATATATAGGAGATTTATATATAGTTATAATTACTAATAATTATTACGACGCGATTATAGTTACCCTTAGTAATTATAATCTAGATTACTAAATTATCTAGTAATAAAGTAATCTTATATCTAGCCCTAGAATTAGTCTATTAGCCTTAGGCCTTAGTTTCTAACTTATTACTAATAATTAAATTCTATATCTATAATTATTATATACCTATAGTATAAGAGGGTTAGAGCTCGTTAGACGAGTAAGTTCTTAGTAATAGATTAGGTAAGTAACTACTCTAAGGTTTAACCTTATAGTAGGTTAGTAACTTAGATTAAATATAAACTACCTATATAAGAAATCTATTACGAATATATAATATATAATATAGGAATAAGCGAACGAGGATTAGTTATTTTAGCCTTAAGAATAAAGTACGTAGAAGTATACGCTTTAAGAATATATAACTAACTAGAGACATATTATAGATATTAGGTCTATAATAAGTAGACTAACTAATTAAGCTTAGGGAGCTAACGAGCTAGGCCTATAGAGGTAGCTATAAGAGGGTTACGTAATACCGCTTACCTAGACTCTTAAGTAAGTAGCCTACTATTACGGACATAGAACTTAATTATTAGTAACGAGTTAGGAACTAAGGCCTAAGGCTAGTAGACTAACTTTAGGACTAGATATAAGATTACCTTATTACTAGGTAATCGAATAATCCGGATTATAATCGCTATAGATAACTATAATCGGGTCGCAATTACTATTAGTAATCGCGACTATATACGAATCTCCTATATATATAGAATAGACGTTT